TGACCGAGTACATTGCCTTCCACAGTCTCGATGACGCCACCGCTGTCGCCACCGTCGCCATGAACCTCAAGGGCAAGGCCAAGACCTGGTGGCGCCTCTGGTCCCAGGGCAAGCAACTCGACAACCTGACCCCGGCCGCCGTCCTGTCCCTCGTCCGCGACACCTTCCTTCCGTCCACCTCGCTGCGCACCACCGAGGATGAGTTCGAAGCACTGCGCCACACCGGCTCCGTCGAGCAGTTCAACTCTCGCTTCCGCGATCTCCTCCTCGAGCTGCCCCACTTCAGCAACAACCGCCAGAACCTGCAGCGCTACCTCACCAAGCTCAAGCACAGGGTGCGCATCGAAGTCGAATGGAAGCTTGACTCCAACACAGCCACCCTCGAAGATGCCATGGCCCTCGCCGAGCGATACGAGTCCATTATGGGTCAATCGCAACCCCTGATGCAGCAGCCCGCTCGCACTCAGTTCCGCGATCAACCCTTCCGCGAGCTCCAGTTCCAGCGACCTCCTCTCTTCCGCGCTCCACCTGGTCAGCCGCAGTTCCGCCCAATGGTCCGTCCTCCTCGTCCCGCCTTCCAGCCGACCCAGCCTCCCGCACGTGACCCCAACGCCATGGACCTCGACAACGTCGACATGCGCCCGATCAAGAAGCTCACCGACCGCGAGAAGGAGTACCTCCGCCGTAACGGAGGCTGCTTCCGCTGCCGCAAGTTCGGCCACATCGCCTCGCAGTGTCCCTTGAACCAGCCCCGCATCAACGCCATCGTCGAGACCGCCGACCAGGCCACCTTCTACGAAGATCAGGGAAACGACGAGGCGGCAACCCCTGGATACTACGACCTCTGAAGGACCCGGCGAGTTGCCGCCATCCGACTCCGACCCCCGACGCTGAACTATTGACTCTCGCCACCGGACCTCACCTGATCAACTCTCTCATCGACGAACCCCACCGCATTGCCGCCAACCACGGCAAGGGACTGCTTGTGATCGACGCCACCCTCAACGGCTCCCCGATCACCGTCCTCATCGACCCTGGTGCGACCAACTCGCACATCTCCGAGACCCTCGCCTCGACCCTCGACCTTCGAACCAAGACCACCGCCAACGCCGTCACGATGCCCAACGGCAAGTCCTTCCCGTCCTCCGTCACCGATCCCGTCGACCTCACCATCCACGACTACCACGCCCGCATCAACCTCTTCACCGCGCCACTCACCTGGGACGTTATCCTCGGCAAGAACTGGCTCGACCAGACCAACCCCGAGATCGACTGGCCCTCCAACCGAATCAAGTTCTCGATCGACGGGAAGCACCACACTTGGACGGCATCGCGACCCGACACCGGAATGCCACTCACGACCCTCGAACTCCGATCCCAGTACCACATGTCGACCCAGCAGATCAACGCACTGGCTTCGACTCCCGGCGCCGTGTATGTTTGTACTCTGAGCAGTGACTTGAATACAGTTGCTGTTGAACCCTACGACCCCGTTGCCCAACTTGCCCGTGTCCTCGAACCACTGACCCCCGAACACCGATCCATCATCGCAAAGTACCGCGATGCCTTCAACGAACTCAAGGAACTCCCGCCTCACCGACCCGGCATCGACATGAACATCCGACTCGACGACTCTGCCAAGCCAACCTGGTCGTCGCTCTACCAAATGTCGGCCGAAGAACTCGCTCGTCTCAAAGACGAACTCGACCGATTGCTCCGGATCGGCCACATCCGCAAGTCCGTCTCGCCCTTCGGCGCACCGATCTTCTGGGTCAAGCAGGGCGACAAGTTCCGACTCGTCTTTGACTTCCGCGCCCTCAACAAGATCACCGTCAAGGACCGCACCGCGCTGCCCAACATGCGCGAGATCATCGACCGCCTGTCCAAGTGCCGTGTCTTCTCCAAGCTCGACTTGCAACGCGGATTCCACCAGATCCGCATTGCCGACGCCGACACCCCCAAGACGGCCTTCAGGACCAAGTACGGCCACTTTGAGTGGCTTGTGATGCCCTTCGGCCTCGCCAACAGTCCCTCCGTGTTCCAAGCCGCGATGAACGACATCTTCCGCGAGTTCATCGACGACTTTGTGTTCGTCTACATCGACGACATCCTGATCGCATCCGAGGACGAGGACCAGCACATCCGCCACATCGAACTGGTCCTCGACAAGATCCACCGACACGGCTTCAAGATCCGACCCGAGAAGTGTTCGTTCTTCAACTCGACCGTCACCTATCTCGGCTTCATCATCGGCGAAGGACGCATCCAAGTGCATCCCTCGCGCATCGACGCCATCAAGAACTACCCGCGACCAACGACCGAACACGAACTCCGCAGCTTCCTCGGCTTGACCAACACCATCATGAGCTTTGTCCCTGGCTACGCTGCCCTCGCCGGTCCACTCTCGACTCTGATCACCACCCGCTCCGCCAACTCGACCAAGTCCGTCGTCTGGGACGACAACGCCATCGCCGCCTTCGAGCAGCTCAAGTTGCTCTCGCCTCAGTCGCTGCACATGGTCAACCCGGACAAGGACATTCACCTCTTCACCGACTGGTCCGAGTCAAGCGCATCGATTGGTGGATGGATCGGGCAGGACATGGACGGATCCGGCACGGTGCGCCCCATCGCTTTCAACTCGCAGAAACTGCACGGATCCGAACTCAACTACTCGCCCTACAACGGCGAGCTGCTGTCGATCACCCGCCACCTCGACAAGTTCAAGAACTACCTCGTCGGCCGCAAAGTCTTCCTCCACACCGACCAGAAGGCGCTCAAGCACATCCTCGACTCCAAGACCCTCAACAAGCGCCAACAGCGAGCCATCGACACGATGCTGGACTTTGACCTCGAGATCCAGTGGATCCCCGGCTCGTGGAACAAGGTCGCCGACGTGCTCTCGCGCACACCGACAGCCATCTCCAAGGCCGTCCAAGTCTCGATCATCAACGCGATTGTCAACCTCGGACCCCCGCCCGACGATCTCTTGGACACCATCCGCACTCAGTACAGCTCCGACCCGATCCTGTCAGCACTGATCTCGGTCCTCCGCGACAACTCGACCGACGGACTCAAGCCGTGGATGAAGGCACAGCTGCACCGCTTCTCACTTCGACACGGGATTCTCTACTTCGACTCGACCCGCATCTGCATCCCCGGCAAGGACCTCCGCATCTCGATCATCAAGGACCACCACGACTCTGTCTGTGCAGCTCACCCCGGCACCAACACGCTCTACAAGGCCATCTCGACACACTACTACTGGCCCGCCATGTCCAAGGACATTGCCGAGTGGGTCTCGCACTGCGACATCTGCCAGCGAGCCAAGATCCGACGACAACAAGCATACGGTCACTTCTCCCGGATCCCTGTGGCCACCCGCAAGATGGACACTGTCGCCCTCGACTTCATCCTCGGACTCCCGCCTGTCACGGACTCACTCTCGGGACGCACCTTCAACTCGATCACGATCTTTGTCGACTCCCTCACCAAGTACGTCGTCCTGGTTCCTGGCAACAAGACCGACTCGGCCGAAGACGTCGCCCGCCAGTACTTCCGCGATGTCTTTGTGCACTTTGGACTCGCCGGCACTTTCATCTCGGATCACGACACACGCTTCCGGTCGGCCTTCTGGACAGGACTTAACACTCTGCTCAAGACCGAACTCCGGATCGCCTTTGCCCACCACCACGAGGCCGCCGGACAAGTCGAACGCTTTGTGGCAACCGTCGCCGAGGCCATCCGCTGTTCGACTCTGGCCCTCGGCTCCCGCTGGATCGATCAAGTGCCATACATCCAGTTCGCGCTCAACTCACACAGCTCAGCTTCGACTGGACATTCGCCCTTCTTCCTGATGCACGGTCAGCATCCTCGCACTCCTGCCAACACCGACATCATCGCCGAGTCCAACCCTGCAGCACAGTCGATCGAGGAGATGCAAGCGACTCTGGACTTGGTCTCGGACAACATCGGCAAGGCCCAGGACCGGGCCCTGTACTACGCCAACCGACATCGACGCGATATCAGCTACGACATTGGCGACCAAGTCCTGATCGACACGACCGCGTATCACTTCAGCACGGACGACGTCACACCCTCCAAGATGCGGATGCCGTACTTGGGACCCTTCAAGATCATCGAGAAGATCGGAACGACTGGATATCGACTTCGACTCCCGAGGACCCTCCGATTTACAACCGAACTCCCCGCTTCCGCCCTCGTCCCCTACAACACACCATCGACCGACCAACTTGTGTTTGATGAACCCGGACCCAACCACAACGACGAATCAGTGTTCGAAGCGATCATTGGACACAGGATCAACCGACGACGTCGACTTCCTGGATATCGACACGAGTTCTTGCTCCGCTGGCAGGGATACGACCCATCTTACGACTCGTGGGCACCACTGGCCGAACTCTTGGATGGAGGACTCGCAGATATCCACGACTTCCTCAGCCGCAACCGCAACCTTCCGGAAATGGACACACTGATCGACCTTTGCCAAGCACAAGTGCAACGCAACTCGGGATCGAAAAATTGATGGTTTGACTTGAGCACAATTTTTCTGGGGGGGATGTCACAGATCGCTCTGCCCGCCTAGCTGCACCGTCGCACTTGTGTCACTGTTTGCGTCGCACACTTTCCTTTTCCTTTGTCCTGTGACGCCTTTCCTTTTTCCTTGCTCTCATGTTGCACACGCCGCTCTGTTTTCCCTGCATTTGTCATCGACCATGCATTAGTCAGACGCTGTGTCACCCGCATTTGTCAGCCACCGAGCATTTGTCAGACTTTCACATGTTTCTCCGGTTAGCCGTTGCTGCCTGGCTGCTGTCCCGCCGCCTCCGCTGCTTCGCCCCCGCTGCGGCAGGCTTCGCCTCCGGGACCGCCAGACAGATAAATAGCCCGCCTTCACCCGCTCATGTTTCTGGTCATCACCTTCGACCCCAGACACACTTGACTCTAGATCCTAGCCTCGCTAAGATCAATAAAACCCTTCTCTATCTTTTTCTTTTGATCTCCTCTTGATCCCGTGATCTGACAAGATAGGATGCGATGGCGGCGCCATAGGACCGGCAGACGCCCGGGCAGAGCGGGGTGGGGTTGGCTGCAATGGCCTGCTGATTGCAGCCATTGGAAGCGCCATAGACGTCGCCCAGACATGCGATGGTGCGCAGATAAGGCAGTGAGGCGGCTTCAGGAGCGGTGCAGCCTGTGAACTGGGTCCAGAGCAGCTGGAACAGACTCGATCCATCCGAAGAAGCAGTGGTCGAGTTGACGATGAGCGACTCCCACTGGGCCACGCTGGTGATCGAGACGTTGTAGTTCAGCGAGAGCTCGGTGGTGTTGATGAAGAAATTGCCAGTAGTCAGCGGAGCGCAGATGGAGCTGGTGTTGAGGGACAGACACTGGGGGACGTTGGCAGGAGAGGGCGTGGGCGACGCCGAAGCCGAGGCCGACACTGAGGATGAGACAGCGCCCGATGTCGTCTGCGTTGGCTGGTTGACGACGGCGCGTTGCCGAGTGGACGAGCCGGTCGACAGAGGCAGCCGGTCCCAGAGTGGGTCACTGAACGGAGCCGCTGCGGCCACGGCAAATGAAGATATCAGCAGGCCGGCGAGGGAAGCCGGTCCGCCGAGCAACGACGAGCGCATGTTGGGGGGGGGATGCTGGCGGACAGAGGAAGCTGGGCGGGATCGCAGGGGGGCGGACCTGGAGGGAAGACGGGCGACAAGCGACGGGAGGTGAGTACGATGTCGACGCTGCAGTTCGGCGAAGAGCCCAGAAGCAGATGAAAGTATTAAGGACGATCCAGGGTCTTCCAAGGCTGGGCTGGGCTGGGCTGGGCTGGGCTGGGCTGGGCTGCACTGCAGGTTGGCTGGGTTGACCAAGGCGACGAGTCAACCGGTGAGCCAGCCGACCAAGCGGCCAAGCGACTGACCAAGCGACCAGCGAACTGCGGCCGTCGATCGCAGCGAGCCGTGGTCCGGAAGAGCTCTTAGTGTCGACGCCCCCAGTCCCGCTCTGTCCCGTTTCCAGCGATCATACCTTGGGGGAAGTTGGTGGATGGATGGGCAGCCGACGGGGAGAAAGTCAGAGCGGGTATATAAACGGCCGAGAAGGCGACGGGGGCGAGAAGGCCTTGGCGAGGCGTGTGTGTGTGTGCGGTGGCGGGTCATGTCACACAGAGCGCGGGGCGCGCACTGGCGGCTGTGGCTGTGGGAAACCCGGCTGCGGGGACCGTTCGGTCGGCCGTCTCGGTGCATGGGCAGGAGCCGCTGCAGGTCGAGCGTGCAGAGCGCTGGGGTCGATCTGCGCTCATGCTTGGGAAAGCCATCCAAGCCAGCGAGGCAGCTGCTCTCGCCAGCAGCCCGTCCTCTGCATCGGCATTTGTGCCGCTCGTCCAGCGGAATGCCGCGTTCACCGCATTCATACAACTGCGCACCGCCTCTGCTTTGTTTCGGCGTTTCAGCATCGCCACCTCTCGCTCTCGGCTCTGTCTCGGCTCTGTCTCGGCTGCTGTTGCTGAGTGCATCTCCCGGCCGCTGTCGCTGAGTGCGTCCAGCGGCGCCTCACACATGTCCAGGCATGAACAGCGCGAAATTGGTGCCTCGCGCTGCTATGATCATATACTGAGTTTCGGACCTGGCAGTCGTCATCCCATGTAGCTCAGTCGGTTAGAGCGCGGTACTTATATGGGTGCTCCCCGTATGCCATGCCGATGTCGCGAGTTCGATCCTCGCCTTGGGAACGCGGCACCGACTTCCGCTTTTGCCCGTCGTGCGACACTTGCTATTTTGGGTCCCTGCTCCGCCACACGCATCGCCCCTTGGCACGTTTTCTTGGATGGAAACGCGCTCTTTTGTCGTGTCCATCACTTTGATCATCCCAATCGATCATCCAATCAATCATCCGGCGCTCTCAAGCCAGGACAGCTGAGGTCAAACAGCCTTTGCTGGCGTCTGCCCCGTCTTGCATGCCCCGTTCTATCAGGATATATCAGGATATTCGCCGCTTCCAGACGCTGCCACCGCGCATTGTTTGTCTCAATGTCTCTCACCGCACAGATTGGCAGTCGTCCAAAGGCCGTGTTTCATGTCGATTACATAGCGCCGTGATGCAGGGAGCAGCATCGACTGACCTTGCCGGCCGAGCCTCACACGCATGTCTCGGTCGGTGCTCACTCTTCCCACTCCTGTTCATCATCTTCGTCGCTATCGCTCTCCGAATCCGAGTAGTCTGCACGCAGTGGTCGATAAGTGGCCCAGTTAGCATGTGCATATATCAACAAGCTGGCCGAAATCACACTCCAGCTGCACTGGCTATCCGTAACAACACCCACAGGGTCTTAGTCCCCGCCATTCCAAGCGGTGTACTTACTCGAATGCTTGTTCCGGTTTGAGAGCGCAACCTTCAGAATGTTCACGATATCGCCCGAGTCGGCTTCGGGTGCAGGCTCGGGTGCAGGCGCATGAGCGGTGGGGGTCTGCTCACCAGAATGCCGCAGCTCTTTGCCTCGTCGGATGGCGTCCATGAGTGCCGAGCGTGCGTCGCCGCCCGATGCTGGCGCCGGGGCCGCTGACGGTACCGTCGGAGCACGAGGAGGCGGGGGAGGGCCACCTCCAAGCGGAGGGGGTGGAGGCGGGGGAGGGGGAACTGTTGACCAGTGGATGGGTTAGACTTTGGAGGCGACCACGACAAGCTTCCACAAGAATCATCCACAGCTGGATCCAGCAACCGCAGCTGGATCCAGCACCCACAGCACCCACAGCACCCACAGCACCCACAGCACCCACAGCACCCACAGCACCCACAGCACCCACAGCAGCTCGCCAACATACCGGATCCGCCCACGGGAGGAGGAGGAGGAGGGGGAGGAGGGGCGCTCGCGGTTGGTGCGGGCTCGTTGCGGGCCGGCAGCCTGGGGGGCGGAGGAGGCACATCGTTTCGGGAGGGAATCGGTGGCGGAGGCGCTTCGCTTCGCGAAGGAATTGGCGGAGGCCGCACGTCGTTGCGGCTGGGAACAGGCGGCGGTGGGGCCGGGCTTGAACGAGCCGGGATGGGCGGAGGAGGAGCATAAGAGGTCGCTGGGGGCTCGCTTCTTGCCGGCAGACTTGGCTTTGAGAAGCCAGCCGCGGCCGCTGGAGCTATTGGTGCAGTCGCGTTCCGGCTTGGGGGAGGAGGAGGGGCAGGTCGGCGGGAAGGAGGGGGCGGGGGCGGCGGCTTCCGCCCGGCAGCTGGAGGACCTATACCATGCCATGGGTGAATGCATTTCATGTGAGTTATGAGCCATGTCGACGAAGAACAGAGCTCTACCGCATCACCGATGTATCAAGTGCTCATTGAGGGTCAGCCCTACCTGGTCGAGCAAAGCTCGTATCGACTGAGGGCGACAAAGCACGAATTAGTGGTGGTGCACAGGCTTGCTAGCTCGTAGCGTTAGTTGATGGCATCCATGCATGTGGAGGAGCGGTCTCTTCCAGCCCAAGGCTGCACTTACCGCCATTGTACTTCACCGGAGGCGGAGGTGGTGGTCCGCTCTTCTGGACTTTACCAACCAAGTCGGCATTGTCCCGCATGAATTTCTTGGCAAACTTTTGCATCGAGCGATCTGATTTGAGGGACTCTTCCGAGATACCCGCCTTGGCAAAGATAATCTTCCACTCCTCGGGAATGTTCTCGGCCTGTGAGTGGAGAGTGGTATCGCAGTGTTTTAGAACCATGGGCATCGCCATCAACGCTCTCCAATCAGCCATGTCGGTCTCTGGGGACACGATGGCATGCTTACATTGAACGAGCCGGTCTTGGTGTTGTATCCGACGTGGGAGATGTGTCTGTGGTAGAGGAGGGTGTCCAAATCAGTCAACAAGCAGTGCGGACAGCAAAGTGCGGCTGGATTAATGAACATTGTTCATGCATGTGGCAAAGTGACTCTGAAGCCCGTCACAGAACTGTCTCAACTGAGCCACGACTGGGATTTAGACCCTCGCGAGGAAGCTGCGGGTCGTGCGTCAGCGACCCATCGGGCCAGCCGAGCGGTGGACACATACTCAAAGTTCGTAGGACCGCTGATCATGTCCTTGGTGATTGCGCCCTTTTTCTTGGACTTGCCCGAGGACTTGTCTTTCTTATCCGAGCCCTTGGACGACTTGGACTTGCCCATGCCAAAGAGCAAGCCTCGGCTCTTTGTCTCCTCCTCCTTGCTCTCGACGGGAGGCGCCGAGACCGAGCGTTCGATGGGCTTGAGATCGATGACGTTCGCTGCCGGAGAGGGTGTCGTGGCTGGATCGCAGCGAAAGTCGGCATCGGGATGAGGGCGGAGCACGCAAAGCAACCCAAATCAGAGCCGGGATACAGCGAAGCCGGCCAGGATTGTGTGGCTGGCTGGAAGTCCTCGGGAATGGTGTTGGGCGGAGGACCGAGCACGACGATACGACAGCGGCGGGCTTGCAGGCCTTACCTTTGGGGGCAAGCGGAAGCCGAGGCGCAGGAACAGGGGCATAGCTCGGCTTTGGGGCAGCAAGCTGGCTCGGAGCGACGGGGCTCTGGCGGCTGCTGTCGTCCTGAACGGCCCTGAAAAAGTCGGCGGCTTCGCTCTCGAGGGCAAAGCAGAACCCCACCATGCAGCGGTCCTCGGCAGAGGCAAAACTGTGGAAAAAGTTGGCGTCGTCGCAGTAGTCCGAGCTGCTGTCGATCAAAGTCTCCCAGACAATGTCGCCCGTCTGTCAAGGGCGAGAGATGATACCGGGACGATGAAATCAACGTCAGCAAGCCGCTGCTGCTTCAGGGCCCATGTTTCCAGCAGGGGCGAGAGAGCGTAGACATGATGGAGCCGGCCTCGTCCTCGCTCGTCGCAAGCTCCGACGATGGCCGTGCCGGCTCTGCAGCGACTGATTGGGCATCGGCGCAGACTTTCAGCGAGCATGGAAAGCGACTGCCATGTCCGAATAAGCATCCCGCTGTCCATCCGAACAAAGAGCAGCGACTCACATCTAGATCAAGAAGCTTGAGCGATCCTGCAGTCAGGACGAGGGCGCCTCGCTGGCCGGTATACGTCCATCGGGTTGGGATGGGATGGGCCTTGTAGCGCCGGACGACAGCAGAGGCAAGAACGGCGTTTCGGCCGAATGTGGAGTTGACGAGAGATCGCTCGGATGCGTTCAGCGAGGGCATTGCGAGCGAGCGGCTGGATTTCTCTGCACGAACGAGGGTGCCAGAGCCAATGTGCTTGGTGTGCTTGGTGTGCCGGTCGAGGCGGGTTGGAACGAGATGAGGACCAGGACAGGGAGGGGAAGTAGGCGGATGGGAGAGCGATCGAGGCGAGGCAGCGAGCGGGCGGGTGGGGGGCCTGAAGGCGCCGCCAAGGCCAGGAGACGGCGGGCCAATCGGCGCACTTGGGGCGACGCAGCCATGTGGCGCCGCACAGCCCGTTTGGGGCAGGTGATTCGGGACAAGCGATGCAGCATGTCGGTTTTGGTCAAAACATCAGAGGACCACCGGCTGATATCGGCCGAGATACCATCGAGAACCACCGACTGGCTTCGACCAGGATACCATTGGGAACATGGGACGGAGATGGGAAAGTGGTCTTGGGAAACGAGCACAAAGTTGAGAATCGACAATAACGAACCGAAACAACAAGTGGAAATAATGCTAAACATAACGGGCCGAACGAAGCAAGACAAGAAGGACGTGACCTGAGGCTGGCAGGAAGAAATGAACTGAAATTGACAAGCTGTCCAACCGGCAGCGCACACCAGTCGCGCCATGTGTGTCCCTCCCCAAGACAGGACAATGTCGCACGTTGATCAATGGCGGCCAGTGCGGCCAAAGATGCTGACTTCGGGATACTCCTCGCCCTTGAGCTCGCTCGATGGGTTCTGGGGCTCGGGCAGGAAGCCAACGTGGAACAGGTAGTTGAGGCACTTCTTGGCAATGACCGAGGCAGGACGGCACGGCGTCGGGTAGATTGCGCGAGTGTTGGTGTTGTCGGGCAGGAAGGACATGTCCATCATCATGTGCATGAGTGGGAACAGAGCGTTGGTCTCGATTGACGCGGCTTCGCTCAAAAGCCCCTTGAACTGCTCGCGAGTCTCAAACAAGACCTGCCAGCCAAAGGCGTTGGCAATCTCAAACAGCTTGGTTTCGGTGATGACACTGGTGTGTGAGTGTGAGTGTGAGTGTGAGTGTGAGTGTGAGTGTGAGTGTGAGTGTGAGTGAGTGAGTGAGTGAGTGAGTGAGTGAGTGAGTGAGTGAGTGAGTGAGTGAGTGAGTGGGTAATCAGAGTCGGAATCCACCATCCACACCATATCGCACACCACACCATATCCATATCACACCATATCACATTCCTCACCTGTTCTCCGGGTCGCTGATGTGGAACACAAACTTGGACAGGGCCTCCTCCGAGCCGGCAATCTCGGCAACCACCTTGGCGACATGGTCGACGGGATCCATGGTCATCGTGACAGGAGTGGCATGCGACGGAGCAATGCCGAGCTGGATGCATCCCTTGACATATCGCCAGATGTAGTCGTCCGTGTTGGACACTGGAGCGATGGAGGGTGTGAAGGTGTCAGTTGGTGTCAGTTGGTGGATGAGTGGCACTTGACAATCGAGACCATCGATTCATGGCCAGTCCATGGGACGATTGAGACATCTCCATCACACCACATCACATCACACTCAACTCACCTCCGTATTTGCTATCACCAGCAATGACGGCTGGACGAATGATCGTCGCAGGTACTCCCCTCGATCGTGCCTGCCTTGTTGACCAGCTGCTCAGAGACCCACTTGGTCTGGCCATACCCGCCAGAGATGTTCCAGGCCGAGTAGATCTTCTCCATCAGGAGCTTGCTAGAGCCCTTGGATGCTGGAACGGTCCCAAGGGTCGAGATGTAGTGCAGCGGCTTCAGGTGGTGGGTTGTGGCCAGTCTCAGGGCCGTCGCCGTGCCAAGGACGTTGGGTCCCTTGAGTCTGTTATAGTCATACAACCAGTGGACCTCGGCGCCGTTGTGGACAATCATGTCGGTCTCCTCGCTGATCTCCTTCCATCGCTCGTCCGAGAGTCCCCACTTGTCCTGCGACAGGTCGCCACACAAGGCCACAAATCGGTCTCGCACGGCGTACCGCGGGTCGGCACGCATTCTCGATGCAATCACAAGCTGGGAAGCATTTGAGAGCAGTCGGAGGAGAGCGACTTCTTCGTTCTTAGCTCGAACGAGGCAGTAGATCTTGGCCCGAGGAAACCTGTTCGCCAGTTCGTACAGCAGGAAGACGCCCAGGAAGCCAGTGGCACCGGTCAGGACGATGCCGCGAGCCCATGTGGGAAAGGCGAACGGAGGGAGACCCTCGGCCGTCACAGTCGCATCGTCGAGCTTGGCGGCTTCTTCGGCCAGATCGACGGTTGGCGGGATCAGCGGCCTTTTATCCCGGATGTCAATCACAAGTTGGGCGACGGCCATGGGCGTCATTCCGTTCGACAGCAATATCAGCGGCGAGATCTCGACATCGAGCTCGTTCTTGATGGCGAGGGCCAGACGGCCGACACTCAGCGAGTCAAAGCCGACACCGGCAATGTAGTAGTTGCGACCGTCGAGGGCCTCGATGTTGAGAATCTGGCTCCCAAGGCGAGAGATGAGCACCGCAATTCGAGAGATCAGGGCGTCGCTGATTTCGAGCGGTGGGTAGACAACGGATCTGCCGTACTGGTCGGCGCTCTCGGCGATGCGCCTGAGCTTCTTGAGATCGCGCTTGCCGACCTCCGTGAACGGAATGTCGTTGAGTTCGAAGCAGTTGTGGATCGGGACCTTGGAGACGTTCTTGAGAGCAAAGAGGTCCTGAACTGTCTGCAGGATCTCGGTTGGGGTCAGCTTTGGATTGGACTCTTTTCGGGTGACATAGAGCATCACGATCTTGAGCTCCGAGGTCTGCATAAAGGCGCAATCGACGATGCTATCGCTCAGGTTCTGGTTGACGATCTCCTCAAGGGCGTTGAGATCGACATAGACACCATTGACCTTGACCTTTTGGCCGAAGCTGGTGCGAGACAGAGTCGACTGGGGTGGTCAATCGGATGCATTTTGCTCCATTCGACAGGGCGCCGCGGTACTTCCAGTAGCGCTCGAAGCAGCGCAACTATAGCGACCAAGGCGATTCCACCGATTCAGCCAAGAGATGCCATGTTAGCGATCCAGACCGACGGAGACTGCACCACGGCAGCGGAAACTTACCGGCCAAAGACCACAAAGTCCTTTTCGCCCTTCATCTCGACCCAATCTTGGGTACATACACGGGGCGAGCCGTCTTCCAGAAAGCCAAAGACGGCCAGTTTATCGCTTCGATCTGCATTCGCAAAGTTGGGGTGGTTGCGCACAGGATCGTCCTTGTCGACGGCAAAGGCCAGAACGCCGTGCCGAGAGACGCTCTGGTCGACGACGTTGCCGGTCTCGTCAAAGAGCACGCACCGGACGTTGGGCTTGGTCAGCTTGTAGACCAGCTGCGAGGGGCAGGGCTCGGTCGGTTGGATGACGCAGAAGGTCAAGGTGCCGATGATCGTCGACTGTCGGCCAGACAGGGTCGAGGAGACATGGGGAGACAGCCAAGACGGCCCCCGACAGGGATCATAGACAGCAGGTGGAGATCATGGACAGCGGATGGAGATCATGGTCAGTAGACTGAGATCATGGTCAGTGGCCCTGAAATATCGCGAGTCGGGGAAGACCTTCGCTCGGCGACTGCCAAAGTGAGGAGTCTTTTTGCAAACAGCTTTGCTGGACTCTGGCTATCCCGTACTGCGTCTGCGACGAAAATAGGGCACCGTCTCGTTTCGCATGTGCAAGGTATACCTCACTTGATCCGTATCCACAACGAATCATTGCGTTCGGACAGAGCTTGCGAGCCAGGTGCACCAGAGAGACGGGAACGAGTTCGTGGGCAAGCACCACGCGCTCGGCTTTGGGCCAGCGGATTCGAGGGTTGCGCGATGTTGCCACTTTGAAGACCATCTTGATGAATGACGGCGTCTGGCAAGCAGCATTTCCTATGTGTCAGAGGCCCTGGAGTGTCCTCAAAACTTCAAGCAGCCCCGGGACCGCTGCGACTGGGAGAGGTCAGTGGCTCAGTCGAAGACCTACCGACGAGAAGATGCCCATGCCCTCGTTTAGGAGGGAGATGACGCTGAGGGCCTTGTTGACTGGGTTGGGTGTGGGCTTGGAGAGCCACAGTGATCCCTTGGTATTGACACCGATCGCAAGCCAAGCCATGGATGCTGAGAACGAGGCAGCCTAGCTTGCCGGCGACAGCTTGTCAGCCTGGGGCAGGCATCCAAGGCGGGCAGCGACGATTGTGACGAGGGAGCATACCTGGAAGACCCCGACCGACCCCTTGGGATAGCCAACAGAAGGGCGGGTAGACTCCATGAAGCGGTGGGAAATCTGGAAGCTGTGGGCAGGAGGAAGAGGTCATGAGTCTTGCAGGCGATATGCAGCAATTGGCGCGACCAACCCACACAGACTCCCAGCAGCGACTACCCACGTCTTGGGAATGCCTGAGTAAGCAAGGGGTAAGATATGGACGTGAGTCGGGCACTCCATGAAAGCCGCTGAGACGATGGGGTGGCGCCGGCTCTAGTTCGTGCCCACCTGTGGTTCCGGAAGTGCTGAGGTAGCCGATGTACTCGTCGAGGGGCTGGCAGGCGTCGATCGATGGGGCGGGGATCGCTGCGAGCGGGTAGTAGACTCCGGCATCGATGGCCTCGACTCCCTCGATTCGGCCGGGTTTGGTATGGTGATAGAGGACGTATCTGATCCTGAGCCTGGGTATGAGCAAGACCCTCGCTGGTTAGTAAATCGCAGCCGGTTCGTGGTTGGGTCGAATGGGATGGCATCGCCGCAGAAATGTAACCGGCGTCAGAAGCACGGCTCTTACCTTTCGCAGAGCGCCTTCCGAGCAACAGCGGGCCAGTTCAGCCCAAAGTTGATCACCTTCCTGAGAGACACGCGGCCATCAGAACCAGCTGGCGGGTCCAAGCATGAGACTCCCAGCCCTTCTCGCATGTCGAGACAGATCACTCACTTGCCGAGGATCCAGAGCGCATAGGAATAGAAGAGCCAGTGTGCTTCGGCTTCGCAGTAGGTCGCAATGACCTCGTGGCCCTCGTCGTCCCAGCCAGGAAGGACCTTGAGCTCCTGGGCGATCGAGTATGCCTTCTGCCACAGCTCGAGGTAGCTGTAGCGCTCGGTCTTGCCGTTTTCTTTTGTGTGGATAGCCAGGGTATCGGGCTCCTCGGCAGCGAGCCTGATGGCCGCCTCCAGGGGATGCAGCCAGGGATCGAACGGATCCATCGGCTGAACGCCTTTGGGCTGCGACAGCGGCTGCTCGGTGGGGACCGATGACCTGCTATCGCCGCGGTTGCTGGGCGGCTCTCCGAAGCAGCAAGAAAGGGCACGATGGAGCATCGCAGGAAAGGGGGGGGGGACGTCAAAGTCAAGGCAACCGGGATAAGGGGCAAGCAGCGGGACCGGCAAGGAGATGGCATTTATAGGCCACGTTTTCGGCCTGTGCCGACATGCTCCCCGGTGCTCGTGGAGCCCAGAGAGGGGACATCTGGGAGCACGCCACCGATTCGACAACTCTGAGGAAGCAAGGGGCCTTGTTCCCAGGATCCAGCACGGGGCTGGGGCCATGGCGGCCCATGCGTGAAACACCAGGAACAGAAGCCGACCAGTCGACGGCGGACAGCATTGCTGGATGGCCTGCTTGCCCACCCCGAGCAGACACCGTGGAATGCCTGCGTCTGCGTTGGGTGGCACCAGTCGGCGAGCTCTGCTTGGTCCATCCAACGGGACAAGGCCGTCGTCATATCGTGTGGCTACATTTCGTGGTCCTTTGCACTTTTGCTGCCTTGCTTGCACAGGGACAGGACAGGACAGGACAGGACAGGACAGGAGGACCCTTTGATCGAGACGCAGACGCACAATCACTTGGGCGACCAGGGCTCAGAAGACTCGGAGGGCAATGAGATGCTTCGTGTTGACCACCAAACGCAGGCCAGCCGGATCGATCCTCCAGCAGATACAAAACACAAGCACAGCCAACACACATGCCAGGCCGGGCGACGGCTGTCTGGACAGGAAAAATACGGCTGTCTCTTCCACATATGACCAACAACAAAACAAGCCAAGTACACTGTCGCAGCCGACAGACGCCGCGCGGAAACGAGATCGCATCGCTGCTGATCAAGGCGACATCGTCGTCTGCACGAGCCATCTGGGGGAGGGCGTCGGGTTATCAAGAAGAATAATGAGGGAGGGACAAGGCGCGAGCGACCCGACGACTGGCAGTTGGATATTTGCTGCCGAGGCTTGACAGTAGATCCTTGAAGTCGAGGGCGACGGCAGCTGGAGGAGGAGGGGAGCCTGGGAGGGGAGGGGGCGATTTCTTACCACAACCAGCCAGAGCTCGTCTTTGCGGTGCTGGCTTGGCTAGACAGCCCCGCTGCCATCCCGGCTCCCGACCTTGCGGGGGTTGTCTTGCGCCATCGCATCTTCATTCTGCCACTGCTGCTGCTGCTGCTGCTGCTGCTGTCGATTCTGCTGCTGTTGTTGCTGGCCGGGACCGCCGCTGCCGCTGCCCGTCCAGCCCATATATCGGCTAATGCCGCCCATGAACTCGTTCCCGCGCCCGCCTTCGAGCCGGTTGGCAGCCGCGAATGTCGAGATGCCGAGTCCAGGAGACAGGGCTCCGTTTGGTGCCTGGCCGCCTTGGGGCTGCTGGGCACTGCTTGGATAGTAGCCGTTCGTCCGCTGGCTGGAGGGCGCTTTGCCACCGGTCCCGGGCGTCGTTGTGGTCTGGCCTTGCGCGGTCTTCTGAGAGTTGTCGTAGATCCTTGACTTGCGAGCCTCGTGGCCGTAGTATTGGCCGTCGAAGCTGCCTTGGGCGTAATCACCGGCGGATCTATACGCTTGTTGCGACGACAGGTATGCCTGTTGCTGTTGCTGTTGTTGCTGTTGCTGGGACAGGTGCGCCCCTGGGTGATAGCCGGTGCTGGGGCCGGGCGGGTTGTACTGGCTTCCTGCATAGGCCGTGTGCTCGTAGTCGGAATACATCGCCGCGCCATTGCTGCCGGATGGAACCGACATACCGTGGTATGCGCTTCCAAAGGCAGGGTTGGTGAGCGAGGTCGGGGAGACGGGTATATTGCCGCTGCCGGGGAGCATGTTGGCTACGGGTGATTGCTGCAGGCCACGAGGCGTGTAGCCGCCGGCCGAGGAACCTTGGCTGCCCATGTTCGGCATGTACATGACGGCGCCTGCAGATTGCGGCTCGCCGGTGCTATACGGAAGACCGGGCCCGTAGAGATCGGCGCTGCTGTATGCGTCGTAGAAACTCGTTTGTGGGTAGTTGGCAGGGTGCGGGCTGACATGCATGCTCTTGGGGCGGCCGTACATCGAGTTGACCGAGCCGGCCTTGGAAAAGCCCGACTTTGGTCCTGTGGTTCCCGGCGAGCTGGTCGAGGACACGCTGCCGAACGAGCCCGCCGGCGAGTGTGCCGCTCCGCCTGCCGATGACGCAAAGCTGCCGCTTGACATCTGGAGCGTCTGCCGGCGGGTGGCCGAGGTGTTGCTAAGGTGGATGCTTGTCCTGGACGAACCTGGCTCGGGGCCACCGGGTGTCATTGCTTGCTGGCCGCTGCCCATCTTGCCCTGGTGGTGGCTGGATGTCGGGGCTCCGTTTTGCATGCCCATCCCGCCGGGCGGGTTCATGATCGAGTGGCTGCGCGATGTCCCAAGGCTCGAGTCTCGCGATAGGTTCTCGCGACCGGCTCCGTAGCCCATCATCTGCGCCTGGCTCTTCCAGCTGACGCTTTGCCGTGGGGTGGCCGACCCAGGTGTGTGAGGGGCTCCGTCCTTGTGGGCGCCTGACGGGATCGACACCGGGATCGACGCCGAATATGCCATTCCAGGCGATCGCGGCGAGAGCGCGGCGAGGCTGGCATGTCCGCGCTCCTGATACGAGGTTGACAGAGACATGCCCGGGGACTTTGCGCGCGAGCTGCGCCGCTCGAACTGGCTTGTCGACGACTCCAGCATCTCCGTCAGCGGGTCGCCGTAGGTGTCCCCGGATCCACTCGTTGCATCGTACATCGACAGTGCGCTGCGGCTGTGGCTCATGCGCTTGCGGTCCATGCGGACCGACTCGCGCGAGCCTGAGGTGCTGGAGAGATTATCGAGGCTCTGGAACCTGGGGCTCTTGACTGCCAGTCGAGGGGTGCGGGAGTCGTTTTCAGAGCCCGGGACATTCGGGGCTTCTGTCGGGGTGTGCACACTCTCTTCGCTCAGGCCACCGTCGACGGCTCCGGAGATTTCGTCGCCGGCAATAGACTGTCGCGCCTTGAGCGTGTCGCCCTGAGAAGACTTGCGCCGGAGCGGAACGCGCATCTGGGGGTCGCGGAAGCCCAAGGCCGCGCCAGACGTCTCGGCATCCTTGTACTTGCGGTCGCCGCCATGCAGCTCGCGATCAATGACGGCCGAAGTCTTCCGATGCACTTTGGGTGTCAGACTTCTTGCGCCGCTCTTTCGCCCGTCCTGGAGCTCAGACATGGCCGCTGCCATTGAGGCATCCTGCTGCTGCTGGACGGCGTGCTTGAGTTGCGAGGCACTAGCCTTCTTTGACGGCGTGGATCGGCGACTCCGCGCTGACTCGGGCTCAGAGTCGGCCGGAACATCGGTTGCTGATGGAGCGAGGAACGGGTCCCACGAATCGCTTCCGTGGGCAGTCAAATTGCGAGGCGACGGCAGCGCACCGCGGTCACCAGACTCGCCTTTCCGAGGGTGCTGGTGCAACCCGGGATCAACATCCAACCCTCGGAGGGGCGACCGGTTGGTCTTGAGGGTGTCGACGCTGGCCGTCACGAGTTTGGCACCAACCGAGCCGGCGCCGGAGGGAGCAAGGGGCTTCATTTTGTCCCGTCCTTCTACAAGGTTGTCGCTTCTGGCTTTGTGGAGTGGAAAGCCCTGGGAATCTGTCACGATGCTGCCGCACGGGTCGCCGACCGCCCTGGAGGTGTCTTCGCGCTCGTCCATACGGTCGTCGGCGGGCAGGTCCGCAGGCGGATCCTCAGACTCGACGAACACAGGCTCTTCAGACAGGACGACTTGCTGAATGGCACTGCCGCCACGGCGGGCAGACAGCGTTGACATTGCAGACGACATACTGCGCCGAGCCTGCTCGCTAGGGTCTGTGTCCATGGGGGCGACTTGAGGCGGCGTGGCAGCAGTCTTGGTTCTGCTCAGCGGCTCGGGGGTGCGGATGAGGGACTGAAACAGCCGATTGTTTCGATCGCGCAGTCGATCGGCAACCTCCATCGGTTTGAGATCCTCCTCGGTCACCGAGTGGTCGAGAGAGAGAGGCAGGGCCGGTGAGGTCGTGCCGCTCAGGGCACCAGTCGGTGCCCGGGAGGGCTGGTCGGAGGTGGACAGCTCGGCGATGCGATGGTTCACGTCGTCGACGTCCTGGTAGGCGTCCATGAGCTCGATATAGTCGATGGACTGAACCGAGTCGCGGACGGCGCTCGAGGGCTTTGCAGCAAGGGACTCGGATTTGTTCGCATGGTCGTTAAGTGGTGTGCGTTCGCCCTGTTGCGCATTCAGGCAATTTGGAAACAAAGGGCATCCACGACCGATGGCACGAATCAAGGAGGAAATGGCAGCAAGGGGGGTATTAGCAAGTGGTGGGGCTCAAGCCAGTGCGATAAATGCACGTCACAGAAAGGTGGATCAAGGGACAGCAGGAGCCCCGACAATGACCGCTCGTGGAGCAACGCCTCTCCATCGCCACTTGGGAATCAACAGCCGCACGCTTACCATGGATCGATCCCGCCCACCTCCATAGGAGCTGTATGCACCGCGCTGGCTGCGTCGTTGGTCTGGGTCGCCCGCGGATCCTTGGCGAACAGGGTCGGCAGAGGCTTGGTCGTATCCCTGTTGGTCGTATCCCTGCTGGTCGTATCCCTGCTGGTCCATCTCCATGCTCGTGTCGAAATAGTCGTCTGCCGGGTAGTATCCCTTCTCGGGCATGGAAGGGAGCATCGTCGGCAGGTACGCCTTGCTGGACTTGACCGTGTCGAGACAGACCGAGTGGCGCGAGCGAGACGACATCACCGAGGACGGCACCAAGGTCGGCAGGAGCGCCCGCTGGCTCTGGTTTGAGGAGCCGCGCTCGCGATAGGTCGCATAGCTGGTTTGGCCGCGAGGGCCAGTTTTTTCAGCTGGCGCGCTGGGCTGCGCTGGCTGCGTCGGCTGCATCGGCTGAGTTGGCTCGGTCATCAGGCCCGGATGCGAGATGGTGCGTCCCAGGCCCTTGAGGGAGGGCGGCGTCAAGCGCAGAGAGCCCATCGATGGTGACTGGGCCGGCGGGATCGCCAGGTTGGTCTGGAGCCTGCGTGTGGGCGTCTGGTCGTACCCGCCGGTGTACTCGCTGGAGGACGAACCCGAGGGATAGTATCCCGTTGTGCCGGAGGAGCTGCGGTACGACTCGGAGACCGAGGAGGTGTGATGCGTGCTCGAAGCGTAGGCCGCCTGCGAGCCGTGGTGCGAGGTCTGCTGTTGGCGGTAGGTGGATGACTTGTATCCAGCTCCATCGTGGAACTGGCCTGACTGGTCGAGAGCTTGCATTGGGTCGTCGATCGCCGTGCTTCCGAGTCCGTTGGGGTCCTTGTCGCTGTCGGGGCTCAGGAAGTGATCAAGCAGGTAGTCGTGATCCTCCATGAGTTCAGCGCCAGCGTTCGCGCCACGGGCATCGTCGGGGGTGTAAATGTCGCCATAGACCGGGCCAGAGACGGTCTCGTGCTCGCGTCCGGTGCCGACGCCCTTGATGATGGGCTGTCCAGTTTCCTTCTGGATCGCAACGAGCTTCTGGAGCTGCGGAGGCACGTTGCGGACAATCGAACTGCCGATCGTGGTGGCTCGTGGTCGGCCCATGGGTTTGTTGCTGGATGGCGTGGACGTACCCGCAGCGAGGCCAGACCCACCCGTCGCGGAGCCGCTGTCGCCGATGCGGACGCTGGCAGCCGACACCGAGCCCACGACAGCAGCGCTTGCCGCCGCTAGGGCTCCCTTCTCTGACTGGGCCTGCTGGTTGCTTGCGCGAAGACTAGCCGTCAGCGAGTTGGGCAGGGCGCCGAGCGTTCTCATCGGAGGAATAAACTTGCCCACAAATCTTTCCCCGGTGATGAAGGGGTGCATCTTGGCTTGTTGGGGGCTCCAGCGCTCGAGCGGATTGAGGTTGAGAACACCCTCGAGGAAATCGAGCAGGGAAGCGCGCGCCTCCAGTTCTGCGTGGATGTCAAGAGCAGCAGTCCCAGGAAGCGAGAGTTTGATGGTGCATCGAGTGGTTCCACATATGCCAGAGCCACAGCCAGGACAATCACGAGAGGGTTAGCGACCGCTTTGAAACGGGACCAAAGAAGCTGGGAGTGCAGACGCTGAGAGAGCCGGCAGCTATCCACGGACCTTTCTCGAGCTCCTTGCCCTTCCGGGGAAGAGGGTAGCCATTGATGACTTCGGCCAGGGTCGTGCCGTTAAAGTATCGCTTCGAGGGCTGCTCGGTCGTGTTGTTTTCGGCCATGTAAGTCTGGATCGACTTGAGCACGTGCTGCCGACCGGTCGGGGTGTCAATCTTGTCGAAAAACTGGCTTGAGGACTTGCCCTTCTCGCACATGTACGTGGGAGGCACACTGACGAATGCCAAGCGATGTGGCAAAAGGACATGATGTGGCAGAAGGACATGATGAGCATTGTGGCCGGCGATTTCCGAGCAGACGGTCGGCCCCGTTGAGAGAGAAAGTGAAGCCGACGGAGGGAATACAGGGCAGCCACCACTTACCCGAGCATCTCCACGATGCGAGACAGTTGGTTGAACTCGGACGATCCTGGAAACAGGGGCAGGCCGAGATAGAGCTCTGCGGCGATGCATCCGAGCGACCACATATCGATGGACGAAGTGTACCTAAAGCGACACAGTCGCAGAGCCAAACAACAACCCGCAGGTTGCGCCAGGTGCGCTTGGCAAAGTCAGCAGAGGAGCCATCGCCGTTGAGCATCAAAGCTGAAAGGGAGGGGCAAGAGCGAGCGGAGCGGATGCACAGACACGCCGCCACCAAACAACGTACGGAAGTCCAAGAAGAACCTCGGGTGCACGGTAGAAGCGGGACTGGATGTATGTGTAGATGGTCTCGTTTTCGTGGCAGGCAGAGCCAAAGTCGATGACCTTGATGTCCGGGGCTTCCAGGCTGCGAATGGCGGAAAGAGAGAGACAGATGTTAGACTGCAGGGTCGTTCGGGGGGGGGGTTCGATTGGAGAGCGTGGCCGCCCGCTGCAACAAGCAGGATCGAGCCGGTTCGGCGGAGGTGTGGGAGTGGGCAGACTTGCCTCTTCAGCAAGATATTCTGGGAAGAGAAAACCAAGTAGCGGGTTCAGTACGTGTCCAGAGGCGCAGAGGCCCAAACAAGGTATGCGCTCCGCAGGTTTGGGTGTGCCCACCGAGGCTGACAGCGGGCACCGGACACGACTACCGGACACGACCACCGGACACGACCACGACATCGCCTCAGGCATGTCACGAGTGACAGTGATCGAGCACGCCAATATCCACTCACCTCGGGTTTCAGGTCACAGTGGATGATGCGCGCCTGATTCAAGACCACCAGCGAGTCCAGCAGTTGGGAGATGAAGAGCCGGACAAGGTGGATGCTCAGGCCGCGGTAGTTGTTCTGCTTGATCAGCTCAAACAGATTCACGCTCAGCATCTCAAAGATGATGCACAGATGGGAGCGGAACACAAAAGTATCGCGCATGCGCACGAGCCGGTGCTTGTTGTCGGGATCGAACTGGGTATTGAGCTTGAATGAGAGGGGAGGGGCACGAGGGGCACGAGGGGCACGAGGGCGGCGACGATCAGTTGGCGCGACTGTGGGCTCCTCCTCACTTGGATCGGTTGGATCGATCACCACAAAGGGGGGAGATCTCTCAGCGTCCGCAAGGGACTGAGTCCACGCACAAAGCTATACGACCACCACAGATGACAGTCAATATCGATCCTCCTACCATGTTCAGAATCGTCACTTCAACCAGCGACTGGTTGTAGTAGGCAAGCTTGTTTTTGATGACTTTGATGGCCACCAGCTCCTTGGTCTTGATGTTTTCGCACTTGACGACCTGACCAAAGGTACCCTGGCCGAGCGTCTCGAGGATGCGATACCTGCGGCGGCGGAGACGAGGGCGCGAATGCACAAGTGAGCAATCAGGAGCACCAATAGGGCGCCGGTCCACGAAGCGGATTCCGATAGGAGCGAAGAATGTTGGCAGCGACGTGTCCTCCTCGCTCCAGTCGCATATCGGGACAACTGCGAGCGTGTTTGCTGCCCAGATGGCGCGATACGCACTGCTGGCCTTCTTGCACACCCAGGATATCGTTGACATAGAGGATGTAGTCCCAATCCTCGTTGTCGTAGCCATCGTTGTGGGTGGGCTTTGAGGGTTTGGTGAGCACACGGCGGGGGTTGGACTTGCGCTCGTACTGATATTCGGGATTGCATCCTTGGTACGTGCGGAGGATGTCGTAGGTGAGGCTTTGGAGGATCTGCCGAGACAAAGGTGCAATATAAGGTGAATGCGAGCAAAGGCTGTGTCCCAACAGTCAGAGTGCGAGGAAGCGAAAGGCTCTGCTGTTTCCCGGGTCGAGCCAGGTGTGGAGTCGAGCACACAGGGTTGTACATGAAGGACACTGGCTGATGGGCCAAGGATCCTCGGTGGCTGGCGCGCCTGGATCCACTTGTTTCAGTCGCTGACACCAGTTTGGCGATCCAAGGCACGGTTTCAACCCAGATCCCAGCCCGAGTGCCCGGTCGCCCGTTCCTCCGGTGCCTCAGTCCCTTAGCTCCTCTCCTTCTTCGCTCGTTCTGGGGACGTTACCGAAGGGTTCGCCGAGGTCATGTACTGAGTCGGGGGCTTCCACTCGGTTGAGATGGGCTTGAAGCCGTGGACCTCCATGGGGCTGGCGGCTCGAAGAATGTTGGCTCTGGGGCCGGTGAGGGCAACTTCCCTGTTGTGGATGTGTGCGTGCTGGAAAGCAGCACGTTTGCGCTCGAGGCGATGGAGCATGGCATTGGCCGGGGAAGGCGACGTGGTCTCGGGCCGGTCGTGGTCGTGGATACCTTGGGTAAGTCCCCCCACCGACGCGTTGCTTTTCATGAACGTTAATGAGGGTGCAAATTCGGGGGTGCTGGAGTTGGCGTGGACAGAGGAGGCGCCATGGCGGGAGGCTCCGAAGGACGAGCTTCGAGAGTGAGTGCGAGTGCTGTAAACAGGAGGCGGTATGGGCACAGGGCAGTTAGGATGGTACTGGGTTCAGCGAGATATGGTGCGGAATGGCTCTATGCAGTGAGGATCAAACGTAGGGGTGGAGTCGATGTGGCAAACACACAGCGACACAGTGACTACGGCACATGCGCAGGGTCCAGTACAGTGCAGCATGACACGTCAGAGGAGACAAAACACTCCTGTCACAAGAAAAAGGAGGGGGGGGGCCAAAATCACATCGTATAGACAGCCCAACTACCGACACAGGCGGAGACTGGCAAAGGCCGCCTGTCTGCAGCAGCACACCAACAGACGGACACTCGGACAGCCCGACCAACCCAGGGTTGTGATCGCGGCATCCAGATGGATAAGGCCGGGGTCCTCGCGCATAAAAGGGGGGTGAGTATGTGAGGGAGGGAGGAAGTGGGAAAGAACAGCCAGGACAGCAGGATGTGGGCGACGGATGCGACACCGGAGAAGGAAGGGCACATCAGGTGCAAACACAGGCAACTGGACGCGGGGTATTAGTAGCCCAAGTGCAAGCACATCACAAAAAGTGTGGGTGGACGAAGCAAGGCATATGCAACGAGCAGCGGATCGAAGTGGAATGTTGGATGGGCGATGGTGTGGTTTGAAAGTAAAGCCAGGGCGCAGGGGTTCAGCACTACTGAGATCCACGTTGACGAAGCATCGACATACCCAGAGGCCTTTTGGTAGATTTTGGAAATGGTTTCGTTGATGGAGGGAGCCGAGGGAGGAAAAGGGATTGATGTGTCAGCAGAAGAGGTGGCATTATGGCTGTAGATAGAAGAGGGCTTAGAGAAGCGAGAGTGTTGCTGCGGGAGAGACGATGGGTCGGTAGAAGCGGGAGAAGTTGAGACCATATTTGAGGAGCTCCCGGGGTCTTCAAACGAGTCAAAGGTGGTTTTCAGTTCTCCGACAGACATCGATGGGCAATGCAGCCAGAGGAAAGGCCGAGAGGAGGAGGGGCAGGACAGAGGCGGGTGCCGCTGGTGGGATGCCGAAGGAGTTCAGTTCAGTTCGGTTCAGTTCGGTTCAGTTCAGTTCAGACAGGGGACGAGCACGTAGCGGCCTCAGCGCTGATGATTGAGGAGAGCGAGGAGGCAGGCGTGGTGCTCTTGAATCGGCTGCACCGAGTAATTGTAGTGAAAATCAAAGTGGGGAAGGGGAGGCAACCGGGATGGCAGCCAGGTTGGCAGCCAGGAGAACGGGTGTTGATGGGTTAGTGGCAGCCGACGATTGCCAGAAAGGAGAGCCAGGGCGGGGGAAGGCAAGAAAAGCCGAGCTGAGGCTGACAGCAGGTCAGGAGTCAAGTCGATCGAAGGCAGACAGGGCAGATCAGCCCTGGGCGAGGCGATCCAGCGTGAGAGTGTGCGGCGACTGAGACGATTGAGGGGGCCGAGTCGAGCCGAGCTGAGACGAGCTGGGGGCGATTGAGGGGGCCGGGCCGAGTCGAATCGGATGAGAAACAGCAGGGGAAGGCTGGGTCGTCGGAGGCATGGCCAAACCGGTGCACGAGCCGATGCGGGCACCACCAGAGCAGACCCGACCGGCTCTCGACACTCCCGAGAGAAATCTGCCGCGAAGGCCCGTGTCCCAAGCGCTTGCTCCAGCGTGTCCTCGTTGTCCAGGTCTTGCCTCTCGGTGACGTTTTGGAGGGGATTGGCTTTTCTTGGGTCGGGTCGCAGCCGTGTCATGCCACGGGGAGGGTCGCATCGCTCGACAGGGGAAACGAAACGTACCTGAGGGCGAAATAGGCCGTTGCAGAGCAAGATCACACCGAAAATAGGCGTGGAGATTCAAGTCGAGCCTGGAAGAGAAGCCAGCGCGGGTCAACAACGCAAGCCAGCGGTATGAGGAGCCACAGAATGCGAGAGACGCAGACAGGGGATGACCGAATAATGTGGCGGGACAATGAGGAAAGCAGGAGCGCGTGCAAGAGAGCCCGAAGGAGAGAGACAGGAGCAGCAGTGGCAGCAGGGAGGGGGCAAAGACGGTGCTCCGGGTTGGAAGAAGCGAGCTTGAAAGCAAGTTCGGGTGCAAGCAGAGGAGGGGGAAGGGGGAAGCAGGCCAGACGAAGCGAGCCGGGAGGGAGCCGGAAGCAGCGGGCAGAAGCACGACAGGAGACGCAAAGACATGGGACAGCCGACGGATGCTCACCCCCCCGGAAGACAAAGGCGACAGTGAGGCCGCTGGAGCAGGGCCGAGCGGGAAACACAGGAGGCGGCGGATATGGCAGGCCGGGTGGGTGCGATGGATCAGAGAAGGCTTATCACCAGATGCATGCGAACGAGCGAGCCAGGAAGGACAGGAATTAAGACTGGAGTCTGTGGGGCCGCAGTGGGGGGGTGCTGTGGCAGCTGCGACACAGAACGGGGGTGGTTGCTGTTGCTGTTGCTGTGGCTGTTGCTGTTGCTGTTGCTGTTGCTGTTGTTGCTGTTGCTGTTGCTGTTGCTGTTGCTGTTGCTGTTGCTGTTGCTGTGGCTGTTGCTGTTGCTGTTGCTGTGGCTGTTGCTGTTGCTGTTGCTGTATCCCCTTCCATCCATTGGCAGCTGCCTGTGCGACGCCGAGCGTGCCCAACACACTTCCCCCCGCGCACACTGTCGCTGCAGGCCAGCCGGCATGATCGCATCCCTCCGGTCACACAGCACACAGCACCCACAGCCAACAATGCACAGCCAACAACCACAACGCACACACACACAGGGCGCCGCCCTTTCCCGTGCGACCGCTGCACCAATCGGCGTGTGCCGCCCAAAGGGCGACTGGTGCCAAGCGCCTGTGCGCCCTTTCTTGTGGCCACGCGCTGCGGAATGGGTGCGGCGAGGGACAGCGCCGGTGTCGGCGTTGATGTTGATGCGGGTGTTGAAGTTGATGTTGATGCCGGTGTTGAAGTTGATGTTGACGTTGAAGTTGATGTGGGTGCCGGAGTTGATGTGAGTGTCAGAGTTGATGTCGGCGGCCGCCCCGGTGCCGGGTGTCTCGCCATCAGGACCAGACTCGCCACCAATCGTCATTCACCCAGCCAGCACCATTCACCTGCAACCACCATTCACCCTGCAACCATCATCCATGTCCTATCGACCGCTTCTCACTCGCCACCGACGCTCCATCCACCACCGAGCCCTGCGGCCATGGGCCTTGCCCTGCCGTCGCCCATAACGCCGATCCAGCCCAGCATCGAACCACTCGGCGCACCCAGGGCCGCGCGACGCTGGTCTGTGCCCCTCACATGGTCCGCCCGCCTCGTCCACTCGTTTGCCCCGGCCGCCTTGGTTGGTTTCTCCTGGGCCAGGGCCGGCTCTGATTGCCGCTGCGTGGCGGCTGTCCGGGGCCACGGGGGGGGGCCTGGGCTGCCCGCTGAGATTTGCCAATCGCCCGGCTGTTGCTGGTGACCAGTTGTCAGCCACCGGCCACCGGCCCAGCTCTCCATGGTCCAGCATGACCGGCCACTGTGGAGCAGCATCACTCTGACACTTGTGGGCTCGGACAACCAGATCCCTTGGCCGAGCGGCGCCTTTCTTTCCTGACGATGTCTGGGCGCTGGGATGAGCCATATTCCGCGTTCCTTGACGGTAATCGAGGGCCGGAATGAGCCGCACACAAACCCGGTCGCATTCCGGGATTGACAGTCAGCGATCGCTATTTGACAGGTCTCGTGCAGACCTCGGATCGTCCCTCCGCTGCTGGATTGCACACAATTCCACACTGCAGCGCCTATCAACGTGGATGGCAGAGTGGATGGCAACGGAGGCGTGTATATTCATATCCAAAGAAAGCCAGTGTCGGCGATACAATCGCAGCGTTCTCGTTTTCTCTTCAGTTTGATGCAGTGCATTCAGCTCCTCAAGCGACTCCTGGCGTCGTGCCCCGCCCCCCGGCGCAGTTCTAGCTCCAGTCTTCTTCTTCGTCTTCTTCGTCTTCGTCGGAGGAGTCTGTCGCATCGCCCGAGCAATGGCACGTTAGCGAGCCATCGATATCATCGAGATCGTGCTGGATCCACCCTCTGCTTTCATAAACGGGCTCGATCCCATCCGCCATAGCCCAGGCCACACTTTCTCCCGTTTCCGCTTCGATAGAACCTACCTGCCATAACCTGGTTTCGGTTCTGCAGCGCGGCCTTCAGAATCGCTGCCAGATCACCCACGTCCTTGGCAGGTTCCGGGGCTGGTGCCGAGACCTGGCGGTCATGCACTGACCGTAGCTTGGTTCCTTGCTGGATGGCATCCAACAACTGGTTGCGCGAGTCTGGCGTAGACTCGCTCCTGGCAGTCCGCAGCACAGGCGTTGATGCGGATCCGCTTCGTTCGTCGCTGTCGGGTGCTCGAAGTGGTGGTCCAGGGGGAGGAGGCGGAGGAGGAGGGCCTCCTGCCGCTGGCAGTGGGGGAGGCGGTGGTGGCCCGGATGATCCTCGCGGAGGGAGTGCTGGGGCCGGGGGTGGGGCGGAGACTGGTGCTGGCGGTGCCGGCGGTGCTGGCTGGGAGCGCCCGGGAATCGGTGGTGGTCCTGCAGCCTCCCGCGCCGGAATAGGAGGTGGGGCTCGGCTTGCTGGAACTGGAGGCGGGCCGGCAGCCGGGGAAGCGTTCGACGACTGAGCCGTCCCTCTCGAAGGCGGAGGAGGAGGTGCTCCTCGCCGAGGAGCAGGCACTGGCGGAGCGGGTCGCTGAGGTGCAGGCGAGGCTGCAGCCACAGGAGGTGCTGCGAGAAACGCATCCCCAGAAAGCAACAGCCAAATTTACATCAGCAAACCGAGTTCAAGAAGCTCCCTTTCAAACGAAAGGTGTGGGTGGCAAACAGCGGCTTCACCCGGAAGGGGTTTGGCATAACTCGACATGGCTGACTGCAGCGCAGCAGTAAGGTGTGGGCAGGCGGATCACTCCCAGTCATATCGGCCCACCAAACTATCGACACATTTCGAGCGCAAGCGACGTTCTTCTCGTCGACACGAACGATACTGCGCCGCTATTGCCACTGCAAACCGACACCCGTCCCCAAGACGAAGACACACCTGGCGCGGCTCGGGTTGGCGGAGGAGGTGCTGTCGCAGTCTGGCTCTGGAGTGCAATTTCGTCGCCGTGCTCCTTCATGAACTTGTTGACTGCTTTCCTGATTTTTTTGTCTTCCCTGTACTGCTGCTCGGTGATGCCCGCCTTTTCAAACACAAGCTTCCATTCCTGAGGAATGTTTTGTGTCTGTGCCGGGCAAGGTCGCAAACAGAGATGGCCGGATTGAGTTCCAACGGGACCGACAGGCAAGTCCGGGCGATCATCCAAATCGCCCTCAAGACGCCCAAGCAAACGACTGCCCTGAAGCCGCCAATCCACCAGGACGAATGGCTATGGCCGCTTCGACACCCGAACCTCTGAACGCCTGCAAAGGGTGATACTCACCGTGAACCCCTTTTGCTTGTCGAATCCAACATGGGAAATATGCCTGAAGAGACGGCCAGATCAGCCAAAGTGTCGATGGATACATTGTTGAGCTGCAGACCTCGTCGAGGTTCCAATCTTGGATGCAGATGCCATATCGCGCCATCGTCCACACCCTCCGACTGGTCTGCACATACTCAAAGTTACTTGGGCCGCTAATCATTTCTTTGGTGACCTTTTGGGACTTGTTCTTGCCGCCTTTGCTGTCGTTCTTCTTGCCCATTGAAAAGAATCCACCGCCGCCGCTGTCCTTGGCCTGCTTGCTGAGGCTTTGGCTGCTATCGCTTCGATTAGGGGTGCTCATACTCTTGCTGATGGGAGCTTGTCCTGAGGAGGAACCAACATCCAAAAGCATGAGCCGCGATTGATATCGGACGCTACAAGAGGAGTTCGCATCGCTTAACCGTCTCCTCTGCCCAAACACCTTTCAATGGCAGCCCTTTCTGTTGCTCACCCGTCGGCGCGAGGTAGCCATCGTTCCTCGAAGCACCAGCGTTGGTCGTAGACAGCCGCTGTGGGGTCAGAGCCGGCGCTCCAAGCCGAGAGATTTCCACAGGCGGCGGATTCGATGGTACTGCAGGCGGGGGTGCTCTGCCTGTCGTTGAAGGGGCCCTTGCGACGGGCTGGGACGGCTTGTCCTCGTAATCCTTGAGCTGCACCTGCTTGAGGAACGTCTTGGCCTCGGATTCGTTTGCAAACGAGAGACCAACCATGCACTGGTGCTTGTCGCTGGGAAAGCTGTGGAAATACGGGCGATCCTCGAGATACTCGGCGTCGTCTTGAAGAGGCGTTTGCCACTGGATCTGTTGGCTCTGCCAGAAGCACGAGAATGCAGCGTGGGTTGGTTGGTTCGGGACAAGTGACTCGGAGCAGCATTTGCTACATCCACGAATACGACTGGCCCGAGCGCTTCCTGCTGGCGCTTGGTCCATCACAACTCTCACTGACTGCCGAGCATCGCTCTGATTGTGCAATTCCCTTTGCTCGTGCCTGAGCACTGTGCTGCTTGCACTTCTCAACCCCATCCATCCGTGCTCATCTCTGTCGGTCCTTCCTCCCCCAGCGTTACTCGTGCATCTCGCGCTTGTCTTTGCATCGGTAATTCTCATGCCCACCTCGACCGACATCACTTTGATGCTGCGGGATCCGTTCTCTCCACGGACCAGTATTGCTGCCCCGGTTATCTCGTATCGCCACTGCCCCGGGTTGCCTTTGGCCAGATAGACGCGTGCGGCGGCCTGGGTGAGAACCGACTCCCTGGAATCGACGGCTCGGCCGATGGCGGCTTCCTCTGCCTGCGAGAGCGACATCGTGGGCAATAGCGGGGCTCGTAGCTTCGAGTGGGGGGGGGTAAGAGAGGCGAGGGCGACGTCTCGAACGGACGGTTGGATTTTGGCCTTGGGAGCAATCGACGGACCTGCAGAAGCCAAACCGATGTGCTTGAGAGTCCGGCTGCAACTGGAATGGAGGGGCAGGCCCTGTTCCCGCTCTTTCCTCGAGCGATGTCGCTCGTTCGCCGAATGCAACGCTGCGGCTTCTCGGGTTCTGTCGATCTCGCTTTTGCGCTCCGTTGGGCGGCTTCAGTGACAATGTCCGTGATCGGTCGATTGTCGCAATGCCCCGGCAGGGCGGGGTCGTCTTCAGGGCGGCGACGGCCAATCCGTCACCAGCCCATGCCCGTATCAACCACACCATCCATTCGGAACACTCGCCACTGCCTTTGCCCTCGCCCCCACCATGCCGTCCGGCAAGATCGCAAAGCAACCCTCATCCAGGCGGCGCGCTGTCTTCAAGACCACCTCGAGGCGGGCCAAGATCGCTGCTGCTCTGGCTGCAGAGAGGGATCGCATCCGAGCGGCCAACCGAGTAAGCCAATCGGTGGCTTCCCGACGACCAAGCACCTCGCATCGTTGTCGACGGCTTCCCTCTGCCGATGACGGTCTATCCATTGCGCGACCCTTTGATGATCTGTCTCATGCATCCTGTCCTGTTGCAGCGGAGCGACTTTGTCGACATCTTGCCTGCGAGCAGCGCTTCCGTCCAGTTCTGCTTCTATTCGATCACAACTCTCCCCGCCAGTCTCCAGGACTGGGCGTTTGACCTTGTCTCGATCAACGTCAAGGATTTGTACGTTTTGCCGGCGCCGCTCTGTCTCTCATGCAGCATCGGTCCTTCACATGCCGGGCATCCCAAGATTCGTCCATCCGCAGCTGTACTCTCATGGCTCGCCCGGCTCGCCAGGCTAACGACATCCGTGCGGTCTCTACTGGACCAATCCCGTCCCAACCCCCCTGCTCCAGCTACGATCGCGATGGTCCCATGAGCTGGTCGGATGAGGGCAAGCGGGCCGAGATGTCCAGCAAGTCGTCCCGGTACCTCTTTGCCCTCGATCGCACCTCCCAGACCCCGCTCGGATTTGTCCACTTCCAATTCGTGATGGAGGACTGCACCGATGGCGGTCCGTATCTGCCTCAGCAGGCGGCCATCTACTGGTGAGATATTGCCCTGTGTCGTGGCGACAGGAGCATAGCGCAGGTTGGCGAGTGAGGGGACTGAATCTGGCGGCCAGCCGATCATGAGGATACGAATCGAATGCCGGCGGCCAGGCGATCATGAACTGTCGCAGCAACTCCTCACAACAACCCTTTGCCTTGGTTGGACGCCTGGACACAGCTACGAATTGCAGATCGCAGAGTCCCAGCAGGGCAAGGGCATCGGCCGCCAGCTACTGGACGCCATGGAGCACATCGGACGGGACACCGGAATGCGCAAGGCCATGCTGACGACGTTCAAGAGCAACGACCGGGCAACTCGGTTCTATGCTCATCTGGGGTAGGCCGATCATCGTATCCGGCGTGGAGCGCCTCCATCAGCAGCGAGAATGAGCCCGCCTCGGCATGAACGCAGTCGGGTCCACATCGATCCACTCTCTCACTTGCCCGTTCGTTTCGCCTCGGTTCAGATACGAAAGGGACGGCATCAGCCCCGACGATGCTTCCTATGAGATCATGTGCAAGCGTCTCTGTTCTTCTTCTGCATCTGAACAATGAACAACCCCTGCTTTGCATCTCTCTCTCTCGAAAGTGTCTTGTGGCAGGCACCACAACCTTCCCCCTGCTGATCGGGCTGCAATCATGCATGCTTCTGTGGTTTGCCACCATGAAGGCTCAGCTTGCTCAGGGTCGGAACGCCGCCGAGCCAGCCGGGCTTCTCAGTGCCCTTGTGTCGGCGAGGATCTCCATCGCGGGGCTTTCCGTCCCGGACAGTACTCTGTTCCTGGCTCGGCGGTGTTTTTTCGGCCTTGCGGCTCCTGCGCGGTGTGCCGTCCATGGCGCTTGGGATGTATGGCTGGGCATCTCGTTCAGCAGCCTTGGCAGCACCATCATGGACCGCCTCTCGTAAAAAGTCGAGCTTGTGTGGCTTGCTCTTGCTTTCCAGTGGAGTTGGGGGCTTTGTGTTGCTCTTGGCTGGCAGAGCGTCGGGTGTGGAGGAGTGCAGCCAGATCGAGGCATTCGATAGTCTTCCCAGCTTGGCCGGCTGTTTGGGACGCTGGCTGTTGGCTTCGATATCGCTTTCGTCAGGGAGTTTCTCGTCGAAGCGGGGAGGCATCTTGTCGGTATCGGCATGCATCGCCCCTTCTGCCTCGGATTCGGTTAGTTGGACCGAGTGGTCATTTGCGGACCCATCCTCGTCCCTGAATGGCTCATGGGCAGGTGGTAGTCGCTCAAGGATCTTGGGAGTATTCGTTTCGTCCTCGGTTGGCCCACGACTGGTACTCTCGTCGCTTGCATTCGCACTTTGCATGCTGTGACTGGAGTTGTCGGCATCGGCTTCATGCACATCGTTCTTCGGCTCGTGATCGACGACGCTGTGTGTGCTGGCATTGGTGTCGTGCGTATCGATGCTGGGATTTGCCTCCTGTGAGACAGCGCTTTTCGCAGGCTCTTTGCGCATTTTGGAAAACAAATTGGGCTTGAACCGTCTCGTGCTCGCAGGTGCAGGCGTCGATGGTGGGTGTTGCAGCGCAGGTGTTTCGGTGTGCTCCTGTTCCTGTGCTTGGCCTGTGCCGGCACTGTCCATTGCTAGAGCATGCTGAGAGTCATCGGCGGGACTATCACCAGAGCCCTTGGCAGATCCGCTGGCTACTGGCGACGCAGACGGGCTGTGAAAGTCATGGCCATACACTGCCTCATCACCGCCGCTGAGCTTGAGCGGGGTTTTGGCAGGATCCGATGGCACCGACAATCCTCCGAGCGTATCGTTGCCATGGCAGCCAAGATCGTCATCCTCGTCGGCACGGTCGCAGTGTTCCTCTGGAATGCCGTCGAGCGGGATGTCTGTATGCGGGAAACACGCCGGTATCTCTTGAGCAGCGCTGTCGTCGACCTGTTCCTCCGCAGCGGCAGCGCCAGTCTTTGCTTCCAGACTGTCATCCTCATCAAAGTTTGCTGGAGGCGGACTGAGGCTCCAGCCCAGTTCATTCAGGCGCTCCAAAGTCAATAGATCGTTTGAGAGAGAGATTCCCGACTGAAGCGACAGGTTGGATGGCGCTCGGATCGATCCGGGCAGCGAGTAGGCCAGGCGAAAGGGTAGATCGGGATATGGCGTCGTCTCCGAGAGTGTGCGCAGACTGCCTGGGTTGGGCTCATCGTCAGTTGGAAGCTCGCAAACCATGTCGGTGGACATGGACATGGTGCGCTGTCGCGGTCGGTGAATGTTGTTGTAGATCGACATTGCCGCAATCTTTCTATCCTTCTCCTGGATAGACCGAAACGGTGGTCAGACACAGACGACCGAGTCTCATGAGCCACCACCACTACCGGTCGAAGCTGCCCCCACCTCGCAGATTGCATGTTTGGAAAGCAACACCACAAACAGCCCTTGCCCGCTCGCGCTTGTCTCGCCACCCTGGTGTGTTGGGCTGCTTTATCGATCGCCGATGCCTCGAATGCAGTCAAATGCAACCGAATGCAGCCAAATGCCACCGAATGCAGTCAAATGCAACCGAATGCAGTCGCTCACCTGCACTTGCGCCGCGAGTTTTCCGCTCTCTTCTCTGAGTCGCTCGCACTCTTTCGCGAGCTTGCTGTATTTCGATCGGATTTCGCGCAGTTCCATGTTTCGAAGGTGCTCGGAGCTGGCAACCTTGCGCGTCAGCTCCTGGCAGTTTAGTAACGGGTTCGTGCATCCGTGGATTGCACCAGATAATGTGTCAGTTACTATCCAGTCTGAACTCAACGCCATCACGCAGCGGTGTTGTATCGCAAATCAATTCGGAGCCGAGGTAACAGTGTCAACTGGCCTTGGACACAGACGTGGCTCTCTAATACTGCGAAGGAGCAGCTCACCTCGACTTTGTTGTCACGAGCCTCGAGTTCATCTCGGAGTCGTTTGATGTGCTCCTGTAGTTTGTCGACGCCTTCGAGATTGCGTGCCTTGAGCAGCTCCTTGAGCTTAGCAACGATTTCTTGCAGGCGAACACTCTCCTCAGTCTGTGTCTGCGACCGCTTGTCTGCCGCAATCAGCTTTTCAATGTGGATCTTGCGCTCCACCTGACGGCACGTACAGTACATTGACCACATGGTGTGTATGGGAAGCATGAGATGCCACATGCTGCTCATTGACCGCCACCACAGCGAAGCGCAAGCTCGGTGTCTCGACATCTGCAGCCAGACCCACCTTGAGCACCCGCAGCTCGTCATGGAGCCCGCTGAGCACCGAGGGCAAGCCAGCTTGATCACGGTCCATCTTTTTGATGGCTTGGTTTTGACGCTGGTTGATCTGCAGTCGAAAGAAAGCGATGGGCTGTATCAGTGTCTCAAATGGCCAGCATAGATGCCGCAACAGGGTACAACAATGTGGAGTCATCGAGGTCATGAGGAGGAGACTCTGGCCACTCACAATCTTCATTGTCTTGCTTTCGTCCTCGAGTTTCTGCAGCCGGTCGCGGAAAAAGTCGACGAGATTGTTGAGACGCTGAATCTCGTCAATGTTGGCGATGATGCCGACCGTCGACGTTGTTGCCTGCTTGCGCTTCTTGGGCGGGTTGTGTGTTTTCTTTGGGCCTTGACCGTGGCTGCCGCTTCCTCTGGCAGGTTTCTCTTCAAGGTCACAGGTGCGGGACGCGAGCAGAAAAGTGAATTAGAGGGAATGAAGCCGTTTCTGAAAGCTTGGTGGAGGAGCCAGCGATTTCTCCTCCCCCAGTGCCAGATCCGGCCATGGCGGAGTGTCCAAGGGGAACAACGGCGGTCTGGACTCACTATTCTCACGAGAGACTCGCTTCCCAGACAGAGCATTCGGCCCTCCTGGATGCTTCGATGGCCCCGTGTTGGTGCGGCGCTCATGACCGGGCGGAGGTCGAAGGAGACTCGGCAGCACTCGTGGAGGAATATCGGGCGAGACCAGACAGTCCTGGGTGCCTGGGTGGCCCAAATCAATGTCTCGTCCGTCGTCGTGCTTGGGGGCGACTGAGACGCGGCCGCCATCTGCTTCGTAGATACACTCGCCGGCGCGGTCGACGATGGAGGACAGCATCGCCATGTTGTTGATTTTTCGTGACGAAGACGGCGAGTTTTTGTAAGAGTTGTCGACCCGGATGGGCAGGCCTGGGGTGGCTCGCTTGCTCGCCTCGATGTCGTAGCCGCGGTCAGAGCAGGCGAAGCCGAGCGGGCTTTGCGCGGCCGATCCAAACTCGGAGCTTCGAAAGGAGCCGTAGAGGCTGAATGAGAGCGATTCCATGAAGGCCGGGACCCGAGAGAGGCGCTTGCTGGTGCTGCCAACCGAATTGAGTGCTCGCTTTGCGTGCTGGACTTTTGCCCAGCGGGAAGCGCAAAACAGCGACCGACGATGAGGACCACTGGCGAGGAGGGGGGAGAGGGCCGAGCGGAATCTCCCCATGCATCAATCACTTCCCTGTCCGGCGAACGGATGTCCTCGATATTCGTGGCCCGGGGCTGCATGGCCCAGATTTCTCCCAGCCCGAACGTGGCCCAGATTGGCTGGCCAGACCGGGCATAGTATTCAAAGCCGCCGGCTTGAGAGTGGCAACCTGCCGCTTCGACGGACCTTCCAAAGGTGAACAAAGTGTCGTCCAGATATCATGCTTGAGGAAGAGCTGCGACCAGTGAGCAAGCTCGTCAATACTGTCTCGGTGAGATGCGGCCTCCTTGTGGCAGAAGCCAGCTCGCCTGTAGAGTCCTTGGAGGTTGACACAGACCCCGACACCTCCAATCAGGGTCACCGGCGCATCAAACAATGCCCTGTGCAGCTCAAAGACCCGGCCGCTGGACGGTGAGTGCTTCCCCTCGCCAAGGCCCCGCTGGCCTCGTCCCAATGCTGCTTTGATACGAACCTCCCAGAGAATTCGACCGCCACTACTTTACCATGTCTTCCAACCTCAGCGGACTCGCCAAGCGGCCCAGCACCACCATCGGGCACGATTCTCACACCGTGCTGACCGAGCCAATAGCGCCAGATTCAGGCTCGCATAAGCGATGCTCGACAACAGGACCATCAACTCGGCCTCCCGGAGACAGCGAGGCCGCTCGATGCAATATCCACGCCGGCGACTTGGTACTGGACAGCACCGCCAATGCGAATGCTCAGCCGACGGCGGCAGATGGACGGGGTAAGACAGTTTGACCATAAACCCACTCTCTTGGGGGCCTGTCAATGTCCAATGCATTCTCGCCGAGCGATCACTCTCACATCCTTGCATGGGCAAGCACAGCAGCACCGCCCGATAGCCCATGCAGTATTCGTTTTCCGATGGCCGTTTCCGTTTGTGGGCTCACGATTGTCATTCTGGATCGGCAGAAGCCACAAGGAATCATGAGCAACTTTCAAACCGTGTAAGTTGTCAGCACAGCATGAGGACCAGTGTATTCGATGCCAACCCACCTCCTTGCTATCTCCAGGCTAAGGCCGCAGCACGACCGCCGTTTCGAGTATTGGGCATCGGTGGCCCTCCTCCGTCGCAGCAGCTCGAAAGGCTCGACGGTCGTCGTGGCGAACGGGCAAATCATGCGAGCGACCAGCATCAGTCGCAGCTGACGATGCAGTCCACAACAGCAAGAACAGGGGATGTTGGGCAGCAGATACCACCGTTGATGTTGGGCGGCACAATGCAGTCGAGCAAACCAGGGCCCGACCCAGCTCGAGCAGGCAACTCCCCCGACAACCAGTCTCTGTCCCTTTCGCAGCGACCATCATCGAAAGCCTCCGGGCGCGAGTCACCTATATCAAATGCGACCGGGCCACATACATCGAATCGGAGCGAGGGCAGTGGCCTCGTGGGCAATGTGCCGCCCACTAGCGGTACAGCAATGGGCACCGAGCCGGATTCTCCAGAAGCACCATCGACGCCGACGCTGGAAGCCATTGAGAACGAGAACATACTCCTCCGGGAGCGCATCGATCGACTCAAGCGGCTTTCGGTCGAGGAGGATGACCTCGACGCAAACTCCAAGCGTGCTGAAGAGCAGCAAGTCGAGAGCCTGACTCGACAAGTCGCAGGCCATCGGCAGGAGATCGAGAAGCTCGAAACAGAGAACAAGGGGCTCAAGAACCTTGTTGCCCAACTCCAGAAGCGCATCGAGAGGGAGATTGAGCGGTCCAAAGCCATTCCAAAAGCCACCAACACAGTGCCAACAAGCCTCGAGGTAAACCAGTGCTGGTATTACAGCAACTCGGATGCTGTAGTTGCGGCTCGATGGGATGTAGAGTGAGGCAACGAATAGCCGATCGAGCAGGTTGCAGAGTTCGCACACGAACTCGGACGACGGATTCACCACATGTTCATCCGTGTGCTCTATCGCTGCTCTCCATCGTTTCCGAACCGTCTCTGTTATAGGCCAATCTGCATTTGCGATACCAGTTCAACAAAAAACTCGAACTCGAGCGGGAAAAGTACAAGCTTCTGCACGACCAGAACTCCGAGCTTATCTCCAAGATCAAGAAGCTCGAGCAAGAACGTCGGTGATCCTGACAGTCTGGATTGCATCAGACGCTTGTGCTGCTGCTCCACAATCACAGCGTCGTTGCTTTCGTCCTTGCTTTGGCCGTACACATGGGCTCTCGGTCTTTCTCATCAAACATGCCCATACTCGGCCTCCCCGATGCAGAGTGCCAGTGTTACTGACGATGCTTCGCTAAATTCATCCAGATTCGTTGTCGTTGACGAAGCAGGTCGCAAACGATGACGCCAAATTTGGGCTCAAGGTCAATGATGCGCTGCTGTGGAAAAACAAAGTCCGGGATATCGAGGAGGAGAAAAGACAGCTGGCGTATCAGCTAGAGCAATCCATGGGCCAGCTCGAGAAAGAGAACCGAGAGCGCAAGAAACTGCTGCGGGAGCTGGAGGACTCACGGCTCCAGTTTCAGCATCTGGCTCTGGGCGCACCTTTTGATCGCTTCAAGGGCAAACCTACGGCCAAGAAATCGCTCGAAGCTGCGGCACAGAACGGATGGGTGTCTTTGGAGAACATGTCCGAACACAGCCTTGCCGCTATTGAAAACGAGCCTCTGAAGAACTACGATGGGGGGAATACTCAACAACCAGCTGGTGCTTCATCGCTGTCGAGTTTATCGCTGTCTCAGTCGCGATGGTGAGTCGGTACTTTGATCCGTGTCGGCGGGTGCCATGCAGTGCGCCAAGGCGAGAGTCGGCATTTGGTTGCTGATCTGCTTGCCATCTGGAAGCGAGGCTTTGGGTCGACCTTGACGCCTGGGTCTCTTGTTGGGCGTTTGATACTGCCTGCTGGGACTGGTCTCCGCGATTGTAATTCAGTACCCATTGTCTCCCCTCAAGCTCCGAGCCGGCTGACACCGATGCATTCGGGAAGCTTGATGCTGTGGCAGGCATGCAAGATGCAAGGTAGGCGGTCTGCCCCGCTGCAGTCACATCAAGTGCATCCGGCGCTGGCTCGGCTTGGCCAGGAGCTCCCCGTTCACAATGTTCTGCGTTGCAGTGTCTTGCTCGCCAGCCGTAGACCATCCGAAATCCCCCTCCTGATAGGCAAGAGCTCGTCCAGAGTGAGCCTTTCCAAATCCACATCAACAAGCCATCTGCCAGGCCCGCTTCCGCTCAGCCACTCATCATCCAAGATTCTGCGGCTATCGGGGTCGACCACTTCGCTGATCCCGGTTTCACTAGCACACAAGAACTCACTCGTACAGTCTCAAAGTCAGGCGGGTTTAGAGAGCTTCCAGCCCGCGAGCCGTCCGCCCGTGCTCCCAGACCAAAGCCTCGCGGCCACATCCAAAGACCAGCGGGCATCGAAGCCGGGGTCCAAGGGAGATGAACCAGCTATTCTGATGACCAAGTCGACAGAAACCGATCCTGATTTCCGGCCAGACAAGCCAAGATCGGCTGGGAAGACGGCTGCCAGACCATCAAAACGCCAAAGATCGTTTGGTCAGCTCCCTAAGGATTCGCCCCGACAGTCCAAAGTATCTCCATCTCATCAGACAAGAGGATCGCGGACGAGCCTGATACAACGACGCAAAGCAAGCGAGGGTACAGTTATGCGAAATGGCACTCAAAAGCCAAGTAATCCACCAAAGCATGAAGACAAGAGCGTCTCGGCAGCCATAGCCGCTGCCCACCCCGACGTCGGTCCGCTGGTTGATTCGAAACTGGATCTGTCCGTGCCTGAGCCGTGCCCCAAAAACAGCGCCGAGCCTGGTGATGATGTAGCTGAGTCCATTCGAAATATCGAGCCAGACAAATCGGTCGAGCAAGGAAAGCCAAAGATTCCAAAGGAGCAGAGTGACAATAGGGCAATCGCGCAAGCCAAGGGTGCTGAATCTACGGCAGCTTCCAAGAACAAATCAAAGATCAATCCCCGCAAGCCTCGCCCCCTGCAGAAAGACGACGCCAATGTCTCCGCGCAGTCAATCATGGATGACACCCAGATTCGAGCCGCCAAGGTGCAGCTCGAGTATGATCTATGGGTGGCCAAGAAGATCAAAGAGTCTGCTGGGACAGCCGAGGGAGCTTCTACTGTGGCGGCATCGGGGACAAGAGCGAGCGGGGAAGCTGACCAAGGCTGAGTGCCTTGTCGAGTCACTGGAATGTGCCGCAAGGCATCTGCTCGGTACTTTGCGTTGACATAAATCTATGATTTGATATTGGCGAGTGCCGTGGGATCCATCGCGCTGGACACAGGCAAATGGGACAGCCGGTTCCACTTTGAATATTCGATGGTGTGAGAAGGCAACGTCCTTACAACTGCGGGCAAAGAGCATCTTCGCTGGAAACAATGCTCGTCGAGAATGGGTTGCTACGACCCATCAAGCGAGCCAGCTTCCTCTGGTTGTGGTCATGAAATCAGCCCAACATACGTCATCCACGCATTGTCTGCTTCGGCTCTCTCGATACATTGCACTGATCCGCTGTCGTGATTGGGGCGCCCGCTTTTCCCTCTCTCCCAACGATTTCGACCTTTTCCAGCCATCACTCTCGCTTTGCTCATCTCTCGCCCGCCCCTGGCACGAAGCAGCCGCCATTACGACTCGAATACTTGGCCATCGCGTCTCTGAGCCTGGACCATCGCCATGGACACCACCGAAGCACCATCGACAGAGACCCAGCCTGCGTCTTCTGCAGAAGCCGCGACCCCATTCCTTGGCTTTCATGACCAGCTGAAGGCCGTCGCCGCTGAATGCGAGGCCAACTACGCCGCCATTCGTTCGGACCGTGACAAATATGTCGAAGTATTTGGTCGCGCCCGCTCCCAGGCCGAACAGATCCTGCTCGACATTGCCAAGCGGCTCGATGCGTCCACGCTGGCCCTCCAGCAGGCCATGGATCGGCAGAGCAAGGCCATCGATCGCATCAGCAAGGGTGCAAACCTCGTGAGCAAGGTGAGCCAACTGAACGCGGCACATCAGTGTCGCCAGCATTGCAATCCGCAACGCTTGATCATCCGGCCGATTCGCCCACTGATTGTGGCTACTCCAGCGATTCGAGACCGAGCTGGATCTGTTGGCACACCAGCAGATTTTTTCCAAAAGTCAGCCCTCCGAACCCAAGCTCGCGGACAGGAAGAGAGTCTTGGGTCGAAACGGTAAGGTTGGCTCTATTGCAGGCGAATGTTCGTCCCTGTCGCCATTTCTGCAACTCAGTTCTCACGCCGTTATCCCACGCACTCACGCATCCCTTCGTGCTGCGGCCTCGACCGCTCCACCTCGGCTGCGTTAGATACTTTCCCATACGCTTTCCAGCCCCCGAACTTGCGCACCGACCTTGAGTGTCTCGGCCCCATCGCTTCGGCAACAGAGGAATCAGCGCCGAGAGACGGCACGCCCCATCCGTGGGCCCAACAGAGTTCTCCTGGAGCTCGACGGTCCTCCTTTGGCAGTGGCGGGACCGCCCCTCTCAGCGCAATGCTGCGGCCGCACCACTTTGGTCCCGCTCGTGACGATGCGTTTGGCAACGCAGCCGATGCTTCTCGTCCGCATATTCGGGACGGAGTGCCGAGCTCTGTCGCCATCTCCAACACCGGCTGGATCGATTTATTGATGAGCAACCTGGCCGATCCGATGCCCATCGCCCAAGCGGCATCTTCTGGTAATTGCGAGAGCGATGTACTATCGAGATCCTTCCCCGCCGCAGCCGCGTCGTTGGGGTTGAGGTGTAATTGACTGACTGCCCCCTTTGCTGCGACTGCATCCCATCTGCAGGCTTCGTGCCTGAAACACCGCTGATTATCTCGTCGCCACTGGCGACAGAAGGCTCGTCCTTTCAGCCGCCCGGCACGCTTCAAGCATCATCAACTCGATCCAGCGTTTCCCCCACAGCCCCGTGGGCCTCTCGGTCGCCGAGTGTTACCGGTCCAGGTATCTTAATTGCACATCACGCACAACGTCTGCCGATCGTATTCTCATCACCATCGATCTGTCTCCTCGTCGTAAAACCGCTGCTAATGGCCCACATTCATTCCTCTGCAGCGGTATCGTCGCCTCTGCAAGCACAAGCTTTCCCTGCTCCTGCAGCTACGCCCCCTCCACCTCCTCTCCCGTCGGCTGGCACAAGTGTCGGTGCTCCTGCTCCACCTGCTCCACCTGCTCCTGTCGCTGCTCCTCCGCCACCGGCACTGCCTCCAGCCGCATCGCCTCTGTCGGTCTCCCCGGCACCTCCTTCCGCTGGACCCTCAGCACCTCCCCCTCCTCCTCCTCCTCTTGCTGCTATGGCGCCAAGGTCTCCAACAACAGGAACAGCATCAGCACCAGCACCCGCATCGGTTCCACCGCCTCCACCACCGCCATCGAGCTCGGCCCCGGCCCCACCACCAGCCCCGCCAGCCGCTCCCCCTGGCCCAAGCAAGGCTGCGCCTCCGCCACCCCCTCTCGCTCCTGCAGCAAAGTCGGCCCCGGCCCCACCCCCTGCGCCTCCGACCATATCCGCTGGTCAAGCAAAAGCCCCAGCTGCAGGGCCGCCTCCTCCACCGATTCCTCCACTAGCCCCAAAGACAGGCTCTGGTGCGACCATACCTCAGACTCGTATCCGCTGGTGCATCCGAGTCACTCCTCGATCGAGACCGGCGAACTAACTCTCTTGTATTCGTATCACGGATATGCAGGACCCCCACCACCGCCTCCACCAGGGCCCGCTGTGTCAGGAGGCGGTAAGGAACAGCCGTCGATTTGCCGACTAACCCCTAGGCTACTCTGGTTGCCTCGTATCAGTACACATGCATGTCCGCCGACGACCGTGACATCACTCAATGCCGAGACATACTGTCTTGTCAGACCATCGCTTTACTGATACAAGTCAACATATACCCGCTTATACCAGTCCCGCCGCCTCCGCCGCCTTTGTCCCGCGCCCTGTCTGGCGGTAGGTCGATGTGGGTCGTATCTGCAGTCTGGTCTTGTGCACTGCGCTTCTGGATATCCGTAGCCATGCCGATGCCTGTTAGTAATTCCACTGGACAGGCCCGCCACCACCACCACCACCTTCACTTGGCAGCGCTGGTAGGCCCATCTTGTGGTGACTAGTACGCAGGACCGCCCAATGCCGAATATATACTAACGCAGCGACATCGACTCGTCTAGCTCCGGCTCCAGCTCCTCCAGCTCCTCCAGCCCCTCCGGGCGAAGGTACAAGTCGCTGAGCCAACGATAGGAGAGACGGCTCTCTCCAGTCTGCTTCACATGTGACTGATAGATTTCGCTTGCTCAGACGGCGATCAGGGCGGATCGTCTCTCAATTCACAGCTTCAGAACGCTTTGAAGAAAAAGAAAGAAGGTCAGTTGGCCGTCCGTGCCCAAAGTTTGGTTGATCTTGCCCTCTGACATTTGATGATCTGTACAGGCTCGAGGGTCGATGTTGGTGCCGCTCCGCCTCCACCCAGCTCTGCAGCTGCTGGCGGCGGAGGAATCACACTCCAGGAGCAGCTTCTCATGGCCGCCAAGAAGCGATCTGAGAAGAAAATCGAAATCGAGGGTGGGATATAGCTTGAGCCCTCACTCGTGATTGCCTGCTATTGGGAGAATTGGCCATTGGTGTTCCGAGTCTGACTGTGCTCCTGACTCTGGTGTGGTCAGCAGAGCCTGCAAAGAGCGCACCCAGTCCGGCAGCTGCGAAGGCACCTCCTTCCGAAGATGAGGGCGCAGGTCTATCGTTCCAAGATCAGCTCAAGCTCAAACTCAAGAAGCGAGCCGAGAGTAAGTCGTGGTGCATGTGCATCATCGTCCCCTCACCGAAGGATATTCAGCGAGGCGGGGCACTCTCTTGTGGCTGACACTGCCCACTCCATTCCCGACGACGTACCAGAGGCCGATTCAGAGACACCTTCCCCTGCCGCTGCTTCGCCTTCAAAGCCCGAGCCGGCGCCCGCCATGGACTTTCAGTCAGCGCTCAAGGCAAAGCTCAGCGCAAGAAAGGAGGGTGAGTATCGGACAGCCCCGACATGCAGCATCTTTTACTTTGCCCATGCCACATCTGACTACCAAAGTGTCCTGCACAGGCATCGCCAGCCCATCAAGCCCGAGTTTGCCCTCGCCTGCGAAATCCGAGGCGGCGGCTGTGGCCGGTAAGTGGTCTCACTTTCCATGGCATCGAGGGCGTTTAGGCAGACACATCAAAATCACTTCCTGCGGCTGATGTCTCTGCTCGCGCCTGCTTTCCACCGGTCCTCTGCGCTCAGCTCCACTGTCCTTCAAAGAGAAGCTGGAGCTGGCCAAATCCCAGGCACAGGCTCAGGGCCAGACCGGCTCTGTGCCGAAGCTCAAGGGACCGGGTCTCAGCCCAGCTCGAAGCTCGACCGCCCCCAGCCCTGTGAGGACTCCGGCCAAGAGCCCCAGCACCAGCAGCATGAACCGCCTTAGTTCCGCTAGCACTGGCCCGGTTGCCTCGGAAGGTACCCCGCCGCCGGTTCCGGGCCAAGCTCCAACGCTCCCTCCGATTCCGGATACCCCTCCTCCTCCGCGTAAGTTGCATGGATTGCTCGGGCCTTTGCATGTCAAACATGTCTGCCGCGGATCCAACAAGGCAGTGTGACTTACTTTGGCCCAACCCAACCCAAACTCCTCCCCTGGAACATGCGCATCAACAGCTCCCGTCAAAGTGTTTGCTCGTGCACTCGCTGATTATACGCCAGCCGGCGAGGGACAGCTCAAGCTCATCCAGGGCGCTAACTACCGTGTGCTCATCCACGACTACGGAAAGGGGTGGACCTATGGCGAAACCGAGGACGGAACGGCGGCAGGAATCTTTCCGCAATCGTTCATCCAGCTGCTCTAGATGCCGTAAACGATCCGGACACGACATGCGTTTCTGTTGGAGCCAGAATGGAGTGGGGTGCGGGACGGCCGTGTGGCTACAACTGTTTCTACAGGCTTCGAAAATGAAACATACATCTGTCATCCTCCGGAGCCGATGGTGCGCTTGCATCCCAGAAATGCCAGCACCAGCACCAGCGAGCTGGAGAGCCGGGCTGGGGATGTTGAGGAGTCGCCGATGCGGGTCACTGGGCCAAAACGAGGGCCAAACCCGCTGGCGCTCGATTTCCACCTTCGTCCCAGGGTGCGTCTGATCTCGCACATCCAGCAAAGTCTGCATCGACATACGTCTCCAGCGTCGATAGCCGTCCGGGCCGCTCACGTATCAGCCCGCCCTCTTGCTGCGACCCCAGACGACATGCTTCTGTCCAAATGACGGACAATCACGAGCAAGCTCCGCTATGGCGGCATCCTATCGTTCCGATTCCAACAGCGACCGACCCGCCTGCACGGCAGGAGGGCTGGCTCGGCAAGGTACCCTCATATCGACGCAGCCACAGATGGCTGCATCAATATGGCTATTTCATTCGTGTCTTGTCCATGCATCGGACCAGCCTGTACCGCCGATGTCCCTCATGGCCCGCTCGTCCTGGCTGACCCAACCAGTTTTGTGCCTCACCAGATCTGGTCGAGAATGTGGGCCGGCCCCGACGATCCCCCAGCCGAGCCCGCAATGCTGTGTCGCTGCCATCTGCAGCTCAGCGGCACCGGGCCCTGTCGTCGGCCAACTATGGCGGATGCCTCCACACAAATCGGCGACAGCAGCAGCAGCAGCAACAACGATTCGCTGTCCCCACCAACCCGGAGCACCTGGAAGCGGAAAGCTGTCAGCGAGATCGTTAGGGAGATCGAGGGCTTTTCCCAGCGACCCGTCAAGATGGCTCGGTAAGCTTGCTCGAACGCAAGCCCAGCCCGATCCCCCCCTTGCCGCTCGTACTAAACCCTGTTCATGTACAGCCTGGACAGTACTCGGATGCCTGCACGCCGACCGTCGATGCAATCGCACGAGCAGAGACATGGACTCAGTAAGTGTCTGTTAGGCCCAGCACTGCACCTCAGGTCTCTTGAATCTGGGACGATATGCAGCTTATCCGAGCAAGGACAGCAGCAGCAGTACCACCACATCGGTGCTCTCCCAACAACGATACCCTGACTCACTGGTTCCTCATTTGAAACTGGGGCTCCACCGCTCTCGACGGCCATCATCAGCAAGTGCGCTGAAACGAAAGTTCAAAAGCAACCGATATTCGTCAGACGAAGAGATATCCGAAGGCAGCGAAACACCGTGACAGCTATGGATGCAACAGAGCCCGTGGGCAAACGTGGATCGTATCGCATTCCAGCATTGCACGGCGGCGACTCGGATGCGGGCGGCGTTGCTGATAGCCCTATTATACATGAGTGTATTCGGGACCCTGAAACAGACAGCCCTTGATCTCAAAGCCGTGGTGTGTCGTTTCACTTTGTGGCTGTTGGCGACTGACGACTGTCTTCAAGGACCTTGCCGATCTTGAACAGCAGTCGGTCGTCTCCGGATTGACCAATCAGTTGCAGAGCAATCGGTATCTGCTCATTCTCAACAGTACCGGCCGGTGTGGGGACTGCCTCGTCCTTGGATCCATAAGGGATAACCAGCGCCGGCAAACCCGCTAGCGAGGCTGGAACAGTGAGAATATCGTTCATGCACTCTTGCAACTGCGTCGATGGATCGAGGTCCTTGTTCGGCCCGAACTCGGAAAACTCGGGAGCAACCGTGGTCGATACAGGCGTCAGGAGGACGTCGACCTTGGGATTCGTGTCGGATGGTCCCTGCGTCTGGACGACGGCGGGATCGACCAGGGGATGACGCCGTGCAAAGACCCGGTCAAAGTCCTGCTGAATCAATCGCCGCACCTTCTGGGCCTGAAGAAAGTAAGAGTCGTAGGCTCTGCAGCGAGGAAAGCGTCAGCATCGTCTCCAACAGGGCCCTTCCCAGTTCGATCGGATGATGTTGATCGTTTTGCACAGCGCCGCCGAATCCAACAGGGGATCGACTTACTCGGCAGAGAGTATATAGGTTCCAAGGACTATTCGCCGCTTGACCTCTGCCCCAAAACCGTGAGAGCGGACGTCGCCGTAGAGAACGTCGCCAGTTGGCGGGGCGGATGGCGCATCAGCAGATCCTGAGTTCGTTGTGGATCCGTAACGAAGACCGTCGTAGCGCGAGAGGTTGGACGACGCCTCGGCTGTCGCTATGGTGTAATAGGACGCAAGGGCATGCTGTGTATGAGGAAGGGACACGGGGACGATCGTTGCCCCACGGGCAGCGAGAGCGTCGAGTGCCCGACTCCAGCTCGCAAGGATGGACTCGTCCAGGCCGTGAACGTGGTATTCCTATAGAGATGCAGTCCCGTCCAAATCGCCGTCAGTTGTCGAAACACAAGTGTTCGTTCGCATGCATCCGCGCGAGCAGTGCGATGGAGCAAATCGAACCACAGCACCATGCGACTACCTGCGGAACTCCGATTCGGAGGCCCTGAAGACTGCCTCCAGCAAAATCGACGTCGATATTGGGGTCGGCGAAGCTCAGAGATGTCGAGTCCTTGGGGTCATGGACAGCGAGCGCGTCTGGCAGCAGAGAAACCGTGGTGGAATGTAAGAATGTGGCCGAGACAGCAATGTGAGCTGTGCGGATCGCTGGGCACCACGACCAGCCCTTACCAAAGACAACCAGCGAATCGTCTACGGTTCTGGTAAGGATTCCAATTGTGTCCAGCGAGCTTGCATATGCAACAAGTCCCCATCGCGAAATCCTGCCGTACGAGGGCTTGAAGCCAACAACACCGCAGTATGCTGCTGGGAGCCGGACAGAGCCGCCGGTATCGGACCCCAAAGCCCTGGAGACCAAACGGAGGATAGAGATGGAAAGTGGGGATCACAATCGAATCGGGCTCGTCGCCATGTTGGCCCATTGATCAGCCATGGCCATGCGATTGTCAGCGGCGACAGCTCCAACGCCGGCAACTTACGCAAAGCACATCCCGCTGGCCACAGCAGCAGCGCTTCCACCAGAGCTCCCTCCAGGCACTCGGCCAAGCGAGCGAGGATTGCGGACGGGCCCATCTGCGCTATGGATATTTGCCGATCTAGTGAGCCGCGCCGAGGATGTGTGAGTTCGAATGATCGGAAGTAGTGCTGGGTGGTCGATTCCTGTCGCACCCAAGCTAGTGTCCGTACTGGAAGCGTCTCATCCGATCGGTTAATCGATTCGGCTGCGGGAGAGCATACCCCATTCCAAACTCATCCATGTTGGTGTGCCCCATCACAACGGCGCCTTGATTGCGCAGAAGGTCGACCACTGTTGCGTCATATGGCGGACGGAAGCCTGGAAAGCCATCAGGTGTTAAGCGCCTTTGCCCATCGAAGCGCATGGGCCGTGTGGTAAATGCAGCCGGATTTGCTTCCAACGGCGACTCACCCTTCAGCATGGCGGATGAGCACGTTGTATCGAGCCCTTTGACGCAGATGTTGCCTTTGACGAGAAGAGGGATGCCGAAAAGAGGACTGCGAGGAATACTGGTTCTGCTGCTTGCATCGCTTGGTGCTGAAGCGAGGGCGCTGTGGTCGACGAGCTGGGATACAGCATTGATGCGTGGGTTGGCTTCGCGGATTCGCTGGAGGCAAGACTCGACCAGATCCGCTGGTGTCGCCAAGTTTTCCTTGAGACGTCGACTAGCCTAGACGATATGAATGTGGAAACATCGAAGGAAGATCGTCCATGCGTTCAGGTGGTGGTTCGATGGAGGAGACGCCAGAGAGCGGGCCATTCAATCGGAAGCGGCAGGATGCCTGGGGACTGACGAAGGGTGTGTGGCAAGATCCGTAGGTAGCGACGAACCTCAGCAATCGACAGATCGGCAAAGGAGGCCTGGTGCGAGGCCCTCAGGATGGAGCCGGATGCCACACGGCTCCAAAGAGCCGACGTTCTTCGCGCAGACGGTGCTGTGATCATGGTCGCAGATAGACCAGCGGGCGAGAGAGCGACGGTGACGGTTTGGGTTCGCGATCTTGGCCGAGAGCTCTGGGTGGCAGCGAGGCGTCCTCTCTCGGCGAGGACCACCCGCAGTATCACAGCATCACCGCATCACTCTGCAGTCCTCTCTCAAATCACTGGGCGGCGACCACACGGAGTGGAGGGGGTTTTATTCAACTTTGGGGCACATACAGTCGAGTACCACGGCGAAAGCATGTCTCGGGCGATTCGTTAGCGGGGCTATTCAGGCGTTGATGACCATGCCGCCTGCTGCAGTCAGCTTCCACATGGGCAAGTAGACGACCTCCCAGACGTGGCCCTATGAGGCAACAGACAGATAAGGGTAGAGTCAGTCAAGGCATATGGTCATGGTCCGTCAGAGGGCCTGGCCATGACCGCTTTGGCGATAGCACCGGCGCGCCGCCGCCGATGCAAGTGTTCATGCATTTGCAGCATCAGAGACGCACATCGGGATCAGCAAAATATCCACCGTAGCCACCACCGGACGTCCAGTCGACGGGCTTCTTGATCACCGTGGCCCCGGAGTGAATGGCCCTCCCGTAAGCGGCGTCGACAGCTTCCTTGGACGCGCATGCATGCGAAACCATCCGGCCAGAGCGATAGGGCAGAGTGCTCTTTGGCTGGTCCACAGCAGGCGATGGATCCTGACTGTGGATCTCTTTGTGGCAAGCATCTGCAAAAACCTTGTTGAGGGCCTCCTCTGGGTAGATCACTAGAATGATATCGTTGAGCTAGAAGGGGGTGTGCAGAGTTTCAGTCAGTCCATGCCATCATCGGCGACGCAGCCTCGTCCTCAAACCCTGCGGGCAACTCTTCGGACCCCAGGTACAGCAACGAGCGAGCGAACCTGGAAGAATTGGCAGAATGGGCCGCTGATGGTCTTGTCGGGGACAAAGCCGAGGTCTGTGTAGAACTTGGTGGCTCGCTCGACATTGGCGGTGCCAAGAGTCACCATCGCGATCGATGGAGCGAAAGGCGTCTGCGAGGAGTTGGAGGACATTGTAGGCAGGGATTTGATCAGAGCGAGCACGAGTGGGCAGATTGATGGGACGGCGGGTGATTTAGCAAGCAGTTGGGCCGGGCAAGCAGACAGGCAAGCGAGCCGTTTTGTATGGCCTCGGGCTGCGAGGTTCCCACGCGCGGATCAAATATTTTGCTATCCAATACCATCGAGATGGCGTGGGAGTCCTGCGTCGACCTGGACTGAGCGTATCCAGACCCCAGTCGCTTGATCCTCAGTCGCGCTGATCACGACCGAGCCCGATGACATCGTTGGCGGGCATGTTCTTGCTGGATTGGGGGTGACGGGCATCATGATCGGCAGTGCATCTGCCAAGCGCCGAGCAGTGCACTGGGAGGGAGGGAGAGAAAAAATGACCGAAAGGGCCCTGCAGTCGAAGCTTTTGGGATCAAGACATCGCTCTTCCCAGCTCCGAGACAGCCGCACAAGATGAAGATCTTTGGTTGGCTAGTCGTGGCCTGTGTGGCCTGCATGCCGCTCGGCCTCTGCGATATCACCCAATGGAAGATCGGGATCGTGATTTCCGACAACCTCAGTAAGAACAGACGGAGCGATATCGTCCAGACAGTGTGGCATGCAAAGTGTTGTGCGGGTCCGCTGCACACTGACTCGGCGCATCTTCTTACGGCTCGTCGCCTATATATTTGTTCGCAGTGACATCCATCGCCGACTCGGCGATCAATGCCTCGCTCATGGCGGTCCAGGATGTGAATGCCCAAGGCCTCCTTCCCGGCATCACACTCTCGGCTGTGCATCTCAACAGCATGAGCAACCAGGTATGGAGGCTCTGGTCGTCTGTCGTGGTCGGGCCATCTTCGCGCCGTCTTGGCTTTGCGGTCCACGATCTGCCCATGATGACGGCGGCTGACTCATAGACCAACCATTTTCTCCAGTATATGGCGGTTCAAAACGGCATCAACTTGGCTAATACCTCCGGCGTCGTCGGGGTTGTTGGTTGGTAGCGCTCGCGCCTTCTCAGCAGTCGTGCCCACTTCTGCGCTCTCATCCAGTCCATTGCGCAGGAGAACTGCTGTCGTCCATGACCTCGCCCCTCGCCCTCGTCACCAAGAACTTCAATGTAAGTGTCTGCATCCGCCCTTCCCAAGCCATGCTGTGATGGCTTGCTCAGCTTCGACCTATTCTCGCGCCCCGATCGTTCTTTGGAAACAACATTCGTCGCCCGTGATCTGCATCAGCTCCCCCAGTGCTCCGGATCGGCAACGTAAGTGTTCGTGTGTCACTCGTTGGGAATCAGTGGCCTGGCAACTGATTGAACTCGCCGCTCGTTTCGGCAATGCTGTGCAGTCTGACCACCCTGAGCGACAAAAGCACGTACACTACCTTCTTCCGGTGAGTCGCCAGCGTGATCCTCAGGAGTCCAACGTGATTGGCCACAATCGCCACCCCAAGCGGCCATTGCTGCTGCTCACGGCCATCTCCCATCTCGGAATGCCTTCCTCTTGCCAGCACGTTGCCTCCCGACAACTTCCAAGGACCAGCCATTGCCAACTACATATACTCCAACAACTGGAGAAACGTGATATTGATCTATTCGGTGAGACTGCATCGTCATTCGTCAAACGCCGCTCGTCTGCCGAGCCCAGGTATATACACGATCGAATGCCAAATCACACTGACGCCAAGGCGCACCGACCCACCGCATGCGCATGCACAACCGCAGAGCGACACCTATGGAACGAGCTTGATGCAGTCGTTTCAGTCTCGAGCACAAGCCCTTGGGGTAGGCCTGACACATACACGGCATCAGGACTGTAAGCTAATTGACCAAGAGCCGGTGCTTACTCATGCACTTTGACCCTCACGCAGATCAATATCCAAATCTCAATGCCCTACAATACTCCGTACGTCGGCGGCGCTGCAATATGCACCCACGGCACCGATCGTTGCATTTTATAGGCTCGTGCCGATACTGATGGCGAACCGGACTTATCCGCATGTCGACGAGTAGCATGCTAACTCTTCGCGCTGCGCCCATCTCTCGATATCATGGTGCTGCAGTGCCTCGAGTCCATCAACATTCTCAGGAATAGCTTCCAGAATACAGAGCAGTAGCTACAGAATCGTCGTCATACTGGGCTATGATTCGGACATGCTCCTGTACTTGCAACTCGCAAGGTGAGGCTGCCTTCAAGGCACTTGATTTGGTTGGCTTGACTTCATTGCCTGAATATGCTCGAGCTTCTTGATACTTTGTGTGTCTCGGGCACCTATGCACGCTATCCAAAGTGCTCTCGGCAGAGCATCACCGCCTCGTATAACCATTGTTTGATCCGGTCTCGTTCGCGTTGGCAGTAACATGGGATTGGTTGGACCAAGCTATGTGTACGTTGGCTCCGACGGACTATCCAGTATCGTCTCCGAGGCCCAACCATCCGATCTCGCGAATCTTCCCGGCATCGTGTATCTCTCGGCACTTGAGAGCGGAGGAAACTCAGTTTCACAGAGTTTGAACAGCAGGTATTTCTGTTTTGTGTGTTATCAAACTTCAGTCTGCAGTACATTGCCTCCAGCCACCGGGGTACTCACAGCCGAATCGCACAGGTTCCATGCTGCATACGGACAATACCCCGAGGCAAACTCGCTTTTCTTCTATGACTGGTATGATGCTGGATCGCTGCACAATTGGGCCAAGCCCTTCCTCGGGGCCTATCAGAGCTTTGTAGGTTGCATTTCATTCTCAATTCCCTCCACTCGCATCAAATGATCGTCGCGAATTATGCTGCGCTCTCGCTTTGAAGTGTCTTTGCCATCGCCCGAGGGTATCAACAGGTCTGTGCTTCATATCTGTGCTACCGCAACCTGTCCCTTAACGAAATAACACATGGCTGCCCATACATTCGGCACACTCGCATGTGCCGAGATTGATGACTGACTCACCTTGTATACTGGTCGATCGCGCTGCCCCATGAAGCTACTCAACAGAAACATCAACACCGTTCAAAATGTCTATAGTCGCCAAGCCAATCTTTCCTTTTCCACTTTCCTGACAAACTTTACGGGCGCAACCGGGAGCTTGACTTTTACGTCCACAGGCGACCGAGTCGGCCCATACGGTGTTACGAATCTTCAGCGCTCTCCCAATGGCGGCGGCATCAACTCGGTTCAAACGGCGATTGTGTGGATGGATGGATCTGTGGCTGTGCAGTCACCGACCTTGTATTATTCTGGATCTGCAGCGATTCCACAAGACAGCATACGTAGGTGACGATATGCCGCGCTGCTCTGGCTGGCCATCCAGCGATAGTGCGCTGCCGTCTGTCGATCGCTTGTGCTGATCAGCCTTTGCAAACCCAAGTCATATCCCAGATGGTCATGTCCTACTCGAACAAGGGGCCACTGGCTCTGGTGATTGTTTACTCGATTGGCGAGTGTCGATATGTCGTCGCAATCTCGTTGCTGAAATCTTCGGAGCGCTCGCAGACAAGTATCTTTCTGCCATCTATGCTCCTCCAAAGCCTGATTCGAAAGGGAGATCTAATTCGTTGCACAAATGCAGGTCTGGCCTTCAGCATTGCTTCGTTTCTTGTGCTCATCATCTACCGAGAAAACCCTATAGTCCAGCAAATGTCGCTTCCGTTCCTTCTGCTCATAAATGTGAGTATGTCCCGGACAGCTCGTCCATGTGCGCTAGCAAACGCTTTTGCAGTGTGCATACCGCTGTTGGAACTCTGTGGTCTAATTCGACCAGAGACACACTTGATACTGGGTAAATTGGTCTTGCCGCTGACATACTCCACTCTCATGGCACGGGGTTTCAAATGCAATTCTGAACTAGGCGGGGCTGGCATTGGCATGGGCTTCGGTCTTTGCCTTCACCGGCCCCATGACAGCTACACTCTGTAAATTTCAATCTGCGATTATGTGGATTGCATTTTCGATGGTGTGTATCCTGCCGCGTCATCTCCGGCCCGAGCCGATATGAGTGAGTGAGCGCATATCGTGGCATGTTCGTGGGGGCTCACCATGCTGTGCTGGCTGCAGGTTTTCGCCAATCTCCTGGTCAAGGTCTATCGCATATATCGAATCTTTGGTACGCACAGAGAATCCACAGCGTTTTCTCAATCACAGCCCTGGCCATATCCTTGCGCTGCGGTCGCGCTCGGTGCAGATGCTGTGGATATATTGATAGCAGACGAGGCGCTGACAACTGGCCCTGGACATCCTGGCAAAATACAGACAACCCAAGGATGAAAATCGTCAAACTCAGCAACCTAACGCTCATGGGAATGAGTTTTGTTCTTGTTGCGGTCAATATCGCCATCATCACTGCCTGGAACGTTATCGATCCCTTGAGTCCTGTCCGCGTCACCACGAGTAGCTATTGGTATCTAGACTGCCAATCATCGAGTCCGCTGAACCAGATGGGATTCTCATATTCACTTTTGGCCTATAATGGGTAAGCATAATCAAAGATTCATTCGCCCGTCTCAGTTTGGGTTGGACTCCCATATGAGTCCGAGCCGCGAACGCAGACATGACTCTCCGTTTGGCAACCGCTTATCGTGCCGCATTCACTCACCCACTCCAAGACTCTTGCTTCTCGCCTCGACATATCTCGCATACAAGACAAGAAACGTTTCTGCTCAATACCGGGAGAGCAACTGGATCGCATATTGTGGCCTCTTCATTATACTGTGTGGATCGGTTGTGATCATCTTGCTGCTTTCGACAAACGACTATGTTGGAACGGTAAGTGAAGCCCACTGGCGACAACTGCACACACTTGCACCCGCCTTCACTCGCTCGCTCGCTTACAAACCTGTATTGTTCGTCAATAGTACTACCTCCGGCTGGGCGTCATTGCCCTTGGAACCGTGGTCACGTATTGTGGGTGTCGATGTGCTGTCGAGTCTGTGCGAGCCGCGCATCGGCATCGCAGGCAGGTAAACTGACCGCCAACCACTCTTCTTTGACGCAGACTGTTTGATTGGTCGTGTTATCTTGACCATCATCTCGGATATCCTGGATGCCGGCCTGGGAACTTCAAAGGGCCCGAGCTCCGCAGGAGGTGTTGTCGAAACCACTGCCTATTTTGGAAGCTCGAGTTTGCCGAGACCCAAGTTCGAGGGCAAACGGGTGTTTGATGTCAAGCTGAAGAGCACCACACCGTTCTCCGAGTGGAAGAAGGCACGCATCAAGCTGTTTGATCGGGATTCGATTCTGTGTCTCTACACCGTCAACGAGAATGTGGAGGAGAAAACCAAGGTATGGCTCCTGCTTTGGCCAAAGAGATGCGACCATAAACTTTGTGCCTGATGGGCCTTTGCGGCGGCTGCTTCTGCTGCCACTGTGACTGACAACTAGCCTGGTCGTCGAATGGTATCCTCTTTTGGCAATTCAGTCGGGAAAATGCTGTCGCTTCCAAAAATGCCTGGTCTCGTTTATGAATGGAAAGAAAGCACTCAAGTTCGCTATCGGAAACGAGTCGTACTCGATGAAAATGAGCTCCGAGATCGAGCGCGAGGAGTTCATGCACGTCATTTCTCAAGCTCGCTCGACGACAACGACGACTGCCAGACCATCAGTGGTGGCATCGGACCGCGGCGACACATATCGAACTGTCAAGACGCAGCAACCCACTGGCGCCGATCAAGAGTAGCCATCGGTGACACATGAATGCAGCATCTGCTTGATGCATCCAAACACATGGCCTTTGATATATTTTCCTCTGTTTCTGGATCACCACTACACATGAATTTCTAAAGGCATCATTATCCGCTCATGTGGGATCGTTACAATCGGTGCCTCGGATCCAGAACGGGTGCTGCCAATGCAGCCAAGGACGCTCGCCGATATGCAACCCCACCATCATATATTGAGATTGATCTCCCGAGTACTACTGCTCGGCTGCTCCGTCGGGTATTGCCGGTTCGTTCTAGCCAACACCGTCATAGCTCACTCGTCCTCATGATCTTTGGGATGGCTCCGTGTGCAGAGTGTCTACGGGTTGGGGTTGCTGGCATTGCCGCGGCATTCACGCTGAGAGTTTGGTTTCCGGCCAGGCTGAAGCCGGTATTCAGGTTGTTTGCACTGTTCACATTGTTGGTGCTGCTCAGGTTGTTGGCGCTGTTGACAACTTGCGTGTCAAGATGGTTGCTGCTGATGCTCCCGTTGAACGACTTTGATCTGGTAATGGAGTTAGCTTTGCCAACCATTCCGAATATGCCATCATCGCGCTTCGGGTTGTTCGCCAAGAACCCGACGCCTGCAGTCTTGAAGGTCGCTGGACGAGCTTTGGCATCTCGGTGGTTGTCCAGGAACATCTCTGCGGCCTCTGAAGACTCAAACTCTATCACGATCGCCTTCTTGTTTCTTCGGAGCAAGACCGTTTTGGAAGAGGCACTCTCCTTGTCTGCGCCGGTCGAGGGTTCTTGTAATTGACACTCGCATTCAGAAAGCCGGAACGATGCCTGTATAGCGCCGCTGGATCCGGGCTCTCGGAACTCGATTAGGTCCAGCATCGACAGAACCAACACGTTGGACGAGGCCCAGGCACCGCCAAACTTGAGCCCTTGAACGCCACATTCATAAGCATACACGGTTACATCGGCAGCGGCAGCACCTTTGGTGTCTGAGGATGCCTGGAAGCTTCCTTTACGGGTGGGGACTTGCGAGTCCGGACCGTCATCTGCATCAGTGCGTATGGCCCTGACGAGCCGGGAGCTGAATAGTGCGATTGGCACCAGGGTAGATGCCCCGAGGATCAGGCAAACAATCACCAGTCTTCCCGAGAAGAACATCGTGGATGAATCGGAGTTGCCGGCGAGGATGTAGGCCAGCGGAAGGCCCAGAATGACGGCGCCAGCGACGGCGTAGCTGCAAACGGCAATCGTCTTGGACTCTTTGAATCGCTCGTGGGCGCCTCGAGTGAGGTAGGCAAAGCCCACACATCCGAGAACAACGAGGCCGTTGATGATGTACAGCAGCGATTCAAAGACGGCAACCGAGCTCCCCGAAGAGGCACACACAGTGGCATACAGAACTCCACCGGTCTCGGCCATGGGGCGCTCGACTAGCACCCACACTGCGCATAGTGCGATCTCGAGCACGACAACGGCCAAGGTTGCCAATATAAGCTTGGTGTCGGATGCTTTGATGGCTCGCAGTTTTTTGTATCCAAATATGATGTAAATCCGAATCGACTTCATGAGCAGCATGCTATTGGATGGAGAACACGATCAAGATCAGTCTGCTGTTGTGGCTGACCCGAAGTCGAGTATTAGCTGCTCTGACAGACACAGAACAGCGATGCTGCTGCCGGTGAGAGCCGTACTGCGAGGAGATGGCATGGTTGATACCTGAACACAGAAGAGAAAGCTATGGCCGGAAAGAAGACTCTGGCAGAGCACACAAAGCCACTCGGCTCGGCTGTGTAAAACAGGGCTCCAATCTGTCCAAACACTGACAAAAGGCAAGCGTCAGCCACTCGCTCCGGAAATGGGACGGCATGGGTTTGTTGATTACCCTTTGATTCGCCCTCGACCTCTGTCTCCAGAGCGCATGTGCTGTCGGTATACTTACTCGAGCCAAGGACGATGACGTAGCAGCAGTTAGGCGAAATGGACTTGATAGCCGAATGCTCTCGCTTGGCAAACAGCAGAGCCAGTATGACAATGTTGACGCAAAGTGCAGCGCCGATGCACACAACCACGGGTATGTTGAACTGGTGGACGCCGGCTGTCAGGATCATCAACGGTGCCGAAGGCTCAGAGCAATCGGTTCGCAAGTTGTTGATGTATCCGATATCGCAGATACACTGGGCCACAGATGAGTCTTGGAAAGGCCCATCGAGGGGACAGTATCCGTTCTGACATGAGTTGGCGCTGATGTAGGTGCCGTTGCTATCGATGTATGGGTTGCATGGTGAGTTGGGATCATACAGAGCTTTCCCGTTGTGAGTGATGAGTTTGAGGGCATCGAGCGCAAAGGCACGGAGGCTCGGATCTTGGAAATGCACAAAGTGATCTTGGCTGAAGTACGGTATGGTTGACGGGGACGCCGTCGATCTGTTTGACGGGCGCTGCGACGATCGATCGAACGAGGAAGTGAATGGTCTCAGCATGTTTTCGTGAGTCCGGCAGGAGCAATATGCTTGCCTTCTCCAGCCATCCCGGCGTGCATACATGCGGCATATGCAACATCAGTGATTTCCACCGCTAGACTCAATGAAACTCGGGCCAAAGCGGCAAGACAGGACGATAAACGAGGGGCCGGCTGAACAGTACCGATTCAGTTCCGCCAAACACAATCCAGAAGAGAAAGCGCAAGGTTGCTCGCATCTGCTGCTCAGTGACATTGTAGGTCACGGAGTCCTGTCGCAGGAAGAAAAATGTCGGGGCCATCAGCGGATAGGCTCCCCGAACGCTGGTGTCGATGTAGGTCTGCTGGAGAGTGGTCCCAATGTCAGCCGTCAGGTGCTGGAGCCCAGAGATGTTCACGGAGCTGGACGCTGAGAGAGCAATCTGGGGTCGAAAGATGGCGATACAATCGAAATTAGTGTCCGAGTCCTTGTGGCTCCAAGCATACTGTCAATGTGCGGTCGGGGCTGCGATCTGAACAGAAAGCAAAGCGACATACGTTCATTGTAGACATGGACGGCGCAACGACGTCTCCGTTACGATTCACGACGTTTGCAATCGCATAGAGACTCTGCGAGGATCCAAGAGAAGCCAGGGTATTGAAGGCATCAGGATAGTCCACATATCCGATCGTGAAGGGGCTGACTTGGATGGCATCAGAGACGATCGTGTTGGTTGAGCCGTAGAAGGGCTGGTTTGCGGTGCCCCAAGAGGAGATGGGATAAACACGCGGAGCGGGCAGGTTCAAGGTCGGGTCAAACTGGTTCAAGGCATACTGAAAGTTTGAGGTTGTTCCGGAAGATCCACTTCGAACGATCGTCTGGATGCGCGTGCTGATATTGGCAAGACCCGGATTGTTGTGAACGAGTCTGGCGTCGTTCCAGACAGCAATCTTGCCCGTAAATATGTCCGCAACATTCTGCCGGGTGAGTGTCAAGTTTTGGACACTGAGGTGGTAAACGACTGCAATGCAGCTGGAATGCAAAGGCCGTGTGAACGAGGGCGATAGCGAGAGCGATGCTTCCAAGCGTCGGGATGTGACGGGATACCAACGGTACTGGCACGACCGTGGATGCTGAGCAGCACACAGAGCCAGAGTGTTCACATATCATGTACGAACGAGTCAATCCAGCAATGCCACGTCACAGCTCATGTTGCCCACCTCATGACCGAGGGCACAGGGACGAACTGGCCCGATACGTTGCCGGGACCAACAAAGGTCGTCGCGCTGGGAATGGTGTCTGACGCTGCCCAGGTCAGATTTGGACCACCAGCCGCAAGAGAGTTGCGCCCTGCTCCGGAGCTGGTCCCGGTGTAGGCATATCCCCACGTTGGATCGTATCCAGAGTAAGCTGCCGCGAGTGTCGTGTAGAGCGATGCAGGAAACGTTGCGCCGATTCCCTGCAGCTGACCATGGGCCCCTTTCGGAAAGTTTTTACCGGCATGATTAGGACGATGGACCAGATTTGCGAACGGTGCTCTTTTGGAACCCAAGCAGAGGGTGCGCAAAACTAGGAGCAGATGAAGAAACGGCCATGACAGCATCGAACATCAAAGCTTGGCACAGGGTGTCTTACCAGGCCACGGATGCAAGCAGCACAGCGGCAACGACGAGCAGAGACTCTGGCAAGAATTGCAGACCCATTTTCAGTGCTCCTGCGAGGGATCCTAACAAACATCCACCGCTGCAGTTTATATATCCCCTGGCTCCCGGCTAAGATATCTCAATAGATCTTAGATACGTCTGGCAGACAGGCTATGACCGGCAGGGGCTTGGAGCTCTGTCATCGCTCCCTCCAATCCGATGATGGCGGACTAGGCGAGATTCGCTCAAGCCGGCGTCATCGCGCATCCAATCGACCTTACTTCAACAAACGAAAGAACGTGGAATAGCCTCATATGAGAATGACGAGACACATTTGTTGATTCATCGGACTGCTCGAAATGGCCGCCCATCATGCAATCGGCGTCGATCGACTTGCGCATCGAGATCACGCTCTTGGTCGAATTGGCATTGTCGGTTTGAATTGCGATGCGCCTCCCCATCTCCTGGCCGAATATCTTGGTCGCTGCCGCGGGCCGATGTGAGCACACCCAAGGCGGAGGCGAGCGTGTTTGGTCTCTGCAGTGTTCCCAGCCTGGGCGACGAGGGCGACATTATGCAGGCGCTTTGGATGACGGCATCGCCGCGAGGCACTGCCTGGGCGTGATTGCGAATCACACAGGTCTACCCTGTTGGAATCGAGGGGTCAAGGGCGAATCAAGCGCCACTCCGCCAAGCGTGATCGATGGTTTCTCACGCCCCGCTCATCCGGCGAAACACAGGGCGCTGCGATTGCCATTGCTCAGCAGGGGAGCTGAGCCACTGGGCGGAGGTGCGGAGCAAGCTTGGGATGGAGCGAGCCAGCCAAAGGTGCCTGGCGTCAAGCCGACGGAGCAGCGCCCAGTCCCGGACAGCTCCACGGCCGCCGTTGGGATTTGATACTGAGTGTCTGAAGCGGGCTGCTCTGCTTATGGGACACACCATGTCATTCGGACAAAAGCGCGTCGTAGTCGGATCATATCATAGTCGACAAACAGCGACCAAGCGGGTCAAATCATCTCCCTGGGTGTCCGTCTCGTGTTGTCCATCCCAGTGATATCATATCGGTCATGTCCATCACAGCAGTGTGAGCGCCGACCAATGACATTCTGCCAGGCGGCTGATCAACATCACTCAACCCTCTCAAGTCATTTGCGCGCCGAGGTGTCCCGTTTCAAAGCGGAAGTGCCTATCCATATATCCATACCTATAGCGATCGGCTGGCACCAATATGCACCAATATGCACAGTGGCGCGAGAACATCTGATCTGCGGCCGGGGACAGACGAGGTCCAGACAGTGTTTGGGATCCCAGCAATCACGCCATGAGAGCCAACAAGCCCGCCCAGCGCTCACAGTCCTGATGCAGAACGACCCAGAGGAGAGGGGCCACTTGTTTCAAATCGTTATGAATCCGGAGGTCTGCACCCGCACCGGGCTACGAATCGCGCCCCCTGACGAGAGTGATAATGCCGGTCGGTATCGCGGGTATGCCCTCCCCTCCGCATCGAGCCTCCGCCCCCAAGAGGGAGGGGTTGTGCGTGTTGGGGAGGATATGCCAGATATCGGAAAAGATTTGTCCATCGATGTTCAAATGGTGCTGATGGGCATCAGCGTCTTGATTCATATATACAATGTCTGGTATTTTACAAAGTGCTTCTGTCGGCCAGGAGCCACGACCGGCTTCAACGTTGTGATGTTGTTGTTTGTCTTCTTGGTAGGGCCAGGCGCCGCGTTATAACTAGTGGATCTGGAGTGGCATCTCGACGAGTTCTTCGACCTATGCCTGTCTCGCGGGGCACTCGAGTATCGCTACTGACTAATATGCGGCGCTCTGCAGATGACTCCGGCCGTCATCATCACCATGATGGTCACTTCTCCCTTGATCATGGATACCCTCAACGGCACTCCAAGCCTCGCAACGGTAAGCCGATTCCTTCGAGTATGGATCATGGCCGAGTCTTGCTGCGGACAGCCTGGTCTTGTTGGGGATCTGGTTGTCACGGCACTTGATGCCGTCTCGACCTTGATGGTTTGGGCCGGTTGCATTTCTTGGTGGACGGCGATTGCTGGCGCGATTATAATAGCCGACACTATTCCAATATCGAACCGTGCTCTCACTGCGATCGCATGTTTCATATGGCCGCGTCAACTCTGCTGTCCTCATCAGATACAAAAGTACACGATCAGCAGCAAGGTCACCAACGTAGCCGTCGGGTTCTATGGAGTCACGTCGATCTACACCTCGATCCGGATCGTCAAGCCGCTGCAGACGCTGATAGACCTTGCAGATGGATGGGTGGGTACTGTACCGGCGCAAATGGCCACCAGAGATTGGCCCCCAACCCATCTCGACTGAAAATACCCCTCATGTCGGTTTGCTCTTCTCCTGTGCGTCTCCCCTGATGGACGGGCCATGGGCTGGGGGCTTGTGCGGGAAACAGTGCGGGAGCAGCAACCGGCGCTGGCTCGCAAACTGTCATGGCAGCCGCTCTGATCGCGCTGGTCGTGTTGATAACTCTGATCGTGCTGATTACTCTGATTGCGCAGATCGTTGTTGCATATGCCCTGGACCTGTTGTGCTTTGGCGTATACCTCGCCTTCACTCTGGTGGACAGCCTCCGTCAATGGAAGCGGATTGCACAATGCGGCTTTCTGTTCATCATCTATATGTCGTGGCTCTCCAGCACGTCATTCTTGATGTGGCATCTCGACAAGTGGCAAGTCGCTCTCAGCTGCAGCTTCCAGCAACGAGGCAGCTTCTATTCAAGCAGAGCGTCATCCACGCTGGTGCTGTCTCGAAGTATCCGCTATGCCTACTTGGGATTGATATGTATATGGTACTTTGACGCAGTCGCATGCGCACGGGACATGGTATCGATGTGGCATGGACATCGCTCTTCGTCAGCAGACTGAGCGCCATTGGCGACTGCGTTGTGTCGGGCTCGTTGCATGCCGTACTCACCGCCCATCTGTCCCGAATGGTTTCTAGCATCCTGGGGATCATATGCCTGGGACTCTCAGCTTTTCTGCTGAATCCATACCCGAATCTCTCGATCATCTTTGTGGCTGCCGGAGGCCCGTTTGTGGCATCGTTTGTGACGGTGTCGCTGATCATGACCTACGAAATCATACCTCAGCGAGTTGTCCACATCCCGAGCTCGGACGGAGACCCATTGTCGAGTCCGTATGCTCCGAACCAGTTCGACCTGATCTTGGATTCTTCCGAGGACCTTCACCCCTTCGACGGTCTGAACGGGGCCGTGTGGACACCAGGCTCCAGCCCGGGCTTGGCGGCCCCAGGGGCATGTGGTTCATCGCTTCTCGATATCCGTCCAAGCTGACAAACCATCGCGAACCACACGCACTGGGACCATCTGCGCACTGGTCCAAGCGGCATCCACACAGGGGCGGCCAATTCAGGCAGATGCATGGAACAGGCTCATGGGCCCATAGACCATGCGAAGTTGATAGGGCCCATTTCGGCTTCACTTTGATACCCATTTTGACATCGGGTCGACAAACATAAACGCATTTTACGACAGTGAGAACACAACAAAAGATGAACAGACGCAGGACGAACAGGAGAGGGAGATATGGTACACTATGCCAAGTAGACATATGCTACTCTGCGGTACGAGCCGTGGGCAAGAGGCTCGAGCACGGCTGCTCAAAGCAGCACGACGCACGAAAGCAGCGCAACGAGAGCAAACGAGAGGCCAGCGACAAGACCAGAGCGCAGAGTGGCATCAGAGGCAACGTTGCTGGCTCCGGCAACGTCGACCCAGAGAACTCCGGCAGCCGAATGGAGCTGGATGGTTCCGTTGGCAAAGTTGCTTCCGACTGTCACGCCAGAGGGTCCGACGGCCCAGATGAATGGAGTTTGAGTGATAACGGAGATGTTGCGCTTGCTGCCGTCTGTGCCAGAGAAGTTGAGAGGGACGAGAGAACTTGTACTGGTAGAGCGAGGACTTGCTGGGGGCCGGGGGCTCGATAAAGACTGACTTGTTTTCGGGGATGAGGCCTTGGTTTTTGACGACCAGCGGCTCCACCTGGTCGACAGCAAAGCGGTCCGACAGGATGGTGCTGCCGTTCGGGCCGACCCAAGTGACCTATCGAAGGGTGAGCGAGGTCAGGAATCGACGCCACCGTGAAAGCCATTGGGGAAGACCGGCGAGGAGCTTCGAGGAGCTGCGGCTGCAGCGATGAGCCGAAGTGTGGCTGACAGAGACTGACAACAGGAGCAAGTCGCAGTCGGAGGCCGCAGCGACCAAGAGCGGTGCTTACCATGATCTGAGACATGGCCATCTGCTGGCCGATACCAATAGCAGCGTAGCTGGATACAGACAATTGGTGTCAGGTGGGAGGTGATGCCCGAAGAAGCATGCAGGCTCGGTGACGGCCCAAAGGGGCCAAAGGGGGCCGAAGGAGTGGGGTGATGCTGGGGGATTGGGTGGCCCTGTGGCTGCTGGCATGGAATGCGTCCGGCAGCGACTCGACACAGGGGCTCTGGTGGAAGCAACTTACGAGTACGATGAATCTGTCTCCAGGGTAAAGTCGACGAGGTCGCCACGGACCGCAGCATAGAAGCAGAAGATGTTGTTTGGGTCGCAGCTCTTGACCAAGGCGCAGGCTTGGTGGAAGACTGGCAAGCGAGCAGCGATGGCGGAGTTAATCTTTGCCGAATTGCTTCAGGCGTGATTGGCTCGACCGGCTCTGAGGCAACCTGTGCCGACCGGCATGGGACACCGAGCTACTGGGCAACGGCAAGACCAAGCACGCCCAAGCAGCGGGAGACTGCGAAACGGGCGGCAGCAGCGGGTGGGGACACACAAACGGGGAAGCAATTACCTGCGGTAACTAGCAGGAGGGCCCAAAGGGAATGAGATCGCAGCATCGTGGTGGAGGAGGGCGGGTGCGGAGCGGGAGAGCGCAGGGGACGACTGGCGGGGAAAGACCTGGAACGAAGGTTCGGCGACGGCCAGAGCGAAGGTGAGGGCGGTGGACGGGAGCGAAGGTTCCAACGGCGAAAAAGGAGCCAGCGCGCTCCTTGAGGCCCCGTGGCACAAATACCGCGCACGAAAAGGCCTGGGCCTGGGGTGGCTGTGAGTGCTGATATGATGCTGCGTGAGTGCTGATGCGATGTCGGTGTCGATGTCGATGTCGATGTCGATGTCGATGTCGATGTCGATGTCGATGTCGATGTCGATGTCGATGTCGATGTCGATGTCGATGTCGATGTCGGTGTCGATGTCGATGTCGATGTCGATGTCGGTGTCGATGTTGTCTTACCAAGTCGATAGAAACCAATTGCAACTGTTGTGACGGCAACAGCAACAGCAGCAGCAGCAGCAACAGCACACGTGGACGTGGGCGTGCTGCGCATCTCGGCTCGAGCCGCCCTGGTTCCAGCCGCCCTGGTGGCTCCAATCTCTCTCGCTCGCCCCCTCGCTCTCGCCCTCGCTCGCGTCCTCGCTGCTCTTGGCCCCTGTTCACCATCCATCTGCCCAACGCCCAACACCCAACACCAACACCCAGCATACCCGCTGCGATGGCCAACTACGAACGAGAAGCCATCGGCCACCTGCAGGAGGCCGTCAAAAAGGCAAACTACACAGGCTGGTTCGGCGGTAACAAGCTCGATGAGGCGGCCGAGCTCTATGCCAAAGCGGCCAACTCATTCAAGCTTGCCAAGAAATGTGAGCCGCTGGATGGCATCTGGGGCAGTGGCTGCGAGTCCGATGCCACTCCGGTCGCTATGTCTGCGTTGGACGGTGTATTGTCCTGTGCTGATCATTTCTGAAATGCCGCATGGCCCATCAAAGGGCAAGAGGCCGGCGATGCTTACATCTCCCAGGCCAACGTCATGAAGAAGCTGAACGAAACCGACGAAGCTGCCAGCAGCTACCTGAACGCTTCGAAATGCTACAAGAAAACAAACCCTCTAGGTATTGGATGGTAGAACGCGCAAGCCGCATTCCACATCTCTGGCGCTGCATGGCTGCTGCCGTGGAGCTGCTGTGGGTCTCTCGATCGGCCCCGGGCATCGGTGGCCTGGGCATCGTTATGCGCTGGACAGTTGGTGAATGCACTCGCCAACCGCAACAGCGGCGTCGCCGCCCCGAAAGCCCCTGTGTCGAGCTGACAGAAGCCCTCTCGGCCACCGGCGGCCTGCTTTCTGGACCGATGCACAGATGCAATCAATGCCCTCCAGAAGGCTGTCGAGATTCTTGTCGAGCGCGGAAGGTTCCAGTCAGCTGCCTCGAATCAGAAGCAGATTGCCGAGATTTACGAAAATGAAATCATTGATCCCGAGAAGACGCTCCACGCCTACGAACTGGCGGCCGACTGGTACACGACCGAGGAGTCGAATGCGTCAGTGTCGTTCCATATTCGCTTCATGGAGACCGAGTCCTCGCTGTCATACCTGCTGGTCTTGCTGGACGGAGACTTTGCGGGGCTGTATCGACATGGGAAGCCCACATTCGCTTGCTCTGACACAATGCCTCGCTCAATAGCCAGGCGAATGCCTGTTGGCTCAAGGTGGCCCACTATGCTGCACAACTCGAGCAGTATCAGAGGGCCATCGAGAAGTTTGAGGCTGTGGCCGAGGCGAGCAAGGATAACAGCCTGACCCGCTGGTCTCTCCGCACCTATTTTTTGAATGCTGGCATCTGTCGCCTGTGCACTGGGGTATGCACTTTCGCTGGTTGCACCACCTGGGACGATGCTCGCAGCTCCCTTGCTGTCCTCAACCTGCTCCCCATTGCGGCAGGCCGGCCAATGATGCGCTCGCACCCAGATATGCGGCTGTTTCAGGCGTCATCTCACCCGGAAGCTTCACGCCTTCCATCTCCAGGACCTTGTGGCCACCCAGGGCGCAATCGATCGGTACCTCCAGATGGACACTACCTTTTCGACAGCCAGGGAGTACAGCTTCCTGAAGGCAAGTTCCCACTCACCCTACTACGCGCCATCCAAGTGATTGCTGTAATCGACGCTTCTCGTCTCTGCGATAACATCGGGCGCATCTCTCGTGCTGGTTTCTTGCGGCGCCGGGTCCAGCCTGCCGATTCAATCCATCGACCAACCCGGCCCGTTTTCCATCCACGCTTGGAGGGAGGGAGTGCCACAAATCCCCCGCGGCCGTACCTTGTCCTGAATACCTCTAACAGCTGTTCTGATCGATCCAGGCCCTGTTCGACGCATGTGAGGCCAATGACACCGAGGCTTTCACCGCAGCCATCATTGATTTTGACAAAATCACCAAGCTGGACCCCTGGAAAACCTCGCTGCTGCTCAAGGTGAAGAACAGCCTGGCCAACGACGAACAGGACTTTACGTAATGCCTCACGCCGCAGCCCACCATGTAACCACCGCACCAACGGACCACGGACACAGACGCCTGACCAGAGCTGCTCTCGATTACGATCGTCGCCTCTGCGCCTGTGCTGGCTTCGATAGGTGCATCTGTGCTGCTGCTCGACCGTGTTCACTGGCACATTGTTGGAGCGGTGACATAGCTGTGAAATCCAGACCATTTGTTCACATCCATGTGAGTGTCTGGGACGTCAGGGCTCTGGTGGCGGCGATGTTGTCCAGCTTTTGATTATAGTAGAACTTCCGGGTGTGCGAAGCGTGGTGGGAGGGCCGGACCTCGAGCGGAACAAGCGTTGTAGAATCATATCGGCGTTGCCAGGCGATGGGAAGAGACTTGAGGATCTCCACGATGAGCGGCCAGAGCACTCGGGGCGATTGTGCTGTGTCCCAGCAGCTTCAAAGCAAATCGCAGCAATGATCAATCAAGGCGCGGCAGTCGACTTGTAGAGCAGTCTCCGGCCTCGGCGACACTTGAATGCCAAAGCCCGCGGATACGAGATGCACCAAAGCGGCTCCACAACGCGACAATGGTCATCTCAATATCTGCAAGTCCGAATGCGAGCACACTTACTTTGTCTCGAGATACAGCATCTTGTTGTTTTTGGCGAGATTCTCGCCTTCGCGCTGCATGATCTGGCGGTTGGGAACATCGATCCTTGTTCCCACAAGAATGCACGGCTTGGGCGCCTTGTAGTTCTCGGGACCTTTGAAGTAGTTGAGAGCGGTGATCCAGGTCTGTAGAATCTGAAAGGAATCTCGGTTGGTGACTGGGATGTCGGAGAGCGGTCGAGAGCCGGTGGTGAAGTATTCGGCGCGTTGAAGCCATCGCCGAGTTGGACGAGCGCACAAGTGAATGATTTGTAGATGAGTGGACGTGTGGATGAGGAGACGAGATGATTATCAATATGTACCCATTCAGCGGAAAGGCCGATGTGCTGTCAGGTTCAAGCAGGCCGTCAAGAAAGCTTTGGGGACCGGACGTCGCTGAGTTTCCGCAAGAATGTATCGTGCGATCGAGGAAGCAGCCCACCATCAAACACAAAGGCGCACCCGGCACATCCCGACAGGTACTTCATCAGCTTCTTGGTGATGCCCTTGGTGGTCCGTGCGATCCAGAATTCGACTCGGGCTGAGATTTCCTGGGTGTGAAATGTTCGCTCCTTGGGCGATATGGCGATAGCAGGTGCGATAGCCATTCAGCTCCTCGGCGTTACGGACGAAATCACACTTTGGAAGCTGCATATTGCCGACGGCAGCGGGCGCTCCTAGTTGGCTGCCGTGACTGGCGCAGCGACAGCAGCGACGCAGATTGCGCACTGCTTACCTTGAACCGAATCTCATGGTTCTCGGACTTTTGCTTGCCCTTCGACGAGGCAAACTGAAGAGCGTCTTCGCACTCTCGCCTGACCAGCGTCTGCTTCCCGACGGAAGCCGCGCCGACGACCGCAACCTGGAACTCGACCGATACGTATGGGTTCGAGCACGACGCGATTGTCGGGGCGAGCGTAGCGCTCTTGAGCAGGATCTTTGGATGAGCGGGGCCAGGGCCGGCGTCTCCGTTCGTCGCTCCGGCCTCGGGACTGTAGAATCCGCTCGCCGTCCGAGTAAACGATGCCTGCGGGGAGGTCAGCGTGGGCCGGTGGCGGATATGTCCAATGACTCGATCGCCGGCCTTGACGAGCGGATCGATGACGTTCTTGCTGAAGGACTCGACCATGACGCTGCTCTGTCGGCGCCGCTCGAAACGGCCCACCATCTCGACAGGGGAGTTGTCGAGCTCCTCGCCGGACGAGGCACTCGTTGCCCCGATGCTGAAGTCGGATGAACCCGCGTCGATGTTGCTATTCATGGGTGCGGTGGTGGATTTGGGAAGTCGTCGCAGAGGAAGGTCGGCTATCGCAAGTGCTGCCGCTCAATCACCGTGGGATGCCGGTCGCGCAACTGGATTGTGATTGACCGCATCATACACTTTATTCAGAAAAATGGGACAACAGCCGTTTCCATGAACATGTAGTATGTGATGTGCTTGCGTCTAGCTATGCCATAAGGAATACATCAAATCACTTTGGCAGCCTCCGAGTGAACACCACCGGTCGCTCTCCGGTCTCCACAATCGACCTGCACACTGGTTTCGGAGTGCCAGCGATGGATGGTGCTCTTGGACACACTGGCGAATGGTCATGGCCAGCGCGCGATAACATTGGGTAACAAAATATCTGATCAATCGTCAAAATCATGGGTGTCCCATTTTTATTGGATTGACTGTAATGTGGCCGGCTGGCCACCAGATACAGCATGTCGCTCGGCTGGTCTCTGGTTTAGTACTTTTGACCGGGGGTCTCGAACCAAGGGGCTCCGGCACGGGGCAGGGGGCCCTTGGGAAGGGGGGCCTTGGCGACAGAGGACGTGCCCGCAGATTCGCCGTGGCCGGCCTGGTTGGTCTGGGTGAGGGCAGCAGCGATTCGGCGGTCAGCAGCCGAGCGAAAGGATCCACTACGAGAGATCGGGGTGATACAGCAGGATACACAGCCAAACAGGAAGCTAAGCCAACGAGCGATCGCGCATTACCGTGAAGGTCAGGACAAAAGTGCTGTTGTTGACTTCCTGCTCCTCCGCGATGATGACCTGGGCTCCAGCAGGCTTCTGGCTGACAGGGACCACATCCTGCTTAAGAGACTTGGACAGGAAGGGCTGTTGCTGAGACAGAACCGTCTCGAGCTCGTTTTGCGGATCCTTCTGGAGCTCGTAGTAGTAGGTGATCTCATCGGTGGCTTGCAGGCCAGCCTTGTGATGAGGGGAAGGGCTGGATCAGTCCTCGATCACACGCAATCGGATACGCCCGACCTCGCACACCGGAACTAATCTCAGCACCTCGATCTGCAAATCTCGGGCTGCGCTCAGCACTAGAAAGAGACGCCGTGGCTCAGCGAGAGGCAGGCCGACCATGCAACAAGTAGCCTTACCTTCTTTCGCAGGCGCTGGATGCGGTTGATGACCTCGCGGGCGAGACCCTCTTGGATCAAGTTTTGGTCGAGAGTGCAGTCGAGGATAGTCAGGTTTTCGCGATCGAACTCGGCTTCGTAGTCGCCGGCGTTCTCAAAGTAGCGGATGATCTGAGATGAGGGAAGATGACCATGGTGAGTCGGGTATATGAGGCGCAGCCGTTCTGTCGAATAGCGGCTGTCACCAATACAAGATCGACAGGAGTGCAAGGGAGATGCTCAATGCCCCTCAAGCACACAACGACGCTTGCTGCAACCCCCGCACGTCGAACCCTGGGCGTCACCGATCAAGCTGTGGCGGCAGACAATGTACCTTGAGATCCTCCTCTCCAAGAGTAAAGCCCGCAACCTCGAGCTCGCGGGTCTTGACGAACTTGGCAATGTCGACTTCGCTAAAGTCCTTGGCCGCCGCGTTGATCTTGGCCGCGTCCTTCTTGTACTTGATGCCGATGTTCTTCTTGTCGGTTTCAATCTTGTACTTGACGCCGTAAGCTTTCTCGTCCGAGGTCACGGTGATGGTGCGCACGTTGACTTCCTATACAAGGACAGGAAGACACACGATAGCGGGTGAGAAGGGTGTCTCCCTCGTTTTGAGATGCACACCATCGAGACCATTGACTGGGTAGAAGGGAAGAAGGCGAATATCCCAAAAACGTCCTGGAACTTCCCGATGAGCGCTCGCGGACTGTCAAGCTAGTGAGTGCGACTGACCTCAACAATGTAGGACTCGAACGCCTTGATGTCCTCGAGGTACTGGGAATCGGCGTTGATGATGATGAGCTCCTTCAGAGGGGTCTAAGGAACGAATGGCCGAGATATGATCAGCATGGGGGGATTCTCTACTGACGAACACCTCAATCGGCGAAACGACAAGCATGGAAGACTTTCGCATCACTGCAGATCAAGGGACACACCTTCAGGGGGATGGTCTTCTTGTCGCGGATCACGCGGACCTGCTCGATGACAGTCTGCATGCGAGCAACAGCGCGCTCAATGTCGGCATTGAAGTACTCGGCCTTGGCCTGAGGCATCATCAGGAAGTGGACAGAGCGAGTGTCGGTCGATCCCAGGTTGGCGTGGACCTGGCGCAGGTTCTGGTACATGCTCTCGGTAATGTGCGGCGTAAAGGGAGACTGGCAAAGGACACATTATTAACGCGGGCAGGGATGCCGGGGCCATAGATAGACAACGTTCAATGCACACATACTACGCAGACGCGCGATGGAAACGCTCAGGGCAGGAAGCGGGAGGAGCACTCACCATCGTCTTGACGAGGGTGAAGAGGACCTCGTAGAGGGTGTCGAGGGCCTGGACGGCATCCTCGGGGCCGTTGTCACCCTTAAGGCGCTTGCGGTTGAAGCGGACGTACCAGTTTGTCAGCTCGTCAATCAACTTGAGCAGACGAGGAACGACCGTGTACAGGCGGTATGCTGCACGACAGGATCAGTCCGGAGAAGAGGTGCCAAAACGATCAGCAACACGGCAGCGGTGCGAACGTGCTTGGAACAAAAAGTAGCAGGCGACACCCTCCGCACCATAGCTACGCACCCGCCATCTCCTGGTGGACAAAGGCGATCAAGCGCTGGGTGTTGGCAAGGATCCAGCGGTCCATGACGTTGGTCGAGGTGTTCAGGGCAGTCTCGTTGTACTTGTACTCGATGCCGTGTTCCTTCTTTAGCAGAGCGACCTGCGAGAAGAAGAAGCGATAGGCGTTGTACCAGGGCAGGAACACCTTGGCAACGAGTTCCTTGACGCCTTCCTCCTTGAACCGGAGTGGCTCGGCTCGGACAACAGGCGAGTTGATGAGGTAGAGTCTGTGGAAGGAAGGATCGATCGATGTTGGAAAACCGAGCTTGGTAGGGAGCCTGCATGCGAGGCACGATGACACCCATTGAAAGGAGCCAGCATACTGGCCACAACACACACCTGAGGACATCAGCGCCGTGGGTGTCCATCACAACGTTGGGATCGGGATAGTTCTTCAAACGCTTGCTCATTTTCTTGCCGTCGCTATGTGTGAGTAGGTGCCAGAGACAACAGATAATCAGTAGGCCACTCGTGACAACTCTGCGTTCGACTCTCAGGACGAAGCACTTCAAGCACGGTAATGTCGGTACAGTTGGTGGCCGGAGACGACCAAAGTCGCAAAGGACAGAAGGATGTCGGCGCTTCAGATCAGAACAAGCAACGTACGCAGCCAAAACCAGTCCATTCACAATGACGTTCTTGAAGGGGGGACGGTCGAAGAGATGGGTGGACAGGACAAGAAGGGTGTAGAACCAGCCACGAGTCTGGTCCAGGCCCTCGGCAATAAAATCCGCAGGGAAGGTGGACTCGAACTTTTGCTGGTTCTCGAAGGGGTAGTGTTGCTGGGCGTAGGGCATGCTGCCACTCTCGAACCAACAGTCAAAGACCTCCTCGACTCTACGGAGCTGGCCCTTGCCCTTCTTCGAGGGAATGGTGATGTGGTCGATGCTGTCGCGATGCAAGTCGGTGATGCCGGTGACGCCAGAGAGCTCCTCGAGCTCGGCGACGGATCCGATGGCGACAATCTCCTCAAAATCCTCGCTGACCCAGAGAGGGATGGGGGTGCCCCAGTATCGGTTGCGAGAAATGTTCCAGTCGCGGGCATCGGCCAGCCAGTTGGCGAAGCGCTTGTCCTTGACAAAGTCGGGAACCCTTCAGGGAGACCGAGAAACAGTAGCGGGTAACGATGAGCCGGGGGGAAGAGAGGCGGACACTGTTGTGCCCATCCAAGTCGGTGCGACGATGCAAGATGTCTTGTTGGCAGAGATTCAGCCAAAGCGCCTACCAGTAGGTCTGGTCGTTGTTGGCAAGGAGCTTCTCGTTGATGTTGGAGACACGAACGAACCAACTGGGCACGGCCTTGTAGATCAAGGGTGTATCGGATCTGGGCAGACAGGGCCATTAGAGACATGCTTGCATATCCTCGAGCCAGCGATTCATCCAGTGGATGTGTGTCGCCAGGTGTTGTGCGATCAGAGAGTAAACGCTGAAGGCTGGGAGAACATGGCATGTCCGCCATCCGAGAGGTAGATATATCCTGAGCGGCCACATGTCAGTATCTGTCAAGGATACCCACCGATAGCAGAAGGGGTAGCTGTGCGAGAACTGGGTCTGGCGGATGAGACGCTCGCGCTTCTTGAGATCCTTCTGAATTTCCTTATCGGCGTCCTGAATCAACACAAATTCCAAGCCACCAACCGAAAAAAAAATGTGTGCGTCAGCCATAGATGCAGTAGCTTGGGATGTTTGTTGGAGTGGATACCTTCCATGACAGGCGGGTCGGGTGGAAGGGAAATAGGAAGGTGGCGTATCGACCCAGACAAAACACCAGCAAGTACACTGGGTGGTATCGAGCCACAGACCTTGATGTATTGTCCGGCATAGTCGGGAACCTCCTTGGTGAATCTGCCGACAGCATCGATGGGGCAGACCAGATCGCTCTCGTTCTTGATGACCTTGTTTTGCAGGCAAACACGGTAATCGTCTTCACCAAAGGCAGGAGCCTGGTGGACAACACCCGTGCCGCCCTCCTCGGTGACGTAGGTGTCGTTAACGACGACAAACGATCCCTGTCCCTGGCGCTGCAAGGAAAGAGATGAGTCAGCTGGATGCAAGTTTGGGATCGGCCTGATTCCAGCCACCAGTTTCCAAAGACCGGAGAAAAGTCGCTCTTGCCACAAGATGGTTCTTCTCAACGAATCAAACTCACATGGGAGAAATAAGGGAAGAGAGGCACGTATTCGAGTCCCTTGAGGTCAGAGCCCTTCATGCGGTCAAGGACAGTGAACTTGGCCTTCTTGACATCCTTGTAGAGAATCTCAAGGCGCTTCTCCATGAGGATCCAGATCTTGCCACTTTCTCCATCTGGAGCGCAGAGTCGTACGCATCAGGCTCGCCGATTAGAATGGGTCGATGTGGCATCGAGAGAATGCAAGCCTCGAGAAGCGCTCAGACAGGATGCCGCAGAGCTGCCTGGGAGCCGAGCACAGACAGCGGGGCCAGCACAAGGTGGCTGAAGCCTCGTCTGACTTTGATGCCGATCCACACCAAGTTATAGCACGATGCAGCATGAAGGATCCGAGGTACACTGCGGTCGCCGCTCGCCTGATCCTGGCTATACGCACCCTTGATCTTGACATAATCAAAGTTGGGGTTCACGCAAAGGGCGAGGTTGCTGGGCAATGTCCAGGGGGTGGTCGTCCAGGCGAGGAGCGAGACCTCAGGGTCGTTCTTGAGCGGGAACGAGACAACAACAGAGGGATCGATGGCGTCCTTGTAGTTCTGGTTGGCTTCAAAGTTGGACAGAGACGTGCAGATGGCAGTCGAGTAGGGCAGAATCTGGTGTGTATGGGGGGGGGAGAGAAGTGATGGGATCGGGTCAGGTTTAGCGACGCAGCGTGGGCCAGTGGCGCCAGATATCAGGAGCAGCGCCGGTCTGAGGGCATATAAGGCGATGCGAAAATGCCTGCTCGGCGTGGAAAAAGCAGCTTACTCTGAATCCACGATAGACCTGGTCCTTCTCGTAGAGCTGCTTGAAGACCCACCACACCGACTCCATGAACGAAGGATTCAGGGTCTTGTAGTCGTTCTTGAAGTCGATCCAGCGACCCATGCGGGTGACGGTGCTCTCCCACTCCTCGGCGTAGCGCATCACAATCGCACGGCACTCGGCGTTGTAGGCCTCGATGCCCATCTTCTTGACGTCCTCGGGGCCCTTGATACCGAGCTTCTTGTCGATCTCGTACTCGACAGGGAGGCCGTGGGTGTCCCAGCCAAATCGACGCTCGACATAGTGACCGGTTTGGTGGGCGTAGCGAGTGACGGTGTCCTGGAAAGAGGCGGCGGCGACACCGAAACATCAGCCTTGAGTTACCAGGCCACATCCCCAGACATTGCAGCAAGCATTGCAGCAGGCATCCAGACGGACACACTCGGCGGATCGGTTGCACACACAGGCCCCAGATACGCCCTGATCCGAACTTGGGGAGAAGCAGAGCGGCGGGTACCTTGATGGTGCCAGCAAGCAAGTGGCCATAGTGCGGCAAACCAGTGGCAAATGGAGGACCGTCGTAGAACGAGAAGGGAGGACGGCCCTCCGAGAGCTTCAGCGAGGTCTTGAAGGCGTCGATTTCTTTCCAAAACTCTTGAATTCTCTCTTCCTCCTTAGGGAAGGAGATGTTGGCGGGGACTGCGGCGATGCGGGTGCCGGGACGCGGGTTGGGTAAGCGAGCCCAATTTGGCCAGGAGATATGGGAGATGGTGAGCAAGCTGGCGGGATGAGATTGGACATGCTGAACGCAGATAGATCGGCAGAAAGCAGCAAATGTCGCCCGTACCTTCGATGTTGGACATGGCGGGCTTGTCAGCGACCTGTGCGGGACGTTGAGTGGAGAGTGGTTTGGAGAGAAAGAACAGAGAGGATCTGAAGGGGTGGTGGAGGCGAGTCAATGGTCGACCAGACAGTAGCATTCAATGGCTGGAGACCAGAAACCCCAGGGCAAAAAAAGAAGCACACGGGGTTGGAAACAAGGGAAGCAGATGGGGCCGAGGGGGAGGGCAGACGACGCAGCGTCTTTATGTGAGCGATCTGACTGGCGAGGGACCGGCTGTTGGGTGGCCAGGGACGATCACGCAGGAAGGAGGAAAAAAAATGGAGGCAGGCACCAACGTGCGATCTTGGGCAGATGTGTGTGTGTGCGCCATCGCCTTGCCTTCGCGAGCTAATCGCAGCGGCAGCTATAATCACGTGATGTTGGTCAGTGGTGTCACAGGCGGGCGATGCGCAGCAGTTGTGGGAATGGGAGGCGCATACGCACAGAACGGCGAGGGCGATGAGTTGGGCATGAGCTGGGCATGAGCTGGGAGGATCTGGACAACAGCAGCAACAGAGCTGGGCAACAGAAAACGACCGGTGAGTCACCCAAGAACGACAGACTCGGAGTGGGCGGTCGTTCGCGATGACATCTGCATTTTGTGGGACGCTTTTGACATGTCCAAATGGCAATGGGACACACCATCTTGTTTGGACCCAACCATCATCGTTGGGTCAAATCATTCCCCTGGGTCCATCCCATAATATCCCATCGCCATTGAACTCACACAAGCCACAAACCATCCACATGTTGAAGTGTCCCGTTTCAGAATACGCGCACTGTATTGACATGGAACAAACGACCCAGACTTGAGGAGGGGGACGATATGGCAAAAGAGCGCACGCGCTTGCACAGGAAGGGCTCTATAGCCGTCCATTGGACGGATCTATCCTATTCAAAGACACAGTCTCATCGCAGAATGCCGATCGGGTGGTGCAAAAGAACGAATGGAGGCAAAAAAAAAAAATGACAGGAAGCCAAGGCAAAAGCAGAATACTCAGTCCAACTAAAGGAGTTGCGGGCAGAGTGGAGGCAGACAAATTGCTTCAAAGAAACGAGTGGTGTAACCACAAAGGAGAAAGTGCCAGGTTACTGAACGTAGCGACATGCTTGGGAGGAGACAGTCGCCCATCCCAGCATGCTCCCTCTATTGAAACAGTCGGCAAAGCGGGCAGAATCACTGGGTGGTAGTGGTGGTGTTCTTGTGGCCTCCGCACTTGGGCTTGGCGTAAGCAGGGTTGTGCTTGAGGGCAGACGGGGAGACGTAGCCGGGGATGTTGTTGTAGCGATCGATAACGTGCTTCTGGATGACTTCGTAGCGACGGACCTGGTAAGGATCGAGCTTCATCATCTGGATGTAGCTGTCGGGAATGGGGAGCGGATGGCGACAGTGGATAAGATCCTTGGTGTCGTTGGCCGGAGGGGCCAGGACAGTAATGGTGGGCAGGGGGCTGTAGGTGGGGATCGGCAGGGACGTGACGCTGCTTGTCGGGACGGAGGATGTGGTGGCGCTGATGCTGTACGAAGGCACAGTTGCATTGGAGGTGGGGGTGGCCGTGAGGGTGGCATTCAGCGACGACACGACGGTGGTGTTGTATCCGTGGCCGGTGGCAGTGGCATTGACTGAGGAGGTGACGGTGGCATTGATGGAGGACGTGGAAGTGGCGTTGGCGTACGAGGTGATGGTAGCGTTGACGGCCGAGGTGGCAGTAGAGTTGGCGTACGGGGTTGCGGTAGCATTGGTGGCCGAGCTGTATCCAATGCTCGAGGTGGCATTGCCCGCGGAGCTGCTCGGAGCACTGACAGTCGAGTACCCGGGGGCAGACGGAGAAGCCGAAGCCGAAGCCGAAGCCGAAGCCGAAGCCGAAGCCGAAGCCGAAGCCGAAGCCGAAGCCGAAGCCGAAGCCGAAGCCGAAGCCGAAGCCGAAGCCGAAGCCGAAGCCGAAGCCGAAGCCGAAGCCGAAGCCGAAGCCGAGGAGGCGGTATTGTTGGTTGGGTAGCCATATTCAGGGGCGCCATCACGCTTGACAAACTTCGCACCGGAGGGAGGAGGAATCAGCTGAAGCAGGGCATTCTGGAACCAGAGCTGAGCGGGATCCGACGAAGCTGGCGTTGTGCCGCTGGTGGAGTTGCTTCCGACGGCGGGACACTTGACCTGAGCTGCGTTGGCAGTCAGGAATGCATCGAGGGATTGCGATTTGCTGTAAGAGTAGCATTTGCCCTGGATGTTGCTGATGTCCATAACGTCATTGACGGTGAGAGGCCAAGGATCGATGCTGTCGGTGACCAGGGCAGTCACCTTTTGGCCGCTGCCAAGGGTGGTGCTGCCGCCATAGCTGCGCAAGTAAGCAGGGCAGAGACCCTGCCATCGAGCCCAGATCTTGTCGATAAATCCGTGGTGCTGAGAGATCGGAGAGACAGGGTGGAAGAGAATCAGCAGGCTGCAGGCAAAAGCCGCGAGAAAACCCAGCAGCAGATAGTATCCAATCACGTGTCTCTGCATCGGTCTCTGTGTGCCGGGTGCCATGACATGGAGCACGACGGCTGCTGTTGCATGAGCCCTCCCTGTGCCCGTGCTTACCAGGAAGAAGATGGGATCGTTGGTGGAGTACAGCTGGGCAAGATCGCCAACGCTGCCGCCGAGGAAGCCGTGCACAGCGGCATGTGGGCTGCCCTCGATCGCAGTGTGGACGTCGTCGTAGGTGTTGAGGGTGATCAGGAAGTTGCCGACGGCTTCGGCCGAGGCGAGCGGGGCGTTGGCAACAAAGTTGCGGGAGAGGCAGCTGGCGTTGGCGACGCTCTGCCGGTCAAAGTTACGGTATCCAGCGGAGCCACCGTTGTTCCAGGGACCGGCGGGGTTGTTGACCCATCCGCCGGCAACGCCGTCCAGGACGCAGAAACTGGGACCCTGTCCGTTTCCGCCGAAAGCCGATGGAGTCAGGATGGGCGAGGCAGCAAAGTTCTGAGAGTCCACGGTCCTGTTTCGTTCGAAAGTGGTCAACATAGGGACAGGTCACAAGCCGCGCTGGTCGGGGGCTGCAACACGGGAGCGGCCACATGGAGATATCGGAGATGGGATGGCGTCTGCGGGGACATGTTGGCTCACCAGTCCCAGTAGGGCACGCTGATAGTGGGGTCGACACTGCGGATGACAGATTCGAACTGAAGCATGATCATTCTGTGCCAAGGCCAGAACAGAGGCTGTCGCGTGGGCAAGACGATCAGATGAAAAGCGGTAAGGTGGGCGAAGATGACAGTCGACCGGATGAGATGCACACCGGCTCTCGACCTGGCCGGGACGGGTCCAGAAGCAGGGCGAACTGAACTGAACTGAACTACCGGATTGCTGGAGAGAGGAGTGGGTGGGCGGGCAAGAGCCAGCGGCAGGACATGCGGCGTACCTGCGAGTGGGCAATGTTCATGTAGTCCCAGTGCAGCTTGACCATGTCGTCCCAGCCCATCGATGCCGGGTTGGAGACGGTGCCGCCCATTGGTCTGGACTTGAGCACCTTGACGGCATTCAGATAGGCGGCTTGCTGGGCGGGAGTCATGTCTCGCCACTCCTGGCGCACGGTGCACTGAGCGAGCGCCGAGCTGCTGGCCAGCAGGACGACAGCGACGGCAGCGGGGATCACTCTCATCGCGGCTGTTGAGGTGGATGGGAGGGATGGGCAGAGTCGGAGAGGAAGCAGCCCAGGCAGCGAGACGGAGCAACGGAGAAGGGAAACGGACCAGAGCAAGCCGTTTTGAGGAACGACGAGAGCCAGCGCCAGGCAGCCAGAGGCAGCCACAGAAACAGCGGCGGCAGCAGCAGCATGGGGACCAGAGGGCAGCAAGGACAGGACAGCCACAGAGGAGCGGTGCTGCGCCGAGCAAATAAGGCAGGAGCGCGCAGACACGACGCGCGCAGACACGCGCGCGGCTGTGCGGGCTCACACAGACTGCGTGGGGCGCCGCGCACGCGAGTGCTGCTGCGCATGGCGCAGTCGCACCGTGTTTGCGGCTACGCGATTTTTGCGGAGAACATGTGCGCGGCCCTGCCAGCGCTGATTCGTGCTGAGCAGGTCCCTCGCGCGACAGGGGTGGCTGGCCCCCTTGCCGCCTGTCGGCTTCTTGCCACCTGCTGGCTTCCTGCGGCTCGGTCCTTCGGCCCACCTGCTGTTCGGGAATGCAGCACGCGGCGCGGCTTCCAATCGCAGCCGCGCGGTCGGAGGTCCAGACGGACTTGTGGATGCATCGGGAAGTGCCTGGATCGCGTCTGCATCATCCTATATCGCGGCCGGTCGCCAGAGAGTGAGCCGCACATGTCCTCTCCGCCTCTCCGCCGCCGCTTGCGGTTGCTGGCACCCATGCTCCTGTTCGCGATGGGCCATGTCCGTCCACCAAGTAACGATGCTCTGCTTGCGCCAGAGGTCGAAGCCTCCTGTTTCGTGCCTGGTCCAACAAGCGTCTTGCCTCGAGCTGACAACGACCAGGCAGCCATCCGTCGCTCCACAGATCGCACGCGCATGAGCAGGTCATCGCAAGACGGGGCCGCCCGTACTGTCGGGCTCATGGACATACCGGGATGCCACCGCCTTGCGGAACATGAACTCGGTGTGCCAGTCGATCGTCGCCCTTGGATATCGACTAGATGCATTGAGGACTCTGCTCTCTGACCCGCTAGAATGGTCCCGATTGCCAGTCAGATCATCGCGGCTCATCTCCGTGATTATCGGAGTGATGGCGGATGCTGTCCCATTGTTTTGTCCTGGTTGCGTGGCCACTCCAGACAAAATACGGGGCGTTGCGAATGGCCGCCCACTCCAGGTCCGTCGCTCTTGGGTGACTCACCGGTCGTTTTCTGTTGACTCAGCTATGCTGCTGCTGCTGTTCCGTGTTCCAGAGGCCCAACATGCCCTGGGAGTCTCGGTGCCAACACTCAATCGTCTTGGCCATGAGTGACCTGCGCACCACGTCCAATCCCTATCCGCACTGACATTCCAACCCGGCAGCTCAACGGCACCGGGCATATCGCAGTGCTACCGCCGTGTATATTCAGAGCCGGTGACCAGGACACAGGCGACCAGAACACAGCCGTCCTCGGTCTCGGTTGACAAGCGATTTTGCTCCGTACCATCCACGTTGCCATCCATGCTGCCATCCATGCTGCCATCCATGTTGCCATCCATATCTGCTGGGATGACGGCTCCATTGCCCACGCACTCCATGCTGCTGCCGATGCTGCTGCCGATGCTGCTGCTCAGATCCTGTCCAGGATTTCGTTGGCCACGCGCCATATTTGGAGCTGTTTGTCTTTGCTATCCTTCAAGTAGCCAGGCACTCGGATCTCGCTGCCTGACGGACCAAGCAGCCCGGGAGACCGATGGTGTCCGTATTCCGGATCGCTTGCAATCGACACAATTGTCTTCGATACCTTCTCGGCGCTTGGGAATAGAAGCGGCGCAACCCAACTAGCGGGCTTGGCGATGAGGCAGGGGAATCCTGCACGGCCCAGGGCACATCGGTCAGCCGGTACATGTGCCCAGTCTATCGACCTTCATACATCCCGAGCGAGAGAGCCACACTCCGCACTCCGTATTTACCTCCATTCGCCAAGGCATTCGTCGCGACTACTCCCGGAAACATGTGGTAGAAGCAAGGCTTGGATGGGTGATCCTTGTATCGCTGACCAAGCTCCTGCAACGTGTGGATCACAGAAACATCTGAGCATCAGTCAACGGTGCCTTCCGGTCGTCCGTCTTACGGCAGGTCCGTTCGACTTGGTGCACTTGTCCACGCCAAGTGCTATCGCTGGAGTCTCGGGAGTCGCCCGCTGGCTCACCAGGGTCGTAAGATCTGTCAGGGTCGCATGCACGACAGCCGCGCGGATGAAGCTGAAGCCATGTTCCAGCTGCAGATCCTCGTAGTCGATCGATCCGCCATTGCCGGCCCCCAAAACATTCACGATGCGGGTATCGTGCCGGTGTTCCAGGATGAAAGGAAGTAGCTCTCGGATCATCAGAAAGCGCGACAGGAAGTTGAGCGCAAATCCAGACTCGAGTCCTGTCGATCATGCGGTAGGGAATGGATATGAAGGTACCGCCGATCCCACGGACCCAGATCAGCAAGTGGATCAAGGATGCCAACACATTCTCCTGGTCTTGTGATGTTCGGTCGGTACTGCCGGAGCGGCATGGGACTGTTGGATTACGAAAACAGGCCGGGCCGCCTCACCTTCAGATGTCAGACGACGGGGCCCATAGTTCAGATTGCCGGCACAGAGGACCACGGCACCCAGCTGGGCCTGTTCGCTTCGGAGGTCGGAGACGAACGAATGACAAAACTCGCGACAGCCTTTCATGCTGGTGACATCCAGCTGCCGGAATCGAAAGCGGCTATCGGTCGACGGCGCTGCCGCTCGCATGCGGGAGACCACCCCCTCGCCGAGCAGCGAGTTGCGGCCCACAATCGTCACCGACGAGCCCATCGCCGCAAATCGGAGGGCCGAGGCCGCACCCATTCCCTGGGTTCCGCCTGAGTCGCAGCACGAGGATTAGAGCAGGCGGGTGCGGTTGTGTGGCTCTCATCGGCAATAGTGCATTTGGCCATACCAACAATCAGGACAGCTTTGCCTTTCATGGTTCTTGACTCGTATGCAGAGTAAGTCCTTCGAGCGGCTTGATGGAGAGCGCCGCAAGAGAGGCCAGTCGCTTGCGCTCGTTGGCGATGGCATCCCGGCTCTGGCGGGGATTTCAAACGTTTCTCCCGCAGCGGCTCCGCCATGGCCTTGCTTCCCGATCTGCCGCATCGACTGCCCCTGCATTCCACCGCCCTGATCGCCCCTTTCTCGCCGATAGCCGCCACTGCCGATCTCTCAGGGCCCTCCTCGGCTACGTACCGCCGCCGCAATGAGACCGACATATCTGCGCATCCGCTCAGACACCCCGTCCGATTCCGCCAAAGCCACCCACCAGGTCTCCCGCGACCTGCTCTCCTCGTCGCTGTCTGTGCCGGTCGATCCGTCGCTGACGCAGCCCAGTGCGGAACTGGCCTCCAACAACATCCTGGTGCGCTGCGACTGGTCCAGTGCCTTTGATTCGACCCAGATCGACGCCTACTTTCAGGACAATGCCGTCGACATAGCGCTGGCCGTCACAGTGACCAACGGCTCAAGCATGTGGTTCAAAAACGGTTAGTGCTCGCTCGCCAGAAGCACTCCCAGAGCTGTCCCTTGCGGATACCTGCCGCATCTTGTTCACGGCCATATCTAAATACTTCAGTGACCGTACGGGACCTCTCACGATGCAAAATGTCGACCAAAATGAGGCTGAATGAGTTCTACCAGGCCACGTTTTCGGCCCTGTCATCCGAACGAGATACCAACGGCCGACGCAACCTCTGCACAGTCGTCTTGGACGAGTTTTTCTGCCAGGTGGGAGGATGAGTGGAAAGGCTTGCGCCGAGCACGATTGCCGTCTGATAGGACGACCTGTTCTGACCAGCGGGCTGACTCCACAGATAACATGGACGGTGTGCACCGAGACCGAAGCCAACACGATCAAAGTGGGTCCCAGATACTCAACTTGGGTGGATCAGCAGATGGGTCTCTGATTTGAAAGGCGGAGCAATCTCTCCGCCGGGCTGGCTCGAAGCCTCCAGCGCAGACCGAGAGACGGTCGTTCTTCTGAGTGTGCCGGACATCCAACAGATCCTTCTGACTGCACCGGGTCTCTGCCGAGTGTCTGTCGAGTCCCTGCCGGATCTCTGCCGAATGAAGCTAACTGCTCATATATCCGTCGATTCGTGCGGCTGTGACTTGCCCAGTTTGACCTTGGCTCGCTCCAACTCCCTGTCATGAGCGAGCAGACTCGACAACACACATGGTTTGACTGGATCGATGGCCTGATCGCCGAGCGGAACACCCTTAAGGTTCGGAGGCATCCATGGCCGTTCTTTTGTCGGGCCGTGGGCTGAATTTGGCGCTGCGATTGGCATGGGCATCTGCGCCGTCAAGCATCCCACTTGAACGCGATCTAGTACAGTGTCGATTGCGCTTGGCGCTCACTTACACGGCCGCCAAATGCACATCTCTCACCAACAGGACCAAGTTGTCGCCCTCGAGACCAAAACGGAGGACCTACGCAGCCAGCGCAACGAAGCTATCGATCAACTTCAACGATGGGTGCAAGAGAATCGGATCGACGCCGAGGAGCGGCTCTACAAGAAGGTATCGATTGCTGAGGTCACTGAGGTCACTGAGGCTACTGAGGCCACTGAGGTCACCGAGGCAGCGGCTTTCGGGGCTCATCTTCCGGTGTGCGCTGACGAGTGTCTTGGAATTCTTAGTTTGCTGTCATCGTCAATCGCAAGAAGCACAAGATCCGAAGCCTCATGAAGGCCTTGAAAGCCCATGGTGAGAGGGTGCAGCCACTGGGTGCAGCTACTGGGGTAGCAACATCATGGGATCTGCATCGCCGGCATGATATCCTCAACGAGACTGTCCCAGCATGGCAGCGTGGATCGGGGACGGCACAGACACAGATAGATTGAAGCGATAAAACTGCTGTACCAACCGCCGGTAGTATCGCGCACTGGTCTGATCTGGGTCTGCATTGCGTGTCTGTAAAGCCAAAGCGACCCAAGAGACTCGACTATTGATCGAAAAGCAGGCCAAACACCGGGTCAAGAACGAGCCCATCGACGAGTCGGCCAGCAGCAATCTCTCAGAGTCTCTGTACGTGTCTGCATCAACGTAGCCACCACCGGCTCCCCGCGATACTGAGGCGCAGTGCCCTCCATCCTGACTGGTTCTACATCTGACGTTCTTCCAGATACCCGAATGCACAAGATACAGGCTATGATGCTGATGAATCGAGCACCCGTGCCGTCTCGAAGCGAGCGAATCACCATGTGGATGTTGGTGCAGATGGCCAATCTTCCGACCCTCACAGCCCCACCGTGACGCCGCCCAAGCGGCCTCGGCTGAAACAGGACGACCACGGCGACGAGGACGACCAGGACGACGAGAACGACGATGACGAGGATGCTCCTCCTCTAATCGGCAAGGCTGGGGCTGCACTCAGCACCCGATCGGCCATGAGGTACATTGCTGGTGCAGGATAATGAGCTGCGGGCTGCACTGCTCTTGACGCATGCCATTCGCGGCTCACCTTTGATCTTTCATCACTGCACTCAGATCAAAGAGAGACGCCGAGCCAGCGGGCAAGCTTCAAGCGCCGTCACCAACCTCCAGCACAGGGTTTGCTGTGCCGACGACAGCGAGATCGACGCGCGTGTCCCGGCTATCGTCCATCACGAGCCCTTCGGTTTCGCCGTATGTATCCGCCAGCTTTGCTGTTTTTCCAGTTGCTCTGCTATGCCTTACGCCGTCCGTGATCTGGGACGACACACTGGCCTTGCGACTGATGCTCGTTTGTTGCTGGCCATGGCGCCAGACTTCGCAAGGGCCGCGGCTCGAGTCGGACTCTGGACTCCAACCAGAACAAGACACAAGATGCCGAGGAACTCCTGCGGCGGCTCGGATAGCGACAACGTACTGTCCGGGCCACTCCTGCGTCACGGTGCCGACACGCGGCCAATATATTGCAGTCGACCAAGATCTAGAGAGCGCAGGTCTTGTGCGACTTGCGAATGGGATGTGGGACTCTGATGCGAGCAGGCAAAAGGACGTTGTTTGGAAAGGATTTGGTCCTGCGGCCACTGGGCAGGGACACAGACACCAGGAGCCATTTAAAGCAAAGTGAGTCCCGCTAAAATACATTGTGAGAAAGAGCAAAGTTGCGAGCGGGAACACTCACGCCTTCCACTTGAGATAGCCGTCGCCAATGACGGTGGTTTTGCGGTCCAGGATGTCCTCAACGCGCTGGCGGACACCCCACATCTCTCTGCGGCGCTCGCCGGGGGTCTGCGCGGGGTCGCGCCAGTTCTCCACAAAGTACTTTGCGCCGCCCGTCAGCTCCTTCGGGAGCCGAGATGTCTGATCCAAGTCGTCGTCGTCGAGGAAGGTGCCCCAGTTCTTGGCAAACCAGTCAATGACCTCTTGGCGAGTGAGCGCAAACTCGCCAACCGACTTGACTTCGCCTGGCATCGGCAGATGAATGCGGTTAGGACACCTCCTGTGGAGGGGGCGGGAGAATACCACGATGCTTGCACTGCGAGGAGTCTGAATAGATGCACGATTCTGCGGGCTGACAGTAATCCATACCGGTGACGACAATGCGCACATCTTCGATAGAAGGCAGCCCTGTGACGGTGCGGTGCGCATAGAACTTGTACGTGCGATCGGTGAGCAGCGGAAGCTCCTCGGATTTGGCTCCAAAGTCGAGCTGGGGCAAGAACTGTGTGTCGATCTGCTTTTGGTATTGCTTGATGTTGCCGAGGACGGTTTCAAGGTCTGGGCTCCATTGGATCGGCTCCGGGCTCTTTTCCTTCAGCACCAACCGGACACCCTCAGAAAACTCCGAGTCGGTATCGTGCTGCTCACGGCATCAGAGTTAGAACATATCCGAGGAGGGCAGCAATCAGCCGAAATGCTGATGGAGTCGCCAAGAAACACTCAGACTGCATCGATAGTTACAATCATGGCCTTGGCAATCTGGTAGTCCATGCGGAAACACGAAGCTAGATCCATAGTATCCGCCATCTTGAGCTGCTTCAGCGTCAGCAGGAGGTATTGGGGCCGCTGGCGCCTGATGAGCTTGATGATCTCGGATGCAAATTCAGACTTCTGCATTTGCCAACATGTGGGCAGCCCGATACAGGACGGTTAAGAACATCGGTTGCGACTATGCCAGCAGCAGTCCGACTCGTCGGGAACGGAGCAAGTCGAGGGGTATCGGATACGCACCTCGGCTTCGAGAGCCCGCAGGATTTCGGGAAGCGTGTCCTTGGCAAAGCATCTGATGCGATACCGACGAGAGTCAGCTCAATAATACTTTTGCCACCTCTCAGTAGATGCGAGTTGCATGCGAGGATACCTCTGGATCAGATCGCCGCGCTCGCCGCCCAGGATCCAGTTCTTCCAGTCGTCGGTTGAGGGTGCGCTGCCTAAAGCAGGAATCGCGTGAATATCGGTCTCGCCGAAACGCTTTCCGTGCAGGCCAGACGGGTCCACCAACTCAATCAAGCACAAGAAATGTGGGCGATCCTCTCGGCCCGTACCAACAAACTCGTTGATGATCAGGTTGATAGCTCGGATGTCGCTGGATTCGAGAGCCCCGAGGCGAGCAATAAGGCTCGGTATGCGCTCGGACGGAATATAGTGGGTGGCAATGCCGGCCATGCTGAACAGAAGGGCGGGTGTTGGCGAGGACCGGCGAGTGAGTTGAGTCGACACGAATGGCATACTCCAGCGCAGCTTCGGTGCCGAGTTTGCTTTGTCTGGGCGGGGTACTCACACGGTCTCGATGCCCTTGAGCTTGTATCCAGAGAGCGCCAAAAACTTGCCAACAGGGTCGCCGTCGGGCATCCGCGAGAGGAAGAAGGAGACCCCGCCTCCGATAAAGAATCCCACTCGCCCTTCAGCGACACTAACGACTGTTTCCTCGGTAGCGAGGCGAACCGGTGCATGGATGGCCAAGCCGAGACCGCCGCCCACTGCGCGACAGAGCGGATTGGGCGAGAGAGAGAGAGAGGGCGAGAGGGGTGTGAGACTTTTGAGCCTTGCTTCGGAATGTTGTGGCATGCGACGACAGGAGCCCCAGGATTGCGGGATGGGAGTTGCAGCATTCTCGTAGCGATGAATGCTGGGTAACCCCGACGATGGAAGGCTAACGAACTGTTGCCGAGCCGAGCGATACATGCGCTGCACAGCGGACAACGTACTCGTAATTCCGTCCAGAATGGCAACCAAAGGGGTGTCCAGAGTTGCGAGCAGATGCTGGGCAGTGTAGGTCTTGTTCAGCAGGCCGAGGGCCTTGGCCCTGGACTCGTCCGTCTTTTCGTTGATGAGCTCGGCAAGACCTATGGCGCAGGGGAAGAGCGCACAGATGATCCATGGATGAGCGACAGAGAATTTGATAGCCCAGCGGCCTGGTGGGCGAACTGCTGCCAAGGATGTTCATGAGAATGCTCTGGCATGCCACTCACGGATGGCATCGACTCCGGCACAGAAAGCCCGTCCGTCTTCGGATTCCTCAATGACCAGGGCGTTGATGTCAGTCTGATCCCAAGCCTAGAGACCAAGCGGGGCGATTTCGGAGCAGCGCCAATCCCAGAGCCGCGGATATGTGTCGAACCAGAACCAGAACCAGAACCAGGGCGGTTATCGGGGCAGCAGCAAGTCAGTATTGAAGCGGAGGCGAGTAGGGTGCTTCCAGGTAAGGGCCGCTGCAAGCACTGCCGACAGATCGACAGCGGTCGAAGAATGTCGAAAAGATGCCACCAGCCGATCGATGGCATCACAGCCTCCAACATGGCATATTCCCTCACGCTGGCTGCTCAACGGCGGCCGGGCGAGACCTGCGCACCTGGAAGTTGTCCAAGATCGCTGTGATCATCTCCTCGGTCAGAGCATTCAGCGACTCGGGTCGATTCAAGACCATCACACGGCCCTTTCTCTGGTGATAGATCTGGACAGTGGGCACAGGGGACGGAATTGGCTCGGCAACAGGCTCGAGTACGGGCCCAGACCCGGGTTTGTGTTGGTCGAGGCTGGTCTCGGGAATGCGTTCAGAGGTGGACTCGGTATCGCCGTTGGCCAGGACCGGGGTGGATTCATTGCACCGAGCGGAGGTGGATGAGAGTGACCGGAAGATGATGCAAGGCTGCTGCACAGCGAATCGTCCGTGCGGGACTGGTGCGGCTCTGGGGACCGGCAATGGGCGGATGTGGTGCCGGATGGGTCGTAGAAGCTGGACCCGGACGAGACGGAGCATGGCGCTGGATGCTGGAGGTTTGCTAGCACAGACGGCCTAAGGCCTCGGATGCAGTGCGCAGAGCGAACAAGCTAAAGGAAGAGGGCAGATCCGCAGTGCCGGCGTCGACCAAGACCAAGATCAAGACCAAGACAGGCGGAGATGGGGCTGGCAAGGGATGCGCAGGACCAGCCAGCCTCCTGCCCAAGCCAGGCACGACAGTGATTCCAAAATGAAATGGGACACCCCCGTTTTGAGCTATGACTGTGTTTTTTTCTGGAACCTGAATACACCCACCCACTCATCGCAATCATGGCCAAGCAAGTATGCCCAAGGAGACCGATGTGGTGATTGCCTTTGGGAATGCCTCCTGGAAACAGGGGAGGGATATGCATCCAGTTCCAGGAGACTCAGGTTCGCCAAGTACTTTGAGCAATTCCACCACCACCAGAGACACCCACCAGACCGATCCGTCTCCAAGATCCATGTGTGCTCGGTGAACGAGTTCAACACATCCCAGGTGTGCTCACATTGTCGGGAAGCCAAACGGCTCGAAAAGGTCGAGCATCTTGATATCGAGTTAGCATGGAACTGTCCAGAGAGTGGAGTGGATGCACTACACAGAGAGATTGCCAACCAGGACGGGAAACAATCTCACGGCTTGCCCACCGGGGCCTACAGTTAGTCAGCGGGGTTCAGACATCTGAAGCCAGAAGGAACTGTCTCGTTTCTTTCTGGACCGACTGTATAGACTATTTCCCGCCCAACCGACAGACGTCATGACGAGCCCGAGGCTCGACAGACAGATCCGCTTAGCGGCTGCTCAACCAATATATTTTCCTCGGCCAGCCTTAGTCGGCACGGACACCGATCCGGCGCTCATACTCCCTCAGCAGCTGGACACCTCGCACAGCGGCCTGGTAAAAGTAGCCGGGGATGACAAAGCAGCACCGAGTTCCCCGACCCGAGGGCGGTACATTGATCACCAAGGGATTTCGCAGGATCAAGATGTGTTCGGATTTCGGCTTCAGTGGGACCATCTGGCGGAACTGGATGTACCCCACCTTCTGCTTGTTCCAAAGTCGGAAGTACCAGTTGCCAGCATCGTCGGGGTTGGCGTCGACCGAGGGATGGAGCTCCATGTACTGGAACTGCAGCTCTGTGTGAATGAACGAGAAATTGAACCGCATGTCGATATGCGACAGCCCAAACCAGACTGGCTCCTCGATTTTGTCCGGCATAAGCACAAAGATGTCGCCCTTCTTCAGCCCGTGGTAGAGCGGTGGTAACTGCAGCTGTGGGGCAGGTCGGTAAGTTCATGAAGAGATTAAAATCAGGGACTTTGGCGCAGCATTCTTCCGCAGCGACTCCCAGCCAACAGCAGCGATGGGTCGCCCTAACAGACGTGTGTAGCGCCGACAAGCAACATTCGACTCGCCCGCACCTCCTCATCATGAATATGAAGTTGAGCGCTCAGACGGACGGTGCTTTCGGGCTGGTTGTTAGTAGAGCTTGCTCGCCGACGTTTGGGCGTGGCAATACGACTGGCGGCGGGTCTAGCCACAGGCTTTTCACTATGGTTGTCGCTGTCGTCATTGCTGGCTTCCAGGACTTCGACGCTGCCGAATGTTACGGTTTTGCTTCCGCTAGTTGGGCTCGTGCGCTTTCGTCGCAGCGAGCGGCTGGGCGTCTCGGGCTTGTCGACCACGGGCATCGCCTCGTTTTTGGAAGATGACCTCTCCTTGCGACGACGGGATCCAGGCGTCGCTGTCAACTGAGTGTCGACATCGTGCCTGTGTCCATCGACATTGGGCTTGAAATTGGTGGCAGGGCTTGTATCTGCATCCACCGCAGCGCCATGGATACCGAGCATACCACCGAAATGGGCGTCGACATCGGAGTTGTCGGCATGGACATATTCATGGAAATCAACATCGCTGTCGGTCTGTGAAATGGCTGGAGGGGCAGGCACTGCATAGGCATCAGCGCTGGCTGCGACGGACCGACTGCGCTTTGGATTGTCACCATTCTTGTGGCTCAAAGAGTTGGGCCCAAGTTTGGGCTCAGGCTCAGACTCGACCTTAGTCTGAGTCTGCGAGTCGGTGGTGTGCGAGCTCGCGGTTTGAGTCTCGCCATCGACCCTGTGAGTGGGCGGGGCATTGCTTGTCGCTGGGGGATCGGACTCACGGCCGGACAGGGGAAGGGTCTCCAGCCGAGCTCTGAGGGCGCTGTTTTCACGGGCTTTGGCCTGGATCTGGGTGAACAGAGCCTCGACGAGGGAAATAAACTGATCTCGAGTGGTGCATTCCAGGGCCTCGGGATGGTCGAGAATGGCAGGATCTACGTTCTCGATGTACTGGTTAACGATCGAGGACATGTTGGCCTTGTGCTCGGGCAGAGTGAGCGGATCGTCCACGTCGGGCTTGGGCTTGATCGGGCGAGGCAGTCCCTCCTGGCTCGCTGGCGGCAGATGGCTCTGCGGCATCGCCGGCTGCGAATCTGGGAAGGTTAAAGATACCAGATTGATGGAGGACTGCGAGTCACGAGGATCTTCGTACGAACCCGAGAGCGACAGAACATCGGGGCTGCAGGATGTCTGTCGTGCCTGGGCCGGGTTTGTCGATTGAGAGGCGCTCTGACTTGCGGCGAGGGGCTCGCCGGAGAAGTTAGGGCCGAAGACCGATCGATACTCTTGTGTGTACAGGCTGATCTGGGTGCCCTCTGGCTGGGACCCGTATCTAAGGGCACCGTCTTGCGAGCCTGCGAGGGGCACCATGATTCACCCGGAGGTTATAAAATGGCTCTGTTGCTGCAGCATCAGCAAGATTGCCGAGGTTACCTTGACCTTCAGAGTCGTTGTGGGCCATGGCGGCTGCAAGCTCCCCTGGAACGAGGCGGCAGGACGAAGGAGGGCCGGGCCAGAAGACCCGTTGCGGAGATGGGCTCATTGCCGGATGCCGAGGGACAGCGGTCACGCGTGCATTCGAATCAGCGGGGCTGGACACTCCGTCGCTGCAGGACAGGATGCGGATCGATTGATTGCCTGACGGAGTGCTGTCGCTCGATTGCCTGGCTGAGTGCTGCGGTGATGGCCTCGGCGGGTGGGATGCCCAAGGAAACGTATGATGCGACCCAACCCGGCGGGCGTGTGTCCGAAAGCAGCCATATGCCCCCATTGTTCTTTCAATGCAGTGCATGAGCCGCCAGTCCTTGCATCTCAGGAGCACTGGGGTTCGAATGCCCGATGCAGCAGCATCCGGCTTGGACTATATTCTCATGTACACTGCATGTTGCTTCGCCTGCCACGGGCTCGCTCAACTCGGGCAAACTGATGCGAGCGACATCGTCACTGTGACTGTTACGCGGTGATGGTTCCCACGGGCCCTCGGGATTCGGCATTGGCATTGGCATTGGCGTCGGCGTCGTTGTCGGCGCTGACATCAGCTTGCGGTCGTTGCCGGGCTCGGATATCGGCTTCGCGCTGTCGCAGCACCGTGAGCATCGCAACAAGCTCCGGCTCGGCGTGTCCCGCATCGATCCAGCTGTTGATCAACTTGTCGTAGAGCACAAACAGCGGCCCTCCTTCGTCCGACACCTCGTCTTCATCCGTTTCGTCCTTATCCGCCTCGTCTTCACCCTTGGATCCGTGATCCAGCTGGCTCTGGGCTTGCTCGACCGCTTGATCAAGTGCATCCAGCTTGTCGGGCTGCAAAACCTGTGCTTCGAAGAACGACACCACTAGTGCTTGGTTGCCGTGTCGTCCCAGGGCCGTGCACACGCTTTGGTATACCGAAAGAGCCGGAACAAAAGCAAGCTTTTCAGCATGGTGCGGATCTGCTGATTCATCCGAAGGGCGGGCATCTCCTGCTGCAAGCTGACGGCCAAAGCCCACCAGCTTGTCAAAAGCAGCCAGCACAGTCTCAGCGGAGCTCTCGCAGACCACAAGTGACTTGACAAACAGGCCATAGGTCTCGACAGATACTGGGCGTGAGGGACCTGAAGTCACTGGAGCAGCGGAATCGATCGCCGGTGAGGCGGCTTCGGTCAGAGTCGAGCCGTCGATATGCCTGGTGGTGCGTAGTAGTCGCTCCAGCTGCGACTCGATCCTCGAGCCGATCAGGCTCTCGAGTGTTTCACGCATGCCAAGAGCCGCACAGGCGTGCAGGACATATTGATAGGACTCGTGGTCGGCCTCGATCGAGAACCGCTGGAATAGCTTGAAGGTCTGGAGCACGAGAGTGTGCCGTTCGTGGAGAGCGTAGAACTCAAGATAGGCGTTGAGAAGGTGGCTGGAGAGAGACCCCCGGTATGGATGAGCAATTTCATATGCTGTCGCCGTCACTGTCGCTAGAGGCCATCGAATCGCTCACAGGATGGAGGCGACTGGTGCATATGCAGCTGGGACGACGGAACTGCGACGGGCCTGCAGCGGGGGCGAGGCGTGCACCGACAAACCAGATCCAGTCCAAAACGATGCCTACCGGTTGTATCGAATCCTGGCCTTGGTGACGACGGCAGAAACCCACTGCATGTCGCTCTCCGAGTTCAGCAGCGTCGCAGACTTGACCAGCAGCTCGGCAAGGTCCGAGTCCCACCGCACCTCCGACTTGCGCAGGGAGTTGATGACCTTGCGGGTCGCAACGCTGTCCTCGGCCTCGACAAAGTACAGCAGCAGGTTCTTGTAGATCTCGAGATTGGGCTGCACCTTATTGGCGTTCATGGCGCCGTAGATGTTCCAGAGGATGTTCTTGCCGTGGTGAAAGTCAGAGCTCCGCATGACGGAGCGGTAGATGTACGCGTAGGCATCCGGGGTGAGGCCGAGCTTTTGATGCTTGGACAGGTGGAAATAGCGGATGACGGCGTCGGCATCATGGCGGTTGACGAGGATCAAGGCCGAGACCGTTGCGGCGTCGGGACGCAGTCCAAGTGTCTCCATGTCACTGGCCAGGCGCTGCACAAGTGTCTGCACCGAGACCGGCAGCGGATCATCCGAGTACGGCTCGCCCGTGTATGCAGCCGTCAGATGTTCCAGCAGCAGGTTGAAATGCTCGGCGGTCAGGACAAGCTGTGTCGACGGAATCGCGAGGAGGTGCCGATAGAGCCGCTCGACATTTTGTTCCGAAAGCAGGCAGCGCTGGCGAACGGCCGTGAGGGCAAACAGAAGGTTGTCGAGCCCGAGAGTGTCGTGGCTTTCGAGCTCGAGATTTTGGGCAATCTGCCTGAACCGGGCGTGGACAGACTGGGTGGAGATGGCGCTGTGAGGGTCGTCGTCGTCGTCGACCGCAGGAATGGACAGGAACGGTGGGCTGGGCCTCTTGGCGATGGCCTTGGAAGCAAGCTTTCCTCTCGTGCGGCCTCGCTGTACGAGACATGCAGACGTCGAGGCGATGGACCGAGTGCCCTGGATCGTCAAGAGATCGGCAGTCCATGGACAGCACGCAGCCGAGGCAGAGCGTTCAACGATGGGAGAAGCGCACTGCCGGAAACGCAGCGCGATCGGTATCCGGCAGCGAGCCACCAGCTGATTCATCGTTGTGCTGAAAGCGGCGGAGGTGGAAAGCGAATGCAAGCGGTTATGGCACCAGCGATCGGCCGAGGGCGGGAGATTGAAGGGCGAGGACGATGACGGAGGGACGGTGTCGGGAGGTGGAGGCGGCGATCATGGGCACAGACAGAAAACGGGCTGCGCATGGTGCACAGGACCAGATGAACTGAGTGTTGAAACAACAGTGGGACGCCCAGGTCGTTTGGTCCACCACCTCTTCACCCATCGCAGGCACCTGCATGCACATGGACAGACAATGAAAGACGACGCTGTCCAAATGGAAATGGGAAGAGTCCCTTTTTTTCCTGAATATTATGTATGGACCAGACCACACAGATCATCCTCCCAAGGGCGTGCTCCCTCCACTTGGATTGACAGTATTCGCACGGGATATGCTGCTCACGAATGCACAGCGATACGGTGGACAACACAAACACGCATCAGAGCAAGTGGAAGCGAAGTAACACGTCGACGAGGGACAGGATGCGCAGAGTGGTGTTGGCAGGACGGAAGCCAGACGCTTATCGACCGACGCGGATGATGCCGGCGTTGATGAGCGTTCGGATCTTGGAAGCAATGGCAGGGTTCTTCATATGGCTGGCAAGGCGAAACAGGCTCGTCAGCGGGACACGAAGCGGTTTGGCAATCTCTGCTGGCGATGGAGGAGAGACCATTGGTGCGGCAACTCTGACACAGTCGAGGGGGGGGGTAATCAAAACAGAACCCAGCAAGCTGACTTACTCGTTGGCGGCACGAGGATCCTGCTGCATCTGCTGCAGAATCGTCTGCATCACAGGATCGGCCAGGATCTCCTGGACTTCGGGATCCTGCATGGCTCGCTTCTGGGTCTCGGTATCGTCGCCCTGCTGAATCTGGTTGAGGGAGAACATGCATCGGTTGATCTACAAAGGTGGTCCAAACAGCAGCAGAGGGAACGAGTTAGCTTGGGCTCAGGCAATCAGGTCGGCGCGCGGCCTTCAAATGGACTGGATGTTCAACGGATGACCCATCGCACCAAAGCCCGACCACACAGGCCGCAATTCAGCAACGCAATGCGCTTGACTCTCGTTTGTCTGATACACAGCCTTCGAGCCCACATCGGACACGCACCTGGTTCTCAATCTCCTCGGTGTGCTTTTGTTCGGTGTCGCGCTCCTTGGCCTCGTTGCACAGATCAATGCACTTGGTGTACTCCCGCTTGGTGAAGAGAATGGCGGCCTTTCGGATGTACGCCTTGACAAAGCTGGGGTCGAGCTTGATGGCAGCGTCACAGTCCTTCTCGGCCTCGCTAAGCGCCATCAGCTTTGTGTAGCATGCAGCGCGGTTGGAGAAGTTGCGAGGATCCTGGTCGTTGCGCTTGATCGCCTCGGTGTACTCCTTGATGGCCTCGCTAAACTTTGAGTTCTTGAAGAGCTCGTTGCCGCGCTCACGGGCTTCATCGCTGAGCTTGGGGTCGCGGTAGGCAAGGCGGTCGGCTTCCTTCTTCTCCTTCTCGAGCTCGCGCAGCTTGTTGAGGGTGTCGGGGGTGCGATGCTCGGCAAGGGAGTGGTTGTAGTTCTTGATGGCCAGCTCAAGATTGCCGAGCTTGTGGTGACTGGTGGCGATGCGGGCAAAGGCGCTAACGAAGGGAAACGAATGTCAGCGCGGTCGGCAGCGAGCGTTGAATCAACACATGGCCATCACGCTGTAGTATTGCGAGCAGGCAACCGGAAACGCGGCATCGAGCAGCTGGCCGAATCTACTAACCGAGCGATCAGCTTGTAGTCGACGCGAAGATCGCGGCCGGTCTCGATGGCCTGTTCGCAGATGGTGATGGTCTCCTGGTACTTGCCTATCTCGAAGAGAACGGCTGCACATAATACATGGGCAAAGCGGAACGCAGCATGAGCATGCGTTGACAGAGGCAAGATCGAAATGCCGTGCGAGGGCAGGCAACACCCATGCGCAAGAGCGCCCCGTGATCCGCCGGGATGTGCATGGGTGACTTCTTGAGGAAGTCACTGCATTTGGATTAGCCCACATGCGGATGGTAGCACATCAACTCACCAGATTTGTTGGTCAGGACGGCAACGTTGGTCTCGTCGGCCTTCCAGGCTTCGTCGTAGTGCTTCAGGGCAGCCTCAAAGTTGCGCTTCTTGTACTCGGCGTTGCCGAGATCTTTGTGCTTGTCGCTCTCGGCTCGCTTGCGCTTCTTCTGGGTCTCTTCATCGTCCATTTCGACCTCGGGGATCTCTTCCTTGGCCACGGGGACAGGGGTCTGCTTCGGGGCCGACGAGGCGGCAGGCGCAGCCGGGGCAGGCTCAGGAACGACAGCCGGGGCCTCGTCAGCATCGGCGGTGGCGACGTTGGCATCGAGACCCATCAGACCCATCAGCAGGGTCATCATACGGGGGTCTTGCATGTACCTGGCAAGACGCAATGGAGGAGGGGTCATTCAAAATATCGCAGCGATGCAGCGTGACAACATGAGGACGGGCGTGGCCCGGCCCGATACCTACATGTTGATGGCACTGGGATTGGCCTGGATGTCCTTGATCTTCTGGACAATGTCGGTTTGGGCAAGCAGCGGGCTCAGCTTGGGGTTGGAAGCAATCTTGGTCCAGACGTCGGGACCAAAGAGTTTGCCAAGGCCGCCTGCGGGTTGTTGGAGGCAGGATCAGCCACACGGCTACAGCACGGCGTCGAGTCCGGACGACCCATCTGGACATGATCGCATGCTACCCGACGACCCGCCGCACAGCCGAGAGACACCGCGCAGATATAGGCTGCTGGCACTCGATTTGGCCAGACCGGATCCGGATCGGATCGGATCGGATCTGCTCGAAAGTCGAGGTGACGCCCGCACCCAGTAGCCCCATGCTCAAATATGAGAGGGCCTGCCCAACAGCCGATCAAATGCATACCCAAGCCTTCGTTGGCCATGGCGTTCTCGACATCCTCGAGACCCTGCTTCAGAGCAGCATTTTCGGGTTCGATCTTGAGACCGGCCTGGTAGGCTTCAGCAGCATCGGAGTGCTTGCCAAGACCAAAGAGAGCTACGCCCTTGCGAGAGTAGCCCTGGGAGTTCCCGAAGAATGCAAACAGGTCAGCACACCGACGGTATATGGGGTGGCAGCGGCGGCTTTGCACCCCAGAACCGCTCTCACCTTTGCCCAGTCGGGCTTGAGGGCGACGGCCTTCTCGGCATCAGCAAGGGCCTCGGTATACTGCTTCAGGGAAGCGTATGAGGCAGATCTGCATCGTGTGGAAGCTCGTGAGTTGCGCATCTCAGCCTGGACGGGCACACGAGCGCCCGCAGCAGCCAGAGCACTACATCCGACATGGTGGTATCGGGCTGGTGGCCGGAGGTGAGGCCGAGATTGGCCGACGGGGCAGAGCGCGGACATGGGCTGCCGAACCTGTTGGAGTACAAAACGTGGTTGGAGGCATCGATTTCGATGGCCTTGGAAAAGTGGCCGATGGCGGTGGTGTAGTCCTTGGCCGAGAAGGCCTTGTTTCCGAGGGATTTCAGCTCGTCGGCCTGCGGCAAATCGGGGCGATACGGCGATCAGATCATGGACGGGGGTGAGGCGACGCCAGCAGCGGTCGTGGGGATGACGGAACAGTATCATGGTGATGCGGCTGCATTTTGGCAAAAGACGATACTCACGGACATGACTTTGGACGGTTGGTGGCAGGAGGCGGGAGAGTGCAGGGACAAGCGAGCGAAGCGAACAGCCAGATCGCACCACGATCGAGGCGGCAAAAGTATCTGGAGGCGCGACTGGACGAGCACCAGGCGCAGACGACACAGAAACGCAGAGAAGGCGAGAGAAGCGACACGGCCAGGGCTGGGGCCGGGGCTGGGGCCGGGGCTGGGGTTTGGCGGCCTGGGTTCCAGAAGCTTCGAGGGTTGACGCTGGATGGATGACCAGCGACTCAGGATCGGTTCTGAGTTCCATCCCGAGAACAACACCAGGCCGAAGGCACCAGGAGCAGCACCACCCCAACGACACCAGCCATGACCGCATCCGCCAGCAACGCCGAACAGGCGCAGGCGAGCCTGGTGCAGATCCAGCACCACCTGGACAGCCTGTTGGATATCCGATCTGCGGTCGAGCAGCTCCAAGCCGCCCTGCTCTCGGCCCAGACTGCCCTTGGATGGGCCGAACGCTATAGCCAGGACCCGCAGCAGTATCGAGAAGCTGTGGATCGGTATGCCGCCGCGATCCTGACAGGCCTGGTTGCATCAGCGGTACGTCAGCTGCAGCGAATGGCATTCCGGCCGATCGGATATGCCGCGATATGGCCTTCTGCCAGCACGCATGCGCACGTTCCCGCTTGGAAGATTGTCCAAGTCGGAAGCAGATCAGGCAGCGACTTGCAGTAGTGATCGCCGTCCATGCCGCGCTGACTGTCGCCTTTGCTTCCAACCACCAGAGCCCGCTCGGCAATCTCGCCGATCTGACCCACTGCGCCCTGCGACATTACCGCGACTCGCCTGCCACCCAGATTGTCTATGCATTCTTCCTGGCCGGCAGCCAGCCGGGCGAGGGCATTGCTGTCCTGACGCAGCTGATTGAATCGGGCAGCACCAGCACCCATACCGACACCAACGCCGCTTCTGACAATGCCCACACCACCAGCGCCGGCTTCGGTCCACGGCTTCTGTCCAGGCTACTGTCGATGCGGGGCTGGCTCTCGGGGCTTGCGCTGGCGCCTGACCAGGCCGACGCCGACTTTTCTCGATCGATCGAGGCAGATTCCGACAACGACCAAGCCCTGTACTTGCGATCCAAGACCCGTGCCTCGCAGCGACGTTATGGCGACGCCATTGCGGACCTGACCCAGTACCTGTCCATGGCCCGGCCTGACGAGCCCAAGCTCGCGCATGGCTGGTACGAGCTCGGCCAGATGTGGTTCCGCCGCGGACCCAAGAAGGAGCTGGGCATCGGCCTGCATGACCTGCGTGCGCGGCTCGAGGCCATCATCCACAGCGCACACGAGGCCGAGCAGGCCGCGGGAGGATCCGATGCGGCCGAGTTGCAGTCGCTGCGGGAGACGACGGACCGGATGCTGCAGAAGGTGACCTCCCTGACGCAGTGACCCAGGCGACGACCTGGATAGTGGCGGGTCCGTGGCGGGTCCGTGGCGATCTCCGGCCTTGCAGACGAACACGTTGCCGAGTGTCGCTCGCTCGCAGCCGCAAAATGCAGCCAATCGGCAGGAAGGACATGACCTGGGCCCCAGGCCTTGGTGTCGCCCAGCCAAGTGCACGCCGAGAGACCAAGGGCCACCAGCACGCACATGGCGCCATCGGGGCTGTCCAGCCAGCGGGCCTGCAAAACCTTCGCGGGAGCTGCTGCGGCCGGGTTCTGCAGAGAATACAACCCAATCGCTGCTTTGGGAAAGCGCCGCAGCCACAGCAAGCCCAAGCTTTTGCATTCCGCAATGTCCACTTGGTGATGTCTCCGCCCAATAACACCGATCCATTAAACTTGTCGGGGCTTGCTCGCCGGCCGTGTATAAAACCCGCCCTTTGCCGCCCTCCCCGCTTTCGACCTTCATCGCCTTTCTCGCTCTTGCTCTTGCTCCCCGCACCCGCTCCAGTACCCGCTCCGGCACCCGCTCCGGCACCCGCTCCAGCTGCTGTTCCATGCCCGCGCCGACCGTCTCCGGCTTCAACGCAACGGCCACCGGCGTCTTCGCCACCGGCTCGCCCTGGACTCCTGAGGGCCTCTCGCTCTTCTTCTGCCAGCTGGTCATCATCCTGGGCGTCTGTCGGATCATTGCCGTGCCCTTCAAATACATCCAGCAGCCCAGGGTCATCGCCGAGGTCATTGGCGGCATCGTCCTGGGCCCGACCCTGCTCGGCAGATGGACCTGGTTCCAGACCACATTCTTCCCTCCGGCCTCGATGGCCTTCATCAACCTGCTCGCCAACGTCGGTCTGCTTCTCTTCTTGATGCTCATGGGCCTTGAGCTCGATCTCTCGCTCATTGCCAAGAAATGGCGAACCTCGCTCTCGATCTCGCTCACGGGCATGTCCATGTGCTTTGCGCTTTCCGTCGGCGTCAGCACCTTTTTCTACCGCAACATCGACGGTCTCTCGGGCCTGGACTTCACCAACTTTGCTCTCTTTATCGGCGTCGCCATGTCGGTCACCGTAAGTACCTGTCTCGCGGTATAGCCTCGCCCCGGAGCCGCAGGTTGGCTCCATGCTGCAAGTCCGTCCCGAGGCCGCCGCAGTAGACAGCATATCCAGCCGTGTGTCGGCGGCGAGAATTCTGGCGACACTGCATACCCACGACCCTTTCTCCTCTCTCTATTGTGATCTTATGCAGAACTCGCCATCTCCGTAGCTGCTCTTCGTCGCTGGCTTCCCGAGCTGAACGTCTCCGTCGCTGATCCGCTGTGGTGGTACCGGCCGAGCCGTCCCCGCGCATGCCTAACCCTCTCCTCCCGCAGGCCCTCCCTGTGCTCGCCCGTATCCTGGTCGATTTGAAGTTCCTGAAGACTCCGCTGGGCACCGTGGTGCTCTCGGCCGCCAGTGTCGATGACGCTGCTGGATGGTAAGGCGTGGCACACCGTAGGGCCACAGCGGCTGAGCAGGTCGAGCGGCCGTGTGAATGCGGCAACTCTATTGCGGATGATGGTTCATCAAAGCCCGTCTGGATACATGCTCAGCAAAGCCCGTCTGGATACGTGCTCAACTGCCTCATCCGATCACCGATGCCCCTGTTGATAGCATGCCCTCTGTCCCTGCGACTCGACGGTGCCATGTGCACGGCGTGCTGACCTGACATCCTTGCTCGCCGCAGGACCTTCTTGGCTCTGGTCACTGCGCTCCTCAACGCTTCCAGCCCCATCGTTGCGCTCTACATCTTCCTCTGCGCCCTGGCCTTTGCCATCTTCCAGCTGACCGTCACCAAGTGGTGTCTCCAGAAGGTCTACGACTGGTTGACCGATCACTACCACGGCAACACCAACAAGGGCTCTCACTCGATCAGTGAACCCATGGTTTTGATTTCGTTCCTGGTCTGCCTGGCTTCGTCCTTCGTCACCAACGCCATCGGCGTCCACGCCATCTTTGGCGCCTTCATCGCTGGTCTGATCCAGCCCAGAACCAACGAGTATCACGTCAAGCTCACTGAGCGCCTGGAAGACACTGTCACTATGCTTCTCCTGCCTCTGGTGCGTTCTGTTGACATTGTTTCTCTGGCCCTGATGCGGCAGCGCCCAGAGGAACCTACATATATGTTGCGTTCTGTCCATCAGCGACCGGACTGGCTGTGCTAACATCTGTCCCTTCCCTCCTCCAGTACTTTGCCTATTCCGGCCTCAAGACCAACATCGGCACCATGAGCGATGGTCTCAGCTGGCTTTCGCTCTTGATTGTCCTCAGCTGCGTGTGTTTTGGCAAGCTGGGTGGATGCACCGCAGTTGCTCGATTTGCTCTCAAGTTCCAGTGGAGAGAAGCCCTTACTATCGGCGCGCTGGTGAGTTTCCACGAAACCGCTCTGTCCCGCTTGTCTTGACACATTCAAGCACTGCTTCGATGCTGCGCCCCTCCCCATCCACAACCGCGCTCTGACCACGAAAACATCTGCATTTGATGTCCGCCAGATGAACACCAAGGGGTAAGTGACACCACACTCAGTCTGTCGATCTGCTCACCCGCAAAGCATCTCTGTGCAGTTGTATAATCGCTCATCCACAACTAACGCCTGATCTCTGGCCCCTCAGTCTGGTTGAAATCATCATTCTGAACCTGGGTCTGGATGCCGGTGAGTCACTGATCAGCCCACACGCACTCGCCTACGTGCCTTTGTCAATGCGTTGTTTGTCGATGTTCAATGTATTGACATGACCTCTATTCTTGTGCTGGTCCACCTATGTTCCCAAGGCATCATCAACGCTAGAGTCTTCTCGATCATGGTGCTTCTGGCTGTTTGCACCACCATGATGACCACCCCACTCGTCCGCTTCTTCTATCCCGAGAAGCTCTGGGCCGAGCGTGTCGAAGAAACCGAACCTACCTCGCCCCCCGTTCTCGACCACAAAGTTCTCATGGTCGTCCCCGATATCCAATTCGTCCCTGGGCTGATGACTTTCATGCAGTTCTTCAAGGGCTCCGCCTCCCCCAGCTCCATTCCCGAGGATGATGCCCAAAAGCTGGTCAACGTTGAGATGCATGCTGCGCGCCTGATCAACCTCACCGGCAGAATGTCGGCCATCTTGATTGCTAGCGAGTCCGAGGAAGAGCTGGTCAAGCGCGACTCGGTGATCAACGCCTTCCAGGCCTTTGCTCACCTGCGCCGCATTCGCTTGAACCCCCATGTCGTCGTCGCCCCCGAGAACGACCAAGCTCTGCAGCTCTCCAAGGTGGCCCAGGCCAACTCGCTCAATGTGCTCGTGGTTCCCTGGCACCCCACCGACATCTCCTTTGTGACCAACAAGGATGAGACCGGGCTTTTGAGCTGGTTCACCAGCGAGATGTCATCCAGCGCCCCGTCCTCCGCTGGGCCCGTCATCACCCCCAGCGCCGCCAAGAGCACCGATGAGTTCTATAACCCTCCTCAAGACATTTCGATCGAGCAGCGCAAGACCTCCAAAAACGTCGGCACCATGGTCTACCAGCTGATCAAGAGCTGCCCGCTCCGAATCGCTGTCCTGGTCGACCGTGGCTTTGCCATCCATGTCTCCAGCGACCCCGTCATCTCGATCCTGGTTCCGTACTTTGGCGGCCCCGATGACCTTGAGGCTCTCTCGCTGGCCCTCAAGCTCTCGGAGCATCACCGCAGCGACATCCACGTGCTCCACATCTCGCTCCTCGACCACAGCAAGGCCGTCGAGGATATCCAGCCCGGTCTACACAGCAACCAGCAGCCGTCGTCCGCGACGTTGGCGGACCCCATCCCCAGCCTCGAGAACATGATTGGGCTCGACCACCCCGGACGTGGCGATATCCTCGCCTCGCTCAAGCAGATCCAGAGCAACGACAGCTCGCCCATCAAGATCCGATACACCTCAGTCGAGGTCGAGCCCGTGCTCTTTGTCAACCAGGTCCTGAACCAGATTCGATCCGAGTCGTATGCCCTGGTGATCTGCGGCCGTACCCTGAATGTCCCAAGCAAGACGACTGCCGCTCAGGGCGATGGCGAAAGCAAGCACAAGACCCAGACCGAAGCCTCCTCCGTCCACGACACCGGAGCCGACCGTGCCTCCCTCGCCAGCCACCAATCTCTGCTGATCGGCGGCCGCGTCCCCATGGCCGAGAAGATCCTGGGCCCGCTCGGCGCAGCCATCGTCAAGTCCGATGTCGGCAACGCCGGCTTGATTGCCGTGCGCAAAGTCAAGTCTGTGTAAGGAAGACTTCCGGGCTTTGGCCGTGCGTGCACTTTTCGCTGACTTTTGTGAATAAGCGACCCACTCTGCACGTCAGTTCCTGGACTCGACGGGATGGGTTGAATCAGCCCCTATATCTCGTGAATGTGTCTGCAATCCACGTGAAGAGCCATACTGAGCCTTTTCAGCCGCTATGCATATGCGCTGGAGGGTGGAAAGATGGTGTGTTTCTCTGCCGCATCTCCTGCTTTTGTCTGGGTTCAATCAAGCCGTTCCTGCCCGCCCGCGTCCTTTGCCAAATAGGAATGAGCGATCGATAGCGCCGGTTCTCGCACACAATATAGCAAGGATGTGTCTTTTCGCATTCGCCGTGAGCGACCGGTGGAAGATGGAGGGGCAGGAGCGAGTTTGTTGTTGCATGAATCATGGCTGTATTTTGGTGTTTGTGAATGCAATCCGACTCTGGCGACAATCTCTTCTCGTTACTGCACCGTGTGCAGTTCTATAGCTCGATGACTTGTGTTTCATATCTACGCTCTGAGCCCGCCTGCAGGGCTCCCTGATGGTGTGGGATCAACCGGCCGCAAAGGTGATGAAAGGGGAGGAGGGGAATGATGGTTGCTTGACCAATGTATGACGGGGGGACGTGGTGTGTCCGTCAACATGGCGGTTATGTTTTATGATCGTGCAGCGTGGCGATACGATGGCCCCGATGGCGTGTGAAACTGGAAGTGAGACCCCATGCACTCCAGCGGAAGTGCGGCTGAATGTATCTGCGGAGGAGGACGGGGTGTGAACACAGCGATTGTCGACTAGACCATGTCGGAGCTGTCGTTGGGGAGCCTCTCCCTGTTGACGTTGCCCTGCAGAGCCGCCGCGGCCGAGACCACATTGACGACCGTTCGAACTTTGCCGACCGACCGCTCGACTCGCTCCTGAACCTGTCGCGAGGCCTGGCGCTGTCGCAGCTTTTCGCGGCGGGTCGGGGTCGGGCACAGCTGAGCGGTGAGCTCGAACGACCAGTGGCGGATGATAAGGACCTTGACCAGATCGAGGAAGATGAGGCACAAGCAGCGACATGCCGATGACGGAACAACCCCAGGCCCAGCCGCTGAGGGGGGGGATAGGAGCCAGTTGATTGAAGGACATTGGGGATTCGACGATACCACCGGCCAGCGGAGCCAAAGGCCATCGTTGCGTTGGGAGACGACAACGTCACAGAGTCAGACACATATTCCTGGTGGGTTTGACACCTGAGGCCGACTGACTGACTGCAGAAGCAATAGCCAGACAGAGCACGCACACACTCCACTGGCGCACTTACATGCTTGCAATCTGGAGGAACGGGACGCCAAAGATGCTCAAGAACATCGCAAAGACTTGAGTCGACAGTACCGCGAACAAAAATGTAAAGCTTGGGGTGTTCTCCCAGAACCACGACGGAAGCCGGGTCGAGAAGATCACAAAGTGTGGGCACGACGAGATCTGCAGGTACATCACCGTCTGGACCTGCTCGATCGGGAGCAGGAACACATCCCGCGCCACAAAGAAGTGGGCAAACGAGATGCCCACGAGCAGCAGACCCAGCACCAACGAAAGCGTCAAGAGCTGCCCGAGCCTCCACTTGTCGGGCTTTGTCGAGGTCTTGGTGTTGTCGACCGAAATGACGAGGGTGGCGACATCGTTCAGGACAGCAATCATGATGATGAGGATATCGGGGATCGAAAAGTTCCAGGCGAGGATGGTGATGAAGAAGAAGATGAGGAAGTGGATGGTCGAAGTAATTCGATACACTGTTGGGTTGAATAAGCCGACAGGGGAGTGATGCGCAGGGCGATGTGCAGGGCGATATGCAGGGCAATGCAGAGAGCCCCAGATGCCGAAACAGAAGAGAGATATTGGGTCAGCAAGCATCTGCAGGCGATATGCATTCCTCTTGAGTGTTCCTCGTGAATGAGTCCTGTACGGCCTCTCTGCCGATCACAAAATCGATTCCGCAGCCGACACCAATGACCAGGCCAACGCTGCCGCCATCCAACACAACCTCGACTCAAGTACTCCTCGCCGCCGGTGCTCGCGTGACTTGCCTGCATAGCTTCTCATTCTCTGGAAGATCGCGCGGCTGCAAAGAATGCCGTCTACGATGGTCGACAGGCCAGCGGACAGCAAAACAATATCCGCTGCCGATCGGGCAGCATCAGTGCACCCGTGCACAGCGATGCCGACGTTGGCTTTCTTCAAAGCAGGTGCGTCGTTGACGCCGTCACCGGTCATGCCCACCAGGTAGCCTTTCTTTTGCAGGAGCTCGACTACCCTGAACTTGTGTTCGGGAATGACCTGGGCAAAACCATCGGCCTTCTCGACCCGCTCGATGAGCTGCTTCTCCGAGAGCGAGGGATCTGACAGCCGCGTAGCGTCGAGGATCGTTCTGGGCATGCCCAGGCGCTGGGCAACCTCCTTTGCAATGATAAGCTGGTCGCCCGTGATCATTTTAACCTGTTCAGCAGCGATGTAATGATCCAGATATTGAGTTTCGTTGCTGCTGGTGACATTGCCTGACACTTTCGCAATATCTTTCTCACCACCAGCGCCCGAGGCTGGAGGATACGGACTCGTTGGACCAACTGGGCTATCTTAGTCATCTGGGTCCCCCAGAGGTGGGAGAAGCACCCAGCCGGCACAGAGACTTACTTACCGATACACCCAAATCCTTGCAGCGCGATATCGTTGCCGCCGAGTCGGGCCGAGGGGGATCCAGCAGCGATATCATGCCAATGACATCAAACTGCTCCATTTTCTCGTCCGTGGTTCGGGCCACACCCAAGGCTCTCAGACCGCGGAGGGCGAATTCCTGGACAGCAATGTCGGCCAAGGAGTGACCGCCAGCCATATGCGTGATCACATGCGGTGCGCCTTTGATACAGCGGAAGGTCGCACCGGTTTGGAGATTCTTGACCGTCGCCTCGGTGTATTTGGCAACCGGGTTGAACGGAGTAAAGCTCGTAATCTTGAAGCCAGGCACATCAATCGAGTGGTTTTGGTTCATCTGCTTCAGCACATCCACGGTGCTGAGGGAAGCCCTGCGCACGGCGAGCTCGATCGCATCCTGGGCTCCGGGCTCGCTGGCAAAGAAGGCATTGAGCAACAGGTCGTCGTTGGTGTACTGCTGGCCACAGCCCTTGGGGTTCTCCGAGGTGCTCTGCTTGTATGCCAAGAACGGCTTGTCGAGGGTCAATTCATTCAGGGTCAGGGTGCCCGTCTTATCTAGCAGTGGCAGAGGGAAATCCGATGGAGATGAGTGAATCGATGACAGGATACTCGCTACTCGCACAACAGCCCAGCGAGCATCCCCTGCGCTGCTGCTTGCTTCGGAATACACTTGCCTGAGCAGAGAATCGACACTGACGCGAGCTCTTCGATCGACGTCAGTCTCTTGACGATAACCTGCTTGGTCGCCAACTGCTTGGCGCCCACGGCCATGGTGACGGACATCACCGTTGGCAAGCCGATGGGAATGGCCGCCACGGTAAGGACGACCACTTGTTTGAGCGCCGTCATGAAGGACTCTTTCAGACCAGCCGTTTTGTATATCAGAATGATCAAGACCATCACCTGTCCAAAGTTACGCAGCGTGAGTGCAAGAGCCATGCGTATATGTGTACCGTGCCAGAGCCAGAGAGCGGAATGGTGGCGCCGTCGACACTCCAAAGAGAGAAGGCTGCATCGCTTCAAAGAACACCCGAGAGACTCACAATGGTGATGCCGATCAAGAAGTTGCCGATGGAGTTGACGATTTTCTGAAAATGGCCTTGCTCGTTCGTTAGCGAGATCAGCTGGGCGGCACGTCCAATATATGTGTGCGGCCCGGTTTTGGTGACAATAGCCAGCATCTGACCCTGCTTGACAATCGAGCTGGAGTATGCTGTGCCGTCTTTGCCCTTCGTCACTGGGAGCGACTCGCCTGTGAGCGCCGACTGGTCGATCTGGAGTGATCCAGATGAAGGCTCGCCTGAGGCATCGAGTCCAAGAAGTCTGCCAGATGATTTGGTAGGAATGCCAAAGATAACAAACAATGCGGTTCTGGGTGAGTTGCGCGAGATACATTCGAAGCACACCGACAACGGTCGAAAGCGCCACTGCCCGCACTCGATGCTCCTTCCGGAGACGTGGTATTCCTTCGCCGCGGTCAATTACATTTGCGCGTCCGCTTTTCCACTTGAAGAACCAACGAGTGTTCGTCCGCCCACTCAGTCGCAGACCAATCGGCCACGAATATAGACTCGCACACCATACCACACGGCGCTGCGTTCGCTCCTGTCCCGTCGTCCGCGTCGATTCCCACGCGTGATGCACTCTCAACCGCCAACATGAACTGGCTACCCCTCCGCAGAGCCCGATATCGAAGCATTGAGGCGCGCGACCTTTGCACCGCAACACCGGCCGATGACATTCTCCGCCATGTCCATGACGAGCAGCACATCGGCAAACCAACCTGCAGTCTGCCGGGATGATGTCGCCGATTCGCAGAATAATGACGTCGCCCGGGACGAGGATCGCAGATGGTATCTCGGTAATTCGGCCGTCTCGCCAGACCCGGGAATTGAGAGCGAGGGTGTTCTTGAGGGCGTCCAGGGCATTCTCGGCCTTGGACTCTTCGATAAATCCGATGCAGGCATTGACGATGAGGACAAATATAAGGATGCCAAAATCCGTGTAATCACCAGCCACTGCAGAGATGATGGTCGCTATCTCCAGCAGAATCGAGACCGAGCCGCCGAAAAACGAGAGAAACTTGAGGATCGGATTGACTTTTTTATCGGTCATCTCTGTCGAGCGAGGTCAGTTCGGCAACTCGGTTAGTGTATGCGCGTGCCACGGCTCCCGCAGCATCGCATCGCATCGCATCGCATCGCATCGCATCGCATCGCATCGCATCGCATCGCATCGCATCGCATCGCATCGCATTGCATTGCATTGCATCGCATTGCATTGCATTGCATCGCATCGCATCGCTCCGCGCAGTTCCAAAGCCGATGATGGGATTCCTCCGGCCTCCCAGCCTCACGAGGCGCCCCCATGACGCAATGCGCAAGCTACGCTAGCCTCGAAGCAATTTTGGCTCGGTCAATACCATTGCGGCCAAAGTGGAGTAGCCGCTTCTCGGCCTCCTCCTTGCTCAGGCCTTGCTTAGGATTTGTGTCGAGGTATTTCTGCAGCTCTGGGTCGAGGACCTCTTCGACTTCGACATGGGACTCGGCTTGGGCGGCAACTTTGGTGTTGCTCACACTTGGCCGGGCTGACTCGGCAAGAGGAGCCATGCTGCAATCGTTGGCTTTCAAATTCTCTCGGCTAGGTTCGTCGAAGGACATCAGTCCGGTTCTGAGGGAAAGCAGGTGCTAGCGAGCAGCGAAACAGCAGCGTGCGAGTCTCGGGCCGCACCACAGAGGCGTGTCTGGCGGAAGTGAGCAAACAGTGTCGAGCGGGCAGTCGAGCACAGACGAATGGAATAGACAGTGGGCGCGAACGGAGGCGGACACGACACCGATGGAAGTGAGGCTGGTGCGGGCGAAGGATGGAATGGAACGAAAAAAAACAAAAGGTGCAGCCGGAAAACGGCAAGAGCCCGGGTGGACGCCGCTCAGCTGCAAGCTGCCGCCAAGCGATGCATATGTCGGCGGTAGCCAACGATGACGTGGGCCAACTCGCTGCCGGTCGACTCTGTCATTGAATTAACGCTGCTGATTGGAGCAAAATGGCAGACGACATCACCTCTGCTGAGGACAAGCGAGCCGCCAGAGGTCGCTGGCGACATCATCCTCATGCTGATTCGCAGGCAGTAGTAGTGTAGCGGCCAGGATCATTCGCACACGATGTCTGCTGTGCACATCCGCTCTCACTCAGCATGGGCCCCAATCATGACATGAACATCAGCGGCAAAGCCCACGATCGCTTGGATCGGCGGAACCCAGGGCGACTGGTGGCTTCTGGGGACCAGCCGCGAGCCGAAGTTGACCGACCCGGAAGTTGCGACGACCTTTGATTGCCGGGCTGGTTCCCCATCGCAGAGGAGCCCAAGCCCGAGTTGCGGCTGTTCGGAAGTCGGAATGATAGGTCTGGCTCCAGCACATAGAGCAAATGGCGAGGACAGCACAGGATCGGCGATGCGGCTATGTACAGAGTAGCACACTGCTATTATTGATCAGGCCGGGGCGGTAATCTCTCTGGCTCTCATCTGGACGATTCGCAAGTGTATCCGAGATATGCAGAGCAGTGTCGGCCCTCGGGTCTACTCGTTCGGCCATGGCGGCGGATCGAGAGCTGGTGCAACAGCCTTCGGCGGGCCTTTCCGTCCCGCATCGCTCATGGCCCCTGCTCAAACTCGGATGTGATCCTGGTGCACATGTTCTTGTACTCCCAGATGTCGCCGGATATCCGTTTCAGCCTCAGGCCGTACATCTTGAGTCGCGGAAGCTTGCAGATCTCGACTTCAAAGCGGATGTCGCCATGCTCGCAATCGAGCAGAAAGGCATCCGACTGCCATGTAGCGCCACTCTTCTCGAGAGCATTCGTCAGACGCTCCAGAAGAACCACAGGGGGCGAGCTGGAGGTCGTTGAGCAGTTGAATGCAAAGCGGATCGTCCGGGGCACGCGGGATCCATCTCCGTGCTCCAGGTCGTCGCCAGTGTTCAGATAGAGGCTATCATCGATGGAGATGGCGCTGGCTGTGTTGCCACGGCGCCGGGTCCTCGGTGTGTGTCGAGGAAGCGAGCCGGAGTGCTCCGTTTCGTCGTCGGGAACCGGCTTGAGCGTAACCGCCGTCGGCGAGATTGCCAGCGGCAAGTCCAAAGTGGCTGGATGCAGGCGGTTTGAGCGGGGTGCCTGGTGCTCGAGCGAAGTCGAGGTGGATATCGGTGGCAGGGAGTACTGCTGCTTGCGTTGCGGCTGCTGTCGAGAGGACGATGGCCGAATCGAGTGGGGCTCTTCGCCGTCTCGAGGTGCAAAGGAAGCCACACCTCCGTTGGGCATGTCGTCGCCATGTTTGGCATGCTCGGCCTTGGTTGCTGTATGCTGGCTCTTGAACTGCCCTGCCTTTGTGGTGTCGAGCTTGGAGCCAACCGATACCGTTTTTGATCTGTTCCGTTTGCTCAAGCCAACCTTTGACTGCGTCGATGGCTCCGCTCGGACGGGCAGTTGGGTAATGCTCTCTGCGGTCTGCTCGGGTGTTGGCTGTGCAGGTCTCTCCTCTGCCCCAGTCCGGCAGCGTTCGATTTCAAACATGACTTTGGCAAGCCCCATGGTCGTCTTTGTGTCGGAACCATGCGGGCGTGCGGTATGGTCCGCCTGGGAGGCTCGGTCGCTGGCATTCATGAGCCGCCGAGCCTCGGCTTCGCGAGAAAACGCCTGGGCATCCTGTCGCTTCTGGACGCAGAGCAGGTAGTAAGTGCCGGCCGCCTGGTTGAACTTGCTCAGCTGCAGCGAACTGATGGTGGCGCTGCGCTCAAACCCCATTGACTCCATGAAGCTCAAGATCTCCATGTCAATGTCCTGCTCTGTTTTTGGGCGGATGTTGACGGTGGGCGGCGGCGAGCTGTAGAGCACAGCGTTGCCCTGGGTGAGCCATGGGTGTTCTTTGATCTGGGCGCATGTGTAGCGCTTCTTTGGATTAACGACAAGGAGCTTGCTGATAAAGTCTCTGCACTCTTGCGTTGGCGAAGAGACCATCCAGCGAGGAATGCGAATACGCCTGTCAGCGATACTCTTTCTGATGTGAATGCCACGAGAGGCCTGTCTGATGCATCAACGTCACAATCTCAGGGTCGCAGTGCACAGCGATCGAGTGAGTGTCGAAGCTGCCAGGACTAGCACCCAGCGAGGCCTGCCTGGCACTCACCAGCAGACACAAAGTCCGGGATTTCATATTTGCCCTTCAGGATCGACTCGTAGAGCGCCGAGATGTTGCTATCGGCAAAGGGCAGATCGCCCACCACCATGGCGTAAACATTGACGCCGAGCGACCAGATATCGACTTCGGGTCCGATATACCGGCGGCCTTCTATCAGCTCCGGAGCCGAGTACACGGGCGAGCCACAGCACGTTCCCAGCGTCTTGGCTTTGTCAAAGACATTGGAGAGGCCAAAGTCTGGTGGAAACATGGCGGCGTCAGCACCAGTGCTGTGAGCGACAGCAGATTGCTGCGATCGTGCTTATTGGGGCTGTCGATTCCATTGCCGAAGGAATCAGGGGCTCGGGCCCGACTGAGTCCTCATCAAAGAGGGAAGGAGGCGACTTGGTCGTCAAGAAGCTGGTGTGTTTTGCGAGCGCCAACCTACCCGATATTTTGATGGTCATTTCGTCTCCGAGCAACAGGTTTTCGGCCTTGAGATCGCGGTGGACAATATTGAGAGAGTGGCAATGCTCCTGGGGGGAGGCGACAGCAATGCCAGACCGGTCAGAAGGGTGGTGAGAGGGCAGGGCATTCGTCAAGCCTTTCGAACCGGTGGCCGGCGGCTGCCGTCGATGAACACCAAGACATCTTACAAGTGCAGAGATGATCTGGGTGACGAACTTGCGCGCCTCGGGCTCCTTCAGCCGGCCATGAGCGACAATGTAGTCAAGTACTTCGCCGCCCTGTGCATACTCCAGCACCAGAAAGAGCTCTTTCCGCGTCTCCATGACCTCGTACAGCTGAATGATGTTGACATGGTTCAACATGCGCATGATTTGCGCCTCGCGATGGATGTTGCGGAGCGAGTACTCGTCCGGGAGCTTCTCCTTGTCCATGATTTTGATGGCGACCTAGCAGCCAGCAGTGTTCGCATGAGCTATTCCGAGACGAGTAGGTCGGCGGGGGCGGCATGACAAGCGAAAATCGGCAAAGATCGAGAGATTGAATGCCGTGTGGGCAGTGACGCTGGCGGCCGTACCTGCTGGTTTGTTAGCCGATGGACGGCGAGCTTGACCTTGGCGAAGGACCCCTCGCCGAGCGTCTTCAGGATGTTGTAGTTACCGATGTATCTCGGCTTGATCTCGACAGGCTTTTCGGTTTTTGCGCCGACGATGCCGCTCTCTGCATTGATGGACGATATCGCCGTGATGGTCTCGTGCGATCGCGGCGAAGCTTCGCCGTCCGCATGAGCCTGTGTGAAGAAATCCTCCATGTGTCGTCGGGATTCTTTGCAGGAGGCAGGGTGCGCTGGCCAGGGGGAGCGGCGAGCTCGCTTTGGGTTCAGACCAGCACATTGATGCCTTGGGGGTTTCCGCTGGGGCATCTGGGCGTTCGAGCAAAATGGGAGGCCGTGATTGATTGATTGCCGGGGCGGCGAGCTGGAACATTGCTGCCTGCGAATAGGCGAAAAGCCGCAGTGCCATCGCAGACGCACCTCATACGCAAACTCGAGCGGCAAGCTCGAATGGCAAACTCGAACGGCAAGCTCGAACGGCAAGCTCGAACGCGGCGGAATGAAGTTCTCTGGGATCGGTTGGCAGATGGACGGGTGGAGGTTGCTTGGGTCTTGCCAATCGACCTAGAAATGCAGGAATGACCCTGGCTTATCGACCATCGACCATCGACCATCGACCATCGACCATCGACCATCGACCATCGACCATCGACCATCGACCATCGACCGTTGCACAGCATGTTCCTGCTTTCATGCCCGACTGCCCCAGCCGCATGTGAAAGGCCCGCAGCCTTGTCTGCTGCCCAGGCTCCGAGAAGCTCTTCGCTGTGCCTTGGCCAAGCGCCGGCCTTGCGTCTTCCCCACCGGGGCTCCTCTTGCAGGGCGGAACAAACCGGTTTGGGTCCGTTGAGACTCGGCATCGTCACCATCTGTCTGCATTGGCATTTTCCGATCTCGTCCACTTTCGCAGTCACCGGCATCCACCCTCCCGATTCCCGCTCTCCGCCCCTCCTTCCTCGCGCTGAAATTCGCATCGCAAGCCCAGCTCCCTCACGCCATCGCTGCTCTCAACTGCCGCCATGGTATCGCATGTCATCTTTGTCATTCACGGAATGGGGCACCAGCTCGAGGGATATGGAAAGTTTGAGCAGAATCGTATGTGCTTCCGGCCGCAGTCTTGCGTGCGCTTGGTTCATAATAGCCTGCGTTTGCTCGCCACCCTCGCGGGCCCAAGCGCTCACATATCATCATCTCCATCGCCAGTGGGCGATCTCCGAAAGTCCTGCCAAGAGGTCTTGACCGAGGAGTTTTCGACCAGCGAGGATGTCGAGTTTGTGCCCATCGGTGAGTTCTCGTCGCCGTTCATCTCAGAAGGCTTGCATCAGAGCGCTGCGTACTCCATATGCGCTGCGATCGAACATCCACCACTAGCACCATGGCTCTGATCAGCTCGGCGGTTGCATAATGGTTGCGGGTCCGTCGGCTGCACTGGAGCGGTACGCTGATTCTATCCCACCCCATCTTTGCTCCAGAGTGGCACTCCAAGCTCCATCAACTCGAGTCTGTCGATCGGTGAGACTGTCTGATCTGCCGAGCTCAAACCGCCGGTGTTTTCGCCATGCTTGATCGAGTCCTAACCGGTATCGTCGTTGACAGTCGCATCCAATCCGTGACACTGCCGACCTGCTCGGTCCTGCGCGGCGTCTGCAACGACATCCTTGCCGATGTGCTTTACTACTTCACCTGCTTCCACGGCGAGACCATCTTGGCCATCGTCACCGATCTGCTCAACAAGGAATACGATGCCTTTCTTCAGAGGACGCCCGGGTTTTCCGGCAGAGTTGGTATCTTTGCGCACTCTCTCGGCGGTGTCATCGCTTACGACATCATTTCGAACCAGCACCAGTACGAGGACGAGTCTTTGCCCTTGCAGCCATCGGCCAGCCAGGGTTCTCGATCGCCCGGCTCTGGGTCGCCCCTCTCGGGCCAGCAGCCCACTGCCTCATCACGGAGGCTGTCCAAGACTCACTACGACATCAAGTACCCCCGCTTGCGCTTCCGCCCCAACTTCCTGTTTGCAATCGGCTCGCCTGTAGCGGCTGTGTTGATCATGCGGGGCCAGAGTTTCCACGATTATCGCCCGCCCAAGTGGTGCCAGTACCAGAACATCTTCAATCTCTACGATCCGCTTGTAGGCCGCATCGCATCCGCATCCGCAGTATGCAATATGCAATATGCCCCGTCTGTCTCGGTTTTGTAGCCGAGGGGCGCCTGGTCCTCTTGCCAGCTCTGACTTGATATCCGTCATGTACTCCTCCTTCATCGCAGGCTTACAGAATCGAGCCGTTAGTTTCGCCCTCGTATGCATCGATCTCGCCGGTGCTCCTCCGTCGCCCATCCGCCTCTGCTCAGAACCAACGCAGCTACTATCTGCAGTACTATCGCGAGTTACTGAGCACGTATTTCACAGGGCTATTCAACATGCCCACCATGCCCACCATGCCCACCATGCCCACCATGCCCGCCATGCCCGCCATGCCCACCATGCCGAATCTGGCCCAGCTGCCGCCGTTTCCGCCAATCCCGAATCTGTCGGACCTGCCTCAGTTCTCGCAGATGTTCCCACAGGTACTCCCTTTCGCTACATTTGCAGAGTTCAAGAAAATGTTTTTTGGCGCTCCTGGAATCTCGGACAACACCAACGCCAACACCAATGGCAAGAGGCGCCGCATTGCCGATGGCGACCAGCCCCATGGTGATTCTTTGGAATTTGAAAGTGAGATCAACGTCAGTCATCCAGCGCATGGCTCTTCAGGTGCTCACGAGAAGACACCAGGCTTTATGGTACGTGTCCGCTCCTGCCCAGTTGATTGTTCCGAAGGCAGCGTTCCGCTTCTCTTGGCATCCGGCGAAATCATGAGCCCACAAGTCGGTGACTTTCCAGCGCCAGCGATCACATTACGATGGCTCTATGTGCTCATCCGTCTACGGTGATAGTCCGCTTGCTGATTGATTTTTGATGCTGCTTTCAGCGTTCGGTGGGTCCGGAAGCCCCTCCGCCTCGAAAGCTGCGACGGCTCGCACAGGACCAGGCACTCTCGACAGATCCAACGCCCAGTCTATCTGCTAAAGGCGACGGTATCCCTCCAGCGGCCGATCTTCCCGGACTGAGTTTACCAGGGAACGATACCGCAGGCTTGGACGACCCGTCAACTTCGGCGAGCCTTGTGGATACGCTCGCTGGTATGCTTCAAACCAATTTTCTCTCAAGACTCTACAGCCCCCTTACAGACGAAGCCAGCGCTGCCCCGGACTCGGACGATGCAACGACTGGTGAAAGCAATAACATCTTCAAATCCGAATCGAGCCAGGGCCCAGAGTCCACGGACCGACCGAAAGCCGGCAAACGCAAGCGGGCCAAGTCCACAAACATCCCTGATCAGCAACAGCGGGCCGAGAAGGCCGCCGAGGCTGCTATGGCAGCCTACAGCGCCGAGCTCGATGCAGCCGCCGAAGAAATGGAACGTGCTGCCAACAAACTTACGCAGCCTCGACTTTCCCAGCATCCATCTCGCAGCCGTGTTTGGGCAGCAAGCGAGACTAACACCGAAACATCGTCATCCACAAGTGAAGGTTACCCAGATGACGACAACGCACCGACTCAGCCGCACATCGAGGAGCGGATCGATTACTTCGTGCAGGAGACAATCATCGACAACGTCATCCATCAGTACTTTCTGGGGCTCAAGGCACATTTTTCATACTGGTGAGTCTCTGGCCGCACGGCGCCCTCCCATTGATGCGGCCGCTCCTTGTTGTTTCTAATGCATGTTGAGCTGCAACTGGGCCTGGCGGGCCGTGCAAGTGCTAATCCTCGGTCCATCTCGTAGGAGCAACAGAGATATTATGTTCCATATAATCCGAGAAATGCTTGGTCATTCGTTTCCCTCTGAGGATCGCTTGCCCAGTCCCAGTCTGCGCAGCCGCCTCTGATGCACGCATGGTTGCGGATCGTTTGGCTACTGGACTTTGTGGAAATCGGTCGGAATCTGTACAGGCGCATTCCTTTCTCGCTCCAGTGCCGCGGAGCGGAGCTAGACAATTCGATCCAACTGGCATTTCTCTGCCGAAATGATTTGAATACATCATGTGGATCCAATAACCGTACTTGGGTCGCATTCCACGGGATTCTACTATATTCGGGCACTCTTCCAGCTTCATTCATGAGCATAGTCCGCGATGGCCTGCCTCCGACATGGCCATTTACCATAAAACTGATCACCTCGGCAATCTCCGAGTGAAGGCATTGGACTGCTTTCCGGTCACGACAAGCATTGGTCGGTGCTCGCCTCTGCAGCTCCGGCCACGGGATCCTCAGCGACCCATTTAAATCTTCGCAGAACCTTGAGCCATCTGAGCGGGAGGAATTCAGCCACAATGCCGAATGCAATCACCATCGAGTGAGCAACACAGTCTCGGAAACGGCTCTTAGCGGATGAAGGCAAGCACTGCAACTCCGCTCTCTGGCAAATGAATACAGAATGCATACTTTTTGACCAGACTGGTGCTCATGTCGGCCTGGTGGGCGAGGGCATTGCACTGAAGCTCGCTGGGGTAGGGTCGTTTGGTGTTGTTGGCAAGCCAGGCCGAAAGGATTTGAATGCTCTCCTTGCTGATCTCTCCTTCGCCTCTGGCACTGGGATCATAGTACCGCCGTCGCGCATTGATGAACCATCTGGATTCAAAAGGACAGGTTGCGTCAGCAAGCCAGGAGTGTGGTACAGGCACAATACTAACCTTTCCTTACGCACTCACGGCGAACAACAGGCTCTGTCATTGTCGATTGCGGGCAGGAACGCAGTGTGTTGCCACATGATCTTACTGGTCCAACTGGAGAGTAGATAGGTTTGTCTGCTCCTGCAGCATTCGCTTATCCTCAGCTGAGGGATAGATATTGGCTCTGTGTTCCTGCAGCCAGGCCATGAGAACCTCAATGGCCGCTGGCTGGTGCCGGGGTGCTCTTCCTGGACTCTGCGAAGGCTGGCTACAGCGCTGCTCGAAGGCTGCCTCGGCCGCCAGTAGATCAGCCACATCGCTGAGCGCCTGATAGATCTGATAGAAGGTTGTAGAGCTGTGTTTGGGATCGCATTTCGGACCCGAAGCAGCCTGCAGTGACTCCAAGAGCCGGTTGAGTTCCTGAACTACCGTCACAACCTCCTCGTGAGCGACGGCCCCCAGGAGCTTGGAGCGGAGCTGGAGGGCCCTGGAATACAATGAATCGAAGTCGAACCAGGAGCCATCCTCAGCCTCTTGGAGGGCCGGGTCGCTTCCGGAGAACATCGGGCCGACAGGATGCACTTGACGTTGCTCGGACCTTTCGCAGTTGCCCATCCAGATCGGTTGCTGAATCTGCTGCGTGGAAAGAAGAGCAGGGGCTCAGGCAAAAACGTTTGCGAAGAGGAAACGGCCAGCGCCGGGATGGTCCTCTGCCTCCAGCTGCTGCCCAGCAGCGCAGTGCTGTATCAGCCAGTCCATGCTCCACCGAATCCGGCTTGCAGTTGTCTCTCGCCAGCCCTTGCTCGGTCTTGCAGTTGTCTGTCAAGTGCCCTTGTTGTCCAGACTCGTGCTGGCCAATGGGCACCAGCGTGGGAACAAGGATCTGTTGGTCTTGACTGGGAAGGTGATCAAGTTTACTGCAAACGACCTCCATGAATGCAGACTTTCGAAGCTACATGTTCGACAACAATGATGTGTCCCGTTTTCCCTGAATACACAGTCGCTCGAGGAGCATCTCCCGGTCAATCACGCGGCCCTATTCGCCCAGGTGCATTCCCATCCCGACTCGGCAGCGGGTTGCTGTGATTGGGCTGACGTCGGATTGCTCTCGTCGCAACAATATCAACTCTGACTCGTTTATTGAGTCCAAGGTGCTCGTTGGGGAGTGTCGGAGAAGGGAGGGAGGGGAGGGTATTGTTGGCGCTGGCCGGCTTTGTTTCAGAGGATCGACAATCGAGCGTTGCTCATCGCAAGGCTCATTTTCTGAGCGCCTCAACCTACCGAGCTGAAATTCGATTGCAAAACGGCCGACGACAGCCACCTCTCTTGCATCGACTCGGAAGCCAGCGTCCGCTGCCGGCTCAATCAAACCGCCCCCCACCATTCCCTCGCGTCTCACGCTCTCCTCATCTATCTACTCGCTCATCCAACTAGGCTTTCCGAGCGATTGCAGCACTCTGCCCAGAACGTCGCCGGGCCTCGCACCATTCGGTATCACGCCTCCTTGAGCCGACTCGGCACTGCCTTTGCAAATAATCTTTTGCGCGCAATCCGTCTTTCGCCTTTGCCTGTCCAAACGCAGCGAGCATCATGGCGACCATGGCCACAAATCCGCCGCTCCCCCGACACGGAGCCCAAACGATGCTCGAGGGCGAGTACGACCCGCACTCGACAAAACAACAGGGCCCCGAGACCTACAGCTTTGCGAGCGAGCCGAAGCCCATCCAAGTGCCCCGGAAGAAGTACCGGGATCCAACCGACACGCAGAAGCGCATGTAGGACTCGTCGCTTGAGAGCCACGGAGCAGAACGCATTCCGTTTTGAGGGCTGCTGCGAGGTGTCTAGTGCTGAATACTGGCACTGAATACTGGCACTGAATACTGGCACTGAATACTGGCGCTGAATACTGGCACTGAATACCGGCGCTAAATCGTTGATCCCTCGATTTAGACCCGTCAACATCATGTATGACCGCCGCATCCACCGCGGAAACACTTATGCATCGCCAATTCTCCCAGCCGTAAGTGCCTATATCTGCCTGACGAGCACGCCCTGGGCCGGTACCATGTTCGCAAGAATCAGCCGACACGACACCGACGACTAACGCTGCCATCCACGCAATTCAACGCACCAGAATGCCCAGCCGGATCCTGTCGAACTGCAACGAGCTGCCGATCTCAAGCGTCGGCTCCGAGCAAAGCGACGCGCAGAGGCCCAGCGACGTCTGCGAACACCCGAGCCCGTCGAGGGCCGCAAGCACATCGATGTCCAAACCGACCTCTATCTCGAGGAGCTGACCGACAAGGTTCCCGAGGCCTATGCCGCCACCCAGACCGATGCCTTTCTCGACCGTGCGCCCTCGCCGCTTTACATCCCACAAAAATCAGGCGTCGATGTCGCGACGCAGGTCTATGACGGCGAGCTGTTTGACTTTGACTATGAGGTGCAGCCGATCCTGGAGGTGCTCGTTGGCAAAATCCTCGAGCAGTCCATGATGGAGGTCATGGAAGAAAACGAGCTTGCTATCCTCCGAAAGCACCAAGTAAGTCGTCGGCGAGAAGGAGATGAGAAGGAGATGAGAAGGAGGCGCTGTGGCTCGCTGGGAGCGCATCTTCACACAATCCGAGGCTCAGATCTGGAAAGGAAGGGGCGGGGGCACTCCGGAGCTTGTGTCTGCGTGAGATAGCCCCCAAAGGGAAAGTGTACCAGCAGCAGCATTGGAATCAGCGATCAGCCAAGGCAGCACTGACCGCATTTACGCCGCTCCAACTTCCCTCTTCAACTCACTCGCCCTCAGCTCGAGTTTGAGGAGCGACGAAATGCCGAGAATGCAGAAGTACAGCGGCTGGAGGATGCCGAGCGTCGCCGCACGGAGGAGAAGGAACGACGCATGGTCGAGCAGCTGCGTATCCTGAAGGAGAAGCAGGAGGCCGCCGAGAAAATCGCAGCTCGAGCATTTGCCCAGTCGTACCTGCAGAACCTGGTGCCGTCCGTGTTTGATTCGCTGGCGACGAACGGATACTTTTACGACGTTGTCGAGAAGGAGGTCGAAAGCCTGTTCCTGCCCTGGCTCACGGGCGAGGTTGAAAAGTCCATCGAGAGCCAGAGGACGGCCAGAATACTGCTGGACGGTAAGCACGGCGCGGCTCGTGCACGGCGGCTTGAGCCTATTCGATCGCATGCTGACATCGATTCTGGTGTGCTTGGGCTGCTCAGATATCATTTACTCGAGCATCAAAGCTCAGCGAGGTGCAAAATAGACTGCTGGGGACAGCACGCCGTGCCAAGTCACATCCACCGATGGCTTTCGTTGTGGACGGAGCGGGATTTTTGCACCGTACTTGACCCAAAGGAACAATACAGTTCGCTGAAAATAAGACAGCGCGATATCGATTGCATTGCTGGTAGTCGCCATCGACCTGGAGACGTTTGGAGTGCACAATGTCTCCGACAGTCGACTCAAGGCACCGATATGCTGACGAAGGGTCATGAATGTATTTATGGCGCCCCCCGTTTCATTGTGAGCGCTGACAGCGGCGACAAGGGGAGAATAACACAGATACGAAGGCCAGAGGTTCAGAGAAAGACATGCAGCAGAGACAGAGCAATCTTCCAAAGGAAATACAGCAAACGATGGCAAGCAGGAAAGTACGGCGGGACACATGGAAGGTGAGGGTTGGCAGAAGCACGGGCAAGTGCCGAGAAATCGCTCGGCTGCATGACAAGCAACCAAAGACTCGGCGTCTAACGTTCGCCACGGAATCGCAGTCGCCCGCGGGCATCGTCTCCTTCGTCAAAACTGAACTCACGCCGCAGGGGCCCGTCTTGGTCAGAGAATATAGAGGCTCGCGACTCGGATCGGTCCACGGGCGGCTGGTCCTCGGACGACGGCCCGACATGTCGGCGGTAAAACTCGTCGATCTCGATTTCGGTTTGGATTGGACTCTTGGCCCTCCGGCGGCTTCCGCCCCACCGGCGTGGCATCTTCAAGAACGAGGGATAGCCGCGCGGCCACTGGATGCTCAGGCGGTCGAGACCCGGGATAATCGAATACGCCGTTGAGCCCACTCCAGCCGCCGAAAAGTCGGTTGAGATGCTTGTTGGTCGAGAAGAGATGCGGCGCTGCTTCTTGGCCGCCGCAGAGACGCCCACGCCAGAGAGGGGCCGGTGCCGCTCGCTGTCCTCGGCTTCGTTGTCCTCTTCGTAACCAGTCTTGGAGTGGGCCTGTAATTCGTCCAGCTCCTTCTCAAGGTCAAGTAGGCGCCGCTCCAGTTGCCGGTTTTGCCAAGCCTGTTGGTTGAGCTTCCATTGCTGGAACTCAAGCCGTTTGTAGAGGCGCTCCTCCTCCTCGGCAGCCAGTTCCATGGACTCGAGGTGCTTCTGGTGCTCCAGCGACTCCTGAGACGGGTTCCAGATCGTCAGCATCAGCGGGAGGGCCTGCATGGGGGTTGTGCCGTACTTCTTTTTGAGCGAAACGAGCCCGACGGAGATGGTGAAGGTGCACAGGGGCCAGAACAGGGCGAGGTGCACTGAAAGCGAAGGAGCAGACAGGACAAGTCAATGGACGTTGGAGACGATCTATGACAAGCAATTGCGAGAATGGAGCACATCGGCGCGAGATATCGGAGCCCCAGATGCAGTACTTCGAAAGGAGTGCTAGGCACCAGCACGGCCACAGGCTGGATGCCATCCGGCGCCGATGCCCTCAAGATACGCCGATGTAGCCGCTCAGCACCGGCGCTGGGCACATACCAAGCATCCCGAGCTTCTGGACCCGTCGCTTGAGGCTTGAGATGGTCAATGGTGCATACACGTTGCCGGTGGTCCTGGAACGCTGGATACCGAGGGCTGGTGCAGACAGCAAACGGATCGATGAGCGGACTACACAAAGACGAACGGCCGCATGGCACTATCGCTGGACAACGCCGACACCGACGCAGGATCGCTCTCCTCCAAACAGTGTCGGTCATCGATTCGATACAGTGGCAGCCCCGGTCTTACCTTGGCCCTCATTCCGGACCGAAAACCACGGGGTCTTGATGTTGACCGGAATGCGCTTGCATTCGAGCGAGAAGCGAATATCGATGCGCTCGAGACTTGAGTTCAGAGGCAAGAACTCAAATTCATGCAGAAAATGGCGCTGGATGCGCTCGCCCTTGGTCAAGATGAACTTGTGCATCGGCTCCGGGGGAGACGCTCTCGAGCCAGTCGCTGGGATGGCTGACAAGCTGATGGGGACCTCGTGGGGGTCGATGGACTGGGCGTCGTCGTCGAGACTGCTGCTCAGCGCAGGGGTTGGGAGAGCGTCATCGGCGAAGGCTGTCGAGGGGAGATTGAGCAGCGCCGTGATGTTGACGTCGGGATGGGTTTCGATGCGCAAGACCGGAGCCTGACAGTTGGTTGGGATTCGAGGACTGACCCGGAACTGCCCGGGGGTTTGACGAGAATAGAGCTTGACCTTGAGGTTGGCTGGGAACCGTTCGTATGAGGGAAGGATGAGACGGATGTCAGCGAGAGAGAGATAGGGAGAAGCATCGTCGAGGCAGCCGCATACAGAGGGGGGGGGCCGCGGACTCGAATACATACGCTGGGCCCAGAAAGCAGCGATAAAGACAATCGAGACGAAGAGCCACCAGCCCACACGAGAGACCGACTTGCGGGAGTATTTGCGCAGGAAAACGGCGGTCGTGCCCACCATGGCGAGGTAGAGCCACAGGGCCGAAGGGAGCAGGACATGCGCCAGCGTCACCGGAGCCGTCGCCAGCACGGTGAACATCACAAACGACGGCAGAGGAAGCGGGGCAAGCAGCTCCAGGGGCGAGAGGAGCTGCTCGGCAGCAGCCACATTGTCCATGTTGGATGGGCGGGCAGATGTGCGGGCAGATGCAAGACCAAGCAAGCGAGGACAGCGGCCAGAAGGCAAGCAAGCAAGAGCGGACAGACGCACGTGCTGAGCAGCCCGATGTGTGCAAGTGCGACAACGAAGCCAGGAATGCCGACAGCCCCGCAGAGAACAGGCACCCAGAGATACCGCTGCCGAGAGGACGCCGCTGAGCCAGTGTAGAGAATCGCACCGCGGGTTTTTGAAATATACTGTATTTTTATGCACACAAAACCATGGCCATGGGCTTCCCAACTGAACATGCCGGAGCACGATCCGCTTACTCCTTGACCTGCTTGGCACCACGGAGGAGACCAGTGCGGCGGGCAGCAATGAGACCGACCTTCTGGCCAGGGGGGGCAAAGCGAGAGACGGTGGAGGCGTGACCAATGTGCTGGTGGTTACCACCACCGTGGGGGTGATCAACGGGGTTCATGGCAACACCACGGGTCTTGGGCCAGCAGTTGCGCTTGACGCGGTACTTGTGGTGGGCACGACCGGCCTTCAGGAGGGGCTTGTCAATACGGCCACCACCAGCGACAATGCCGACAGAGGCACGGCAGGTGGACTCGACGAGCTTCTTGGTGCCGGAGGGCAGCTTGATGCGGGTCTTGCCGGTCTCGGCATCGTGGCCGATGATGATGGCGTAGTTGCCAGAGGCGCGGGCAATGGCACCACGGTCACCGATGCGCTCCTCGACGTTGGAGATGACGGTACCTTCGGGCATGGAGCCGACGGGCAGGATGTTGCCGATGTTGAGAGCAGCTGCACAAGCACGATCGGGGGGGATTTGATTAGTCTCGATATCCAGGGACACAGAATTTGAACGCTGTACACACAGCCCCGTCAGCGAGAAAAGCAGAGCCGCAGTCGTACTCACCCTTCTTGCCGGCGTAGAGGAACTGGCCGGTGAAGACACCCTCAGTGGCAATGAAGGTCTCGGTGTGCTGCTTGTAGCGGTAGGGGTCACGGAAGACGACCTTGGCGAGAGGAGCACCACGTCCGGGGTCGTGGACGATCTCCTTGACGAGACCACGGACGTAGCCGTGGCGCTCGGCAAAGTCGAGCGAGCGGTGCTTGGCGGCACCCTGACGGCGCTTGGTGACGGCCTTGAAGATGCCTCCAGCACCCTTACGCTGAGCACGAATGACACGACCCATGGCTGGAACCGAGAAGAGACAGGCGACGGAGCGATGAGTATGCCGCACAAGCAACCTTGGTGGTGAGCCAGCCGCACCACGCCCGCGGCTGGGACGAGCCCCGTTCTGGCCGAGGAGGGATCGAGAACAGATTTCTGTCGGTCCATGTCGCCGCAGACCCGTCGTGTCTTTGCAGACACATCGGGGCCTGCAGATAGTTGAACGACAGACTCGCACCCAGAGACCAGTCGCAGCGCAGCGCTTTGGGATCCGGTCTGTGAAAAGCCGCCTCGGTCGTCGGATCCGCAACGGATACAGCCGAGGAACGTCGGACGTCCAAGATGTCGGTCTGTCGCTGGTGCGTCGCTCTTGCCGGTCCAACTGCCGCCTTGAGTGTCGTTCCGGCTCTCCGAGTTGCTTGACGTTCCTCGTCGCTCGATCAACCACACCGAGGAGCCGCGCGCTTGGTCGAGGATTCTGGGCGGGTGGTCGTCGAACGGACCGGTCTCGCGCGGCGGCGAGGGCTCGTTGATTCCACCGGGTGTCCTCCCGATCTGTCCAGCGATGCGACCGTCCAGGGCTCCACTCCAGGCTCCACCGTCGGCTCAGGCAGCCGTCCAATCGTTACCTTATAATTGGGACAATTGTGTGATGGGAGAGAGAAGAGAGAGGGAAAGAGCTGGTGCCGAGAAACAAGAACACATTTGCTTGGGGAGGCAGAAGAAAAAAGACACGTGTGTGGCGCGTGTGGCGAAGCGCTTGCGTAAGCAGCCTGTGTGACGTCGCTGCGACGCGGGCGCGCCGGTGCGTGGTGCGACGACGCCGGGCGGGCCATCGGCGCATCACGTGTGCGGCATTGTTGTGTTGGACTGTTGGACTGTTGGACTGTTGGACTATGGGAGAGTCGATCCAACACATGCAGGGCACCCTGGATTTTGAGCATTGGCGAATGTTATCGTCCAAGACCATCGCGATGGCCATGACCATTCAGCGATGGAACTCTGGATCTGAATCAAGGACGCTTTCTCGCCAGACGGCTCCCCGCAAGCGAAAGACACCACCCAGGCGACCAAGTGGATCCAGAGCACCCACAAGGTCCGCTCCTCGCTTCGGCCGCGCGCCCTTTCGTCCTCCCGCTGTCTCCTGCCCTGCGAGCCATCCTCGATCCTCGATCTCGGCGCCTGCTGCCTGCCGCCCACCCTTCGAATCACTTGCCCCAAGGCCCCCCCCCCAGGCCCGGGTCACCCAGATCGATCTCCTCACAGGGATCGCCAAGCACTCGCCAAGACTCTTCCCCCCCGTATTTCGCTCAAGACAATCCACACGGAATCAAGCAGGAAACCCCGATCAAAACAGGATCTTGCAAATGATGGCATCCGCTACCGAGCAAGAGTCGATCGAATCGGCTGTTGCTCAGCCGACAAAGATCGATCCTGCTGCTGAATCTCTCACCGGAGGCCCGGAGAACATCGATGAGACGGGCGACAAGCCAATGGCTGATCGCCAAGGGGAAGCCGACCAGCCCGTTTCCTCTGTCGAGAACATGGATCTAGATCAGCCTTCGACCTCCACCTCCATTGCTGCGCCAGGCAACCCTGAGGGCACTGATGATGCCGGGAAACTCGGCGATCCCGACACCCACATGGACAGCAAGGGTGTCGATGCCAATGTCGATGGCGGGCACGATCTGGCCTTGGACGACAACATGTCCGAGTACAGCAACCCAGATGTGGATGCAAAGCACCGATCGAGAGACGCCCAAGCTTCTGGCGATCACCCCCAGCACCAGCACCAGAACCAGCACCAGCAGTCGTCTGCCGATGGCACCCGCCCCAAAGGCCGACCACCGGGTGCAGGCGCGGCCCGATCGAGAGCCGTAGTGGTTGATCGGGAAAAGGTATGTGGCTCGATCGATGCGAGATTGCCGGTCCTTCCTCGCCGAGCCCGTAAGATTCGCCACAGGCAGGCCTGTCTTGGCTCGGAGCGCAAGAGCACTGATCCATGAAACTGATGGCGCTTCCCTCTGTCGTCTTCCTCCTCCTCGACGTCGGCGGCGGCTTGTCCAGACGGCGCCGTTCCTGATCCGGGTCTTTTTCGGCTTGAGACATCGCCGGCCGGACGACTATGACAGGCTCGATCTACTCAAGGAGGCGGAGATGCACATCTGGACCTGGTGCGTGTTCCTTCGTTTGCCGCTCTTGGATCGGTGGATGGCAGCGACGTTTTAATGCCTTTCTGCTTGGCACTGCGATCTAACGGCATGGCTTCTATGCCGTTTCTGGTTTGCACGGCACACCTCATCTCTCTCTCTCAACAGGAAGGACGCCACCCTGCGCGAACTGACGTCGCTCATATCCGAGAAGCACCCCGACTGCCTGGCCTCGAACCACCGGATCTCCTTCAAGGTCGTCTATCCCAACCTGGTGCGCGACGGCCGATACACCTTCAAGGACGCCGGCGTGGTTCTGAACTCGAGTCGGCCGGGCTTCCACCGCGACGACCACGGCAAGACCCTGGACGACCTCCGCTTCGTCGTTGGCGACTTTATCGATGTGGCATGTGCGCCCGCCCCCACCACGGCCCCGTTTGGAGCGGCTGGGGCGGCCGGAGCGCTTGGCTCGTTCCGGATTACGGGCCGAGCCGCAGCAGCAGCAGCAGGCGACGACAGTCTCAACGGCGGGATCGCAGGCAGCAACCGAGGCTTCCGTGACCGTCGCTATGTGCCCTATTCGCTTGCCAAGGGACCCCGCGAGACCGACAACGAAAAGGCACGATCGCTTCGATCGGCCCTCGATCTGGTCCCGCACAACGAGCCTCGGCTGAGCCGGGCTGGCGGGAGACCCGAGCGGCCGTGGGATCGAGAGCGACAGCGCGGCGACTGGCCCAGCCGCGACGGCAACCGTATCGGCGACCAAGATCGTAACGGCGACCGTGATCGAGACCGTGATCGTGAAGGCAACCGCGAACGAAACCAGGGCCGAGACAGAGATCGAGAACGGAACCGCGAACGGGATCTGGATCGAGAAGACCGGGGAGGTCTTGGACGACGGCCCGATCGCAGCGACGGCCGCCGTGCGAGCGACTCGGCACCCTCCGCCCATGACGACCGCGACCGCCGATCCTGGAAGCGAGACGGTCCCCAGGACCGCGACGGCCGGCGGGACGACGATCGGCCCCATCGAGACCGTCGCCTGTAGGCATTTTGCCGTGCCATGGAGCCGTGCAAGTGGCCGGGAATGGTGATCGGGGTGCCGGGAATGCAGCAGCACAGGCTCTGGATTTTTGTTTCCTGATCAAAGCATGCAGGGGATTTGCACTCGGACATGCACAGCAGACCAACTCGTGCGAATGCTGCATCGCACCAGCCACATCCGCCGCCCTCTGCTTCTTTCATTTCTGCTTCGGTCGCTCTTCCGACACAAAAGCGCCACTGTAAACCAATGCGGATTTGTGCTCAATGTGCTCAGGCAGTTGTATTGGTAACTTGAGGCGAGTCGAGAGCGTCGCTCGGGAGGGCTGAGCCGCCGGAGGGGGTGGTGAATCGTTGACAAATAACGTAAAAAATCGAAAAACAAGAAAAAAAAATCGATAATCCAAAAAGAGATGGGAGTTGCCTGAGCAGCAAAATGAGCAGCAAAATGAGCAGCAACAATACGAGCAGCAACAATACGAGCAGCAACAATACGAGCAGCATGGGTGGCGGTTCGTGCAAGTGGAGGGAGGGTCGCGCTGGGAATATTAGTATCAAGAGAGTTGGCTCCAAACTGAGCCGGAAAACAAAAGATTGCTGCTGCCGTGGCGTCTCTGCAGAAGTGGAGATGAAAAGCTTCGACAGAGTTCGACGGTTGAGACAGCGACAGGAGCCATGTCCCGATGAAAAGGAGAAACGAGAAAGGGCGCGAAGATATCCAAATCATGGGATGAGGGAGAGCGAGCCCCAGGAGGCGGAGGAGAGTGTTTGGGAACGGGGAAAAAAAAATATAGAATGAATCCAAAAAGAAGAGGGCACAACACATGGCAAGGATGGGGGTGACCCACCAAGCAAGTGTGCTTGACCCGTTGACCCGTTCAACAGCAGGGTCGGATAGATGTAAGGGCGCGACACAGCGGCAAAAAAAAGGGGGGGGAGGGGAACGGAGGGGAGACAATTGCATGAATCATCTGTGACAAACCGATTCAATAACCAGCCAGAATTCACCCAAAACGAATGCACTGCTTCGAACGAGAGGTGACCGTTCCTGTGCAGTGGAGTGGGGGGGATCCCTTGCGAAGGCTCTTTGCTCGCTGTATGGAAACGATGCAGATTTCGTGCTTGCGGTTGGGATAGTTGGATAGGACCGTTCTTGGCTGTCGGGAAGGGCCCTGGCATCGAGGAGACTTGAGAATGCAGGCGGGGCCACAAGTGGACAAGAATGCCGCTCAGCGCCAGTAAACGACCTGTTCAGAGCGTCTGGGACTCGGAGGGTAGTAGAACAGGTTCTGGGCCTTGGTCTTGGCCTTGGCCAGCGAGAACTCGGAGAAAGCGCGGTCGCTGGCCACCAAGAAGAGATGCGACAGGCACTTGGAGGCCGTGATGCGATCCCGGGGGTCTTCTTTCAGCATCAGGGCCAAGAGCTCGGCAGCCGAGATGAGGATGGCGTCAAGATGGGAGCGCTCGTCGCGGATGTACTGCTGGATGACGGGCACGAGCGAGGCAATCTGGCCGGGGAACAGGAGGCCCGATCCGAGGCAGCGGAGCGCCGAGTCCGGGAAACGCGGGAGATACACGTGGAGCCACTGGCCAAAGATGACGCCAAGCGAGAAGATGTCGCACTCGGTGCCGAAGGAGGTGCCGTGCTGGACCTCAGGGGCGATGTAGCCAGGGGTGCCGCAGCCACGGGGATGCGGATCGGTGGGACTTGAGCGTCTGGACAGGCCAAAGTCAATGAGTACCGGCTGGTTGGTGATGGGGTCCTGCATTACGTTGGCAAGACACAGGTCCAGGTGGGCAACGTCGAGGGCGTGAAGCGCCAGGAGCGTCTGTGGGTCGGCAGCAACGATGGAGGTGTGTCAGCAGGTCTGTCTGTATGGGTCCAGTCGGTTCCATAGCGGTGTCGGTGTAGCATGGGCCGACCGGGAAGATTGGTGGGCAGGGAGCTCAGCGTACCTGGAGCAGTGATTTGAGCACGTTTCTGACCAGCAGGAGCGAGACGGACGAAGGGCAGTCGAGCTTTTTCAGCTTGGGAAAGACGACGACGGAGCACGAGTCGCCGTCCACGAAGGTGTCGATGACGGTCGTGACGTTGGGGACGCCATGGTCCTTGATCAGCCGGAGCATCTCGAGCTCGTGGTCCATGGAGGCCAGATCATCGAGGGAGCGTTTCAGAACCACGTGTTGCGAGGTGGTGCTGTCGATGGCGAACTCGATCGACGACAGGGCGGTCTGGAGGGGGCGTGGACGGTGGAGAGAGGTGGCGTGGTTGGAGTGAGGGACAAACGGTGAGAGCCAAGACGCCGGATTAGCGGGAGTGCACCCAGAGTGCACCCAGACACAATCATCCGAGACAGCGGGAGTCCAGTCCAGTGATCGATCATGCGGGCTGGAGTCAGCCGGCTGGATGGCTGTCGGTCGACAGTGAACAGGCAGGGTTGACGGTGCGGCCGAGAGGACCGAGAAGGCCAGTGCCAAATGGAGCACAGTGCCAGCAGACAAAGTTGATCCAGATCCAGATTCAAATCCGCATTCAGATTCAGATCCTGCTGGGGGCTTACCTCGATCCTGGAGGAGCCAGGCAGCAGGGTGTATCGGCTCGAGTCGGATGTGCAGACCAGCGTGGCGGCACTGTCGGCCGAGGCAAAATGGGCCGATGGTTTTGAGGCCTCACGGAGGTCCTGGGAGCCCGCAAAGTACATGGCCGTACTAGAGGCGCCAGCAGAGGAGGAGGCCGACGAAGCCGAGGAGCCGACGGAAGGATAGAGACACGAGTGGTGGGCAGAGAGCGACAGACTTGACGAGGGCGACTTGACGTGGAGCATCATTGCAGAGGACGAAGGGAAGGATGCGGATGCAGGAAGAGCACGAGCGGATCGGGCCACTTCTGATGGAGTTAAATGTGGTGGGGGAGAACGGCAGAGATAGGCGTGAGAAGCCGAGGGAAAGGGCGATTGCGGGAAACCCGAGGGGTCGGACAGGGCTGGGACTCGGCCCCGCTGGAGGCGGTGACCAGAGGAAAAGGTTGGGCGGCAACTCGCAGGACACCACACAACCCAGGCCGGAGAGAAAAGACAAGTCCTGGGGACCGAGTGGGCGCCGCTGGAACCGCAATGGCGCTGCTTGGTCCGGTCCCGGCGCTGTCGACAAGACATCCAAACAAGCGGCGGGAGAGCAGGCGCAGGGCACACAGCGAGGAGGCATCGGAGACTCACTCGATCGAGACCGGCGAGGTGCGTCCAGCGAGTCAGGGCCAGCCAGGGAGAGCGTCTGCGAGCTTGGTCTGCAGACAGACTTGCGGGTCCGAGGGGCGACAGAAGATTTTATGGAGGCGGCGACAGCGATAGCAAATTGCCGGGCGAAATGTACAACCGAGCAAGCACGGCGCGAGAAACAGCGAAGGGCCGGGTGACACCAGGCGAGGCGGCAGCGAGACGGCGGCGAGAGCATGGCGAGCGAGAGCGGGGGCAGCGTCTCGTCGCCGATTGGCCTGGAGAGCAAGACACGCACTCACAGTCGACACGGACTGCGGGGCGGCAGCACTCGGCCAAGTCCGCAACGCGCTGCGCAAATCCGCTCGCACACAGCGCGTTTGTGCATCCAATGGGAGCCGCGAGAGATATCCTCGTCGGATCGCTGAGGCCGTGTGAGCCCGGCGCCGCGCTCGGATTGGCAGATAACGCACCCGATAAGCAGGCGGCCCGTGACCGTTCCGGTCGTTGTCCGTCCTCGCGCCGAGGCACGATGCTTTCCCCCCCATCTCTGCGTGGCCAGCGACGCAATCGCTGCCGGCGGGGGGGGGAGGGACAGACATGCCCGGTCTCCCTCGGCCAACAGCACGATGGCGGACGAGCGGGCTCTGGTGGCTGTAGGTCCCCGGAGCGGTGCTGGACTCGCTCTGCGACCGCTTCCGTTCCGATGCGGCCATCGCAGGCAAAAACACCTGCCGGAACAGAGCGATGCACAAGCTTGTGCAGGCTCGGCGGACAAGGCGCTGCGGCAACAGCAGCGTCAGCAAGCGTCAGACACAGCAGACACAGTGGACGCAGCAAGGGCATCTCACAAGGCCGCCCTGCCAAGGACCGTCCTCCGGGTTCCGCGCTGCCCTGACGCGTGGCGCTCGGCTGAGACACAGGCGGCGGAACCAGCAAGGCGTGCTGCGCGCCAGCACGTGGCGGCGTCGGGTATTTCCGGAGACCCCACGCGCAGCTGCACCACCGCCGGAACCGCGCAGGGTCCCGGTCGCACGAGGGGAAAGGAGCGCGGGCAGAAAGACGATCGCGGGGAAAGAGAGGCGAAGGGAAAGACGATCGGGCTGCGCACCGACCCAGCTTCCGGTGGCTCGTCCAGCCCAGTCGACTCCGGCATGTGCACCATGACAACACCAGCGGCATGAGCACCAGGTCCAGCCTTGCCCAGCGCAGGCCGCAGATGCAGAGCCAAGCGCTCCGGGGCCAGAGGGGTGCTCTCCGTCGTCCTTCGGCCCATCCGCGCCCACATCCACAATCATCCCAGCCCCAGCATCATGGCGCTCTTGCCTCAAAAAAGTCCGCGCTCCGCCCGGACCCGCTTCCCCTCTGTCTTTGATCGCCCCCGACAAGATCAGATCCGCCCGATCGACAGTCTGCTGTCTCCCGCCCCACAGTGACCGTCCCCTTCCCGCCACCCTCCATGAGTCTCCTCAACGATAAGCTCCTCGGCCGCGCTCTGACCATCGCTGGATCCGATTCGGGCGGCGGCGCCGGCATCCAGGCCGATCTCAAGACCTTCACGGCCTTCAAGGTCTACGGCACCTCGGTCCTCACCGCCCTGACTGCCCAAAACACCCTCGGTGTCTCGGGCATTCATCCGATCCAGCCCGACTTTGTCGAGAAGCAAGCCCGCGCTGTCCTCGATGACATTGGCGCCGATGCCCTCAAAACCGGCAAGTTACCGCACCGACGACGGTGGTGGATCTGCTCTCCATCGCTGGGATATCGCCGCCGCAGACCAAACCGTCTCTCGCGTGGCTTCTCTCTCCTGACCCCGATGGACCTCGTGTTCTTTCAGGTATGCTCTTTGACTCCTCTGTCGTCAAGTGCGTCGCCAAGCTGGTTTCAGAGTACGGCCTCACCAAGGTCGTCGTCGACCCCGTCATGGTCGCCACCAGCGGCGACCGCCTGCTCGCCGAGGATGCCATCGAATCGATCCAGTCGGTGCTTCTCCCGCTCGCCTTTGTCGTCACCCCGAACGTTCCCGAGGCAGAGATCCTGGCAGGCATCTCCATCACCAGCCTCGAGGACATGAAGACCGCTGCCGTCAAGATCCACCAGCTCGGCGCCAAGCACGTCCTCGTCAAGGGTGGCCACCTGCCTCTCGACGGACAGTACAAAACCGCCCAGTCGCTCGACTCGGCCATGGTCCTCGATCTCCTCTACGACGGTAGCAGCTTTGAGTATTTCAAGCATCCCTTTGTCAATACCAAGAACACCCACGGCACTGGCTGCACCCTCTCTGCTGCGATCACCGCCGGCCTGGCAATCGGGCAAGATGGTGGGTATGGGCTCTCCAGAAGCGGGGGAGGGCATTCTCGACTATATAGCCCGATGCACACACTCGATGCACCCACTCGATACACACACTCGATGCACCCACTCGATGCAACACCTCACCCCCGATCGATCGCCTCTGCATGGGCTCATTTTGCTTCGTTAACTTCCTCCCTCCCGCCGCACAGTGAAGCAGGCCGTGCAGGATGCCCTCCGGTACGTCCAGGGCGCGTTGGTCTGCTCCATCTCGGTCGGCAAGGGCCATGGTCCACTCAACCATGTCCATGCGCTGCCATCGCCAGCCAAGTAAGTCCGACGGTCCCCCCCCCCAACAGATTCTCGAGTCCGCACCAGTCCTCGCCAAGTGCTTCAGTTGGTCTAACCACAGTCGCGGATCGACCTTTTTTTATGGTTTCATTGCAGAATCGGCGGCTTCGTGCACAAGCTCATGAACTACTGCGCTCCGGAATGGGATCTCTACGTCAACCACCCGTTTGTGCAGCAGATGGGCGACGGTACCCTGCCCATGGACTCCTTCACCCACTACATCTGCCAGGACTATATCTTCTTGCTCCACTATGCGCGTGTGAACGCACTGGCGGCATTCAAGGAGAACGACATGGATTCGATCATGGAGGCTGCCGAGTTTGTCATTGGCATCGGACACGAGACCAAGAAGCTCCATATCGAGGTAATGCTTGTGCAGATGACGCAGAGGGGCTGCAGCTGGCGGCCAACAGAGCAGCGACTGGCCAGTGTCACTGATCGACTTGATGCTTCAATGTTCAGTATGGAGAGCAGTACGGCATTACTCGCGATCAGCTTATCAAGACGAAGGAGGCTTCTGCCAATCTTGCCTATACCCGCTATGTGCTCGACAAGGGTGAGTGCAGCGATGCTGCACGAGCGGACTGGGTCCAGACATGATCAGCTGCACGAACAGACAGCGTCGGCTGGCCAACACTGGATACGCCATGGTGGACTATGGATTTGCCACGGTCTGACCTGGACCCTTCCGGACGTTTCGTGATCACTTAGGCACTAGTGGCGACCGCCTCGATCTGCTTGTGGCCGTTGCGCCGTGCTGCCTGGGCTATGCCGAGATAGGCTATCGTCTTATGACTGACCCCAAGACCAAGCAAGGTGAGTGGCTGGTTCGCCGAGCGGGAATGGTGTGTTTCTCGCACGGCGTGGATGCAGCCGCCTGCTGGATGTCGTCGTTGACTCAATTGGTTGTGCGAAGCGGGCTGACTCACTGGTGTATGCAAATGGTTTCCTGGTGTGCAGAGGGTAACCCCTACTGGAAGTGGATCGTCAACTACGGCTGCCCCGAGTTCCAAAAGATCGCTGTCGACATGAAAGGTACTGCATCGCGCTGCACTGTATTTCGGCGCATTGTGTTTCGTTGTATTGCGCTGCATTCCGTTGTCACCCGCACCGACGCCATGCAAGCCAATCTTTACTCCGAGGATACTGATTCCATGACCCGTCTGTGCGGTGCGATGGTCCCCCCCCCGTTGACATGCGGCTGCCTTGCAGAAAAACTCGAGCGCCTGGCCTACGAAATGGTTCCGTCCCACAACACCAACCGCCTTATTCAGCTCTGCGAGAACTACAAGCAAGCCACCATCCTCGAGGCAAACTTTTGGGAGAGTAAGTGGCTGCTGAGGATCCAAGCGGTGTGGAGGCGAACGAACATGGCCACCCGCTACGGCGAAGGCCATGTACAGCGTGGGGGCGGTGTTGTGCGGTAGCGTTATTTCGGAGTCAGATGCCGACGCCGACGCCGACGATGGCGTATTGGGATGATTGTGCATGATCTCACCGCTGGATATGCGTGAGGGGGTTGATGGCAGGCCGGAAGCCGGCATGCGAGAAGCGCGGCTCCGAATGAATGCAGCGGGGTTTGTTGTGCTCGGAAGGAGCAGCGACGAGCGGTGCATGGTCGGCCGAACAAAAGGGCCCCTGCAATGCGTCTCGCCTCGGAGGGATCTCTGCTGACTGATGCGTTTTTGTTGCTTCTCACGCAGTGGGCCTGAAGAAGCTGCAGTAAGAGTGCCGACCAGCGCTCTGACCCGAGCGGCAGCAGCTCCTCTCACACGGGAGACCATCCACGGCATATTGGGGTCCGAGCTTGGTCGATGCCGCGTGGCGGACTTTGGGACAGCAACTTTAGCCGAACCGAGGAGCAGCGCCGGCGAGATCGCCGACTTGGTTTGGATGGATGGTGGCTCATCGCCCGTTGGGGCTGGGTTGTTGGACCCGTCGGATCGATGGTTGGGAGGAAATCCCTGAGCCAGCTGATTGCCCAATGAATGTTCCCAGCGCCAATCGCCTCTACAGACAGGACGGACCAACAGACATGGCGAGCGAACATGAGTCATGCGCGACGGTATCGGCGAACCCCCCCCCGGTGGATGACGACCGATGGATGTGGTCCTGGCAGGACAGGGACGATCGATGAACGAACGATCGAGCGGGTGACTCACCGATTGACCGACCGGTCTTGCGGTGCCGGGCAGTCCGAGATTCAACATCGGAATGGCAGACATTCAGTGGCAGACATTCAACAGCAGATATCGAACAACATCCAACACAGCCAGGCAGTCGGGCAGGCAGGCCGTCGCTTCCGAGCCCGCGCCCAAGCTGCCATCGGGCCGCTGCCATGTTTGCCCGGCGCTTTGGTTTGCCGCGGCATGCCATTCCCTTTGATTCCATTCCAGCCCGCAATGTATCTCGCAAACGCAGATCTGCCCACGGCCGAACAGACACTTCCTCCCCCCCCCGACCAGCAGATGCCACGCCAGTCCCTCCTGTCCCTGGTTTGTTTGTCCCGAACCTGATCGTGGTCCCTCGGCTGAATGCTCGCCGAGCATGGCATTTGTGCTGGCGATGTGCTCTACCAAGGCCTCCGGCGCCGATCCGCTTGCACCAGCGCCTGAGCGCCTTGGGCGGAGAAGGCGGGACAAGCCCAGCGCCGTCCAGACAGTGTCCGTCTGCGGCTCATCCTCCGCTGGGGGCACCACTGCACTGGGTGTTCTCCACCTGGCCACGGCCCCCGGCCTCGTCGTCGCAGCTTTCGTTCATATTCCTTTTCCAAAAACCCATTCCCCCCTCTCCGGGATCTGACTCTTCGTCGAGGCTCCTTCGGCGTCTGCGTCCTTCGAGGACCACCACACATCTCCCACGCACTGCTGCCGCTTCATGTCACTGCCCCGCCACCACCGTCGGCTCTGGCTGCTGCTGTTGCTGGTCCTGGCCTGGAGCATCCCCCTCGAGGGCATGCCGGCCGCCCGTGCATTCGCCTCCGCCCGGCCCAAGCACAGGCGAGCCCAGACCAACTTTGACGACTCTGTGCTGCCAACAGACGTCTCCCCCGAGATCCTGGCTACCGAGTCCTTTGTTGCATCGTCATCGCCATCAGCAGCACCATCACAGGCATCATCGGCACAACCATCGCCGTCACCGTCGGCTGCCATATCCGGCCGCCATGCCTCAAGCCCGTCGCCCAGCCCGCCTCCCACAAGCGCCACGCCGGCGACAGTCGAGACCGCCCCGCCGGCCATCGTCAAGCCCAAGGTCATCAACCAGGACTCATCAGGCTCGGGCCCGAATGACTTGTGGAACCCCTTCCGCGTCCTGATGGTCATGGTCCTTGGTGTTGCTGGATTCGCGGTCGTTGTGACCACGACGGTGTTTGTCGTTCGGTCCGTGGTCGTCGATCGCCATCACCCGCTCTACCGATTCATGTGGGGATCGACGTCGTCGCTCTCCCTCGGCACTGCCGAGCGGGTATCGGAGGACGGCCTGGACAACATTTCGACCCTAGAAGAGCCGCTGCCAGCATACTCACCCCCCATGGGCAACGTCATGAGGCAGCCCTCTGTCAGATCGCTCTTCCCGAGCTTGGCCCAGCGGTCCCCGACAGGACGATCGTCCCTGGGCCGCCAGCCAACAACAGCCGAGCCCAGAGAGCCATCAACTCCGGGCACGCCAAAGTCCCTTCCTCCGTCCTATGATTCGCTGGGACCAAGCGGGTCTCAGTAGACGCCGTGACCATGCCATGGAATCGCCGTGGGACCATTGCCTTTGCCAACGACATCAACTCAGCACAAACCATCGAACCGTTTTGGCCATCTGCCACTTCTCTCACCATGTTCTCGTCCACCCCGCCCGCCACTGCCAGCTTGCGCCGGCTCGTTCGCCCGTGCTCAATGAGCCGAGCATATCATCTCACAGGGGGGGTGGATTTTGGGCAACAGCCCAGCACCCTGGCGATCACGACCCTCATCCCAGCCCTCGGGGCAACTGAATATGCCCCCGTTCCCACGCCCAAGAATCCGACCCCCCCATTTGCATTCATCCCATATCGTTAATATATACGTGCAAACGTCCTACAGTGTGTTGATAAGACCATGGGGCACATAACTCCTCTCGGACAGAACACGCCGTAGTCGGATCACAGCGCACGGCGAGGATGAGCGAGTCGCTGCAGATGCAGTCGCCCCGACTGAGGGCAAGAGGACATGCCTGGGATGAAGGCGGAAGCAAAGAGCGGAATCGCTGTGCCTCATCAGCAGAAGCCATCACAGTGCGAACGCCGATCGACGTCATTCAGCCAGGCGGCCGATCAGCGTCGTGCAATCCACACAAACCATCTGTGCGTTGAGGTGTCCCGTTCCAATGTGGCCACTATCATCCATCTTGCTCCTCCATCGAGTCCGTCTGCATCGGCCTGGCCAGCTCACAGCCATTGCTCAGACTTGAAACCGAACCCCCGCACGCACCCTTTCCATTTCGTGCATCGGCGTTGGTACTCGTGCCTTTCCTCCATCGATCGCCACCGCCAGCGTTACTCTCTGTCGTCGGGATTCGTCATCACCACCCGTAATTTGTCGTTTCGGGAGGGCCGTCTCTGCCGCTGACCAACCCGCTGACAGCCAGCGGGATATTGCCGCAACCACGCTCGCCGGCCCAAGCTCGATATACCACGCCGTCGGATCCACCAGGTTTGGTATCGTGCTGCTGTCCCGCAACCGGCAACGTCAGCCTTAATATCCAAACGTGTGTGAGCTCCATTCCCGCTCCATCGCTCGACTCGCCACTCAATCCACCGCACCCTGTCGACTCTTAGACCGCACGCGGCATTTTGTGTCAAGTCCTTCCATTCACAAGTACCCAGGACACTGCGAGCGTTCTCGGCTGAGGAGCACCCGCTTGCTTCAGCACGAGCCTCTGTCGCATCCCGCCCAGAGTCCCAAGCGTTCCCTGCAGCATACACCAAGACGGTGGGGGGCCACTCACTTCCCACTCCTCCGCTCACGCTGGCTCTGTGGCTTCGCCGAGATTTTAAGCGACGGCTACTCTGCAATGACGACTCAATCGCCTTCCAAGGGTACTTTCCCCCCGACGACCGCGCCTGTTGCAGAAACGGTGGCAGGCAGAGACGATAGCCCCGCACGACCACCAAGCATCATAACCTGCGATACGGCGTCCGAGACGGCAGAGCAAATCGCTCGGTTGTCCGCAAGGATCGTGGAGCTCGAGACTCTCAATATCCAGCTCACCTCGACAACGGCCTCGGCCGAGAGCAAGCTCAAGGTAGGCTACGCTCGCTCGATCTGGTCCAACTCAAGCAATGGGCACCTAATCAGACCAAGCTCTTTGACATCCACCTCGGAAGCACTAACTCGCCCGTCCGCCCCCTTCGCTCCCTTGTCGCTATACTTTCCCACGCTTAACGTCCGTGTCTGCCACACAACCGGGGATATCAGAACATCGGCGACAAGTATGAGGAGCTCGCGAAGGAGTCGTCCGAGATCATTGTCAAGAAAAACTCGCAAATCGACATCATGCGCGTCCAGCTCAACCGATACGAGTTTGCCATCAAGGAGGCCATTCTGTTTCTGTCCAAGCCCGCGGAGGCGTACGATCAGTGGCTCGCAAGCGGCAGCCAAGCCGGGCTGTTGGGATTTGCTCCTGCTCGGCAAGACACCTTGGAGATGTCCAAGAGCAAGTCCGGCAGCATCTCGCAGCTCCTGGACACCGCCTTCTTTGGCAAGGACAAGACTCTGGCTGCAGCTTCCACTGCCACGACCACTGCGGCTGCCGCTGCAAACAAGTCACCACAATCTGCTGCGGGAGCAATCGAGATTCGCGGGCTCGAGTCCCTGCGACTGGCACTGAACTATCTCAAGCTGGCCCAGCAGTCGGTCATGGCGATTCGAGAGGGGCAGAAGGATGGCGCTGATGTTGTCCTGCCCCGCCTGTCGCCAACCAAATCACCGGCTACGCCCAGCCCGAGCGACGACGTCCCTCTCTTCCACATCTACCAGGCTCTCAACTCCGATCCATCAAAGCCGATAGCGAATGCAAGCAGTGCCGCTGCTGCCACAGACGCAGCCGGCTCGCTTGTCTCGATCAGCGGCAGCATCCCCACCAATGCACCAGCCCCGATGCCGACTACAACTCCTGGCTTTGGGATGTCGTCCGGGCCCGGAAAAGGTAGCGACACTGCGAGCATCACCACGACACAGCATCCAGGCATGAGCACCAGTCCGTCAAAGGGAAGTCTGGTGATCGACGCCGAAGACGGGAAAAAGTCGCTGCACCCATCGCCAATCCCAGAACGAGCCACCACCACCACCACCACCACCACCACCACCGGCGCTGCCAACCGGAGCATGGCCCGACCGAAAAGTGCTGCTTCGCTGAATCCATTCCTCTTGAAGGCTGCCACCGTCCTTCCCGAGGAAGACGACAGCGACCTCTCGAGCGGCCAGAACAGCAACGCGGCCCGGGCGACCACCAGCCCCTCGCGGACCGCTATCGGTTGTCCGCACTGCCGCGAGCTGCGGCTGCAAAACGAGCACTATGTCGACACTGTCGAGTACCTCAAGCGGGACATCACCACACTTGCCAACCAGATCGAAGAAGAGCGGCTGATGCGCGAGCGGATCCAGCTCTCCAAGGACATCCTGGACCAGGAACTCGAGGAGCTCACGGCCCAGCTCTTTGACCAAGCCAACAAAATGGTCATCGACGAGGCCCGCATGCGAGACAATCTCGAGAATGCCAACAAGGAGCTTCGGTGCGAGCTCAAGGACTGGATCCGTCGCTTCGAGACCCGCGGCGAGGAACTCAAGGACCTCCAGCGGTCGCTGCGAGCGCTGCAAGCAGCCAAGGCTCGCTCGGCGAGCATCACGGCGCTGTCGCCAGGGACGTCCGTCGCCAATCTCGACCAGCTTTCTGGAAGCAAAATCTATCGCATGGCATACGGACAGCTCCCCGTCGACGGCTATATCTTTATAGAGTTCCAGGACCACATCAAGCAGACCGCCTTGGCCTCGAGCCTGCCTCCGTCGCAGGCCCAGGCAACCACCCAGAGTACTCTGTTTATGCGCCGATGCATGGTCGAGGACATCGAGCCCTGTCTCTTCTACAACTACCAGCACCCTCAGTTTGCTGGCATGAACTTGACGCTCTTCTTCAAGCCCGGGGCGGGTATGAGCAGCGCCTTCAAGCGCAAGCTGCTCGACGGCACCATGCGAGGGTCGCTGCTGTTCACGCCCTTCTATTCCTCCACCGAGAGCCTGCCAGCCGCCGATCCGATCGAAAGGCTCGACCAAGACCGGCGCATCTCGACCGTCTTTGCAGCCGGCCCGCCCCCCAAGACCCGATGCACGATCTGCACCGTGGTGCGCGACTGCGAGTACCGCATGAGGTTCTCGAGCGAGGTCGGGGCCAGTCCGACCGGAGGACCTTCTTCCTCAGCAGCCACAATCGAGTGGATGTCGCTGTGCCGGTTTTGCCGCGAGCGAGTCATTGCTGTCACCGACTTTTTCACCTACATCAACCACCTGCGGCAAGGCGCCATCGGTCCGGGCAAACAGGGTGCATCGTTGCTCGGAATCTATCGCCATGTACTCTATCTGCGGCGACGCATGGCCAGCACCCGCATCGGCAGCGGCGCCATGTTTGAGGTCGACCCGGCAACGAACCCGGATTGGGAGAAGATGATCCAGATCCTAAACTAGAAGATGGTTGAGGGGAGGGGCGGATGCTGGCCCCAAAGACACAGCGACGGTTTGAGGCAGAGGCCCAATGCACCCTCGCACTTGCACCCCCCCCCATCCCAAACAAGAATAACTGTATGATGTCAAAAAACAACGTGGGCTGGATGCAGGAATGTCCGCGGGGGCGTGGTCGTTCCAGCGCAATCTACAGCTTGTTCAAAACGAAACAGGATAGTGCAACCCTGGCCATCCTTCAGTCATCTTTAGGCCCTGGTGGGCAACGGGATTGTACCCCAGTCTTTATTGGCAATCGTCGTGAACTCTTGGTTGATCTCCTGTGGCGACGATCGACTGGTGTTGGTGTCTCGATGTGGGAGCGTGGTCCATGCATTCGACCCTTTGAACAGCCCCATGGTTTCTCGACATCAAGATACTCGGCCTTCTCGAGTCGCTTGGCTTCCAGGCACTCTGAGCACGCCGCTCTGTCAGTACGGGTGATGGGCGGGTGTGTATTCAGGAAGGCTGTATATTGCCAAACACCTGCGCGAGGCGCTCGTGTGCACGCAAGACAGCTCTGGCCAGAGATAGCGCAGCCCGAGTCGATAGCTCCGCCGCCGATGCTGATGCCGAGAGGCACCCGCCGATCCCACGGCTTGGGAGCCAGGCAGGCTCGCTTCACGATCGCGATCCGAACTGGGCTTTGTAGCGAATAGGTTCCATGATCTCCTCTCGCAACTTTGTGTTGTTGATGACGTAGACCTGTCCGGCAACAAAAACAGCGGGTGCTGGAAAGTGCCCGCCGAATCCAGGAGTGTAGAATGTTCCAGTCGCAGATGCGAAGGAGGAGGGTGGTGGTGGTTGTGGGAACATGGTTTGAGGAGCGAGATGCCGGGAGGAGCGGGTGAGAAGAATTTGCGACTGGCTCCCCGCGCCAACAAGGGGCGGCCACGGACATGCTGGCGGTCGCAGTGCGAGAGCCTCGACAGAGCCATGCCGGCCGCTTACCGGAAACGAAGAGCCATGACGGGAAGCGATGAAGCTGCGGATACGCCTTGTAGACCGAGAAGCAGAGCGCCAGTGCTGGGAGGGTGGGAGCAAGCAACCAAGTCAGGGTCTCGCAGCCAAGTCAGGGTCTCGCAGCAGACACAACTCTGCAGCCGGCCGTCCGGATGTGCCTCGCCTCCTCCTCTGACGACCCGATGCAGCGACAACGGCAGCGACAGCGATATCGATATTGGCAACGGTGGCATCGTTGCAGCAGGGACTGATGTCTTTGCAGGGTGGTGCAGACACAGGGCGAGGCAGATATGGACTTACTTGCAGCACCGGCCATGGTCGCATAGAACGTGGACACATGGGTGGCCAGGGCCAGCTCCTGGCGGATCTCCTCTCGCTCCGGGATCAGCCTGTTCGGGCGTGGGTTCTGGTCGGCCATGTTCGGACAATGTGTGCTTGTGCTTGGAGTTGCTCTGCGGCCGTTCGAGGGGAGGAGCCGATCGATGGCGGGTTGATGAGGCGCAAAAGAACCAGAAGGGCGCGGCCGCATTTGCGGTTTTTTGCGCCCGCAATCTTGGGCGATCGGCCGTCTGGCATCCATCTGGAACCCATCTGGAACCCATCTGGCATCTGCCCGGCACTTGGCCCCATCTGCGATCCCAGTACCCCTCTGCGACCCATGCCAACTGGGCCGGCTCTCACCCCGGGGCTGTTTCCCCGCAGCATCAAAGCCGGGACCGGCCATGTCGTCGTCGGGCCGATGCAAGACTCGAGCATGTGGCTCCCTGATCGGCACAGCGACACCGCCCAGCAGTCAGCGGGCTTCCATCGGCTCTTCGACATCCTGAGCGACCAGGGATATCTGCTCCTACGGGGGCTCCTCTCACCCACCAAGGTCGCAGCAGCCAGAGCCCGGATCACTGACCACCTCGACCAGAGCGGATTCTTGAAGCCTGGAGCGCCAAAGGACGAGGCCGCCATCGACATGGACCGCTATCGCTCTGACATGCTGCGGCCGGGGCTCTTGGAGCGACAGGAGCTTGCTCACCAAGAGCCCCTGCTCGATTTATTTGAGGACCCTAGGCTCTACTGGCTCTTCCAGGGGCTGTATTTGGCATGGGATAGTGTCGCTCGGTCGGAAAGGGAAGGGCCGGAGCAGATCTACCCCGATCCAAAGAGGTGAGTCAGTCGCACTGCTTTGGCGCTGGTCTCTGGTCTCTGGGCTGCCCGATCTATCGTGGAGCTAACTTTTACGAACTGGGATGCGCTTCAGGAGGCGACTGGACCTGGTGTCGGAGCAAGAGCCCTTTGAAGACAATCGAGCAGCACAACGGGACGCAAGTCCAGGCAGTGACAATGTCAACGATAGCGATAGCGATGACGATGCCGATGAGGAGTGTGACGACGATGATGATGATAACGGTGGTGGAGAGCGTGACGACGATGACGATGCCGACGGTGATGGCGAAGACAACGGTAGTTGCCGAGCACCTTGCGGACCGAGTGCAGATATCTCCACCGAGCCTCGCTGGGGCATCAAAACGCTTCCGTTCAAGTGGCTCCGGGCTGTCGGACCCGATCTCTTCACCGGCCCACATCTGGATCGAGTGTATCTATCCTCCCGCTCCCCGCGGCTTCTGACCGCCTGGATCCCATTGGGTGCCATCGCGATCGAGATGGGCTCACTCATGGTCGTTCCCGGCTCCAACTCGTCGCCACAGTTCCACCCGCTCAGGACCAACTACGGCGCATCCTCGGTCGGAAAGGATGGAACGGCATCGGGATGGATAGCATCCGATCCAAACGAAATCGAGGGCAAGACTGGACTGCCGCAGGACACGGTCCAGTGGCTGGGTGCGGACTACCAGCCAGGCGATGTCTGCATCATCGGTCTGGATGTGCTGCATATGACCTCCACCAACACCACAGACCGCTGGCGGATCAGCTGCGATACTCGCTGGTTCCCCGCTGGCGATCCCTCGCCATTCTAGGCGGCCGACCAAAGAGGCGTCTCGCGGCCGGTGCCGCGACTCTCACGCCTGTCGACCCTCGCACTTCTATGAAATGAAGCTTTTTGGAATTGTAGATGCGATTCTGCGTCGCAGTTGTTCAGTCGCAGTTGACATGGGCAAGGAACTAGGTGGGTACTGGGGCTGATCTAGTACCTGGCATTGGGACTCAAGCCACTGCCGACAGCGCACTGGTAACCGACTGTTTACAGGCGATCCAATAAAAAACGGGACACCCGGGATTTTGACCATTCATCGAATATTTGTTACCCAATGTTATCGCGCGCTGCCCATGACCATTCGCCACACATCCGACTTTCGCACCGCCGCATTGCGATGCTACGATCTCATCCATAGCCTGCGTAAGGTTGCCTCCATATTCAGTGTATCCAAGAGCACCATCCATCGATGGCACCGAGGATGCAAGCTGGATGACCCATCCCGGGTCACAGCTCGCAGATCCACTTTCTTCGAGCAGGCATGTCCAGTCATTCGCACCCTGATTGAACAGGATCCGTTCCAGACTGGTCCTGTGTTGCGATGCATGCTCGAGTCCACTCTCCAGAGGAAAGTTTCACTCTCACTCTGCCACACTGCCATCCACCGAGCAGGTCTCTCACACAAGAGGGCAACACACCTCTACAAGTCCAAGCGACTGGATGAGCGAGTGGCACAGTTCAGGGACCAGGTCCGCTCCATTGACCCACGACGATTCGTTTTTGTCGATGAGACAGGGATCAGGAGATCCATTTTTCCTCTCTACGGATACTCACCGAAGGGCGTCCCACTCCGTCAGCGCAATCACATGAAACACAAGTCTGTCTCGGCTGCATTTGCCATCAACCACTCTGGTGTGCTGCATCGCATGTACATCCCCACATCATTCAAGACACACTCGATGGTCGAGTTCTTTGAGCGAGCGAGCTTCCCAGACGACTCTGTGATTGTGATGGACAATGTCAGCATGCACAAGACAATGGCTGTCTTGGACTGCATCGAGCGCCGAGGATGGTCAGTGATCTTCACCCCACCTGCTTCACCCGACTTCAATCCCATCGAGAACTTCTTTGGGGTTGAGTCCCCACCGATTTGGGGTTGAGTTCCTCCAATTTGGGGTTGAGCTCCCCAATCACGCCGCCATTTTCACGTTCACATCCCTGGCTTGAACCTCTCGGCGATTTTTGAACAGGGTCACTTCCCCAACCAGCCCGCAAAGACGGGCTCCTGCTCTCGGGTATAAATGCCACATCTTCGTCCTGCTGCTTTCTTCCCTCATCTCGCCTTGATCTGATCATTCGCGCCATTGTACGATAAAAAAAGTCTCTGCTCTGACCAGTACCACTGGCAGGCATCCAGCATCCTCTGTCCCCATGCCTCCGAAGCGCAAGGGTACCGGTGATGGCCAGCCTCGGCCACCCAGGCCCAAGAAAGCCAAGTCACAGTCGGAGCCTGTCTCTGGTTCGTATTCTGATCCCACGCATGCTTGTTCGTCTGTTGCTCCGTCGCTCACCACCACTGCTTCTGCAGATCCAATGGATGTCGATCCCACCGAGCCTGGTCCATCTATTTCCTCGAGTACCGGCAAGCGATGTCCCAAGTGCGACGGCACCGATCACGAACGTTGCAACACCAGCAAATGTCCCAAATACTGGCCCCTCAAGAGCTCCGTCGTCCCACTCGTGGATGGAAGGTCATCCGCCCCTCAGTTCAGCTGCTTCAAGCAGACGATGGATGGCTGTTGTCTCAATCCCGCTCTCCGCGACAAGATCCAGACCACCGTCGAGGCCATGACCCAGATCCAGTTCGAGGCATCCAGGCTGCTCAACCTGCACATCCTCCGGTGCATCGAGCAGGATCTTCCCGTCCCCGTCATCTCCAAGTCCACCCCTGCTTTCATCCGCCAATGCTTCACGATTGTCGAGGCCGGTGCCCTCTCCCCGACCGGGGACAATGAGAAATACAACGAGCATCTGGTCGCTTCCTTTGGCATCTACCAGTCCACTCGGCACGCAGACCTGCCTCCGGCCCCTCGTCTGCCTGATGGTGCTCACAGTCAGCTTCTCACACTGGCTGTCAATGCCTATGCCACCAACTGCACCACCCACCTCGACCTGGCCTACTGGCGACTCCTTCGCCGCTTCTGCGCTGCCGTCTTCCCAGCCAACAAGCACAAGCACGAAGCCATCGAGGCCTGTCTCGAGCTCTTCGAGAAACCAGGGCAGACTCCACCCAAGGCCGATCTCGAGTTCCTCTACCCGGACTTTGGCCACGTCCTGGACGAGTTTCGGTACAGCAACGACCAGGACCGCTTCCGGGCCCTCCATCGCCTCTCACACCATGTGGGAATCCTCGCCCGGGACAAGATGGTCGACAATGTCCACAAGTGGATCGACTGTGACATGCCCGCCCTCCGAGTCACCGAGCTGCAGCGCCAGGCCAAGCTGGACGAGCTCACTGCCAGAGGCATTCCCTCCGACGACAAGAGGTTCACCAAGGCCAAGTCTGAGCTCGGCACCACCAAGGCCAAGATCAACAAGCTGGCTTCCAGGATCAAGTGGGCCCTCAAGCAGCTCGCTCTTGACACTCCTCCGGCCGTGTGCACGATGGTCCCTCTCTGTACTGCAAGGGCCAAGTATGTCAAGATTGACACGGTCACTCTTTGGAATCTCCTGGGTCCAAAGAAGCGCCTTGGCCTCACCAGGGACATGCTCAAGGAAGAAGGCGATGACGGTGTCAACAACCAGGATCGTCTCTGGCGCAGTTGCTTCAAGCTGCGTAGTTCCCTCTTCCGTGACCGGGATATCAATCACAAGCTGTTCAACTACGAGATCAGCACCGATGGCATTGGATGCACCATCGGTCTCGTCAAGTTTGTGCGTCGAACCGATCGCACCGAGACCTCCGAGCCTCCTCCGACTGCCGAGCAGCGCATCCAGGCCCACATCGGCGACCCAGACCCCAACCGTACCACTTGGATTGGCATCGATCCTGGAGTCGGCTCCATCTTCACGGCGGTCATCCAAGCACCGGGCCACCAAGACGAGGTGGTCTCGTTCTCCAATGGCCACTACCAGCACATGTGTGGCCATACGTCCAACACCAAGTGGCACAATATCATGAAGTATCGACTCAGCATCGAGACCTGGATGTCGACCACTCCCTCGCCCAAGGTGTCGTCCTCGGAGGCCTTCAAGGTCCATCTCACCCATGTCCTGCGACCGGAGCTGCGAGTGCAGCTCGACTTCCACCTTGGCAAGAAGGCCCGTCACCATCGATTCACGGGCCACAAGAGGCGCCAAGTGGCCGTCGACAGGATGTGTAAGTCGGTCCTGAAGCACGCCCCGATACGGACCGATGTGGTGATCGCCTTTGGCAATGCGTCATGGCGACAAGGCAAGGGCTATGCATCCAGCCCTCGGAGGCAGCGGTTTGCTCGGTACTTTGAGCAATTCGAGCACCACCGACGCCGTCCCAATCACCATCATGGAAGCGTCAAGGTAGTCTCGACGAACGAGTTCAACACCTCGCAGGTGTGCTCCAAGTGCCTGGAGCCAGTTCGGTTGGAAGGACTCGATGCGCCCAGTGTTGCGAATTCCCACTTTGTCAGGAGCTGCAAGAATCCCAGCTGCCGGACAGTGTGGAATCGCGACGTCAATGCGGCGCGCAACATGATCACAGTATGCAGGTCGATTGTGGAGATCGGAGAGCGACCGGCGGTCTTCACTCGGAGGCTGCCAAAGTGATTTGATTGTATTACTTATGGCTTTGCTTGACGCAAGCACATCACATACTACCTGTTCATGGAAACGGCTATATTGTCCCGTTTTTTTTCTGAATAAAGTGTACATGTCCTCTGCTGTGGTAGCTCCACTGAGTGATCGGCCGTCCGCTCAGTCGTCGAGGTTGTCCTTCAAGGAGCGGACGATGGCTTGGACCATCAACTTGATGGCTTCGGCGCCAGGATCGGGCGTGCCCTTGAGTCGCTCGGTGTTGATGTAGCTGCTTCGGCCTTTGCGGGCCCCCATCGCGGCAGTGCTATCGGCACCGCGGACAGTTGCTGCCTCGGCCTCGTCGAGGCTTTCACGAATGCTTGCGTGTGCGACTGTATCAAGCAAACTCTGCGAGAGGGGAACGAGGGCATCGACCAAAGTGCGATCACCAACCGAGGCACCTCCATAGAGTCGGATTGCGTCGACACCCTCCTGTACAGCCGAATCGGGCAGAGGGAATAAGCGGGGCAGTTACGGAGGAGCCGGGGAAGATCCGAGCATCCAGTGTGCTGAGGCGACTGGTTACCTTGACTGCGCGTGGCCAGAGAAGGCGGCTGCTGTCGTTGTCGCTCGCTGAGTTGAGGAACCAGTTTGAGGCTGTATCAAGGAAAATACTGCAGACGGAGTAATACGCAACCGTTAGTCGGTCGTGGGCGAATTGACGTACGAATTGACGTAGGAATTGGCATGGCGATGGAAATATCGACTGCTGTATGGATGGGCGTTCGTGTGGACAGCACATTCCTGCCCGATACTCACCAGAGCAGGGCGCCAGAGCTGCCACCCATTTGGTCTTCGATCACATAGCTCAGCTGAGCCAGAGCATCACCAGGGCGGTCAAAGGGAATGGAGGAGCTAACCTGAGGCGGCTCCTGCGAATGGTGCAGTTGCGCCAGTATGGCTTCGGCGCCTTTGCGGAAGCTCAGGCCGCAGTCTCCGTCACCTGCGATCTGGTCATAGCTCGTGAGCTTGGGCTCAGCTTCGATGAGGACATGACATGCGGCAGCTACGGCCTTTGCAAAGAGCACACCTGTGGGCAAAGAGTGTGGGAACGATTCTGTTCAATGATTCGCAACCAGTCAGGCGACTCGGCAGCCAATGCCTTGCCGGAGGAGCACAGCGCCAAGAACTGACGCTGGAGTGCATGCCAAGCCATACCTTCGATGCTCTGAACCGGGTCGAAGGGCTTGGTGGGGACGCCCTTGGCTGCGTGGACAGCCAAATGGCTCGCCAACACAGGATTTTGGAGATCGAATCGACCATGCTCATCACACACGATCCGTGGCCAGCCCGAACAGCTCACAGGCAAGTCCAGGTACTCCATCCACGTTTTTACATGCTCTGGTGGGATGTTGAGGATCGAAAACGATACACCGCACATCTCCAGACTTGTCATCATAGCGCCGCTGTAAACCCTGGCAACGCGGATGGACTTGGAGGCTGTGGGAATTGCCCCGCGCATCGTCAGTGACAAGATAGATCCGTGCTCCACAGCGATTCCATATCGTCTGTCATTCCGGCTTACCCAGATATTGGAGAGCCTCGTTGACCAAGATGCCAAGCTGAAGCCATTTGAGGAAGAATGAGCGGTCTGCAGTGCTGGCGGAGATCCTGTGCTCGGCCTGTTCCATTCCTGCATACCTCCAGGTTCGTTGTCCCTCCGAGATTGTTGACCAGCAGGGCAACTTGTCCTTGCTCGGGAACGTGGAGATACTGTCGATTGCTGTCCTGGGATAGGACCATGTCAAGACAAGCTCGGGCAACTTCTTTGGCCGATGCCAGAGGCACGCTCTGCAAGCCCGATTCGCCGTGGATTCCTGGTGATGTTCGAGCGGCCGAAAGTGTGAGGGAAGCGCTTCACGATCATTCAGCCAATCGCTCTCCAGCTCTTCAAGGTCCAGTAAAGCAGGGCTGATGATATGCAGCTGCCTTGGATGCAGTAGCATGTCCTGTATGGTGTACTGACCAAGTCCAAGCTCCATATTGTCGGGCAGGATCGAAAAGGTGGGGCTTTTGCCCGGAATGCTGCAGGGCGTCAGGGCCACGCCCACAGTGCCGACGTTGGCCGAAACAGCTCGGGCGACGGACCCGACTTCTTTGAGAGAGAGACTGATGACAAATGGGGCCAATGGTGGATCAAACGAGTCAATGAGGATATCGAGTCAAACGAGTCAAACGAGTCAAACGGCTATTCATTCGGCCGTTATCTGATGCAGCACGGGAGCGCTGTCGCTCTCGTCAGGGGCGCTTGAGTGCATGCATCAGCTTACCCGGTGTAGGCCGCAGCCCCAGCAATCTTGTGCACTGGCCCGGCAACGGTGGCAAGTCAGTCGCAGGACGAGCACTCTCGCCTGCCCAAATCGCATGCCACAGCATCCGGCTATCAAAACATCGGTTGCTCACCAAAGAGAGTGCCGCTGAGACCTCGCCGGCCTGCACCAAGCATGCTTCTTGGGATCGCGCAGTCGTCTGCAACAACGACAAGCTCGACATCGATACCCCTTTGCTTGGCCCGTTCGCCGGCTTTGCCAAACTGGAGGCGGTCGCCTGGTATATCGGGGTGAAGGCGTTCGCCGATGGAGACGGTGCAGACCAGGCAGCTCTTGTTAGGATAGACCCATGCGGCATGCGCAAGACAGCGGAAAGCACATTAAGGTGCCCAGGGATTGCATGCCCTCACCTGTGTAATTCTTCACGATCAAAAGGGCCCCACTGCCGTTGTTGCTGCCCTCGATTGCGGCCAGGACTTGCTTGGCGCTCGGCGAGGCAAAGACGTCGCCACAGACGGCTGCCGAAAGCACTCCGTCGCCGACGAATCCAGCATGAGCAGGCTCGTGTCCGCTCCCGCCACCAGAGATGAGGGCCACTTGGTTCCGCTTCTTCTTGAGGCGAACGACTGCATCGGAGCGAGTGCAGACAACGCCGCATGCCATGTTAGATGTCCATTTGACGGGCCCGACGCTGCCCGAGTGCTCGCAAGAGGCATCGCTGCATACACGGCAACATACCTCTGTTCTCTGCATCCAGAACAAGACCAGGGTTTCCTGCGACCAGCCCAGCCAGGGACTCATCGACGACCTGTGCGAGCGCGGAAGCAGCATGACCAGCCGGAATAACAGCTCTCCCGCGATCAGCCCGCCGCATACCTTTGCAGGGAGATTGATCAGCTTCTTTCCAGAACTCATGGGACGGGCGTGGGCGGTGTGCTGGACGGGCTGAACGGGCTGGACAGGTTGGGCGGATTGGATTGGGTTGAAGAACAGGAGCTGGCACTGCGACCCTTGGCTTGCTGAACGCGTGACCCTGGCGCTGTTGCGATGGACATGGCCGATGGGACGATGTGAGCCAGATATCTGAGAACATGATCCAACCCATTCGGCCAAGTGCATGATATGGTTCCAGCTACGGCGTGCTTTGCTTGAGAGAGACGATGCGTCCCATTGGATTTTCAATGCTCTGGCGAGGCCAATCCCGCTGCACCATGCCCCCGATCTATTGCTGTCTTGCCCTCCTCGCTGCCGATGCCTATCACATACCTCGGCGATGACATCACCGAGATCCCAAGCAGACCCTCGGGGCGCTTGTAGAGAGCTTGTGCCGTTGGCTGGGCCCATATGACGGCAGGGCGAAGAGTGGGCCCGCTTCCTTTGGGGCTCTGCACTGACCGCCATTTTGTTGGGAGCTCCGAGGCCGGCGAATCCCTGGGCTTTCCACCCTCCCGCACAATACGCTGCCCTATCATCTGTACCCGATCCGGCGCTTCGAGCCCGTCTCTTTTGATGCACAATGATGCGCTCTCCGTCCTCGACTCGACGTCAATCTCGCAAGACCCGCTCCGCAATGTCGAACGACGCCCATCGACCAGCAACCGCACCCCCGGCGTCGCGGGCCAAGAGCGCCAGCTCGGCTTTTGCTCCATCTCGAACGTCGACCTTAGCCCGTCCTGAAACGGCTCCGCCACGGCAAACTGGAAGCGGCCCCAAGAGGGACTTGAGCTCATACGAATGGACCGAGGTCTTGGGCTCGGCACTGGTTCGGGAATATCTGGCTTCAAAAGGATACAAGCGCACTTTGGATGTACTCGTCGTGGACGAAGGACAGGTGAGGATTAGAGCAATCCAGTTCCGTGAATTTGTTTCGGTGCTCCGTCCATCATTCGCTCCTTCTCACTTCTCCCGATCCCGATGGGTGCTGCGGACGTGCTCGCGGGAACGAACGGTGCTGTGCAGAAGGAACATCTCGTGTCCAGTCGCTCTGAGCTTGTGAAGAATCTCGGCATCGTCAAGCTCGTCAAGCAGAACATTCAGTCTGGTGAGCAAGCCGAGTGCAGCCGCACCCACCGATTCCCAGGCCCCTGGCAGCCAGAGAGGATGTCTCGCGCTGGTAGTATGGCAGTCTATCAAATGGCATAATGCTCACGCTCTCTTTCTGCATATCCATGCTTTCGTTGGGCTCATCGGCCTGCTCCGTGTCAAACCCGCTCGGGTGGTGCGCCATCGGCATCTCCTTCAGAATCTCCCTTCAAATCCTTCATCGACATCATCGTCAATTATTTACGCACCCGCCTCTCCAAGCACGAGTTTGCCTCCGAGACCGAGGCCGACGAAAAGTACGCCCAGCGGAAGCCGTCCGTGGCCTTTACGATATCGGAGCCCTCCAATTCGCCCATCGAGAAGCAGAGCGTAGCCAGTCGCAGGCCCCCCACGGCGAGTGAGACTCTGCTAAAGTCTCTCCAAGGCACCGCCACCACCACTACCGACGAACGCGACCGCATCGATTCTCGCACTATCAAGAACATCGACTTGCTCGGCACCTTCGACAACCAGAATCCACGCATGGTCGCCCCCAAAAAGGAGTCCAATACTCGAGAAGCCGGCCCAAGGGCCAAGGTCGCCGCCAGCGCCAAAGCACAGACCATCGGCAGCAGCTTGGGCACCCCGCCTCTGCCGTCAAAGCAGGGCCGCTCGCACGTCAGGCTGTCGTCAAACGAAGACTCCTCCGACACGCCAAAGTCAGAAGGTCCCAGGGCGTTTTCGGATCGCAGCACGAAGGGTGTCCAAAGCAAAGGGGACGTGCGGGTTCTGGACGACCTCGTCGAGCTGGATCTCACGGCGGAAGAAGACGGAAACGCCGGCAGCTTCCTGGCCGGCTTCTCTACCAGCGTCGGCGCTCGCGGCAAGCTCATCACGACGCAGCGGGCCCTCGCTCTGCGGTGCCTGGTCTTTCCAGGAGAGAAAGGCCGCGCAACCTTCACAGAGGAGTGGAAGGGCAAAGGCTTTGTCTTCAACACGTCGGTGGCGGATCTGGCGTATGGATTAGTTCAGTCCAAGGTGAGTCGCCCATGAGAAGGAGCCAACCAATCGACGGGCGTCGGCGGCATATCGGTCTGCCTGTCTGGAGCGGGCCGGCAGTCGCTAATACTCGCTTCTCAGGGCGGTCCATGCGGGCTGCTCGCCGCAGTCCAGGCACTGGTGCTCAAGCACCTCATGTTCTCGGAGCACGGCTCGGCGACCCGGTAGGTACAATGCCGACACATCCTGTCGCCTCTGGAACGCCTGTTCCCACAGGGTCACATTCAGCGGCCTTCCTCCTGAACGTGCATTCGCAGAGGTACCAGAATCCCAACTCTCTGACTATTTATTCGCAGGTCCGGGCGACTTCGCCCCACATTTGTCAACTGCCGGACGGCCTTGATCGAGGGCATCACTGAGATCCTGTGGCAGGCCGGAGGTCTTCGCCACCGGAGAGCGGTTGTCGCTCTCTACAAACCAAACGCACGGCTGGGGCTTGCTGCAACCAACACCGCCATCGGCTCTGATCGATATCTGCCCGACGGCATCACCGAGAACCTCGAGCTCCACGAGTTCTCCGACCTCAACACTCTGCGTGAATTCATCACCGAAAGCATTGGCAGCGTGAGTGTGACTGGCCAGCAGGGCGGAGGGCTTCTCAGGCGACTCATTCGAGCGACTCAGGGCTCGAGGCTGGAAATGGATCTGCTTGCTTACCGATATGGCGGCACTTTCCAGTTCACAGTCAACGATCCTGGCCAGCACGGCATCATCCAGCTCCTCTATTCTGTGATTCTCAGCCGCGGTGTTGAGACCATCCGAGACGAAGACATGGATGAGCGAGAGTCCCGTCTCATTGGCAAGCACGGATACTGCACGCAGGTGAGTATCTTCTGCCCTGAGTCCGAGTCTCTGCCCTGCCCTGCCTGGTTGGCTGCGAGGCTGTGCGGGCATTGGCTGACATGACCTGCTGCCACCAGGAAATGGTCAACTTGATCCTGCTTGGACAAGCGACCTCGAACGTATTCGACGGCGACTACAACCTCGACGAATACAAGATCCTCAAGGGCATCAAGCGACCGTGCCAGTTCGGCTTCCTCACTCTGTTTGAACACTACGGCTCCATCAAGGTCGGTGGCATCGCATTCATGATGTGCGTCCCTCATGGGTCCAGATCCAAGCGACTGCCCGGCGAATGCATGTGGGCGCAGCTCGACTGACCCTGATTTCCGTTGCGGCCACAGGTCGGCGAGTATCTCAAGCACCCCATCTACCCTATCTTTGTAGTCTCCTCCGAGTCGCACTTCACCGTGCTGTTCTCAACAGATCGCGGGCTCCTCATCAAGACATCGCCGTCAAGCACGGGTGGGCCGCCGGCGCTGAAGGTCTTTGATCTGACTTACTACGACGGCTTGGCCAACCAGGACCAGGAGATTGTGCTTACCGTCTCGCTAAACAGTCCGCCGACGGCGACGGCTCCGCGGCGCTCCCTGGAAGGCGATCTCGTGCCGCCGCTTGAGCACTGCATCCGAACAAAGTGGCCTGGAAGCACCATCTCCTGGAACGGATACGATCCGATCTTGTAGCATCCACCAAGCGAAAGGATGGCGTCTGGCGGCTCGGGCCAGTGTTCACGCTGTTTGCGTCCTGAATACATGCACACATGCGCGTTCGGGATCCAAAGAAGGCCACTGTGGAAACTCTGTCCGGGTGTCCCGGTCCATTTCTTGACGTTGTGATGCGCGCGGGTAGAACAAAGCGAGAAAGAAGAAAGAAACAAGAAACAAGCAGATACTGAGTAAAGCGATCGACCGCGGAGAGACATGGAATCGGAAGCGCAGAGGGATATGCGATACAGACAAAGAGTGCAACGGAAACGGTGGCGGAAACGGGAAACTGAAACTGACACTCGGCGGTAGCCCCGGGACACAGCACTGCGCGCAATATCGACTGCCAAAACTCAGGCGTCATCGCCAATAACAAAAGCAACGCCGTCGGGGCGCAGATCTAGTTCCCACGATGGCCGCGGATCGAATCGAGGCTGGCTCTCGGGGCTTCCTGATGCAGCGCCGTCGGTCTCGGCATCTGTGTTGGCGGGGAAAGAGGTATCATCGTGGTCGCGGTCGTCCGCGGCTTGGGCTGTGGTCTCAGCATCAAGCACCGGCAGGGTTTCGGGCTCGCAGTCCGGCTTGGATCCCCGCAGGTTGGCCACAAACGCCAGGAACTCGTTTGCCGAATTGAGCGTCGAGAAGAACAGATCCCACCAAAACCGCTTGCTGCCGCCCGAGTTCGAGCCCGCCAGAGGCAGCGCAAAAGTAATGCGCACCCACCAGCCCCAGCCGGCAGCGTTGCCTTCGATCAAGAGATAGTTCTGTGTGCCCTGGAGTTTGCTGCGCCCCAGAGGCAATCTCTTCACTTGGGTCTCGGCCGCCTTGGCGGTGATCGTGTTCCATTCGAGCGACCCGATGCCGCCGTTCATTAGAACCATGCCGGCGTCGCTGCCCGTTGCCCCGACTTGCTGGACGGTCTCGCGACCGGTCCAGCGCCAGCTTCTCCATCGCTCGACCTTGACAATGTTGCTGACCCGAGCTGCCGTGTAGACCGAGTGGATGTGTCCGACAATGTCGACAACCCATCCCTTGGAGTGCTTGAGCTCGGGGCTGAGGTCCTCGATGGCGGCATTCACGGCTCCGCCGGGCGCCGAGGTGATCTCAGGAGGGAACACGAGGGGAGGCCAGGCGTCCAGTCGCTCTCGGACCAGGTAGATGTACTCCTGTGTACCCAGCAGCGACAGCGACTCAAGCCGAGGCGTCGTGGCCTTGGCTCCGGCAGATGCAACTGCTGGATCCCGGAACTTGAGCTCGGCATAGCCCACAAGCTGATAGAGACGGACAAAATCAAAGCTGACCTTGCTGAGGGACTCGACCGCTTCGTTGACAACGGCATCGAGCTCGTCGTCGAGAATGAGTTTGGTCTGTGTCCAGCTCGTAGGCTTCTTGGCGATATCGGTAGCCGGAGCTTGATATGCGGGCGATTCGCTCGGAGTCTTGGATCGTGGCAGGCCGTCCGGGGTCTTGGCTCTGGGCGAGTCATCGGTGGGCTTGGGCAGACTTGCGTTGGGCGTGCCCGTGCTGCCGCTCGAAGGACTCTCTCCAGGCTCGGTGTCCTCGGCATACTGCATTGCGCCGATTCGATCGAGATCCATCTCCTTCTCGCCTCGCCGGAAAAACACTCGCTCGAGGTAGCCTTTGACGGCCCACTCGATATCCTGGTTCAGGATACGGATTCGCCCGTCCGGGCCCTTGACTCGGTCCGCGACCGTGCCCTCGCTTTCATAGAGGATCGGCATGAGGTTGTCCAGGATCTGGCTGGTGAGGGCCTTGTCGCGCGTGACGAGGACAAGCGATGTGAATGGAGTCTGTCCATGGTGCTGGGGCTGCGGAACGCTTGGGCCTGAGGTCGACACAAGGTTCGCTGAGAGCCCAAGAGTGGCACCGGCGACGCCTGCGACACCTGCAACGCCGGCAACGCCTATGGCTGCAGTCGATGCAGCAGCTGCCGCGATGGCTGTCGACGGGGTGCTGGCAACAGCGCCTGTAGGATTGGCGCTGATCGCAGTCGAGCCACTTGCAGGCAGGGCCGTTCCCACCTTGGAGTCGGCGTAGAGAAAGTGCACCGTTATGTACTGGCGGTTAGGTCCGACATCGAGGCGGCCAAGCGACGAAAAGGGGATCTTGTAGATCAAATTGAGATACTTGGAAGGATCGTCGTAATTGGTCTGCTCGCTCTGCCTCTTGAGATGCTGAGCGTACGGATCGCTGGCATCCTCGGGCTGATAGGGGAACGCGGCGAGCGGCGAAAAGATGTACAGATGCGCATCCGACAACAGGAGATAGCACGGGCGTTCTGAAGGCTTGATGGTCATGAGGGCATTCATTACCTTGGGGCTGATATCGGTGGCGCTGCGGTTGCTGGGCGCTCCGCCAGCGCCCGAGGTCGTCATGAACGAAAGCCAGCCGCCGGTTCTTGGCTTGGTGTTGGCCGAAGCCGAGGGCGCAGCGGCACTGAGATTGGGAGATGCCTGTCCTGAGGCGTTGCTCTGGCCCGCAACCGAGCTGTCGCCTCCCGCACCACCGCCAAGCAGCGCAGGATTCGAGCTGATGAAGGGCGGCAGCTGGGGGATGTACGAGAGCGGAATCCAGGCCAGATGGCGCTCACCGGGCGCACTGAAAACGTGCATCTTGAGGTACAGATGCAAGGCGTTGGTCATCTTGAGGAAGGGAATTGTGGATGCGTGCGACCAGCTCTGCTGGTAAATGGATGCCGACGAGGAGCGCAGTGCTGCAGAGTCGCTGCTGTTGCGGTCGGCGCTCTTGACCGTCCCGAGATGCGACGACAGGCGGCCGGCCACAGACGTGGTCGAGCGGACGCGGTCGCCAAAGACTGAGTACATGCGCGAGCCGGCACTGCTGCCTTTAACGGTCCCCGAGGGTGTGTACACCAGTCGATTGCTCAGTGGCCGAGCCAGCACGATTGTGGGTGTCGAGGTGCTGCGGGTTTCGTGTGCATCTGCTGCCGGATATTCCGCCTGAGGTCGAGCGGTGTCGGAGGGGAGACTCTCTTGTCGCTGCGCTGACAACAACGCCGTCAGATCGCTGCGTCTGGGGAGCACAGGGTTGCGCAGGCTGACGGTGAAGGATTTGAAGGCCGGCGGCTTGATTGTGATCTTGAGTTCGCTCAGCGACTTGCCAGTCTCGACCTCTGGATCAGGCGCTGCCGTTGCATGGTGGAACGCGGACCCCTGTCGCTGTGGAGATCTCGAATGGTTATCGGCACCGGCGGCATTGGCAACGTTCTGGCCAATGACGATATGCTCAGAGTCCGTGGATTCATTCAAACTGTAGAGCCGACGATAGTGACCAACGGCCTTGAGCCCCTGCGATGTTCGAGGGGTAATGAGCGGTGGAGACTGCGAGACTGCCGTGTCCGGTGCCGACTTGTCAACCGAGGCGGCTGCTGCGTCGCTGGTGTGGGAGGCGGCGCTCGGTTGTCGGGTATGACGTGCACCTTGCACTAAGGAATGGTGGGACTGTGGGCTTCCAACAAGCGAGTCGAAATGACTCTGTGGAGACGTCGATAGGTTTGACGCTTCAGAAGGAACCGGATCGAGCAGATCCTTGGCTGGAAGGGCCAGTTTCTCGAGGGTCTGCTTCCAGACGTGCTTGTCGTCGAAGCTCGAAACAGGAGTTGCCCTGAGAGAAGTTGCCGGCGTGACTTGGGTGATCGAGAGGGCATCGTGAGTCGCACCCTGGCTGACAGAGGGCTCGATGACAGGCGGAAGTGGCTCAAACTGCCCAGGATGAGCAAACAAAGAGATAGTCGGAAGCAGGCCGGTTGGCGAGGTAGCAGTGCTGTCGACACTCTGGCGGCGCGGGAGCGGCAGCGAGTCGGCTCGGGTGGGCTTGCGGCCGGCGGCCCGTTTCCGATGACTGACCAATAAGTCGTGAGGCTCGGTGTTCCCGACAGAGCGGGGCTCGGAAGTCTCGTCGGTGGTCTTTCCGCCCTCTGTGGGAGCGTCCGACGAGGCATCTGAAAACGTGCCTCTCGAAGGCTTTTCAGATGTCTCGGGACCGTCAACTGCACCCGATTCAAGATGTCCAGCCGAGCCAGTCGCAGATGCGGTCGCAGATGCTGTCGCCTTGTTCTTGAGCCGGCCCTTGAGTTTGCGCTTGGCAAGCAGGGTAGCGCTGGCAACATCTGTGAACCGGGGCTGGGACTGGGGCTGGGACTCGCCATCTGTGACATTGGTATTGGCGGTCTGGGCCGCCGACGCAGCATCGCTGTGGTTGCTGTTGATTTCATCCACGGCAACAGATTCCCGAACGACGACGGCTTGATTGGATTGGATCAGCTTGCGCTCGGCAGAGGTGGGCAGCGTTCCGTCAAGCACAACGTTGAGCGCACGGCTGTCAAAGTACGTGAAGATGTTCACGCGGTACCGGTCCTGGATACGCAGGGTCGAGCAGGTAAGCCCAGAGTCTATCGCCGCAGAAGGCACTCGGTCGGGCGCTGCACCCCGATTTCCCGCGGCAGTGGGTTTTAAAGCAGCTGCAGTGCTGCTGGCCGCCTCAGCCAAGCATTGTTGCTGGCTATAATCCAGTGCACAGCCAGGCTCCGGACAGGATACACTTTGCGGATCCGGGTCTATCCGTCGCAGTGAATCGTGCAGAGCAATCCTGGGCTACACATACCGTCTTTGTCAGCGGGTTGCCGTCGACCCGCAGGTCAACCAGCCTTCGCATCTTGCCAACGCGGGTCAGCTCGTACACATCCCAGATGCGATTGTCTCGCAAGTCCAAGACACGCAGGTTGTCCTGGAAGGCCTCCAACCCCGAAAGCCTTTCCAGGCAGTTCGATCGGAGCAGGAGGATTTGCAAGTTCCTGAATGCGCCCTGTGCGGTGAGCTTGGAGGCGAAGCTGTCGGGAAACGAGGCGATGATGTTGGAGTTCAGGGAAAGCGCCTGGAGATGCGTGAGCGGCGCCAAGGCAAGTGGCAGAGCCTCAAGGTAGTTTTCGCTAAGGTCGATGTGGCTCGCAGCAGGGATGTGGTCGGCCAGGACGGGCGAGAAAGATGGCAGCGAGCATTTTGCAAGGCTGAGATGCGTCAAGGCGGGCAAGAGTGCGGGATCGACATGCTCCGTCTTGAGTGACTCGTCGGGAATCGGGGCTGTTAGCGTCGTCGCAGCTTCCTGCAAGGCGACCACGAGGCTATCGGTGCTCTGGGGAGACGAAGGAAAGTTGGTCGGGGCGGTGGTGAGTGACAATGTGAGTGGCAATGTGAGTGACAGCGTGAGTGACAATGCGACAGCGAGCCAGCCGTGCTGAACCGCTCAAAAAGCCATTGCGGGGCTGTCCAAAAGTTCGGTGCCCGGAGGATCACAATCACTTCAAAGCAATTTCCAAGTGCTGCTTATTGTTGCCCGATGCCACGCGATTGGCAGTCGGCCGGCTGCGATCCAGGATGGTCGAATGGCCCCATCACAACGCCAGAGCGAGCAGCGACCACAGCGCGACTGGAAGAGCCAGCAGCGGCTGCCTGCAGGACTCACCTCGATGCTGCCCTCGCACACAAGGTGCTGCAGCTTGGGTCTAAGACAGCCCCACTCGACAATCAGAGCCGGCGAGACTTTGTAGAGCTCGACTCCCGTGAGGTTCGAGAAAGCCCCCAGGCCCAGGGCCGGAGGCTGCCCATAGTCAACCCCGGCGATGCGCTTCTGGGCAACGTTGGCGAGCTTCAGGGTCCGAAGCTTCTCAAAGAAGCAGAACAGGAACAGCAAATCGTCCTCGACCTGCCCGGGCGTCAGAGGGGTCTTCTTTCTGGACGTCTCGCGTGACCCGTTGGATGCCGACCGGGACATTGTCGGACCTGGACATGAGCAACAGCGGACAGACTGGTCAGCGCAGCCGGATGCGAGGGCAAGCTGATGGCGCGGACGACGGGCAGAGTCGATGAAGCCGGAGTGCTGGTAAACGTTTGCAGTCCAACGGACGCAATCCTCGCCCCGAGAGGCGCAAGACCCAACAGTCGATATCGGTTAGCCCAAGACAATCTGCGGAGCGACCGCAGATTGTCTTCAGAGGCCTCGATCTCCAGCAGCGGCGAATGGCACCTACCTGCCAGACCATCCTTCTTGGGGGCTGTGGAAGGCTGATCCTGGACTGATTTGGATGCATCGATCAGGGTTGTTGGAAGAGCACCAGCCTCGGCACGGTCGGCTGGCTGCTGGCTGCTGTTGTTGGTACTGCTGGCGGCGTCGACGCTGCCGGTCGGTCCAGAATCGGCGGCACTTTTGGATGCGGTGTAGTCAAGGACCCGCTTGGAAGCACCGAAGCGACGGACGATGGTAGACAGATGGTACGGATCGAGGGCGAACGCAAGTGGCGTAATTGCAGAGGAAATGCCGGTGCCGATGGGAGGGAAGGGATCGGGAGAATAGCCCTCTGGCAGAGCGGCTGAGGTTGCGGGTGGATGGCTGTGATCTTTCGGTTTGGAGCCAAAGATGGTGGGCACGCCGTACGAAGTCAGGATGTTGACCGACGTCACCGCAAGCGAGGTGCCGAGGGTCTTGAGTGAGTTCTGGCGCATCAAAGCCGCCGATGATGCCGAGGCATTGGACTTGTGGCGGCTGAGGCCTGGCTTGGTGCTGGTGCTGGTGGGAGATGCGGGAGCAGGCTGAGGCGAGGCAGACTCGTCGCCCAGGAAGTCCTTGTGGTTCGTGCGTATGTACGAGGCCAGGTTATGGATAAACTGGTCCTCGTTGATCAAGCTGGAGGCAGCTTTCTTGGGTGTCGATGCCATTCTGCGCTGAGCGGGGCCGGGCCAAACCAACGGGCGAGGGGAGGCAGAATCCGAGCAGGGGCAAGAGAATGCGGCAAGCCGGGAAGAGTGCGGAAGCTGGACAAGCGTCTAATTCTATGCGCTCTATCCGAGGCGACGTCGGCAGGACGGAGAGGCGTGCAGATGGTGCCGTGGACAGGGCCAGCGGGCAGGGCCAGTGGCGACGATGGTGATGGTGGTGATGGCGACAGCGCCGGTGATTGTCCTGCGGTCGATGGTGGTCCGGAGCGAGAAGCAAGCCAGCCAGGGCACGAGGGCAAGGGCTGCAAGCACGTGGCGGTGCGTGGCGGTGTGCGGCAATATGTGGCGATGCAGCAGCCAAACAAGGCGCTCTGCACCCCCATTCCTCGCCGTTGCTGCACCAAAGATCATCGCCGACATGGATTCCCAGGGGGCCTCTGGACATTCCGACCGCGGGCAGGAGCCTGAGCCCACGCTCGCCTCTCATCGCTCCGATGGCAGCGCCGTCATGGCCATCGCTGAGGGCCGTGGCTGCCAGTCCGATGTTGGCTGGGCATTCTTTGACCAGCTCTCATCGACAGTCACTCTTTCGCAGGCAAGCAGCCATCCCTGTTGCCAGCACGAGTAAGGCTCCGGCACCGTCCCTCAATCCGCATCAGGCTCTGACCCCATCGCTGTCTAGCTCTCAGATACACAGTCATACGGGCGGATGCTTCATCAGGTGCATCTGATGGACCCGTGCGAGGTATGTTCACACTCACTCGCGGTGTCCATGCGCACAGCTAGCATGCATGAGTGCTGCTCACTGAGTCACGTCTGCATGCCGCTGGTATCGCTTTGGTTTGCAGGTGGTTGTCGCAGCATACTCGCCAACCTCGACCAAGACCGTGCTACATGACAAGATATCGGAAACCTGGCCCAGCATCTCGGTTGTCACTGTCGGTCGCAGAGAGTTTTCCGATTCCAACGGTGCGGCTGGCTGCCTGCTTGGCGACCCACACTGCTTGCTCGGCGACTCACTGTTTGAAACCACAGGACTCAGCTGCATCAAGCGGCACACTTATCAAGACGATCTCTCCAAGATCATGCTGGGGCTGGAATCCAAGTGAGTTTCCTGCTGTCTGCTGTCTGCTGTCTGCTGTCTGCTGTCTGCTGTCTGCTGTCTGCTGTCTGCTGTCTGCTGTCTGCTGTCTGCTGTCTGCTGTCTGCTGTCCCCTGTCTCCACGCAGCTGACTCACTTACTGGGCCCTCGCTGTCGAATAGGTACTTTTGTCTGGCCGCTGTTAGCGCCCTGTTCCACTATCTCGAGTCAGTCCACTCCGTCTCGTTTGCCAACGGATGCCTCAAGTTTCAGTACCAGCTCGTTGGTGAGCCTGAAGCTGCTCACATCAATCCCACTCCAAGCGGATACAATGTCCCCGCTGACACATTCTCCTGTTTGCTGCCCCGGCAATCGCAGACGGCATGATGATGATCGGTACTGTGCACGCCAGGGCTTGGCAGCATCGGCGACATCAGTAGCATTGATTCTGACCCAGGTTACTCGAAAAGACCACGTCACTGCCAAAAACCTAGAGCTGTGCCGCAGTCTCCTTGGTCCCCGACACAACATGACGCTGCTTGGCGTCCTCGACAAGACACAGACGCCGATGGGAGGTGGGGGATTGCATGACCAAGTCGTTCGATCTGGACTGAGCTGACTCTGGGTCCCTGCTCCGACAGCTCGACTTCTGCGTCTGAATCTTCTGCAGCCTTTGAAAGGTAATGCAGGTCTCTGTCTTGGTAGCTGCGTTCGAGGCCTCGTTGCGACCACTCACACTCCATCCATCAGATCCAAGCACTCTGAATATGCGACTCGATGCTGTTGAAGGTCTGTAGTGCATGGAGCGCACCCGGTCCATGCACCAATACTACCCTGCATGTCCAACCGATGCCGCAACTCGGTCTCACTGTTGCGTTGCATTCGACAGCACTCGTCCAGTCCGAGGTTAGCCGGTCGATTTTGATCAGTGGCAGTCTCGGCGCCTTGATACTAAGGCCCCTATTTCACCCACCACGATCGCGTCTGGCTCACTAGAGTCGATGCGTTGCCCTGAGGAAGCGTAAGAGCTCAGATGCGGCAGAGAGTCGTGGTGGATTGTGATGCAGCCGGTCCTGGTGTGTCGTTGTCGAGTTTCTGCGGCTGAGTAACAATGCAACCCGCTTCAGATCTAAAACAAATCGTCGACTTGGACTCGGTGGTGTCCTCGGTGCGTATGGAGTCTTCAGCATATTCGGTCGATAAACTCTACTAACTGCCGCTGTTGGAGCGTGCTTTCAGCTCATCAGGATTCCCAAGCGAGCGGCAGCCCATCGCTGCGAGCAGTCCATCAACACTCTGCTGAAACTCAAGCATGTTCTTGATATCGTTTCTGGGCTTCGAGGGCCTATATCTACTGAACCCCCTCTCAGGGGCAAAAACATGTTGCTGGACACATTATTTGAGGTGCGGCATATCAAGCAGGGCGTGGATCGACAGCGAGACTTACTCGCCGATCGGCCTGCCAGATCTTTGCGGATCCGGCTCTCGAGGCCATGCAAAGCCGACTAGGTCAGACCATCGACGACGATGTTACCTATCAAAGATCTCCTCTGACGCTCCAACAACAGCGCTGCTATGCTGTCAAGCCTGGATTCAGCGGGCTGCTTGATGTTGGTACGGCCAGGTCCGGCGGCGGGTCTCAGGGCCAGATACGCTGTGACTCACCGGCTGCCACTCTCACAGCCAGACAGACGTACAAGGAGGCCATTGACGACGTGTACGCACTTGTCAACGGCTATCGAGGTGGGTCCGTCGGGTTACCCATGGCTGATGGGACTGCTATCGTCGGCAGGAATCGACCATTGGGTTTGCACAACTAAGGAGTCTGGCTCCATAGACACCTATCGAATGAACATTTCCGAGACCTTCACCCCGAAGCTTGGCTTTGCATTGGCAATCTCCAAGAAGAAACTGGCTGCCGGCGCCGAGTGGCCGGCCGAGTTCATCGGCACAAGCACCAAGCGCAATACCATCACATTCACCACGCTCAGCCTCAAGAGTCTCAACGAACGCATCCGCGAAGCCTTGGCGGAGGTCTATTTGATGTCCGACAGGTGTGTCCTTGCGAGGTACTACTTGCAAACGGCTTTGTGACAGCCAAGGGGTTCCTGGCTGGAGAGAGTGTGGCGCAGGCGGCTCACCATCTCCGTGTCGACCAACTCCCATCCAGCATCATCGAGAGTCTAATGGAGGCCGCCCGGCAGTCTGTCGGATGGCTGTATCAACTCTCCGAGGCGCTGGCGATGCTGGACATGCTGCTTTCGTTTGCGCACTATCGCACCGCACGCCGATGCTGTATGTGCCTTGGTGCCGACGGGTTGCTGAGACTGAGGCAGCAGGAGGCCTCTAAGAGATCAAACTTTCGTCACAGGCCGCCCCGAGTTCAGCGACACACTTGCTCTTCAGAGCGCGCGACATCCCGTCCGAGAGATGGAGCCCCGGAGGCCGTTTGTGGCAAACGACGCTTACGCAAGCCCGAGCTGTAGTGTCCAGATCATTACTGGTCCCAACATGGTATAGGCTGCACTCAGTCGAGCCAAGCCTGTGGAAAGCACAAGTCCGAAAGCAAGCCGTTGTATCTGAGGACAGCTCTGACTATGTGCTGGTGCCGGACACGTGTGGGCTCACGAGATTGCCCGATACCTGCAACATAATTGATACGTGCTGCCTATCGTTCCATCCTCGATCCAGTCCGGAAAGTCAACGTACATGCGCCAAATTGCCCTCATCACCATCATGGCGCACGTTGGGATGCATGTCCCGGCCACATTTGCGTCTGTGCGCTTGACAGACCGCATGTTCTCTCGCCTCGGCAGCGACCAAAGCGTGACAGTGAGTTGTCAAACGAACCCTGCCTCGCTGAATGATATTGTGTGGCCGTGTGCTTGAGCCGTCGATCGAGCTCAAACATGGATCTGGATTGTGCTCGCATGCTGCCCCCCCCCCAAGGCCAACGCCTCGTCGTTCATGATGGAAATGCGCGAATGCGCCTTCATATTGGAACATCTGACCATCGAGAGCATGGTGTTTATCGATGAGCTTGGACGAGGTGAGTTGGGGGTTGTGACAACGAACACATCCGATAACCGCTGGCGAGAGCCCGGTCGAGACACTCGGAGATATATTGCTCGGAATGGGATCGATTGTGTGCGCCGTTTCTGCGATCGTCGCTCTGACAAGGGTTTCGACGACAACAACATCCAGGGACGTCGACGACAGACGGACTGGCGCTGTCGTTTGCAATATGTGAGGAGCTGATCCGCTCGACCAAGGCAAGTCGGGATGGCAGGCATGCTTGGGCGCCGAGAGCTTTCGATGATGGCCTCCAAGCGCATTTGATGCAGCACTTGATGCGGAACAGGCTCAACGCGCCGCTGACTGTGCTTCTGTTGGGCCTGCCTCTTCAGGCGTTTGTGTTCTTTTCGACGCACTTCTGGGACTTGGCGAATGTCCTGAAGCTGTATCCAAACGTTGTGAATCTCCGAATGCGAGTTTCAGTTGACGACAAGGTGGGAATCGGATGCACTGCCGCACGATTCATGCCGCATGGCTCTGAGCGCTTACGATCTGCATAGCAGGGCGACCAGGGTGTCTGTGGGTCTCAGAGCCGCAGCATTCGGTATCTCTACTCGGTCGAAAGCGGCGTAGCCGATCAGCCACACTACGGAATCCAGCTCGCAGCCGTGGCGGGGCTTCCGCACGACGTCATCAAATCCAGCCTCGAGATCTCAGAGCAGGCGAGTGTTCCAGACGCAGCGGCAGCACGGACAACGGCACATACGGCATCTCAGGCGGCTGCTGACAGCTCGGTGCAGCTCGAACAGGACCTGAAGCTTCGGCAGCAACGGCATCCAGGGGCTCTTGAGCACCGCATCCGTCGACTCGAAGAGGCGGTAAGCGTTCGCCAGCGGGATGCTGTTCTGTGGCTGGGCTGTCTTGTACGGGCAGGTGGCAGTAGATCTGATGGATGCGCGGGCGAGAGTACTGGGAACAGCACTACCTGGCAAGCCAGGGTGCCCATCAGGCCGGGTGGGGTAGTAGCATTCGCCTCTGGGGCATAGGCCCTGTGTGGCTGTGATGGAATGCTTTGAGTCGTATGTGGCTCACGCATGCGTCCCGGCAGTGCTTTCGACGCCTTCAGCAGATCAAGAGACATGCCAAACTGCCTGAGACGGAGCTCCGGAGCCTTCTGAAGGCTATCCGGCTGTCCTTTGTGGAGGAGATGAGCGGGCTGATCGAAGACTCTGGCGCTGCAGTGGATGCCCCAATCTCTACTGAGTAAGCAACCGGATCCGACTTGACTCGGGCAGGGCAGCTGAGAATCGAGTGCCGAAAGATTGCGAAGCCACACGGGCTGAGGACGATCAAGCTTGCACATTCCACGCCGAGCACAAGGCGACGGGCTGTATCTCTGGGCCGTTCTGAAGGCACGGCCAGGCCGGATCGCAGAGCCCAGCGCGTTCAACAGGGCCCGTCTGCATCGAACCTTGCCAATTCGGCGCTCATATCGGGCACGGCACTTGCGCACAACAGAGTCCCTTGCAGCCTTTGCTCTTCCATTTCTCGCTCGTTTTCGCGCTCCTTCATGCGGATGACCTCTTGATGAATGGCCGCAGAGAGCTGCATCATCGTCTCTCCCTCACCCTGCAGCTGCAACTGCATCAGCGGATGCAGAGGCTGCTCCAGGAGCCGAGCCACCAGATTGTCGATTCGAGACATTGCGGTGTTGAGAGGACTGGGGCTGGGGCTGAGGCCGAGGCCACTGGCCAAAGGCGTGCTCGGGTCCGGCTCGTTTGGAGGGTTATGCGATTCGGTGAGTGCTTTGGCGCAGGATCGTTCGAGAAAGGAGATCAGCCGGACCAAGCGCCTGTACTCAGCCTCCATCTCGCCCGATGCTCGGACAAGATCGGCGATACGACCAAGGGCTTCTGGCCCCCGGCACTGAGACGCAAGGCGTGGGCGATCGACCTGGGTCCATTGCTGGCAGCTCTTGAATCCGAGCTCAATGCGGGCATGGGTCTGCAAGACGCCATCCTCGGTCTCGCGGAGAGTCGATTCGATAGAGTCGAGCTGGCTTGCCTGGCGGGTGAGTTCCTGGATATGCTTCTTCTGGCGCTCGCGGAAGACCTTCTGCGCCTGGCGGTTCTGCTGTGCTCGGCGCTCGGCGACGGCTGAGGCCGATCGGGCTGGTGCAGTCGGGCCCTGTGAGCCGGCTGGCGACGTGGCTGCGGGTGCTGGCCGGAGAGCCCGCGGATGGTCCATGGGCTGCGGATGCGATGGAAAGCCAAGAACGCACAGGCCGCGCGGTGTGGGTCTGCGGAGCCGAGCGCCTGCTGCGCGGTGGCTTGGACACGCGTCGGCTGACCGCAGTCGCTGCGCACAGATACATGTTGCTGGGTCCATGAGCCGACCACGGACAACACCGCGGACCTGGTGTCGACGGCGGCCACGGCAGCGACGGAACGCAGAATACGGCCGTTGGCAGTTGGATATCGAGTACGGCGGTCGCATTGGCCAAGCACCGGCCAAGCATCCGCCAAGCATCGGCCACAGCCATAGCCACCGCAGCAGCCCCGGCCCGCCACCCAATCCCTGCCCTTGCGGTTCGTCCTCGGCCCCATTGTTTCCTCCTCGACAATACGCCACCTCTCGTCCGATCTGCCCATAAATAGCCCGCATCCGCCGCCATTCCTCGCCCATCTCCATCAGCATGCTTCTGCGACCCACTCGCTTCACCAGCCGCCTCGCTCCTCTCGCCCCATCTGCGCGTTTCTTCCGTTCGCAGTCCGCCCACGCCATGTCAACGCTCGCTGCCTTCAAGGACTACTTCTCGGCCAGCTCCAAGGCGTATGCAAAGTTCCGCCCCACCTATCCTCCGGAGCTGTACGAGTTCCTTTCGTCCCTCACCAAGGAGCATAATCTCGTGTGGGATGTTGGCTGTGGCTCTGGCCAGGCCGCCAACGGGCTCTCTGCATACTACAAGCAGGTCGTTGCCTCGGACCCTTCCTCTGCCCAGATCGAGAATGCTCCTCGACTCCACCCCAACGTCCGCTTTGAGGTTGCCCGTGCCGAGGACGACCCCGTTGCGGTGCTTGGCTTGACCCCCGGCAGCGTCGACATTGTCACCATTGCCGTCGCGCTGCACTGGTTCGACCTGCCTCGATTCTACGAGCGGGTCGCCCAGATCGCCAAGCCTCGATCCGAGGGCGGGACTGTCATTGCCGCCTGGACCTACATCCTGCCTACCTTCCCCAAGGGCTGCGAGCCGCTGCAGGAGATCCTGCTGAACTATTACCACAACATCGTGGGCCCTGTCTGGGATGCTTCCCGCGCCCTCGTCGACCAGGAATACGCCACCATCCCGTGGCCCTTTGAGCACATTCCCCTGGAGGGAAAGTACACCGAGGGATACGGCAGCAACGGCGTGCTCCGCGGCCACTTTGTCTGCGAGCGCCATGTCGACCTGGCCATGTTCGTCGGCCACTTGACCACCTGGAGTGGCGCCAGGCGCTACGAGGAGCTGCACCAGATCGACCCCCTCACCCTGATCTATGACGACCTGGTCAAGCACTGGCCCGGTGCCTCCGAAGGCAAGGGTCCGAATGGCAAGGGCGAGCTCGTCACCCTGACCCACTCCATCAGTGTCCGTCTCGGCCGCGTCTTCTCGGACTGATCGCCGGCTGCCGCGTGCTGCTGGTGTCTCAACCACAAGGGACAAAAACCGGACCCAGCAATCATCTGCGAGAGAGAGAAAGAGGGAGAGAGAAGGAGCTGTAATTAGCGAGTATCGTTCATCAATGGACGTCTCATTGAATCATCGTACCACCGCTGTTGCCGCCAGTCGTCGACAGCACATTCAGGTTGGGAGAGATGCATCGTCTTGAATACATGTGGCTAATCTCCATGAATACTCACCAACTATGTTCACCAACTATGTTCACCAACTATGTTCACCAGCCGTGCTCGCTGGGATGCGGGCATATGCTGGCATCTTCCCTTGGGTGGTTATGGGGTTGCTTGAAATACTCGAGGAGTCGCAGGCGACAGAGACTGGCCACATGTTCCTTGGCCTGCTTCTACGATGAGGAAACGGCGCTGCAGTGCTGACAGCGCCTGCTGTGCTCCGAGACCCAGACCTTCCATCCCAGCACACCATCCAGGCCATGAACGAGCAAATAAAAGACTCGCCCGGTCTTTATTGCATTGGAACGGGCTACTGTAGAATAGACAATGACAGTACAGACACGACCGCCGTGCACGACAAACGATAATAAACGAGCATGGGACCGACCGACCAGGGGGGTGCGGTGGCATGACAACAGTGGTAGCCAACGTCTTGAAAGTGCTTCCCTTCGACCCACGCGCTCACGACATTTGCATATGCGCCCAGCTGGTGAGGCCGTCCACGAAGCTCTTGACTCGGCCTATGACTCCTTCCTGGGGCTCGTCGGTTGCGGGTCTGTGGCGATCGCGGGCGTGCGGGCGACCTGCGGGCTCGACTTCGTCGTCCGTGCGCTGGTCGATCACCTGGATCTCGGCACGCTGCTTGGCCACGATGCGTCGATATGTTTCGCGCTGGATGCGGGCCTGGTCTTGCCGGGCTTCCACCAGTCGATGTGGCTGAGATGGGCCGGGGATCCAGGCCACCGGGAGGCGGCCGATCAGGGCCGGGTGGATGTACGTGTGGACCTGCATATCCTCGTTGCTGTTGGGGTCCAGCATGAGCTCGGCCTCGTCGCCCTCTGGAATCAAGGCCGAGTTGAAGGTCACGGGCGCATCGAGAATGCCGGGGACACGGATCATCGGCGGCTCGAGATGCTGCACGCGGTTGCGGTTGTACCGGCCCTCGGCAAAGTCGTCGCTGACCAGGCCCTGTTCCTCCGTGGCCGTGGGCTCGGCAATGTCCAGAGTGTTTTGCGGATGGATGATGCCCATGCCGTCTGCACCCGAAAGTGATGGCGACGGTATGGCGCCGTCGCTGCTACCGGCTTCGCTTGGAGTCCCAAAGCCGTCGTCCACGCTGGCACTGGCCTCCGAGTCGTCCTGGTCGGACTGGAAGGCTGTATGGCTGCGCGAGCTGGTGGCGCCTAGCTCCTGGCCGATCGAGTTGCGCAGATGAGCCTTGCTGATCGAGTGGCTGGGCCCCCCACGAGCGCGCGCCAGGTTGTTGCGGCCATGGCCGAGCATCTGGCCGTGGTTTCCTGAGCGTGCGGCGCGGTTGAGGATCGGGGAAGCCTCGGGCCGGATCTGGGGGTGGACTGATCCATCGACAACATCATCTTCGTGCGACTGAGGCTGCTGTTGCTGCTGGGACTGGGGCTGTGCCTGCAGACGAGACGCTTGCTCTTGCACCGAGCGAGAGTGGGCCTTGACAATCTTGCCAATCACCTCCAGCGGAGGATGACTGACGATGGCCTCGTAGCCGTTCTTCAGCCACCAGTACACAAAGATGTTCAGGAACAGCAGCGGCAGGATCGCCAGGATGACCTTCAAACTCGGAGTGAGCTGCAGAGTCTCCTGCGGGTCGTCGATCAGCGATCCAGCTTGTCCCAGCGTGCGGTTGTCCTTGTTGTCGACGTGCTTGAAGACCAGCACCGACATCATCGCCAGCTGCATCAACGTCACGCCTCCAAGGCAGCGGTTGACGATCAGCGTGACATGCGTGCCGTTGGTTTCATACCGCGGGAGGTGCACGTACAGGAGGACGTACTTGTAGATGAGCCAGGCGACCGCAAAGAACAGGGTGCAGAACGGCAGAATCAACGGAACCATGGGCCCGTACATCAGACCGGCAACAAAAATCAGGAGCGGAACTGGGTAGACGATGCCGTAATTGATCGAGTTCAGAATCGAGGGATAGTATGCCGTGGAATAGTCGCGGGGCGAGTTCTGGGCCCACGGTACCCTTCGGTTGATCCAGGTCAACACGACGGGCGCAACCAGAAGCAGCTGCGCCGGGTACGTGGCCAGGGCTTGCAGCACAACGTAGTTCATCAAGAGCGGGGATGCCTGTGGCCATCATCGGCGCGAGCGGCGAGGCGGCGTCGGAGCAGGAGGAGCAGGTGTGTGGTGAGTGCGACGAGCGGGATGTGGCAAGGTGCATGGTGAGAAATGCCAGCCCACTTCAACAGAAACCCGTCGCATACCTCAGTCCACAGCTTGCCGAGAGTCTCCAAAATCGTTCCCTTGTTGATCGCGGAAATGAACAAACTACTTCCGGAGATAGCAATGAGGACGTTCCAGGTTTGGTAGAAAAAGAGCCTGGACGACGCGTGTGGGCATAGCAACGACCGTTCACAGCGTCCAGCAGCAATGTGTTAGGGTACAAGCAGATCGTATATCGAGGCGGAATTCTGTCGGCACCCAGCAACCGCAACCGCAGTCGCAATCGCAATCGCAACCACCAAACAAGCGCACAAGACAACGATGTGTACCTTGACAGCACGGAGGATTCGATCAAGCTCTCGGCTTCGATGCCTTGGATCTGCGACAGGACTGTAGGATGGAAGGAGGATCAAGGCGCAGGGCAAATCCACAGCAGATTAGAATGGTACCAGGTCGTAGGCACGGCATAACCACTCGGCACAAGGGATACTCACAGATCAACAGCGACGGCAGCAGGCCCAGCCAGGCGGAAAGGATCATCGCGGGCAAGGCGCTGTTGACAATGTCTCTCTGGATGGGGGTCAGATGCTCGATCCACTCCTTGGTCCACGGGAACAGCTCCGGCAGCTTGTCCAAGCTGACGAGGGGAACAATCACGGTCGAGATGACCGTGACGGAGAAGAAGATGATCGCAAAGAGGGTTCCATAGACAAAGATGCTTCTGAGGAGCTTGATGTAGGTCGAGGCGGCGCGGGACGAAAGGTTGGCCCAGTAGATGTCGCGCGGCTCGGGGGCCATCTTGACCATGCATGCAAACGGGCGACGGTGGATGACGGCCTGAGAGGCAACGATCTGGAAGAACAGGACAGCACGGGAAGATATGAGCCCAAGTCTCGATGGGGCCAACAAATGTAACCGGGCACAGGTGGCGGTGGCTCGAGCGTCGAGTGGTTGATCGGGCGGTGCACCTGATCCATTCCATCCTCACCACTCGGCACACTCGACGCACTCGACGCACTCAAGCATATCATTTCACACAGGCTTGGCCCAACCACCTACCGCGCTCTCGGGGGACTGGAAGGTCACAAAGCCAACGGCCGTGGTCGATGATGAGTCATGGTGTCGGCGCAGGCGGTTGACCTTCTCGTCCCAGTCTCGGAACTGCTCGGCGTAGTAGTCGGCCGAGTCGATGGTCTGGCCAAAGAGCCCAAACAGACCCGTTTTGTGCACAGGCCGGAGGGCCGGGTCCATGGCGTTGACCCGGGACATGATCTCGAAAATCGCAGTGTCGGCAGGATCGGCGTTGGAGAACCGGCGGGAGCGCGAGGAGCGGTCCAGCAGCGGCCGGCGGGAGGACTCGGCAGCAGGATCTTCAAGATCGGCATTGTCGTCGTCGTCGCCGTGGCTGTACATGGCTCTGGTCTCGTGCGGAGCACGGGCGGCATGGTGGGCGTCAGCGTTGGGGGTGTTGTCGAGGCCCAGCCATGCCCAGAGGAACCGGAAGCGGTCGACCTTGTGGTTACTGTGGGCCCGGCGCAACATGTCGGCGTAGATCTTCTCGAGCTTGGTCAGGCAGAAGGCACGCATGCTCACGGCCTGGCGCAAGCGGGTCCAGGTACGGCAAATAACCACGTTTTCGACCGTTCCGATGCCAAGGCCCTCAAAATAGGCCGCCAGGTCGACCTCGTGGCGGAGCTCGGCCGGGATGCTGTGAACCATGATGGTGCGGGTCTCGATCTTGCTCAGCTGCGACCGATTCAGGACGTTTTCGTAGTAGCGGAGCCGGATGCCGACATAGCCGCGGTAGTACGCAACCAGGAACCCGTATGCGACGATGGAGAAGACCCAGGTGAAGAGCAGATTGGCCCGCAGAAACGGCGAGTTGTTTGGGACGTTGTCGATGCTGAGGGCCTTGAGCAGCCGTTGCTCGTCAAGGGCATGCGAGTTCTTGGGAAACGGCTGGGCAAAGTAGTTGGATGGGGCGACAAACGCAAGGCCCAGCAAGGTCAGCAGCCCAAAGAACTTTGCGCTGCCACCAAAGAAGCGGAGAAGCTTTGCAAGTTGGGATTGGAGCGCCAGGGGCATTGCAAGCGCCGCAACGAAGATGAGCAGAGGCAAACAGGCAGAGCCAAAGTTCAATGGTTAATGGCGCTGGCTGGCGTGCCCGTTTCAAGAGCCATAGACGACGATCTCTACTTCCCAGCAGTGTATCACAGAGCATTGCTTTGCCCCTTCTCTTTCCCAGACCCACCATGACGCCGTCGAGGCCGACTGTCGAGATCATAAAGTCCTGGGAGGCCGATACCGTGATAGGAATCCACGATAGCAGACCCTTTGGGATCTTGGGGGGTCGCCCACTGGAGGAGTCGAGTCGTCCGCAACACAAATGAAGGCCGTCAAAGGATGTCGATTGAAGAGAGCCGGTCAGCGATTGAGGATCCAGTTAGGGCGGAAGGCGGGAAGAAGAGTGTCAGCGCGACGCACAAGGACGAAGAAGAGCATATAGATACGATGCTCCATTTCAGGCTGAAGCGCACCATTCCAGGACGGTTTGCTGGACAGGCCGAGCGACAGAAGCCCAAGCCCTGGTGCTACTTCTCTCCCCGCTCATCACATTCCATCGCATTCCATCACATTCCATCGCATCTCTTCCCCGCCCCAAGCGTTGCCCCTCGCTGCTGCCGCACCTCTTGAGCGAGCTTCTTGGCGAGTAAATGTCCACGAAGCTGGTGCGGACCAGACAAAAGACAAAGATGCAAAAGACGCCGATAGAGCCGAACAGCGTCATCGGCACCAGGATTGCCATGTTGTGCTGCGACTTTGGCTCGTCGCCGAAGGACTCGAGCATCGTGGCCGGTGGGTTGCTGGTGCGGGTTGGGTGGATGGGCCGCCGGGTGGATGGGCGGATGTGCAAGGGGGGGGGTGCGAGGCCGTAGATATGCACAGCGATGGACGGCGAGTCGTTCGGCTTGACAACGGGCTCGGGCTCGCCGGAGGAAAGGGCGGGATTGGGATGGCGGGTCGGCTGGGCGCAGACTGGAGGGGAGGAAGGGGAGCCAAAGGGCGGCCAAGTGGCGACAACAGATGAGAGAAGGAGCGCGAGAAAAGCCGACGCCAAAGTGTTCTGCGGCTGGCTGGAACCTGGCCGCCACCAGCAGCAAAATCTTGGCGGATTCTGCAGGGCCCCGAAGCCAATGCGACCGAATGCGATTGATGCGGTTGATGCAGCGTGCACTGAGATCGAGGGCAGAGATTTGTCGCTGCATCCCCGCACCCCACGGTTGAGGCAGGCCCAGAGTTCTCCAAACATGTGTATTCCAAGCACCATCATCATTCATCTGCAGCCCCACCACCACCGCACTGGGAGGGGCCGCATGCGGAAACAGTAGCAACAGCCAACGGAGCAACAGCCGCCCAGGGGGAGCGGCTGGCCTTGCGGCGCTCAAGAACACAGGAGCGAGTATGAATGTAGCCCAAAAAAAAAAAAAACGAAGGAAAGGAGGAAACGTGAACCACAGCAGGAAGACTCGAGACACCGCACCTCGGCACTACGCAGCAGCCAACGAGCCGTTGGCCACAAGACCAGCCGCCATCTGTGACATGCGACGTCGCTGGGCATACCGCATCAGCAGGGTCTCTTCCAGCATCGCCTGCTCAGAGTCATGGATCGACGCCAGCACCCTCGACAGCGGCGACCTCAGCGGATTCATTTTGCGGTTGCGCACATCAACGACCTTGAGCTTGTCGCCCATCTTGGCGCGCTCCATGGCCAGCTGCCGTCTTCGTCTGTGTGGCACCACACTTGGGGCTTGGGCCGCTTCGACAGCCGCATCGGTTGCCATTGCCTTGGGAAACACGACATCCTGTGCGAGAGCCTCGGGCAGGTTCGGAACAATGTGCGGCCACACAGACAGCCCTTGCTTTCTCCACAACATGGCCTGGCGGATCGACGGGTCGTTGCGCACCATATTGACGACGAGCTGGTGGGTCAGAAGACGGTCCACCGTTGGCAGGGTTGGGTCCAGGAAGAGCTTGAAGAATGAAATCAGGTACACCTGAAACTCAAAGTCAATCCGCAACCGCTCGCAGTGGGTGCTTGGGTCCCGGTAGGAGGTCGGCAGCTCGTGAATCATGAGCGGGGAGTACGAGTGGATGGGCGAGCTGGGGATCCGAATCACCTCCAGGGCGCGCTCGAGCGTCGTGGGCCCGTATCCAGGCAAAATGTCCGGGTAGTTGGAGACTTTGATGATGGAAGGGGATGTCAACAGCTGCTGCGACTCTGTAGGGGACTGGACAATGGTGGTGTGGGTGACTGATTCTTGTGTCGACGATCGGCGTATGGGCACCACAATTGGAGCAGACACAATCTGGGGATTACTCTTGCTGGGCTTGAGTCTCGAGGGCTCGTCGGTGCTCGTCGGAGAGTCAGCGCTCTTGCCCCAGTTGAAGAGCGAAGAGCGCCGCTGCGGGGGCGATGGCCGGTTGATTTTGATGAAGCTTTTGGAGGACGAGCGCCGGGGTGCCGAGGCAACGCCATGATGGCTGCGCTTCCGGGTCATGATGGAGTGGGCCACATCCGCGGATGTTGGCGAGGGCGGCCCGGAAAAAGTCGAAGACGGGCGGCGCGCCGGTGGAGGATAGAGTGTATCCGACGACATGGTGATCGAGAGAGCCGATGCGGCGATGGGCTGATCCTGGAAGGTTGCTGTGTCGCTGAGGCTCTGCGAATCATCGGCACTCGTGTGGTGGTGAGCCGAAGCCACGCCAGTCTCCTCAAAGTCGTCGTTCAGAGTCGCTGGCTCGGATTGGAGGTCTGCCAGTGGGGCAGCTGGGTCCAGATGATCGCGGACTGGATCAGTAGATGCTTGACCAACATGACTAGGAATCACAACCAAGCTCGCGTCGGCAGAACGAGGAGCCGATGCAGCGCCCTCACGGGCGATCGGACGGGATTCGGCGACCAATTTTGTTGGGCTGGCGCCAGAGCCCGCGTCGGCGCTACTGACGAGCCTGTCGGTGTCTTCCATATGAGCAAGCGAGTGGGAGCGGGGCTGGATGAGGTCGCGGCCCACCGTGGCCACGTCCGAGCGAGGCTGGCTGCTTTCACTCGAGATGGAGGACAGGGACGATGTTGAGCGCCTGCGCGGCATCAGACTCGCGGAGAGGGGCTGAAGCGAGCTGGCTTGCTCAAGCAGCGTCGGCATGGTGAGATCGGGCACGGAGCGAGAGTAAAATGCGCGCTTCCAGGGCAGTCGGAGTCGGAACGAGAGCTGGCCGCGAGCCGACGAGTCTGGCGACGCCTTGGTATCGGTGAAGAGCCTTTCCAGATCAAGAGTCGCGTCCTTGCCCTTGGACAGGGGAGCCAGCGGCTTGAGGGGAGGAGGCAGCGATGAAATGACCTCTGGATCGTCCGAGTCGTCGGAGCTATCAACGATTTCAGGTGCACTGTCGCTGGGCTGGCGTTTGACATGCAACTTGATGTTGGATAGAAACACGCGGATCTTGTCGGACGACGACTTTTTCTTCAGGACGGTGTGCTCCCGAGGCACGGGCTCAGCTGCAGGGAGATTGGGCAGGAGCGTGAGCTGAGGGACAGGGCGGTATGCGTCCCCTCCACACAGATGCAAGATATAGCACCGGCACAATGATCAAGGGCGAGCGGGCTGCGGAGAGCAATGAGACCGCCGACGCATGTGTCGGGCGAGGACCGCTACTTACGCTCGTGGCGCTTTGACCAAGCTTGGATCTTCTCCCACATGTGAGAGGTTTTGCGGTGCAGGGATCGGGTCGAGAGACGACCGAGACCATCAGAGGCTGATGACGCGTACTCCGAGTCGCGATCGTCGAAATGGACAAGATGACGCTCATGTGAAGGACTGCCTGATGCACCGTTCGAGGCAGAATCCATGGGAATAGGGGGGCTGTGCTGCAGATCGACTGAGGCGACAGACGGCCGGCGTAGGTGCGGATGGGAGTGCCGGGAGCGGAGGTGTGGCCGAGAATCGGAGCGAGGGTGCTTGTGCGAATGATGATGCTGGAGCTGATGTGAGCTCAGGAGTGGGTGGGAGTAGGAATGGGAATGGGAGTGGGAATGGGAGTGGGAATGGGAGTGCTGGGATCGACCAGGATCGTCGGAATGAGCTGGGTGATGGTGCCGGGACTGGCTGTGAGGTCGATGGCTCTGCAAGGAATCAGGCAAAGGGGTTTCTGGAGGCTCGTTCTGTGGAGGATGGATCTGGGAGAGGGAGGCTTGGACAAGACTGCTGTCGTCGGGGCGATCCAGCGGGACGTGTGCTTGCGGCGGGAGTGAAAGCGGATGGGTTGGATAGTGCTCGTACGAAGGCAAGCGCAAGAGCTCGTTGCGCTGAGGCTGGGGCAGGAGCGACTGGTCTTGGAGAGGGATTTTTTCGTGGGAACGAGGAGCTTCCGGCGACGACGGGGCCTTTTCCAGCGATCGGGTTTTTGTCAGCGGCAGAGGAATGCCGTGCGGCCAGTGCCTCTCTGGAGGCCGCGGCAGATCTTGCGTCTGCAGCGGATGGAGCGCGGGGTCCTCCAGCTCCCGGATCAGCTGGTGGGCGGGCTTCTCAGGGCGGACTGGGGTCGAACGGGAGCGAGGGAGAGGGTCCTTGGCGGCCTGCGAAGGAGGGCCGGAGCCGGTCGCTTGGAGGAGACTACTGCTGGCGGCTGCGTGGGAACGAGCAAGGTCGTTGCCGGGGACTGGGTGGGGACCAGCGAGCTGGGTGCGAGGCAGTTCGGGGCCGGCTGCTGGCCTGAGATAGCCTGCATCGGGATCTGTTGCTGGCTTCAGGTAGCCCAACCCGGGATCTGCAGCAGCAGGAGTCATTGCTTGATCGAGGCCAGGCGGCGGCAGGAACCCAGGCGAGAGATCGAGAGCGGTTGTGCTTGCCAAGCTCGATGGACGGCCAGGGCTGGTCTGGTCCGCCAAGTCAGATGGATGGGCAAGACGAGGCGACTGCAGTGAGTCAGAGGAAAGGCCAAGACCAGAGGGCGGCTGGAGACTGGGCAGTCGATACAGCCGCTTCGAGGATGAGCGGGCGGCCCGATCGAGGCTGGCGGTGCGATGGGCAAGATGGCCGGCGCCGAGCGAGCTGGTTCGGGTGAGAGGAGCCGCAACGTGGGTGGGAGTGAGGCTCTGGGCTCTGCGCAAGGACGATTCCCGAGCAGGGCGGGGTTGCTTGGGCAGATAGCTCCCCAGCAGCTCGGGCGACAGAAACGGCAGCGACTGGGCGGCCCTGGGCAGGGCAGGAGGGCCAGCGGGGATGGAAGCGGAGACGGGCGGGCTTGGCTGGGATGTGGCTGTTGGCGACCCCCTTGGTCTGCAGGTGGGTTTGGAGGAGTGCCGGCTCGAAAACCGACGGAACTTGACGGTGCGGGTGGGCCGGCGAACGACGGGTCTGAACGAGTCGGTCGAGCAGGGCCGAGCGGATTCGGCCCTGGGCGAAGGCTGCTCGATGGACATGGGCGAGTCGAGACTGACCTCGGAGCCAGAGGTTGACGGGAAGCGGGGGTTGCGCATGCGGAGGCGCTTTCGCAGAGACCGCCGGGGCGACGAAGCGTATGCACCGACAGCAGATGGCGAGCGAGAAGCAGCCGGGAGCGGTGATGAAAGCGAGCGTACCCAGGCAACAAAAGAACGAACGACGCTGGAGCTGGGGCTGTCGCTCCATGGGGCGACGATGTTGGTGTCAGCGAGCGGACCGGCGCTGGCGAATGGGTCGGGCATGGTCGTCAACTCTATCTGCCAGGCTTTGTCGAAGGGATCGGCGAGAGAAGTGTTGGAGACGGCAGCGATGGACAGACGGAGGAGGAGCAGACATAATAAGGGCCAATGGCCAGGCGTTAAACGGGGTTGGTTGAATGGGCGTTGGTTGAATGGCTGTTGGTTGAATGGGGGGGGAGTGGACAGCAAGTTGGCGAACAGGTCCGAATGGCAAGTTCAACGCCAAGTCGAATACCGAGTTCAGCACCAGGTCGAATACCGAGTTCAACACCAAGTCGAATACCGAGTTCAACACCAAGTCGAATACCGAGTTCAACACCAAGTCGAATACCGAGTTGCGTGCCGAGTTCAACACCAGGTCGACCACCGACGGCAAAGAGCGCAAACGAAGAACCCAAGAGATCCAAACGGCGAGGGCTGCTGGACTGCCCATGTCCTTGTGCCCCGGCGTGCTCGCTTGTGATGGCCGCCCTTTGCTGGGTTGTTTGTGTCCGCTGGGCTTGCTGTTGCATTTGTTATTGCGTTTGTTGCATTTGCTGTTGTTGTTGCATTTGTTGTTGTGGTTGTTGCATTTGTTGTTCGCCTGTTGCTGCTGTCGTCATGGCTGCACTTGTTTGCTGTGGGAAGCGCATGTCCTTTGGCTGTTGCCGCCCCAGTCCATCATCATCAACCACCACCCATCCACCACTGGACATTCTCGCTGGCCGCTGGTCATCGCTGCAAACCTCTCTGCTGGACACGTTCGCCTTTCCCTGCTGCCATGCCGCACCATGCCGCGCCGAGCCGCACCACGCCCCCCACGCCCTCCTTTCTTTGCAGCTTGTCCCCGGTCGCTTTCGGTCGCAGGCCCATTTTCCATCCGTCTCGTCCGTGGCCACCACGACTGACAAACCCGGCTGTGCTGCGCGGCTCAGCCCTCGGCTGTGTTTGGCTTGCCGCCGAGCCGTGCATGTCGCTCGGCCCTCGCAGCAAAACTCTCCTGTTGCTGCATCAGACCCGCTCCAGGGCCGCGGCCGCCGTTTGCAGCCCATCGAACGCCGCGCAACACGCCCGCTGCCGCGCCAGGCCGAGGTCGAGCAGAGAGAGCGCGCAAGTGGGGTCTTTCCGCCTTGACCTGCTTTGTATTCGTTACCTGGGTGGCTGTCGAAAACGCAAGGCGACCAAGGACAGTCAGCCGCCATGACAACGGAAGCGGCGGGTGATCTGGGACATTGGGCCCAGTCGCGAATCAGTCGCGAATCAGCAGCGCCGCGTGCTTGTGGGGGTTTGGCCTGATCGCTCACGGCGGAATTGGCGGCGGGATTGACAGCGGAATCCAATTCCACCAGGGCCAGCAGCGGCAGAGGAGAGAGTCAAAGCAGAATCACAATGTATCGCGAGAATGTATTCAGTTGCAGACTGGATCCCGCCCTCTGCATCAGCATCATCAGCATTGCTCATGCATCATCACCGCACCCGGACCAATGCTGTAAGGGTGGCCAAAGCACACCGGCTGCAAGCGGCCGATTCGCTGCTGGTGGCGGCGGCGTGCCGTGACATCGAGGGGCCCTTCCATTCCGACCCTCATCACACTTCATCCGGACCCGGGCTGCAACGAGAACTGGTTATGGCATCGCACACCTCACACCACATCACATATCACATATCACACATCGCACATGACACATCACATATGACACATCGCACATGACACATCACGCATTGCATATTCGCGCTCCACACATCCGCATATGGCACCGTCCGAACATCCTCCTCCCCCGCTGCAGACCATCAAACCTGCAGAGGAGCGCAACCACGCGGACCCGGGGCAGCCGCGACCACAGCCAGACAGATAACGGGGGATTGGATCCCCCGCAGACCGATCCTCGGCTCACCGCCAGCAGCAACAGCAAGAGCAACAGCAACAGCAGCGAAAAACAGGCAAAGCGCAACAACCAAAGCAGCAGCTCGAGCGTATCGCATATCCCCGGAAGTTCCGCCTTGCCTGTTCTTGCCTGTTCCTTTTGTCCATTTTGCTCGGGGATTTTGCACGCTTCAGGAACATCTTGTGCCATGGCGGCTTGCTGCCAGCCATCGGATGGTGGCAGCTTTGCCCCGTGTGCTTCGGGCTTTGCGTGTTGGCTTGTCCTCTGCTTGATGGTGGCGGTGGTTCAGGTGGCCCAAGGATGATGGCAGCTTCCCTTCGCAAGCATTGCCTTGGTCAGGTTATGAGGGTATGATCTCAGCCCAAAGCATCAAGGTCCAATGGAGTGTATTTTTGGAGCATCCATGAACGATGAATGTTTGAGCACCCCTAGTGCCATCAGAGTGTTGGACATGACCGATTTGATACAAGCTGAAGTTGAGAACAGGTGACGGATGCATCTGGATAGAGTGATAGAGACAGAAGGAGAGACAGAGACAGAGACAGAGACGTCAGTGGCGACGACACATAAATGCAAGCACCCACCAACACACACCACAGCCAGCCTTGTGCGTATCAATCCAGTGCTTGCTTGACTTGTTACCGTGAGTTGAAAAGGTGAGATTGAAGCAAGAGGAGGAGGAGAGAAAGAAAGGTTTGTACAAGACTGCAGACACAGACTAGCGGCGTTTCAGACAGATCTCCTCCCGGTCGGGAAGACACCACGTCTTGAACACATCCGCACATCCCCCCGGTCGTCCTCAGACGCTGGGGGTCACCGTGGCCTTGAGGGCGTCTTCGTCAGGCTTGGGCTTGTCCTCGGCGTTGTAGCCGTACCAGATAGTGGGGCGGCCAGTCAGCTCAACGTTGACCTCGAGTCCGCGGAGGCGGCGAATGCCTCGGCGGATGTAGGCCGACAGCACCGAGAAGAAGATGCCGGCGATGGGCGCAATCAGGAAGGCGCCGATCGACTCGCCGGGGACCGACAGCGGGGGCATCAGCAAGAGGAGACCCGCCATCGCGTTGCCCTCCCAGATCCAGCCAAAGAAGAAGACCGACAGAATCGAGCCCACAAAGCCGAGCAAAAAGTCAAAGCCGTTGACGACGTGGCGCAGCGACGGGATGAAGCCGATCAGGATCGGGGCAGCAATCATGCCGGCAAACAGGTCGGCCATCAGGAACAGGCTGAGGATAGGTGCGTTCATGGCGGCAATCAAGAGCGCAGGGACGTTGATGAGGGCAGCAATCAGACGAGCCCACTTGAGGTTGAGCTTGCGCTGGGACAGGTCGTTGACGATCGAGGCAGTGAGCGCGCTCTGGAGGGTGTCGACCGAGGAGCAGATCAGGGCCGAAACGAGGATGACCACAAATCCATTGACCCAGTCGGGGAGGGTGGCCGTGACATTGAAGAGCGCATTGTAGTCGCCGCCATCCATCTGCTGCGTCAGGCCGGCCCACACCGAGAGGGTGCCGGCAAGACCGATCAGCAGGAACATTGGGAAGGTGAGAGCCGAGGCAAAGTAGGTCGAGTTGCGGAGCTCGCGGTCGTCCTTTGAGGAATAGACGCGCTGCCAGTAGCCCTGGAAACCACAAATCCGCATCAGCGGTGCGGAGGTTAGAATCTCATGATGGAAACCAGGTTTGGACAAGAGTCTGTGGGTGCCGGTGCTGGTATCGGTGCTGATATCGGTGCTGGTGCCAGCGACGTACCTGGTGGAAGATGTTGGCAAAGGTCACGGCGCAAGTGAGGGTGACGATCGACTCCCAGCCGACGCGGGTGGGGTACAGGTTCGACTGCTGAGGGGCACTGGCGGGGATGGTGACGTTGAGGCCAAAGCCGATCGAGGCAATCACAAAGAGCGCCAGGACAGTGAAGGACTGGAACTTGTCGGTGATCAGACTGGCAGGCATGCCACCGACGGCTGGCATGCAAAAGAAAGAGATCACAACACGAGGACAGGGGGTGAGAGGCTGTTGTGCTTGGCAGAATGGCGAATGTCGCATGTCGCAGGGCCCACACGCCGCTGCCCAGACGGCCGCCGCTTACCGGTGTAGGTGGCCGTGCAAATGCAGACAATGACCTGGGCAATGATCTGCTGGGTGGTGCTGAAGCCGCAGAAGCTCAGGAAACCACCGAGAGCAGTCAGCTCCGAGGACAGATAGACAGTCATGTACACGATCGAGATCAGGACGGTCAGGAAGAGGCCCGACCAGCCGAAGCGCATGAGCACAAAATCGGTGACGGTCACGCCGTTGGGGGCCCAGCGGCGGACAGCGGGACCCATCCAGGCCAGCAGAAGGATGGGCGCAATGCAGGCAATGGCATAGCCGACAGCGCCGACGACACCGAGCTGGGGGTCGGAGCCGACCTGGGGAAGAGTAAAGATGGTCCAGACACCCAGACCTACAGAGAGGCGTCCAAATCGTTAGACTGGGACCGAGACTGGGACTGAGGCTGGGACTGGGACTGGCCGGACAGCAGCCAGCACACAACGTACCCGAGGCGAAAAAGTTGGCGCCGAGCGAGAACCAGCCCTGGGTGCCGCGGGCACTCAGGAAAGAGTCCTTGGTTTGGTTGCGGGCGCGGAAGCCGGCGTAGCAGCCGATGGCAAAGAAGAGCGCAAGGGTGACATAGTAGAGGACGACCTCGACGGTGAAACTTGGATAGCCCATGGCGACAAAGAGGTGCTTTGGGGGGGGGGAGGTCCGGCGGGAGACGAAGCGGTATGAAGCCCTGGGGCAGATGGGAGACGCCGGGGACCGGGAGATCGGAGTGCGTTCCAGGCAAAGATGCAGGACAGAACAGACGGCGAGAGAGGCTTGCTGCCCGACCAGGTTTTATAGCGCGAGGAACGGGGGAAGAAAAAAAAAGATTGCGCCCGCTGTGGCACCTGGAAGGCCGCTGGACGGCAGTTTGGGGACAGACAACAAGCGCGCACGTTGTGTGGCTTGGGCGGTGGCGGAATGCACAGGCGCATGGGTTCGATGTTCGGGTGGATAGATATTGGTGCCGCCGAGATATGTGCATCCTCGAGGTGCTGTGAGGACCAAGACTCTCGGGGTGCTGCAGGAGCCCGGAAGGCTTCCCAAGCACCGCTGCGATTGGAATCGACGACTGTGGGAACAGAAGCGAGGTGTATTGGCGACAGATATCATCCATGCTGGCAGCGACCAACATCGGTCACCACCACCCACTACATCCACTACATCCACTACATCCACTACATCCACCACTGAATACGCTGCCGTTGCTCAGTAGAGATACGTGATCCTTCTGCTTGGGCTCTGTCGCAAACTTGCCAGGAGTTCCCATGTCCGTGTCTTGCCCGGAGCCAGGCCGGCCGCCGGTCGGTCGTCTGCATCCACAAAGAGTATCAGATGCTGCAGGCCCTCCAGAAACTTCCTCACCAGCAGCACACTGTCGGTCGGCAGATCCACCAGCATCTTGAAATCGATCCGGACCAGCTTCAGCGACGTGAATGCCGTGCCCAGGGTATCCCAAAAGGCCAGTTTCTGCTGGTTGACCCAGTCGGCCTCGGACGGCGACCGGGCTGCCAGCACATACCGCGGCAGGCGGAGCTGTTCGAGGGGCAGTCCGCTCGCCGTGAGCACAAGCTCATTCAGCAGCTCAATGTCTAGACAGTGCTGGTCGTGTGGCTGCATCGCAGAGACCAGCGCCAAGGCCCGCAGCTTGCCGAATCCCGAAAAGTCGCCCACGAGCTTGGGCTTGGTCTCGCCAAAGGTCGTCACGGCCGACATGGCCACGCCCGCGGCGCTCGTTCCGGCCGAGTCGATCGACTTTTCCCGCTCGAATTGGATGCAGAGCGACTCGAGGTGCGGCGCCAGAGCAGCAATTTGGGTCAAATTGACGCCGCCACGCATGTACCCGATCGACAGCTGCTGCAGGAAGGGGTGCAGGGCGAGAAAGCCGAGGAAGGTGTGCGACGAAAAGCTGCCGTAGCCGTAACCGGCGAGGCCCAGACGCAGTAGCCCCCGTTGCTCTGAGCCGTCGGCATCCTTGCGACGCAGTCGCTTGTTCTCCTTGAGGATTCGCTTGAGAGACTCGGACGACAGTCCACTCAGAACATGGCTTGATCGAACGCCGACCACAAACAACGACTCGAGCCGAGGCAGCCCGGCAACAAACTCGATCACTGCCGAATCGGTGATGGTATCCCACCGGCAGTTGAGGACCACCGAGCGAATCCGCTCCATCGTCATCGAGGGCTTGGACGAGAGCCTCGAGAACAGAAGCGACAGGGCCGGCAGGTCGATCGATCGGCCGAACGGAGCAAGATCAAGCTGGATCGAAGCCACAGGCGCCAGTCGGCGAGGGTCGCCCGATAGCACTTGGTAGAACTGAGAGAGGGCATCGGGTCCGTAGATTGGGTTATCGCGATCGTGCAGCTCCAGCGACTTGGCGTCGGCAATCGGAAGCAGATAGTGCCAAGCGAGCGTCTTCCAGAACGAGTGCATGAAGCACACCCGCCGGAACTGGGCATTGACCAGCGGCAAGATCAGCATCGCCGGCTTGCCGCACGGCAGCGGTGCCTCGATGGTCGGGTGGTATCGGTGGTGAGCAGCAGCAATCCGTGGCTTTTTGCGCTTTGGCTCGGCAGGCAGCTCTGCTATCGGGTTGGTTGGGCGCTCGTTGTCAGACCGATCGACCCACGAGTGGCTGCGAGTCGCAGAGGGGCGACTTGGTTGGCCCGAGACCTTGCGAGCAAACGACGATTCGAGTCCGTGATGGATGTTGGAGTACGGCGCATTGGCATGGTGGGGCTCACAGCTGTGGTAGTCCTGGCCGATAAAGCTGCTGCCCTCCATCCAGCGGCCCGACGGGAGCGCCGCGCAATAGTGAGGCTGCAGGAAGTAGAACACCCGCAGCCACAGCTCGTCGGGGAGCCAGGGCCGGGTCTGGACGGCATCCGTGGGTCTGGTGCGGGCCTTCTTCATGTTGCGGCTGCATGCCGAGCCTGCGCTTGCAGAGGCGGGTGTGGTTTTGGGCGGGCGGCCATCGAAAGTCGCTGCAGACGGTGCAGCCGGCGCAGGCCGAGCAGGCATCGGCGCTGTTCGTTGCGGAAACGCAAGCACTTCCATCGATCCATCATTTTTTTTTTCTGCTGTTGATTTCGGCCTCCGACACGACAACGGCGGGCTGCGCTTGCCCACGGGACCGAACCTCGCAGCGCGTCCAAGCCGCTGGCGCTGGGTCGACGGACATCGGCCGGGACGATCGATGCATCGCAGCCCCGGCCGGCCAACAGCAGCCGCCGATCGTCGATCTTGGTATTCGGGAGCACGCCTGGTTCCCGTCTAACAGCTGCTTTGATTTCCCGGCTGACTGCTCGGCTCAAGACCAGGGCGGTGACGCAGCCGCATCAAGCTGTTCTCGCCACAAGAACCAAAATATCGCCACCCCAGAAGCCAGGCCTCGACCAAGACCCAGCGATGCCGCCCAAGAGAAAGCGGGCAGCCGCACCGGTGAATGAGGAAAAGACCGTAAAGCCCAAAGCAAGTGTGCCCAAGGCCAAGATGCCCAAGACTGAGACAAAGCCAGCGAGGGTCAAAGTGGAAGCGCTTGAGACCCAGACCGCCATCGAGGGATTGACTGCCCCCGTCCAAGACCGGCCAAGATGCTCGTGGCTGGGTACGTTGGTCGACGAGGACCGTGGCAATAGGGTACCACCCAGATCGCAATAGCGTGGATGCTGTGCCATAGGGCTGCTGAATGCCAAAGGATGTGCATCGACTCGAAATGACAGATCATGCGCTCACCACCACCACACCGAACTGCGTTGCTTGCAGCCCGATGCATTGGAAAGCGCACCGACACCCCCATCGCTCGGATCTACACGGAATACCACGACACCGAATGGGGAGCCAAGAACCGGCTGGACGATAACAGGTACCTCTTCGAGATGCTTGTCCTCGAGGGCGCCCAAGCTGGCCTGTCGTGGGCCACGATCCTGCTGGTACGTCCCTCACACGGAGCAAGCAGGGCGGTGCAGCTTGAGACATGATCGAGATTCGTGAAGCATGATCAGGGCTCACCCTTTGTCAGCGACACAGCCAAGCAACTTCAGGAGCTTCACTCATCCTCTGTTTTCCTGCAGCGCCGTGAGGCATATCGCGAGGCGTATTCGCACTGGGACGTCGATGCAATCGCCGGGTACACCCCCGAGAAGCTGTCCAAACTCCTCTCGGGCGACTCGGGAGTCATCCGAAACCGCGCAAAAATCGAATCATCCATCGCAAATGCACGGCTGTTCCTGGAAATCGTCGCAGAGCACAACGGCAGCTTCCGTGAGTATCTCGACGGGTTCATCCAGAAGGCCGATCCGAAGGAATTCGGCCCTCGCACGGCCAAAGACGGCATCCGCGCCACCTCGCAGCTCTCGGAGGATCTCTCGGCCGACCTTCGGGCTCGTGGCATGCGCTTCGTTGGCCCAACGTGCATGTATGCCTATCTCCAGTCCATTGGCGTGGTGGACGACCATGACTGGGACTGTTTCCGCCACCGTCGTTTTCAAGACAAGCAGGCCTAGCTCATAGTCAGCTCTGGAACTGATTTGGTCTTGAATAAACGCACCCTGTGGACTGCTTTCGCTTGGGAGGACTCGAGACTCCCTTTGATTGCAAATGACCTACTAGATGCAGACTATCGCAGACTATCACAGACTATCACAGACTATCACAGACTGCGCTGCCCAAAACAGAGATGCCAAGTGTCCTGTTTCAAAAGAGCTCGTTGTCAAGCGAATCATGATTGGCGACACTTCTCGCCAGCAGCGATGACCTCAGATCCGGCTTGAGCGCCGCCGTGTCGATGCCGTTCGCCTTCGATGTGGGTCGGTGGTGCCCGCTTCTTGCTCCATCCACCCGCATGCGCAACGCAGAAATGCTGTACGAGAGCCGAGAGAGCCCAGTGCTTCATACCCACCGTTCCATCGGTCAAGCCAGCTCGATCCCGCCCGCAGCAATGTTCCAGCCGAGGGAGCCTCTGCGAGAATCCACCCACGACTTGGCATCGCCATCGGATGGGCCGCGTCACTACCGCCGACACATCGCATCGCTGCGTCCACAGGCATCTCAGATCATCGCCGAGGCCAAAGCGTCGCTCAAGTTTCCTTCCAGACCCTTCACGCCATCTGTTCGGGCCCGTTCGCTGTTTTCCAGCCAGGACACCTCCCACGACAGTCGGCTGCTGCAAGCCGGATTCGCATCGCACAAGGATGCCGTGGGAACGCGGGATATCGCACCACAGCGATCAAAGTAAGCGCTCACACCAGCGTGGATACAGCCATCGGCCCCCCGCCGGAGCCACACCGCATGGATGCTTGGCAGGATGCGCAAAGCTGCGTGTGGTTGTACGTCCCCACCTCATACACGTATCCGCAGGGTACATTCGTCGAAGCTGGAGTTGCTTCAGGGGGCTCGTTGCTCCAACCCGACAACATCAGTCAGGGGAGGTATCGACTGATGACACATCCTGCACACTTGCCTTCATCGTAGCGAGCTCCATCGAAGAGCGCTCCCCAGGCGATTGGCCGCGTTGGCTCCCAAGCAAGCGGATAGTTCGTCCCCGAGCATGAATCAAGGAGGGCTATCGGCACCGTCCGGGTGCATGAGCCACGAGGTGTGTCGAGCAGCACAGCGAGCCAGCAGACCACTGTCACTTTGGGAGCCCACTCATTTGCATGACCAGCCACCACCTTGGTCCCCAAGCGGCATGTCGCCTGCCCAACATCGGCCACGAAAGAACCTGCACGTCGACTGACGCCATCTGCCCTCATCAGGACGCATCGCCAACGCTGAAAGAGAAGCCTCCGTCGCATACCCCAGCAGCTAGCCAGCGTGGATCACCCAGGGATGGCTCTTGCGAGCGGCTCTCGACTCTCATAGAGGCACTGGAAACCTCATCGATCGAGGATATCTCTCGGCTAGTCGACGAGATGCTTCAAGATTCAGAAGGAACGCAGTTGCACGGCAGCCCCTCAAGTCAAGACGAGGCACACGAGCGACTGCGGTCCGATATTGTGCATGTGCTGCTGGACAACATGCATGAGAGTAAGCTCACAAACCACAGCCTTGGCTTTGGGGCAATCATCTTCAAGGCAAGTACAAAGCATAGACTGTTCGTGAATCGCAGCTAGTCTCGGAGAATGCGTGAAGCCAATCTGCACAATCGAGACTTTGTACCCTCCTCCGTCAGCGTTGGCCAAAGGCAAGTCGTCATCTCATACGTGCACACCGAACGGGTCACACTCAATAGCTCACAAGGGACGAGAAGAGCATCGCCAGCGTGTTCAAGTACCTATACAAGATGAGCAAGAGCGAGGCAAGCGATGAGTACTTTGGCAAATACGACTACATTGGTATGGCCGATTCGTGCACCCAGCCACCCACCAAATCCAATCCAACCCAATCCAACCCAATCCAACCCAATCCAAGTCTATTCAATCCAAGCCTATTCAATATACACATCAGCCAGTACTTACTATCACCAACGCTCTGTTTCTCCTCGATAAAGCATACTATTTCCAGTTTTTGAAAGACAGCTTTGATGGCCTGAGCCCGGATCAGCTGTTTCCGTCTCGCTACGACATGCTCATCATCGCGTCGGGGACACTCAAGAACGTCTCATCCAACTCGGAGCCGAACCAAGTGCGCCTGCTCCAGTTGGGATACATTGAGCTTGCAGCGAACATTCTCGAGTTGTGCTATCAGGTACAACACATACCCAGCGATGGAGACCATCGATTCCCAACCTCAACGCTTGAGTAGCTACCGACTATTGCGTGGCCGTGGACTCACACACATGTGGCTGCATTGTTGCTGCATCGATCTCCACATGTCCACAGAAGCACACACTCTTTCATCACTCCAACCAAAAGAACGTCCAGGTGTCGCACTTTCTTATTCAGGTGAGTCAGGGCCGCAGGCACACACGCCTGTGGGTCTGATGTGTGGATATGGATAGCTATTATTGCCTTGCAGATTCGAAGCTGCCGAATCCTGTGTCGGATCTGGTCCTAGTGGCTCATCGTCATAATCGGTTCTCGAAACAATACCGCACGCTGGGTTTAGATCACCGGCATTCTTCGAAACCTGGTCACGATCCACGCCGACAGATCGAAGCTCCTGGACTGCAATGTCGTTGAGCATCTGCAGCTACTCATGAGCGAGGAGATGGGACTCGTCGACTCGTCCGAGCTGATGCTGAATGTTTCACGAATTCTGAGGTGAGTTCGTGTCAGCCAGCCGCCAAGACACACTGCAGATTGGAATCCAGACTGGTCTTTGTCCAATGAGCTGGATTTTGTCGCTCGGTACTGACGCCACGGTGCACACACAGCAAGCTCTCTTTGAATGGACATTGCAAGTCCAGGATGATGTCAAAAGAGTTCATCGAATCGTCGTTAGCGCTGTTGTTTAGATGCCAGAGCTACCAGGTACAGCCCCGGACCACTCGCACCGGCCCAGGCCAAACTTCCGCGGTACTGTGGTTATTTCGTCGCACGATTCTATGTCCATGCGCTGTTCCAGTTGTCTCTGGGGCCGAGATACTCTGAGTATCGAGATCTGCCAGGATATCTCGGTTCCTCCGTATGCGTGAATGCAGGTTTACCCGCTTGTTCAACGCTCGCATCTCCATTCACTGACTCGAGGACGGGTCCACAGCCGATCCTTGTTCGAATCAGCTTTGTCCTCGGCAATCTCACCTCGGTGTTGACCCCGTGCCACCAGTACTTTCGGCCGTGGCTTGGTGAGCTAGTTGCACTGATGGATATATACCTTCAAGGAAGTCTGTATCCGTTCGGATATCGTCCCGAATGCTTGGAGCCTGGCCAGGCGGATTCAGCCTCTGGCGAAGACACGGAAGATACCGCTGCCGAGATGGCCCGAAACGACGAGGTCTTGATCAAGGTAAGTCAAACGGGAAGGCACATAAGCCGGCATGCCTATTGGACGACTTGGACGAGGGCCTTCACCCCAGAGAGAGTGCCAGTAACGTCGTTAGCACCAGTCGCGACTCTGTGCTGGCGACCTTCCCTCTAAAGAGTCTGTCATGGACAAGCCATTCGGTCTGCTTGGACACTCGAGTGATCTGAACTCACTCTTGGCTGCGTTGCTTTCCGCAGATGATCCGGCTGATTGCCAATCTATCCGTGGATGAGGAATCGGGGCAGCAACTGGTCCGAATGATCGAACTTGAGAGTCTCTTGAGCATCCTGGGTGAGTACCGGTCCCTGGTCATGCGTCGTATCAAGGGGGCTGCGACAATCACTCGTGCTGGAGATGGCTATCGCAACATCCGGACCCATGGATCGTCCGACTCTTCCGACTGACCCAACTTGTTGATCGTCATACTTGCGAACTGTGCGATGCTGTAATTGGCTCCGGGATTGGCCTCGGGCACGCACCTGCACTCTCGCAGTCCAAAAGGACCTCAAATCCAACGAGGAGTTGGTTCTCAATGTCCTTGGGGCGCTCGCCAACTTCACTTTCTACAGGAGCAGCGACAACTTGATCTTTGGCCGGGCCGCACAGCAAACCGAGCGTAAGGCCTGGGTGCAAAAGCACCAGTCAACAGACACTATCTGTTTGTCCTGCCTTTGTGCCGAGTCCTGATTCCATAACGACTGTCGACTGACCAAGTACCATCCATGTTGCTTGCCCATGTGCCCCACCAGTGATCGCCTCGTTCCTGCTGGCATCCAACACAGAAATCGTCGCGGCAAGTGCCCGCATCCTTTCGAATCTGAGCCATGATCCAACACCGCGCCAGGTCCTGTACCAGAAGAAAGGCACCGAGACCTTGACCATCCTGCTGGACCACACCGATCGATGCGTGTTAGTGTCGACATGCGGCACCTTGGTCAACCTCGTAAGCTCGCCCATCCACTCCCGGATCTTGATCGAGAACGGTGGCTTGCAGAAGTTACTCGAAGTCGTGGAAGGGTCGATCAATCTGCAGGACTGGGAGCTCGCAAGGGCCTCGGGTATGGTGCTCAGCAACATCATTATGCCCCTGGCGGACAGCTGCCGGGGATTTGCTGGGCTGGGCCCATCCCACCGGGGGCTGGCCGCGCGGATGGAGAGTATCGGCTTTGGCGACGAAGTGACCGACAGGCTCATCGAGATGCTTGAGGAAGTGCTTGGTAAGAATCATGCGAATGTGCAGATGTCGCTCGGACGCAGCGGTGTCCGGGGACGACGATTGTCATAGAAGACAGCTGAGATAGCGTCTCGCCTTGCCATTCCTTTGGAGCCGGATTCTTGGGTTCGGCCAAAGCACCATCGATCTCACCTCCCGCGGTCCTGTCGCCGATTCAGATTCCACGCCTTCGTACGAAGAGGAGAGCTTCCAGGACTACAGCGAGTTCCGGACGATTGCCATTCGGCTGCTCGACCTGCTGCTACCGTCGTGCCTGACGCCGGAGAGCGATTTCGATGTGGTCGAGGAGGTGTATGTGGGCGACACCGACGACGTTGGGGTCGGCAACGACGAATGATAGACACACAGACCTCTGTCCTGGCTGGATGCGGTATTTCGCTGTCTGCGACCGAGGAAGAGGGCACAGGGCAGTGCCGGGCATGCCGATCGCCAGGACACACGGACCCGCCTGGCAATGCGCATGGGAACGGGCATGGGTGTCGGGGTCCGCTGCGTGCATTGCATATCCGCTGCTGTCCCGCTCGTCCAGGCATTGCCCCGGCACCGCCGGGTCTGCTCCGGCACTGGCCGTCCGTCCGCTCGCTGGCGCTGCGGTGGCCGATGTGGTCGGCAAAGGTGGGTGGGAAAGACGGTAGGATTGCTGCCCCGATGCAACATTGGCATTGCGAGCCACAGGGGAAGCCGCAGCAGTGCTCGAGCGACACCGGCTCGGTCTGCTGTGCTCACTCCTGGAGACTTGCCCCGGATGCGACGAGCATGCAGCGGTGGTGGTGGTGGTGGTGGTGCGGTCTGTCGGCCCTCGTCGGTCGCAGGGCCAGAGTGTGCACTTTTTTTTTTTTTCGCCTCATGGAGTGGAGGCTTGGCTGCTCGTTTCCTGCCTCCCATTGCGCCTTCGGCCCGCCCGCCTCGCCCCGCCCCGGCCTGCTGCCTTGGCCATCGTCTCGCCAGGCTCCCTCTGCCCCACTCGCTCCTCCGTGCCGGTCTCGCTGCCGATCGCATCTACGTATGTGTCTGCTGCTGCTGCGTCCGCTCGGCCTGCTGCCGACCCTGCTCCATCGGCCTGGATCGTGCTGCTAATCCTTCCCGTCGTCGTGCCGCCGGTCTTGGTCGCTTCTTCCCTCTGCCACCGCCCGCTGTCGGCTGTCTCGGCCCCGCCCTGCGTCCCCGTGGCCTCTGTTCCCAGATCATCATGATGGCTACAGCTGCATCCGGAAAGCAACTCTTTGTTGGGAATGTAAGCTGTCCTGCGACTCTCCTGGATGCTCGACCCGGCTGTCACTCCAGCTTGGTTGGGCTTTGGATGGCCGGCGGCTATTTCCGCCATCGCCATCGCCTTTGGCCAGTCTTGTCGATCGCCATCCATCTGACCTTCGCGGCTCGGTCGCTCGGCTTTCCTCCGGCAGCTCCCTTTCGTTGTGACCTCGCAGGATCTGAATGACCTGTTTGCAGAGTCCGGTAAGTCAGTTGCCCAGTCGGCAACCAGGGGTCCGTCCGGGGGGTGGGGCTTGCGATGTGTTGCAAGCAATGCCGCCTGGAGCTGTTGGCAAAGACCTTTGCCCGAGACCATCGCTTGGGACTGTCGCAGATGACCATCGCGCTGGAATCCTGGACACGCCTCCATCTATCGGTGTCTCGATAGTCAGCCGGGATCTGCTGCGCCAGCGACAAACGATGTCGATCTGCTTGTCGCTGCCTCGGCCTCTTGGCTCATCCGCTCCTCTCGCTCTCGGCTGACAGGCAAGGTCGTGCGCTCCGAGGTCATCTCGACTCCCAGCGGCCGCTCCCGTGGCTTCGGCACCGTCCTCTTTGAGACCCAGGAAGAGGCCAACAATGCCATCAACGCCTTCAACAACTATGAGTGGCGCGGTCGCAAGATCGAGGTTCGCGAAGATCGAGCTGTTCGAGCTGCCCCTCCGGCTTCGGCTGCCAACCCTGCTGTGGCTGCCGTTGCCGCTGCTGCCGCCGCCGCTGCTGCTGCTGCTGCCGCAGTTGCAGCCGATGGCTCCGAAGCCCCTGCCGCGGAAGTTGGTGAGTCCATGTACATGCAGATCGCGTGAGAGAAGAAGCCTGGTGACAGGCATCGGCATCCACATCCGCATCCACATCCACATCCACATCCGCATCGGCATCCACATCTGCATCCGTATCTTGGTTCTATATCATTCATCGGCCATGACGACTGACACTCCGGACATATCGATACAGCCGAGGATGAAACCGACGCTTCCAGCATCAACGTGCGCGCGCTGTTTGTCGGAAACCTGCCGTACTCGGTCGGCTGGCAGGATGTCAAGGACCTGTTCCGACAGGCCGGCAACGTGGTCCGATCAGATATCCCACTCGATTACCAGGGTCGATCCAAGGGCTTTGGCACGGTGCTGATGGGCACCATCGAGGACGCCAGGGCTGCCGTCAAGATGTACAACGGCTATGAGTGGAACGGCCGTCGCATCGAGGTCCGCGAAGATCGCACCTATGTCGAAGGCGCCGTGGTAAGTCTCGCGGGGGAAAGGCTGTGCGGCAAGGCCGGTGCGATGCGAGGTTGGCGGTATTTGCTTTATATGCGACTGTGTATGCGACTGTGTATGCGACTGTGCATGTGTCCGTGGTATCTATCGCATTTGCTGCATTTGCCACATCTGTCAAACGGATCGTATGTGCCTCTGGGTAGCAGCACAATCATCGCCAAACAGCATATCCCGGAAACCGACCTAACCCACTCCAACCCTTATCCACAAACCGACCACACCCAGCCCCGGGCTGTCGCCGCTCCGGCCTTCAACGCCCCTTCGTACAACTCGGCCGTACCCAACCCTCCCGTTTCTGCCCCCGGCCGCCAGCTGTTTGTCGGCAACATCACCTTCACGGTGCAGTGGCAGGAGCTCAAGGACCTGTTCCGCCAGCACGGAGACGTGATCCGCGTCGACATTGCCCAGGACGGACAGGGCCGTAGCCGTGGATTCGCACAGGTGCTGATGAGCTCGGCCGAGGAGGCCAAGGCCTGCATCCAGGCCCTGAACGGGTACGAGTTCTTTGGACGACCGCTCGAGGTCCGCGAGGACAGATACACAAGCGAGGCTGGCGGATCGGCCGCCGGAACCCAGGTGTTTGTTGGCAACGTAAGTGCTACGCGGGATGAGCTGCGAGTGCATCCCGATGGCGATGGCGATGGCGATGGCGATGGCGATGGCGATGGCGATGGCGATGGCGATGGCGATGGCGATGGCAATGGCGATGGCAATGGCAGTGGTACGACAGGGTCCAATGCTCATTTCCATGCTCCCCTCTCTGCTCCTTCCGGGATGCTATTCCACAGCTGCCATACTCGTTCCGCTGGCAAGAGCTGAAGGATCTCTTCCGAAACAGCGGCCTCAACCCGGTCCACGCGGACATTATGGTCGAGTCAGGCATGGGACGCTCCAAGGGCTGCGGCACCGTTCGATTCGCCAGCCGCGAGGAGAGCGACCGCGCTGTGAGAGAGTTCAACGGAACGATCGTCTCTGGCCGCAACATTGTTGTCAAGCTCGACAAATTTGCATAAAGCAGCTATGCCCCACTTTCGGCGGCCATCCCCTTGATCTTCCCACTGCCCTTTGCATTTCACTTTGTTTGCGCTTACCTCACCTTCCCCGCTTCTTTCCCTCCCGCCCTTGCTCTCCATCTCTCCATTGCACTTGTTCCATATTTGCCAGTTTTGATGTATATTGTTATGGATGTAACCGGCTGATGTACCTTCGGACGGCCTCTCAGAAAGCCATGTATCAAACTGAATCAAAAAAGGAAGTTGAGGAGAACAGAGAAAAGCGGCGAGTCACTTCAGATTCGAGGACGATGCCGATTGCCATCATCCGATGTACATTCAAAGTGCTCGGAGCGACCGGTCTGGAGATTTAAACAGATCAATGTATTGAAGGGGCAGAGTCGGGGGGGGGCAAAGAAGCAATGTGTGTGCTTTGGACAGCAGATCGGGTACGGAGAAGTACTTTGGCAAGACGTGGGCAACGCATACCCATCAAGCCATCCAGAGCAAGCAAAAAGCAACAAGAGCAAAGCGACATGATGTGAATACGGGGGTAGCTGTGGGACGGCGGAGAGGGGAGGACAAATCTAGATTGCTGGGCAAGGCAGCTTAGAAGGGGCAAAGGTCGACGGTCTGCAAAGCTCATGGAAGTCTGTCAAGCAAGGGTAGAGCGAAACATGACAAACACAGGATACAGGAGCGGCGGTGGGCAATTGAATAATTGGTGGCGACGACGGCAGCGGGGGGGGGATCTTGAGGGTAGGACAGGCGTCTGGCTCTTACTGCACCATGGCAGTCAGTCCCAGGACGACAAGCGACGAGACCAGCGTCAGGACCACCGAGGCGGGTCGCACGGTCGAGTCGGCAGCCGAGGCCTTCAGCCCACGGGCAACGAGCTGGGCAGGCGAAGCCGAGGCGGATGCCGAAGCCGAGGATGCCGATGCTGAGGCCGAGGCGGTGCCGGTAGCATTGGCGGACTGGGTCGAGTTGCCAGAAGGCGAGGCCGGGGTGGTGGTGTTGGTGTTGGTGGTGTTGCCAGACGGCGGCGGCGGCGAGGGAGTGACGGGAACGACACCAGGACACTTGGGCACGCTGGCCGAGAGGGCATCGGTGTAAGGCTTGAGGAACCGGAAGAATGAGAAGGTGGTGGCGTTGGTCGAGGTCTGGTACTGGCGCTGGACGCAGGACGTGCACATGACGTTCTGGTTCTGGGCCTGCGAAACAGGCGGGAAGATGGAGAGGAGCGATGGGGCGGCGGTGTTGTTGGGATCCTGCGACAGACCCGGGATCTTGCTCTGGAAGTTGGCATAGTTCTGCAGCAGGCAGTATCCCTGGCCGTTCGAGCTGTCACGGAGACATCCGATGGTGGTCAAGGCCGAGATGGTCAGGGCAATCTCGGGGACGGTGATGCCGCCAAGGACGGTCGAGAAGAAGCTGTCGCTGGGGTTGTTGGAGGCCAGGAAGATCGACGAGGTGCCGCAGTACGGGTACAGCGAGATGGAAAAGGTCTGCACGGCCGAGGCGCAATCCGAGCTGCAGAGCGACAGGACGAAGGAGCCGTCGACAGCAAAGGCGCCGGGGGCCGAGGCAATTGTCAACAGGCCAGAGCCGCCGCAGGAGCCGACGAGCTGACCGAGGGCGCCGGTCTGGTTGAAGGCGTCCTTGCAGGTCTGGGGGAGAGTGGGATCCCAGGGCAAAAAGTCGATGCTCTGGGCCGAGGCCAGGGCAGCCGAGGCCACGAAGCCGGTGAGGAGTGACAGCGAGAGTTTCATGCCGACGGGGGATGCGGGGGCGATTGTGGGAAGACGGGAGCGAAGGACTGGGGACTGTGGATAGGCAAGGTCGGGAGGGACGAGCCGAGGCTTGAAATCCAAGTGGGTCGTCCAAGACGGATGTGCAGGACAGATGTGTAGGACAAATGTGCAGGACCGGCGTCCAAGACTGATGTCCAAGGGGAGCGGACCCAGGAGACGATTGGGGAAGGAGGTTGCGGAAACGAAGCCGAAGAACGAAGTCGAAGGACGAAGCCGAAGGACGAAGCCGAAGAAGGAGACCAAAGTGCCTTTGGAGCAGGCCAAACCGACGACAGGCGAGGGGCGAAACGGGGTTGCGGCGGGCGCCGCACCGCGACGCGACACGCTCGCACAAAAGGCAGGCGGGCGCGCCGTGTGTGACATTTAGTGCGCGCATCTCGTGTCGGACGCGGGCGAGGGTGCGCCACACACGCGCTCACCGTCGCACAGGTAACTTGCTGTGGCGTGCGCAGCACCTGTGCCTGAGAACGTTCCATTCCAGGTTCCGGCCCTTTTGCCCAGCACCAGCACCAGCACCAGCACCAGCACCAGCACCAACGGCAGTGTCCAAAAGCGCTCCTCTATTGTGCATGATGGCGGCGCTGCGCCGGCCAGGCCCCGGATGTTCCTGGCGCGCTCAGGCAATCTCGTTCCATGGACCATCGCCGGTCCCGTCGCATTTCTGTTCCCCCTCACCCGCCACCGGTCGCGACCGAACGGCTCAGGCTGTTTTGCTTTGGTACTCCCAAGATGCGGATCCGTCGCTCCTGCTTCTCGGATCGCTTGAGTCTGTCTTGGTAGATGAGCTGGATGCGTCGGCGCACGTCCTCGTATTCGATGAGAATCTCGTTGAAATCGTCCTTCGCCAGCCGGTACAGCACACAATGCTTTGCCGCCCGGACTGTTGCCGTCCGTCGTCCTCCCGATATGAGCGATAGCTCTGCGTTTCCAGTGGAGCCGCCGGCGTTAGCTGAGAACCGCCACATGCTGCCAGCTCTCTCGCGTTCTCTCGTGGCGATCGGGCTGGCAGCCGCACTCAGTCTCTGCTGCAAGCACCATCATCTCTGTCAGACTCACCGCCAAAGAAACTGCCTTCTTTCAGCCGAGTTACTGAGACGCCATTGACAATTACTTCGCACTCGCCGGTCTCGATAAAGTACATGGAATCGCCCTCCTCGCCTGCGATGAAGATGTCTTCATCCTTGACAAAGTAGCACGGCACCAGTGCCATTGCAATCTGCCACGAAAACAGGTTGTCTCGTCCGTCGTTCTCGTGCCGTGACAAAAAGTCGACCTTGGAGATCAGGTCGCTGCAGTTCCAAAGGGCAATGTCTCGGATGATGGGCACGTTCAACTCGCTGAGGAGGCCGACCTTGAGAAGACGACCGTCAGAAAGATGCGCCCTGCTTTGGCCTCGGTGGCGGCCACTACTCGGCGCCCCAAGTGACAAAACTGAATCATTGGCCTCCTCCAGTCGGCCTCCATGCTGCCTACCTCGTCAAAGTACTTTCCCTTGTACTTGACGTAGTAAAAGTCCCGGACGCGCTGTCGGAGGACCTCAGGAACCTGCTTGTATCGCAGGTATTCGTTGACCGTGTCCATTTTTTGCCGGTAGAGCCGTGCAGAGCCGTCAAATCCGACAAACGAGAACAGTGTCGCGATAATGGATGCATACTGATGTCCAGAGTCCATACCATTCATGCGAGTTAGCCATTGGAATGAACGACGGACATCGTGGAAAGTGCAGCCACGCATCCAGCATATTCGTGCTCAATACATCCGCTGCTTGTGCCAACGACAGCCTCCTCTGACTATAGAACAATAAACTTTGCGGCAATGCCCCATTCACCCAATTCTTTGGATATGCTACACTCACCAACAAGGATGCAAACACCACAAAAGAAATAAAGATGCATTGCTGGACAGTGTCGGTCGACCTGCGGGCAGTCGTTGACGTAGTTGTTGAGTTTGATTGCAAGGCGAGTGGGAAGATCGGTCATGCACCCGCGATTCGAGAGCATCCTGGCATGCCGGCTCCCCCGCCTGGCTATTTATCCCTCATCATCCTTCACCAAAGTCTCTCCAGCCCGCCACAGGCGTTTGTCCTCCATATCCAGTGTTTTGAGAATCCTCGTGTCCATGAAAATCGAAAGGGAATGGCGGGCCAACAGGAGTGGACTTGCTCAAGGGCCATCACTTACTTGTAGCTCATCTGGAACGTGTTTGCGATGGCCATCTGAAAAGTCCAGATATACTGCGCGAGCACTCGCTCTTGGAGGACAACTGATGCATCTACCCAGTCGGCATAGTTGTTGTATCGCCCTAGCAACCAGAGTGCACAAGCCTCCCAGTGCAGCACCAGGAGCAGAAAGGTGGTAAGAAAAGCAAACATGAAGTGTCCCTGGGAGAACTCAAACTTCTCGTCGAGGTAGTTGAGAAACGCCGCAAAGAGCGGCGACTTTTTGAGCTTGTAGTAAAAGTTGCGACACGCAAAGAACTTGAGCAGCAAGAGCGGCTGTGGATTTGGCAGGAACTGATCAAATGGAATGATGGCGACGATATCGAGACAGAAGTTGAATGACTTTTTCACGAATCGCATTGCCGGCGAGACCACGGGGGCATTGTCGTTGCGCTCTGACGGCAACAGCATCGTTCGGATAGCCAGGTCCGCGAGAAACAGCAGCCCGTATGCCGTGGATGCGGGAGCTACGTAGTAGTAGAGCCTTTCCATTGCTGCAAAGAGGGGAACCAAAAGCAATACCGTGGCTTGAACCACTGAGTGCCGGGTGCACGTAACCATCAATTAACTCATGGACATTCGTCAACCCAACGGCACGATGTCATGAGAAACAAAGGCAACGTGGACAGCAGATACTATGTTATGGATGTCAGGAAAGGCTCTCATGGTGCCCACCCAACCTCCAAAATCCTGCAGGGAATATGCTCGCATCGATAGCGCACATTCAAACAGTTCATCTGAATGCACAAAGTAGCCGCGGCCCATAGTCATACCAGCCATGAAAATCGTCCACCAATTGTAGAATGTTGAATCTGGGTGAATGCATATTAAACGCATGCGCTGCTCGCCTGCGTCCTTCTGGTTAGAATGCAGTCCCAGCTCGGCATCGAGATCGATGTTGCTCTTGAGAACTTCGACGCTTGTTGTCGAAGTCTTTGTATAACTTGTGCTCTGAGCTGCCTGGTTCAAATGTGAGTTCCTGGCCATGGTCATTGGCCTCGTCATTATATCTGGAGGGCACCTGGCCGGAACGGCCCCGCTTCCTTGGGTCGGAGCTGCAGAGCTGCCTGGACTCGGAGCAAAGCCGGTCCCCTGAATATGTGCGTCTTTGACCTGTTTTAAATTCGATTGAGATGATCCCTCGAGGTTGATCACTGGTATAGAGGGCTTTTCGGCGACACAAGTATTGGGCAGTGTGGGCCCACCGATTGCAGCTGTCGGCAACGTCGTCGTCGACGGCGCTGATGGCTGCGCGGGAGTTGTGCCAGGAGCGGCTTGCAGCGACGAGGGCGGTATCGTTCCAGATACACCAGCGGTGGCTGCTGCCGGCTTGGTGATATCCGAGATCAAATTCATGGCCGAATTCTTCAGCAAATCGAGGCCTAGCGACTTTCGGCGGTTTGTTGACTGCGAGCGCGTGAGTTCCGATGGCTGTGTGAAGATCGTTTCCAGCGTATTCAGCCTGGCCTCGGACTTGGTCGGCATAATCTGTTGAGAGTGTGCACCTTCCATCATCAGATCCGGCCTGATGGAGGAAAGCGGCAGCGCGCTGGACGGCTGCCGGGCGAGCATCATCGAGGGCATGGTTTCGCGACGGAGGAACTTTTTGTCGGCAAGGGCGGTCCTGTAGACTGATTTGGACTTGGCCGTCTCAGACAGGGCCGAGTGCGAGGCCTGCCACGAAGCCATGTGATGAAGGCTCTCCTGAGAATCGTAGTTCGGCCTCAAGAAGGACTGCCGTGGATGTGATGCACGTCGCGGCACCGAAATCCTCGCTTCGAGGCCCTCAAGGAATCGCCCGCACATAGTAGAGCTGCTTCACGGATGTCCTCAAGAATGCCGGTCTCATCTTCCTGGTAGGGTTCCTCGATGTCGTCCGCGTCACTGGCGCTCTCGTAGCCATAATCATTGCTGCCCAGTGACGCTTTTGACTGCTCTTCTCCACGGGTGTCATTGGCTTCAGGCTGCTGCTCAGGCTCTTCGGGGATTTGGATGCTTCCTCTGCTGTGCCGCCTTTCCGATCCTACCGAGCTCATACTGGCATCGCTTCTCTTCCTTTCGGGATGGAGTCGCTCCTGATCGATTTCGCTAGTTCCGGAGATTTCTTGCATGCCCTCGGCGGCAAGCTGACGAGACAGCGGGCTGCTGAAGGACCGATTGCGTGCGACGCCGTTGCTCCTACCCGTCGATGGGTTTGAGGGATTGCTGCTCATCGAGTCGGAGGAAAGCCTCAACGACGAGACACGAAGACGACCAGTAAGGCTTTTCCCCTACGAAGACTCAAAGGGTATATGCCTATTGGAAGGGATACGCCTCTGCGGTACTGTCTCTGTCGCGGCTCCAGGGATGAATACTCAAACCGTGAGCTGGTCCAGTGTGACGACAGCGAATCATGTGCAATCAGGCAAGCCGTCGGGAGCGCAGTGAAGCAAGCCAGGCGCGGTGCAACGCAATCCAGTGCGTCGGTCGACTAGCACTCGCTATTGATTGGAGCTGCTCCATTCAGCACTCCTCCGTAACTGCCTGATCGGCACGGCCGAATGTTGCATTTGGCCGTTCTGGTGTCTGTTCCCACAGAGTCACGTGTAGAACTCACCACGACGGACTTGGCCGCGCTTTTCGCTCTGTTGGCCATCTCTGCCTCGACTGCACCTCCCAGCCTCGACTGCACCTTCTTGCCTGCCTGCCCCCTCAGCAGCCCACAGATCCAGCCCCACACGTTACCACAGTGCCGCCTGATTCTTCATCATGTCGAGCTCACTATCCGCTTCAGCAATCTCAAATCCAACATCGTCCTCGGTCCACGCCAAAATCGAGATGGACTGTCTCGACGACCTCACCTACCTCCAGGATCAGATCCGCAATGCCATCAAGGCCATCTTTTCCGAAATCAGGGCCAGACAAGACGGGCCTTTCGCCCTCGGCGACGAAGCGATGGAAAAGTTTACCGAGAAGGTCCGTTCCACCGACCCTCAGCTCGCTGGGCTCGTTCTGGATTTGGCTTGCTTGGCGTTGTGCTGACCTGAGGTGGCCATCATGCCTCTCCAACTCGTACCCACAGTACATAAAGCGCCTGTTCAAAATGGCTGGCCCAAACATCAAGATCAACGGCGTCGAGTTTGAGGAGGCCATCCAGAAGAAAGTAGGCAAGTATCAGCCTGGGCACAGCGCCGCCCCCCCCCCTACAATCGGCAACCGCAATCGGCAGAGCGGCACCGCGGCAGAGGCCAAATATCAGCTATCGATGTTGCTGAAGCCCTTGGGCTGGCCACCGGATCCCTGTTTCACTGAGTTCCTGGATCCGTGCTAACATCGACCATTGACTCGATGCGCCTTTGACTGGGGCTGCAGTCTACGAAGAATTCGACGAGGGCCTGAGCCGGAAATGCCAGGAGCTGGCCCACAAAGTCGAAATGAAGCGACTGGCCATTGCCGAGCTCAAGCGCAAGTGCCTCCCGGAAATCGAAACGCTTTCGGACAGTATTTTGGAGCAGCGTCTGGCCCTCATTCGATCGTTCAGCGCACGGCCGAACGCACAGCCTCTTGTGCCCGCCCACTGTAAGCCGCATTTTTTGCTGGACATGCACTTCGCATCGCATCGCATCGCATCGTATCGCATTGCAGCTCGCTGCGCTGTCACGCTCGATTCGCTCAGGCACATCCTGGCCGATTGCTACTGCACGCCCGGGCCTGCCTTGCATCCTGCCGTCGCCGCGCCGTGCCAAATCAACCTCGCTCAACGAATTCCAACTCGACTCACTCGGCCGCCTCTTCTTCGCGTGACCCGTGGCGGTCGGACCAGCTGCCCTGGACGACTTTGTGGATAGCCATGTCACTGAGCAATACGTCGCAAGTCTCGACATGGTCGCTGCAGTCAGCAAGGTATGGTGCTGTCTCTCGCCGCGCCGCCTGTGATGTCCTCGCCGGACCCGACACTGATCCTCCTTGCTGGCTGAATCGCTCGCTCGCTGCAGGACATTGAGCCAGTCGTCCAGAAGCTTCGGCGCGCCCGACAAGTGCTCGAGAGCTGGAACATCCCCCAAAGCAGCGTCGAGAGGACTCCCAGCCGGCGGTCGACCATGGGTGCCAGCACCACCCCCTCGGCGACCCCACGCAGGTCGCGATCGGGCTTCATGAGGCGGCTCGAAGCGACAGCCCAATATAACCCATATTAGGCAACTGTGGCAGTACACACCGCCACCGACATCGGGTCGCACACCCTGCGAGCGAGCGGATGCTCGTCGACCGGCCTTGGATACGCCCTCAAGAGCAAGCTGTCGATAGACAGACTGCAGAAGTACTGCGCATGGGATCAGTGGAATATGCACACTATCTCCGAATGGTGCCGGAAGCGGCTGGCGGTGGTGTCTTTGAGCGATTGCCGTTCGTCAGATGGCAAGACGACACAGTCATCGAGAGAAGCACGCACTTTGTATTGTGATCGGACCTGCTATGTCGCTGTGATGCAAGCCGCATAGCCTCGACCTGTCATGCTGATTTCTCTCTGGATCATTGGTTTGTGGGGGGAGGAGGAGAGAGACCACCCGTGAATACACCTGGTCGACGCCCATGGAGGATGAACAGCCAACATCGTCCCGGCATTATCCCGGCACCGTCGCAGCTGCTGCCCAGACACAGACCGAGAACAGCATCTTCTCGGTCCCCCAATCGATTCCAGCGAGGCAGCCACGGTGGTTGTTTTGGCGGGTTGAGGCTGGCCGCCCTCGCCATGTGGAAACGTGCCTCAGGCGCCAGCACCGTCGACATGCTCGGGTTGACTTTTACGAGCTGCATTCGCCCGCCCGCACTTGGCCGTCAAGATCTGCAAATGCCACTCAGCTACGACAAGTGGAACCACATCGAGGACTACTACTCCTCCGACGAGGACACCAAGAGGCCTCCGCCCGCGGCGGAGAGTCCAGCGCAACTATGCACGCTCTACACGGTTCCATGGGACTCGCATTGTGGTGGGATTGCTGACGACAGTTCGTGGTGATATTTCCATGGCTCGCTGGATGCTCGGCCGGTGCTGCCGCTCCTATCCCGGCAGGAGAGATCGCCGCTGCCCACGCACCAACTGACGCACTCGACTGCCTCATCGTCGCCTCAGAGTTGGTTCGCTGGGCGCTCGACCGCCACGAAGTGCCCTATCTGGAGAAATCGATTCCTTGGGGCCTGCATCTGTGGAGTGCTCTCGCGTTTTCGGATCCCATTCCCGCTCCGCAGCAGGTCCATTTCCCGATACTCGTTAATCCCAAAGGAGAGGTACGTGGCTTTCTTTATGCTGCTTTTGCTCGCTGCAGTATTGTGGAGACGATCCCATCCTGCCTCATGCGCGTGAATGTTGGCGCGAGAGGAGTGCGGCAAAACGCCTCACACATCCGGCAGTGCGTTGTCCGATGAAGTAGTGTTGGGAGTGTCCGTCCCATGGCGTTGTTGAGATATGCATACCGACAGGACCGTGCACTTGGAGTGAATCGCAACTGAACTCGTAGCTGGCTTTCTAACGCGTCGGCGGCCCAGGTTTTCAAAGAGTCAACCACCCAGATTCTCACGTTCCTGTTCTCGAGCTCCTTCACCCGGTCGCTGAGGATCTACACTCCTGTCTCTGTCTTGGACATTCAAGAGTCGTACGACGACGCCTTTGCAGCAGCGACCCGCACACTCTACCTCAACATGATCCTGTCGTCCGACCTGGCCCACCAGCACATGGTTGCCAATGTGCATCTCAACACACACAAGGCCATCTACTCGCTGACATGGCCCTTTTGGAAGCGCATCATGCGCTTCTACTACCATATCAATCCGAACACAGTGAAGCAGGCATCCGAGACCGTCGACCTTGTCTTTGCTCGCGTCGGCAAGACGTTGAGAGCGAATGGCAGCGCCAGAGGCAGCTCGACCACTTCTCCCTACCAGGTCGGCGAGCACTTCACAGCCGCAGACTTGTCGTTTGCGGCACACGCAGCCCTTGTGCTTCTCCCGAGCGAAGACGACGGCTCCTTTGGGTACAACATGGGAGTTGCCCTCCCGAGTCTCAAGGAGGTTCCGTTGTCGTACTCTCTCTATGCCAAGCGACTCCGTGCCACCACCGCTGGCAAATATGCGATCCAGATGTATCGCAAGGAGCGAGGCTTTCGCTTCGGCCGCAAGGAGAGCCGGTTTTCACGCGAGAACAACCCGTGGTGGGCCGAGCCCGGCAAGCTCGGCAGCTCCATCATCAGTGCGCTTTGGGTTGTTGTCCTCATAGTCGCGCCCTTGCTTGTCCTGGTGGCCCTCGTTGTCCCCATCTGGGTGTCGTTGACGGTCATGGTGGCCATTGCCGGCACAGTTTGGTTGTTCTGGGGCCAGAAGATACTTCAATTACGCTGTGTCCACAGGCTGCGTCAGCTGTGTTTCATTCTCTTTGCTAAGCACGGCATCAATTTGCCGAAGCGCCAAGCTAAGCGGCAGTTGGATCCCGAAGCAGAGGATGACGATTGCCAACATGATGGTGCCGAAGTGACCGACGACCTGGCGTTCCCGCCGATCCCCAGCGACAAGGCAACTACGTCACCCCTTTGCGAGGCTCAAATCGACAGCAAACTCGACTGTGTCATGCAGAGCGATGCAGCCAGCATCGGCGAGGACCTATCACTGGCTGCTGTGCCTTCCGAGGAAGACGACCTGGCTGTGCCATCGAGCCCTGGCGGCGCTGGCTTTGAAGATCATTATGCCTCGTTTAGACGCGAAAGGCTACCTTACTTCCGCCAGCACAAGCGACTCCAAGAAATTATAAACGACACGAGCCATATCATGTTCGATCACCCCGCAGTCGAGTTTAACAGCGTTTGTCGTCGGATCAAAACCGGAGTGCCCCCGGACGCAATGGTTGGCGGCGCTGTCGAGTACAGTGGGACTCGACTTCGACGAAGCTTTCGAAGCGACGAAACCATCGCCGTTGCCGCCGAGGGCGAGGCTATATAGTACACAGTCAGCATTTTCTCGGGTCGAGAGTCGAGAGCAAATGCATGCATTGTCTCGTTCATGGACACCGGTTCCAAGGATTGTCAAATGGATCGCAGAATGTGAAGCAAGAATAGCGAATATTGGCTGTGCTCTTCCAGAGCATAGCGTTTGGGTGTTGGAGCGTGTGGGTTGCTATCGTGGTTTCTGTTGCGCAAGTATAATTGACGGGAAATAATCTAATCGATAACAATCTGGCAATGCTTTGTGGCGTAGTCCATCGGAACTCGTCGCAATGTCCTGTTCAACCTCTGTACCTACAATCGACGCAGCAAAACTGGGTCGTCCGGTGTATTTGAGAATCGGGACACCCTATTCTGAGCCTCAGTTGCTGTTATTCTTTGGATCCCGTATACACCAACCGACTAACCATGAGCTTTCCAGGTGGTCGAATGCATGCACCGCGCTCCCACATCGCTCCCATATCACGACATCAGCGTCAGTCGACCATCGCCACAGGAGATTGACCATATGTATTCAAGACTGTGCTCCCCAAGACTGGAAACAATCTCATAGCTTGCTCCTGCAGCCTACAGACCGCTGCATCGAAAGCAGTGACCAAGGGGAGGACGCTCGGGAATTCACTTTCCCGCTTCGCTCTGAACATGCTGCAGTTGCGCTTTCAAAGTTACCAAGGTCAAAGAAAGAAATAGAGGGAAGAGAGACAGGGATAGGGAGAGGGAGAAATAACCAGGAAGATGCCTGTCGCCAGTTGATCCTCTTGTATTTCTCTACTCGAGCGCCTTTGTCTTGGGGCCCTTGCGTTTGTTCTTTCCACCGCCGATTTTGACGCCGGCATTCTTTTCGCGTTTGGAGAGCTATCGGCAACAGGATGGCTTATCGTCAGATACGTCCAATGCCAGTCACTGTCTTCATATATAATAGGCAGTGCGCCATGGAAAGTACGGCCCAGTTGTCCACAAAGTCACAGACAGAGAACGGGTAATAGTCTGTCCCTGGCGCATGTTGTGGACACAGCACTCACCCCTTTCATGGTTTTCTGCATGAGCTCGTCGCGGGTCATGGGTCTGTCGTCGTCCTCGGACATGTTGTCGTCCGAATATTGGTCGTCGCTGTGCAGAGAAGAAAGGCGGCGAGACCTCCATCAGCATATCGCAATTTGTCCGATAGAATTGCGGCATGCGAGCGCTTACCCTATGGTTGGTGCCATGATGGACAAGTTGTTGACGGTCGGCTGCGGTCCCAGCCCCAGGAGGCCACCGACGCCGCCCGTCGTGATGACAACACCCTCTTTGCCAAGTTCTCCCTTGTCTTCGACGCCGGCGCTGCCGGATGGAGCGCTGCTGCCGCTCTTCTTTGGTGCGTTGAAGATGTAGTGCATCGTAAGGAGCTCGTTGGTCTTTTGTTCGACAATACCCAGGACTTGAAGCAGGTTCGTGTCCGTGACGACGCCGCCCGGGATCATGTCGGCAGAAATCACATAGTCCACTTTGCGTTCCTGTTCGGCCTGGTCGGCCTCGGCATTCTGCTCTTCCCCGCTGTCTGTCGCAGCTTTCGAGAGGGCTTCGCGGCTGGACGAGTTATATTCTTCCGAACTCTCGTGTCCATCTTCGTCCTTGGCTTCGTGAGACTCGGCTCCCTCTGCAGTTTCGTCTAGTCCTCCGCTGGATAGACTTGGGTGTGCCGGGGTTGTCGGGTGCGTGCTGTTCTGTGAGCTGCTCTGGGCAGGCTTGCGTGGGGACATGGAGGGAAGACGTGTGTGCTGGAGGTTGAAGATCAGACCCTCGACTGCCTTTCTGAGGTCTGATATCAAGAAGGTGACCTCGTTGTACTGGCTTTCGTATTGACTGCAGCGGGAGTTGGTGTGGGATAGTTGCTCCTGTCGAGGGATTGTCGCCGGCGGTTAGTCCTGGCGGCTCGTCTGGGCGGCTCGTCTGGGCGCGCATGGCTCTGGTGCATGCGTTCGATTTGGCGGGCCACTCCCGAAGCCTGAGGGCACCGCAAAGTCACAGCGGCTGTGACTGGAGACTGCGAATCACGGCGATACTACCTCCAGAGATTTCATGAGCTTCTTCCGACTTTCTTCGGTCTTGACGTTTTCAATCTTCATTTCGTCGATGTGGTTTTGGATCTTGACGATATCTTCTGCACAGCACTCGACTTCGTTGTTGATCTCGTTCACGTAGTTGAACAGAGAAAAGTTCTGGTCCTCGATGGCCTTGAAGCGCTGGACCAGTTCGCCAATATCGCTCGACCCGGTAACTTTGCGGATCTCCTCGAATGCACGTTCATAGGTCTCAACGGACTCGGCCAGGACCTCGGTAGAGGGCATGTTTTTGTTGGACGAATCCTTCTCTGCGGTATGCAAAGGGAGGAACATGTGTGGGCGCACGGTTTGGTGGTGGCACAGTCGATAATACCAAATTGGACATCCAACAGGGCGCTCGCCTTGCCTCACTGACGCAAATTGGTGCACTTGTACTTACCATGGTGGCTAGAGAGGTCTTTGTTGGCCCCATCCTTGCCTTCGGCCTTCTCCTGTCGATCCAGCACCTTTGTGGCCATAAAGTCCTTCAGCTTTCGATCCTGCTCGAGTGCCCGGTCCAGCTCCTTGATTTCCTGGAAATAGGTCTGGTACTCCTTCTCTGCTTTCTCACGCAGGAGGATGATCCGCGCTTGGGCTTCGTCTCTGCATTGCAGCTTTGGTCAGCGAGTGCAGTCACCTGCTGCGGTGGCAGGCGTGTGACAGCAGACCTATGCGGACTACACTACCAAGTCACTCTAATCGCGCCCCGGCGGCACGGCCTTCGTACCTCGCTTCATACGCAGCGTTGCTGAGCTCGATAATGTCTGCCATTTGCTTCTTCTGGTCGTTAAGCTCCTTTTCAAACTTGCGATAGATGTTGTCAAAGACAACTCTCTCCCGCCGAAGATTGTCGATGGTGGATCGGAAGCGCTTGTTGACGGCGAGGGATTTGTTGAACTTTACCAGTGCCTGGCAGTGTACAACGCATGATCCGGATTGTGAGATGGTAAAAGTATGGCTCACCCGGTCACAACGCTCTCACACACCCGCATATACTGTGTCAGGCAGAGACAGCAGGGCCCATAACACCATCCTGTGCCTCATGCGCATGGATCGTGCAAGTGTGGCTCCCACAGCGCCTACTTTGTCAAGGCGATTTTCCAGCACTCGAATCTGCTTCTCGATGGCATCGCTGTTCTGCATGGCAGCATTGACTCCGCCAAGATCGGCTCGTTCCTGCTCTATATCCCGGTCCAAGAGACCGATTTGGTTGTCCAGCAGGGCCACCTCTGCCATGATGGTTTTGATCTTCTTCTGAAAGGTTTCTGCACAAGCACGGTTGGGTGACGTCGTCCATCAGATATGGATACAGAAGGAGGGGGCCCTTGCGGACATGCGTTCGACTCTGCAGACCGGTGTGCCTGGAGACTCACCCGCTTGTTCCGCCATCATCTCTGCCTTCTTGCTCTGGATGCCGTTCTTTCTCCTCTCTTCGTTCCGCTGTTCGAGCAGCCGCACCTCGTCGGAAAGACTCCGGTTCTCTCGCTTGAGCTTCTCTATTGTTTCTCTGAAGGGGTGGTTTCGAGGGTGAGCTCGTATGGCAAGGGAGTGCTCCGTCTGTCCCTCCGCTATTTCCTTCGCTGGCCCACACCACTGCTTGCGGTGCTGCAGATTTACCGTTGTTTGCTGATGAGCATTCGGGACTCTTCGCTGTATGCTTTCCGGTCGCCCTCCATGATGCGGTATTGCCGTTGCAGCTTCTGCAGCTCGATTTCCGCTGAAGCCAGCCCGAGCCATGGCGCGGCGGATAGAACAGAGCGGCGGTAGCAGCCTATGCGTGAGAATCGATTCGGCTTGCCTCTCTCAGGTGTTTCCAATGCATATATCTTCCCAGCAGACACGCCGACGCGTCTGCCGGCTTGCTGATCCTGCTTGCCGATCCTGCTCGCCCAAAGGACGGACGGAACAACGCCTGCGCCGTGCAAATGCAGCGCATGCCGGGTGTGCATCGAGTAGCAGCCCGTCGTCGACGCAGGCGCTCACCTAGACCGTCGTTGGGCTCCATGTCGCTCGCTGCCGCCATCGGCTGGGCCCGGTTCGCTGTCATCGACTTGCTCATGCTGTCGGAGGGATTTCGAATGCGTCCAAATCGACCTTGTTCAAAGCGGATACGTCCAACTCGAGTTTCTCCAAAGGCCAAGTTTCAAGATGATTCGTCGAGTAGGGGCGCTGGCTTTTGGTTCCAAGTCTCCTGCCGCGGTCGGTCCCGTTTGGCCAGAGGCAGTCGGGGCAGTGGACGGAACGGATGAGGGAGCGCAGGGATGCTGCCGAACAATCGCCTCCGCAACAACGAGCCGACACCACAATACACTGTTTGGAAACGGGGGGGCATCCGCAGCGTATGATCCATTGTTACTGACGTGGGTGTGATTGGCTCCTTCCTATCGGGCATCCCAACTCGACTGGATGTGTCTGCCCTGGGCCTGTGTTGCTATGTCGTGGGCGGTATGCAACAGCTGCAAGGCATGTGTCTCGCTGCATCTGGGCATCTTGCTCTCCTGTCGATCTGCTGCCTGTGCCTGCAGCCATCAAAGCCGTCGGCCCCGCGGATATGCAATACTCCGGGGGGCCGGAAGAATACCCGGCTGCGGGCTCGCCCCCAGAGCCCATGGCAGCCCCAGGCCCCGCTTCCAGTTTCCAGACGCTTGCGCTTGATCTCGCACTCGCACTCGCACTCGCTCATCCGTCTCATCAACCATGGCCCAGCCCACTCATCCGCATGTTATCCTCGGGTTAGTAGCAGCAAGCCGGAGCGACACAGGCTACGCTCGTTTGTCGCTGGCGTCGCTAATGTGGCCATCTCGCATCTCTACCCACATCCCAACACACTCCCCAATGTATTACCCCAACGCAGAACGATGACCTTCGGCACCGGTATGGGTTGAGATGACCTGGGTCGCAACGTCGCTGCTGTAACTGTGCGCTGGCTTGTTGTTGGCTCGGCATGATTTGCTTGCCCCATCTGACACCCGACTCGGTCTCGTTTGTCGCAGGTGTCGGGGGCCGCATCAACGATCTCGCAGTGATCCAGGAGATCCTGGACCTGTTCCACGCCCACGGGCACACCGAGATCGATACTGCTCGAATGTACTGCCAAGGCAACACTGAGGAGGTATACCGCTCAGCCAGGAAGCCTGCTCGTCTGGTCTTGGACCGGATGCAGCCTCGAGCGACTCTGTGTTTTCTGACTACGAGTTGTCATCGGCGACCTTGCACATCGTCAGGTTCTGGCTGCCCTGAACATCCAAACCTCGCACCACGGATTCAGCCTGGCCACGAAGGTCTATCCCTTCCAGAGCGGCGACCACGAGCCCGAGAAGCTCAAGGCCACATTCGCCGCGAGTCTCGCCGCCCTCAAGACGCAAAAGGTCGACATCTTCTACCTGCACGCCCCCGATCACCAGACTCCCTTGGAAGATACTCTCGGCGCTGTGCAGGTAGGCAGCGGGGTGGTGCTGCGGGTATCTGGGATATCGTCCTCCGATTCGAGGGACCGGCATCATGTCTCGATCAACAGCTCGGCTGACTGTGACTGCTGCTTCTCGTCGCTGTGCTCCAGTCGCTCTATGAGGCTGGCCACTTCAAGGAACTCGGTCTCAGTAACTATCCGTCCTGGAAGGTGATGGAAATTTGGTGAGTGCATTGCAAGGACCGGGTACTTTGCTGCCAAGGCGGCACTGCAGCGACGTGCTGGATGGCCGCCTTCGCGTGATGGGCAATCCCAAACGACGCCGAGCGATGCTGTGCCCGACTCACATCTGCGTCATTGTCCGCAGGCGCATCTGCAAGGAGAAGGGTTATGTCCTTCCCACGCTTTATCAGGTGTGTAACTTCCCAGGGGTACATGCGATCTCAGTGCCATACCATCGCCATGCTGTCTCCAGCGAGGCTGGCATTATCACTCTGCACTCACGACCACTCCCCCGGCTCAGGGCATGTACAATGCCATCACCCGCGAGGTTGAGCCCGAGCTGATTCCTTGCATCAGGCACCTGGGCATGCGGTTCTACGCCTACAACCCCCTTTGCGGCGGCCTGCTCACCGGGCACTACAAGTTCGACATGGACATCGAGAAGGGCTCGCGCTTCGACGGGACTAACTCGCAGGGAGACAGGTTGGTGAGCCGGTAGATTCGCCCTTATCCAGCTCACGAAGACTATCGGTCTACGAACCGCAGCTCTGACCGAACGCGACAACCTCTATGGCAGATACCGCCAGCGATACTGGAACCAGGTCAATTTTGAGGCCGTCGAAATCATCAAGGCCGCATGTGCCAAGCACGGTGTGACGCCTGCCGAGGCCGCCCATCGCTGGCTCCTTCACCACTCAATGCTGGACCAGACCAAGGGCGATGGTAAGCAGGCAGTCTGTGAACTTGGATTGCCCCTCCCCGCTCATCCGTGTATCTCAGGCTGTGGTCGAGGCCACGCAACAGATAATGCAATCGCTGATTGGATACCCGTGTACATTCGACAGGCATCATCATCGGCATCTCCTCTGTCGGACACGCCAAGCAGAATCTGGACGACTGCGAAAAGGGTGCTCTCCCGACCGAGGTCGTCGACGCTTTGGACGAGGCCTGGCACCGAGCCAAGGGAGCGAGTCCCTTGTACCATCGCTAGAGCAGCGCGCCGGATAGATCGCAGTCGACTGGCACATGCGATCGATCACCTAGGTTGATCGCAAGCGGCAGTTCCTTTATCCTGAAATACAATCGGATGCAAGTTGCTACTTTCACGATGCCACGGGTTGTGTTATGGACTGCAAAGGCTAGTATTTCTCCCAGTGGGCCCTGGGACCTCCATTGCGGTTACTCGCCGCGGAGCCCAACAGATGCCCACTGACAATCCTCTCGAGATCTCAGGATGCGACTTATATTCTTCAGAATAGCTGCATTGCACACAGATCATGGATAGGATGGCCATGGATGGTTGTAAAGTCGGTCGATGTGAATCAAGGTGGATCACGGGTGTGGTCATCCGAGCATGGGTCCTGGGAAAGCTGTCGACAGCAGGACACTCGAGCAGGACACTCGAGCAAGGCACTCGGGCAAAGGTACTTGGGCAAAGGTGCTTTGGCGAGAGATGCCTAGTCAAGGGTGCTTAGACCTGCTTCTTGGTCTCCTTGCGGTACACCTTGGCAAAGATCTTGTCGTAGGCATCCATAAAGACACCCTTGCACTTGTACTTGTTGCGGACCTGGTCGTAAAGCTCCTGGTCGAACATCTCGTTGAACTCGTCACGGGTCTGCTCGCTGACGGCGTACATGGCCTGGTGGAGGGATGTTTGCGTCAGGTTTGTTGCAACAAAGTGTGCGTCGGTTCTGGTGCGTGGGCCGTTCGAGCTGCGAGAACCTGAAGCGAGTCTGGAAACCGGCGGACTCCAGCCCAACGCAGTTGCTGAAGCGGACAGCAGGCTTGCTCATAGAGGTTAAAACGTACCTGGTAGCCGCGGTTCTCGCGCAGCCACTTTTCGTAGGTCTGGTTGCCCCAGTGGACGTCGTATCGCTGGCCGCGGGTAACGGGACCAGGGATACCCCAGACACCAATGTCGACATACTGCTCAATGTCCTGTCCGTTGGTCGGAGCGCGAATGGCGCCCTGGGGCTCGGTCTTGAAGACAGCGTGGGGGCAGAGCCACAGGGGGTAGATTTCGTAGGTCTCGTGGCAGAGCTTGAGGCCCTCCTTCATGCACTCAATGGGAAGCAAAAAGTCCTGGGCGACATGGACCTCGAGCGAGTGCGCGCGCATGGCTTCGGTCTGGGTGTACTTGAGGAAGTTGACCTTTGGGGGCATAAGCCAACCGAGGAAGTAGCGGAAGATAGGGTGGTTGCCCATGGGGAACATGATCTCGTGCTCCCAGTAGAGCGATCGGGTGTGTCGGTGGTAGTAGTGGCGGATGGGAATGTACTCGACAACGGTCTTGCCCTTCTTCATGATGGTCTCGGCATGGCGGTGGAACCTGGCGACCAGCAGCATCCAGTGGCGATATCAGTACGCATGGTACACCATCAGCAACAGTCACGCAGAGCGGCACGCCGCCCTGATCGGACGTGAGTGCATTCTGCGCCTCGATCGGAGCGCCCCTGATGTGCTGGTGCAAGCGCAAGCAGGGCGAATGGATAGCAGGGGCGAGAAACTCACCAGGGCTTGTAGTAGTGGCCGATGGGGTTGTAGTAGCCGTCGCTGCCGATTTCGTCCGCAAAATCGCCGTAGGTGAGGATGCCGTTGTTGTAGTCGTACATCAGGCCCTCAAGGAACTCGTGGGGGTTTTCGGCAGAGGCAATCTCGGTGAAGCGATCGACCATCTGATCGATCGAGGCCGTGGGCTCGTAGATCAAGCGACAGTACTTCTTGCAGGGGATGATCTGGATCTCCATGGCCACACAGAATCCAACACCGCCGTAGGACCAAGGAAGAGCGCGGAAGAGGTCGCTGTTCTCGGTGGCCGAGCAGTGCACAAGCGAGCCGTCGCCGACAATGATGTCGGCCGAGACAATAATGTCGTTCCACAGACCGTACTTGTGGCCAGATCCTTCGATACCGTATCCAAGAAGCATGCCACCGCAGGTCAGGTCGTCAAGCTGGCGCCGCAGAAGGCAGGGAGAGTTAGTGCTCATCGTCGACATGGCAGACAAAGGCGCTCTTGACGGGGATTGATGATGCTCGGCAGGCGCTAGGGTGCTTTCCCTCTCACCTCGGGGACGATAGGCAGGGTCCAGCCGCGGGGAATCAGGAACTGGGTCAGCTGGCCAATGTTGACACCGGGCTCGACACGAACGACGCGGCGCTTGGTATCGATCTCGAGGATGTCATACAGGGGCATAAGGATGGCGTTGTCTTTCTTTTTGTACTGGGGGCCGTTGTCCTTGGCGGTGACCTGCAGGGTGAGATCGGATGCAAAGCAGGGCGTGAGCAATGACAGCATCCACGGCAGCGATGGCAACAATAGCAAGGGCGGTGGTTAAGGATGCGGATGGCTCGACCGGCGTACCTGCATCCACGAGGGGCGGGCAGTGCAGAGCAGGTTCTTGGAGCCCGACTTGCGCCAGTGTTCGATCTGGGCTTGGATAAATCGCACCGTCTCGTCATGCTTTCGGAAGTGGCTGCCGATGGTGCGGACGAAAAAGTCGCGGACAACCCAGTAGCGGTCAAAGATGAACGACAGGGGCAGGACGGCAAAGAGAACCAAGATCCATCGGTTCTCGATCGTGAACTGGGCAAACTTCTCGGAGAAAGTTGACGGCGGAGGCTGGGAGGGGAAGATGGGGACCTTGGGCGGCTCCTCGGGGACGTAGGTCTTCTTGGCGGGCTTGCTGGAGCTCATGGCAGCGGGATGCGATCCGGTGCTGAGAGGGAGGAGACGCTTGGCCTGGCAGGCGGATGGGGGAGATGGCTGCCGCACGGAACAGCGAGGGGGAGAAATACTTGCATGGCCGGCGCGATCAGAGCGCGAATGACCGAGGCTGCCAAAAACGGCAATCAGTGCAAATAAATGATTGGCCGGCGGCTGGAGATGCTGCGCAGCGCAGCGCACGTGGGGCAAAACGGCAAAACGGCAAAGTGCTGGCTCGATCCGGCGCGATCCGGCGCGGTCCGGCTCGAGTGCGGGCCGAGCCGGCTGGTGGCGCCGCCTTCTCGGCACGCTCTCGTCTCCGCCTTCTCGGCACGCTCTCACCGGTGCTCTCGCCGCGCTCTCGCCTGGCCCCTCGCCCCGCTCTCGGCCGCAACGCGGTTTGCGGTCGCTCGATTCTCGGCTGGGAGAGACTCCGTATTTATATCTGTGATACAAGCCTCTCCCGCCGGGCCAATCACGCGAGAGCTTTAGTGCTATTATCCATCCCATCGAGGCCATATTCGCCCGGCCAGCCAGGCCGCCCCTATAAATACTCGATATATGCCTTCAGACCCGACCACGGCTGCTGCACCGAACTTCTCGTCTCCCCTGTTTCTCTGCCCCGTTCTCCCTCCCCCCCCCACTATCCACCTGCAAAATGGCCAAGGCTGAGAAGGTCGCCGTTTCCAAGAAGAAGACCACCACTTCGACCAAGTCGGCTCGCAAGCCCAACCCCTACAACGTCTTTATGAAGGACGAGCTCAAGAAGCTCAAGGACGCCAACCCGTCCCTCAGCCATCGCGAGGCCTTCAAGCAGGCCGCCTCGAACTGGAAAACCTCAGACAGTGCGTATCTTGGTCCTGCTTCGCCTCCGTGCTTGTTCGCTCGCGCTGATCTCGGACATGGCCGCTGGGACGGGAGGAGACAAGCCCTGCTGGCGGACCACCAACGATCGTCGTCGCTTGCGCTGGCTGGTCGCTCTGGCTGGAGCCGATCGATCCTTCGCTGCCCTGGAGCGCGTGCGCCTCCCCCTTCTCGATCGGCTCTCGACTCGACACCGACTGCATGCATCCCATCGCTTGCGACGGCAGCGACAAGACCGACCTGACACGTCCGATCGCCAATGTGCACTGCCTGTTGCTGATCATCTCCCTCCCCCACCTGCTTTCCTTGTCTGTCGCTCTGCAGGGAACCCTAAGAAGGAGTAAATATGAAACTCCCTCCAAGCTCCGGCGACCTTAATTTTGTGGTGAGCACATCGTGTTCCTGCCCTGCACGTCTGCTGCATCCACCTGCCCTCCGGCTGCTCAACCAGCATCGACGCCGCGCGCTGACCCATCTGCCTCTTCTGCTTTCAGTATTTAAGCTTCCCGATTGCCCAACTCTCCCCCCGAAACCCAGCCGCGCTCCTATTCTGTCGCTCTTGATGTAGGGGCCGTCCGTGCTTCCAAGCCAATGCGCCCCCGCCCTCCATGTGTCCATTCCACCCCACCACCCTCGACAACACCTCGCGCGTTGCTGCGACAGCGCTGTGATTTGTGGGTCGACAGGCTCGGTTCTGCTCGCAGTTTTGTGTTTCTGCTTTCCCATTTCATCCAGCGATAAATATTCATCTGTCCTCCTTGCATCCTGGCTGGCGTGTCCCGTTGTGTCGTCTGGATTGTGGGCTGTGGATGGGCCGAAGCGAGACCGAGCGCGTTCCAGGACCATTGGTGCTCATGGGAGGGAGAGGACTGCGAGCGAACCAACACTTCCAGCAGCGTGGCTCTGCTTGTCCTGGGTCCGCCGAGTTCTGCTTTTGCACCCGGGGGGTGGTCTTGGCTCTTGGGCTCTTGGGCTCTTGGGCTCTGTGGTGCGGACAGGGAAACGAAAGCGCCACCGAGACAGACCCGGGATGGATGGGTGGCTCGAACCGGCGTGCCCTTGATGATCGCTTTCCTGGGCCATTGTGCCCTCCTCTCTCCTCTTGCCGGATCAACGAACATCACGGATCGGCCGCTTCAATCCGAGACTCTCTCCCATCGACAATGGTATGATACATTGGTCTCGTCGCAGACGCTTGCATGGCTCGCGCCTGTCGCCAGGCCACCAAGCGACTTCCGCGATCGACTGTCCTGCTGAGTGTCGGCCCATGCAACAGACACGATGCACGAGCGATGCCAACGAGAGCATCGGGCCAAGGGGCGGAATCGGCGCTGGGCGACGCTAATGCTCACACCCAACCGCTCTCCAGTATCAAACCCTGCACCACATCAAGGACGGTACGTTGTTTGCTCAGCCCAACATTGGCATCGTCTCGATGGCAGTCATTCGGCGCCCCACAACGATCGTCTTTTCAGGCCGCCGACCTTAACCTGGCGTTACTCTATTCACGAACGGCGCCGATCGACCCGACGTCATCAGCCCATGAGGACGGCATCTGGAGCGTCGCCTGGACCAAACGCGGCAACCGCATCCTGACGGGCAGTGTCGATGATCTGGTCAAAGTCTGGTTGGTGCCTCTGCTGTTGCCACTCCCAATGCCGATCGGACTGCACAGATCTCCGTGCCGCTGTCTGCATCAGATCCTTACGGCGTTGAAGATCTCCACCAGTACAGCGCGGGCTTATATCTGACTGCACTCAAACTCTCATCTGTTGTGCCGCAGGCATGCCGAGTCCGGCAACTCATCGTACACGCTCGAAGGCCATCAGCTCGGCGTTGTGGCCGTCGATGTCAGCCCGTCGGGCATGAGTAGGTGTTGCATAGATGCGAACGTCGACGTTCAGGCGGAATATCGACTGCACGGGTGGTGTTATCGGAAGCTTGCTCGTCGTCCTCGCTCATCCGCCGCTGGCTCCGTTTCTGATCGTCATAGTTGCGGCCTCCACCTCGCTGGACAGCCAAATCAAGATCTGGGACGTCTCGAGTCATTCGCTCATCCGCACGATCGATCCTGGACCGGGTTGGTATTGATCTGGTCCGCTGCTTTGTGCAGCATCCACTCTCTTGGCTCGCGGGACCGATTTCGCGGCACACACAATCTGCATTAGCTCGCCGCTCACACTGCGGTCGCCTCCGCAATTGACTCAATTCCCGGATCCTTCAGTCGAGGCTTGGTCGGTGACGTTTTCGCCGGATGGGCGGCAGATCGCAACGGGCTCGTATGCGGGCAACGTCAATATTTGGACCGTCGAGACAGGCGAAAAGGACCGCGTCATGGAAACCAAGGGCAAGTTTGTCATGTCGATTGCCTACGTAAGTGCCAGCCATCGTCAAGGCTATGCGCGCGAGACGATCGCCGACGTCTTCACGGCCCAGTCCTAACAGATCGCCGAATGCTGTGCATGCGGCTCATCGACCTTTCCTTGCTTACCACCATGCATCCCTTGGCCAACCCAATGCTGGATAGAGTCCCAATGGGTTATATCTCGCTAGTGGAGCTGAGAACGGATCAATCCACATCTTTGATGTTCCCACTGGAAAGCTTCTGCACAGTCTGCCAGGTCTGCCACGGTTTGCTCGCATCGTTTCTTCGGCGATATTCGTACTGAAGCCAGCGCCCGACGAGTGCGAGAGGACTCGAGCGATCTCGGTGACGGTCCTGGCCGCTCTGATGGCCTGTAGCGCTCCATTTACTGACCCAGAGTGCTCCATCTGCTTGGTCTGCCCATTTGCCCATTTGTGATAGGTCATTCCATGGCAGTTCGATCTCTCGTCTTTTCGCCCGATTCGTCTCTGCTGGTCTCTGGTTCGGATGACAAACGGATCAACATTTACGACGTGTATGTTGGCCTTTGCTTTCGGCGGATTTGATGGCTCATGTAACCGCAGCCCATGGAACGACACGGCGCTCACACCGACACGTCCTTTCCATACATATGTACTCCGTGACGATCCTCGTTCAAGTCACCACGCAAACTGCCTGGCAAGTCTGATGGGCCACTCGTCTTGGGTGTTGTCGGTGGCCTTCAGCCCCACAACTACTCACTTTGCCACTGGGTGAGCAGCTGGCCTACGTCTCTTGCCCATCGAGCAGCAGCCACGCGCGGCTTTGGGTTGTTGCGAATCCAAGTCAATCTGGAGTAGCTGGAGGTTCTTGGCTTCCCGCGGCTGGGCAAGGTCATTGCGCATCATCTCAACCATGTCCCTGTTTGTCTTGATACACCTCCAGCTCCAGCGACAAACGTGTCAAGATCTGGGAGCTCAGCAGCCGCCAATGCGTCCACACCTTCGACGACCACACCGATCAGGTACGGGACTTGCGCTGCCGTTTCCGCGATGGACTGGTGTGCTCATCAGCACCATTTGACGCCATGGTGCGAACCCGCTCTCTTCACAGGTCTGGAGCGTGACCTACAACGACGATGGCTCCCGACTCGCCAGTGTCAGCGACGACCGCAGCTTGATCATCTACGGCGTCTCCATGGTGTGAGCATTTGGGTCGACTGTCGTTGCACCTGCTATTGGGACGCCGTTGAATACAGAGGGCCTCGCCCGATATTGGCTGTTGCCCCCAGCAGAGCATCGATGTATCCCTGTGTTGGACGAACGCCACCCGTTCTGGGCTGGCTGCGCTTCCGCCACGCGCTGCCGGCTCTGTTCCCGTGCCAGCCAGCCAGCCAGCCACCACAGCCAAAACCCGCCACCGCCGCGGCCGGCTCTTCGCCCCGTCTCCCCCCATCGCTCCACGCATCCGCAACCACCACCCAACATGGTCCTCAACAACAACGTCCCCACCCCCGAGCAGGTCGAAGCCGTAAGTGCCCTCTCTGCCTTCGCCGTGCTTGCGCATCCGCTGCCGGGCAGCCGACGGGCCGACAGGCCGACCGACGCTGATCCACGCGCGCTTTTGCCCCATCCCGGTCATCCATTTCGCAGGACTGGAAGGTGCTCGATTTTAACGGCAACGGCATCCTGTCACTTGCTGAGATTGACAAATACTTTGTCGAGCGATACCCCAACTCCTTTGGCCAGGACAAGCCCGCCCTGATGCGCGCCTACAAGGGTGCCGACAAGTCCAAGGATGGCTTCATTGAGAAGGACGAGTTCCACGAGCTCGTCCGTCTGCTGTTCTACTACGACCAGATTTACCAAATCTTCGTGAAGCTCGACACCAACCACGACCACCGCATCGACTTTAAAGAGTTTGCTGCCGGCCACAGTCGCCTCGGCCTCCCTGATGCCGACTCGGCCGCCATCCGAAGAGAGTTTGACGCCATCGACGAGAACCACGGCGGATACATCCTCTTCAAGGAGGTGAGCGCTTCCCGGTGCAGCCCGTTCTCTCTACTGGTTGTTGTCTGCTGCGATAGCCTGCTCTCACCTGCCGACTGAGGGCCGCGGAATATGCTGACGCCATTTGCCCTGCCTGTCGTTTTTCCTCTTTGTGCCGGCTCTAGTTTTGCCACTTCATGGCCAAGAAGGCCAAGGACCACTTCCACCCTTGAGCGGGTGGCTTTCTCCCGAGCGTCGTGTGCTTGGTTGGTCGCTTGTGTCGAATAAATGCGATTGTCGAATACAGCGTTTCCAAAATGAAATGGGACACCCCCGGTTTTAACCAGGACAGTGTGTTTTCTGGAACCTGAATACACCCGCCCACTCATCGCATTCATGGCCAAGCAAGTATGTCCAAGGAGACCGATGTGGTGATTGCCTTTGGGAATGCCTCCTGGAAACAGGGGAAGGGATATGCATCCAGTCGATCATCGCCACAGGAGATCGACCGAGTGTATTCAAGACTGTGCTCCCGAAACCAACCAAAATCACTCGATTGCCAACCAGGACGGGAAACAATCTCACGGCTTGCTCGCTGGGGCCTACAGTCAGTCAGCGGGGTTCAGACATCTGAAGCCAGGAAGGAACTGTCCCGTTTTTCTGGTTTGACTGTCAATGCGATTGTGTCTCGCCGTCGCCTCGCTCACGTGGCCGCGGCACAGAACCTGTGCACGGAACCCTGGTCCGAAAAGCGCGCCAGTCTTCGTCCGCCCCGCTCGGCTGTCACCCCCAGCGATCGGCTTCCACCGCCCTCGTCTGCGTTGCAAACCCGCAAGCCCACAGGTCCATCGGGAGAGCCTTCTGTCTGCCCCGTTTCCTCCAGCTCCCCTGCCGCCATGTCGTCTGGCCAGAACCAAGACTCGCCGTCTCTTGACGATCCCGCCAGCCGCGCCCCGCCCCAGAACTACACATACGTGGGCAATCTGTCGCCCTGGATGAGCTTCACAGATAACTCGGGCATCGACCCCGCCCAGGTCGCCGCTTCGCCCATCCCTGCACGAAATGAGACCCCGTTCTACAGTAAGGCCCTCATTCCTATCGCGAATCGCAGCCTGATGGAAAGCACGGCGTCGCCGCCCGTGTCCATTGGCAGCATCGCCTGGGCACGAACCAGCGCCGTTGCGACGGAGCCAAGCACAGGGCGGAAGAGCATGAGGCTGTGAGGGCTGTGCAGGCCGTGGCTCCTCCCTCTTTCCCGTATATCTATGCCTATGTTCTGCATGGGCCGGAGGAGGTGCCCGTACGGCCGCTGACGGTGCCGGCATCTTGATCTGCTCCAATCTGCCATCCTTGGCGCCAGCCTACCATGTGGAAAGGGCCATCCAGCATGAAGACAACAAATACTGGGCCCAGCGTATCAACGCCACTAAGCCGCAGCCCGAGAGCGACAACGACGCCGGTGCCGAGGCCCTGCGCGCCTCTGTCGGAGCCGTCAATCTCAGCGGGCGGTCGTCCTTGTCGGCCGCCAATTCTCTGGCTGACATCTCAAAGTTCGCCAACATGAGTCTGGCCGAGCGCCTGGCCAGCGTGACTGGCACAGCTGTTACATCCGAGAGCGTCGCCAATGGTCCTTCAAGCCAGAACAACCAATTCGGTATATACGCACGTTGCTGATGCAAGTCGCGTGGGAACACCAGATTTACTCGGTCCCGCTGTTGGTTTACAGGAGGCGAACTGCCGGAGGAGCTCAAGAACACCTTCAAGGAGTTCCAGAAGTGCCTGGAGCTCCGTGGACGCTATATGAGAGCCAGTCTGCAGTGCGACGGCGACAATCCCAAGGATGCCGACGACTGGGTCATCTATCCGCCTCCACCTGCGCCATCGTATCCCCCGCCGGCCAAGGGCCAGCCCTTCATTGAGCGAGCGCCAGTCATTGTCGATCAGTCTTTTGAGTTCGACAAGTGCGACATCCCCCCCAAACACAAGGTGATCCCATGCCCGCTTTTCCAAGCAATATGCCGATTCCGCCTTCGAATACCGCACAGGTTCCCGTCGACGTTATTGATGCGGTTGCCTGTCGCTTCGAATCGTGCGATCGTCCGCCTGCGCAATGCCTCTCCACTCAGTTGCTCTAACGCAGCCGTATCTGTTGATGTTGTAGTATGCCTTCAATCTGGCCGCCGATGGTATATTCAAGGTGTACGACACTGAAGAAGGTGGGTGCTTTCGCCAATGCCCCCGCCATCCTTTGCTGCGACTTTATGCGACACAGATCCCCACCCATTCTGCTGACACGGCTCGATATCTCGATCTGCAGCGGCTCAGAGCAGCGAGAGCCAGCCCAAGTACCAGGTCCCCACCATCCGCAACTACTTCCAGGACCTAGACTACATCCTGACGGCTATTTCCGAAGGCCCGACAAAGTCGTTTGCGTTCCGACGTCTGCGCTATCTCGAGAGCAAGTTCTCGATGTACGTGCTCCTCAACGAGTACCAAGAGATAGCCGACTCCAAGGTACTGGCTGCGACTCTGACGAACTTATCTCTGCCACGGCATATGATCATGCTCGGTGCAGTGCCACCCCGTTTCTGGACACAACGGCCGGCTCGATTCGATGCAGTGTATGCCGAGCCCCGATAGCCTCAATCGATTCGCATCCTGATGATTCCAACTCTGCTCCCATCTAGAGCGTTCCCCACCGCGACTTTTACAACGTCCGCAAAGTCGACACACACGTGCACCATTCGTCGTGCATGAACGCCAAGCATCTCCTTCGGTTCATCAAGTCGACGCTAAAGAAATCGCCCCACGAGAAAGTGATTGTCCGCGACGGCAAAGTCATGACACTGCTCGAGGTCTTTGAGAGCTTGAATCTCACCGCCTACGACCTCAGCATCGACACCTTGGACATGCATGTAAGTTCCCAACACAGAACTGCTGTGGGTCGCTGTGCTGGTGGAATCTCTTTCTTTATCCGTGTGCCATCTGCAGGCCAGGTTATGGCGTTCCAGCTCCAGTTGCACACAATGTGGGTGCTCGACTGCTCGCCTCCTTGGTTACTTGGCTGCGCTAACTCAGCTTATTCGCCGCTGAAGGCCCACAAAGATTCGTTCCACCGCTTCGACAAGTTCAACCTCAAATACAATCCCGTTGGTGAATCCCGACTGAGAGAGATCTTCTTGAAGACCGACAACTACACGGGTGGAAAGTTCCTCGCCGATCTGACCAAAGGTGAGAGAGCCTGCGCCGTGGTATTCCGAACAAGGCAGCACGTCTGGGAAGATGTCCTGTAGCGAAGCAACAGTTCCCGATCCTGCACGTATGCCTCCTCGTCTGACATCTAGTTTGTTGCTTGCGCCGTGAAACCGCCATCGGCAGAGGTCATTTCGGATTTGGAGGCCAGCAAGTATCAGATGTGCGAGTGGCGCATCTCAATTTACGGCCGGTATGAGCTTGCCCGTGTGACCACCGAGGGGGGAGTCGGCGCACTCGTGCGGTGGTCGATGCACGGCATGACAATCTTTGCAGCATCGGAACCCGACGGTCAGGGTGATGAGTCATGTGTGCCGAAATGACGCTGCCAATTGATGGTTGAGATCCAGGGCACGGCGGATGGCTCTGGCTTGGGGGTGGGGAGCAAGCGCGCGGAATGGGCCAACTGGGTGACCAACCATTGACTCGGACATGCTTTCGACTGGTTTCAGGTCCAAGGACGAGTGGGACAAGCTGGCCAAGTGGATCATCAACAACAAGCTATTCAGCGCCAATGTGCGCTGGCTGATTCAAGTCCCGCGCCTCTACAATGTCTACAAGAAGTCGGGCATCGTCTCGAGCTTTGAGGACGTCCTTCGCAGTGAGTGTTTGGTTTCTGGGGGCTCCTGTGGGTGAACACGTTGATCGCCATGTATGTGCCCTTGCCCTGTCGCTGCGTTGCCCTGCAGTGGGTCGGCTGACCAACCGCTGCTCCCCGTGCAGATGTATTTGAGCCCCTCTACGAGGTTACCCAGGACCCATCCTCCCATCCGGAGCTGCACATTCTTCTTCAGCGAGTGATCGGCTTTGACTCTGTCGACGACGAAAGCAAGTCCGAGCGACGCATTTACAAGAAGTATCCGTTCCCGCGAGACTGGACCATTTCCTTGAACCCGCCCTACTCGTACTACATCTACTTTATGTACGCCAACCTATGCTCTCTCAACAACTGGCGAAAGGAGCGAGGCTTCAGTAAGTGCTGTGCTGCCGGTAGCTCGCTACGATGCCGTCTGGTGGCTTCGTGTGCTGCAGTTCACTGTGCATACTACATCGTGAGCATTTGGACCATACTGACCGCGCCGATTTGCCTCAATGCAGACACGTTCGTGCTTCGCCCACACGCCGGAGAGGCAGGCGACACCGATCACTTGGCTGCCGCCTTTCTCACTTCCCAGAGCATCAACCACGGCATCCTCTTGCGCAAAGTACCAGCGTTGCAGTACCTGTAAGTCCGTCCGTATCCGTGACAGGCCAGATGTTCAGGTCGCCTCTGTTCTATGGCTTGATGCCATGCACGGCCAGACCAATGCCATCTTGCTGACTCGATGCCACTTCTCGGCACCTTTATCGCTGTATCGCAGATACTATCTCGACCAGATTGGCATTGCCATGTCGCCGCTGAGCAACAACGCGCTGTTCCTTACCTACGAGAGAAACCCGTTCATGTCGTTCTTCCAGCGGGGTCTGAACGTCTCTCTCTCGACGGACGATCCACTACAGTTCCACTACACCAAGGAGCCGCTCATCGAGGAGTACAGTGTCGCTGCTCAGGTGGGCCTCTCGATGACGATGCGGGCGGGCCGAGGTGTATTGCTACGAGCTTGATGGTGGACTTGGTTTTGGAACAGGATCTAAAATTGCCTGTTTGCCTGCAGATTTGGAAGTTGTCGAGCACCGACATGTGTGAGATTGCCCGGAACTCGGTCCTGCAGTCTGGATGGGAGCGCCAAATCAAGAAGCACTGGCTCGGTGATCGTTGCTATCTGCCCGGACCGATCGGAAATGGTACGTGCCATGGCACAATACTGCCGAGAGGAGTTGCATATGGGGCGGACACTGGGGTGCATATCCACAGCACCTGCCTCGCCTGACTAGGATAGACAGGGCTCGACTCACTGCGCTGCAAGTCAGAGTAGAAGCTAGCTTGGCTTACATCGGGCCTACTGCAGACATCCAGAAGACCAACGTGCCCAACATTCGCCTGGCGTACCGTTACCAGACGCTGATGGAGGAGCGCTTCATGGTCCTCGGCAGCCTGAAAGGAACCCGATCGGTCGACCTCGACCCTGAAAGCCTGGCCGAGCTGATCGAGAGCGATGCTCTGCCCAGCAAGGCGCCCGAGCCGCCCCTGAACATCGACCAGGTGCTCTCCGAACTTGGGTCCATGAGCAGCCGGAGCCACAGTCCCCAACCAACCCATCACGCCGAGCCCGCCGTTGTCGGTAGCGCAAGCACCGTCCGCGATAAAGGCAAGTCCGCCGTCGTTTCGCCCAACCGACCCGCCGTCAGCTCGCCCTTGGTCTACTCCGAGCCCCTCTTGCGATCACCGGCCTCCGTGGGGATCTCGTCGCCAACCAGGCTGATCGACCAGCATGACGAGAACACGCCGTATCTGCAATTGATTGCCCCGCTCGTGCCGCTGATTCCAAGCGGACCGATGCTCATGCCGGGCGTGCTCCTGAGCCCTCATCTCAACGAGAAGCGTCGCGCCGAGCACCACGACATCACTGCGGTTTCCTCGTACATCGAGAACGACATTGCTCCGGAGGTGGACTGAGGTCTCGCGGGGGCTGCATGCCACCGCCGACGCCTCCCCCGTGGATCTGTTGGCTTCTGGTCATGTTCTGAGGAGAGCTCTGCTCCCCAGTTGTCGACTGTCTGTGATGCAGACCTATGGATCAATACAGCCCTGCATCTGGCGCTCTGCCTGTGATAGTGAACTCCTCATCAGTCACCCGCCACCATTGCCATCCGCGGTGTAAACAACAGAATCGTCGAGTGTCCCCATATGTATTTGGCGCGAAGGGATTGTGTCGGTGATACACAGCGACTGTAGAGGGGGGGGAGGAAGTTACAAAAACAGGCAGCGATTCAACGCCATATGGCATTCAGTCAAGTGGAAGCCTAGTAGTTGGCGTAAACCTCGCTCTCCATGGCATGAGCGGGCGCCTTGCGACCAGTCCACAAGCGGAACTGCTCCAGACCCTGGGCAATCAGGACATCGACGCCCTCGACGACAGCCCAGCCAGCAACGGCCCGAGCAGCTTGCACGAATCGAGTCACGCGCGGGCGGTAGGCCATCTCGACCAGGGCCTTGGGCTGGGCCAGTGCGGCGGTGGAGCCAAAGACGGTCTCGACGGCGGTCGAGGCGATGGACTCTTGGGCAGAAGCAGGCACGGTGGAGATGACCAGAAGGGCCTTGTTGCCACCAACGGCGGCCTCAAAGACTCGATCGAACTCAACGACAACGCGGGCCTCGAAGGCCTTGGCGAGTTCCTCGGCACGGCTGGTGGTACGGTTCCAGATGTACAACTCCGAGACGCCAAGTTGCTTGAGTGCATAGCATGCAGCACGGGCAGTTCCACCCGCTCCGATGACAACACCAATGGCGCCGGCAGCATCGTGACCGCTGACCCGCTGCAGGATGGTGTTGCGGATGCCGATCCAGTCGGTGTTGTCGCCGACCAGAGTCCCGTCGATGGACGGGATGATGGTGTTGACGGCGCCGATCGCCTCGGCCGACGGAGAGAGCGAGTCGACCACGTTGTGGGCAATGACATCTTCCTTGAGGGGAATGGTGACGCTGGCACCACCAAAGCTGCTGCCCTGCTCGCGGATCAGAGCTTGCACCTTGCTCCAGTCCGAAGACTCAAACAGCTGGTAGTTGTGCGGCAGGCCGAGGGTGCGGAAGCCCGTGTTGTGCAGGACTGGAGACATCGACTGCTTGATGGGCTCGCCAAAGAGGTAAAAGTTCTTGGGCTGGATCCAGCCCAGGATCTGACGCACCTGGTGGATCTGCGCAACGGAGAGCTGGCCGGGAGCGGCGCTGTTGGGCAGTAGCGGGTGCGTCACAGGCGAGAAGAATCTGTTGAGAGCCCGCGAGAGCTGGCCGGCCAGACCCATGTTGAGGGCAATGACGGGCTTGGCCGGTCCAAGACCCAACTTGGGCACGACCTGGTTCACAAAGCGGTGCAGAGCGAAATTGTCCTCGACGGTGCTGGCGCGTCCGATGAGCTTGACAATGTCGCCGTATCGGTACAGGAGCACGTACTGGTCGCGCATGGTGCTGGCGCCGATGGCATTCTCGTTCCACTTGACCGTGCCGGCCACGTCGTGGTAAGAAGCAATGATCTTGGCATTGCCCTTGGCCTGAATGATGGCTTCGGTCAGCTGCTTGCGCTTGGGATGCTCGGCAAAGCCGCCGATCTCGATGTCGATGTATTCCACGCCCCATTTGACTGCCATCTGGATCAGCTCGAACATGCCTTCGACGTTGCCGTCGTCATACTTGCCGCCCTGGGACTGGGTGCGAACGGTGAAGATGATGGGCAAGGTGCTGTGGCGCCTCAGCAGCGCAACCTCGCGGGCAACGGAATCAACGTCCACGGAGGCAAGCAGATCAACGCGGAGCTCGAGGGCATCGACGCCCTCGGAGATTGAGTTGAGAATGGGCACGCACTCCTTGATCGTCGGGAAGGTCAGGGACAGGAAAAAGCTGGTCTCGGATGCAGCAGGGACCGAGCCGGGCAGCTCCGAGCCAGACTTGGAGGCGAGCTTGCCCAGCTTGAACCGCAGGACGCGGATCATGTCCTGCTCGACCGCCTTCCAGTAGGCCGAGGACAGGACCTGGTCACCGTCGGACTTGACGTTGACAAACTCGACCGTAGAGCACTCGCGGTACCACGGCTTTCTCTTCTGCCAGACGGCGGGGATCTCGTTCGTAAAGGCAGGGCGGGTCTTGTCGATCGAGAGATACTCGACCAAGTCATCGAGGTTTCGCTGCACATGGACCACATGGCCGCCCTTTGCAGCCCAGGCCTTGAGCACCTGGCGATTCTCTTCGCGCTCAACGACGCCTCCGCCGCACGCCACCACGTAGTGCTCGGGGTACAGCTGCAAGACTTGGACCAGAAGGCGGGCCTCTTCGTTGCGGAACTCGTCCCAGCCCTTGGTCTCGATCAGCTTGGGGATGGTGGTGCCAAGTTCGCTCTCAAGATAGGCGTCCATGTCAATAAACTGGCGCGAGAAGGCCTTGGCAACGGCCTGGCCGATGTGGGTCTTGCCGGCGCCACGCATGCCAATGACGATGAGGGTCTTTGAATCGACGGCTGTGTCCGAGGTGAGCTTGTCAGCGGCAGCAGCAGCAGCAGCGGATGCGGTGGCAGCGGGTGCAGACGAGGCGGCCGAAGACGACTTGCCGCCCTTCGAGCCAGAGCCAGTAACCTTGGCTCCAGCACCGCGCTTCTCGGCAGCAGTGGCGTGGGCATCAATGCCGCTGGTCTTGACGCCAAGGACGTTCTCGAGTGTGTCCCACCAGCTGGGCCAGGTCTTTTCGACACACTTCTTCTCCTTGATGGTGACCTCGGAGCCGCGAGGCATGACACAGCCAAGGACACTGAAGCTCATGGCGATACGATGATCGTCGTAGCAAAAGACGCCCTCGTTAGGCTGCTTCAGCTGGCTCTTGTCGATCGCGTGGATTTCGAGGCCATCCTGCAGCTCCTTGGCATGGACGCCAAACTTGGCCAGTTGCTCGATCATGGCGGCGATGCGGTTGCATTCCTTGACGCGCTGGTTGGCGATGCCCGAGATGCTGGTGACCAGCGATCCATTGCTGGTGGCCTCCTTGCCGTTGGCAACGGCGGCGAGGACAGAGGCCGTGAGGAAGGCATCGGTCATGGTCTCCATGTCGATGGAGGGCAAGGCGCTGAGACGAGCCGGTCCGTGGACGGTTGTCGTGGTCTCGGTCTGGGAGACCTCGCAGCCCATGGGCTTCAGGACCTTGATGGCAAACTCGGCGTCGCCCTGCAGCGATTTGCTGCCAATGTTGGTGACGGTCACGGTCGAGCCGGTGATGGCGGCAAAGGCCAGGGGGTAGGTGGACGAGGAGGCATCGGCCTCGACCAGATAGGTGCTAGGGTTTTGGTAGATGCCGCGGGGAATCTCGTATCGGTTCTCGGTGCCGACGCGCTTGACATGGATGCCAAAGGAAGCCATCATCTCGATGGTCATGTCGATGTAGGGCTGCGACACGACGGCATCGCCAGTGAGCACCAGCGTGACGGGCTCCAGGGCGTAGGGGGCCGAGATCAGGATGGACGAGACATACTGAGAGCTGATGCTGGCCGAGAGGCGGATCTCGCCGCCGCGGAGGCCGCCCGTGGGCTTGATCCGCAGGGGAAGTGAGCCAGCCTGCTCGACATACTCGATCTCGCAGCTGTTCTCGCGCAGAGCATCCACGAGGGGGCCGATGGGGCGCTGCTTCATGCGGGCATTGCCCGTAACGATGGTCGCCGCGGCAGTCTCGGAGGGCTGCGGGATCAGAGCACAGACCGAGGTCAAGAAACGAGAGGCTGTACCGGCATTGCCGAGATAGACTTCGTTGTCGGGGACCCGGAGCCGGCCGCCGCCGCCCTGGATGACCAGGGTCTCGCCGTCGTCTTCCCAGATGAAGCTGATTCCAACGAGCTTTTGGAGGGCATCGAGCATGACCTGGACATCATCCGAGTGCAGCAATCCACGGAGACGGCACTCGCCCTCGCCAAGAGCGGCCATGACGAGAGCACGGTTTGAAATCGACTTGGACCCAGGGACGGCAAGGGAGACGGAGGGCTTGAAGGCGGCCGGAGGCACAATTTCGGCAGCGGGAGCGATGATCTTGCGGATGACGTGGTCGTCGACAAAGCTGGCGCCCTCTTCGAGAGTCTTTCCGATGCTGGAGAGCAGAACCATGCGCTTCTTGTCGCCCTGGTTCTTCTTGTCGACCTTCATGATGTCCATGAGCTGATCGACGGGGCAGTGCTTGTGGGGGGCACGAGAAACCACCAGTTTGTCCTCGAGCGAGACAGGGAGGCCATAGGCCTGGAGACACCGGAGAATACGGCCGACGCTGACATTGTTGAGGTGCCCAAGATGGCGGGCGATCTCGGCCTCCTTGACCATGCCGATGGCCACGCACTCGCCGTGCAGGAGCTCGGGGAAGAGAATGGCCTCGATGGCATGACCGATGGTGTGGCCAAAGTTGAGGATGCCGCGAAGACCGGTTTCCTTTTCGTCGACGGTGACGACATGGGCCTTGACTCGGACGGAGCCGAGGATGACTTTGAGGAGGAGGCTCGAGTCCACATTCTCGGCCGTGGCTACAAAGCCGGCAAATACGATGCATCAGCGGTAGTTAGGGAGGACAGGGCGAGGGTGGGGGGCAGAAATAAGGGCATTGGTCAGCGAGAGTGAGCTGGCTCTCATCGACTACTGCCAGATCCTATCGACAGCCACCAGCTACTATCCGCTCCCATCAGTGGGGACAGAGAACCTACACTTGCTCAAAGCCAGAATCTCCTCTGGGTGGTTCTCGAGAAGCTCAAAGTCCTCGTGCACAAAGATGGCGGCGGTCTTGATGACCTCGGCCAGACCGTTGACAAACTCGCGGTGGGGCAGAGTTCGCAGGTAGTCAATGTCGATAAAGATGCGCTTGGGCTGGTGGAAGGCGCCGATCAGGTTCTTGCCGGCGGGGGTGTCGATGGCAGTCTTGCCGCCGAGAGAAGAGTCCACCATTGCCAAGAGGGTAGTGGGGATCTGGACAAAAGGAATGCCGCGCATGTAGGTGGCAGCAACATAGCCTGGAGCGGTCCAACGGAGGGTGAGTCGGAGCGATCACAGGAAGCTCGATGGAAGGGGAGAAGATGCAATGGGATGCAACTGAGACGGGACAGGTTTGGTGCCGGCTATGGCGTCATGCAAGAGCACATGCGATCGACCGAGGCAGAGAACATTACCAATCATGTCACCGATGACGCCGCCGCCGAGAGCGAGCAGGCACGAGTCGCGAGTGCACTTGCGCTCGAGCATCCAGTCCTCGATCGACTCCTTCATGGCGCGGGTCTTTGAGGCCTCGCCGGGGGGCAGAGTCATGGTCAGGACCTTGGAGCTGGCGGGGGATGGGTGGTATTGGGCCACGGCATCACGGAGGGCAGCCTCGAGGGGAGCCAGATGGAAGGGAGCGATGTTGGTGTCGGTGACGATGATGTAGGCCGAGGCTTTGACGTTGGAGACGACTTCCTTGGCAATGACCGAGGTCAAGGCCTGGCCGACAAAGATGCAGTCGTTGTTGAGGATGGAGAGGCGGGTGAACTGGGACGACGAGGACATGGCTGGGCGAGATCGGGGGCTGAGCTGGGCTGGACCAGGCGCTGGGAGAGGATCAAGGGCGGTGCAGGGCAGAACAGAGGTGGGGCAAGCAGGGAGCAAGCAGAGAGCAAGCGGGGAGCAAGCGCGAAGAGCGAATGGAGCAGACCGAGGCAGACCAAGGCAGACCGAGGTTGATCCAAGCCGACGGCAGATGATGGGCAAGGCGGAGGAGGACCCGAGATAATCACACAAGGCAGAAAAAGTGACGGGGGAGATGACAAGCCGGGGCTGCGCACGGCGATAAGCGGGTTGTGCGGGCTGAATGGCGTTGGTCGATCTGGCTGAACAACTTCGATCGGCACTGCTGTGGCGGACTCGGCCGATGGGATATCATCGGGACCGACTTGGCCGAGCACGGCATGCTGTCTTTGCAGCACGGCATCTGCGGGATGGCTCCAAGGGGCCAGTGGATCCAATTCTGCCAGGATGCATGCGCTGGGTATAGCATCGCAAGCACGAATATTGCAACATGAATATTGCAAACATGAATATTGCAAGCACGAATACTGCAAACATGAATATTGCAAACATGAACGTCGCAAACATGAACATCACACTTACGCCCATCGCAAGCACAACATTGCCCGCGACGGCGACGGACCGGCAACAGCAATTCACAGTCTCGGCCGATCCCCGTCCCTTTCTCTTTCCCGTCCGTCCTTTCCTGACCCCAGCCGTCTTTCTGGTTTTCGGAGCCGCCCGGCATCGTCTTCCTGCCCAGGGCGGTTCCGGCGACATGGCCGGTCACCGGACGCAGAGCAGGGCCCGCTTCCGACCATGGGGCGCATCGGTATTCGCCTTCGTTCCGCTGCAGGGCCGCCACGGGTTGGCCGGAGCAGAGGACGGCGTTGGATCGCAATGGACCTCGCGATTGATCAGGCACCGCTGTCCGAGGCAATCCATCCTATTGCTGTCGAGTGCGATTATCGGGTGCGGTTGTTGAGCGCGATTGTCGAGTGCGATTGTCGGATGTCCACCGCATCGGAATGCCAGGGCCGTTCCCGAGCCAGGGTGCAGCCCGACTCAGCACCTCATTTGCCCAGCGGCACCATCCAATGCAGGCGGCCCTCTGCACACCGTCGCACTGCCGGTGGCGACATGTTGCATCTGCAAAAGTGCCGTTGGCAATCGCATCTGCGCCAGTGGTTTGCACATGCTATCGCTCCGGCTCTCGTCGGGCTGGAGCGGCAAAGCCCATGTCCAAGCGACCGCCGTGTCGAGCCGGCACTGCAGCGCCGGTGCTCCATCCAGTACGAGCCACCACCAGAGACTTGCCCTCGTCGGCTCGCATCCTGGAATGCCCGCCGCCGCTCACCAACACCCGCATCCGCTTGCACTTCCTCTTGCGTCGCCTCGATTTTTGCATCCGTCGCAAGTCATGCGCGCCCGCACGCAACAAAGCACTCCTGGCCAGATACGACGGCGGCGCACCACTGGCCGCGCCGCTATGGTCTGGCTGCACCCTTGCCTGGCTGGCGGCCACAGCGGCTCGGTCCTCTGCACCAACGGCCTCGTCGCACGCTGGCAGCGGGGGTCAACGAGACAGAAAAAGTGGAAAGGAGGCTGCAGAGAGCGGGTCAGATTTGCGCACTGCGCTTCGGTGCGGTCAATCCGGCGTGTAGTTAGCGAGTGTGCAGCACGGCGAACGACACCTCTGCGTGGCGAACAAACATCTGCATGGCTGGCAAGCATCTGCACGACCAGCATACATCTGCAGAGCCCCCCCCCATGACTCTAACAACCCACAACAGACACAGACACAGACACACTTACATTTTCCTTCTCTTGGCTGTCGCGCAGCAGCGAGCACAGGCCACAGCGCCACCGCAGTCAAGGCGAGGGCAAGGGGGTGTGCGACCACGCCTTTATGGGTGTGTTCTGCTCAGTGCCGCCGCTCTTTGGCCATGAGCATGACCAGGCCCGTTCTTTGCAGGCAGAGCTGCCCCCCCCTCAAGCGAGGCCACACACCGCATGTACATTGGGGGGGGGGGATGAAAGGAGCGGCATATATAGCCCACGGAGCCAGGAGGGCCGCGGGGAGCTGCATGCCGTCTCTCTGTTCTCTGCGCTGGTCTCTGCGCTCGCTGGCTGCCCCTGCCCGAAACTCTCTTGGCTTCCTCCTCCTCCCCGCCAGCCAACCCAACCAGCCAGCCAGCACAGCTCTTCCTGTGTCTGCCATCCCATAGGGCCTGTCTCTCAGCCCTGAGCAATACCCATCGCGCACAGACACCATGCTCCGCACCCTCAAGAGCTTCAGCCGGGGCTCCGGCCTGTCGCTCTCGATCAAGCTCGACGACGCCGTCCCCAAGGAAAAGTCGTCCACCCAGTGCCTCTTCATTCCCACCGGCTCTGAGCTCATCACCGGCACCGTCGTGGTCCAGAACGCCAACCAAAAGGCCATCCCGGTGCACAAAATCAAGCTCATCTTGGTCGGCGGCATGGGATGCGAGGAGCGGTCCGGCATCAAGAACGACCCGCCGAGCTTCAACGCCGTCAAGGCAGCCTATGATACGGTGGGTAGCCTGTCCCTCGTCGCCGTGCTGCCTGTGTATGCTGGGGGGTCGGCAGCTCGGATGTCTCCTTATTCTCGACTGACGTTTCCCCCCTGGAATCTCTGTCACTGTTCACACCGGCATCCCCGCGTCCATCGGCTCGATCGGTGCTGCTCCATTACCACAATCCATCCGCGATGTGACCCCTGTCCCATTCCCCTCGCGATGCCGTTCCATGCCCCCAGCTCCTTCCCTGTGGCATGTTCTTCAACAAGAGCATCTTCAAGGCCATCCAGATGCTGTTGGAAAAGGGCGAGGTACCTCCGGGGCAGAGCACGTATCCCTTCACAGTGCCCTTCCCAAAGAACGTCTTCCCGTCCTACAAAAGCCGGGCAGATGCCGCTCCGAGGATCCAGTTCTTTATGTTTGTGGGTCTGTGGAAGACCAAGGGCCACGACACCGACGTGACCATTTACAAGAACATCGAGCTGGACATCCGCCGGACCACCAAGTGGATCAAGCCGGCGGAGGCCATCTTCGAGGGAGGCCACCTTACAGGTACGTCCGCGATCGTCGAGGGTGGTGAGCCAAGCGCTGCTTTGGCCTTGCTCCTCTCCAGGCCGCCAGCATGTTGGACCTCGCCCCCCTGGCCTTTCGAGCTTGGTCGCTCCTGACTGTCCTGGGCCACACTACGACTGCTTGCTCCATGGGTGCCTCACCAAGGACTGCATGCGATCCACCTCCACCAAACGCACGCACGCACCCCCCCCCCACCATGCTCACCCTTCCCCCGCACAATCGCGTAATCTCTAACATCTGCGCCGTTCCCACCCTTTCTATCGCTGGACCATTGCTGTGGCCGGACCATTGCCGTGGCTGAACTGATGCTGTGGCTGGCACAGGTGTCGACGTTTTCTATCGCATCACTCTGCCGGACCACATCTACACCTCGTCCGAGTACTTTGACGTCACCCTGAGCTTCGAAAAGACCGAGGGCATGCAAGTCAACTCCTGGCAATCCGAGGTCATGCTGGTCGAAGTGCTGACAGTCGAGTAAGTCGGAGGAAGGAGGGCGATCATGGGCAGCGCAGCTTGGACGATCTATGGACGCTCGCCGGCACATTCTCTCTGACACTGCTTGGTGCATACTCTCCACCCATCGTCGCACACCCATGCGCTTCATCACCCGACCATGTGTGCCGCCACTCAATCGCCTATCGCATGATTTCGCTCCCGAATGACTCTTATCCAGCAAGCGGCAGTATGAATACAAATACAAGCCCATTCGCCCAACAGGCGACCCTCCCAGTGGCAGCAAGGACGGCGTCGGATACTACGGCCCTGTTACCTTCCGTATTCCCATCAACAAGCTCTACCCCGACTTTTCAAACTCGGATGCAGAGCCAGCGATCTCGGTGAGCCACAAGATCAAGATCTCGACGGTGAGCGGCAAGTTCTCGACCTGGGTGCCGGTGGTCGTTCAGCTGGCCCAGATCGGTCAGGGCCCGCTTCGAGCAGCAACAGCCTCGTCTCTGGCATCGGACAGCCCACGATCAACCATCGCCCAGGCTCCGAGTCCGTCGCTCCTGGGAGCTGGTGCGGCCGAAAATGGCCAGCCAACCGGCTCGACGCCTATCTCGTACCAGCCGCCATCGCAGGCCGCGCAGCCCTTCCAGGCCATCGTCGCGGCGACTCGCTCGGTGTACAGCATCCAATCCCCCAACTCGGCAACCCCGGTGTCTCCCACCAAGGCAGAGCCTCCTTCGTACATGACATTCACGGGGAGCGAAATGCAATCGCCCGCCTTGAGTCTCAACACCGCGCAGCTGTCGTTTGGCTCGCCGCGGTCCTCGGTCATGTCGCAGTCGACGATCGTCCCGTCGAATCGGGCCACCGCAAGCTACAACGGCCGCAACAGCCTCTCTCCCGGCGCATACGATGAGCTGCCGCCGGTGGCCCAGGACCCGCGCAGCCCCAACTTCTCGGCCTATCAGCAGTCGCCAGCGACGCAGTACCGTAGCCCTGCGCTGTCCTATGTGAGCTATCAGCCTGGAACCCCGCAAATGTCAAGGTCGGTGTCGTCGCCGGGTCAGTCGCTGCGCGGCAGTGACTTTTACAGCCCCACCAACACTCAACTCCCCGAACCACCGCTCCCCAACTTCCGGTCCCGACGGCCAAGCGCGGGCTCAATGCTCGCGGCCAAATCGCAACAGCAATATCAGCAGCAGCAGCAACAATACCAGCAACAGCAACAGCGCCTGGTCGGATACGGCGAGAGCTTTGATCTGCCGCAGATCCCGACGAGTCCCCTGGTGGTGCGCTCGACGCCGCTGATGACGCCGCTGGTGACGCCGCTGATGGCACCCATGTCGCCGCGCTCGCCTGTTGGGGCACAGTATGCCTCGCAAGCATCGCCGGTGGGCTCGAATGTGGTGACCCAAGCCCCAGTGGCTCGTGCCCCTGTCGACACACGGCTGGCTCAGTACTCGGGCCAGGGCTACGCTGGCCAGACCGACCCGGCGCCGGTGCCGATGACTCCGCCTCGATCGCCGTATATCGATCGGCCGCTCAAGGTCCTGCGGCGCAACCCGTCACAGGCCTCGTCGTCGACCTCGGTGTCGACCTCGGTGTCGGCATCGACCTCGTCAGCATCGACCAACCGCTCGGCCGCGGAAACAGAGTCGTCGGCGGGATCGCACCAGCGATTCACGGCCCTGATTCCTTACTCGCAGGCAGAGCTCGACCAGATGTTGGTCGGCAACAAGATCAATGGCCAAGAGTATCTGCGGATGAGGCCGTTGGTTGCGCGCCTCGAGAAGCTGAACGAAATGCTCCTGGACGGCCAGATCCGACCGGCCGAGTACATCGAAGAACGCAACAAGATTATCAAGTCGTGAGCACATGCTTTGTGTGCTGCATTTTGCTTTGGACCGACATTGCTGCTCTCCTCCTCCTCCTCGCTATTGTTTATTCCCAATGTGTGCTCCAAACGCTTACGGATTTAACTTCCTGTCGGGTGCCGCCACGATAAGGCGTCCGTCGAGACTCGTGCTGCTCCTGGCGACAGCTTGTTCCCCCCCTCTTCCCTGCCTCAAGTCTCGAGCAGCTGGCATGCCACTTCCCTGGTCCGACTTACAAGGACCCTGATCCCACATGGTTATTGTTTTTTTTGTTGTCAGGGGTCCATCCTCTCTCTATGGGACGGAAATCCCTATCGCCATCCCCACCTTCGTGCCTCGGCCCTTTTCCTATCACACTCACCACCAATCCATGTTATGGCACCCTAGCCTCAACAGGGGACCCTCCCCGATAATCCTGATTATCCTCTCCTTTCATGTCCTCATGTCCTTGGTGCGCCAAAGCCGCGCACACAGTCAAAGTTGTCGATGACCCTGCTTTTCCTATTCCTGCTCTTCCTTCTCAAAGGACGAAACCAAAAACGGTGCAACTTCTACAAACACAGTCGGTATGTGGCTTTGCAAGTCTGGCTCGATATTCGCCTTCGAGTCTGGGCCGACAGGCACATTCAATATATTATTGCAGCAACAGTAGCAACAACGAAAGCTTGTGCACTAAAGAACACATCCGCACCAGGGAACAGGATGGCGGCAGTCACTGCTGCGGGTGTTGCGGGTGTTGCGGGTGTTGCGGGCTAATGGAGATGAGGGTTTGACCCCTCCCCCGATGGTATGGGCGGCAGACGGGCTTTCGATCGTATGGACCACTCCCTTCCATATTTGCCCGTGGTGCTCCACATCCATCGATCATGCGGCAGGTGGAGCGCGAGCCAGATTGCGACAGAGTCCATCCCGTCTGTGGTGGCGGTCTCGAGGGGCGGCAAACACATCTGCCACCCTCGAACGAATACCCCTGGCGAAATGAGGCGTGGCCGATACAAGACGACGGTGATGGGCCGCGCGTGTCGGGGCCATGTCATGCCATGCCATGTCAGCGGGCAGACATGGACCGTGGCAGTTGCTCCAGAGGCGAACGGAGGACCCGGCGATCATGGCCAAGGAAGAGAGCTGCGTTCGTGTGCTGGGTCTGGCTGGGTCGTTACAACGTCGTTGTCAAGCCTGCTTGGACTGGAATATTCGCTCTTCCGGTGTCCGCTGCAGACGACGAATGTGTCCTTATCAAAGGCAAGGTCGGAGTGTCCCGCACTCATGCGAGCGCAAGGGCGATCCTATCGCCACAAGCGTGGAACGAGCGATCGAATCCAATGGCGCGATTCCCGGCTCTGTGCGAGTCTGCGGACGGGTGGGCTGTGGACAGCATGAGGGAGCGCTTGTCGGGCAGCAAGAGCCAGCGCTCATCGATAGAGCGAAATGGGGATGGAGGCGCTGCGGCAATGGTGAGCAGGCAATGTTTGTGTTTGTGTTTGGGCCTCAAGGTTCATCTGGAAGACGCCCAAAGAGAGGCCGGATGAACATGAGGACTCGAGCTGCGAGTGCGGACTGTGTCGCCAGGAGCAGCGTCGCAAGTAATTGCCCCCCCCCCCCGGACCGTGGGAAGCTGCCCGAAGCTCCAGAGATGCATGTCTTCCCAGAGATGCATGTCCTCCCAGAGTTGCATGTCCTCCCAAAGTTGCAATGTCCCCAGGTGGAAGTTCGCAAAGCCGAGGCGACACAGACGGCTGTGCACTCAGCAGGCGCTGTTTGTGTATGGACGACAAGCGCGCGCAGCACCACCCTGGCACTTGACCCCGCAGCCACACCGCTGCGCTTGTCGCTGCGGCGCGCGCCGTTCACATGTCGCGGGCGGCGCCGACAAGGCGCCACGCCGCACCAACCAACGGGCGCGCGGGAGGTCACCTGTCCGGCGCCTGTGCGACGCCGCCACGGCCCTGCCGGGACTGTGGTGCTACTGCACTCTGTGTGTGGTGTTGTTGCATCCATGTTGCATTAATGCTGCATCCATGTTGCGATGTTCTTGATGCTCGCGCTTGAGATTCCCCCCGACTGCATTGCTGCATTGCCGCGCTGTTTCACGATTGCATTACTTCGCGGCCGATGTGCGAGCTCATGCCCAGTTCGATCCATGCCAGCGAGCCCCTCCAGCGATTCCGCCGCGCTGGGCCGCAGCATGGCTGGCGGTGCGACGGTGGGGCACCGGCCTGGGAGGGTTGTCGCTGTCGCTGAGCCTGCCTGGGCGACTGTCCCCGCTGCCTGTCGTCGACGTGCTTCATCCTCTTTGGTCTCCCCCATCGATATCGATATCGATGTTGATATCGGTCTATCGCTTTCTTGGTGTCTCTGGGCTCGCTCCACCACTGTCTGCTGTCTCTCGCGCCATGATCGGCTCGGTGGGCCCAACACGCACCGGGCCATTGCTGCACGAGTACAAACACCCTGCGCGTACACAGACACGCCGACCCACACGATCGCGCGAGCCCTGGCCGAGCACAGACACTCGCTGTGGGTCGCCAGAGGCATGGGGCAGGCTGGCCTTGGATTGTCAAGGCCCGGCCATCAGCGGACCAGCCAGGCAAAGAAGGGACGCCGTCAGAAGACTGTTTTGCTGGATCGAGCTGCCCAAACAGCAGCAGAAATAGCAGCGACCGCAGCAAGGCCGATGGGGAGCGGGCCAGACTGTATCCCACACATGCAGGCCGAGGCCCTGCACCCCCCCAAAGGCGATACGGCCCGCGACGACAACAAATCCACCGATAGCAAGTGCCCAGCAGCAGCACCGTCGCAGGAGACAACCGAGGCCACAAGGAACACTGCAACGCACCATTCCGCCGACCACTCGATGCGCGACCACTTGGTGCGCTAACCACTTGCGCTATATTTAGCGGCGCGGCCCCGTCGCACAGCGGCCCCCTGCGCAAGAGGCACCCTTTCCCACGGGCAGGCCGCGCCTGGCCCGCAGGGGCGCACAGGGCCAAGAGCCGCCTTTGCCGTTTTTCGTCAGCCGCGGAATATAAACCCTGGGCTGTTGTCGTCCCCCGACCCAGTCCGCACCGTCTGCAGCGCCCACTCCCTGACCCCCCCCCGCTGTCGTCGCATCGTCTGCAGCCGCCCTGTGCCTGGCTCCCGCTCCGGCCTTCGCCTCCCCCCTCCCATCTGCATCTCGTCTCTGTCGCTGCAGACTCCTCGATACCTCCCGTCTTCTCCCTGTCTCCCGCTGCATCTTTTGTTTCCGTTTTTCTGATCCACCATGTTCAAGGCCTTCAAGAACCTCGGCCTCGGCCCGACCTTCTCCGTCTCTATCCAGCTCCACGACTCGGTCACAAACGACGGCACCCAGTCGACCTCTCTGCCGGCCGATGTCCATCTGCCCCACGACGCCGTCTCCGTCAACGGCGTCGTCATCGTCAACAACTCAACCCAGAAGAGCATTCCCGTCCACAAGCTGAAACTGATCCTTGTCGGTGGCTTTACCATCGTCGAGGGCGGCAACGGCGCCCTGGACATCCAGACCTACGACACCCTCATCCAGATCAACCCATCGGTAAGCGCCATCGCCTGGATGTATGGAAAACAGTGGCGGTTGTGCCCGGCATAATCCATGAGTGTGTCTGCAATGATGGCCCTGCCGCTCGCATGGTCGATCCGGATCGCAGCCACCGTTCCCAGAGCCATCGCTCCATTGTACCGGGCGTGTCCTCGTGGGCGGGGACAGAGAGACGCACGTTGTGCGCTGTGCTGCCGTTGTCCACACCCCCCCACCAGCAACTTGTCCCTCCACACTGCGTATCCAGAAACTGGGCTGGATCTGTTTCTGTTACGGCTGTCCGGCTGGACGTATTTCACACACGCAAGTGCCCCCCCCCATTCGTTCGTCTCACCATCCCTTCCGTGGCTCGCCTGGTCCCCTCACGACTCCCCGTAGGTCCTGCCATCTGGCACCTACTTCACCCACGCCATCCACAAGACCCTGAACATGCTCATTCAGAAGGGCGAGGTTCCTCCTGGCAACTCGGAGTACCCGTTCATGCTGCCGTTCCCCAAGCACATTTGCCCGACATTCAAGTCCAAGGACGATGCCCCGTCCATCCAGTTCAAGCTCTATGCCGGTCTGTGGAAAACAAAGTCGCACGATCTCGAAGTTACCGCTTACAAGGAGCTCGAGGTCGATATCAAGCGCACCGTCCTGTGGAGAAAGCCCACCGATGTTATCAACGAAGCTGGTCGTCTCACGGGTACGTCCGTCCCTGGCCCACTTCTGTTGTGCTGTGGCACAATACGCATGCCATCGTTCTGTGTCCTCGGCGTTTTGGGCACGCTGCTCACTAGTCCTTGCATGCCCGTACAGGTGTCGATATCTTCCACAAAATCGTCATCCCCGACCACATCTACACCACCTCCGAGTACTTCACGGCCACTCTGACGTTCGAAGGCACAGAGGGCATGAACATCAATAGCTTGAAATCCGAGCTGTCGCTGATGGAGATTTGCAACACCGAGTACGTGCCAACAAGCGAGTCGCTTCTCATTCTGCATTTGCATCGTACTTGCTACTGCACCCACCCCCACCTTGACAGAGTGTTGCATCTGGCTCTACAAATAATCCGCTGCTCTGCAAGTCATTCCTGCCGTCTGACGTCGTGTTGTCTCTCCATCCAGGAAGCGCCAATACGAGCGCAGGGTCACCAAGGCGATCAAGCCCGAGGAGTTCTCCACCTCCAAGAGCAGTGGCGCTGACCAACACTACGGTCTGGTCAACTTCCGCGTCCCCATCGAAAACGTGCGTCCTGACTTTATTCCCGACACCGAGAATCCTCCGATGACGGTCCGCCACGAGGTCGTCATTGCCACCACCGACGGCAAGTTCAAGGTGTCGATACCCATCGCTGTCGAGCTGGCCCAGGTGGGCTCGTCCACCACCCGCACCTTCCAGGCCATCAATCCGATCCCTGGACGCACCCCGTCGCTCCAGAGTGCCTCCTCCGGTGGCGAGCATGTGGCCCATCCGCCACCTTACACCCCCATCGGCTCTGAGAACCTGTCGGCAATGCCCAAGCCCATGGCCATTCTCGCGACGCCCTCGGTTCGCTCGGACTCGATCCGCGCCAACAGCGTCTCGACCTCGGGCTCGCCCAACATCCGCGGCAACTTTTACGGCAGCCCCATCAACTCCGTGCAAACCCCACAGATGCCAAAGCAGCCTATTGTCTCGCCCCGTGCCAAGACCAACAGCCCGATGCTCTATTCCCAGCATGGCTCGCCCGAGTACCGCGTGCTGGTCCAGCACAAGCCCTACCGCGACGACGAGTTGCTGCTGTACCCGGACGACATTGTCGTTGTTCTGTAAGTCGCTGTGTCTGCTGCGCTGTCTGCTACGCCGTCCAAGGACAACGCCGGAGATGCTTGCTTGTGCTGCCAAGGAGATTGCCCTGTGACTGACGCTCCTCCGCTGCCCTGCATCTACAGCGAAAAGTACGACGACGGCTGGGCCAAGGGCACCAACATCCAAACCCGATACACCGGCATCTTCCCGCTCTGTATCCTCTCTGGGTTTGCCCCCGAGATTGCGGTTGTCGATCCCTACGTCGAGATTGCGCTTCCGCTGCGCTCGTCGTCGATCGACCAGTACGGCGACGTGGACGTTGTGCAAAAGGCCCTCCTCTCGTCTGGCAACTCCATGGCGAAGCAGATGGCCCCTCGCGGATCGATTGCGTCCACCAAGTCGCACACCGATGCCATGGCTGCCGCCATTGCGTCGCGGCGCAAGGCCTCTATCTCGGCCGCCATTCCAAAGTACATGTGTGTCAAGTACTACGCGCCCAACATGTCGGACGAGCTGGAGCTGTATCCGGGCGATGTCATCTGCATCACCCACAACTACGGCGACGGCTGGGCCCAGGGCTACAACGTCATCACCAACATCCCGGGTGTGTTCCCGCTGAACTGCCTCTCGGCCGAGCCCATTCCGGAGCCCGCTCCTCACCCCGGCTACAGCCCTGTGTCCGCAAAGTCGGTCCTCGCCACCACCCCCGTCCTCAACCCCAACGTCTATCAGGGCCAGCCAATGACCCCCACCATTCCGCCGCCGTCGCATTACTCGCACTACTCGGACTCGATGGCGTCACCGCCCGTCGCCGTTGCGCTGCCGCCTACCCCTGTGTATGCGTCTTCGGACTCTGGCTTTGGTCGCCCCGTTGTCCCCGCCGCCGCGATGATGTCGCCGCCCATGGCCTCATCCATCTCCACTCCACCCGACTCGCCCCGCCGTAAGCCCTCGGTCACCAGCAGCTTCTCCAACAACGACTCGCAGCACTCGAGCAACTCGTTCTCGGTGGCTGTGCCCTTCACCATGGCCGAGCTTGACCAGCTGCTTGTCGAGGCCAAGGTGCCGCCCCAGGAATACGTCCGCATGCGTCCGATCGTGATCCAGCTCGAATCCCTGAACGAGAAGCTGCTGAACGGCTCCATCCATCCGACAAAATACATTGAAGAGCGCGACCTCATCCTCAAGTCCTAAAGAAAAAACCAGCAACCGCGACCGTACACTTTGCCCAGAACACGCACCCCTTCCCTATCGAACTCGATCTTGAATTTTTGTTCTTGATTTCGCCCCCCCCCCGCTCCCCTCTCCCTCATGCCCGAGTGGCTCGACCAGACCAGCCAGTCAAACAGCAACGGGGCAACCAAGGGGAGCACCACCACACCATCCAGCTTTGTATATCACTCGCCCCCCCCTTTTTTTTGTGTGTTGCGCTCTTCTTCTATGGCTCTGCATTTGCTTCCCGCTTCTCTTCCTCTCTCTCTCTCTCCTTCCCTCCTCGTCCTTACTGAATGGACGAAAGGTGCTCCGTGGACGGGCTGCCACCTGTCCAAACCGTGATGCTGGGTACTGGTGTCTGTTGCGCCGCCCCTCCCTCCCTTTCCCTCACTCTCACCCTCACCCCCCCCTAATAACCGCATCCACCTCTAGTGATTCTCTGCTTCCAAGTTTGAATATCGATCGTGTTCCCTTCTCTCCTTCCACACGTGCGTGTACAATCTCTCAGATCAAATCGAAAAAATCAAAGAATCCATTTTTTTTTCCCCCCTTCGACTCGAAATCTTGCTCCGTCATTGAATTCTCCCCCAGCTTGCAGGTTCCCAATACTGCACCATGCGGGTGATGAGTGGCACGGCACAGTGCGATGCGGCGTATTACAGCGTTGCCAAAACGAAATGTGACACCCCGTTTGAGCCAGGACTGATTTTGTTTGCTGGAACCTGAATACACCCACCCACTCATTGCGATCATGGCCAAGCATTATGTCCAAAGAGCCCGACATTGTGATTGCCTTTGGGAGTGCCTCGTGGAGGCAAGGGAGGGGATAGGCTTCCAGCCCACGGAGCCTACGGATCAGCAGACTTGTGCCGCTGATACCGGAAATGGGAGCTGTCCCGTTTCTATCTGGATCTACACTTTATTCAGAAAAAAACGGGACAATATAGCCGTTTCCATGAACAGGTAGTATGTGCTGTGCTTGCGTCAAGCAAAGCCACAAGAAATAAAACAGATCACTTTGGCAGCCTCCGAGTGAAGACCGCCGGTCGCTCTCCGATCTCCACAATCGACCTGCATACTGTGATCATGTTGCGCGCCGCATTGACGTCGCGATTCCACACTGTCCGGCAGCTGGGATTCTTGCAGCTCCTGACAAAGTGGGAATTCGCAACACTGGGCGCATCGAGTCCTTCCAACCGAACTGGCTCCAGGCAGTTGGAGCACACCTGCGAGGTGTTGAACTCGTTCGTCGAGGACTACCTTGACGCTTCCATGATGGTGATTGGGACGGCGTCGGTGGTGCTCGAACTGCTCAAAGTACCGAGCAAATCGCTGCCTCCGAGGGCTGGATGCATAGCCCTTGCCTTGTCGCCATGACGCATTGCCAAAGGCGATCACCACATCGGTCCGTATCGGGGCGTGCTTCAGGACGGCCTTGCACATCCTGTCGACGGCCACTTGGCGCCTCTTGTGGCCCGTGAATCGATGGTGACGGGCCTTCTTGCCAAGGTGGAAGTCGAGCTGCACTCGCAGCTCCGGTCGCAGGACATGGGTGAGATGGACCTTGAAGGCCTCCGAGGACGACACCTTGGGCGAGGGGGTGGTCGACATCCAGGTCTCGATGCTGAGTCGATACTTCATGGTGTTGTGCCACTTCGGTGTTGGACGTATGGCCACACATTTGCTGGTAGTGGCCATTGGAGAATGAGACCACCTCGTCTTGGTGGCCCGGTGCTTGGATGACCGCCGTGAAGATGGAGCCGACTCCAGGATCGATGCCAATCCAAGTGGTGCGGTTGGGGTCTGGGTCGCCGATGTGGGCCTGGATACGCTGCTCGGCAGTCGGAGGAGGCTCGATGGTCTCGGTGTGATCGGTTCGACGCACAAACTTGACGAGGCCGATGGTGCATCCAATGCCATCGGTGCTGATCTCGTAGTTGAACAGCTTCTTGTTCACGTCCCGCTCTTGGAAGAGGGAACTACGCAGCTTGAAGCAACTGCGCCAGAGACGATCCTGGTTGTTGACACCGTCCTCACCTTCTTCCTTGAGCATGTCCCTGGTGAGGCCAAGACGATGATCGGTGTCAAGGAGTTCCCAGAGAGTGACCGTGTCAATCTTGATGTATTTGGCCGTGGCAGTGCACAGAGGAACCATCGTGCACACGGCCGGAGGAGTGTCAAGAGCGAGCTGCTTGAGGCACCACTTGATCCTGGATGCCAGCTTGTTGATCTTGGCCTTGGTGGTGCCGAGCTCAGACTTGGCCGTGGTGAACCTCTTGTCGTCGGAGGGAATGCCTCTGGCAGTGAGCTCGTCCAGCTTGGCCTGGCGCTGCAGCTCGGTGACTCGGAGGGCGGGCATGTCACAGTCGATCCACTTGTGGACATTGTCGACCATCTTGTCTCGGGCGAGGATTCCCACATGGTGTGAGAGGCGATGGAGGGCCCGGAAGCGGTCCTGGTCGTTGCTGTACCGAAACTCGTCCAGGACGTGGCCAAAGTCTGGATAGAGGAACTCGATATCGGCCTTGGGTGGAGTCTGCCCTGGTTTCTCGAAGAGCTCGAGACAGGCCTCGATGGCTTCGTGCTTATGCTTGTTGGCTGGGAAGACTGGCAGCAGCAGAAGCGGCGAAGGAGTCGCCAGTAGGCCAGGTCGAGGTGGGTGGTGCAGTTGGTGGCATAGGCATTGACAGCCAGTGTGAGAAGCTGACTGTGAGCACCATCAGGCAGACGAGGGGCCGGAGGCAGGTCTGCGTGCCGAGTGGACTGGTAGTCGCGAAAGGAAGCGACCAGATGCTCGTTGTACTTCTTCGATGTCCCTGGCCGTCGGAGAGGGCATCGGCCTCGGACGATCGTGAAGCATTGGCGGAATGAAAGCAGGGGTGGACTTGGAGATGACGGGGACGGGAAGGATCCTGCTCGATGCACCGGAGGATGTGCAGGTTGAGCAGCCTGGATGCCTCGAACTGGATCTGGGTCATGGCCTCGACGGTGGCCTGGATCTTGTCGCGGAGAGCGGGATTGAGACAACAGCCATCCATCGTCTGCTTGAAGCAGCTGAACTGAGGGGCCGATGACCTTCCATCCACGAGTGGGACGACAGAACTCTTGAGGGGCCGGTATTTGGGACACTTGTTGGTGTTGCTACGCTTCGTGATCGGTGCCATCGCACTTGGCGACATCGCTTGCCAGTACTCGAGGAAGTAGATGGACCAGGCTCGGTGGGATCGACATCCATTGGATCTGCAGAAGCAGTGGTGGTGAGCGACGGAGCAACAGACGAACAAGCATGCGTGGGATCAGAATACGAACCAGAGACAGGCTCCGACTGTGACTTGGCTTTCTTGGGCCTGGGTGGCCGAGGCTGGCCATCACCGGCACCCTTACGCTTCGGAGGCATGGGGCAGAGGATGCTGGATGTCCTGCCAGTGGTACTGGTCAGAGCAGAGACTTTTTTTATCGTACAATAGCGCGATGATCAGATCAAGGCGAGATGAGGGAAGAAAGCAGCAGGACGAAGGTGTGGCATTTATACCCGAGAGCAGGAGCCCGTCTTGCGCGGGCTGGTTGGGGAAGTGACCCTGTTCAAAAATCGCCGAGAGGTTCAAGCCAGGGATGTGAACGTGAGAACGGCGGCTTGATTGGAGGGAACTCAACCCCAGAAGCGCATCGCTCGCTCAATCAGCCGTGGGAAGACATCTGGAAGCACCCTCCGAACGGCAGACTCGAACAGGGTCACCATCCCGACCCTGAACCCCTCTGACGCATTCAGCGCTGCCATCTTCCTGTACTTGACTGCTTCACAATCCCAAAGAAGTTCTCGATGGGATTGAAGTCGGGCGAGGCAGGTGGGGTGAAGATCACTGACCATCCTCGGCGCTCGATGCAGTCCAGGACAGCCATTGTCTTGTGCATGCTGACATTGTCCATCACAATCACAGTAGTCGTCTGGGAAGCTCGCTCGCTCAAAGAACTCGACCATCGAGTGTGTCTTGAATGATGTGGGGATGTACATGCGATGCAGCACACCAGAGTGGTTGATGGCAAATGCAGCCGAGACAGACTTGTGCTTTCATGTGATTGCGCTGGCGAAGCGGAGCACCCTTCGGTGAGTATCCGTAGAGAGGGAAAGGTGGATTTCCTGATCCCCTGTCTCAGTCGACAAAAACGAATCCGTCGTGGGTCGATGGAGCGGACCTGGTCCCTGAACTGTGCCACTCGCTCATCCAGTCGCTTGGACTTGTAGAGGTGTGTTGCCCTCTTGTGTGAGAGACCTGCTCGGTGGATGGCAGTGTGGCAGAGTGAGAGTGAAACTTTCCTCTGGAGGATGGACTCGAGCTTGCATCGCAGCACAGGACCAGTCTGGAACGGGTCCTGTTCAATCAGGGTGCGAATGACTGGACATGCCTGCTCGAAGAAAGTGGATCTGCGAGCTGGGACCCGGAATGGGTCATCCAGCTTGCATCCTCGGTGCCATCGATGGATGGTGCTCTTGGATACACTGAATATGGAGGCAACTTTACGCAGGCTATGGATGAGGGCGTAGCATCGCAATGCGGCGGTGCGAAAGTCGGATGTGTGGCGAATGGTCATGGCCAGCGCGCGATAACATTGGGTAACAAAATATTCGATGAATGGTCAAAAACCCGGGTGTCCCGTTTTTTATTGGATTGCCTGTAATGTATTGGCGAAATACATGGCTGGTGCAGTGAAGATGGGTGGTGACGTTACATGTGCGATTCAGGTTGCTATGCTTCTCGCTCCAGTCTCGGGCCTCAAGCCTTTCCTCGCCCGTTTCCCGATCGCTGTTCAGCATCGTCACTTCGAGGCCGCCAAACTGCCGTGCGACTGGTTGCTGTTCTCTTTCCAGATTCGTTCTTCGCAGATACACGCAAACCGCGCCGGCAGCGACACACCCAGCTCGAGTGGTGATGGTGGGTAAGCGCTGGTTTGTTGGGATAGGTAGAAGGCCGGAATCAGGGAGCAGTTATCCTGGACCGAGACAGCGGATGTAAGGACGAAGCGAACAAAGGTAGAAGCGTGGAAGAATGGCATGGCCAGGACGAAGGAAAGGGTAGCGAGCAAGCGCTGTTGGTATCTCAGAGCGCGCTGCCGAAATGAGGGCATCCGCTCGATCCACCTCCTCGCTCCATCGGGCTCGTGAGTCGCAGCAATCGCTGGTCCGGCAGTGGTCCGGCAGTGGTCCGTCACCCACCTGGATCTTTGGCTCTGCTCCCTTGGAAAGCAAGTAGCTCAGGCACTCGTAGTCGTGGTAGAGACAAGCGTAGTGGAGCAGCCCCAGGTGCGAGACGTTTGGCAGGTTGGCATACTCGTTGAGCCGCACGCGCGCAATGACAGTCAAGTCGTCGCAGGCATTGACGCTGGCACCGTTCTGGATCAGAAACTCAGCCATGATAAACCGCTGGGTGCTTTGTGCGAGCGGGTGCTGGTCAATGATGATCGAGAATCTGCATGACAGATTTGACGGGTTGCTCAGGACTGCATCCGACGGTACCATCGATGCCGTTGGCGGCAACTGCAGGGATGTGCCTGCGTTCTGGAGAAGCGGCGGCGGCTGTGGCCCAGGCGGCCCCAAGGGGCTGGTGGACGACATCGGCCCCAGACTGAGTGTGGAGGGCACCGAGGGTACTGAGGGCGACTCGGTCAGATGCGACGGGATCGCGGTCGTCGACTCGGAGGACTTGGCACTCGGTATCAGGGGATAGCCCAATGCCATGTGCAGCAGCGGCAGCCCGTTCCATGGCTTGTTCAGGTCGGCGCCCAGCGCCATCGCCCACATGGCCGTCGTCAGGTTTCCCTCGCGTATGGCTTCGACCAGCATGTCGTCGCTGGACAAGGGGAGCGGCGGATCGGCAAGGGCAATCGGTTGGTACGGCTTGATGAACTTGCGGGCCACGTACTGCATGCATGTGTGCGTCATTCAGTAAGCGGCTGGTTGGGACGGCATCAAGCTCTCTGGTTGTGTCGAGCTGCGGGCCAAGGCACTCCAGTCTCCTCCCCCTCCCCGCAATACCCACTGATGGAACACACAACGCCTGGTTGCTAATGTATAACAGACTCTGGAGTGATGGCCTCGCGCCTGGGCAGTGATTTGCTTATACCTTGTCCTGTATGTATGCAGCCTTGGCTTCTCTCCGGTCACTTGGCTTTGGCTTTTGCTCGACGGCGCTTGGCGCTCCCTCCCATATCTCGTTGGTCAGAGTGTTTCCGATCGCGCACATCATGTAGATGAGTTCTGGTGTCCAGCTGGCGGTATCCAAAGTCAAGGACCGGACCTGGTGGGGCGGGGAGGCAAAGTATGTATCAACAAGACGTCCCGTTGTGCCAGCAGGATACCCAATGTATCGTTGATCCCCATGGATCGATCACACGAGGCTGATCTGGTAGTAAGCGCGGTCTTCAGCTCAGGCCTGTCTGGCAGATCTGGTATCGCTCGCTTTCAGACCAGCTCTATGTGCGATTCTGACTGACTTTGGATATATGTGTTCCGAGGCTGCGATGGGTGCCTGAGCATTCTGGTAGTCATGCCGATGGGATTGGTGGTGACGGAAGATCCAGCAGATCCATAGTTAGCTCGGCGAATGAGCGGTGGAGGCTGCTGGATGCTCTTTTTCGCTGCAAGCGCTGTGTCAAAGCTCCTCACCGATACAGATTAAACAGCCCAGGTTGATGCTGGCCCAATCCGGGCCTCGTGCGCCGCAGTCCGCACAGACGTGGTTTTGTGGGTCAGCATCCCGGAGGACATTCAGGACTGCCATCTGCAGTTCACTGCCAGCGGATTTGCCGTTGGAGCCGTTGCTTTCGTGGATTGTCGTCGTCAGATCCAGCAGCGAGCCTGTGCCTGCCAGGAGCGACTCGATGGATCGCTGGATCGTTTGGATCCACGACTTGAGCTCCTCGGCGTCGGTCGCTTGGTAGATCCGCCGACCAATGTGTGGGCCGATGAGCTCGAAACAGAACCGCCGATCGACTTTTCGAGCCTCTCGGACAGTGCACAGGCGCAGATGAACCGAGTACGAAGGCTCCAGCTGCTTGGTCCAGTTGGTGTACTCTGCGAGAAGGCACGAGGTCGAATCAGCCATTGGCAGCCTCTGCCCTTGCAAATACGACAAGCCGCTATGAACATCCGCGGGGTGACGCAGTTGTTACGAAGCGGGACGATCCCACGCACATGCCCAAGACGCAGCCTCCGGCACCTGCAGGTGAACTCTGTCAGAGTACTCTGGGTCGATGCTTACCCTGAAGCTGTCCACCCGACAGGACACACCAGAACTTTTTCCAAGAAAACTGAGCGGGTCCAATGACTCCGGGGACGTTCATCAATGTTGCCGTTGTGGCAAAGAGAAACCCCTGTCGAACGAGATGGCAGTGCAGTACAAGTCGTGTCTGTTAGACGGAACAGTGCCTCGGTCGCATTCACTGGTATCGATTTCACTATCCACACACGATCCGGCCTCGTAGAGCCAACTGAGACCCTGTCGGCGTCCGTCTCTAGGGCCCGTTCCATCAGAATGCCTGTTCGAGAGGTACACCCACCTCCTTGCGCCTCGACATCGTGTCCGATTCGTTCGACAGCTGCGAGCTTTGATGGAGGACCTGTACGAGGGTTGCGACTTTTGGCACACTGTATGAGTGAACCAGGTTGCCTCTAGACTCCTCCTTGGGGCTCGAATGGCTACCGCCGGTGGGACCGCTTTCATCGGCGGTGCCTCCGCGATTCTCGATGAGCTTGCGGAGCTCTTCTCGTTCTTTGCGCTGGTGGTGGACAGTCTTGGTGGACTCGGACACCTCGCCCGTAAGTTTATCCAAGAGTTGCTTTTGGTCGTCGAGTTTTGTGTGTATGATCTGGTAGAGCAAGTGCTGGCGATCGAGTCGATCAGGACTAGATTGCTCGGCGAGTCCGTCGACACTGCTGTAGCACTGCTGCGACAGTGAAGCGGCGAGTGGGGCTCACCTGTTTCTTTGCAAAGTTGATGAAGATGAAGGCCAGCTCCGTCTCTGTGTGAGGCCCGTGCAACTCGCTTAGGCTTGAGCAGTAATCAAATCTGCGAGCAAGGCCAGGATAGTTACCAAAGAACCCATGGGCAGCCGGCGGTGTCGAGAGTTAGAGGGGCGTTTGGTGGAAAGGCAGGTACGGATACAGTAACATGCATTTCGGAGCACCGCATACCGTTTCAGATCAAATTGGTTCCGACGGATGTGATACTTGGTGTCGAGCTCGGATTTCTTCTTTGTTCGGTCCCCAGTCTTGGTCGCGAGGTACTTTCGCTCGATTTCGTCAAACTCCTGAGGGTTCGAAACGGCAGTCCAGGGGACGGATTTGGGGACCACGGGGTGCAATCGGCATATCTGATCAGATGACGAATCGTCCGCCAGCTGTGCTGGGGCCTGACCAAGTACCATGGACACTTACCGAGCTCTCCTGGTCAAAGTCCTTCTTGCGCGACTCGGACTTTTTGATCTCGTTGGCATAGAGCTTGCTCAGCGGATCCAGAATCAGGTTCTGGATCTGGTTGTGGAAGTGGTCTGTGGCCTCTCGAATGACCACGAGGGAGGCCTCGAGATAGTCCTTGATACTTTGGTTGCCAAAGGGGATCTGTGTGATGCCGTTGACGAGACTTTGATACTCTTCGTCCTGACGCCGCGAGGCCTCGAGGTAGATAGCCGACTGCTTGAGTACCCGCTTGACGGCCTGCTTGAGAGTCGAGGTCTTCTTCTCAAGGGCCGAGATTCTTGAGCGCAGCAGCGGTCCATCGCAATAGCTGTTGAGGAGATCGACGGTGTTGCCGGCATCCATCGATTTGCCTCTTTCGCTGCCACTGGGATTGGTGCTGCTGAATGACCACAGCGTCGAATTGGCCGGCGGGAGCTGGTCGCCGGTGGCCGAGACGGACTTTCTCTCAGCTCCAGCCTCGGAAGCAGGATTGACGGTCAGGGAATTGCTTGCGGTTGCAGCAACGGAAGCGGCGACTCCTGTGCCGAATGCACCTGCGTTGCTGGCAGCTGTGATGCTGGATTTTGGAAGGAATTTCTGGATGATGGTCTCGGCCAGCATGCTGCGGGTCGGTGATGACGGCAGCCGCTCGACACCCGCTGAGGCCGCGAATGGAGGACCCGGCCAGTCGAAAGTCAGCCAGCGATATCCGGAATAGACAACATTAGGGGTGAGTATGCAAGCGAGTGCATCACAGCTCCGAAGTGAACGGGGCACACATTCAAAACAGCCAACTCAATCGCTCGACGGATCGGCTGACGATTTCAAGCCACCAGTTCGTCAAATTCGCTTGGCTCGTCGTGCAGGCTCACAGAGTCGTGGTGCTCCATGCTTACCGCTTGTCAGGAAGAAAAAGATGGCAAGGGTTTCCAGTGTCGTCTTGTGGATAAACTGAGGCGGGGCGAAGGTCGTGAGAATGCTGCAGAGTCTCGGCATCACTGCCTTTGTTGCCCAACCAGCCGTTGTCAACGAAGCACTCGATGTGGCTGCCGACGGCTACGCAAAGACCAGCAGACAGAAACGAGTGAGAGCATGCAGAAATACATACACAGGCATAGTTGGTGATGGCGAAATCGCCTTCGATTGTCATATACAGTGGCTTGGTGTACCTCCAGGTCCACTTGACGTCGTATCTGCTGTTGGGCGGATGGTAAGGTATGGACGTGATCACCTGCGTTCGGGAGCAGAAACAAGTTTGGTTGGGTGGGTGAGTGAGTGGGAGGACCATGGTGGTGACTGCGTGGTGGTGACTGCATGAAACAACGGGCCAGCATACGAGAGGACGACTGTGTCGAGGTCCTCGATGCCCTGGGCGATGGTCGCTGGTGTCGATCTGCGCAAATGCCATGGGATTCTCCCGAGAGGACAAGGTGGCCGCCCAAATAATACCTGAAGATCGATATCCCGGATTTGGTCCCGCCGGATCCTGGGAATCTCGTCTGCCACGAACGCCCGGTGGACAAGGGTTCGGGTGAGTGCTCTTGCTGCTCCGCGAGTGTTGCTCTGTGGGTATTGTGCTGTCCGATCGTTGGCGGCTGCCGAGCTCCCAACACTCACCGAGCGCGGCCACATTTGCAAATCCAAGATTCTTGAGGATAGACTGCTCGCCGCAGATGGATATGAAAAAGTCGATGGACAGCCCGTCGGTGGTATCGATGGGATAGGCTCCCCGGTCGTCGGCGAGCTGCCAGTATCCGCTGGCGGCTTTGCTGCAGCTCGCCTGGAATGCTCGCGGTGACTGGAAGGGATGGATATGATTGTTGAGCAGCACTATTGGCAGAAGCGGCGATCGAGAGCAAAGGCATGTGCAGACGTGGCGGTGCGCATCGACTCACATCGACTGCAGCGCCGGGCGATGAGCAAATGACGCGTTGAAACTGGATGGTGATGTCTGAAAGAGTCGGGCGCGGACGATTAGTGATGGTCGGAGACAGCAGAGACCCCGCAGATGATCTACAGGGCCGTTGCCAAGAGGCCGACCGGTCCTCTCGACAGCACAAGGAGAGTCGATGCACCTGGGACTTTTGCCGAATCCATCTCATTCAGGGACGCGATAGCAGGGGATGGCTCTTGACTTGCTGGGACGGCGACAGGGGTGGGGAGTAAAGACACCGAGATGTGGACAGCACACTAATGCCACTGCCCAGTGATCCGCCCTCAGCCCGGCTGCCGTCGGTCGAGCTGCGCGGACGGCGAGAGGCAAGCGATATGTGGCGAGATTCCAAGCTCGAGTCTGATTCGGCCGTACAGCTGCCCTTTGCACCAACTGCTTCCCAATCACGGCGCACTTGTTCTGGTTTGGCTGGACGAGGAGCGGGAGGTGTCCGAAGCGTGGAATGCTGTTCCGGGCCAGCAGCTCGGGTTTGTGCTGTGGCCGACGAGATGCAGCCCCCAAGGGATCACTCTGGCTGCCAAAGGACTCTGATGCAGGCTTTGTCATTGGGGAGGGGACTTGGCCGCGCTCACACCAAAGATGCGGCTTTGGTGCAGGTTTGTGGCGGACCCTGAGCCATGGCGGCTCGACGGAGAGGGACACGAGGCCACTGGCGGCCAGAGCGCTGGGCAGACAGAGATGGGGACATGGGACACATCGGCATGCTGAGCAGCGAGTACGGAGACCTGTAGATGCAAGCCGGGAGAGCGAGCCGAGAGCACCTTGTGGCAAGCAGGACCACGGGGACGGCAGCTGCCGTGACGAGCAGGGACAGGAACCAATCGGTGCCGCTGGGTGGTGAGAAATGGTGCAGGACTGGGTCGGTGCGGTGCGGGCTGCAACCACACGGCACTCGCGCCACTGGTCCATGAGACCGAGACGAGCCCACAGGTACATGGCCAAGCCGGCATGACTGGACAAGGCTGGGGCCACAAAGGCCGGGGCAGACCGGGATGCTGACCTCGGGTGCCGGCGACCCCGCCGCGACAGCGAGCGGGAGGGGGAGGCGGCGTGGGGGCCGGCCGCACCAGTCAGCAGCGGCGCACAGCGCTTGTGCGCCCACAGACAGCGGCCTGTGTCGCGCGGCCGAACCATAGCCGCGGGAGCAGGCGCAACAAGGCCTTGGGCGGCAAGGGCCACGGCCGAAAGGAGCCACGGTTTGTTTGCAGCAGGGCGATGTGCCGAGGAGGCAGCCGGGGTGGCAGCCGAGGAGGCAGCCGAGGGACGACGGTGCGTGATGCAGAGGAGCGAGCCGGTGTGGCGCCGGCGACAAGGGGCGGCAGGGGAGGGGGCGACTGTGGCGAGGGGCGGCCGCACAGGCACAGCAACGGCGAAGATGCGAGGGCCCGTGGGACGCGAGTGTTGAATGGCGAGTGTTGAATGGCGAGTGCTGAATGGCGAGTGTTGAATGGCAAGTGTTGAATGGCAAGTGTTGAATCGCATGAGGGCAATGCGGATGAGTCGTTGTGGCTGCTGGCCAGCGGTACAGTCCGGCACAGTCCAGCGCAGTCCCGCTCAGCAGCGACCAGCATCCACACACGCACACACGGCCCGCACTGATACGCGGCGCGCACAACAGCAACAGCAACAGCACCAGCACCCCACACACACAACAGCACTCCACACACAGACACGCCGCCGCGCACATCCGCACGCCGGCGCGCCGCGCGGCTGTGCGTCCCACGCACCCGCGCAAGGGGGAAAATAAGGCCCTGGCTCGCTCGCCCCTCGTCGCTCTGGCCAGTCTGCGGGAACCCCGTGCCCATCCCGTCGCCTTTGCCCACTGCCTTGCCCATTGGCCTTGCCCATTGGCCTTGCCCATTGCCTTGCCCATTGCCTTGCCCATTGCCTTGCTGGCCGCCTTGCCCAGCGGCCCTCTTTTGCTGCCCATCCGCCGTCCCCGACTTTTTGGCCGGTACAGGCATCCTCCACCCCTCCGTCGTCGTTGCTTGCCTGGGCCATCGCGCTCCCTCCCTCTGCTGTCCAGCGCAAGCGTCTGCCTCGGCCTCTCTTCTCTCGGCCGCCACCAGCGCTTCCACACACTCTCTCTCCATCTCATATCCAGTTCCCCTGGCTTCTTGGGCGCCAGCCAGTCTGATCCAGGTACGCCAGACAATCGCCATGCAGTCTCGCCGCAATCCCGAAGCCGCCGTCAAATCCATTCGGGCGCATTGCGGATTTGGAAGGGCATGCGTCCAATACAGCATGTCGCTGGCGTGCGATTCTGCTGCGGCATCGGATCTGGCCATCTTTCCACCCCCTCCCCACGGCTTTCCCTGGCTCGCCCTGGCTCCTGAATCCCAGAGCCATTGCCAGATCCCTCGCCCCCCCTTCCATTCGTTGCCATGATATCTCTGGATTGGTTTCACTGATTTGACCTCATCCGCCCCTCTCCTTTCCTCCCAAAGGATGTTCAAGGCCCTCAAGTCTATCGCCGGAGGCTCGGTCTCCATGCAGATCGAGCTCACGGATGCCTTTGATACTGCCAAGGACGGCAACCCCTCGATCGCCGTTCCCCTCGATGCGGACCACATCTCTGGAGTCGTCCATCTCAACAACTCGACGGCCAAGATCGTCATCATCACCAAGCTGCTTATTGCTCTCTCCGTCGGTCAGGGATATCTCAATGCCGCCGCTGCCGGCATGATCCAGGGCGACAAAACCTCAAAGGCGGTATGTACACACCACCCCGTCGTTGACCCTTCAAGCGGGCCATCCTCACTCCATCACCAACGAGCCTTCAGCACCAGTCACTCGCCCACGTATCGTTGGCTCCTCCACTGGCGCTGCCTTGGCAACGATAATTTCGCCCGCCGCCGCTAACCCGCCTCCCTCCCGACTGGCTCTCATCACGCACGTAGCTGCCCACCGGCTCGTTCCATCGCCGTCCCATACACAAAGTCGAGCACATCCTCGTTCCGGACGTCAAGCAGGTCCCGCCCGGCGTGTCCTCGTTCCCGTTCATCCTCCCCATCAATCCCGCTGTGCCACCCAGCTTCAAGGGCGTCGAATCCGACAACTCCTCCGAAATCTGCTACCGGCTTGTTGGCGCCATGTGGAAAACGAGTCTCGAGCCCAGCCTCACCAAGGAGCTTATCCTGAACGTTCGTCGCTCGGTGCCGTGGAGCAAGCCCGAGGACCGGTACTTCCACGGTACCAATCGAGACAGTAAGTTGCTTGGACGACGTCTGCGATGGGATCTTGCGGTGATGCCGGTCCTCACGGCGCAGCTTGTTCTGCGTCCCCGATTCCGCCACCGGCGGCCACCCCTTCGCGGCCGGGGAAGACCACAGTGTTATCTAGACCCCGCATGATCTTTCACATGTCAACCTGCCCTTGGGTGGTTTCCTCTGATGGCTTCCTCCGATGGCTTCCTCCGATGATTTTCTCGGCGCTCGTCATTGTCTGTCGGCTGTTTGTTTGCCCGTTTGCTCGTTTGCCCGTTTGCTCGATGCTATCCGCGCTTTCTCCCCTCATTGGCATGGACTGCGTGCGTCTCTTGCACTGGATATTATGTGCACACTGTGGCTCGATCGTCTGCTCGCCCTGACGCACCTTCCTGCGGTCTCCACCAGGCAAAGAGCTGCCGTATACGTACTACGTTGGCATCCCCGACCCCGTTTATAGCTCGGCAGAGTTCTTCAACGTCACCCTGTCCTTCGACAGCACTCCTGGCCTCAACATCAACATCATGAATGCCGAGCTCGCGTTCATTGAAACCTACTCGCAGGGGTGAGTCAATGTGTCCCCAGCCGTATCCGCGTGCGCATCGGGTCGTTCGCTGGATCTATTTTTCCTCTCTCGGGCGAGGGCCGTCTGGCGGCATGGACCCGAAATCGATGTGTCTGGTGGTTGTCGCGGCCCAGTATCGCTTGTGTCCCACTTCCTTCAGACAGCGCTGGAATGTATGTGCTCTTGTTGGTCATATCGTCTGACTTTGGATGATCGCCCCGCGGATATCGCTCTGCCACTTTCCTGGTGTCTCTGCTATCGGATGCAGAAACCGAACCGACAGCAAGTTTAAGGTCACCGAAAAGAAGATTACTTCTCGCCCCATCAAGGCCCAGGAAATCGATGCCGAATCGCGAAAAGCCATCCGGCCTCACACCGAGAACTTCCTGGGCCCCGTCTTGTTCACCGTCTTCCTCAACGTTGGCGAGACCCTGCACCACGACTTTAGTTCCCCCGAGGCCAACGGTCTGGTCATCCAGCATCATGTCCAGATCTCGGTTGGCTCCAAGTTTTCGGTCGCCATTCCTGTGCGGATCCTGGTGGCCCAGGTTGGCTCAACGCGGACGGCAAGCATCGACGCCAGCAACATCCGAAGCATCGTCACCCCGGGCTCGGCATCGACTGTGCCCGGCGTCCCTCGTGCCAGCATGGACTCCCAGCGCGCTCCTCGATCCAGCGTCGACGTCCAGCGAAACACCGTGTCATCACTGCCTGGCGTTTCCTCCCCCGGTCCTGCTTATAGGACGGCGTATCAGTCCTCGCCGGCGCTGTCTCCCTATCAGGGCTATGGCGGAGCCACTGGCGCTGGCTATGTCACCGGCGCGGCGCAACAAGCACCGTCTATCCGATCCATCTCTGTGGCTGACAAGGACAGAGGCGCCAATGGCCAGACGATGGACTGGGAGGTCATCCGAGTCTACCAGCCGATCGAAGTCGATGAGCTTCCTCTCGCCCCCGGAGACTTTGTGACGATCGAGTGAGTGACGACGAAGCGCGGGATGGATGCCTCGGCTCGATGGGAACTTGTGCCAGACCGGCCATATCCGCGCGCCGCTTGTCACTCTGCTTTACGTCTGCTGCAGGAGCGTCTCTCAGTGCTCCGAGTGTCATGGCTGGATGAATGCACGCTCACCAACGTCCTTCCCTCTCGGTATTCCAGACAACCGTTCGAGGATCACTGGGCCTTGGGCACACATCTGGGCTCGGGACGCCAGGGCTTCTTCCCTCTCTGCATCCTCTCTGGATTTGACGGCAGCGTCCAGAACCGTACGTCGAGCCGAATCGCCACTGCCCAAAGCACGGCACTTGCCTATGCCCAGCTCCAACAAAAGCTCCCTCAGCAGCAGCAACAGCCGCAGCCACAACAGCCCTTTGTGCAAAACTACCAAGACGACCTGGCTCTGTCGATGCAGCATGTGCAGATCGCCAATGCGCCACCCTCGATGCCCCCGCCGTCCGTGATCTCGACTTCGACTGGCCATGTGGATTTTGGAAACCTCCCTCGGTACACCGTTGTCAAGCCCTACAACCCGCAGCTGCCTGACGAGCTCACGATGATCGTCGGAAACACCGTCGTTGTTGCGTAAGTCATTGCAGAGTGTGCCCACGGACACAGCGTCTCTCGGTACCGATGTGCGTACCAGGCCACGCCTTGGGGGTTCATTGGCCCGTTGTGCATCGATGCTGATACTTTATATCTTGACTCGCCCATGCACGCTCTCTCCGTCGATTCGAATCAAATCAAATCAAATCAAATCAAATCAAATCAAATCAAATCAAATCAAATCGAATGCCCACACAACTCGCCCGCTCAATCCTACCGCAATTCTTTTCCCCGACCCTCTCGCATGCCATTTATAGTCACAACTTTGGTGACGGCTGGGCCAAGGGAACCAATATGTCGATTGGACAGTCTGGAGTTTTTCCGTGAGTACAGCCTCTCTGGCGCTGGAGGTCCTGTCGCCGCTCGCACAATGGGGCGCATTTGTTTGGTTCACTCGTGTTCATGCAGCTCAGCAGCAGTTTGTTTGGCGGAATGGCCAAATAGCTAGGGCATGCCTATTGAGCAAGACAGGTGGAGAGGCTGGCCGACTCACTGACCAAACGGGATATCCTGCCTCCTCCACAGCCTGAACTGCCTCGGCCCCGAACAGCTTGTGCTCTCGTCGGGCTACCCAACATCGGAAGTGAGCTACCAAAGCGGCGCCTCGCAGATCCCCATGGTCATGAATCCGTCCCAGGGTGCTGATCCTAACACCATCAAGGGCTACACCGACGACGTTTCGATCACCTCGCCCGTGCCTGCCAGCGATGGCAACTTCCGCAACAGCCAGGATGTGTCGGGCTCGGATCCCAATGCCCTTGGTGGCGAGCCCCAACGCGGCCGCCGAGGCTCCAAGAGCAACACCATCAACAGCACCCACTCCCGAGGCGACTCGAACCCGCAACCAAACCAGTCTCAGTCCCAGTCTCAGTCCAACCCTGCCTCGCCATCGCTGTCGCACGTCACGGCATCGACGGTTCCTGTCGCCAACAGCCTCGAGGAGCTTGACGAGCTGCTGGTCGAGGAGAAAATCAACGGCGCAGAGTACATTCGCCAACGAAGCAGGCTCGCTGCCCTGGCTGAGCTTGACGCCAAGCTGATGGCCGGCGAGATTGCTGGACCCGAGTACATTCAAAAGCGAAACGCCTTGATGAAGAAGAAATAGTGGCCACGTCTGTGCGTCAAGCTGCTCCCTCCGCCCGTCCTCCCCCATCGCCCTATCGGCCGGCTGCTTCCTCTGCTTCATCGTGGAGCCGGCTGGTCGGGTCTCTTCTTTGACCATCGCCTTTTCCTCGCTGTCCAAGTATCAATGACGTCATACCTCTTCTTGGTTTTTTACCGCACTTGCCTTGCCCCCGTCCCTCTTTCCCACTCTTTCGCCTTATTGCTGTCTTACGGCGACCTCGGGATCGTGGTTGCAAAGCCAGTCAATACAGTCCGTGCTCGTCGCTCGGTTCTGGTCTGTGCCCATGTGCGTGCGTTGCGCTCGATCCCGAACCGCTGCTGTTCTCGCCATTTCCCCCCCCCATCTTTAACTCACCAGTCCCCTTTGGCCCCTTCCCTCTCTCTTTGACAGAACCTCTTTATGTGTCAATCTATGAACGACCTCTTGCCTACGATATCTTGCCACTTGATTCTTCTTGCACATGTCTTTTGCCGTCCGTCCCTCCCCTCCCTTGCTGCTTCCAGCTGTCCTAGGCAGCCACGGATGAGCTCCCCCCCCTCCTCGGAGACTAGCCGGTCCCTTTGTTCTCAGGTCAATGCTTCCCTAGATCAAATACAGCGCGCCCATCTTGAAACAGGATTCGATCGGCTGTTGTGGTGGATTCGGCCGGAGTTTTGGACTGACCCCGTGGGACGGAGGCGATTTAGCCCGCCTGGTCGCCCCCCCCCCGACTGAGTGCGTGGTACGGTATGACCCATGCGTCTGAATCAGTCGATGCTCCCCATCGCCATCGTCTCAGCATGCTGCATACAGCGCATTCCGCTTGATCTCGGTCTTGTGCTCTCGCCGAGGCGACGGTGCACCTGTGACGCGCCCCTGACACAGGCCGCCCCAACGAGAGCCACGCCGAGAACGCGGTGCCCGTCGTGTTCTCGCCGACAGCGCATTGTGTCCGCACAGGATTGGTCTCGGCACCGCTCTCGCCGTCCTCTCCTCTCGGCCCAGCGGCCCCTTTTGGTTGGCTGCTTGGGGACAGCAAGGGCCGTCCACCTCCAGCGCCGTCTGCTCCAGCTCAAACCCACCCATCGCATCCCCATCGCCTTCCCGCCAGGCTCTCGCCAGCATTCCAAATCCCCTTTCCCCCCCCCACGTCTGCCCAGCCTGGTCTCGCTCGCAGTCAGATCCGCCCGGCTCCGATTTCTGCCCTCCCTTGCGCTGTCTCCTGCTGTCGCTTCCCTGCCGATTTCTTCCCTCCCCCGATTGACATCGGACACTCCGCAGCCTCCCTTCTCGCAGCGACCCAGTCCTAACTGGCATCGACGCAACACAGCCGTTCCCCTCACCCATCCCTCCGTCGCTGCTCTCTTCCTCGCTCTGACCCTCCCTGCAATCTCCTGAAATAGGCACCTGCAAAACTCGCTCTCCCTCCTCCACACCTTGGGCGCTCGTCGCACCCCTCTCCCCGACTCCGTTCGCTTCTTGGTCGGTGTGCACGTCAACGTCGGGCCCGCATTCGTCGATATATACAGTCTCTTCTCTCCTTTCCAGCCCCCCACTTTTTTTTTTGGATTCTTCTTTGAAGCCCACTCGGTAGCGTTCCATCTCTACATCTATTTATCGGCTCTTGTTGTTGCCATTTCTTCCCTTCACCTCTTCCGACCGTGCTCCTCACTGCGTTCCCGTGGCTTTGATATCGCTCCGCCACGATCTTTGATCCGTGAATTATCATCATCATCATCATCATCAACAACATTATCATGTCCATGGAAATACCTCCGAAGACTCTCCAGCACACATCGGGATGGATGAACCAGCGAGGTGGGTCACAGTCGCTGACCGGCTGGCTGGCTGGCTGGCTCGCTTGCTGGTTGTGTGTTGCCATTCCATCGCCTTTTGAAGCCGGAGCCAGACAGGCGCATCCGAAGCTGCTCGTGGTGAAGCTTGCAGCTGCTATGGAGCCACAAGATGCGGTCGATTCGAACGGGATGGTTGGGACGACGCCACGCCAGTTCTCGATGATGCCTGGTCTTCCCTCCCCTCTTTCCTCTCCTTCTGGCGTTGTTGCTAATCCCGTTGGGTATCGCGCTCCCTGTCCCTCGTTGCGCTTGTCCAGGATCCTGGGTCACCGGCGTCGTCATCATCGTCAGTCTGCGAATAGGACTGGCGACGATCCCGGGAATATCTGCCGAAGCCGCATGGACCCTGACGAATCTGATCTATAATACGGTAACCTTCCCTCCCCCGCCCTTCCTCTGCATTATCGCTTTCAGACAAGCGGATCAAAGTGCCGCTGCAAAAAAATCGGAGAGAGAGAGAGCGATATCGCGGCCCCTGTCCCACCTTCCTCCCATTTCTCAACACCATCTCGTCAATGTTGAGAACCACACCGGCTGCTCAACCAGCAAAACTTACACAGCGACCTTGAATCGTGTAGGCCTCATATTTTTTGTTTCACGGGATCATTGGAATGCCATTCGCCATCAACGAGGACGAGTACAACAATCTGACGCTCTGGGAACAAATGGACAGCGGCATCCAGTTCACCCCGACAAAAAAGTACCTGACAGCGGTGCCGATCGTGCTGTATGTATCTGTGGCTGCTCCCCATAAGGAGGGAAGGAAAGGAGGAAAGATAGGAGGGGCACCGGGAACCTTCATTCCACTCCGCTCTGGATTTTCCGACAGCGTGTTGGTCGTGCTGGAGCCGGCGCATCCCGGGCTTGGCCCTTCCTCGGTCTAACTCTTGGATCCCTTCCTCCGTGTCTCTCCTCGGCATGGGTTGTTTTCCTGCTGCCATCGGCCACACAGGTTTCTGCTAAGTACCCACTATACACATTACGACTTTCCGACCTTCATGATCAACCTGACGTCGCTGATGGTCGTATTAATTGCGAAACTGCCGCAAATGTACAAAGTCCGGCTGTTTGGCATCAACGAGGGCTTCCCTGTCCAAGACAAATAGAGCCACGGCCTTTCATGAGGGACTTGCAGCATGGAGTATTACGACACGATACGACGCGGAAGGACCCGATACGATACGGCTCGGTCGAACGCCGCCGGACACGACATGGCCCGATGCGATTCGAGATACACCCGCTCGGCCCGATGCGATTCGAAACTACAGATCGTCCTGTCCTTCTGCGCTCCCGCCACGGTGCCCGTCCTGGCCCCTCCCACTCGTCCACTCGTCCGCCCCCATCTCTCTCCCTCTCTCTTTCTCTCCCACTCCTTGACCTCTGTTGACCTCTGTTGACCTCTGTTGACTCGAAGCGGCACCCGCTCTGGGCGCGTCTATGTGCATGGAATGTGTATGCAAAAGCCCGGCAATTCCCTCTCCCCTCCACACCCCCCGCCCTTCTTCCACCGCTGTCAGACCAAAGAAGCAATAGCGACAAAACTATGCGCACGCATATGTCAATTTCCGTGCCGGCTACGTGACGGCGCCGGGCGGTGCGGGTGTTGTGTTGGGCTGGCTGCCAAGATGCGGCAGATCAGATCTGTGGCTGCACCGCCCCAAGCGCGTCTGTGGCAGTGTCGCCTGTCGGTGCTGCGCATGCACCGCTTGTGGGCATATGAACTTTTCATTCCACCGGCCCGCCGCGTTGCTGGCTTTTCGCCTTTTCGCATCTTTGGCTGGCCGCCTGGCACTGATCCAGCTGGCGAGACCATCGACCGTCGACCATCAACCACCAACCAACCGACTGACCGGCTGAACCTGCGCGCTCGGCTCACCGCACATCTCCGTCGTCCCTCCCAGTCAAGATGCCCAACGTCCCCTCAGTCGTGACCTCGTCCTCGGCCTCCCTGGTCCAGGCCCGAAAGAGAACCATTTCGCTCTACCGAGACTGGCTGCGTGCGGTAAGGCCTGCTCCTGCTCGGGCTGCTGGCACGATGCTTGTCTGCCACGCACGTAGATCACCGGGGCATTTCGAGGGACGTGCAAAAGAGAGAGATTCCATCGATCTCTGGATGTGACATGATCGATAGGTCTTCCCTGCGCTGACAGATTCGTTGTGCATTCACTCCCCCCCCTTTTTTGCGATTTCGCTCCATCCCCGACGCCGGATTCAATCAACGCTGGCTTCATGGAAATAACAACAATACCAACAACACAAAAACGCGCCGCATTACGATTCTTTTAAACCCCGAAACTGACTACCGGGTTGCTTGCGGATTTCGTGGATACCGGCATAATGTATTCCTGATGCGGCCGTCTGGATAAACTGGGATGACGGCCGACACCGCCAACCAACCAACTAAACTCCCTGCATGGGCGATGCAAACTCAACCTGGATTGTCACCGTGACGTGGCGGCCTCGCTCGGCTGGCTGGCTGGCTGGCTCTCGTTGCTTTTGGGGACTCGTACACGCTGTCGAATGCCGTTGCCGGTCGTTGTTGGTGCGCTCAAACGCTTATGTTGCGAACCGGACGAACTGCGACTCTCCGGATCTTGACCCTGGACGCTTGGATTTGGGCAACCGAAACCTCTCCTGCGAATGGCTGAAATGCCGGAACCCGAACGCCTTGATCTCCCGTTGGCTCGCGTGCCGATTCGATCGCTGCTGGGCTCTTGGCCGGACTGTCGACCCACACTTGTCACGCCTGCCACCGCTGCCCCCATCGCACTCTGCATCGATCTGTGCCGAACTTGGATCCAGGCCCCTGTTGTCGTCAAGACCTATCGCCTCGATATCCCCACGTCGCAGGTCCGCGAGCGCATCCGCCAGGAGTTTGTCAAGAACCGCCACATTGCCGACAAGAGTGTCATCGACGTCCTGCTGTTCAAGGGCCGCATCGAGTACGAAGAAACCCTCAACATGTGGAAGCAGTCGTCGCACGTCATGCGCTACTTCCAGGAACCCGAAGCGACAAAGAGCAACGCCTTTTTGGACAGATTTTTCGAGGGAAGAGCGTAATCCCTCCCTCCCTCCCCTTCCCTCCTCCTCTTCCTCCATGTAGGACCTTTTGCGACCTAACATTCCTGTGGGCTTGGCCCCTGGCACCCTCACTCCCGCATATTTCAGGGTACGACTGGGCAGCACCAAAACGACGCACATAAAACTATATATCAGCAGAACTCTCGCGTCCCTCATCCGTCGCCAGCCGACTGGCTTCATCCCTTTGCCCATCCGTTTGCCTGTCTGCTTGCTGCTGGCTGGCGTCTCGCCAGATGCCCATGTGCGCCGATGTCCCCTTGGCTGTGATAGATGCTCTCGTTGCTTGGGCGTTGCAGCAACCATGGGCAGCATCGCTCTTGACCCCAGTTCAGTTGCGAGGCCTGCAGCGCCTCCCTCTGCAAACCGAGTCAGTCGGGAGAAACAGGCTTTCTGGAATGAGACTGGGACAAAGCAGTCGACCTGACGTTGATTTTTGGGTTGTTTCTGAGCAGAAGCATCTCCCGGAGCATTCTTTTGATCACATCCTCGCACTGGCCATTCAGCCGCTTGTTGTCGGCGGCCGGGTTGTCTCAGCTTGGCCATTCAGCACTGTATGATCCGAATCAAACGACCTGGTGATGATGTCCATTGCCTCTGGCCATCGCTGAGAATGGCTTGCCTGCCCCCACTGCCTATGTCATCGCATGCTGCGGTCATTCAGATGGCAACTGCGATGCTCCTGAGTCTGGCCGACGCAAGACGCAGGCAGTGTCTCTGTCCGCCGCTTGCACGGGGAATACTGCAGGGACAATATGATTGGAAGGCATCCCATCGACCCTCATTCTGTCCACCGAGGCGATTGTGGGCTAAACACAGAGTCTCAGAAATCTCGACAGTCTAAAACAACCGGCCGATGGCTTCCATCCTCCGCCCGCCCCCGCTTTCTCCCTCCCATCCCACCCTTTAGTGCGGAATCAGAGCCGCCTTGTTCAGAGCCATCATCGCTTTCGCTTACTTTTTTTTTTGCCCCCAGTCTGACCGTTTGCACTGCGACGGTATTCAGACGAGCAACATCGGCAAGCCCATACGACGTCCTCTAGATACACCTTTGGTGAGTGAATACTTCCGACCCTCATTATCCCCTCCGAGCGCTATCAGTCAGCTCGTTCTGGCACTGCGAACCGGACCGGACCGGGCTCGTCCGTGAGAAACAGCTTCCAAATGCCGCAACCTGCCGACCCCTCGCCAGTCGTTGGCACCTGGCGGACAGCTCAGCGTCCTCTGGGCCTGCACAGCGGATTTCCCGCCGCAGCCAGGTGTTGCAGCTGTCTCTCTATTCCTCGGTTGGATTGGTCGGATGATTTTTGACCTTGGACTCAGTGTCGGATGCTCGGCGCTTCTCACTCAACTCTCTTTCGCGCTGACGGGGAGAGGAGCTGTTCATATGAGGATATGGCTGACTCATATATTTGTATCCTGGCAATGGTTTCGCTTGGATTTGTGGGCACGACTGGCATCTGGTGCACCATGTTCATCACAGTCTCAACCAGCGCAGCCTTCGCCTCAGCGTGTGAGACGACCAAGCCAACCACAGCCTCGATCCTGGGACCACCTGTAGCTGTTGCGCAGACATGGACCCGCAGGAGCAAGCACCGACCACTGAGCCCGAGTCGGCCGAGGTGCACCCGTCCGCGCCTCCCGATAGTGAGGTTCCATCCCCTCCTCCTGATGTCGTTGCCGCCACCGAAGGTATGGTCTCTGCGGAGGCCGACGAACCAGCGTCTTCAGTCGATCCGCCAAATACATATAGCCCAGATAGCGTCGCTGGCGAGGCGGATGACGCCACTGCCGATGCGAATACAAGCGACACATATAGAGCAGTTGAATCAAATCAAGCCGAGCATGAGACACAACAGCAACGACACCAGACGGGATCTCGAATAGCCTCTGAGAGTCATATTAGCCAATCCCCAGCAACAGAAGAGTCTCATGTCTCAGCCGCACCACAAAGCGGCGGTACTGTTGGATACTCTCAAGATGACCTGGGGCAAATGGCAGAGTCAGCCAATGGAAACATGGAGGATCAGCGACAAGAACAGCAGCAGGAACAAGTACAACAGCAGGAAGGACAGCAGGAACAACAAGAGCAACAGCAGGAGTTACAGCAGTCAGAGGAGTACAAATCACCCGAGCCTATCATGGGCTCTGGCAGCCAGGGCGATGGCGTCCCTGTAGAAGAGCATCGGCCATCGGAGACAAGGAGTCGAGAGGAGTCGCAGACGACCAAGAACGTGGATGGGCAGGCCTACAGCTACGACGACGAGTTTGAGAGCGAGGTTTCTATTGCGGATAAGAGTCAAGCATATGACGCCGTCATGGATGGCGGCCAGGTGCAGGAACCCAGGACAAACGTGGACAGCCGCGATGGCGAATTGATGACTGCGTGTAGGACACTTTCTGCTGCTGATGCACCGAGATGATCATCAGCCCGGATAGCATGTCCCACTTGGAAACAGCGGGATCCTGGGGTGTGGCAGTCGGCCGTGGAGTATCGTCAGCACCGTTTCGAATGCATGTGTCCATAGACTAACACACATGACCGAGCCACTGTACTTACTCGATGCCCTGTTCTTGTCCAGATATACCGACTCAGCCATCACCAGAAGTCGCTGCAGAGCACCTGGATGAAGGCGCCACGGAATCAGCACCTGGCGAGGCTGCAGTATCTACCGACGATGCCATACCTGCAGAGCAAGGAGACGCTCCCCCTCCAGAGACGGAACCCGGCAATGAGTTTGTGGGTACTGAAGCACAAGCAGCGGACGCAGTCGACCAAGAAACCACGCAAGAGATACCACAAGGTACAGACACTATAGAACCGGCTCTACAGCCGGAGCAGCTCGAGCGGGCTGCAGATACCGCCGTCGCGGCGGACTTGACAACGAGAGACTCGCAGGTCCTCGGCGCAGCCGCAGAGATCCCTCTTCCCGCCAGTCGTGGTGATAGCCTCAACTCGCTTGGTGGACTCATTAACGAGTCCACCAGCCATGATAACGAGGCACCAGCCGGGGCTGACATGATAGGCCCGGGCAGCAGCTATCTGGAATCTACCCAGACTGAGCAGTCTGCAGAGCATGAGCCCAGCAGCAATGTCGATGATGGGGAGGCTCAGTCAGCAGCTCCGGACGCTGAGCCTGCCAGCGAGACAGCAGCAGCATCTAGAGCGACCCAAGAGGATGAAGTGCCTCAGCAGGATGTGGCGCCACCAACCGATAATGATCTGGGCAATAACGAGAATTACGAAGGGTCCCAGGGCAATGACCAGAAGCCAGCAGAGCCGGAAGAGGCACTGCCGGTGGGTCAGCAACCTCCGCCCCAGCAGTCACAATCTCACCAGGAGCACCGGCGTGCGGAAAGCTCGCTGACACTCGAGGAGGCACGTCAGCAGCCCTTGCCCGAGAGCCGAGCCAGCAGTTTCAACCAGCTCGAGCATTCAGGCTCCCAGCCTGTTATCTCCGCGGGTGATGCGCACGGTGAAGGGGCACTCGTCGAGGCGGCGCCCACTGAAGCCTATGCCAGCTACTCAGCAGACCAAATTGACGATTTTGAGTCGGCCGGTTCCGACCTTCCTGCCAAAGTCGAAGCCGAAGCCGAGGCCGCCCCAGAGACAGCGGGCGTCGAAGCCGAGGCAGCACGAGTTTCGGTATCCTCTGTAGGGCTGAATCATGCATCCGAGATTCCCCTGCCTCAAAGCAGAGGCAACAGCCTCAACGCGCTCGATTCATCATATGAGGAGGGAGCTGGAGCCACCGACACTCGGGCTCCAGACGAGGCCATGGAAGTGCCTGCGGCGGAGGGCGTTTCTCCTCAGGCCGAGATCGATGCAGAGGGCCAAAACGAAGAGACTGCAATTGAGCCTCAGCTACAGCAGCATCAGACCGACGAGGCCACAGCCGAGGCACTAGAGCTTCAGGCTGATCGAGAGTCCCGGGTCCTGGACGCAGCAGATCATGCACCTCAACCCACAAGTCAGAGCATCAGCCTGAGCGAGCTCAATGCAGAGACCGATACTAATGTCGAACCTGAACCTATTGACACAGATGTCACCAACGCAGCGGCCGAGCTGGAGCAATCCGCGACTGACACAACGGCGCAGTACGAGGATGAGGCCAAGTTCGAAGACGCTTCCGGTGGCGAAGATGCAGCTCCAAAAGCCGACGGATACGAGAATGAGGCCTATGAAGCAGCAGCAGATGCGCCAGCACCCGAAAAAGAGGGCACCGGTTCCCGCGGCTCTCTTTCACTGGACCGTGCTGCAGAAGTGCCGTTGCCTTACAGCACTGGCGCCAGCCTGATGTCTATGAGACCGAGCCGTGCAAGTCTGGATCAAAGCACTGCCTCAGACTCCAAAGCTCGCGAGCTTGATACTTTTCCTTATGCCCAGCCTGAAGAATCTGCCGCCCCTGTCGAATCGACCGCCGAGCCACCATTGGAACTCCGAGAGTCACAAGTATTCGAGCGAGCACGAAGTGTGCCGCTTCCAAAGAGCGTGGGTGTCAGTTTAGCAGCCATCGGGCCGACTGAAGACCAAGCTCAAGAGCCAGCGTCAGAATCTCAAGCCGAGCCCATGCAAGAAACGAAGCACGAAAGTCACCATGCCCACAGCTCACGTCCCAATGAGATTATCGCCCTCAGTAAGTCGAGAATCACTCTCGATTCCGTTGATATAACTTTTATGATCGGAAGGCACATGCTAACCTGCCCTGCTTCCACTTCTCAGACGGTCCTCTCAATCATCCGAATGTCGTCTTTGTTTTGGGTACGAGCAGCACTTGCGCTCGGGGATGCCAATGGCTGTTTGAATCACACCAGAACGCAACAGCTGTTGAGCTTGTGGTCTACTTTCCTTCAACTAACGTTCATAAAATGCATTAAATTGTGTGCTGCAACAGGGGGGCCTGGATCAGGCAAGGGCACACAATGTACTCGACTGGCACAAGAATTCAACCTTGTGCATCTCAGCGCCGGCGATTTGCTCCGCAACGAGGTCAACACCGGATCTGAAGTTGGCGAGATGTGCTCTGCGTTAATGAAAGAGGGCAAGCTTGTGCCCATGGTGAGTCTGGCGGCAGGCAGGTTGGCTGTTGTGTGCTCACATCGCCATTTTTGGTGGATTTTGTTGACTAATCATCCATCCGCTGGTCAGGAAATCACGATCGGGCTTCTGAGAAAAGCCATGGAGTCTCACCGCGATGCCTCGGGATTCCTGATCGGTAAGCGTATGGGGCCACTATGTCGTGCCAGGTCGCCCCATTGCTCTCCCACTTGTGCTGTGTCGATCCATTGCTCATGTCAAATTTCTCACATTGTCACTGCAAGACGGATTCCCTCGTGCGCTGGACCAGGCCCACGAGTTTGAACGGACGGTATGAGCACGTCACTGAGCGCGAGACAGCGAGCCGAGGTCGATTGTTTTGGAGATGGATTTTCAGCCGTTGCCTCGTTGACGAGGGGGATCATCCGACATTTTCGATTCCGAAGATTGATTCGTCACTGCTGTTATCGATATGATGGGTGCGCGGATTCCTTTAGACTGGGTGCAACATGGCAATGTCATGCACTCAAACTAACACCGAATGTGCCCGCATAGATCGGTCCCTGCAGGAAGGCTTTGTTCTACCACTGCACCTTGGACATACTCGAACAGCGCCTGCTGGAGCGTGGAAAGACCAGCGGGCGGGACGACGACAACATCGATGTGATTCGAAAGCGATTTGCCACCTTTGAGAGCCAAAGCATGCCGGTGATTGACTACTACGAGAGCCAAGGCAAAGCTGTCAAGGTCAGTTATGGCTCCCATCCACTTCACAATGGAAATCGCTCTTCGCGGCGATTTAGTGACGATGTCTCGGATCTGTCGTGCTCAACATTTGCAATAATTGCACTTCTGCAGATCTCATCAATACCGCCTATTGAGGAGGTCTACGCCCAATCCAGGAGTGTTTTTACTGATGCACCGCTAAGCAAGGAGCCAGAGCTTGCAGGTATGCGGCATGGATGACCTTGTCTATGGACTTTTCACCCCGCCTCGGAGCGGACGCATTTGCCTCGTGCAGAGGGCTGGATATGAGAGCCAAATCCTTGGCAGATCCTCACCACCACGGCTTTGCATCTGCATCTCCATCTCTATACCCGAATGACAAGTAGTACCGACGGAAAAAGACACAGCAGGTAATACCCGTGACGAAGCCCTGTCTCTCGAGCCGCGGTCTGAAGTGAAGGAGGAGCATACAAGCCAAGACGAACTCGACGCACTGATCGCGGACGTTGAGGCACAGCAAACTCAGTCGACTTCAGAGCTGGTATCTGGAGAGGACAATGTCGATCGTGAACAGAGAGGGGCTGAAAACGACCAGTATGGCGACGAAGAGTTTGCAGAGGCGAATCTGGCTGACGCTGCAGCCGAAACTCAAGCTGACAGCTCAGTGGCACCGACCACCAAAGAAGATCGGGAGCCAACAAGCGTGGATCAAAAGCCAAGTTCAAGCGATCTTGAGGAGCACTTTGTTTCGAGTGAGCCGATAGCCAATCAGGCAGAGTCCGAGGCGACACAGCCCCGGACTGGACAAGAAAACTCAGCTTTGGATGAGTTCGACCTGGAGGCGATGGGGATCGACAGTGACACCGCCGCTATCGGTGGTGCTGCACATGAAGTTGAGGAGCTTGCCGGTGTAGTGGACGGACTCCAAGAACATGAAGGACATGCAGTACACAGCATCCACGATTATGCAGAACACTCCGAGAAGCCTCATGAACTTGCCGAGGAGCCCCAGGCGCAAGATCTGCAGCCATTGGATGCAGAACAGCCAGCGTACCCCACCGTCGAAGACAACTTGCAGACTGGGCAGACTGCGCAGGAATATGGGCTGGAGGAGTTTGATGACATCCTTCAGAGCAACGAGAATGTCCACGAAGACGCAGCTGCAACAGAGGCTGAGGTGGCTCGTGACGAGGGGGCACATACGCAGCAAGATACAGCTGCATATGACTATCTCAACGAACTGGAGCAGGAAATCGCCCCGGAATCAGCACAAGAGAGCCACGCGACTCAAGAAAGCGCGCAACTGGATGAGTCGGATGGATATGGAGAATATGCAGAAGAGGTTAATGAGCTTGACAAAGTCGAGGTCGATGACGAGCGCACCAAAGTCGTTCATCCGGATGTCACTGAGCCGACGCCCCAAGACAGTATGGAATCATATCACCACAACGCAATTCATCGCAGAGTGTCTTTTGATAGTCGTCATGCCGAGAAAATAGTCGTTGTATTTGTTTGCGGACGTTGCCCTGGATTTGAAAACTCGTGTGGCTTGGTGGGGACGGTGGATGGGTTTCATAGATGGAATCGGTGGGCGGGTTGGGTTGATAGATTTGGATGGACCAGTTGATGCTTGTGGATGCTGGCGTGTAGATCAGGGTACTGACATGTGCGTTTGGCATGATCTACAGCATCCGACGCCCGATCCGTAGCAGATTACTCAGAGCTTGCAAGCGAAATGGCCATTCAGATCATCGACTCTGCTCAGAAAGAGCTCGCAACGGAGGCTATCGCCGATCAAGACCGTGAGGAAAGCGCTGCAACCGATGCCCTCTATGGACAAGAAGAAGAGTTTGAGGCGCCACCAGCCGAGGTCGCTCAGCTCGCCAACGCTTCCATAGAGAGCTTGCCTCCCAGCGCGCAGCCGGATTTGGTCGCCCAGAAGGGAGACGAGTCGGCGGCCGAGGAAGGAAAGGAGGACTATGCGACCAACTTTGACGACTTTGATGATTACCCTGTTGCCGATCGAGGCGCCGAGCCACTCACCGTTCCTCCAATGGAAGAAGAAGCCGGTGTCCCAGAGGCTGCCAACCAGTACACCGATGAAACCACCAACGTCCATCCAGAGGCCACGGAGAAGGATGAGAGCAGCTACTCTGCCGGCTTCAGCGACTTTGATCTCCCGCCTGACACCTCGGATCACGAGCCGGCCACAGCCCAAGTCTATGCCACCGAAGAAGCAGCACCCACTGCCTCACATGTTCCCACGGCCGAGCCAGAAGCCTCGGGTCAGGTCGGAGGATATGCCGATGAATACGCACTCGAGCCAGAACAAGAGACATCTCGAGCACCGGCGCCAGAGGCGGAGCAAGTGCGGCCTCTCGAACAAAAAGCCCCGACGCCTCCAAAGTCCAAACCGAGCTCCGTGCGTAGCAGTCGAAATCGTCTCTCTGCATCGGCCAGTGTCGCGAAAGTCACCCACAGCAGCGAGCACACCGAATCAGCCGCCACCGGTGCCGAGGACAGACCAAGCGAGAAGGGATCTTACAAAGGCGTGCCATCACAACGTGAGAGTCTGTCGCACGGCGATGCGGTCACACGCTCATCTCAATCGATAAAGCAAGCGGATCCACCGATGTTCTCTGCATCAAACTCTTACGAGGTATGTTCGTCCGCGAACATGCTGCCCCAGCGGTTCCTGACAGACCAACCTCTCATGCTGTGCTCAAACACCAATCCCCAGGCCGCCGATTCCAGAAATAAGAAGAACAAGGGCGATGTCGACTATGTTGGCCTTGTGTCAAGCTTGCGGCGGGAAATCAGTGTGCTCAAATCCGAGATTGGCGGTCGAGACGTGGCGCTTGACGATTCGAAGGAGCGGGAGCATCAACTTGTCGAGGTAAGGGCGTCATCGTACGCAATGAACCTGCGAACTACTGATTCTGACCCCCCGTCTTTGGAACCGGCGCCGATCGACAGCATATTCATGAAACCGAAAGGACAGGCAAGGATATTCTGGACAAGAACATGCGCATACTGCTTGATCGGCAAAAGAAGGTAGTGCCGCATTCAGCTGGCGATCGCAGTGGTGGCCGATGCGGTGGAATGCGGTGGAATGCGGTGGAATGCGAGCTGACTTGTCGACATTGCGCTCAGGCATATCAAATCCTGGTTGCAAAGCTACGGCGAGAAATCCGACGACTCAAATTTCAGCGCAACTCACTCGCCGATCCGCTCATCGAGGTAAGTGTCGTCGCTGCAGAAACTCTCCAACGGCTTGCCAGTCTGGTCCACGCGATTCCGCAAATGCCTGTTCGTGCGCCTCGCTGACACCCCCTGTTTGCGCATCGTGCCGTACAATTTCCGCATTCAGGCAAAGTACTTCCCGTATTTGCCCCGGACGCCGTATAGCACATCGGCCCGCAAACCCCCGATCGGCATCATCGGCAATCTGCCCCCACGATCGGTCGATTACTTTGCGCTGAATCCTCCGCCCCCGACTGGAAACCATCCCGACAGCGGAAACAGATGGTGGTGGGGCAGTGGACCGGATTCATCAGCTCATCGTGAGTAGATTGCAGTGCGTTTGCACCCTTTGCAGTCGATCTTGGCGTGTTTCGTTGCTCATCTGTCTTGGCCGCTCCTGTTGCAGTGCCTCCGGCTCGCCCCAAGACTGCGCCATCCTCCTCCCATCCTCTGCCCTCTGGATATGTCCGCAAGGGTCGCGCAAACAAGCCGATGACATCCCACGCCCCATTGGAGACCTACAACCGTATCCCAACACCGCCCTCAGACCAAGTGCCGGGTAGCAGGGAGTCTTTGCAGAAGCAGGGGCCAGGCGGCCAGCCACTTCCGGCTCTGCCGCACAAACTGGCTCCGATCGTTCGACCAACCCACGCCGATCGAGAGGAAGAGCTCGAGCACTCTATGATTCACGCGGCTCAACAAAAGATCGATATCAAGTGCGGGGACCGAGTCTGTGTCATGATCAATGACGAAAAATGTCTTGGTAAGCCGGGGGCAACTTGTATCTCTGCCATTATAAGAGGGGGGCTGAACGCCCAGCGGACACTGGCCAATTCAACAGTCAATCGGCGGATCAGCGGAGCCAACTATGACTTGACGCTACAGCTCCACACCTCGGTGTTCATCCTTTGTCACGTACCCTTTGACACTAATCCTTTGGCATGCACCCCATTCATCAGGCATGCTCAAGTATCTGGGAATCTTTGATCCTGCGCCTGAGGCCGGACTCTGGTGCGGCATCAAGCTTGACCGGCCATGTAAGTTTTTGCTGGCGCGCTGCTGGCTATTCCTCAGCAAAGTGTCAGTGTCCTCGCTGCATAGCAGTTGCTGATCCCATGCACACTTGTCCTTTCCCCAACGATTCCTTAGTGGGCAAGCACGACGGCATAGTCCGTGGAAAGCGATACTTTACCTGCGAAGAGAACCACGGACTGTTTGTCAAGCTGGACAAAGTCATTCCAGTCCGGAACAGCACGACCATGAGGGTAAGCGCGCGGCATAATCCAGCACTTTAACCTGATCTAAGCACTGACGCAGGCCCGCCATTTCTCTCGCTATAACGTGTGTGTGTCCACGCTTCCGTGGAATTCTGCGGCTTCAGTCTCACCGCAACTCCAAGCGAGCCGAGAACAGCGACATGCTGCCTGCACAGTCGAAAGCCGTCGCTGTATAGGGTCCTGAGAGCATCGCTGGACTGCAGAGCCGCAAGTGGACACTGCAACGATACCAATACCACTTGCCGCAGCCGCACGCCTGGTGACATCGGCACACTCAAACTGTTATTTGCTTTCGTATTTGAACATTCAATAAATTGGAATATCTTGATCAACCCAGTAACATGGGCTGAGCGGGCATGGTGCTGCCAGGTGGCTCGTCCGCCGGCATCGCGCACTCCGATGGCTGGTCGGCGACTCGATGCTGGTTCTCCGGTGACATCTGCGTTTGAGTGCGCCCATTTCGCACCAACTAGTTCTGTCCGCCTTGTCGCTTCTGATTCGTGAGGGAGATCAATATGTGACATCATCGCCCCGGACGACCCCGCCCCTGCCCAAGCGCTGCATCTGCGAGTCCGGCCGCTCGAGGCTGAGAATAGTGCGCCAAGACGAGGCATACGGACCAATGCTCTATTTCGGCCTCATCCTATCGATCTCCTGCTGAGTTTTCTCACCGTCTCTGTCGCGCCGCCACCTCCCCCATGACTCGACGAGATGCAGAGTGTCCCTGTCCAGTCCTCCTCCAGCGACCGACAACCAATGCAGTTTCCCACGATAACCATCCCGCACACGGCCACCCAGTCATCCACCGGCTTGCGTATACTCACAGCGGACCAAATTTCTTCGAATGGCGAACCCGTCGAGACTCGTGGCGCCTGAGCCATAGTAAAGGAGCGAGAGCGAGTTCCAGCTCGGACGGCGGGCCTGGGTGTGCGGCCTTCAGATCCAAATCGGCTGGTGCTGACGGGCTCGACCAAAGCGGCGACAATGCAAGCACATCCATTCTCCGGCGGCTGCAAGCGCAGCGATCCCATGGAGCAGTAAGTGTTGACCCTCTGTAGCATCGCAGTCAATATGGTCCAGCGCATGTGTTGCTGTCCGAACTGGTCAGAGGGGATGAGCAATATGCCAACGCACTTGGGAAGAGCTACCCTGTTTGAAGTCGAACAAGCCTTGTCGATGTTGTCGTTGGAGATCTGTGTAGGAGTGCTCCGGTCATCGACTGAGTACTGCTACATCTTCCCGACCTCATTTTGAAGACAACCGAGACGTCTGCCGTCAACAAGCCACCGAGCATGTCTCCATATCAACCTCCATCCACGCCCAAACGAGGAGTGCCCTTTCGGAAGAACCCGAGCACCAGCGATGTCGTTCTGAACCGAGCCCTTAAACTCAGCCAGAGTACACGCAGCCTGTTTGCGTCGATGAGCTCACAGCCTGGCGAGCCCGGCGACAGACCAAAGCGTCCATCTACATACTCCAGCAGTGGCCGAATCGCAGAGGGCTCGAGTGACAGCCGTCGGTCGTCCACCAGCAGGGAGAGGTCGATTTTGCCCGATAAAATCTCGAGCGATTCGCTGTTGTCGACTTCATCCGACTCTGGAAAGAAAGTCCGTCGGAGCCGCTTTCACCTCTATCGATCGCTGGACCAGTCCATGGAGCTTATCTATGATCCCTTAAACCAGAGCCGTCGACATACCGCGCCCTCCTTGTGCCAAAAGTATGTCGGGAAGATCGACCACTTTCCCGAGCCAAGTCAGCCGAGTGACAAGCTGGAGCAGACATCGCAAACCGCCAGCAACTGCGACGACCCGAAAACGATCTCTCGCCCTTCGTCGGTAGATTGTCCGCCATCTGTCAATTCGGAACGGCTCTTGACCCGAGCGGCGATATGCGCCGCTGGTGGACCCCAAGAGCAGTCACAAGCCGATGCAGATGCTGTGCGTGGCGAGTGTGGCGAAACAAGCGCCGTGAAGATCGGCAAACCCGCCGGACTTTCAAGATCTCAAGCTTCAAAGACGAGTCCATCGAACGAAAGCAAAGCTGTAGTCGAGCGGCAATCAAGCCGCAAGCCAGCACCAACTCTGGCCACCGATGCGCAGGCCGCAACTGCGGCTAAAGCTCTGGTCAGCGAGGTTAGACGGCGCCTCAAGCATCAGGATACATCGGCCTCGTTCTCTGATACGGAGTTGGAGTTCAGCTCCAAAACGATTCAGCCTTCCAAAATATTTAATTTTGCACCGTTCTTGGACGAACCCTGTGAGCGACGAATCCGAATATGCGCCTCGGCAAAGAAAAAGAAACTCAAAAACCGTCCTCGATCCGGGTACGACTGCTTGGGCTGGATTGCACAATATTCGACACACATGTGTGGAGCAAGCGTTGGTACGCAGCTCCTCTTGACTAGAGCTTGGCAGTCTAACTTGCCCTCTCCGGAACATTGCTATGCTTACTCAGGGCGGCCAAGCCGCGCGTGCTGGACGACATTGAGGATGCGGAAAGGCTCGATTCTCGGACCGCCCTGGCTCAGAAGGGACAGATCTCATTCCGGAGCGCCTTTGACGCAGCGTGGTAAGGTCGTTACCAAAGTCATCGTTGTGGAGAGCATGATTGGTGATACATCCAGTTTGAGGAGGTTATGTCCGATCCAGTGTCTGGGATTCACGCTGGTACCTCGTTCCTTGCTAGCATCACCGGAAGGGCGGTCACCAAGGAGGCCATTGCCAAGGACGAGAGCCGTCTCCTGCTGAAAGTCGAGTCCGGGGTGCCCAGGGCGAGCGCGGACACATCGTCCGAAACCATGGGAGCGAAACTGGATGCGTCGGCCGAAGATAACACAGCCACTTCCCAGACAACAACGCGGAGCTCTCGGACCGGTCTGGCCACCTCGCTGGTTCGCGGGAAGCGGCCAGCGGCATATCCGTTCAGCGATCCCTTTGCCTCCCTAAATATCGGCAACAGCAATCAGTGTTCGTTCGGCACCTCGTACTACTCTGTCCTGACAACATCCTCTGACCCCTTTCTTCAAAGAATAGCCGAGATTGATCGGCTGCAGATGCTCACGATCCTATGGGAGCGGAAGGAAAGAAAGCGCAAACTCAAGTGTCAGCCCAAAGAGGGGTCGATGACCCAAAGCGGTGATGGAGGTATGTGCTGCAACAGTCCTTGGCGACGTAACTTCTGTCGATCTGGGACGCTTGGGATTATAGCGCCGAGCCAGGCCATCGATGCTTGTCGGGGTACGACAGGGAGGACTCGCATACACCGCACAATGCTCAGAGCGGTCATTATTGCCTCTTCTGGCACTGCTTGCGTCGCTACTATCCTTACGGCGCAATATCTAACCTGTCTTTTGTCGCAAGATTCTGTCAAGGGATCGACATCGGGTGCCCCTCAGCCAACCACGACGATCACTCCCAATAAAGTGCTGATTCGCAAGAACTCGTCCTTGGCAAGCGATCCTACCATCGGCAGCGACACTCCACTACCATCCCAAGAGAGCCCTCCTTCGACGCCAGACTCGTCGAGCTCAGCACCAGAGCCCGATAAAGAGCGATCGGACGACAGCGACTCTGTCGAGCAGCCCAAAGCGATAGTGATACAGAAGCGGAGCGATAAAAAGCCAACCAAGGCCACCCGTGCATCGCACACAAAGAGGGCCTATCGGCGTGAGCTGTTCTCGCTCAAGCAAAAACTCACCAGCAAACTCGAGAAGGCCGGACGGAATAGCAACTTTGTGAATCCTGGTACGGGGCCGGCCGATTCAGCAGGTGAGCGATCGGGAAGCGAGGCCGATACTCCGCCGCGAAAGGAGGTGCGCCGCAAGACCAAAATCCGGCCCAAGAAAGTCAAGGGCAAGAAGCCGGCACTTGTCGGCGCTGTCAAGAAGGGGAACACTGATCCAGACAGGAACGAGACCTTGATCGATCTTGATCCCATCCACGACGACATCGACAAGGACGAGTATGAGCCTTGGGGTTGCCGGAAAGACTCTGAGACAGATCCGAGCTCGTCCGACAAGGATCCGACGGTACAGCCGCTGAGAAGTGGTCTTTCCAGTACCAGCAGCTGCACAACATGCAATCGGCCCGCCTCTGCATCTTCCCTGAACAATCTCTCACCACGGTCGTCGTCTGCAGAGCCTGTGCGGATGAGTATCTTGGACATCAGCGCCAAGATTCTGCAGATTTCGTTCTCTGCACTGCACCAGAGGCATAGCTCCGCCGAGAGAAGCACCCCTAAGGAGCCGTGCCCGCCACCAGCACATTTAACCAAAGGCGAGAGCTTTGACCGCTCCAAGATTGGCCCTCGCCGGGTACTCCTGAATCTCGACTCGAGCGAGACCGTGGAGGACGATATTTCGGCGATTCACGAGCCGGTCGGGCCAGTGCCGGAGAGACCGCATCCGGCGGGCGAAACACTTGAAACCACTCACGTCTCCTCAGAAGGTCTTGTCATCAGGGACATTTCCGACACTGCCGATATCGAGATCGAGACAGAGGAGGAAGGGCCCGACAAAAAAATGACTGGCCGGACCCTGAACAACAGTGGCTCAATCGAGATCTCTGAGAACATCGAGGTTTTCCGCTCAGCCTCGGACATACCCGCCATCGACTCGCCGCTCCTCCGGTCTCCTGAAAACAAGCGGAGTCTATCTGTGCTGCGGTCATCGAATCAGGTTGAAACGAAAACCAGATCAGGATCGAAGAGCTACAAGAAGCCGACTCTCGCGAGAGCTGGCAACTACACCCACTCGCTGAAGGAGCCAGGCCATATCAGCGTCTTCTCTGTGCGCAGAGCATACGAGCCTATCAAGGCTGCCCCAGGTCACCTCGTGGACTATGTCTATCCCGAGCCGGATGGAGACTGCGACGATGAGTACGAGAATTATGAGATTGTGCCCACGCAAAAGTTGCGTTCCTCGGAAGAGTCAGATGCTCCCGCCGAAGCAGTGGCGAATGATTCGCCGAGCAAACCCAAGAAAGAATGTATCAAAAAGCAACGCCGGAAGAGGCTCGCCAATGGACAGACAGCAATGCCCACTGCCTGCGCGGAGGGCAAGAAGCCGAGAGAAAGTGGAGCGGCGCCTGTTGCATCTGGCTCAGGATCTGGCTCAGGATCTGGCTCAGGACCAGGGTCGGGCTCAGGGTCGGGCTCAGGCCCTGGTCCTGGTCCTGGAGAAGGCAAGGAGAGGAAGAAGAAAGCCAAATCCAAGGACCGTAAGCGCAAAGACCGGCGATCGTCGCTGAAACTGGGAAGCACGGGCGAGCCCTCTGTGGAGAAGGTATTCCAGTCTCCGGAGCTCGCAAACATAAGCTCATTCGAGCTTGACCAGTTCTCGTCCTGGAACGAGGAAGAAGCCACCGGGGCCGTCGGGGTCTTCCCAGTCTCGATGGGTGCGCTTGATGCCTTTGGTGGTGTACCCGTGAGAAAGCCTGTGGCCAGGTTATCGGGCCAAGCCAAGGCGTTCTCGACCGAGCTGCTGTGTCCCGACCTCCTGGCAATCGTGGCCAGTCCCGGGTCGTTCCAAAGTGACTCGGACGACAATGAAACAGGATCAAACGAAGGTGTCCTTGCGGCCGGCGAGAAATGCCCACCGCAACTCGGGCTGGATTTTGGCGAGGTTGCACGGAAACTGATCGTGGGACCGCCTCCAAAGCCCAAGCGCCTGAAGCATCACGGCTCCAGCGGCAGTATCGGCCGATCCAAAAAGCTGAAAAAGAAGGGCAAGAAAAAATCACAGCGTTCACAAAGCGAAGCAGGGCATCCTGGAGCCGTAGCCAGCCGCCATCCGCTTCTTGGCCAGTGAATACACGCATATGGCCCTAGAATAGCTGACTCTCCAATCAACTTCCAGAACAGCGAGCTCAATGCCGCCGGGGATTTGCTCAGCGGCGCGCAAGTCGAGCATCGCCAGTGGAAATCGATATCGTGCATCCAATATGGCGGTGCTCAAGGCAAGCGCTGCACCGGCCGCCAGCAGTAGCGGCGGTCTACAGCGGGCCCACATTGATGTGTAGTGTGAATGGAGCGGATCGGCCGCCTCGGCTGCCTCGGATCCACGGAGATGATCCAACCCCACTTGGCCGTTGTTGGCCGAGTACAATGTGATCCAACCCCTCTGGGATTTTTTCCAAACCAAATGCCGTCACACTTTTGTCAACACGCTGTGCGCTGCATGTGAAGGCACTCCGGTGTTGGTCGTGGTCCTGAGGAGGCAGAGTGAGGCAAGCCTCAAGGCTTACTCACCATTTCTCCGGCCCGTCTCCTCTGATTGTTTGGTGGCGTACGGCGAGTCAGGGTTACTCCGGAGGCAGTGCTGTCATTGGCGCATATCAGTGGATCAACAAACGACCAAGAAGCAAAACATTTGCGGATTGGGCCACAGCGCAGAATGGGCACCCCCTGGCGGGCTTGCCGCAGGGGTTTGAAGGAGATTCAATCTCCGAGCCAATGTCTCGGCTTGCGAACAGCGGGTCCGGTCCCAAGAGTCATCGTCTCGCAATGTTTACCCGATCGATATCTGGTCCTGGCCGGATGATTGGGGCTCTGCTTCTTGCCATAGCGAGTGGCTGGGGCCTCCGCTATTTACAACTGCGAGAAACATCGATACACACCATTTGTACGAGGCAGATGTACTCCTGTGCCAGCGGCACAATGCCGCCGTTATCCGTTGCCGGGTGTGGACGGAGGCTCGCCCAGCAAGCAACACACAAGACAAGAAGCCGTCGTCGAGTTGCCTCATCAAAACCGGGTCGCGTGCAGCACTTGGGACCGCCAATCTCAACGGATTCAAACGGATTGTTGCCCGGGTCGGCAGGCGTCCTCGTTGGGTTCCCTCCCAACTATATATTCGATGCCGCCGCCAGCGCCAACGACGTTCTGCTTTGGCCTCGTTACTGGCTTATGAGACACCCCTTTGGTATTACTTACCTATTCAGAAAACGATAGTACCTGTGATGGCTGTTGCGTACATCGAACGCATGTAGGTTTCCTGCTGCCAGGAAATTGTTCGCCACGATGTAGCATGCACCTTGGCTCTGGCTAATAGCCTTTCCGCCCATAGTACATTCACAACGAAAACCGTCCACATCCCGTCTGCTGCTCTGCAGCTCGTCGGCTCTCTGCCAACAGCACTTCCTGCAAACAGCAGCGAGACAACGCTGAATCTTACGCTCACAACTCTCACCAACACCGACTCTGATGGATCGGCATCGCCTCAGAGGCCGGCGCTGAAACGCTCCGGTGCTCAGCCCTGCTCGCTCAGCCCGTCCCAGAAGAAAATGGTCAGCTTCGAAGACGAATCGTCACTCCGGCGGAAAATACGCCATGTGGCGATATGGATCACCCGCCTCAAGCTCTGTTCTCAGCTGAGAAGCTGCATGATGGCAGGAAAATACAGTAAGCATGCTCTCGGCTCGCCTCTTCCCGACTTGCCACCAGCCAGGGCAAACCCATTCCGATCGGCTTGGATTGAGGCATATTGCTAACCCTTTGTATCGGGACGGGGTCGGTAGCCTTTGCCACGGTTTACTACATTATCCTGGGTGACGACTGAGTCCGCCGTCTCCCCCCCCCTCGCGCTGCCGCTGGGTTGCGCGCAAGATACCCTTGGTCGTTGATATACCCGCAACAGGCGTTCAATATAATGCATGGCTCGATCCAGGATGCAGAAGAATGGCATCGCGCAGAAGGCGAGATTCAAGAGCCGCGCATCTCAGACCGATGAGCGCAGACCCATCAAGAAAGGACGCAGTGGCAGACAACCACATCGTACCCGCACAGGTTTGGTGTGGCCGAGCAAGCCTTTGCGCAAACCAGGGCATATAGTCGACACCGCGGTACCGCAGACCGTCTACACACCAACCGTCTCAAACGGAAAAGAGAGCGACTCCATCTGGAGATACAGAGCCGAGTCAGCACTAATTGAATAGGGGACGACGACAAGACTGCGAGCCAGTGCGATCTGGACGCTCACCTGCTGAAGCTTGTTCAGGGGCAGCTTCTTGCTTTTGCCAAACTTCTTTTTGGTGGATTTGGAATCGCCGTTGGAAGCAAAATAGTACTGCAGGGCTTGCGCGGTCAGGTCCAAGGCGTAGCCGAACAAATCCAGCTCGCGGTTTTCCTTTTGGAACGAAGCGTCGACGAACTGGAGAGCCTTGGTGTCTCCGTGCGGGCGGCCGATTCCAAGGCGGAATCGGATAAACTCGCTGGCGCTGTTTCCAAGGTGCTGGACAATAGACTCGACGCCCTTGTGGCCGCGAATGGCTCCAAGATCTGTTCCGGCTGCGATGATGACAATAGGGGTGTTGTACGAGAAGTGACGAGGGTGGTGAGGATGGAGGACGGGGTCGATGCGCAAGCCAAATATCATCTGACAGGAGGGGCTCCATGCACCATAACTGCTATGTTGGCGGAATGCACAGACGCCAGGCCGAGTCGCCTGTGCATCGGTGCTGTGCCATCAGAGGCAAGAGTGAGGGCTGATCCGAAAGTGCGGGCTGGATCGGTGGATGGTTACTCACTGTGGATCGCGATCGAGCCCGGCAGGGTGTTGAGATCGTCAAAGGCGACGATGAGCTGCTTGGACGGGTTCGCAATATTATAAGCCAGCAGCACGTTCCGCACGGCGACGCCTGAATCGTTCATTCCCCAGATGGGCTTGACGATGAGCAAACGAAGTGTTCGCGACTGCAGAGCACATCGAGCCAATATCAAGTCGATGCATGCGGAAACGAAGGAGAAAGTCCGGTGAGACATGCGAGTGGTGCTGGACGATTCAGCAGGACCGATAAGCCAGACGGAACTGTCCGGGCTTGACCGAACGGCTGTAGCCTGACATTGCCGCTTCATGACTTCCAGCCGACGGGACAGCGGCATTGCAGGAACAAGCGACATACTACTGGCTCGGCGGACTGCTTCTTGGATGCCTTGGCGATAGCAACATCGGAGTGGCTTGCAAGAGTCTCGCCAGGGAAAATTGTGAACACGGTGTCATTGATGTCGGCTATCGTCCGGATGGCCGGTGGGCAGGATGGTCGACAGTGTCAAAGGGACAGGCGGCGGTCGCTGCTGGTCAGAGCCCGAACAAATGACGAATGCGGCGATGCATGTGCCAGAGAACGGATAGTCAACAGGAGACAGCGAGCAGCGGACCGATGCGAAATACCTCCAAGATCGTTGCGGCGGACATAGCGTGGTGGGTGGGTTGGCAGGGTCGGGTTGTCTACGCTGCCGCCTGTGGCCAGCAGATGCTGCTGCATGTGGATGCAGTTGGAGAGGTAATCGCAGAAGAGAAAGCCGGCTGCGGATGAAGACAACGTCGCCGTTGATGGCGATGGCGATGGCGATGGCGATGGCGATGGCGATGGCGATGGCGATGGCCAAGGAAGAAGGGACATGGATTAGCGGCGACAAACTGGAGATGTGCGAGAGCGAGGCACGACAGGACCAGGGAGGTACCGTTGTGTCGGGAGGAAGCGGCCGCTTCGCCAGTGTTGCCGAGGCCGACGACGACATAGTCGATCTGCGGGGTCTGCGGGTCCTGCATGGCGCCGTGCTGGTTGTGCGTTCGAGAAAGCAGCGAGATGAGGGGGAGTGGTGGTGTGCGGATGGCCAGCAGCATCGCTCGTGGCCATTCGGGCAGGAACAGACCGAGCAAGGAGAGGCGCCGCCGAGCAAGCGCAAAAAGCGCGCAGGCCGAATCCGGAAACGGCGGTGTGACACAGGCCTTCTCCAGATCCACCAATCAGGGCCGCGGCGGTGGCGGTCCTTCGGCGCAGCCCTAACCCTGCGGCCAGGGGGTTGTGCGCCTGCCCCGAGGCTGGCCGCCAGACCCAGGCCCTCTGCCCAGATCGTCCCAAGGCCCCACGATACCAGACACACCGAGCATGGAGGTCGACACACCTGAGCAGCGGCCGCAGGACACACCCGCCGCACAGACCCCTCCTGCCCAGCCCGAGAGCCAGCCGGCCCATGCGGGAGGCAATCCGTCAGCGACTTTGGCTGGCGCGGCGATTGTCGAGGAGGAGCTCGACACCTATCTGAACCCTGTCAGCCGAGGTGGGTGCTCTGGAGAAGGGCGTCCGGATATCAAGAGGATGATATCAAGAAGATATCAAGAAGATATCTAGAGGAGAAGACATTGAGAGGATGATTCAACACTCGCTGGAGACGTTCACGGGAGAGGCTCCTCCGGGTTTCTTGCTAGCTTTACTGACCTTTGCGTCCGCGATCCTCGTTCTGGATCAACGATGCGGTCGACTCCAGAAACCGACGGAGTCATTCTGCATGACAACGATATCTGCTATACCGTCACGCCCGTGGTAATGTTGCGGGATGAAAGCGTTTGGAGCCCGTATGATCGCGGTCGCAACGGCTCCTACCGATACCAGCCGGTCGATTCGGCGAGCAGACTCCTGCCAGACATGAAAACGCAGTCGAGTCTGGTGTTCTCGATCAAGTGGTCGCTGACAGACGACGGCCTGATCAACACACCCACAGGTCTCGGCTGGCCACCCTTGCAGTGTGTACTGCGTTGCAGCGACGAGAAACATGGTGGGTCCTTGCAAAGCGCTCGCCATGCTGAAGCGAGAGCAAAGATCCAAGCAAATGCAGAGATGACAAACGACCACAGCCAGAGCCATCCAATCGCCTGGATACCATGCAGCCGATACGGCAGCCACATAGTCCGGAAGCGGAGCGCTTCGTCGGACACCACCGACGCATCGTCTCGAGGCAGAACAGCATCGGGCAGTACAGTATCGAGCAGACACCGCTGACGGCCACAACGACGATACTCACGCATTCGAATATCTCCTCGATGGAACGGCCAGCGATGGGTCTACACTGGGGGCGATGACGGCTTCATCCGCAAATTTGATTTCGTACCTTCCATGAACGGTGACTATCCTCTGCCGCTGAACCAGCGCCACGGACTTGCCGATTCGATCATCCGGGTACGGCGCGCTTTCGAGCCGCAGAAGCTCGTCTGTTCGAAGCTCTTTTGGCTGAACCCCGTTTGTTGGAACGCTACGACTTGCGAGTCGTTTTTTATCAAACAACTGCGAATGATCGCGTCCAAGCTGACGACTCCTCGCCGCACGCTCGTCGCCAGGGAGGGCTGCTGATCTCAGCATGGGAAAACGAGGAAACGCTGCCGCGTGAGTATACGACTGCGTATGAAGCTATCCCTGGCGCTGTGGTCTCGTCAAGTTGGCTCGCTGGCTGAACACACATATCGTGAGACAGGACCGAACGCCGCCGATTCGGCACCGACAGAGAACCGCATCTCACCAGTATACAGCATCGACGTTCATTCGGAAGGAGCATGGGTCGTTACCGGATGTGAGGTGCGTTGAGTGGACAAGCTTGTGCTTTGGCTGCTGCCGCCCTGCTGCATTTCTTGGCCGCAGCGAACACTGCGCCGCTCCTTAACTGTGTCTAAAACTCTAGTCCGGAGCCATCAACATGTGGACTGGACGACATGACGAAGGGACGGTGAGTCGACTTTACTGCGGTGCAGCGACAGGCTGAGCTCGATCCAGCCCTCGAGCGCCAGTATGCTCAGTGACGCGGATCCCTCTCCGACAGTGCTTCCACACTCTTCAGCACCACAAAAACTCGGTATCAGTCCTCAAAATCACGCCAGATGAAACGGGACTGTTCAGTGGCTCGTGGGACAAGAGTGTGCTGGTGAGTGAGAATCAAGATATGTGCCCGCTGTACTGTCTGGCGATGCCCGCCATACCACGATGCGAATGTGTCGGAGTGATTGTTCTGGATGTGACTTCAGTGCTGATGCGATCGAAATCCTCTCCATGGCACGCCGTCCTACTGCTGGAACAATACTGCAGCGCTGGGATCTCAACGTTGGTAGGGTTGTTCGAGAGTTCTCCGGAGCATCCTCCCAGATTACGTCGATATCCCTGCGGCCAACTCCCAACACGGGCACGGGCCTGCCCAGCCGAAGCACCGAGAGCATTCTCATGTGCACGTCGTTTGACGGCTGCATCGGCATATTCGACGAGCGGGTTCCAGGACGGCCGCAGATCCGAAAGATCCTGCCTCAAGGGTCGCCGCCATGGGCGCTGTCGGTGAGTTTCTCGAGATTGGAAGACATCGCAGGTCGGTTGATGGCACAATCGCTCAACAAGCAGCAATTGCTCCCTCCAGGCTTGCTGGAGTAACGATGGAAAGCGGATCTACTGCGGGAGGAGAAACGGCACCGGTAAGGACAAGCTGCTGCTGGGTGCGAGCATTGTAGTCGCTGGGTGCGAAGATTGCTGCGGTCTTGCGAACTGCCTCGACGACGGATTTTGGACAGTGTCCTGTCCATTCTCAACCGAGCAGCCGCATCGGACCAGTGCGCTAGCATCATATGACCAGCCATCTGGATCTGCCCGGTGCTTATGACGGCCCTTGCTTCCCATTTCCTGGCCAGTGGATGAGTACGACTTTGCCGAGGGCAAGATTTTGCGAACCCTTCGCCTGCCGCGGGACTCTGGAGCCGTAAGCCAGGTGAATATTATGCCAAACGATCGGCACTTGCTTTGGTAAGTATTTGTCCCCCGCCTTTCTTGCAGAGCGTGGTCTGGTCTGGTCTGGTCCGCGCTCGGCCAGGCTGCTTCAATCTGCGAAACAATCAACGGTTTATTCAACGAAGTGGCAGTCACAAACGCCGAATCGACGACAGTGGCTTTCTATTGGCCTCGCGTCATCAAGGCGGTGCAATGGAGCTGACAGACCTCATTCTGCCCGTGTCCCCAGTGCCTCATACGACAACATCCGTCTTTGGGATCTGCAAGCATCAGAGTCCAAGCCAACAGCAGCCGACTCGTCGGTTCCATCCACCCCGAATGCCGCCAATCCGGTGACGCAGAGCAACCGGAGGCTCGACATTGGCGATAGCGCGTGTCCCTTCACGATCGTGCCAGGGCATCATGGCGGGGTGCTTTCGAGTCTGTGTAAGTACTGCAAGCTGAGCGACCAGCGGACAGCCTGTGCATCTGGTTGTACACTGATACTGCTTGTTGCGCCACCTTCGCCAGATATCGACGCCTCTAGAAAGTATCTGATCAGCGCATCCGGCGCGCGAGGATGGGACGGCGTCTCAACCAATATGTGTTTGTTCTACGATGTGAAGCCGCAGCGACAGTGAGGCTACGCCCGAGTCCGGGCTGCATGGTTCCTGCGAGCCATCGGCAAGCGCCATTGCCAAGCGCCATGAGCATGCCGGCGGTTTCCTGCCAGAGTGCTGCGAGTCCCACCCCGACCGCCAGGGCGAGCAGGGCGAGAGCCGAATCAGAGCCAGGACGGCTGGAATAGACCTCCCGGCACATATGCGCAGCACATCTGAACCCGTGCGACACAAGCGCGCACGCCGCACCTTGGTCGCGCCTGTCCTTGTTGCCGCACCGCGGTCCCAGCGCGCCTCTTGGTTTGGCGACGCCATTGTGGTGTACTGTGCTGTGTTATTGTCTGCCTGCAAAACACAGCACGCAACAATCCTGTGCAAGCGCAGCTGTTCTCGCAGGCATGTCAGCTCTGGGCTGCCTCTTCTTCCTCGCCCGTTGTCCTTCGTCCTCGTCCATCTTGCCTCGGCCGATCCGCTCTGGGCATTTTGTCGTCTGTCGTCTTCATTCACAGGTCCTCCCCCCTGTTGTATTTTCATGTTCAATTGTAATCTTACCTGTGCTTGAAACAACAACCCCGCCACCTTCATCTGGCTACTTTCTTCTTCTTTTGCAACCGTCCTCATATCTTCCTGACCAGCGCCTCTTCCCGCCTCCAAGCGCTCCCATCCAAAAGAACCTCTTTGACGACAAGCCTGCCTGACTTGCAGTCCCAACGCCTCTGCATCTCCATCGTCTTGTCCAGCCACAAACGATTCTTTCTTCCCGTCTGAGAATCTCCTTCAGAACGAAATCGAGAGAAATCCTTCCCCCAACGCTGTAAGCTCCCCCCGTTGACCTATCGGCCTCCATCGAGGTTCATCCAGTGTCGAGTGCAGCAGATGCAGTTCCGAAATACCCCGTGTGCCTCCTCTGGCCGTGGTTGTGGCTGTGTTGCTGATGCCCAAGTGCACCCTTCCCTCGCTCGACCCAGCCGCCCACATCGTCGCATTCACTGTCCTCCGACCTGCCCCAATCCTCCGCACACATACCGCACCAAAGCCTGTCTTCATTTGACCAAATCGAAACCATGATGGACGCCGTTGGTAAGGAAGCTCGTGCTCGAGGATAACCGAGTGCAGTCAATCGTTACGGGTCCGACTCGTTCGCAGCCTGCTCTGGCTAACCGTCCGTGGCATGGTCGATGATGCAGATGTCGTTGGATATGTCTACTGTCCCCCGGGATGGGACGAGCAGCGTCTCCGCTCGGGACCAGACGCCGAGGCGATCGGGTATGTGTCCTCCACCTGTGGTGCTCTGGGTCTGCGCAGGAGCGGGGCGGTGTCCAGGATGGCAGCTTGTCAAAGAATGGCAGCGACAGACAACCAAGCTCGGCACGGTTCTGGAAAGGGTATCTGTCCGGCTGGCAACGGGACGACTCCCGAGCCACTGGCGTGCGGTTATCGCCGAGTGTGATACCTGCCCTCGGGATACTATCCGACAGCATCGAATCTCATGTTAACGCCGGCGCTCCTCGGTCGGTCATGCTGCTTTCATATCGACTCGCCGCATCCAGACAAATCGCCGTGTCGACCTACACCGACATTGCCTACATCAAGGAGAAGAATGCCATCCAGATCTCTGGGGAGACTCACGACGATGTCTACCAAGCGTAAGCGTCTCTGTATCCTGGCGGACGGACGGGATCTCTGTCGGTGGGACGAAGCATCTACGAGTTGTGTGTGGCTGCATGTATGTAGGACGAGTGTATGGAGCTATTGCTATTTGGAGCTATGGAACGCTGGCGGTGCTAACCAATGCTCTCGGCCGCAACAGCCAGAACAAACTGAACGCCCTCTTCTTCCCCGTCATTGTCAAGTCCAAGCGCCAGTGGGCCCGCCCCGATCGACCCGGTGTCTGGGGCCAGCGCCGAGACTCGACGAATGGCGGCAACGCCAACGGTGGTGCCGGTGCCAACAACAACAACAACCCCTCCAACGGCAACAACACTGCCAACGGCGGTAACGGTGGTAACGGTGGCGAGCCCCAACAGAACGGCGGCCGCGGCATTCGCAAGATGCGGTCCGAATCGTCGCTTCGCCCCCAGAGCCAGCAGCCCCAGCCCTATGGAGCACCGGCCAGCCAGACCCACGGCTGGAAGTAAGGAGACCAGCACGGTTGTTCCGGCCGGCTTTGTGGGCGATCAGACGAGCCGAAGGTTACGGCCGGCACGATCGATTCCGGGAGCTGCCGGACATGACCCAGGACTACGAGCGAGCTCTGGGATGGCGATCTCCGCTTCTGGCGTGGCGACGCCGCCTTCCAAACCCATTGTGCATCAGCCGGAGCAAACGGCTCTGTCTCTTCGTGCGTCCAGTCCGAGTGCAACCAACCGGCAGACGGCCCTGTCTGCCATCTGCTGGATCTGTTTTGTTCTTCCAAGCCAAAGTACCAGTTGAAATCAATATAACTTGCTCGACACCAGTGCCAAAGGTTGGGTGGGCGGTAAGGGCGGCTGCCGAGCATCGATTCACAGCGCCGGCCATGCGGGACAGCCCATGATCGACATGACCGCTGGAGCCGAATCAAATCAAATCGATCAAATCAAATCGATCAATCGAATCGATCAATTCAAATCAGATCGGGCTGCGGCCAACCACAGCGGGCCACAGCGACCGCCGCGCACGCGCCGACGCGATGCGACGCGCACGGAGTGTGGCACATGCTCGCTTGTGCTGCGGCGCGTGGCACAGAGGCGACACACATTCTGCCGCGCACGCGCTGCCATGGCGCGCACAGGTTTTTTTTGACGCCGGATTCGGCCACGCGTCGTTGCCTCCCTGGATCCACAGCCCGAGTCCGCAGCTTGGATTCAATGCTCTGATCCACAGCTTGTTTCCACAGCTTGTTTCCACAGCTTGTTTCCACAGCTTGTTTCCACAGCCCGAGTCCACGGCCTGGATCCGCGCCTCGGCCACACGGCTCGCCTCCACGCCCTCCGGCCCCGTATAAAGCCCCAGCGCGACCTCGGCTGTCGCAGCTTCTTCTCTGGCCCTGCTTTTCCTTTTGCTGGAAACAATCGCCACCCCCAAGCGCAATCCGCCCGTCTAACGCTAAGCTCGCTCAAAGGTGCGTCTGCTGGCTCTGTTCCGCCCGTCTGCCTCCTCGTCTGGGCTCGCCGGCTCGCACCGGACCCGTGCTGTCCCTCAGCAGCCGCACCAATTGCGACCTGTCCCGGACATGTGGACCCAGCCCTTTTGCCCTCTCCGCCCTGGCTCGGTCTTGGTGGTTTCTGTCTCTGTCTCGAGGGAGTTTCTCTCTCGCTGTCGTGTCGCTGCATCTTCGGACTGCCTTGGTTCGGCGGTACATGTCCCTTCCTCCCCCCCTCCTTTCTGTGGGTGCGACAGTCCAACAGCAATCCTCTCGGTCGGTCGACATCCACTCCCCCCATCATTGCGTCGATTGCTTTCGTCGGTCTTTGGGATCCCACACGCCATTTGATTTTTTTTTCTGTCCGGGATCTGGGCACTCGGGCACCCCACCGCCCTCTGACCCTGATCAATCGCTCCTCGGGCTTCCGTCCACCCGTCCGGCTGTGGGATTTCTTTGGCCCCGATGGCAAATGCCGCCCTCCTGCCCCCCCCCCACCACCCACGGCTTGCTGTGCCCTGGTCCCCCCCTGCTTGAGACACTCGTCACATATCGGCTCGTTGCCGGCGGGGACCTGGCCGCTGCCTCCTCGGCCAGCGCACCCCCCCCCCTCGGTTGTATCCGCTAATGCAGCTGGGCTGGGTGGCTTGGTGGCATAGCATTCCGGCTGCTTTTTTTCTTTCCACGGGCGGGGATCCGCTCGCTGCGTCCGACCCCAGCGTGCCTTTCCTCCGCCTCTCGCGCTATATATCTCGGTCGCAATCGCGCCGACGGGGGGTGTCTCCCAGCGACAAATTCGATATCCGACCCGTCTTCTAATCTATACCCTCTGTCTCCCCCCCTCTTCCTTTGCTGCTGTTGCCGTTGCTGCTGCTGTTCTGCCCCTGCCAGCCCTCATATTCTTTTCGTGTCTCATAAAAAAAGCCCCTGCTACCTTGCCTGCCTGCCAAATTATGTCCGATCAGTTGCAACAAGAAATCAAGCTTCTCAATGAACAGAACCAGCAGCTCCAACAAGAACTAGCACAACTGCAAAAGGTTGGTTGTCGGAATCTGGCCCCTCCTGCCATAGCGCTCGCCTCAGGGACACATTTCGTGCTGTTTTGGTTTCTGTTTTTTTGCCCACAGTAGGTGGCCCAGTCTTACGGTGTGATGCTCGTTGCACCCCTGCCTACAGGAAAAGCAGCAGTGGCGCCAAGCCCATGCCCAGGCCGAGGACCTTGAAGCCCTCGCGGACCAGCTTCACCAAGAGTCCAGCTCGCTCGAAGGTGAAGCTGCTCGTCTGAGAAAGCTCAATGCCGAGCTCGAGCGGGTCCTCACTCGCGAACGCGCCGAGCATGCCGAGGAACGAAACAAGTGGTCGGAGAAGGAGAGCGAACTCCAGAAGGCTGCCCGCGAGCACTACCGCAAGCTCAAAGGCAAGTTGGTTGCAGCGCTGTTGCAGTTGATTTCCCGTCCGAGCCTGCCTTTTCCGCCCTCCTCTGCCATTCGCTTCGTTGCTGACCATTTGTGATCTGAACCACCACGACAACGGCAACTCTGCCTCCGATCACCACTCGTTGTGCGCAACAGAGATGCGGGAAGCCCTGGCGGTCCACGAGAAGCTTGCCAGCGTCGCTACCAAAGAAGCGCCCGCTCCCGTCGCCAACAACAAGCTGAACGTCTCGGTCTTTGAGCTCCAGCAAGAAAACTCCAAGCAGCGTCTGACGATCGAAGAGCTGACGTACCGCCTGCAGACCCGCGAGTACCAGCTCCGTCGCCAGGACGAGGAGATTGCCCAGCTCCAGCAAACCGTCAGTGCTCTTATGGACGAGCTCGAGTCCCGCGACGAGCACGCCCAGCACTCGGACACCTCCTTTGAGGGCGGCATCGATCTCGACGCCGAGCTCAACCACGGCACCTACATCCGCTCTCCTCCAAAGTCCATTCCCGGCTCGCCCAACATGGGCTCGGCCTCGCCGCCCCTGCCATCGGTCTCCAACTTCCCGAGCCAGCGCCCCGACATTCCTACCGATGCCAAGGTGCTCTACGACGAGCAGAACCCCAGCCTCGGCAACCTCGCCGACGAACTCGCCCGCTTCGACAGCCAGTTCGAAGCCTCGAGCTTCGGCACCATCGCCGACGAGCTTGGCCGCCTGGGCGAGAAGGCCCCCACCACTGGCCTGCAGCCCCCGTCCCCGACCCAGGACATCCACTTGCTCGGCGACGGCACCCTCAAGTCCCGCCTTGCTGCCCTTGGCCTCAACACCGAAGGCAACCGCAAGATCCTGCGCAAACGCCTTGAACGCTACATCAAGAAGAAGGCCCAGAAGTCCAAGGTTGTTCCCACTGCCTAAGTTATTCGCGTCCGTCCTGCCGTAGCCCGGTCTCTCGTCCGCCCTGTCGATGTCGCGCCGTCCAACGACCCCCCTGCTATCCGAGCCGGCACACATCTTTGTGTCGGTGTTGGGCTGCTGCCCCACTGCTCCCTCTCCCTGAAGCTTTGATCGACCTCTCTCGTGCTACGCGATGCGCCAATCACCTGGCCCATCTCTCGGACTCCTTTCGTATATATTTTCCCAAGCTTTTTCTTCATCCGTGCCCGGCGCCCGCAACACCATGAAATCACACGCTCCCGTCGAGAAAACCAGAAAAAAAGTCACAGCCCACACTCGTCCCCAGCTCGCTCACGTAGATCCGTCCTCTCACCCGCCTCCACACAATCCCTCTCGCTCGCTCGCTCAACCACTCACTCCCGACCTCGATCCCGCCCTGGTTTGGTTTGGTTTGGTTTGGTTTGGCTTGGCTTGGTTTGGCTCTTCTTTCCGACTGTTGTCTCAATGTTTCTTGGTTGCTGCTGTTGCCATGGCCTATCGTTGTTGTTGCTCCAAAGCAGGCTGCCTTTATTTATTGAAATTCTCCACGTCGCTTCCGTTTCTATGAATGTTTTGCCCATCTGACCGGCTTCTCCTGTCGTTCCACTCGCCCTCCGCCTCTACCTGGTCCAGTTCCTCAGTGTTTTGCTCGTTCTTTTCTAATCCCTTTGTTTGTCTCTGAGTGGAAAACGGAGATTTCGGTCCCCTATGAAGCAACGACGTTTCCCTTTCTCATGATCCTTTGCCTCCTCCTCCATCAGCCGCTTGGCTTGTTTTCTCCATCGCCTCCCCCCCTTCCTCCCTTTCCCTCCTGTACGGTGTCCTGTCCTCCAACTTCCCCACCCCCCATCCCTTCCACATATCCCTCCCGTTTTGTTGAAGGCAAGGGCAACGGGACACAAGGAACAATCACTGATTCCGTTGGTCTCTCTTCCCCTGCCTGTGTATCGTTTGGTTGCATCAATCTGTGCTCTTTTTGCTTGGCTCGTGTAGGCAGCAAGAGTGCAGAAGAACAAAAAAGTGGAAATATACTCAAAAAGAAAAAAAAATCACATCCAACACGTTGCTCATCCCGATCGATAGAGTGAATGGCGGGTTGCTTGTTCGTTCAGACCAGGAGACAGACCCAACTGAGTCAGTCGTACCATGTCGATCGTGACCTTGGCTGGACCCGACCGGCGATGTGCCGCTGGTCAAGTCCAGCCGCATGTGGGAGGAGTTTCAGCGAAATCGGCCATGTCCGTCCAACAGTCGAGCACCACAGCAGCCAAAGCAGTCCAAAAGTTCAACCCCCCTCTGTCCAACAATCCAAAAGCCCAGCCATCCGGTCGTCCAGCAGCCGAACATCCGCATGACCCCGCGGTCATGGCTCTGTCCGTCCGCCCTGGTCTCCATGTCGATAGCCGAGCCACAGCCGCAGTTGCAGGCACAGCCGGTCCTCTGACCTGCGAATGCAGCGGCAGCGCCAGACAGTGCTCGATTCCTGCACCATCTGCAGCCAGGCCCGCATCTGGTACCCCACAAGTCCCGCTGTCCAGCAAACATCCCAGGCATCATCGTCCAGCACACAGCACCACAACCACAGTCATGATTGTCCACCCCCCCCGGCACCGCCGCCGCTGCTGCCGCTTTCGGGGTGCATGGACAAGATCCCAGCCGACGTCAGGACATTGGGATTGGTTCATGATTGCTGACGGCGGACGGGGCGGTCGATGTCCACCCCCCTCCTTGTCCACTTGCATCGGCGATTTTTGGGAGGTGCATATATGTCGTGGGAATGCACTCCTCCACCAACATCCCATCACAACTCTGGCGCTGCTACCTCGATACCCTTGTCCTCTGAGCAGAACTTGCCGGTGCAGCCGTCCTCTGTCATTCTCAAGATCAAGATGAAGCCGATACTGACCAGCCGACTCCCGCCGGAACTGTGGATCCATATCTTCTCGTTCACGGCGTCGATCGCCGATGCCGTTTCGCTCCTGTCGTGCTCCCGATACCACTACCGGATGCTCAAGCACAGGCTCGAAGCTCAGACCCTGCAGATCCTCTCGCGAAGCGATCCCATCGAGCCTAGCCTGGAGCGAGCCGCCCGGCACGGCAAGACCTGGGTGCTGGCCGGGCTGATCGACCACCTGCGTGTTCAGACGGGTATCATGCCATATCTCCCGATGATGCTTGCCCAGATCCTGGTGGTCGCATGCCAAGGCCGCCAGACCGGAGCCATCCAGGTGTTGCTGCAGCACCAGCCGGCGCTCGAGTGGGACGGCCACCGGGCGCTGCGGGCCTGCACCCAGCACAGCGACCCGGAGGTGTCCCGGCTTCTCTGTGACCATCTATCGGTGCGATCCATCTCCTGGAACACCACCCAGGCCATCATCCGCCGCCGCGTCTTCAAGACCGAGGCCGCCCCGGTTGTGTCTGGAGCACTGGCGACCGAGACGGCAGCCAGCGGCCCTGCGACTGCTCCGGCCCACACCCGGGTTGTGGTCTCTCGGCAGGTCAGAACCCGCCGGCTGTGCATGATCAACCCGGACTGGGCCGGTCGTTGAATTGTCTTGTTATTCAATTTTGATTTTGACCTCACACATGCATTCATTTCACTCTCATTGACACTCAACTCATTCCATCGATACAAGCTCATTCCATATGCATTCATTCGCACTCACTCATTGAATCCATTGCACTCATTCACTCATTGAATCCATTGCACTCATTCACTCATCGATAGCATTACACTCATTCACTCATTGATATCATCAAATACAGTACACCTTGTTCGGAACGAAACGGGACAGTGTGCTGGTGCCAATGGTAGTTCTTCTTGCCAAGGGCAGTTCTTCTTGCCTCCCTCCATCTCACCCTCCATCTCACCCTCCATCTTACTCTCTGCCCAGCCAGCGTCCGCTTGTGCACGCCCCCTCACCCACCCGCCCCCACCTGCTCAAAGGATGCAGAGCACACTCCCACGGGCTGCCGCTGCACGCCGCTGGCCCCTTCTGCGATCGCACAATCCCTTTCCGTGACTGAACACAGGCCAACAGACACTTTTCGTCTGCGGTCCTTTCTCATCCGGCTTTGGCCTGCTCCCCGCTCGCCCTGCCTGCTCCGCTCGATCGCATTGCCGTCTCCGGCGCCCATCCGAATGCTCGTCGGCACACTCGGCCCTTCTCAGCCCCTCTCGGGGCTCCTGCTCTTGCTCCCGCTGGCTCTGGCCCATACCGACACCCGGTTTGGTCCCCCGACCCTTTCGGCGTCGGCGTCGCTGTTGCCCACCGCCGCCCAGCACCAAACCTCCTCAGCACCAGCATCATCCTCGCCAGCCCCAAACTCCGTTGCCGCCTCGCTGTTGCCGGCGCCGTCTGTCGCCAGCCCAGCGTCCGTCGTTCAATCGTCGGACACCTCGGTCCCATCTCCTTCTCCGGCAGCGTCGTCCTCGCCCAGCCCCATGGTCCTGTATGCTGGCATTGGCGTCGCTGGTGCGTTGCTGTTGGCGCTGGCCGCCCTGTGTGCCTTCCAGAGGAGCCGACGACGTCGAGCCCACAAAGCGCCTGCTCCGCCCGGTCCATCTGGCTCCGTCGAAATCGTGCACATGGATGCCTTCAAGGACACCGATCTGGCCAAACTGCCGCCTGAGGAGCTGTCGAGGGCCGCCGTCGAACGCCGAAAGTCGATTCCATACTCGACGCGGGACACCCTGCTCATGTATGCCGACTCGACTGCGGGGGCATCGGGCGATGGTCTGCGCCTGCTCGTCGTCAACACCCAGAGCTGCTCCTGGAGGTTTGTCAAGGACGACCACTCTGACTCTTGGTCCGCTGTAAGTGCCTCCGTCGACTCGTGCAGCCCCGGCCGCCCCCAGAGCCACCTGGATCCTCCAGGAACAGCTGCCATGTTGGAGCCAACTAACCTCGATATTCTGTTCTCTGGAATCGGCAGTCGCTAACCAGCGTCTCGTCGCAACGGCCCGAGACAGGCCCCCAGACCATCCTTGTGGTGCCATTTGCATCTGAGGCCCAGTCTGCCGCTCCGCAACTCGAAGAATCCGTTGCCTACAAGGCCTCGATCAGCACCGAGTCGGTCCTGACCTTCCATAACAACGAAACCAGCGTCCATTTGCCCCTCGTCATCCAGTCCGACTTTTCCAACCACACCTTCCGCAACTTTGTCCTCGAGTTCGATCGGGTCCTCAAGCAGCTCGCCAAGCACATCTTGATGCCCGCGGCCCGCCTGGACTACTATGAACAACTGGCTCAGTGCCAGCTGAGGCTGCGCCGGATGGGCGAGGCGCTGAAGCTGCTCGAGCACTCCGAGGCCTGGATCGATACGAGGGTCAAGATTGGATATGCCCCGCGGAGCCGGAACGAACTTGAGCTCAAGCGAGGCGACCGCATCCTGGTGTTCTACCAGCCCTCGCCCGAGATTGGATACGCCATCAACAGTGAGTATCGGAGTGCTGTTGTTGGAGCTCGCTCCCTTCCCTGACTCGGACCGGGAGCCCGCTTCCAGTGTCAATCCGGGGCAACTCTGGTCCCTGCTCCTCCCGGTGCCGGCTCCCCCCTTGCTCTGTGCACCTGCCCTTGCCTTTGGCGCCTGTGCCGCTTGAATTGACTTGGCCTCGCTCTGCTCAATCAGTGCAAACCAAGGAGATCGGTTTCCTACAAATGAGCCATCTCGAGAAGCTCCGCCCCGCTGGAAAGAACCCGAATCGTCTGTCGACACTCTCCAGCTTCAGTGCTGACAACGGTTCGGCATTCGGCGGCCCGTCGATTGGCACCCAGGATCGCCGTCCCTCCCAGGGCAAAGCCAACCACCTGGAGTACTTCTCGCAGGGCGGTGGCACTCGTGCGATGAGCCCAGCCCTCGACCCGGCCGGCTCATACAACTATGGTGTGGCCCCGCTACCGTCTGAGTCCTCGAGTCTTCATCGTCCTCAGCCATCCTTCTCAGGACCAGCCGGCCGTAACAACATCACCCGAGACCATACGCTCGAACGCTGGCCCGTGCGAGTGGCCAGTCCGTACCAGCCGGTGCAGGACAGCTCGCTCCTCGACCAGCTCAACCGCTCGGCCACCCGCCATGACGCCCGCCTCGCGGCTACCGCCGACCTCGACCTGATTCGGACGCTCTCGAACCCTCTGTCGGTGACATCATCGACATGGTCCGGCGAGTCTAAGCGCAGGAGTGTCGTGCTGAATCCGCTGCCGTCACTGCCCGAGATCGACAGGATGATCTCGACCATCCACCAGGAGCATGTCAGTGCCGAAGACGAAATCAACAACATATATCGATCTATGAGCACCATCATCACGAACCCGCCTGCCACGCTGATCCACTCCCCAACGCCGCCGCTGCCCATCCTTGCCCTCAAGGACTCGGCTATGCGCGGGAACAACCCTCTCGATCGGGCCGAGGAGGAGCAAGCCGGTCTGGACGATCCCCCGTCGAGGCTTGAGGCTCCGGATGGCATTCATACCTCTTATCGAGGCGCCCTTGTTTCTGACGCAGACGGCCGTATTTCGAATCAGGAAGGACCTGGCCACGATCGTCCTGGCGGCGGCCCCGGCAGCTTGTTCCAGAAAACCGGCGGAACCTCGAGCTGCGAGTCGATGGCCACCACAATCCAGCACGAGCAGGGCGACAGCATGCCGCTCCTCAAGTGATGTGCATCACCAGAATTGCGGCTCAGTCCCGCCGTCGTTACATGAACCTTTCCATTCTCTCTGCCTGCATCGCCACGCCGCTCCATACACCAAAGCACCCATCAATTACCTTTGGCGCCAGTTATGCACCAACACCAGCCGTCACAACAACCGGCGGCAAAACTCCATACATTTTCCGCAATAGAAGCCACCTTTCTTATTATACCGCTATCCACGGACACGGGAGGGGCACTCGGTCCACGGGAACATCAGTAGTACGTAGTCGCAGACGTACGGGCTGTTCGGGTGCCGGTGCCTGCGCTTCCATTCGAGTATCGGTACCGCTGATGCGACGTCGCTGAGCTTGCCCGGCTGCTCGGGGTGCTTGTCGGATTTGAGAACCCGGTGGTGCTGGGCCCGACAGTGCCTGAGGGTGGCTGCAGAGTGTTCGTGCTGGCGCCGGACCGGACAGCATGCGCGCTGGGACCAGCGTCTCCGCCGGAGAGTGTCAGATTTGACGCTGCTGCTCCGGGTTTGTCGGTGGGCTGGGTTGGAGCTGTGGCCGACGCAGGCTTGTCTTGGTCGTTGCGTGTGTTTCCCGGACGGGACTTTGATCCGGAGCCAGAGCCACCAAATGAGGGCTGGGGAAGTCGCTCCGGATCAAAGTTGGAGACCTCTTCGAGTGCCTTGCTTTCCTGTTCTGTGGCTATACCCTCCAAATGGAACTCTGGGGTCGCCGCCACCTGATTCTTCCACAGTAGAGACGATTCAGACGGCGATGGAGTCGGGGCCAAGGCCTTGTTCGCCTGGAGCCGCTTGAGAAAGAGCCGGTGCTGGCGGTACATCTTGGCTCGAGCGGGCACGTAGAAGCACATCCAGTCCAGCACCGCCGGGGGCAGGCCCGAGTCCGTAAAGGCGAGCTGCCAGCCGTGGATCCCCATGTGCTCGATCATCAGCCGAAAGTAGGCCGTGAAGCTCTTGGCGATGCGGAACCACGAGCCAGCACCCTCACCGGGCTTGGTCTCCTGGAACCAGACCTGGACGACCGGTTGGGCCCTGGACTCGCCGTCGGGCTGGGGGGCACCAGCGGTACCGGTGGTACCGGTCGCCTGTGCGGGGTCGTCCTTCAGGGATTCCGAGCTCGGCGAGTAGTTGTATCGCGGAGGCGTGTGCATATAGCAAAGACACACACGACCGTATCCCCGGCATTCTTGCAAGACAAAAGATGGCCCTGGCGGCTTGGAGAGCGGCTGGAAGTACGGATGGTCCAGAGCCGACCCATCCGCAGTGCGGCGCGGCGAGTCCACACGAACCAGCCGCTCGAGAGCGTTGATGTGGATGGCGCCGAGCTGGAAGGCCTCCTGGTGACTGAATTTGACGGACCATCCGAGCAGAATGCCGTCGGTGATTTGCAGAAAGGCCTTGAGATCGCTGGGCAGGGCGATGCCTGGGTGGTCGCGTTCCCACGCCAGAAAATGGTACGACGAGAGCGAGTTATTGCGGCTGCAGAGCTTGACCTCGTGCACGCCGGGGCAGGATTCGAGAAAGCCGATGGCTCCAGAGAAGATCTCCTCAAGCAGGACCGACTTTTTGGTGCTGGGCTTCTTGGCCATGGTGTGTGGTGGCGGCGAGATGCTGGTGGTTGTGGGATGGCGTCGGCACCGTCCGAATAGATGATTTGTATCGGCGCGGATGGGCTGGAGCGTGTGTCTCGGACTGCAGATCGATGAGCGAGACGGACCTATGCTTGCTGGGGCTCGCCGGACAAGACAGAGCCATCCCCCGCGATGGTGGTGGAAAGTAAATCGGCGTCGATGTTGGGCCGAGCAGTTTGTCTGCGTGGGAAGCGAGCAAGAGCGAGAGCACAAGCGAGAGCACAAGCGAGAGCACAAGCGAGAGGCGCACACACACACGCGCGCTTTCGGTCCTCCCGAGATCTCGAGACGTGCGGGTGTTTCTTCCTCTGGCTCGATCGCCGACGGATGCAGACCCGACGCCCCGCTGCGACATCGGCCTCCCACACTCGCATCATCAGCAACGGCATCCTGCACCAGCGCCGCACAACAGCGCCCCTGATCCCAGAGTAGCCGCCGCCAGCCACACCCCACAGTCCCAAACCGTAAGCCTCCGTCCTCTTACTCCAGCCCGAGCTCGGTACCACATCTCCGATCGCCATGTCAACAATCGTCGTCCCCTCGCAAACGCTCTACGTCACAAACATCAACGGCAAAATCAAGAAGCCAGGTACGGCCAGCCACTATGCCGACCAAAGACAGGCCATGTATTCGCCTGTCGCGATCTGGTGATGCGACGGCGAGCTACGGTGTCCATTGATTGCGCTAACGCATCCACACCCCTCCGTCGATCGCTTGTCAATGCTCTACCGATCCTCCGCGGAAACCCCCTGCCGATCTTCGATATTATGATGAAACATTGGACGGTAGAGCTCAAGAGATCACTCTATGCGTTGTTTTCGCCGTACGGTCGTGTCCTCGATGTTGTCGCCGTCCGCAACGCCAAAATGCGGGAGCAGGCCTTTGTGGTCTTCAAGGAGGTCGCCCAGGCCACAGCGGCGATCCGTGGATTACAGGGCTTTCCTTTCTACGACCAACCGATCGTAAGTCTCGAGGGGGAGAATGAGAATCGTCTGGATCGACACGGCAGGACATGTGGATGGACAGCCACGATGAGCCCCCCCCTTCCCTGCTTCATAGCAAGAGGGAGGCAGCTCTGAAGTTGTTTTCCGAGTCGACTCGCTGTTCTCCGTCATGAGCCTGCAGTTGCAATTGAGCCAGCGATCGATAGACTGCGAGTATTTCTTCCTGGTCGCTGTTGCGGGCACTTGATGGTCGGGCTGTCGCTGACGCCAACTGCAATACCGACGGTTTGGGGGGATCCCCGGTACCCTGCCGACACACCAGAAAATCACATATTCCCGGACCAAGTCCAATATCCTGACGATTATGGAAGGAAGCATGATCAAGCGAAGCAAGCTTGGGCCGGCCGTGTCCTCAGTCAAGGCCGCTGGTCCAGCACCACATCCTACCGGCGCGCAGGGAATCAAGCGCGAGAGAGACGGCGCAGACGACGATCACGAGCCTGTCAACCAGAGCCAGCAGAAGAGAGTCAGAGACGCAGACGGCAAGTACCATCGATCGTTGAGCAGGCGGATTTGGTGGCTCGTGCAATCTCATTTGACATCGTCTGGACGAGCATCCGAGGCCGCCCGAGCCACAATGATGAGCCCATATGGTGCTCCTTGGCTCATTTGCAGCCCTGGGCCTTGGCCCATACCGACCGACAAATGGATCCCCGACTCACTCTTGGATTGCGGCCTCGAGGAGTCGAGCGGATGAAGCATTGTCGATAGCCAGCTGGCCCTTTGACGATCGGACCGAGCCTGACCCTTTTCTACTTTGACCTTTGCCGACACAGACCCTCAGGACCAAAAACAGGCTGCCCCCGACGTTCCACCCCATCGCGTTCTGATTCTCCACAATCTGCCGCCGGAAGTGACCGAGGCTGCCCTCGAGACGCTGTTCAAGCAGTACCCGGGTCTGATCGACGTACGGCTGGTGCCGGGCAAATCTGGTCTGGCCTTTGTCGAGTACGAGCAGGACAGCCAAGGCGCCGTTGCCCGAACAGGCCTGAACGGCTTCAAGCTTACCCAAAACTACAGCTTGGTAGTAGAATATGCCAAAAAGTAGAAAAAGTAGACCTCAGCGCACCCCGTCCCTCCCTGCACATGCCGCTGCCCCACTGGCGGCGTCGCTGCTGTTGCGCAGGTCCGCGAGCAAATACAGCTTTGGTTTCACCCCCGTCATACAAGTAAAAGCCCATCTCAGGGACCGATGGCATCGGGACTATGATGGGAGCCGCGCAATAAATATCGCCGGCAGCTCAATGCATCCCGGCAGGCCCTTGGCAGCGATATCTGGAGCGCCCACGGTCATGCGACCATTGACACCAGCTATCCGCGCGAAACCCTGGCCTGCGGACAGCCAGGGCTGTGTTGATCCTGTCCCTGATCCCGATCCTGGCGCCCTGTCTCAGAGCCGACATCGCTCGCAGGTCCTTCCTCGCTGCAGCATCCAAGCCCGTCAGTCGGATCCCGACCAAGAGCACCCACTATCGCCATGGCCGACGCTTCTGCCCCTCGCTCCGAACACGAAAAGATGCTCAGCGGCGAGCTGTACTTTGGCTTCGATCCCGAGCTCGTGGCCGCTCGACAGGCTTGCCGCACTCGCCTCGAGCAATACAACGCCCTCCAAGTCAACGATCGCTCGCCCGGGGTGCGGGAAAAGGTCCAGGCCTCGCTGATCGATCTGCTGGGCACCATTGCCGAGCCTTTCAATGTCCATCTGGAGCCACCCTTCTCGTGCGACTACGGCAAGAACATTCATCTGGGCAGCGACGTCTACATGAACTTTAACTGTGTCGTCCTCGATTGCGCTCCCGTCCGCATCGGCTCCCGGGTGCTCTTTGCCCCCAATGTGCAGCTCTACACGGCCACACACCCGACCGACTATCGAGTCCGCAACGGCACACAGGGCCCTGAATACGCAAAGCCCATCACCATCGGCGACGATGTGTGGATTGGCGGCTCGACCGTCGTCCTTCCTGGCGTCACCATCGGCAACGGCGCTGTCGTCGGCGCCGGGAGCGTCGTCACCAAGGACGTGAAACCCTACACAGTCGTTGCTGGCAACCCCGCTCGGTTCATCCGATATGTCGAAGGGCACTCGCCGCAATAACCCGGTGGGTCAGCCAACTGGCCGTTGCGCTGCGAGAAAATGCACGTCCTGCAGCGGAGATGGCATGATGTTGTTATTCTATTGCCGGGCTTGTACAATAGCCAGCTCGGGTATGTTGTATCGAAATCGGATGCAGACTAAAATAAACATAGTGAAAGAAAGCGGCCAGGAGAGTCTCTCCGGACGCTGTCTATATGATGGTGTCCAGGATACGCTGCAGCTCCGGGTCGGTCTCTGGAACAGGAGGGGGCAGTTTGGGACGTCGCTGGGACCGAATGTTCACAGAGTAACACTCGCCCGAGGCCATCTGGATCACCAGCTCGCTCGGCCCGACGAGGTCGTGGCGGTCCTTGGGGTCTTTGCGGCGCAGGGATGGCTCGACATGGGTCTTGGCTCCGGCTGCTTCAGGACGAGACAGAGGGATGATTCGGGTGCGGAGAGCGGGCAGCTGGGGCGCCAGGGTCGGACCGGGGCCTGGGAATACTGCCCGATAGGCCTGTCCAGGGAGGCTCTTGGCCCTGGCGAGGGTCTGCTGGACCAGGCGAGGCGGCGAATACAGCGGGATGGCGATGGTGTACGTCTGCGACTTGCGTTCAGGGTGCTCGCTCATTTCTTGGCCATCGGAGAGTCGGTCGGTCGGCGAGGATATGGCTGCTGGAGGACGGCTGTGGAGGCCGGGGCAAAGTGCGTATGGGCGGGGTCCGCTGTTTGTTTCATCCGAGGCTTGTGGTGGTGGTGGGCTTGCGGTGGAAGATTCCTGTGCAAGCATGCGAGCGAGCGGGGCAGCGGGATCGCAGCGGGCTGATTGCAGCTCGGTGCCCTGCGAGGCCGACCCGGCTCCACCACAGGACATGTCGATGCGGTTGTGGTTGTGGTTGTGGTCGTCCCCAAATGCCTCCCGGGACCGAGTCTCACCAGCACAGCTCGCAGGGAGGGTGGTCGACACCTCTCTTGGCTCGCGGTGATCGAGAGAAGTACAAGGAGGACACTCTCGACGCCACAATTGGCGCCTGCCCGATAAGAGATTGCGGTGTGCGCTGGGAAGACGGCCAACTTCCTTGAGGACGGCCACCCAGGAGACAACGGGCGTGGCCAGCGCTCGCAAAGCGAAACGAGAGCGCCGAGTTTCGGATGTGAATACGCACCCGCCGCGACGGGGACATCGACTCTCGATGCCGCCTCTGGCCCGGGCGGCTTCTTCGCTCGGCTCTGTCCTTCTGGCCGAACATGGAGTCCATCGCAGCCAACCAGCGCAAGCCGCAGCACAGTCCACTGTCCCGTTGCCTGTTGTCTGTTGTCTGTTGCCTGTTCCCGTGCGGGTGGTCGGGGCTGGACTGCCGTGGCGCAGCACCGTGACTTCCACATGACCGCCTGATCTGCTTCCGCCAGGATCGCCGCTGACGAATCAGGCCGCTGCTGCTGCCTGCAATCTCTGCGGCGCCTTTGATCCAGGTCAGGACAGCCGCCCACCCAGCCCAACCCAACAACCGACAACTCGACAGCCGACACGCAATGGGACGACTGGAGCTCATCGACGAACTAAGAGGTTCGCAGCCCGAGCTCCGATGCAGCGCATCTTGACATGCATGGCGCCGCCCGGATAGTGCACTGCGGCCTCCCATCTCGAGCTGGTCATCTGGCGCTCCCTGTGGAAACAAATCCCATGCTTTGCATCGCAACCATCCTGCTGGCGACCTGAACTCCCCCCCGTCATGATGGCAACAGGACACAGCGGCCAGGTGTGGCAGGTCAACTGGTCTCCGACGGCGCCGGTGATCGCATCCTGCGGGAGCGACAAGAGCGTCCGTATCTGGAAGCGGGACGCAGCCGGCAAGTTCCAGTGCGCCACGTTCTTGGACGACGCACACTCGAGAACCATCCGGTCGGTTGCCTTTTCTCCCGACGGAAAGCGCCTGGGATCGGCTAGCTTTGACGGAACCACAGCTGTATGGGAAAAGGAGGAAGGAGGTAAACGTCAGCCGACGGCTTGGCCACATGAGCAATTTGGTGGGCTCGATGGCAGCTCCTGGCCGCCGTAGATACGGTCATGCACATCACTGGGGGATCTGCACGTTTCGGCTCACGAATGCTGTGCGGCATCCTTCTTCAGATTTCGAGTGCGTTGCTACCCTGGAGGGCCACGAAAACGAGGTCAAGAGCGTCTCATGGTCGGTTTCGGGTTCCCTGCTTGCGACTTGCAGCCGCGACAAGAGCGTCTGGATCTGGGAAGGTAACTCAGCAACCAGACTGCGGATCGCTGCTGTTCTCGAGCCGGCCGCCTCTACTACAGTTTGGCATCAGCCGATACCAATGCCAATGCCAACACCAACACCAACACTAATGACAATGCTAACAATGCCAATGTCTCCCGCAAATGCCACGATCCAGTCCTCGAAGACAACGAGTTTGAGTGTCTCAGCGTGCTCTACGAACACTCGCAGGATGTCAAAATGGTCCAGTGGCATCCCCACGATGACGTATGTTTCTGATCGCAGTATCTCAGACAATCCTGGCACCACGATAGGGCTGCTCGGGACCGTGGATCAAGTGCATAAGCTACATCAACCGGCGTCGGCTGCCGCGGGCTCTGCAAAAGATCGCCTCTGACACAGTCTGCTTGTGCACACCAGATTCTCGCCTCTGCTAGTTACGATGATACAGTCAAAGTATGGCGAGAAGACAACGACGACTGGTACTGCTCCGATACCCTCAGCGGCCATACGTCCACAGTGTGGGGCATCGATTTTGATCCAAGCGGGAATCGTCTAGGTACGATTGCTCGAGAGTACAGCCTCCATGCTGCCTCCTCGACAGCCCCCGCGCTGATTTACATCGTGTCAGTTGCCCGCATATCACTATCATCCGTCTGCCATGCCTCGATTTGCACTGATCGCATCTGATCCTTCGCCTCGGCCCTGCCCAGCCTCGGTGAGCGACGACAAATCCATGCGCGTTTGGAAATGCGGCGAGCCTCAGGGATCAGGCTGGCGAAAGGACCCCAAGTGGAGCTGCGTCGCTACCTTGGCCGATCATCACACCCGGACGATTTACTCAGTGTCGTGGTCCAAGCTCAACAACAAGATTGCCACGGCCTCAGGCGACAACTCTATCAAGATTGTGGAGGAGGTCTGTCTCGCGCATTGCTGGGCCTGCAGGATGTTGGATATCACTGGGCACGATCCCCCATACTTACAGCTGTATACAATCATCTCTGTTCCAACCGAATCACGGGGCTCATGTCGATAGGGTTCCGACAACGAGTTCAAAACTGTCTTGGACCACCCAAATGCCCATGGCGACAGCGACATCAACTGCGTTCGCTGGGGCGTGCTAGAGGAGGACCGTGATCTGATTGCGACGGCCGGCGACGACGGCGTCATTCGTATCTGGAGATACATTCCGCTTTGAATGTACCAAGCCAAGCTGCTTGCTGGCCAGCGCCTGTCCAGAGCGAAACGGGGGACTCGAGAGATAGTGCCGATGGCGGCTGCTCTCTGGGTTTTGAATACATCTGTCCACAGCATGCCACCACTGCGAAACAATCTCTGCGAGTGCGACCTATGCCCTTTCCTGTGCTCGTCAGCTGCTGCAATCCGTTGGAGTAGATCGTGCCCTCAGCTGGGCAGCTTGCCGTGTGAATCTGCCTGCCTGCCTGCCTGCCTGCGTTCACCAAGCCGCGCGACAGCGGATCTGGCTCCCTCGTTCTTCGTTTTGCCGATCGCAACGGGCTTCGCTTCCGATCTGCCCAGCACCCAGACCTGTTCATACTGCTCCAGCACAAGCATCGCTGGCAGCCACACATCACCGGGATGGTCCTTGGGCACACTTTCGGCAGCGCTCGGGCTGCCATACGTCGGCAGTTGGTTTCGCCGCTCCGCTGCAACAGCTGGATCAATCCTCCCCAACAACGTTGGTATTGGCGCATTGTCGGGAGGCTGTCGCCTGCCAACGCCGGGCACTCTTCAAACCGATCGACATGCCCTTTCTCATACCCTTAATACTTTCCACCCCGTTTCTGCTGATAGGATGGATCGGCGTGTTTGCCCAGTACCGAATTGATCTCTGGACCCAGGAGCTCGAGCGGCAGCGGGCGGCAGCACCGAACAACGAGCAAATCATCGCCATCACTCTACCAAATGGGCCCACAAAGCATGTCCAAGCAGGATCGGTGCGGCCTCTTGATATCGCCTTGGGTGAGCATCGGCATATCCAACCGGGGCTAGCCAGTGCATCCGGAGCATTCTGGCGCTCGCTTCGTTCGCACACTGCCTCAGCGGTGTGCTGTCGTCGTATGCTTACTGACCTGCTCTTGGACCCGTCCATCTTTCCAGAAATCAACCCAAACGCTCGTCAGGACTATCTCTTCGCCAGCACCAACACCAAGACTTGGGATCTCGGCCGTCCCCTCACCGATTCATGTGCTCTCGACTTTACCAAAGCCGATACAGACGACGAGACCGCGCTGGATTCGCTGTGGCATTCGGGAGCACATGTTCTCGGATGGGCACTTGAAACCAAGTATGGCGACGACATCCTGCTGTGCGATGGGCCGGCCCTCAAGCTGGGCGGATTCTTTTACGACGGAATCGTGAAACGCAACTACAGCCCTCCCTGTCTGGATGCTGACGCCGATCCAGACCTCGTCGAAGCCGCTGTGCGAGAGCTGCTCAAGCCAGACAGCCGATACGGCTCTACCTACAACCTGAACGATGCCGATCTCAAAGAGATCGATAGCATTGCCAAGAAGCTCGCCAAGAAAAACGCCGAATTTCGCCGACTCCAAGTCACTCGCCAGTTTGCCAGCCAAATGTTCAAGCACAATCCCTTCAAGCTCAGCTTTCTGCAACAGATTCCCGAGAGCGATCCGGTGACACTCTACCGGTGCGGCGATTTTATCGACCTCTGTCGCGGGCCGCATGTGTATTCGACTGGGCAGGTCCGGGCCATCAAGCTGTTGCGCACCGGCGGTTCGCAGTGGGATGATCACCCCATAGCTGGAGCCTCCAAAGGATACCAGCCTTTGTCGAGAGTCAACGGCATTGCGTTCCCGTCGGCGACTCAGCTCAAGGACTGGGAGTATCGCCAGGAGGAGGCTGCCCGCCGAGATCACCGAGTCATTGGCAAAGCCCAGGGACTCTTTTCAATGAACCCCCTTTCGCCCGGATCGGCGTTTATGCTGCCTCACGGCACCCGGATTGTCCAGCGCCTGTTGGACTTTCTGCGGAGCGAATACCGGCGGTACGGCTACGAAGAAGTCGCTACTCCACTGCTCTTCAACAAGGAGCTCTGGGTAAAGTCTGGCCACTGGGAAAACTACAACGAGGATATGTTCGTGGTCCGGGGAAGCGACGGAATCGAGAACATCATCAAAGCCGGTCACGGCCACGGCTGCTCCCATCACCACCACCAAGCCGACAGCGCCGAGGCCGAGGCCGATGGTGCAGAGGAAATCCACTGTCTCAAGCCAATGAACTGCCCTGGCCATTGCTTGCTCTTCGACAGCACCATGCACTCGTACCGCGATCTGCCCGTGCGCTATGCCGAATTCAGTCCGTTGCACAGGTATGCTTTGGCTCAACCTGCTACTGTGCGGTCGCTGGGCCAGACTGTCCCTGGACAGGCTTTTCGGGCAGCCGGAGCTGATGGTTCTTGGGCACGTCGCTCTGCAGATGTCGCAGACCGCCCTTGACTCCTCTGCGTGCCTCTCCATCGTTTCGATCTGCCCTGGGTATCCGTGCGCCATATCTGCCTCCGTTCTTATGTTCTCTCCACTCGATCAGAAACGAAGCCTCAGGCGCTCTCACTGGTCTGACCCGGGTCCGTAAGTTCCATCAAGACGATGCCCACATATTCTGTACGGTCGACCAGATCTTCCAAGAAATCTCGTCGACGCTCGACTTTGTCCAGCGGGCATACAAAATCTTCCAATTCCCGACATACGAGCTGACGCTCTCCACGCGGCCCGAGAACTTCCTGGGCGACATTGCCGAGTGGACCAAGGCTGAAGAGGCCCTCACCAAGGCTCTGGACCAGACCGGACGGCGATGGAAGATCAACCCAGGCGACGGGGCGTTCTATGGCCCCAAGATCGACGTCCTTGTCCGCGATGCCTTGAATCGCAGCCACCAAACCGCAACCATCCAGCTCGACTTCCAGCTGCCGCAGCGATTCGGCCTCAAGTATCAGTCCGAGACTGGCGACTTCAAGACTCCCGTCATTGTGCATCGGGCCATCCTCGGAAGCTTCGAGCGAATGCTGGGCGTGCTTATCGAACACTTTGCGGGCAAATGGCCCTTCTGGCTGAGCCCCCGCCAGGCCACGGTCATACCTGTATCGGAAGCATGGGCCGAGTATGCCCGGCAAGTCCGCAACCGGCTCGCTGTTGCGTCTCTCCCTGGTCGCACCGACCCATCCAGCGGTGTGTACGACCGCTACTATTACGTCGATGTCGATGCCTCGGACCGTACCCTCAACAAGCGAGTCCGAGAGGCACAGCTGGCGCAGTACAACTTTGTCCTGGTTGTTGGGGCGAAGGAGGCCGAGACAGATAGCGTCAGCGTCCGGGGACGCGACGGCAAAGACCATGGTACGATGAAGGTCGATGATGTTTTGCGCATGTTCATGCGGCTGGAGGCCGACTTTGAGTAGCCATCGCAAGTGCAAGGCAATACATAGAGCCACCGCTCCGCAACCTATGTCCTCGGGCACGATCGCAACTGCTACCGCGAGACTCCGAGCCGACACGGGGCAACTGTGGACATCAAACCCACTCGACACTGCGTCGATAAGTAGATACATCTGATATTGACACGATCGCAGCTGGGGCGAGCTGACGCTGAAAGGCGAGTCGAACATGGTATCCAGAGGGAGGAGAGGATCGTTAAGTCATCGAGATTGGCAAGCGGCATCACTCAGCCGGCAGCCCGCTACTCTTTGGATCTTTGGATCTTTGGATCTTCACTGGTGCACTTCGGTTTGTGTGGGCTCGTCTTCAGATGGCGCTGCTTGTGCGGATTGACTCGGATCTGCAGTAACGCCGCTGGTGCCGACGATGCTCAAAGGCTCCTCGCTCATTGTTGGGAGGCCGGGCGCCGGTGAAGGTAACGCTGTCGGCTCAGCAGCGACATGGAATGGCTCGGGGGCCGGCAACCAAGCCGACATGCTGGACGATGGCTCTTCGATATCAGGCAGGTGGGTCGTCTGGGCCGATGTAGTCTCCGGTGCCACATGGCTGTCGCTCGGTGGCCGTCTGTCGACCTGGAGGGTATGGCGCCTGGCCAGCTTGCGGATGTGGCCGGGTTGGGGTCGCTCGGGTTCGGGGTCGACGGTAGACCGAGCGGTCTGCTCACGGTCCCTGGCGCTCAGGTCCTGCATGGTGAGGCTCATAGGCGTCTGTCTGCTCATGTTGTCCATGATCTGGATGGGCGTCACATCGTGGCTAAAGTGATCAATGAAGATGCTGCGCTGTGTGCGTCGCTGGTGAACAACGTTACCGATTCTCGATATCGCTGCATTGGACCATCGAGAAGCATCCATTTTGCGGATGCTGCTGTCAATGTCGGCCAGCAAGCCAAGCCAGAAGAGCCAGTCGCCATTGGTAAACTCATCCGGGCAAGGGATGGTGTGGTACTCGGCCACATTTGTTCTCTCCGGGACAGGGAAGAGCGAAGCAAGCTCCGCCGGAAGCACGTAAGCTTTGATGATCATCTGAATGAGCACTCGGCGACTCTCGGATAGCAAGGATCGCGCTACTTGGTGCTGGTTTGTTGCGGCCAGCGGAACAGCTTGCGCAAGAGCTTCGGTGACCATGATCTCGGACCGCTTCTTGGTCACCACGACGCTTGCGTGTTCGTGCGGAGGCGGGAACTCGACGATGGGCTCGATGGTCACTTTGCCTTCAGCGCATGCTGCTTCTTGGACAGCGCGCTGGGTTTCCACTTCGGTATACGAGCAGCTGGACGACAGGACGGTGATTTCTCCAGGGACGGAAGCTGGGCTAGACTCGGATGACGGGGCGGACTGGTATTCGAGCTGGACCAGGATGTCGCGGGACTCGCCATCCAGGAGATTGGCAAAGGTAACAACGCCAGTGGCTGGGTCGATTGGCTCGATTTTGGATGCACTGTGAAGGGTCTTGAGCTTAATGCGGGGATCGACGGACCGAAACTGCACGGAGATATCCTGGAGAGCGACCGATCGCATGGCTCCAAGACAGCCAGCAAAGGCATCCTGAATGGTATCGACATTCTGCACAAACGCATATGCGCCTCCGACTGCCAGAGATGTCATCTTGTCGACGTCGTGATCGGCTGCGACCGTGGGAGGTTCGAATAAGAGAGCATGGATAAGCATTGCATTGACTCGGAGGAGAGCGGCCGGACCGACAGGGTGAACAATCGTTCGGACACATGACCATGTAGTCGGTTCTCCCCAACTCTGCGAGCATCCAGTCGTCGGCACCACCCGCTCTGCAAAGACTCGATGTGGGCAGATCGACAGCCCACAGAATGCTACCGCCTATCTTACCGCCATATCCAAACGAGTACACGGGCGCCGGGTTGGTTTGGAATCGCGCCGTTAGCTGGGTGTAGGCCTCGAGGTTTTCACGGTTGTCCTCGCCGTCCGAAAGCAGCATGATGGCCGACACAGGGTTTCGGCTCTGGCGCTGCTCGAGCAAATCCAGGGCCGCATTGAGGCCCGAGCCAAGGTAGGTCCCTCCGCGAGCCTGCAGCGAGTCGACGGCCCGGAAGAACCGCAGGCGATTGGTGGGTGAGCAGAAGATCAAGCTGGTTACTTTCTGGCCTTGGGTATTGAACTTGACGAGCGCAATGCGGTCCTGCGGCCGGAGCGTGTTGAAGATGTACTTGACCGTCCGGCAAACCGTCTCCATCTGTTCAAGCGCGACCATTTAACCGGGCGTTAGCAGTCCGAGCAGAGGCGGCCCGCGGAACGATCCCTCAAGAATCGGCGGCATCAAAGCAGATTGCAGCAGCCCGGCAATGTCGTTACCTTCTCGCCCTCCATCGATCCGGAAACGTCGACAACGATTACAACGTCAAGGCTGGCGGTCGACCGATGCTCTGGCGATCGAAGAGTAGCAACCGCATACAGATCGAGCGGCGCTGGCGCGGACACCGGAAGGATGCTGTACTCTGGCACAATTCTCAAACTCGGTGGTCCGACGACAGCCGCCGACGAGGACGCAGCCGTCGGGACAGGAGATGGCTCGATACGCTCCTCCTCTAGCGGTATGTCTTCGGCTGGCGTGGGCCGGCTACCGCCATAGCTGTTGATGCTGAAACGCTTGCTTGGGTTGGCGTTGCCGAGAAGGGCGGTGGCGAAGGGAAGCTCGGAGCGGCATATGCTATTGGAGGACAGGGGCATGCAATGAGCCGACAAGCACCAGGCAGCACAGATAACGGGTGCGACACATCAACGAGCCTTGGGCGGGATATAGACCTGCAGGTGGGGTTGGGGACTCTTGTATATGCTCGCCGAAAGCAATCCAGATGCAACGAATGACCGCAGCCGGGGTTGATGATGGGCAGGCCGCCTCTGGACTCGAGATCTTCGAGGCAGATTGGGCAGGCGTCTTTGGAGGACGTAGGCTGGGCCATCTGTAGTTCAGTGCAAATGCTCTCGGTGAAACGATGGAAGCGATGATGATGCCGATGCCGATGGTAATGGCGATGATGGCGATGATGGCGGTGTCGGTGTCGGATGGCGGCAACGATGGCGATGGCGAAGGCAGCGGCGGTGGCGGTGGTGGCGCCCTGATAGAGCGGAACATGTGGCGCTCGCGTGTCACGTGTGCACACTCGCCTGCCAAGAACAAGACAGACCCGTTCTCGGCCAGATCCCAGCCCGCCGATCCCGCCGATCCCGCCGATCCCAATGTCGAACGCACCCGGGCGACGCATCGATCCCCAGGTTTTTGTCGAGGCCGGCAAGGCGGCCCTCGAGCGCTACGATGCCGACAAGGCCCTGGCGCTCTTTACCAAGGTCGGTTCGTGCGGTAGCCGGTATGCGAGAGCGTGCGAAGCGGGCATGCCTGCGCTCGATAACACCGCCGATCTAAATCGCACCCCCATATCAAACAAACAGGCAAAGAAAGCCCTGCCGGACGATATCACGGTCATGGACTTGGTAGCGTTGGCGCTCATGAGCGCTGGCAGACTGGACCAGGCGCTGGAAGAAGCGCAGAAGATAGTCAAGCTTGATCCTCGATCGTCGGTGGTATGGAGTTGTGCGATGAACCCGCGGCTGCATATCCGGACATCGGGCTGCTGGTCTTGCTCGTCCTAGGATTTGCGCCCATCGAGCTGCTGCTTATCCACGACCGTGGGCAATCAGGGATATCTTCGAGCGGCCAAGGTGTTCAGGTTGCTCAAGAACCAACCCGCCGCCCTCAAAGTCTGCCAGCTGGCCCTCAAGAAGGTTCCCAAAGCCGATCCCAACTATCCGGTGCGCTTCTCCTCACGATCTGGCGGCCTTGGAATGCCTTAAGGCAATGCCAAAGGGCCACCCTTGTTCCGGCTCGCTGCCCTGGGCTATCGCCTCGCAGCATCGGCTGTGGCTCGCGGATACGGATCCTGATCACTGATCCTGATCACTGTTCATGTCCGCCATCCGGCACATGCAGGCCATAGAAGCGTCCTTTCTCAAATATGGCGGCACAACAGATGCCCTAGCACCCCCGAAATCATCCTCCCAGAACAGCAGCACCTCGTCCTCAGATGGAAAGCGCAAGCTCGATCACACCAACGCCGCCTCGGAGAAAAAGTCGCGCTTGGCTGGGCAGGATGATGACGATGATGGCGATGTCAATGTCGATGGCGAGGCCGAAGCCGAGCAGCCTCTCCCACCGTCATACAACTTTGGGGACCATTTCATGCCCGTCGAACTCATGAACGTTGTGTTCTCGTATATCCCGCTGGCGGCTCTGTGTCGACTTACCCGAGTGTCGCGGAGCTGGAGGATATACATCTGCCACAACCGCAGCTTGTGGGCCCGGATCGATCTGTCGCCGCACTTCCGCAAGGTCACTGCGCCAATTGCCCAGTCAGTCGCATACCGTGCCCGCAGCCTGCTCAAAGACCTCAACCTGTCGCAGTGCCATCAGATCAACAACGCCGTGCTCCTATCGCTGTCCAAACAGCGCTGCACCGATCTTGTGTCCTTTCAGCTCACACGCAACAACAAAGTTGGCAGCCAGGCCTTGGCCCAGACGCTCAGAGTCATCGGCAGGAACCTGCAGAGACTGAACCTGTCTCAGACCAGCATCCAGGATCAGCATCTGCGGGAGGTCCTAAGAGCATGCACGCAACTGCGGCATCTCGACGTGTCGCTTTGCCCAGCAATCCAAGCTGGCCTCCAAGCTCTCGACGATGTTCCATCGTCTCTGCTCGAGACAATCAAGCTTAGCGACACCCGGACTACCGACAGCGCCGTGACATCGGCGCTCCGGCGATGTCCGCGGCTGCGGCATCTTGACGTTGGTCGCTGCAAGGCCGTTACGCTCGCCACGGTCCTCAACTTCAGGGAGTCCAAAGCCGAGCTGGAGTCATTGGTGCTTTCAGGCATCACCGTCACGCCGCTTGCTGGATTCTCGCTCCAAGACGGGCTGCTCTTGATCGGCGAGCGGTTTTCCCAGTCTCTCAAGAGCTTTGAAATGTACCAGTGCCCCGAGCTGACAGACGAGGGCATCGAGCGTCTGACTCAGTTCTGCGACAATCTGACGATCCTGAACATTGGGTACGCTGCCCACTTGACCAGTCGCTCACTCGAGAGCATCGGACAGAACTGTCTCGCGCTTGAGCTACTGAATATTTCTCGCTGCCCCAAAATGACCGAATCGGGGCTTATACGGGTCGTCGCGAACGCAACCAAGCTCACGCATCTGGACTGCTCCTACTTTGAAGATCAGCTCGATCACGTACTCAAATACGCCGCAGCAAACGCAGCCGGGCTCAGGCGCCTGTCCCTTGCAGGCTGTTCGCAGGTCACAGGCGCTGGGGTCGCTGCGCTGTTTTCCAAGAAGGGCAGTCCGCTCGAGTTCTTGAACATCGACGACTGCTACAGAGTCTCGTCCGATGTGGTGAGCGCCTTCCGGGCGGCGTTTCCGAAAGCCGTGGTCTCGTATCGGTTCACGACTTGACGGATGTGTGCGCTGTATCATGATCATGGCAGCTATCGGCACGCCATGTCTCGACTGAGTCGTTTGCTTTGCGCCCGAATATACGCATGTCCATCGCTCCCTCTCGTCCAAACCAGTAGTCGCTCAATCGAGACGCCAGCACGCTGGGTTTTCGACATGGGCTGCACAAGCCACACCAGCGGGGCGCGGCTGCGATCGCCGCCAGAAGCAGATCTTCGAGGCTGCGTGTCGGCTTGGTTTTGCACACACCCTCCCAGCACCAACGCAGCCATGTCGAGGCCCAGATGCTTCTTGGATATCCAGGTCGGCAGCGGCCCAGCCAAAAGGTTTGTTCATCTGCATTGGCTGTGATCAGTGTCCCCCCTTCGTTCTGGTTCGGAAGCCTGACTGACTCTTGGGCTGATCTCGTAAATGCAACTCAGGATCGAACTCGAGCTGTTTGGCGATGAGGTTCCCCGGACCGCCGAAAACTTTCGTGCCCTGTGCACAGGTGAGTGTGTCTGCTGCAAAGAAGGCCTCTTCTGTGGTCTCTGGTACACATCCGCGGGTAGCCCTCGCTCGACAGGACAGATCGCTCACATCAACGACTCGGATCGGATCGCAACCACAGGCGAGAAGGGGCGCAGCTCTGCCTCTGGCAACGTACTCCACTACAAAGGATCCAAATTTCACAGGATCATCAAAGATTTTATGGTGCGTCCTCGGCAAGATCCGGCGGCTGGGGCTCGAGCTCCCGATCCAGCACTAAGCCGACGGTTTGATCGACGAAGCATGGATTCTCTGCAGCTTGATCTGCACGCCCTTGCTTGCTGATGGCTCCAGCCATGTCGTTTGCCTTTCACTGACGCTGGCGGATGTGGCATGGCCATTCACCTGGAAATCATCTGCTTAGATCCAAGGCGGAGACTATACCAGAGGCGACGGAACCGGTGGCGAAAGCATTTATGGAGCTACCTTCCCGGATGAAGCGCTCAAGCGCAAGCACGATAGCCCTCTTCTCCTCTCGATGGCGAACCGTGGGCCCAATACGTAGGGATTTTTCCTGAGCCGACTGCCACGACGTGTCATTGCATTCGGGTCATCAACTAACCCACCCATCGCCTGATACATATGTGGATATGATTTGGCCTCCGCGAAGGAATGGGAGCCAGTTCTTCATTACCTCACGGCCTACGCCTCACCTCGGTAAGTCCGCTGTCCGTGCACTCGGGAAGTTGGCCGCCAAAAGACCAATTCCAGCTCACCAATCCTACGGCACCTGCTGTGGCCGAATTCAGATGGGAAGCATGTCGTCTTTGGCCGCGTCGTTCGAGGCGAGGCAGTCGTTCGCGAGATCGAAGATCTGCCGACCGACAAGCACAACAAACCGTTTGAGCCTGTGGTGATTGTGAAGTGTGGCGAGCTGGAGCGTATGGGATCGCCTGAAGTGCGCCCAGCCCGAGCCCCTGAAGCTGCTCCAGCCACGGATATGCCTGAGAGAAGACTTCGTCGAAAGAGAAGCCCTTCGGTCAGCTCGGTATCGTCTGCCTCGTCATCGTCAACTTCATCTTCATCATCGTCGTCGTCGTCATCGGCATCGGCATCGTCATCGGCATCCTCCTCCTCTTCGTCGTCGTCGTCGTCGCGTCGATCCAAGCGAACGACCAGGAAGCAGAAGCAGTCGAAACGAGCCAAGCATTCGAAAGTGACGGCAAACTCTTCGGAAGTCAACAACAGCGCTGCTGCGACCGAGACAAAGATATATGACTTTGACGAGCCCAGAAACTGGCTAGACCGATCATACGATTCGAGACGGCCCGAGCGACCTCGCTACCAGGATCGAGACAGGAACCGTAGCCGAGACAGGAACCGTAGCCGAGATCGAGACCGTAGCCGAGATAGGAACCGTAGCCGAGATCGAGATCGAGATCGAGACCAGGATCGCGACGGTCGCTTTGACGGTCACGACAGACGCACCGACGTTTTTTCCCGTCTCGGGGCTGGCAAGGACGGATCCAGCGTTGTCCGGCACGACAGAGAAGGACGCATTGTCAAGGGACGTGGCAGCTTGGTAAGTGTCGAAGCGGATGCGTGAAGGGTCTGAAAATGCAGCGTCAGGTCCGAAATCGACAGTCGCTGATGTGACCAGCGACAACATGGGGCATCGAGCAGTTCAGCGACGGCATTTGCTCACATTCACGTTTCCTTTCAACGCGACAGCGCTTTGGCTCCAGATAGCTATCCTGGGCGTGTGTTCATGCCGCACATCGCCTGGCCTGGACAGGGATTCGACATGCATGCAGAGAGAGAGCGGCGCGATTGTGGATGCGGAGAATACAGACGTCCAGAAAGAAACGGGACAGTCACTCTCTGGCATCAACGAGACAAGTCTGCCGATCCGGATGCTCCAGTGAACAAGCCATGCGATTGTTTCCCGTCCTGGTTGGCAATCTCTTTGATTTCGTTGGTTTGGGGAGCGTAGTTTTGAATACACTTGGTCGATCCCTGTGTCGATATGGGAGTGTGATGCATCCACTCGACTCTCTGGACAGCTCCATGGTGTATCGATATCAAGATACTCGAGTCTTGGAGATGGATCTGTCTGGCGGCCGTCTCTGGTGGTGGTGGATGAATCGCTCAAAGTACTTGGCGAACCAGTCTCCGTGAGCTGGATGCATATCCCTTCCCTTGCTTCCACGAGGCATTCCCAAAGGCGAGCACAATATCGGTCTTCTTGGACATACTTGCTTGGTCATGATGGCAATGAGTGGGTGTATTCGAGTTCCAGAGAATCAACTGTCCTGGCTCAAACGGGGTGTCCCATTTCATTTTGGAAACGCTGCATCGCACTGTCCTGACCCGCTCTTGATTTGTCCACCGCGCTGCGCATGCCCGAGCCGGCTCGTCGGAATCCGAGCCACATCCCACGTGGTCCGTGCTCGATTTCTTCTGATCGGACCAGCGGACCTCATTGCGCTCGCTCTCGTCCATCGCCGACATGAGCCCGCACGCCGCCGAAACGACAAACTCGCCCAAGGTCAGCGCCGCTGCATGCACGCACTCGAGAATGGCTTGCTTCGGGCCCCCGCTCGACTGTCGCCTCCAACCTTACCCTCGCCCCGGACCATCGCAGACCAGATGGGCTGCCCGGGAGCTCCTTCTGTCGTATGCTTCGCTGGGCGTTGTCTATGGAGATCTCGGCACTTCGCCACTCTATACCCTTCAGGGCCTGTGGAGCCAGCCGCCAACTCAAGATGACATTCAGGGCATCCTGTCGCTGATCATCTGGACACTGACCATCATCATCGTCATCAAGTACTGCGGTATGGCGCAATTGCCCCCAAGTCGTCGGATGGCTAACTGCCAGCCACATCCATATTTGGCTCTCTTGAATGATGATGTCCTCGGTCTGCCCTTGGGGATGCCTGGGTAGAGCTGCGGGTCTGGCTTTGATTGTGGATCTAACATTCTCCATCGTCCGATACCGGCGGGCTCGCTACAGGCATCGTACTGCTTGCCGATGACAATGGCGAGGGAGGGACCTTTGCCATCTATTCTCTTGTATGCAGGTGCGATTTTCATGTCGTGCTCGATATGAACCTGGCGGGCGGCTGGAGCGTGGACGATATTTGTCTCGCCCCCAGCCGATCAGACTAGATGCACCCTAACCGCTCCGCGATGCTTCTGGCATTCAGATTCTCCGGCCTCTCTGTCCACTCCAAGACAGATTCGATCTTCGAGAAGGAGGTCCAGCTGACGGACCCTGATGCCGATGTGAAGCCCAAGAGCCAACCGATCCTCAAAAAGTTCCCACATCTGCATACGGCGTTGCTGGTTGCGGTGCTGCTGCCGTCGTGCATGATGGGATGTGGGTATCTGGTGCAGCGCGTCATCCACCCAGCTTTGCGCGGATGTGCTCTGGAGCAGTATTACTCGCCCGAGATCTGGATCACCCCATGCCGTTGTCTTCGATCGCCGCTGTCGCCACTGGTCGCAAGACTGACCCGTATTCTCACCCCGGTCTCGTCCCCGCCCGCCTTGCTCGCATCATTCAGCCGATGGCATCTTGACACCCGCAATCTCGGTGCTCTCGGCATACGAAGGCCTGACACCCCTGTTCCCAGGAAGCGAAGGCCTCATCGTGCCTCTGAGCTGCATCACGCTGATAGCGCTGTTCTTGGTCCAGTCCTACGGAACCCATCGTCTGGCCAACTTTTTCTCTCCCATCATCCTGCTCTTTATATTGTCGATTGGGGCGATCGGCGCTTGGAGCATCGTCTCATGCGGGAATGCCTCGCTTGTCTTTGCGGCTTGGAATCCCATGTATGCGATATGTAAGTCCCGGCCCTGCCACTCAGAGTGTGCCCATCTTGGCGCATGTCCGTCTCGGCGTGTGCCCATCTCGACAGCTCTGTGCTGCACTCCGGATAACAGTCGGATGTCGCTGTCAGCCTGCGAACTAAAATACCGCTTGTGCGGACTCTGCAATTGTCCCACTCAGCATATTTTGGCCGGAATGGATACAACGCCTGGGCATCCCTCGGAGGCGTACGTATACGCACTGCTTGCTGCCTGCTATGTGATTCCCGCTTACTCACCGCTTTGCATGCCTCCCTACTCCATATGAATCGGCGACGGACCATCCGTCTGTTCTCTGGCTGTCATCCCGCACAGGTGCTGCTCTGTGTCACCGGAGGGGTATGTTTCGAAACACAGTGGTCTCTGCTTTGAAGTTTGGGGAAGGGAATCAGTGGAGCGCATTGTGTCTTACACTACCCGTGTCGTCGCTGGCTCTTGTTTCTCCTATGCCTGAACACAGGAGGCGCTCTACGCCGATCTGGGCCACTTTAGCCGCCCGTCCCTGCGATTCTCGGCACTGGTCATTATCTTTCCATGTCTGCTGCTGTCCTACTCCGGACTGGCCGCCGAGCTCCTCCGCGACCCAACCATCTACAGCAACGTCTTCTGGGAAGCCGTTCCCAAGTCGATCTACATCCCTATGCTGGTGCTCTCTATCCTGGCAACGATCGTGGCCTCTCAATGTACGTCCGATACATGTTTGCGCCGCTTGCCACATCTCCTTGTGGCGCAACATCGACATGTACATGACTTCCAGGAGTTCGACTCGGATATGCTCTGCAGACACGGTGCCAGAGGTGCCGTGGTCTAGATTCCGTGATATAGCTAACCTCCATACCCTCGGTGTTATGACAAATGCCCCTCAGCTCTGATCTCGGCGACGTTCTCGATCATCTACCAAGCCACTGCGATGAACTCGTTTCCGCCGATCAAAGTCATCCATACCTCTGCTTCGGTGCATGGGCAGGTCTATGTCCCCACAGCCAACAACATCATGATGGTCCTGACCCTTCTCGTCGTTGTGGGCTTTGGTCATTCTGCCCGGCTCGCTGCAGCCTTTGGTATTGCTGTCAGCTTCGTGATGTTGATGACCACCTTTCTGATAGCGGTAGTGATGTTCATCTGCTGGGAACTCCACTGGTCCATCATCATCTTGTTCGTCATCCTCCAGGGGTAAGTTGGCGTGCTGTCAAATCAGCAACCGTGCGCAAGCTACATCACTGCCGCCGTCATATCGACAAGTCAGCGCATCCGCATCGCCATCGATTACATTTCTTGTCCATCGCCTTGTAAGCTTGAGACTTACCACTGCATACCCATCTCTCCCCTCAAGTCTATTTGATGCCGCCTTCTTCTCTTCCTCGCTGCTCAAATTTGACCAAGGCGGCTGGATGCCCGTATCCCTGGCCCTGGTCGTTGCAGCCCTCATGGCTGTCTGGCAGTGGGGAGAACGCCTCCGAGACAGCTGCTTCTCCAGATCAGAGCCCATCACATCGTTTTCGCGGGGTGAAATTATGCTGCAAGCCCTCAAGCTGGCCAAGTCCATGGTCGACCCATTGCGCACCGAGGCGTCGGCGGACGGCTCCGAAATCGTCCCAGAGACTCTGGCTGCGCCACCGAGCAAGCAACTCCACAAACGCAAGCACACGGCCGCACATGCTGTTTCATCTCTCGATGAAACGTTGCGCATCGACGGACTGCCGGAAGACTCCAACTTCTCGGTCACAATCACAAACATGGTCGGCGACGTGGCCGAAAATATGCTAGTTTCAGTGCCATGTGGCTCTCAGGCCTTGGAAACCTGTAATGTTGTCGTCCACCAGATACCACTGCACGACCGTCGCATCCGCATCGTCCGTCTGCCTGGCATGGCCATGTGCTATAGCACCACCAGCTACCTGGACAAGATCATGCTGCGACACTACGTCGAGCATCTGCCCTCGCTCTTTGAGGTACGCCGCGAGTCCCGTCTGCGTTGCCGGACACAGCGACTTTACTTGGCAGCCCCTTCCATCTGTTTCGGTTGATGTTTGTGTGCTGGGAATCTAACAGAATCGACTGGCTCTAGGTGATGGTCTTCATCTCAATCAACCAAACCGAGGCGCCTTACGTTCACGAAAAAGATCGAATCCGCTTGCGGCCTTTGCCATATCTTGGCTTCTACTCTGCAATCGTAACGTATGGCTACCTCGACATTGTCGATTCGGGCGATGAACTTGCCGATTTGATCATGAACCTGATTGTGTCGATCGGACGAGAGACTCTCGAGAAGGGCTCGAGAACGGAGCCTCTGGATCACGATTCCTTCGATGGATTTGCCGGTGCAGATGTTCGCACGCCGCACCCACTGATCAATCGAGTGCTGCCGGACTCTGAGCAGAGTCGCAACAGCGACACAAACGACGCTGTCATCCAGGAATACTATCGCCGGATGAACTTGTGCCGACGCAACACCGTGTACGTCATCGGACGCACTGAAATTGTCAGCAATGACACCGCCTGGGGTTCCTTCAACTTTTTGCGCAAGACGCTGCTGAATGGAATGTTCAAGTTCATGAGCATCAACCACGAGCGGTCAAACATGGTGTTTTATCGGGTGCCTATGGATCAATCGATGGTCATGGAGATGAATCGGTATGTCTAACCTCCCCACGGACGACCATCCTTCGGCCCCCTGAATATACATATGCTCGTCCATTGCCCATGGCGGACATCCGCCGCGCTTGGGCTACTTGCGTCACTGTATTCAAGACCGTGTTCAGCAGGACAACTTTGCTGACGACGACGGCCGGCAACAATGGTGCCAGTACTGGGTTAGCCCAAAATGCCGATGAACGCCGCTCATATGTGGTAACCCCTGAACAGACAAAATGCCCAGTATCTTTTCGAGAGAGCTGTCCAAGAAGAGAATATCTGGCACACAGCTACGTGCCGGCTTTGCGGTAGAGAACTTCTTTGACGACATGCTTCTTGAACAGGCTCCACTCCCGGCTCTCGAGAAACTCGTCGATGATGCGATCCTTTGGTGGATATCGTTCCTTTGCATCGCTTTCGATGCACTTGATTGTCTCCAGCGTCGTGTGGTTCAGGAAGGTTTCCTACAAGCAGTTGAGGCATTGTGAGGCAGCGTCGGCAGAGAGCCCATCAGTTAGCCAAAGAGTGTCCGATGAGTTGGATATGGCGGCCAGTCAAGGTCGACACCCCAAATGATTGAGCCCTTCTCAACAAGTCCCCATCGGCGTAGAGGCCGCCCATTTGGATTGGGCTTGCTGGTCACGCAACTGGCTGTCCACCCACCGTGTCGATGGCATAGCAATGCACCCGTGTGTCGGCGACCACGGATGTTGCTGCGGTCCAGGAATAGTGCTCAAGCTTTAGCCGTCCCTTGCGCCTCATCCTGTCAGCAACCCAGCCCTCTCCAAAATATGCGCCATGCTCCAGGTGCCCAACGCAGAGTGATTTGCTGACTACTCGCTCCTTGAGGCTTGAATCCAGCGGCACGTTTGACGCATCGAACCCCGGTGGGATCCGCCGGGCAGCCCATTTTCCACGATTTGCCTCGTACTCGATATACTCGACAACGGTGATGATGCGGCATGTCCCTTTGATAATGAAGTAGACATAGTCCGATTGGTGCGCCGCCTCGACGATCATCTACCGACGGCGACGGTGGTTGTGGTGATGGTGGCGGTGGTGGTGGTGGTTGTGGTGATGGTGGAGGTGGTGGTTGTGGTGATGGTGGAGGTGGTGGGATAGATTGGGTTATGTGAGCATCAGTGCCGCTACCCTCAGGGTCGCCGTAGCCATTCTTGCAAGTACTGCGACATTCCCCGAAGATATATACACATGGGCACATGAACCAGCAAGCTCTCGGCCGACAGGCATCTCAAGGACCGTGGCATCCCAAGGACCATGGCATCCCAAGGGCCATGGCATCACAAAAATGCTCACCTTGTCTCGAAGAAACTCTCGTTCGATTGCCCTCTCAGCCAGTGAGTTGGCGCTGATGTTCATAGATGCGACTAGGGGCAGCAAGGCAAAAAACTGAATCTTTTGCTCCATTTCGGCGGCGGCGGCTGTCTCGAGAATCTCTTGAAAGTTGAAGCGGTCGACACGGAGCACTTCAACATTCGTTAGGGCCAGGGCAGACTCGTTTCGTTGGGTGCCTTCATCGGTAGCCTGGAGTATCTCTGGGTCTCCAATCGAATCGCCATCCATCAGCATGGTCGTTGCCTCGACCAGACGATAGTGGTGGTCTCCATAGGTCTTGAAGAGTTGGACTCGACCTCGCAGCAGTATGTAGAAGCACAAAGGCCCCGTCTCCTGCTTGAGGATCAGCCGACCCGATGATATTTCCTCAAAGTACGCCTTCTTGCATATCTCCCGTTGGACCATTGCCCCGAATTTGCGCAGGGCTTTCATCTGCCCACAGTAGTGCCACAGCACATCCAACTCGATCTCGGTTCTGGAATCCGGCGACTTTTTCAGGATGGACATGAGAACCGGGGTCCGCTCGTCCGTATATGTGATGTCCAAAATACTGGCCGACATCAGTGATGGTATATGGCTGAAGACTTTTCCTTTGATGTTGGTCTGCGGCTCGACCCGGAACGCCGATATCATCCTGTTCATCCTTATCACCCTCTGTACCGTCTTGCGGAAATGCTCGAGGGCCTCGGGATTCCTTGATCGGACTCGCGACTCCTTCATCTTGGAGAGGGCTAGGAATGCGGTCGAGCCCTTGCGTTTGGCGGCTCGTGCATCAGCAGGGCTGAGATACCCGGATATCGAGTTTATCTCCGGAGGATGCTCGCACCCCAGGTCGGGGGATGACTTTTGGGAACTTAGCAAGCTCGTGCTTATGGTGAGCTCCTCTTCGTGAAAGTTCATTGACTTGCTCCGATGCGGCGCATACTTGACAGAGGGTATATCGGCTCTCAGATGCCTCGGCGTGGCTGGCGAAGTGGGAGAAACAGGCTCAATCTGGATGTGGATCATGGACACGCTATCCCTGCTCTTTGATAGCCGGCGATTGGAAATAGGCGGTAACGGTATCGAGACCTTGGGGCTCAGTTGTTGCGTCGAAGCTGGCTGCGGCTGGTCCAGCAAGCTGAGCTCAGACACCACCAGATAGCCAGATGTTGATACAACGGCCGATGAATCAAGCGCTGAATTCGAGGCGCCCCTGCTGTGGGGCAGCCGCTCGGCAACAGACGATCCCACAGACCCACTTCGCAGGGTGATCAGGTGCGAGTCGGGGACAACAGAGCAGCGCACCGATGACTCTTGAGGTCTCCAAGCTGGGTCGTGCATGTCGCTTACTGAGTCTTGGGGAAGTGCCTGTGAAGAGACGACAGCAGAAATCAAAATGGGATATCGCTGCTCCGTGGAGCTGCAGCACCAGATGCAGTCTCTCCCAGGCCGCGGTGCTCACACAACGATCAAACAGCGATCAAACAGCGATCAAACAGCGATCAAACAGCGATCAAACAGCGATCAAACAGCTACCTTAGCATCAACATGTAGCCTGTGGGGCAGAGTGCGAGAGCGCGAGCGTGGGCGGGGATGCTGAGAATCCCAGCGGGTTCCCATGGAATCGTTGTCGCCGCGATGTGAGCCGCCGTGGAGGCATTACAAACGAGCAAGGCATCAATTCCGGCTCATAGGGATCCGTGGGCGACCCGCCGCTGAGACTCTAATCACCGTAGCCGATCGAGGCCTCAGCAGAACCACACAGCCGCATGCGATTTCCCACCTCAGTCGATGGCGTCTCACTGGAAATCGTGTGTCGGGAGCCCGTTTCTCGCTGATTCCCAGCAACGGAGAGCTTGGAGGCTGTGGATCCTTTGGGGTCTCGACTAGGCCGCTTCACATAATCTTCACTCCCAAGCGACTTGAGGTCTTTGCTGGATACATTCGACCGGAGCATTCCAAGTGGGTGATGCTTGCCTTCGTCCTTGCAGACGGTTTCAGAGCGGGCGATGGACATCTGGGCCAGCGAGTTGGGCATGTTGGCTTCGTCTAGTTGGCTTGAGCTGATGTTGAGAGAGATCGACCGCCGCACGAATTTCTCTCGGACCGGCGATGTCGGCGGCTTTGGCGATACGGGGGCCAGTGTCTGATCATTTTTCGCCAGCTGCACGATAGTCTGTGCCTTTTCGTGCAGCCGATTGACGGTTTGGTCGTGGGACTTGAGGAGCTTCAGTGCCTCACTCTTGGCATCCATGTTGCCTCGAAATGATGGTGGTCTGAGAGGCGCCCGGGGTCAGCTAATTCTGTCGCCTCCATCACGGGGATATATGAGGCGAGGGAAAGCCAGCTCCGCAGCTCATCTCCGTTGTCGGGACTCGATGCATTCAGGCGCCGTCAGAAACAACAGAACGTTCTGCAAATACCTTGGCCGCTGGAGTCCCGAAACTCACCGTGTCTGTGGCCGGTGCAAGTTGATGCAGCGCATACCCGAGCATAGTTCCAGAGCGGCCATTACGATGGACTATTGGCACTTGATTGATCGAAGGTGCTTGATTGCGCTCGCTTGCAACGGCTGCATCTGCAGCAATTCGCTGACTCTCGCGATGCCCTTCCGCTGCAAATCGTCCTGGCGTGCTGCGGCAACCGCAATTTTGACCCTGGCTCGATGCCGGGGACATTCCGCGGGGACTATTGCCTGATCAACCATCCGGGATGGCGCTGCCGAGCCCAGACAGATTGCAGGACGCTCCTGGGCATCGCAGGCTCATGGATGCTCTCCCAAACGAGCTGGTCCTCGCAATCGCCCTCGATCTCGATCTCTTCACGCTGCTCCAGCTTTCCTCCAGCAACCGCCGATTCAGCCGCCTCATTCGAAGCCCAGACTTTGGATCACGGTATCTGACACACCATGCGGCCAGCACCCTGCATTTCTTCGTCGATGTGTCGATCCCGATATCGCAGATGGATGTCTTTTATTTCGGATATCGTCTGCACGAGTCCAGAGACGAGAGTCTCGCCTTGCTTGCAGCGGGGCCGTACGGCTTCATCCACGGCATCCAGCGGATATCCGGAACTTATTTCCAGTATTGCTTCAAGCCAACCATCACCGGAAGAATGGTGTGGCAGTTCGACGACAGGCGTAGCCCCGCATCAGACCCAAGCTCGCTCCAGCTCCATCGCCCGCTCTTCTGCAACCTGCCCGGACAGAACTCGGAGGTGTGGGCGGCAGGAGAAGCAACAGCTTCCTACCCATCGGGTCATTCCAAGCTGTGTCCGTTTTGCCAAGCATTTAGCGTCACCAACATGGTCGGCACCATCGACAAGCGATTTCGGGTCTTCCTTCAGACTTGGGAAGACTCGATCGAATACTCTGGCTTTTCAAATGGAATCCCGGTCACCATCCGCATACACCATGAAGGTGGACCCGACGACCTGGAACTATGGAACGCAGGCGATTCCCATACCGTCGAGGATCGCCTTGATGACATCCATCCAAGATCAAATATTCGGGTGTACGCAGAACGGTATGGGCTGCGATGGTCAGCGGAAATGGCCCGGGGTCTGGAAGCCATCTTTCGATGGGCCGACATTCCAGGCAGCTCACAAAGCAACTCGCAAGGCAACTCGCAAAGCAACTTGCAAGGCAGCCGCACCACCAGGAACCGGCCCAAGCTGTATAACCCTTGGGCATGACGCAGTGCTATGAATGCACCGAGCGAACACCGGCCTCGATATATTTGGGCACAAACCCATTGATGCGTTTGCACTAGTTCCAGGTTCAATACACCGAGTAAGCACATGCTTCCGTTGCTCTGAGGTGCGCTCTTGAGCTGCTCCAGCGAAGCAGATGTCCATGTGTATATTCAGTATCCAGAACAAGCAACCAAGGTTCCAAAGGCCAAGACTCCCCCCGCTACATGGGGGCTGGTTTCTGCTCGAGGCTATCTCGCTTTGGCTGGAGCGGCGGAAGTGTGCGATGATCCCCAGCGATGTACGTGACAGCGGGGCCAATCTTGAGATCAGGGTTGATGTCTGTGATATGGCCGGGCCGGCCACCCCTCAGCGGCTCGATCTTGCCCTGTGTCGGTACCAGACTTCCTGCGACAAGCCGCCGGTTCCGATTCTGGATGGCAGTATTCAGGGACTTTGCCATGGCGTTCTGGACCTCCGAGCGACCGATGTACAACGACTCTACTTGCGGTGAGAACCCAGGCACACACGTTGTCCCTTGGGCCGAAACATCCGATCCTTGCCTGGTTCGTGTACCAGCTGTTGGCTCTGGATCGTCAAGGATAGAGGTAGCACTCATGGTTTTGGCTCCGGGGTGAGAGAGCACCGGAAGCTTGTGGTCGCGGATACCCACGGTCTGGGATGCTCCCCACCGAAGCGACGCACCAGCGAGGGCGCTGTCGGGTTGGGAGATCCGGAGCTGAGAGCCACCCAGTCTGGATTGGTATGCCAGTGGCTCCGCATAGTCGGGGTCGATTCGCTTATGATCGGTTAAGCTATGGCTGCGCTCGCCAATAACGACGGCGGTATCGCCAGTCGACCCGCCCAGCCTCGATCGGTTGCCCATGGGCATACCTTGTCCAGACGACGACGATATCGAGCCTGGTCCAGGGAACACACTAGTCGCCCCAACAGCGCCAGCAACGCCGGAGCCGACTTCGTGGTCTGTCGCCGCCGAGACAGGCTCGAAAGTGTCGGCCTTCTGGCCTGCTGCATCCGTCGCATCTGCCCCGTGTACTACCGGCTCCGGGAGGTACTTGAGCGGCTTGTTGGTCAGATGCTTTGATATCGTTGCGGGATTCATGCTCTGGGGCAACAGCGGGGCCGATGGATTTGGGATGGGCTTGAGAGCACCTCGGCCGACGATGTGATTGTCTCGCGCCCCGACGTAGTTCGTGGGTGGTCGTGGGTCTCTGGAAGATGGGTGGCTTGGTTGGATGCGGTAGGAGAACGGCCCAACCGGACCCAAGCCGTCGGAGGGTGTGCTGACTTTGGATTTGGATGAATATGGATACCGTGTGCCGACGACTGGATTGGGTCGTGGCGGGTTGGGCATGTTGAGGTTGGCGAGCGGGTCGAAGAGCTTGGCCTGGAGGACATTACCCTCGCCTGGGATTCTTGCTGTCGCGGGTGGCCGCACTCTGGGATTCGGGAATGCCGCCACAGGACCGGGGCTCGACATCGGGATACTCGGCGCCTTGGGAATCGGCGAGTCTTGTTGTCTGGTAGCCTCAGACCGCTCGGTCGCGGTTTCCTCGGCGACAGGCTCGGCTTCGGATTGTGCTTCCGTCACGGCTTCGTTTTGGGCTTGTGTGCTGGTTTCTGCAATGACAGGTATATCCCCAGCAGTCTCGGGCGGCCCCACAGGCGGCTGCGTTTCCTGGTCCTCGGCGGAACTGTTCTGGGTCTCGACGACGTCCTCAAGATCGATCGGGCGCTCGCACATCGATATCCGATGGGCGTATCGAACAACCAGACTAGCCCGACGAGAGCCCTCGCTGCGACGCGGAGAAGAGATCTCTGGCTCATCAACGGGCATCAACGACAGCTCGGGCAGAGGAATGCTAACGGTGACCTCCTCGGTGATGACTTCGGGAATCTCAGGGGCTTCCGGGAAGTTGGGGTCGTTCAGTATTGTGCTCACACCCAGCCCGGCCGCTGCCAGGGCCGCATCGAACCGCTCGCTGCCTCGGGGTACTCCGCACTGGACCAGGAACATGGTGTAGGCTTCCACGGCCGCACTAGAGCCCCGAGGCACATGGTGAAATGGGATCATGGTGTTCATCGGGGATTCGAGTGAGTGCAGGTGATGCGAGAGTGCATACACGGTTAGTGAATCGGCACACTACTAATCAGGACCAAAGCAGCTGCAGCCGCAGCCACAGCCAGCCTCGGGATCCCTGGGTGTTCGTGCGCTTTGCAGTACTTGTGGTTATTGGGTCCAGCCAATCTGCCCCAGCCGGTTCGTCTCGGACGGCCTCGGTGGGGATCGTCGCCCCAGCCGCCATGCACCTCGTCGGCATGTCTCGGCACACTTTTGTTTGGCTGACACCTTTCTGGTCGGCAAGGTGCTGCCGCATATTACTTACTTGAGCCGCGTCTCTTCTTCGTCCAGGTTGAGCTGCACGCCGGTAGAGAACGTCACAACTTCTTGGTCATACAGCCCATTGGACTCATCTTCGAAGGTCGAGTGCAGATGCTTCATGGCAAGCAGGGTGTATGCCATCTTGATGGACTCGGCCAGGCGGTGGAGTTGGATGGCCTGATGGGGGGTGAGGCCAAGGGCAGTGTCCATATTCTTGAACCGCTCGGCCTCTTCATTCGCGAGGTTGATATCGCTCGCCAGTTTCTCGGTTAGGGACATGTTAATGTCGGGGCTGAGATCCAGGCTCTGCTGCTCGCTGAGTTTGGTAGGTACTGCCGTGGATACGGAAAGCCCCGAGGGTTCGCCGTCCGAGTCTGCCATCACAGTTGATGAACTGGGAATGGATGCTCACTTGCGTTCTTGAGACGGCACAGTGCCTCTCGGTGGGGTGTGCTGGGAACGGACGATGGGTTCGGAGTGATGGATATCGGGTTCTGGGATGCCCTCGAGCAGCGACGCCGTTGCCAAGCAAAGTGGATGATAGCGAGGGGCATCGGCGACAGAGTACCGGATGATGCAGCGAGGCGACGGAGCTGTCCAGTTGCGCATCCAGGCCTGGCCAGCCGCCGGGTGGCGCGTTTGAATATTCTCTGTTGTCCTGGGACGGGCAAACAAACAGAGCTGCCCCTTCCCCTCCCTTGCCCCTCCCTTGCCCCTGCCCCTTCCCCTTCCCCTGTCACTGACTCCTGTCTCCTGTTGCTATCAATGAACACCGACATTGCAGCGTGCCAGTGTTGAGACGGGACACCTCAACACGCGGATGACTTGTGTGTTGGTGTGGATTCAACGATGCTTATCGATCTGATTGAATGGCATCGACCGGCGCTCGCACCCATGAAATTTGCTCGCCGGGGCACCATTCCGTCAGCCAAACGAACGTTGCTTATGCCATATCGCGCATGCAGTATGGACGAGCAATCCAAATAGAGCAATCCAAATAGAGCAATCTAATAGAGCAATCCAATTACAGTAGTCCAACTAGAGCAGTCTATGCCCACGGTTTAGCTGCGGGCGGGATGTCGCTTCCTCGCTTCAGCAGGCGAAACAGGGCTGCAGCTTCCTTGATTCTCGAGAACTGAATGCAGAACGGCTGGATCTCGACAAAGTCCATTGGCGATATGATCCCGTTGCTGATGAGCGACTGTAGAAAAACGCACACCTGCAACAGGTCGCCGACAATCGAGCGACATGTCAGTAGCCATAAATGGACGCCCATCTTGAAACCATGCGGTGAGCACCGTCGAGCCACAACTCATACTCGAGAATGGACACCTCTGATCGAGGCAATAGTCGTAGAGCTGCGATCACAGAATAAACCCTTGCAACAGAATGCACGCACTGCCTACCAGGCGCACATGTCGGTTCTGGGCGTACTTGTCGGCAATCAGTTCACATGTCGAGATACAGTTGGAGACGTATCGCTGCAAGAAGCGCGAGGGTAGCTCGATGGACGATGCGAGTTGGTTGACAACCTCCATGGATTGCAGAGAAACCCCCATGTTGATGAGGATCTCCAGAAACCTTGAACGCCCATCAACGCAGCACAAGACAAGACTGGTGAGTATCCAGGCAGCCAGCACACTCTTGGCATCCGAACATCCAGAAGGTTCCAAAACTCACTCGTCAATGTGGCCGACGCTGGCCAGGCTCTTGAGCGCCTCGAATGCCAGTGACGGGTTGTGCTCCACGAGTCCAACGAGGTTTCCTGTGGTGACCCCGCATTGGAGCACTAGATTTGGATCGGCCTGCAAGATGCTCGCAACATGCTATACTCGACAGCCACACAAACAACGCAGGGGATGGTCAGCCAGTATCGTCGAAATCCAGCGGCACCGTTTCAGCAGAGCTTTGGAGCCCTCAGGCATATGCTTGTTCGGAGGAACGGCTCGGAGCCCACCTGCTGTTGCGAAATGCTGAGCGGGGTTTCGGCTCCGGCAAGCAGGTGCTGCCTGACTTCATTCCGTTTGGTGGTGTCTGATGCGATTGAGGGATCCCACTCGATGAGCGGGCCCTGGATCGCCGGATGTATCCAAGAAAGCTGGTATTGACGACGAGATATAGAGAACGTGATCGGACGAAGCGATGAGCATGAGTTTCGTCTCAGTGTCCTTGGCCGTTACTCCGTCCGCAAGCTTGCCCAAGATCCGATGCTGGTGGAAAGCATTATGCTCGATACCTCATGATCCAGCAACGGCATTGACGGTGGCAGACATTGGGGAAACGGGGGCCGGAATCCCAGAAGCTGGGATTGATGGTCAGGATACTCGCAGAACAGGGCAACGGCAGCTTCAAGGGCCTCAGACAGCGTCGGTTCGACAATGTCCCTGGGTGTTGGCATAGTGTTGGATCGAGAATGCATTAGTGGCAGGTGTATACATCACACCACCCGAGAGCAGGCGAGCAGCCACTAACTCATGACGTCGCATCAGCCGCATGGGCCACAGATGCGGTTGCGATCCAGCCCGCACATACATCCAACATCTTCAATGATGCCCGGATCGGCCCGAGTCCCAAGGACAGCAATCGTTGAGTCCACCGGTAGGCCCTTACCCATGCAGATCGGGCTCGGCCACGGCATAGATGCTTGGACGCAGCGAAGCCGAGTTTAAAATGTCGGCGTCGTAGTCCTGTTTGATACCGAGGGCGAGCTCAAGGTTGCGCTGCAGATGTGGAGCTTTGGCGATCTCGTCCTGCACGGCGCTCGAGTCGAAGGCGGTGATTTCGAGAGGCGTCAGGGAGTCGATGTTTGTGACGGGCTGGAAGAGCTGCAGACACAGCCAAGACTCTTGAGGGGTGGGTGCGATGGGCGAGGTATAGGAGGTCGGGGAGGTCTCGGGGATGTAGTCCAGAAAGACATGGATGAATGGACTGTCCTTGAACGGAAGAGCCTCGTAGACGGCGTAGAGGGCATATAGAGCCGCGATGCGGTGAACCGGCCGTGGTAGAAGAACTCGCTCGACCAACAGCACCGAGAGCAGACTGGCCAGATCAAACTTGCGGCTCGTTGTTGCAAACAGGCTCAGGACCGACGTTGCCGACTGACGGAGGGGTTGTGCCCGCGCCGTGGAGATGAAGTCATAGACGGCCTCAATATCCTTTCTGGAGACCGAAGGCGAAGGTGCCGGGGGCTCTGGGCCGAGAGGCGTGCGACTCTTCATGGCAGCGAGGGCAGGCGGCTCTCGGGATGTGCATGGTCCAGGGAGAAGACGGCGGCCAAGACGCCGGACGAGGGGCATTTGTTCGCTCCGCGCTCTGGTGCTGGCTGGTTTGGCTTGATCGGCAAGGCATCCAGCACCCATCGCCCAGCTCTCTCCCCGCTTTCTCCTGCATCTACCGCCGCCCTTGGCCTCTGCCCTCGCGAAGAAGACTGCTGTTCGGCCATGCCAGCCATGTTTGCCCAGCTGCAGACGTTCATGTTTTGGTGGCTCGTGCCAGCCTATGCGACCCAGGCAAGGCGACGAGCGCTGACCATGAACAAATGACTATCGGTGTCGGGGAGGGGATGCAGCAGCGCCTAATCGGCGCCTTTGCCTCTCTGTGTATCCAGTTCATCCAAAAAGCCATCTACTTTTTGTTTTTCAAGCACCCACCCCAGCCCAACCATCGTCGCTTCCAGCAACACGCCAGATTGATCTACATATCCGTGGTTCTGGGCTACCTAGTTTACTCAACCGTCCAGGTGAGGCTCGCTCGGGCAAGACCAGACAATACAGCGCTGGCCAGAGCCGAGGCCCGATTCGACTGCCGGTCCGCCCAAGCCGCTATATGAGTCAATGGCAGTGTCAGCGCGGCGCTCGGGTCGACGACACCAGCGCTCAATGTCCGTCTATTCCTCCAGATCGAACGCTCGATCGACCCCAGCTACTACAATTATCTGCAAGTTCCCCTCGATGCCACTCCGGCCCAGATCAAATCTAGCTACCGGTCTCTATCGCTGCAACTCCATCCCGATAAAGTGCACGATGTAGGTGATGGATGGATCCTCGACACGGCGAGCTGGTCGACATGATGGCTCTTAACACGCCAAGTGATGCCTACTATCGACAGCCCGAACTCCGTGCTCAGTACGAGGCAGTTTACCTGAGCATTCGGAACGGATACGAAGTCCTCAAGGAGCCCCTGACCCGCACGGCGTATGGTAAGAGGCCCATTTGCGAATGAAGGAGCCTCCACCCACGAACGCATCGGACCACCGGGCTTGTGCAATACTGACCCACCCTGCGATGCTGGTTGTGGATGCGGACTGAGGGGAGAGGCGACGAAATCTCGAAGATGGCTGGGTGATGAGGGAGAGTGGTGGCTGCAGCTCTCTAACAGCAAATGATCCATTTCTGCTGTCTTTTCCCACACTCCCTCCCTCTCGGTCGATGGTTCGTTTGCGAATCAGACAAGTTTGGCGATCTGGTCAAGACCTGCACTCACTGCAAAACCCTGAGGGACTACACAGTGGCGTCACTCGCTTCGTTTTACTACTTCTACGTCGTCACGGCCTTTGTGCTGTTGGTCATGATGGTCCTCGGCAAGGGCGAATATGGCAAATACTGGCGCTTCGTCGGTCTCTTTGCTCTTGGCGTGCTCGAATACCAGACGATCGTCTCCCCAGCTGGCCAGGAGCCGCTCGGATGGCTGTTCACCTGGCGAACTCCTCATCAGAAGCTGGTGCTCTTTCATCAGCTATACATCTCGCTGTGCATTGCTGTCTCACAGATCGGCCCGCTCTTGGCTCCGGTCAACATGCCTCCGAGCCAGGATAAGGAGGTGGAGATCCTGACGAACCAAGTGCTGGAGCTCGAAAAGCTGACCAACATGGAGCTGAAGGAAGTCGGCTCGTACCTACAGACTGTACTTGAGCCCTACAAGGACCACCCGGCTGAAGCCGGAGTGCTGCGTCGCAAGATGGAGAAGCTGATGGTCGACTCGGCCATCTTGGAGACCAACAGCGACTACCGGAGTGCTTATGAAGCTGCCAGCAAGCGATTTCGTGGGCCCGGGTCGTAGCAGAAGGACAGACGATCCGGCAGAGTCGTGAGGATGAAGGCGCATGCTGGAGACAAATGCACGTTGCCCCCCCCCACTGCCCAGTGCTCTGTACGAAGCGACCCGCCATTATCGAGCGACAGGTCTCTATGTGCGCTGTTGGCCGCAACTCTGGGGGGTAAATCTTGGACGGCATGAACTCAAATACACACGAGCGATCGCTGCGAACACTGGTGGATATCGTGAGCGCTGGATCCACGCGTGCGCACCCTCGATCCAGACACTTGTCTTTGGTCATGAATTGCAAGGACCCCGTTTCGTAATGAGCTCGCTGCATCGAGGCGATTGCGATGTCCCCAGCCAGGAGGGATCTGGGTGCGCAGCACGCGCTTCATACAGCCGTTTTTGGCACTATGGCCTTCATTTGTCCTGCCAGCCCGATTTTTTTGTGCCGCCCCAGCACAAAGATCGAATGGGCATCGGCCATCGCTTGCTCCCAGGATCACCGTCGAGCAAGCCCGCAGCGCCTTTGAGGACGCATTCTCGCCGAGGACGCACTCTCATTGCACCCGAGCCGAGCCGAGCCGAACCGAGCCAGCTCGATTCAACAGGAAACAGACGGACGGCATCTGCATCACAGCGCCTCCATCCCCCGCCCGGTCCGGCCACCAACCCCACCACCATCGCCCTCACAGTCAGCCGAGCCAGCGAGCACACAAGTCCGTCGGCCCTTATCGCCTCTGTCGCAAGTCCTTTCCATTCCCCGTCTCAACGAACTCCAAGCAGCCTTGCTCTCAAGGGAGCCGCTCGATCCGTTTGATTTTTGCACCAATCCGCCGCCCTTGACCATCATGGCCAAACAAAAGAAGCAGACCAAGAAGGCCGACCAGCTGCACAGCGAGTTCAAGACCGTCGATGCCACGCTGCTCGTGCATCTGCCGCCTCGTTTCGTGGGCGAAACCATGAAGGGAGTCACACACTACCTGAACAGCCTGCTGATGAGGTAGGCACCTGGCTTTGCCGACCAAACAGCATGAGCGGGTACTCCACTCAAATGCACCGCGAGGCTGCGGCTGGGCAGACGGGGATGTACTGGGATGTACTGGAATGCATTGGGATGTACTGGGATGCACATTATTCCCCAGTTCGGTCATGTCCCGCCGCTGGCGCTCTCACATCGAGATCCCTTCCGATCCAACGGCCTGCGTGATGGTGCTTCTTGCCGGCATGTCTCAGACGCGTCGCTCACTTTGCGGATCGTCGCTGACACGAACCATTCGGGCTTCCTTCGCCGATTTGTGCACTTCCCTGTCGATGCAGATATGTCGCCGAAGTCGGGGGTGTCGTTCTGTCATTCAAAAACATCAAGCTACTGGAGTCATCGGGCCGCATCCTCTTTGACAACCCCTACACCCACTTCAACGTCTCCGTGCGATTCACGGTCTTTGCGCCAGAGCGGTCTTCGATTCTGAGTACGATTTGTGTCCTCTCGGACTTTCAGCAAAACCGATTCATGTCGGCCACGCCCATGTGGCTCCCTTTGGTCGGTCGGTCGGTGCGTTTGTCTAATGTCCGTACATCTCTGTCTTGCATCGCACAGCCGGCGTGGTCAACAAAGTGTCGTCGGATCATATCGGCTTGCTCGTCCATGGCGTTTTCAATGCCTCGATTGCGGCCGATCAGATCCGAAAGTCCGAGTTCCGATGGGACAGCAAACAGAGTGCCTGGATCCAAAAGTCGGACAAATCCGTCATCGACTCGAACGCAATCATTCGATTTACCGTCTTGGAGTGAGTGGTTTTTGTCTGTGATCCGCCGCCACCCGTCGCCACTGTGCTTGCGAGCAATGTAATGTGCCGTGTCGTGCCGGGCTTGTCGATATTCATCGTGAGGGTTCAAAGCAGAAGGAATTGTCGCTAGATCCGACAAGGCTATGCCGAGCTGCGACCGAGGCCCACTTTGCCTTCCTTTATTACGCTCCACTCCACTCGACTATTGCTGATCTGAAATGAATCGCCCAATCTCTTCCTCATCTCCGCCAGCATTGTTCGGGCAGACGACATGTTCACGATTGTGGGCAGTCTCGTGAGCCACCCCAACAAAACTGGCCTGGTGGACAGCTCCAATATCATACCCGCTCCGGTGCCTCAGCCGCCTCCAGCCTCGACCGAGGAAGTAGAAGGTGAAGAAGAAGAGCAAGCCGAGGCGCCTCCCCAAGAGGGCGTGCTGGACTATGAAGGCGCTGTGTACCGACGGCCCGCTGACGCTGCCAAAGCTGACGATGACGACGAGGAAGAGGAGGAGGAGGAGGCATCCGAGCCCAACGACAACGCCATGGAAGTGGATCATGCCCCTGACGTGGCCGAAAAGAGCAAGAAGCGCAAGTCAGTCTCGGGCGGCGACCGCGAAATCACCAAGGGCTCAGCCAAGAAGGCAAAGAAGGACCCGATCGCATCCGCCGAAAAGAAAAAGAAAGCCAAGGCTGCCGATGTCACGACAGAGTCGCCAGCGAGCGAGAAGGGCCATGGCGACGAGACCGAGCACAGCAAGGCCACACCCAAAAAGTCATCAAAGAAACAGAAAGCCGCGGCAGCGGACGATTCTCCTGAAGCCTCGACGCCGACCAAGGTCAAGAGCAAAAAGAGCGCCAAGGGCCAGCAATAAACCCCCTTTCCCGCGACACGGTTCCTTTGTACTTTTCGTTGCAAGTAGTGCCTCGAGAGCAGCGTGCAGGAAGGCAGCCGTGGCTGTCTGTGTCAGGGAACCCCCCAAGTGCGAGCCAGGCTGCGGTGACCAGCGGCGTCGCCATCCCTTCCGAATTGCACACGATCGATGGGAAGCCATTCACAGCCACCTGGGACGAGCAACAGCCCGCGAGAAGGTTTGCTTTGATGATGGAGCTATGTATGTGTATTGGCTTCGAACAGAAATGGATTTCGGAGAAGGCGTGTGTATATGGGAGGGATGAAACACATGGAATGAGTCGATGTTACGGGGGGGGGAGGGAGTTACCAGTGCGGGCCGGCTGGCTGGCGTCGAGTCTTACCCAAAAAAAGAAAAAAGAAAAAAGAAAAAAGAAAAGCCAAAGGCAGAGGGTCGCAAGTGAGGCAGCAAGGAAACGAGGGGATGTATGTTGGGTGGGTCTTCGCAATTAGGGCACAAAGCAGCGGTCGAAAAGTATACTAATGCAGGCGAGAGTGGAGTTGCGTGGCTGCACAACAACGGCGACGACGTCGACAACGACGGTCCTCGGTGAGTCGAGGGGGGGCCTCAGCAGGAAGCAGCAAGGACAGAGGTAGGCGGATACACGGCGGCAGCACTGGGCTCCAGAAGGATTAGCAGATCGTGCAGCTGGTGGACTTGCTCTTGCTGAGGGTGCGGCGGATAAATCGCTTGCCGCGCTTGTTGGTGTCGGTAGGCTGAGGCTCAGGATCCTTGCCGGTGAGACGTTTGATGGCCTTTGGATCGCCAGCATCCGATGCCAACTTGTACCACTCCATGGCCTTTTCGAGGTCGACGGCGCATCCGACGCCGGTTTCGTGGAAATAGCCGACGGCGAACATGGCGCGGGGGAGACGGTGCTTGTCGGCGGCCTTGTAGACCCAGTAGTAGGCATCCGAGTCAGACTGGTCGAGATGGAAGCCGGTGTTTGGGTCGTCGGTGCCGGTCAGGAACCAGCCTCCGAGCTCGAACATGGCCTGTGGACAGAGATATTCCACGCGAGAGGGCGGTCAGTCAGGCGCCAAGCGGAAGCAGAGCGTTTATCCGATGAGCCGGGGGGGCCTGGCCGACAAGGGAGCTTCACAGCATGCTGCTGCTTATCTTCCGCGCGAACGCAGGCAGCCACTCGCAGGCAACGACAATGTCCGCGATTCTGCGATCCAGACAGGGCGCTGCACACATCCGCGAGAGCCAAAGAGGCGCCCGACTCTCACCTCGGGATGGCCGTTTGAGGCGGCGAGCGAGTAGTAGTAGACACTGCGTCCAGGATCGACCGAAACACCAAACTTGGCATACTCGTAAGCCTCGCCCAGACGGTATTGCGCCGCGGTGTGGCCGAGGGCGGCCGCCTGGGTCAGGAGGTTGATCAGATACTCGTGGTCGGTCCAGACGACGTTGTGGACGCCCTGATCGTGGAGCATGGCCAGTTCGTAGAGGGCGTGCGAATACTTTGGGGTGGCGTACTTGGCCGACAACCGCAGCCACTTGACACCGTCACGGGCATTCTTTGCCTGGCCGAGATCGCCGCGGAGTAGCGACATGCCCAAGCGGTACATGGCGCCAGGATGGTTGCTACAGAGGGCACAATGTGAGAAGAGCGTCAGTTCGGAGCCAGAGGGCGTTTGGTTGCATCGCAGTCCGAGGGGGGGGGTGCACACTCACAGCATCGCGGCCTTCTTGTAATTGTGGGCAGCCTTGGACTTGTTGGTGGAAGTGCCGGCGCCTCGCTCGTGGCAGAGGGCAACGTGGTAGATGGACTCGAGATGGTCTTTCTTGGCGGCGGACGAGTACATATTGTATGCCTTGGCGAAGTTGGACTTGTGGGGAGCGGGATCACCAGGGACGCCGCCGATGTAGAGGTTGCCGAGATAGTACTGGATCTCAGGATCGCAATTCAGCGTGATCATGGACTTGAGGGTCTTGACGGCAAACTTTGCATAGTCCGTACGCTTCTTCTGGTCGGGGTGGTGCTGGATGTGGTCGACGATGAACTTGACGGCCTCGAAGCGCTCGCTCTGGCTGAGCTGGCCCTTTTGGAGCTGGGCCACGGTCTCGCTCAGGCGGTTGACGATGGAGGTAGACTGGGCGGCTTCAAGGTTGAGGGTGTCGACGGACAGGGTCGTGGTGTTCTGGGCTTGCGAGTCTGGGCTGGAGACGACGGAGCCCAGGCCGGAGGCGGCAGAGGCTTCGTCTTTGTTGGAAGACAGGGTAGAGCCGGCAGAGTCGTCGCTGCTCTGGGTGAGCTTGGCGTGCGGCTGCGCGGCCATGGCCTGGTCAAAGGACGCAATGCTAGAGGATCTCGAGTAGCCGGTGCCCTCGTCGTCAAAGATGGGCGTCGAGCCACGAGCATGGTCCGCGAGGGCGGCAGCGGCCACCTCGGCCTCGGTGGCTTGGGCGAGCTTGTCGAGGGCCAGCGACGAGTAGCGTTTCTGGTGTTGTGAGAGAGCTCGAGCCAGGTTCATCTTCATCTGCGGCGGGAACATGATTTTGGAGGACATTTCCGAGACGGCGATGGTGCTATCGAGCTGGGCGATGGGGGAGGTCGGCAGCGAGACGGAGTTCTTGAGCGGGTGGCCGCCGTACGAGGCCGTCTGCAGATAGTGGTCCTCGGCGGTCTGCAGAGCCGTGGACATGGCTACAGAGTTGAGCGAGGCAGTGTCGAGGGACGAGCGCCTGGAGCTGAAGGCGTTGACGAGGGGCGATGGGGGAGCGCTCAACGTTGGCGAGACAGGGTCCTCGACGAAAGCGCCGGACAGGATGTGGGGGAGAGGCCTTTCATCGGGGGTTGTTGAGGACATGGCGAGCTGGGAGACGGGCGGTGCCGAGGAGACAGAGGAGGGAGGCGGTGGGGCTGGCGGAAGGGATCCGGGGAAGAGGCTATTGAGCGAGGCTGGGCCTGGACTGTGGTGGAAGGCGACTCTGCTGCAGAAAGCAGGAGCAATCGGATGCGGCGAGCGGGATGGGGGGGGGTGATGAACAGGAGCGATCTGGCTGCGATCTGGCTGCGATAAAGGGTGCAAGACAAGACAGCACCGAGTCCGGGTTGGCTGGTCGAGATCCGTTGGGGCCTGGATGCCGCGAAGGTTTGGGACAGTAACGACCCAAGAGGAGGGAAGATAGGGTAGCCAACGAGCGGGAGCGGTCGAATGTTTATATGCAGGCCGGGGGGGGGGAGCAGACTTGCGCGATGGCTTGTTGTGGTGGATGCGTGCGGATTGTGTCAAGCGGCAACTGAGAAGGTCGCGAAGGTTAGTGGCGTGAGTGCGGTCTGGGCAAGGCCGGTGGGGTGCAGAACCAACATGGAGGAGGATGGGGCATGGGTGTGGGAAAAAAAATACGGTGGCGAGGTCTTTTGCTGGCAGGCCAGAGGATGTGTGCATGCGTGGCCGGCCTGTGACGCCTCGGACGGCTGTTGGTTGTGTTGGCCGCCGTCTCTTGTGCTCGGTGTTGTCGTGCGGGCTTTGGGTGCGGTCTCCTGTGCTGGATGTTGCCGGTGTGTGCCTCGAATGCGGTTGTTGGCGTGCCTCTGGCCTTGTGGCCCGGTGGTGGATGGGCTCGAAAGATATGGCCAACACGGACGCAGGGACCGCGGCGCTGGCCGGTGCGTCCTCGTGGGAAAGGCCGTCGGGCTTGGCCACAGCAGAGCCAAGAGCGCGAGTGCCTTTGTGGAAGGACGCAAGAGCCGGCCTTGGCAAGGAAGGCCGAGGAAGAGCCGCGGACGATCAAAGGGGGACCGAGGAAGGATCAAAGGGCCTCAGACGACCAAGGAACATCCTCCGACCGACAAGGCCTGGCCCCAAAGATAGCCGGCCAAGCATCCCAGATAGCCTGCCAAAAGTCAGAGGAGGAGCACTCACTTATGAACATGTGCCTGCGAGGCAACGGCAGCACCAGGGCTTCTGCGGTCCATACGACGAGCAAACAGGAATCGGTCTGCGGACGGCGGTCCTGCTCAGCACCTTTATACAGCGCACGTTCGTCGGCTGCCAGCAATGGCCTCTGGCGGAGACCAGATGCACGTTGCAGCACCCTTGCCGCCGTCCGATTGCGATTCTGTCGCCCAGGAGACCACACGTCGCTGCCGGATCGCCAAGCACACCAAACAACCCGGCAGCCCGCAGGATGTTTGGATGTCGATGGGCCCGTGGTGCGGCGGCAGTCCGCTGCATTCTGGTGCAGTCGCCCGCACTCGCAGCGACGGTCTCCCCCAAGTCGATTTGAAATGTGCAGCCAGCGCAGTCTCCGTGGTCGACGACCGTGGGAAGGGAATAGACAGCCGAGCGGATTGTGCTGGGCCACGTTGGCGGCTATGAGGGACCAGACCCTAGTTCCCCCTCCCCTGACGATCCCTGCGTTCAGAATCAGTATGCCACAACAAAACAGGGCTGCCGGAGCACTACGGCAGGACCATGGCTGTCGATGCCGCCGACGCCGCATCCACTCCGGCCACACGATCCGAGTCCATCGACGATTTATCGCCCCTCGGGCTCGCCACCACCACCACCACCGCCGCCGCCGCCGCCTTGGCATTGCCCTGTGCCGATTCCTCATTCCTCACGCGTCGGGCGATCTGCCTGGCGCGGCCTGCCAAAACCGAGACGGCTGTGGCTGTGCGTGGAGCCGGATCGAGTGTGCCGGCTCGATCCAGCAGCGCCACCGGGTCTCTGTTTGTTTTGGGCCAAGCGGGCTGATGTTTCTCTGTCCTTCCCTGCGCTTCTCATCGCGGACACAACAGCTTCCGGTCGACATCCACCACGAACGACATCCGCACCACGAACGGCGTCCGCACCGCGAACGACATAGGCCTCGTATAGCGGCGCTCACCACCACGGATATCGACAATCGCCACACCAGCACCACGAAACAACCCATCGCCGCCTGTGTTGCAGACCCTCCCTTCCCTCTGCTCCGGACTCACCGCCCATATTCGCCAGCCAAAGCCGCACCTGCGTCTGTCGAGCACCTTTTCTCCCCGTTATCAGCGACCCATCTGTTCGCTGTGAAGCGTCCTCTGCTTGTCCTGCTCAACTTGCCAACGTCCGTGGATATCGGCTGCCATTCCCGCTGCTCAAGTTACCTGGCCTTAATCCCATCCTGCCCTTTGCAGCCGCAGCTGGAATCTGCCACCTGAATCGCATTCCTTCAACCATCGTCATCTCCATCATCATTATCATCATCATCCGAGAGTTATAGCCATGGCATCGCTCATTGACCTGTCGGATACCCCTGCAAGTGGCTCGTCCGACAGATATTCCTTCCCGGGCTCAATGTCAATGACGACACCCCCAAACTCCAACTGCCCATCTCCCTTCCTATCGTCCAAGCCGCTTACACCCATCAAGCTCCATCCGCAGAGCTCGCAAGACACCCTCGTCAGCCGGTCAGTGTCGTCGTCTTCGTCGTCGCTGCCCAGGATACCGGCTGCGTCTCCACCCTCGTCAAATACGCTGCTGGACTGGTCCTTCGAGCCGATCACCCCAACGGCGGCGCCGCCATCGAAGCACATCCCGTCTCCTTTTTCACAGCCTGGGTCCGCCCATAAGGCTCGGTCTCGTCTCAGCCAGCAACCGGCCCTTGCCAGCAAACCGTCATCGCTTTCGTCTCTGTCGTCGGCCACCATCGCAGCCGAGCCATCGCACCGTCCGAGTTTGCTGGACGATCTCATATCCCCACAATCGAGCCACACCGCGCCATACCCGCCGCTATCTGCCGAAGCCTCCGAGCTCGACCGATTCCTGTTCATCAAGTAACCATCGTTTCAACCCATGCCGATGGGTCTGCTTCTTTTCGCTGGGATGGTGCATTTTTATTCTGTTGTTGCGCTGGGCCGATGCAGCTGCATTTGCTGCTCGTGACATGCCGACCATGCCATGTGTGCTGACACTCATCTGGTTTGATTCGCTGTCCAGAAACATTCTCGCATTCCAGAATTCTATCAAAGGTAACGTCCGCAGTAGCAAGCCGCAGTTGGCACTGAGGGATACCGTCGCGGCCGCTGTTGCCGATCCGCCTGTGGCTCCCATCACGATTGCAGGCATCTTTGTGTTGGCGTGACTGATTGCACTGGCCAACCCCCAGGCTGCGTGCGATCCCGCTGGCTGTGGGTGCGACGCTTCCATCCTGAGCTTCGTCGAGATACGACTGCATTCCGGCGACGCATCACTCATCCGTGCGAGGTCTGCTTCACCCAGAGCAAATCCGCCGCTGCGAAACCGCCAAGCAGGAGCACGGCAAGCTGCGTGCCGAGAACGAGATCCTCTTCAAATACGTCAACAACCTGGCCGCAACGACAGCGAAATGGGAGAAGGACCGCGCTGAGCGGGTGGCCCTGGAGCGACGGGAAGAGCAGGAGCGCGAGGACTGGGACTGAGTGAGTCTCTTGCCTTGGTGATTGCCGGCCTCGATATCGCGGATTGTCTGACCTCGATGTCCCGAATACGGGCCTTGGTGCTTGCGCCCTCCCAAAATGCAGGCACTGCCCGCACTGCCGCTTGGTCCAGCCCACAACAACCTGTGTCTGTCCCTGTGCTTCTGCTGCCTTCTTGGCCTGCGTGGTGGTGTCGCGCCCGCGCTCGGCAAGGACAGCCGCTCTATTCTGTCGAACGTTTCCGTCTTTGTTGTTGGAAATAGAGGACCCCATGATCGCCCCAGCAACGTCTCTTTCCCCCCTCAGCCGAGCACAACAGACGAGCTTGGCTTCGAGGACGCTTTCTGCTCTGGGTGCCCTCTCTCTCCTCCTTCGCTCCGTCTGCAGACGCTCTTCTCTGGCCGTCGCTGCATCTGCTTGACGTCGTCCGCCAGGCCTCTGTCTCTGCCCACCCCTCTCTCTACATCTATGAGTACCCCGAGCTCCATCTCGTACGTCCTCCAGAAGGACTTTGGTGTCGGACCGGCTTTCTATGACCAGTTTGCCTTCCAAAACAGCGGCGTCCCCGGCGGCTTCGCCTATTATGTCGACCGCCCAACGGCCCTCCAGAGCGGTCTCATCAACGGGGCCGTGAGCCCCGTCGGCTCCGCTGCCCTTGCCGGTGGCGCAACCTACCTCTTCACCGACAACCAGACCGTCGTCCCGGCCACCAGCACCGGTCGCTCGGCCATCCGCCTCGAATCCGTCGATAGGTTTGCCCAGGGGCTGTACATCTTTGACGTCCAGCATGTGCCCACAGGCTGCGGCGTGTGGCCGGCCCTGTGGTTCAAAAAGTCGACCAACGCCACGCTCATTGCCGAGATCGACATCATGGAGACCATCAACCAGCGTGACCAGAACCACTACAACATCTACACCGGGCCCGGATGCTACTCGTCGCCCGCCGACCGGCGCAACCAGACCTCGACCATCACGGGCGTCATCTGCGATGGCAACATCCCCAAGCAGCCCGACGTCCCCCTTGGATGCGCCAACAACGACGAGGCCAGCGGCGGCATCGGCGCCCTCTTCAACCAAAACGGTGGCGGTGTCTATGCCCTGAACCTGGACCTCAACCAGCTTGCCATCTACTTCTTCCCGCGCAGCAACATTCCCACGGACATTGCCCAGTCCAAGCCCAACCCCTCCACCTGGGGCGAGCCTGAGGTGTACTTCCCGTTCGACTGCTGCTCGCCAGACTATTTCCAGGACATGACCTTCATCATCGACACCAACTTGTGTGGCTCCTGGCTCTCCAATGCTGCCGATGCGGCTTGCCCGATGACCACGGGAGGCGAGCCCGTCTGCGACGCCTACGTCGCCAACACCCCCTCGGCCTTTGGGGAGGCCTACTGGGCCATCAACTCCATCAAGCTCTACCAGCCCACGGCCCTCACTTCCTTCAACCCCGACACGGCCGTGACCTGTCCTACCGGTGCGATCGTGACAGCGGCCCCACGAACGGGCGTTGCCATGGCGACTGCAAGCCCGATTGCCGTCTCGAGTGCTGCCAGCTCATCGTCCCCGACCACTTCCCCTGGCTCTGCCCCTGCTCCTATTGCAGTCAAGACCTCGGGCGCCCGATCTGCCCACCACGTCGGACTCGCCTCGGTGCTGGTGCTCTCGTCCCTTGTGCTGTCGCTCCTGACGACTCTGATCTAGACTACTACTATCGTTACCGCCAATGCTATTCGTGAAACCGATTGTCCACTCTTTTAAATGGAATATATATATCCATAATCGATAACGGCCATCCACACCGCGCAATCAGGGCAGGGGATACGCAGCTCGGCTTGAATCGTCCGGGACTGCTTCGCCACCTCGAGCAGGTTCACCGCCACCGGAAGTGTGTGCTCATACAGAGGCTGACGGAGTGGCGAACGGAGGCTTCCAATATGCAGCAACATTTATTCCTCAACGAACAGTAGGAACGAGGCTCTAACTCTCAAACGGCACAAAATCCACGAACCAACACACAGTGCCGATGCCGATTGGAGGTGGTCTGCATTCACATGTCCCGAATCTCCCGAATCTTGGATGAGGGGAGGGGAGGCACGGCAAGGCAAGGCTCAGGGACCGATCCCATGGGCGTCGTCACTAACATAGGCTTTACACCAACTTCTTGCTGACAAAGAACTTTTTCAAGTGCGTCAGCTGCCAGGCGCAGGTGAGACCTAAAAGAAACCCAGTTGACAAGAGTGAGGGCGAGCTCACACGACTCTGGCAGGGTCGGAAAGGAGGACACGCAGCACTGGGCCTTGTCACGATCCTGCGAGGGCCTTCCAACCTGGCGGGATACTCACCGAGCACAATCAGCTGAACGACAGTCCAGTAAAAGACGCGACCCTTGACCTTTTCGCTGAGCTGGCGGAATTCAACCTCTCGGTCCTGGTATCAGATGCGGCATTTGTTTAATCGACGCGGCAGAGTAAGATCGGATGGATGCAACACGAACGATGTGACCGTATGCACCACAGCAAAGTCGCGAATGTGGATACATCCTCTCCAATTGGAGTGCACAGTCAAAGCAACAGACATTCCTGGATATGAGCAACCCAACCCACAAAGGGGGAGGAAGGAGGCGTGTTGACCTACCCGCTGGTACTGCTGCTCGCGACGAATGTTGCTGATGCGGTTGTTCATTTCGCGTAGCCGGACAGTGAGCGCTGTGGCGGAGGGTTGGAGAGATGTTCGCGGTGTCAGGCATATACGAGGCCAGGACGATCAGTCCCAAAGATATCAACACTGTCCGGCGGCGGAGGACTATGCGGCGAAATGAGCAAGGTACGGATACGCACCGTTGAGCTTCTCATCCTTCTTTCCATCCTCGAGCTTGTGGGTGGGATCGCCAAACATCAGCTCAACGTAGAGTCGCTGGAGGAAAGGAAGCACACGAGATGTATGGTCAGTCGGGAAAGGCAAGGTAAGACAAGGCAAGACAAGATAAAAACTGAGCAATAGCCATGCCGCGGCAACATACGGTCTTGATGCTGTTGAACCAAGTGGTCGAGTTCTGGGAGCTAGATGGGTTTTGAGCCGAGGTCATTATCGGGTGACAGGTGGGTCAGAGGCAGCTACGCGAGGCTGAGGCTTGATCGTTTGCCATGCGCACACAACAATGGATCCCATGAAATACGGATCCAGCATTGATCCAGAGTGCTGGAGCATCCACAACTCACAAGCAGAGGTGGTGCTCGCCCGACTCGGTGGTGGTGAAGGAGAAGCGACCCTTGTGGCCGGCCTTCTGGTTGACGATGGCGTGGCGAGTGGCCAGATCCTGGAGAATGCGAGAGCAGGCGCTGCTGAGTCAGAGGGCTGAGCGTGGCAGGATGCGGAGGTAATCGAGCAAGTAGGCGAGTCCAGAGAAGGGCATTTGGCCAGTTTGATCAGGCACGGGGCAAACAACAGAAGCCCAAGTCGCTCCTGCGCATCTGGTTGCCGAAACCGGTGTTGATAGGCAAGGCGAAAGCGATGGTTGGCCGCTGTCGCCATTGCGCAAATTAGGTGCTTACTTCGACAAAGATTTGGATGCCGACGGCAGCGTTTTCTTGGTAGCTCTGGGTCTCCTCGCCCCAGGTCTCGGACTTGAAAGAGCCGATGACGTTCGAGTCGGCAGGGAGTTCCTCGACAAAGCACCGCATATCGGCGCCGTCGAGGTAAAAGTGGAGGGCATGGACGTACGAGACGGCCAGCACAATGGCCAGGAGGGCGGTGATCCAGGACGATCGGTGGTGCATGACTGCTCGCAGCTCGGGGAGGATTCCACCAGCCGGGACGGGATGGGATGCGGTGGGCGGTTGGGGCGATGGTGGAAAGCGGCAGCAAGAACGCCCAAGGCGGCGACGAGGCAGGAAAGCAAGCGAGCGGGCGGGCCAATCGGCGCGTCCCAGCAAACCCTGGGGGGAGGGGTGTGCCAGGGGCGGGCGAGCCCTTGCCCTGCATCGGTGGCTCGATCCAACACAGTGGCTCGATCCGATCGTGTGCCGCTGTGCGCGCCTTTGGCCGGAAATGGCTGGTGGACGGGGCAGCGATTGGCCGGCGGCGCGTCCGCACCGGCTTGTGCGCGGCCTGTGCGCGGGACGAGCTGCGCGTGTGTCGATAGTGCCGAGCGCACTGTTCTGTGTCGAGTGTGCTGTGCGTCCCTGAGCGCGCCACAGTACAGCGGCAGCAGCAGCTTGGCGGCGCGGCTGCACAGAGCGACACTGTCCATGCCCCCATGTCGCACACACACACACGCCTGCCCAGGACCCGCGACTTGCTGTCCCGCTCGGCTGCCTGCCCGCCCCGCCCCCTGGCATCCCTCGATATGGCGACGGAATGTCTGTCTGCGCCTGGTTGCGCCGTGTCGAGAAATCCAGCTCCATCGAAATCAGCCCAGTTGCCTGCCGAGAGAAAAGCGTCCGTCGAGCGTTCTCCCTGCCCCCATCCTTCCATCCATCTGCCCATCTGCCCATCCTAGTCAGCCCGTGTCACCTCCGGCCGAGATCTCCCACTAGTAGAGCATTCCAGACAAGCAAAAGCACCCATCATGACTGTCGATAAGCCCATTGAAACCCCCGTCCCCGAAGTCGAGGCTGCTGCCAAGGAAGCCGCCGTCGCTGCTGCTGCCGCTGCCGCTGCCGCCACCGCCGTGGCTGTCGATGAGAAGCCCAAGGTCTTTGTCGGCAACCTGCCTTTCCAAATCACTGCCGAGGAGCTGAAGGAGTTTTTTGGCAAGTCTGGAAATGTGTAAGTTGGTGGGGGTGGGCATGTCCCGCTCTCCATTGGCTGCTGCGACCCCCTCCTGTGCTGTGCTCTCTTGGCCGCTGGACCACATCTCTCCCATGGCTGCCTTCGCTCCTCTCCCCGTGCACACGCGCTCTCGACATTCTCTCCCGTTATCATCTCGCAGCAGATCTGCCTCCGTTCAGGCCACACCTCGCATCGCCTCGCCTCCTTCCTCCTCCTCCCTCTCTCTTACGGGTGGCGGCTCAAGGGTCGACGAAGGCAGCAGATGAGACAGCTGAGCGACCCGCAATAACACAAGACAAACCGACTCTTCTACTCAGATGCTGAGCAACCCCTTTTTGGATGTCAGTTGATCAACCTCCGACACCTTCGACCAGCGACACGGATCGCAGTCCAGCACCGCCAAGAACCGACCTCGAAAGCTGCTGGCACCCCGTGCGTCGTTGGGATGGCGTGTCCCCTGGCCTGTTGCTCGAATCCTTTCGCCTCGACTCAACTCGACCTGATCCGATCCGATCCGACTCGATCCGCCTCCCGCTGTCTCATCTGCTGCCTTGATCCGACCCTGGGCCCGTCAGCCAATTCTCTTGCCACTGACGACCGATGGACTAGACTCCTGTGGTCGGTCGGTCTGGAACGCGCTTATCTGACCGTCGCCTCGTTTCCATGCCCTCCGATCGCGCAGCGTTGACGTGAGCATCATCACTCGTGGCACTCGTTCTCTGGGCTATGGATTCGTCTCGTTCGAGACCGAAGAGCAGGCCAAGGTCGCCGCCGAGGCTCTCAACCAGACCGAGCTCCAGGGCCGCCCCGTCAACGTCCAGGTTGCCCGCCCCCAGCAGCTCACTGGTGAGCCTCGCCCTGCTCGCTCTCGCAGTGGTCGCGGAAACGCTCGCAAGCGCTCTGGCCGCCGTCCCAACGCCCCCACGGTTGGCGACGAGTCGAACGATGCCGATGCCAAGGCCGATGGCGAGACCAAGACCGATGGTGACGCCGCCAAGGCAGCTGCCCCCGCCGATGCTGCCGCTCCTGCCGATGGCGCTGAGCGCACCCGCAGCACCCGCCGCCGCAACCGCAAGGTAAGCTCCCCCTCCTCCATGTGTCGCAGTCAACAACAAATCGCCTGTGGGGAGTGTGTGGTTGTGTCCAGCTCCCTTGTGCGGGTATGGCTGTGGCTGTGGTTGTGGCTGTGGTGGTCGCATAGCGATCCAACATGATCTGGATACAAATGGTGCTGACGCTAGTGGCCAACGGTGGTACAATCCTCCTGTAGCCCAAGACCCCCAAGCCTGCTGCTGAGGGCGAAGATGCTGCTCGTGTCGACGATGACGCCGACGAGACCCCCAAGAACGCTGACGGCACGGGTGCTACCAAGATCCGCAGCCACCGCAGCCCCCGCAAGACCCGCTTCCCCAAGAAGCGCACCCCCGCTCCTCTCGACGGCCCGGCCTCGCCCACGACCATCTTTGTTGCCAACCTGCCCTTCAAGGTCACCGACAGCGATCTGAAGGAGATTTTCCAGGGCTACAAGGTCGTTTCGTCGCATGTTGTCAAGCGACCCTCCGGCACCAGCCGTGGCTTTGGCTTCATCGAGGTCGAGAGCGAGTCGGAGCAGCAGCGCATCCTTTCGGAGCTCAAGAACGTTGTTGTCGACGGTCGCGAGCTGCTCATCAAGGTTGCCCTCGCCCACCAGATCCCCCCCGCTACCAAGACCGGTGATGCCGAGGCCGAGCCTGCTGCTGCCGATGCTGCCGCGGCCACCGCCACTGCCTAAGAGCACTCCTCACGCCAAATGATGAAGAATAACGCAGTTCACCCCAGGCGTTCGAGACCAAGACCCGGGCCTGTCATGTGGACTTGGACAGGCCTGCGTGCAAATAACGCTTCTTTGGGAGGGAAGAAAGACGACTTGATCTGCAGAGAGAGAAGATGGTGAGGAGGACTTGCGGTGGGGGGGATTTTGATTGTTTGCGTGCTTTGCGGCGGTGGCTGGTGAGTGGGTTAGATGAGCTGTTTGCGACATGAAAAGGGACGCAGAGCCTCCGCTTCTCGGGTGGGGCGTATCCTGACAGGGATGGATGCCCTGAACTCGGAAGGTGCGGAGCTCTCTGGCCCCGGACTGTTTTTCTCCGTTCTGTTTCGTTCTTTGGATTCCTGAAGTAATCTGTCATCCATCTGGCTATTTGTTACTTTTTTTTGGCTCTTTTGGATTTCCTCTGCGCCTCTCGTCATTCTGTAAATACATTCGCTTTGTGCTCTCCCGAACCCTGGTCCGCTTGCAGCAGCATCGGCGGAAAGGTGCGGGGATCCAGGCTCGACGGTCGCAGGTCTGGACGCTGGCGGTGCGTCGTCGGGGTGGGCGATTGCCGCTCGACAGAGCGTCGCTGGATTCCTCTGCTGTCCGGCTTGAGTTGTGGCATCGTCCAGCAAACCCTCTGGCAAGTGCATCCTGGTCGGATCTGCAACCCAAGTCGGGGCGCGGGAGCAACCTTCATGTCCTGGCCATGGCGGCCGGCCCCTTGTCGCGGCGCAGGATGCGACAGTGACCCTGGGCTGAACCTTGCCGAGTCTGTCCAGCGGGTCATGCCCCACCCGGCGAATGGACGAGCGTGCGAACAGACAGACAGGTGAGCAGACACATGAGCGAGGCTGCAGACCGATGAATAGTGCAAGTATCCGAAGCACCGACATGGGCTGTGTCTCCCGCTGTTCAGGCCGCTGCCCAGGCCGTTGCTATGGAAGCATTCGGTTCCCACACACATGCACACCACACCCACACCGAACTAACGACACATCCACTCTGCCGACACTCTGCCGACACTCTGCCGACACTGTTGGCGACTCATCCACACCAGCAACATCTCACCATACACCTCTCGCCCAGAGCCACACTCATCTCGCTGCTGCCCCTCGGCCCGCCGAGACTCTCCGCCCGCCTCGCCCGCCCGTTCGCACCACCCCAGGCACAATGACGCAAGACAAGCCTTTGGCCACCACCCCGTGCCGCGGCCCGTCCTGCTCACGGCCAAAACAAACAATTGCGCCCTCTCCCCCAAAGGTCCCCGCTCGTCCTGGCCCCCAACTTCCGCCTCGTCCTGCAGTCGTTGCAGTCCTGCCCAGGAGACACCCCAGTCTCTCCCCCCCTTCCTCCTTCGCCTTTGACCCTCCCCTTCGCCCTTGGCTCCCCTTCGTCGTCCCCTTCCCGCTAATCCCCTCGCTCCTTGCACTCGAGCTCATTTGTGACCACCCCTGCGTTTCTGTAATCGTGTCTGTAGTTGCACCTCCCCCCTCCCTTTCGTTGCCGCCACCTCCTGCACGTCTTGATCCGTTTCCGCCCCTCGGCCTGCCCTCCTGTCTTGTCCTTCTTCCTCTCCTGTCTGGATCGTCCCGGTCTTACTCGCGGCCGTCCAACCGCATCCCCGTCAGCTTTCTCAGTCTTGGCACCCCATCCGCCGGTTCTCTCCTATTGCTCTCCAGCTCAAACGACATACCCAACCGCATCCTCTCCGGCTATCGTCTTACCCGTCGCCGGCGCTGCTGTCTCTGTCTGCTGTCTTCATCGTTTGGCTACCCAAGGTTCCTTCGTCCCAGTTCCATGCCGACCTTCAGAGTCCTGATTTGATCCCCCCCCCTTCCTTCGTCCCACACTCCCCTCCCCATTCCTGTTGCCACCACACTCTCTGTTATCTTTCCTTCTGGTCTGGCCCACCACGAGTCGCCACCTCTCGCACGGCTCCTGCCCTGATATCCCTGCCTGCCGTCCTTGGGTGTGCGTGTTTCGTCTTGCCGTCGCCTTCCCTGCATCCGGATCCGTTGCCAAAGCCCCAGTCCCTCATACACAGAAAAAGAAAACCCTGGCCCTCTCGCTGGCTGCATTGCCACCCCCAAATCTGCCTGTCTTGCCAGTCCCTTGACCCATATCCACCAGCGATAGAGCTGTCACTCACTCGCCGCGTGTGATCGCTCTTAATTCATCGCTCGCCACAGCAATAAAAGTGCCAGAGGAGCCTCAAGGAACAGCACGAACCAGCGGTATCAACCCATCGATCAACTGCCTGTCCGTTTATCCCGAGCCCTGTCCCGAGCCCTGTCCCGAGCCCTGTCCCGAGCCCTGTCCCGAGCCCATCTTCCCTCAGTATCAAGCCTGAACCGTGGCTCCTCCAGCTTCTCAGTCCTCAACCGACCGCACCCGGCCCTCCGCCTCCCCTCACGTTCATGTTCCAGAAACAGCTCCAATCCACCGCCATCGCCTCTCCGCAGGATCTCCGTGACCCCCCGAGCATCCACCACAATCCTTCCCATCGCTCCCACCTCAACTGCTTCGTTCTTGCGGCCTATGACTCTATCCCGGATCCGGTGCTGATCATCTACGTTGGCCGTCGTGGAACGGGCCAGCCCTCGGTCCTCCATGCCAACTCGGCGGCCATCAAGGCCCTGAGTCTACCCTCGCTCAACGTCCAGCCTACTTCAGCCTCCTCTCGCTCCCGTCGAACGTCCTTGGTTCATGAGCCGCCAGCTGCCCAACCCCTCGCCGGCCTCGCCAGACCCGCCGGCGATCAGCACAGCTGGCTTGCCATAGACACACGCCCGTCGCTGCTTTCAGGCTCGCTTTTGGCCGATCGCCTGGGCCCCTATGCCGCCGTGGTCTCGTCCACATCGTCGTCGTCGTCGTCATCGCCGTGGCCGCACCTCCAGCTCGAGGACCTGCTGCCAGATCTTCGCATCGACGTCCGTCCCGGTGGCAAGTCGCGGGCCCGGACCCTCCGGGTCTTTCCAGAGTCCGGCGTCCTCACGGCGTATCCCCTCGATCGCTCGGCTCCCTTCCAGGTCCATTTTTCATACGGCGTTCTCCCTCCCGAGGCCCTGGTTTCGTCTCAGTCCTACGGTCCCTCGGGCTCAGATTCGGGCCTGGTTCCAAGCGGCTCTCCGAAACTCAAGCTGCGGTCCCAGGACTGCCTCGTCCTGACGCTGAAACAAATCACCGCGATCTCGTCGCTGCCCTCGCAGTCGTCCATCCTCAAGTCGCGGTTCCGCAGCGAGTTCAAGGTGCTCTCGGTTATCGGCAAGGGCGGCTTTGGTGTCGTCTGTCGGGCCCGCAACGTTATTGACGGCCAAGAGTACGCCATCAAGCAAGTCAAGCTCAACTGCAGCTGGGTCGAGTTCTCTCTCTCGTCTTCCATCGAGAGCGACTCGGCAGTACCAACGCCGTCGTCCTCGTGCCGCGGGCATCGACGCACTCGCTCGGGCCTCTCCGAGTCTGACCACCGGCTGCTGAGGGAAGCCAAGACCCTGGCCGTCCTCTCGAACCACCCAAACGTCATTCGCTACTATAACGCTTGGGCCGAGCCGACCGAGGACGATCTTTTCGAAAACTACCGCAGCCAGCTCGAGGGATCCAGCACCGGGCGATCCGATTCCTTCTCTGATGACAACGACGATGACAGCGACGCCGACGACAGCGATGACGGCGACGAGGATGACGACAGCACCGATGGGCCCGCAACGCGATACAAGAATCGCCGTGACGACGATGACGGATATGGCGATGATTATGACGACGACGACGACAGCGCCCATGTTCCGGACGACACAGACTCTCACCATTTTGACTTTGGCCGCCGTAGCCTCAAGCGCTTGGACGCCGGTCTCCGCTCTCAGGTCGAAGAGGACCCTGACGATTTTATCTCGTTCCGAAACGACTCCAATTCAAGCCTCGCCAGCATGCACACGGCCCTGACCTCGAACGTGTCCGTAGCGATGGACCGGCCTCTATCCACGGTCCCGCAGGCGCCCGGCCAAGCTCCAAGTGCACCGCAAACCATGCAACGCCGCCACGACGAGTTCTCACCGCACAGCCACCGCCAGCGCTCGCGATCCAGCCCTGGGCAGCGCACCACGCTGTTCATCCAAATGCAGCTGTGTCCATATAGCGATCTCCGCAAATGGATCGACAGTCGCAGCGAGGTTGATTCGCGTGCAGCACTGCTGATTCTGAAGCAAATCGTCGAGGGGCTGATCCACATCCACTCGCAAGGCGTCATCCACCGCGACCTCAAGCCCGAAAACATCTTCATCCACGACGACCACGTCTTTCTCGGCGACTTTGGTCTGGCCAAGAGCATCACGGACTACGTTGTGGTCGAGTCGCCCGACAGCAAAGACAGCGCCCTTCCTGCCAGCGGCAACCACGGAACCTACCTCTACATTGCGCCCGAGATCCTCAAGTCCCAGGTGTGCACGACCAAATCCGACATCTACTCCCTGGGAATCATCCTTGTCGAGATGTTCCACCCGTTCTCCACGGGCATGGAACGCGCCCGCACCCTCGACCAGCTCAAATTTCGTGGCGATCTGCCATCCCAGATGCGGGAACAGTTCCCGATGCAGGCTCAGCTGGCCATGCGGCTTCTCCAGCCGGAGCCATCAGATCGACCGTCGGCCTTGGAGCTGCGCGATGCGCCAGAGCTCGGTTCGCTTGAAGAAAGCGTCTCGGACGTTAACACCAACGTCGAGAGAATCGATCGGTCTTGCAACGGCCCATCGACTCGCCCGCCGCACTTTGACTTTGACACCGAGTCCGAGTCTCGATCTTCAGGGCTGTCGCTGGCCTCGCTCGCCTCGCTCGCGACGGAACCGACGGATGTGCAGGCTTTGGCCTTCCGCAGCTGCACCGATGAAACAAAGTGCACGGCTCCATCAAGCGCCAATGCCGATGGGTCGTCAGCATGCCAATCTGTCCCAAAAGGTGTCTCGAGTCGAGCCGGCCGTCTCTCGGCGTCTCCTGCCTTGACCCGAGTGAGTCTTTCCTCTGGCTGGGATACCGAGCTCGACGACTCTCTCGGACCCATACCATCGGCCGCCAAAAAGGCATCCTCGGCCAGCCTCACCAAGTCCCGGCCCGTCCTTGACGAAGAAATGACCTTTTGTTTGGACGAAGATCTGCCGCCGGCCGACAGCATTCCCATCGCCTCTGCCGACAGTGCTGCAAGGTCATCTGCCGCCATGGCAACAGCTGCGGTCGGGTATCGCAGCACCGCAAACATGCTTGAGCACACGTATCTCACGCCTGCCCGAGACCGATCGTCGCTTCGCAGCCCAACCGAGTATCCGTCGAGCTTGGATGCCGGTGCGTACCGAGGTGGTCTACGGGCCTGTCATTCTCTTTCGTATCTCGAGTCCAAGGGTAGCTCGTGGAAATGCAGCCTAAACGGTTCGGATGGGTCTTTGTGGATGGGTAAGTTGGACAAGGATAGCGGGTGTGTGGTTGGAATGGAGCCAGGACGCTTCGGATGTTACCGATCGGCATGGGAGCGCACGGTTTGGGCTGAAACCCGTCCGTGGCCTGCCTCCTACTTGCTGGCTCTATCTCGCCTTGGCGCCATTTGGATTGCCCCATCTGCAGTTGTCTAATCCCGTGCTGTATCTCTACAACTGCCCACGTCTACTCCTGCATGTGCACTCCTGCATGTCGTCCCAATAGATGAGGCTCGGCCAGATGCACGGCCAGATGCACGGCCAAGCGATACGCCGGCCAGGCTCCCAGCCGGGGCTCCGGGGCAGTCAACATCAGGCATTTTCTCCTTCTGGAGTCTGTTTCGGGGCACCTCAGCCAGTCCAGCGGACCCACCCATGGCTCCCGATGAACTTGGTCCTGCGAGCTATTCCCCCGGGACGCACAAGAATCTGCCAACACCGCCGTACGGGTCGCTTCTGTCGCCAGCGGGGCCTCAAGCCATTGCCGTTCCACCAGCAACTATACCCGTCGTCTCAAACACACCTCATCGATCACGCTCGCTCTCGCTCTCACTCTCGCACTTTATGCCGTTCTCGAGCATGGGTGGCCACGCCTCCGGCATATTTTCGGCCCGAGCCAATGCAAGCGTGCTCTCGACTCCCCCTCCGTCATCACACCCGCAAATGCCCGGTGGGTATAATCCTGTCGCGCTCTCTCCCTCTGCGGCACCGTGCTCCAAGTCGGTTCCCGCGCAGAACCCACACGCCGAGCCAGGCGTGGAGCTGGACGAGCGCGAGAAACGCATCCGCCAACTCGAGGCCGACGTCCAGCACCTGGTCAAGAAGCTCGAGGTCATGACCGAACGTAACTGGGAGCTCGAGCATCAAATCGAAGCCGTCGTGGCCTCATCGCTGAGCACCTCGCCCTTTGGCAGCCTCCGCAGCGGTCCCAAGTGATTGGCTCTCAACCAACGCCAACATCGATTCGCAGAATATCAAGTGGAGCGTGCAGCTCTTGCGAGCCGCGCCGCATCAACATGCAATCGGGCGGCGCTGAGTCTTTCCTTCAAGCATCCATGTTACAGAAGGCGACATCCCCTCCTCGAGGAAACGCAGTTCCTCCGATACCACAGACATGTCCGGCCGCTTGAAGCATCGCCGCTGGTGTCGCGGACACATCTCTACTACAATATTGGCCCCCAAGCAATCTTCCGTAAGGCTGCCCTCCCTCGATCCGTCCCCCCCTACTTGTCGAAACCGATCTCAAATACCAACCTGTGTTACCCGTTTCCTTCTCTCCAGCAACCTTCACTATGTCGATATTGATCTGCGTTCCGATTTCGCCTCACCCTCTCTTTGCTTCTCCTGCAATGTGAATTCTTCCATTTTTCTCTTTCCACCTTTCCCGTCTTCTTTTCCTTGATGATCCGGTTTCTGTATTTAACGCCATAACTCTACCATAGCCGCATTGATCTGTGGCCGTTCCTTTCATATCCGGATGACATTTTTTTGGGGGAGGGAGGAGCCTGGAGGATGGAAGTTGATATCAATATTGGTTGAATGGGAAAGTCTGGATTTGGAGTCAGTCACTACTTTCGCCTCCCCTCCCCCCTTGCTTTGATCGGATGGAGCGAGCCTTGTTCCCGCTATAATCGCAACAGGCCGACTCGCCTTGTATCCAAGCTCCATCACTCTTTATCCGCATCTCTCCTGTACTTTTTGGGCTGTCATTGCTATCACTATTCCAAAAATAAAACAGAACGTCCTGTTTTGTTGTTACCTGTCACCTTTTTTTGGTGGGAAGGATTGAGAATACACACCCACACCCACCCATACCGGCTGTCTAGAGCAGGGGAGGCGCTTCTTGTCCTCGCCTTCGTATTTTACCATCGAGGGTATAAGCAATATACGCACAATCTCTCGTTGCGAGGGGGGGGGAAAGGCCACTGAAATGCCAGGGCAACGATGGCCCCCTATCCCAGGTGTATTGGGAAGAGTCTTCTTGGAGACAACAGCGGTCGACAGTCTGGATGAGGAGTGGTCTAGGCACTTGTGACAACAGGAATCTCGGGCCGACCCAGTTCCGATGTGATTCGGGAGACGATGGCCTGGAGCGACGCTTTGGTTGGATGAGGGACACCTTTCATGGGGTACTCCATACCGGACGCCTTCCACTATGAGATTCAAGATTCGATTTGGTTTCCATCGCCGTGCCCGTGGAAGCGGTGGCCATCGCCGGCAGTATGAAGCAAGATTGGATGTCGGGGGAAAGGGATTAGTGGCATGAGCGTGTGGGCAGAGAAGGGGCCAGCACATCACTCCCCTCACACCATTGTCGATGACACCTTACCTTATATTCTCCAAGAGTATGATACGGCAAAATCTCGATGCGCTCCAGGGTTGTGGAGGACTTGCAGAGCGCTATGAGGCCCTCGATATCCTTGTCCTTGTCGGTGTAGCCAGGCACCAGCACATAGCGACACCACCACGGCTTGTTCAGCCGCTCGAGTTCCTTGATGAACTGCAACATGCGCTCGAGACGGACCAGCTGTGTGATCTTGTGGTATTGCTCGGGCTCGGTATGCTTGACGCAGAGCAGGACGAGATCGGTGTGTGGGAGCACAGTGTCCCAGGCATGATGGGAACCCTGGCCCGTGGTTTCGATGCAAGTATGGAGGCCGAGGTCCTGCAACGGCGATAACGGAGGAAGGAAGGAGAGCATCCAAAGTGGTCAGACAAGATACATAGGCCAAGTTGGATCCGAGACGGCTGCGTCGAATGATTTGTACAGGATATGCCAAAGCATGATCCTCCATGCGACGAGTGGGGCGCTCCTCATCCAAACACCTTACTTTCTTCATGGCATAAAGAACGCTCGCCACAAAATCAGTGCTGGACGAGCGGATCGCCGCCCGAGATGGTGACGCCGCCGTGGCCGACAGAATGCTTGTAAAACGGCTGCAGTTTGCGAGCCCGCTCGACGAGGTCATGAACTTTCTGAAAGCCAACAGGAAGAGGCAGCGGGGTCAGAGGGGAGATGGTGCATGAATGCCACTCAGCAGAAAGTGCGGCGGAACATGGGCAGGATTCGAAGAGAGCCTCGCCGTCGGCGCCGGCTTGAACACTCCAGAGCCAACACAAAACTGAGCCCTCGCTTTCCCGGCCGCCATGACGCAGATGCAATCAGATTATCGCTATTCAGTCAACTCTGATGCCGGTTCGTCCCTCTCGCTATCTCTCGTTTTGTGGGTCGAACTCGATCCAATACGATGTGCTCACCTGGACTGTGGCTGCCTTCTTGATCTCCCAGGTGTCTGGGTTTTCGCAATACAGACACCGGGCCGGACATCCTGTGACAAAGATCAAGAATCGGTTTCCGGGCCCCTCCAGGGTGCCGAGGCTCTCGGTCGAATGCACGTATCCCTCGACATTCTGATAGTCGATTTTGGATGGATCGAAGGGCGGAACAGGGCGGGCATGGTGGTCGCGGTGGCACTCGGCGGTGGAGAGGGAAGAGTGGAAAGCTGCCAAACCCAGCGCAGCTGGCTTCAGCAGCGGTCCAAGGCGGGGCCCGGATAGGTGCAGCATTGACGGTGTTGAGTATGGCTGGCTGATAGGAGCCGTGGATGGAAGTCGGGCGATGGCACCGGGATAGGCGCTGACGAGAGAGCGGGTTTGAATGGATCGGGCGGTATGGAGAGCCGCACACGAGAGAGCGGCGGTGGCCCGGATCGACAGGATGGCTGCCGAATGGGCACCAGCAGCGACGGGTGCGAGCGGCAGTGGATGGATCAGAGACATTGCAGCAGAGGAATCGGGCTGGCGAGGGACTTGCGGACGAGATGAGGAGGATGGTCTTGGCCGGGATGGGATGGGATGGGTTGGGAGTTTATACTGTCGCTGATGGAGTCGGAGACGAGCGAAAGCAGCGGTGCACTGTGATCTCGATGGCGCCTTGGATGTCGATGTCGATGTCGATGTCGATGCTGATGCTGGTGGTGTCGGGATCGGATGCGACGGCAAGTGGGATCGGATCAGCCGAGGACGCGTCACGGTGGCTCACGGTGAGTCGGCAGGGCAGCTGACGGGCGCGTGGTCGCGTGGTCGGTGCAGCGCAGAGGACATTTGGCCATCGCAGTTCACCACGCCGATGCAGTGTCGATGTGGTATCGATATGTGTTCTCGGCCGGCGCTGCCGCCCAAACACAGCGACTGCTGGTCGAGGGCCCTCGGGCGACAAGCGGCAAGCTCGCAGCATCGTCGGCCGCCGCGCTGGCTTGCCCTCTCGCTCGCCTCCTCGCCCTGCTGTCGCGCCCTGGCCGTGCGTCTCATGGTGACAAAATCCAGCTCGGCCGGCATCGGCCCTGACCTGCGCTGCCTCGATCTGCCACGAGAGAATTTGCTGGCCCGAGGATTGCTCGCCATTTTTTTTCCTTCTCGCAGCCTTTGACGACGGGTCCTGCTTGTTGTGGGCTGCATTTTCGCCACCCGTCACGGCTCTGCTCGGCCGACGATACTGTTGCTGCCGGCATGCAGCGCCGGGTTGGGGCCATGTCCGCATGTGCTGTTCTCGCCCGCGCCGCCCGCCGCCTCGCTGTGTCTCGCTGTGTCTCGCTGCCTGTCTCGCCATGTCTTGTCGCCTGTCGCCGTGTCGGTCCGTTACGCTGACATCACGCGCCGCGGGATATAAAACGGCATGCCATCCCCCTGCTGCCTCCGCCCAGCACCAACCCATCGCTCTCCTCATAGCTTCTACCCTTCCACGGCCAATCCCGCTCTTCTTCTGGACTCGTCTCCAGCTCCCAAAGGCCGCTAACCCATCTGCTCATTGCGATCTAGCAAAACCACATCCACCATGTCGTTCTTGGTGTCCTCGTCATCGTCTGCGGCACTCGCTCTCCTGCAGAACGTTGCCATCTACCCAACCCCGCTGCCGCTCCTGCCGCTGGCGTCTTCCCGCTTTATCCTGGCCCCTCTCGGCCGGCATTCGTGCTCGCCGCGACCAGCCGGGATCGCTCGTCCGCTCCAAGTCGCCTCGCTGGCCACCGCTGCCACCCAAGCCACCAAGCTCACACAAAACCAGCCCCCTGCGGCGGTGCCCCACACCTCCTGTGCCTTTTCCCCGATTCCCCGTGATCAACAGATCCTCACGCACGTCCCAGACCCGATTCCCTCCATCCCGGAGGAGCTCGCCAAAGCCGCCCCAACCATCGATGTCGCCGCCTGGACCCGGAACAACTACAAGCTCTACTCTGGCGACAGTTCGTTCTTGGCCGGCCCCACCGAGAAGACCCAGGCTCTCTGGAAACAGTGCGAGGATCTGCTCCTCCAAGAGTCCAAAAACAATGGCTGTCTCGACGTCGACCAACACACGCCTTCGCTCATCACAAGCCACCGTCCAGGTACAGTGACTCGGGCAACGTCTCCTTGGCCGAGATTGCCCTGGCGACTGGGGCGGGGGCCTGATCTTCTTGTGCGAGTCCCGTATTGATCTCTCGCTTCCCCTCAACCCGCTCTCTCGCAGGCTACATCAACAAGGAGAACGAAGTCATTGTCGGTCTACAGACCGACGCTCCCCTCAAGCGTGCCATCAAGCCCTTTGGCGGTATCAACATGGTCAATAATGCCTTGAAGGCCTACAAGTACCCGATCGACCCTAAGGTCACCGAGATCTTCACAAAGTACCGCAAGACCCACAACGAGGGCGTCTTTGACATGTACACGCCCGAGATGCTCCGTGCCCGTTCGAACCATCTCATGACTGGGCTCCCGGTACGCTAATCTTGCGCAAGTCGGCGTAGGCCGCGAAACTCGTGTGCCTGCATCTGCTAACTTTGTTCCCCGCATCCATCCCATACAACCAATACTCAGGACGGATACGGCCGTGGTCGGCTGATCGGCGATTACCGCCGTGTTGCCCTCTACGGTGTCGACAAGCTCATCGAAGTCAAGACCTTGGACAAGCTGGGCATCCCCGCAGCCGGCGACAACATGTCCGACTCGGTCCTGCGTCTGCGTGAAGAGATCGCCGACCAGATCAAAGCCCTGAAGGCCCTCAAGGCCATGGCGCTTGAATACGGATACGACCTCTCCAAGCCTGCTGCCAATGCCAAGGAGGCCATCCAGTGGACCTACTTTGCCTATCTGGCTGCCGTCAAGGAACAAGGTACGCTGGTGTGTCCGATCCTGGCTGCGTCGCTGGCCTCTCTGTCGGCCTCCCTGCTGGGATCTGGTAGTTGATTCGCCTGCCACAATGCCCTCTCTGATACACGGAATTTCCTGGTCCGCCATCTGTGGCCCCAAATCGCCTCCTCATTGCTCTCGATACTCTCTGCACAGACGGCGCCGCTATGTCTTTGGGCCGCGTCGACACCTTCTTCGACGTCTTTATCGAGAAGGACCTTGCCGAGGGAAAGATCACTGAGGAGGAGGCACAGGAACTCATTGACCAATTCGTGATCAAGCTTCGACTGGTGCGTCACCTCAGAACTCCCGAATACAATGATTTGTTTGCCGGCGATCCCACATGGGTCACCGCCGTTATCGGCGGCTTGGGAGACGACTGCAAGCCCTTGGTTACCAAGACCTCATATCGTATCCTCAACACTCTGTACAACGTAAGTCAAGCGCACTGCTCATTTGCCGATCCTCCGCGCATGTCTATCCCATGCCCGCAACATGACGCTCATTTTTTGAACTGCCACTCGCCAGCTCGGCCCGGCTCCCGAGCCAAACATGACGGTTCTCTGGCACAACGAGCTGCCCGAGAACTTCAAGACCTTCTGCTCTCGCGTCTCGATCGACACCTCGTCGGTTCAGTATGAGTCGGACAAGCTCATGTCCAACCAGTTCAATTCCACGGACTATGGCATCGCCTGCTGTGTCTCGGGCATGAACATTGGCAAAGACATGCAGTTCTTTGGAGCCCGCGTCAACTTGGCCAAGCTGATGCTGTACGTCCTCAACCACGGCCGTGACGAAATCACCGGAAAGCAAGTCAGCCCCGACTTTGGCTCTATCCCGGATGGCCCGATCGACTATGACCTGTTCTGGGAGCGCTACAGCACGGTAAGAGTCCATCCTGTTCGTCCCACGCAAGACTCTGGCGGCCCGTCCTTCCGATGCGATATATTGGCTCGAACATGAGACCCACCCACTTTGACAGCCGGTCTCTTAGCTGTGGGCTTCCTGAGCCCCCGCCATCTGCTCGCCGAAGCACGACTGACTCCATGCTGCTCCACTGGTTCCCCAGGCTATGGACTGGATGGCCGGTCTCTACGTCAACACCATGAACGCCATCCACTACTCGCACGACAAGTACTCCTACGAGGCCGTGCAGATGGCTCTGCACGACACTCACGTGAGGCGCTTCATGGCCTTTGGTATTGCCGGCCTGTCCATTGTTGCGGACTCGCTCTCGGCGATCAAGCACGCGAAGGTTACCCCGATTCGCGATCCCAAGACCGGCCTCACGGTGGATTTCAAGATCGAAGGCCAGTTCCCGTGAGTAGTCCATCTCCAAACTGAGCAATGCAGCTGTTTGTTGTGAGGAACGCTTGCTGCTCGACTGGGCATGCGATGTGTGCCTGCCCCCACCCCGGTCACTGCTGTGCGGCGCTCCAATGTCGGCGATGCTCTTGAGTAGTCGTGAGCGATAAGCCCGTGTCTGCGTGTCCAGTTCATATGCATAGTTCCAACCGTTATCCTATTTGTCCAATCCCGCACCTTGCAGCAAATACGGCAACGATGACGACCGTGTCGACCAGTTTGCTCGCAAGATCCCCTCCATCTTCCACCAGAAGCTGCAGCAGTACCCAACCTACCGCGGAGCCGAGCATACTCTCTCTGTGCTGACCATCACCTCCAATGTTGTCTACGGCAAAGCCACCGGCAGCACCCCCGACGGCCGAAAGCAAGGCGAGCCCTTCGCCCCGGGAGCCAATCCCATGCACGGCCGCGAAGACTGCGGTGCACTGGCGTCGCTGAGCTCAGTCTCCAAAATCCCCTACACCCACTGTCTCGACGGCATCAGCAACACCTTCTCGATCGTGCCCTCGGCCCTTGGCAAGCTTCCAAAGGAGGCCGAGCAGAACCTCGGTGCTTTGCTCGACGGCTACTTTGACAAGGGCGGTTTCCACCTCAACGTCAACGTGCTCAAGCGTGAGATGCTCGAGGATGCCATGGTCCATCCCGAAAAGTACCCCAACCTGACCATCCGGGTCTCGGGCTACGCCGTCCACTTCACCAAGCTGACGCCCCAGCAGCAGAGAGAAGTCTTGGCCCGTACCTTCCACGACACTTTCTAAGCGACGACCCGATCCGATCAACCCCGTCCGCCCCAGGGCTGGATCATCTGCCCGATTCCGTGGGAAGTAGTGTGGTTCCTCGTTCCTCCTTCCTCGTCTCCCGCTTCGCTTGCCCCTCTCCCCCATACCGTTCTCTTGGTTTTTGGTTGTACATACTGTAAGCTGTCCTCGCCCACTGTATGTGGATTTTGTTATGGCCGCTGACCTCAACAGGGCCCTCTGTTTCATTCGATGATCGCTGCGATATTGGCCCGTATATTGCCCATGAATGCGGCCGAATGAAAATACACTGGCCACCCAAACGAAAAGAGATGTCTGCTTTCCTGCCAACAATCGAGCGAGATGATCCAAGGGCCTGAATGGCCGAGCGTGCTCGCTGCCACGAGCGGAGGGGTGCTTGGTTGTGGGCTGTCGGCGTTGCAGAGCATCCACCTGGACTGATAGTCCGACGGCCAGGTGGTGCACTGTGCTGTGCTCGTCGCTGCGGTCAATGGCAAGGGAACAGCAGCCGAAAGATCCACTCCTTTCCTGACGCGATCTGCACTTTGGATCTCGGCCTCGTCCTGCATCACCGCTCCGTCCTGCATTATCGCTCCGTCCTGCATCATCGCTCCGTGGCTTCCCTGCCGTCCAAGCAATCCATGCAGCTCCAACGAGTCCTTCCCGCTGCACGAATACACGGCTGGCTGCACCCCATCGGCCAGTACCAGCCGGGTCCTTCTGCCCGTCGCTCGATGCCGGTTCTTGCCCTTGGATCATGGAACCGTCCACAGCGCCGCCATTTGTCAGAGTCGCTCTCGGAACGACTGGCGTCCCTCTCTGTTACGAACCCCGTCGACGCTCTGGCCGATGCTCTGATCTCGCTCCAGTCGCTCACAGGGCTGCCCTGGTATGCGACGATCGTCATCTCGACGGTGGTGCTTCGATCCGTCACGACGCTGCCGCTTGCCCTGGTCCAGCGCAAGCGACTGGGCCGGCTCATGGGCATCGCCCCGATCATCAAGGCATGGGAGGAGACGCTCAAGCACCAGGCCACTCGGGACGTGAAGCGGAACCAGGCCTGGAGGACGGCCGAGCAGGGCGCACGATCGCTTCAGAAACAGGTGGGCCTCACCACTCCCTTGGAGATGTTGACTCGATCGCAGATTCTTCCTGTTGGCAAGCCAGCTGGGGCTCCTTGGTTGGATCAGGGAATCGGCCGATTGCCAGACACAGCAACATGCCCTCTACGGACCCATCTATGTCGCCAAGGACTTTGCCCTCCTCCTGCTACATATCGCTGGCGAATATTCGGCCCTTGACCGCCATGCAATCGTCGCTCACGGCTCCGTCACTTCTGCCAGTACCAAGCCAAGCTCACGGAACTCTACCGGATACACAACTGCCACCCACTCAAGACCTTCTTGGTGCCGTGGGTACAGCTCCCACTCTTTGTGTCCATGTCGTTTGCTCTTCGGAAGCTCACGGCCTTCCCACTGCCGTGGATGGACACCCCTCCACAGCCAGCTCCGGGCATAGTCGAGGGCGGGCTCGGCTGGTTTGTCGACCTCAGCGCCGCCGATCCGACCATGATCTTTCCTGTCTTCATTGGCCTCTGCCACCTTACGACCATCCAGGTATGGGTCCCTGGCGCATCTGCATCATATCGAGTTCAGGGATGATTGTGACGGCGTCGCCGACCTTCGATCCATCTTGGCGTGCAGCTGGCTGATGCACCAGGACTCTCCAGTTGAATACTTCCAAGCTCCCGCTCTCTGGCCGCGCGAAGGTGATGAGGGCGATCTTCCGAGGACTGGCGATCGTTTCGATACCAATTGCAGCAAATGTGCCCATGGTAAGAATGTCGCATGGCGCAGACTTGGCTCGACTGCTGCTCCAGAGTCCCGTAAATCCATCGGCCCTCTCGTGCTTGCTCTCCCCCCCCTCCTTGATATCCTTGAAGCAGCAAACGCTGATGCGATTCTTTTATCCAGGCTGTCGTGTTGTACTGGGCCACCTCTGGCGTCTTCAGCTTGGTCCAGATAGCCATCTTCCGCTATCTGAAGCTGTAGCGGCAAAGGCCCAAGCCGATGGCCGCCCTTTCGTTTTCACACCAAGCAGTCGACGGACAGCCTGACTTCTGGCACAGCGGATTGAGCCTGCCACCCTGTCGGTGTGCCTGTTGCTGACTGGGTCATCTGTCGGGCGGGCACATCGCTCCATCTGCTCGAGATTCCAACGATACATTGTTGCGGAACACCAGCGTGCATTTCTGAAGCAGAGGCTCGGGTCAAGGTCCCTAGGCATCCTGTGCTTTGTAGGTATACTCCTGTGACATTTGGATAAAAGCAAACATCCGCAAGATCAGTGTCAGCAGAGATTCTGTTGCTACGCTTTGCCTATCCCTTGACCAAATGCATCACCGATGCTTGCCTCGAGCATGTCGTTGAGGTACTTTTGGATAACCTTCAAACGAATCAAGCAGAGAGCGCGATAGCTGTCAGAGCCCTGGAATCCTGCCGTTTCGCTCGGGATGCCCGTGCTTCTGGGCACTGTATTTCTGGCTCGGCCTCCAATATCCGATAGATCGTGCAGATGATCGGCACCACGCTCCTCGGCCTGAGACCTCACCTCGATACACGAGCTATCGACAAACAAATGGGTTTCGTCGAGCTCCTCGAGAACAAAGTGCATGTTGTCGACCTCGTCCAGCTTCAGGATGATCTGCTTGACGGCGGCGTCGCTTTCGGAATGGCGATGAGGGCGAGGGCAGGGCGAGGGAGATACAGGGACGGGGGTATGCCAAACACGGGATCGGGCGGTTGAGAGCATGATCGGCAATCGGGGTGGTGGATGTCTGTGTCTGAAGAAGCAGCTCATACCACTCGATGATTGTGCCCTGAACGACCTTGACCATGGCGTGAGCTTGTCGGCAGATCCACAGAGAATCCGAGCGCTTGCAGTGGGTGATGTACAGACGAAGGAGCGAAGAGAGCAGGCACCAGAGGCGATGCTGCAGAACCAGTGCCGCAGAGTCGCCAGATGAACAGATCGGGGACAGAAGGAGTCGGCTGGGGAGCGATTTCGTTTTGGCCATGGGGGAGCGATTTCGCGCCAGGGCCAAGCAATCCGCTCTGTCCAGATCGCTGCAGACCAAGAACACCGCAGCCAACTCATGAGCGACCAGCAACCACCAGCCCGGCCCACTGCCGATCAGTCTCTGCTCGGAATCCGAGAAAAGCCACCAGGCAAGTGGATATCACAACGACTCAGGCGGGCCGGGTCCAGAGCCATGTCCATCTGGTCAATGCGCTCTGCTCACCCTCCGATTGTTGCTCAGCATCCCTCCTGTTGAACGAGCCGCCCCAAGAGCCGCCCAAGACATTCAGAAGCACAGGGCCTTCAGATCGTATGTATTGCGGGCAGGAACCTGCATCGAGGACAGCACTCGTCCGCTGGCAACTCACCAGCAGCTGTATGGCTCCCGGCGCCATCGATCAGTGCTTTCGCGAGTAGGACAGTTCCTGCCCCAGATTCAAGCAGCCAATGTGGAGCTTAGTGCCCGAATCCAACAGGGCGAAAGCGTCGATATCGAGCAAATCGCCGCCAAAGGAGCACGATACATTCAGATGGTACTGTCGTCGACTCGTCGGGCCATGTCCTGGAGTAGATGGATGTCCCACGGCCAGGGCTTCTGCGTACCGATCGCAATGGAATCTCGGGATCTACGATCGAGGGTGTGAAAATTTGCACTGCCAGCACCATGTCCACTCACCATTCCGAACGATATTGTACAGGATTTGGGGCTCGGCGTATTCGATGTCGAGCCCAAGGCTCGAGAGCGCACCGGGGACGAAATCACTCTGAACCCGAATGAGGCCGCCGAACGGGGGACGGCTCGCAAGAGGCCCAAAATCCAAGTCCTTGGCTCCGAGCCGTCTGAGGCGCCAGAGTCTTTGCAAAAGCGGCAGAAAGTTCCGCAAGAGGGTGATTTAGATCGAAACCAAAGCTGCAACGAAACCGCATTGGACGGGACGGGCATGGTCCAGTCCGACGATATGTACTCGTCGCTCTTACAAGAGCTCTACAATCACGCCGCCCAGTCTCGCCACGAGCTCTTTGCCGAAGGAGAGGATGGGAGCGACGACGAAGCTGAAGACGATGTCGAGAATAACGCTGAATATGATAGTGAAGAGGATAGTGATGGTGGCGAGAGTAGTCCAGATGAGGACGAAGATGAAGACGAAGGCGAGGACGAAGATGACAGCGGCACCGACGATAGCGATGAAGAAGGCAGCACAGATACGGCTGGTGGACAGCATTCTCGAACGGAGGAACTCGGCAATAGATGACCAGACAGCTAGTCTGTCGTGGAGTGTCATCATATCTGTATCTCCTCACAGCACAAATACAACTTCCACAGAATGTGACGGCCACACTGCCTCTATGGATCTTCTTCTGGATGAAAATACATCGATTCGCATCAGACCTGGCATGGCCGATCACCAACGAACCACATGATGCACCCATCCAATCATAAGCGACAGTCTGCTCGTCAGCTGGCTCTCGCCGCATATTTCACCTTCCACTGACCACCCCTCCCTCGAGGTTTCGCTGTTTGGCATCGTGGACTGCAGCATCAGCCGTGTTGCCTCTCCGCCAAAGAGCATGGAAGACCTCCGCGACCCCTTGTCGGATCCATCGAGATATCCGCTCTGCTACCGCATGGCCGAGTCCGGGCCGGTGCTTCTCCGTGAGGTGCTCGAGCGAAGAGGTATGCACTCGGCAGTCATCGTTTGCGCACTGGGTGGCTGACGCATATGGTCGCTCGGGCTGGTGCCGGCGCCCTGAAATATTGCATTTGTTCACGGCGGCCGCTTCCATGGCACGCGCAGGATGGAAACCATATGTTCCTGGAGAAAGCCCGTACTGGAACCTGTGGTGGAAAGGTTGGTTCATGCCATCGCCGCTCTATGCACTCTCAGTTGCGCGAAAGTGCTTCGGGGAACTGGATCGCGGGAGGCAGACCTGTGCGTGATGCTTACTGCTCACCCCTGTTGACGCTGAAGGCTGCCGATTCCGCCTGTCGGACTACGAAAGCTGCTCGTCCTTCCAGCGCATCAATCACTTTCCGAACACGGCCGTTATCACCAAGAAGGTTGTGCACTGCAGTATGCCGCTAGCCTTGCATCAGGGCGATGCCGATGTGTCGAAACAGGAGCTGACAGATGCGTTGCTCCAACGTGCCAAATACAGGACAGTCTCTTCCGTCTGCTGCGTACGATGAAAGGAATCTATGGAAGCGTCTATGACTATTTTCCACAGACGTTCACGCTCCCGAACGACTACACCAAGTTTGTGCGCGTGTACTCTGATGAAGATGAGAAGGGTAAAAAGGTATCATCGGAGGACGAATCCGACGGATTTCACCATCGTCGAAGCATCCTTGCGTGTTTCCTCCTCTTTCATTCTCAATTTTCGGACATGCTTTTCCTCTGCCCGTACTCCAAACCATAGGGCGCATGGATCTGCAAGCCGGCGGATCTGAGCCGTGGACGAGGTATATTTGTGTTCAGAGACCTTACCGAGCTGACGTATGACTTTCAGTAAGTGCCGTACAGCACCAAGTTGCTCGACCAGCGTCACATCGTTTGATCTGTTCCGCCGGATGGGTTGATCTATCGATGCATCCCGCCCCCCTGCAGTCGGAACAGCTATGGCTTCAATGAACTGACGCACTCCTCCGATATGTCCAGTGCCGTCGTCCAGCGATACATCTCTGACCCACAGGTCATATCTGGCTACAAATACGATATTCGATGGTACACAGCCGAACACCGCCTCGTGCAGACACCTATCCTCCTGGTGCATCCTTCGTGCGAGTTGACCGAGTGTCATATGTGGTGGCCTGCTTTCATTCCAAGCAATCGAAGTGCTGACTCTGCTGGTCCCTTTGGATGCATGTCCGCCGACGATTTAGCTATGTCCTTGTGCGCTCATACAACCCGCTCACAATCTACCTGTACGAGGAGGGTCTCACTCGTTTTGCAACGGTAAAGCTACTTCGCTTGGAGAGACAATCCAGCGCAGTATCCCGACGACGACTGATATCAATGTGATTCGATGGCCACGAGAGTTTGCGATGGTGCTCCATGGGACCATGGATCACTCCTCCATTGTGCCACACATATCCCTGGTGGAAGTTTGCGATGTTTCAAGCTGACCGTCGGCTCTTGCAACTCTCGACCGCAAATTCCCCAGGTGCCCTACGACATCAACAGTCTCTCGGACAAATTCGCCCACCTCACCAACACATCCATCAACAAGTACAGCCCAACCCTCCACACGTGCAAAGACGATGTTGGCCCGGGCTGCAAATGGACCCTTGGAAAGCTCAGAATCTACTTTTCGAACCGCGGATGGGACTTTGATCGAGTTTGGAGCAGGTACGCCTGCAGTAAATATTCAACCAACGCGGCACTTGTGGCTGGATATGGGCTGAGATGGTGATTGGCGACTGAACCGGCAATCAAACGTAATTCATTCCCCCATCATCTAATCCCTGATGCTAACGGCTCCTGTTCGAAAGAATGAAAGGCCTCATCATCTTGACACTGCTCCCGCTGGCACCAAATATCAAGCCCGTGTCCAATGGCTGCTTTGAGCTCTATGGGTTTGGTAAGGAGCGAGCTGGTCGCACAGCCACAATCTCCATTGGGTAGTATCATGCATTCTGAAATCTTGGTTGTGCTGACGTTTCAGATATTCTACTCGACCAAGCGATGAAACCATGGTTGCTGGGTAAATGGCGCAAATCGTGCAGACACCCAGTTCGCGCGTGGGAGCTTTGGTGCAGTGCGACACTTTTGCCCCGGGATCCTAATTTCTCGACTTGAATCAGAGGTCAACTTGAGCCCAGCACTCGCGGCGGATACCCAGACCGACCTCGATGTAAAGATTGTGAGTAGTGCTCCGAATTGCGTGGAGCGAGTCCGTTGTGATCCAGTGCTCATCACCCACACTCATTTGCCTTGATAGCCACTTCTCGATGATGTAGTGACTGCTATTGGAATCAAAGAAAGCGATGGAGAAGCCGCCATGCTGGAGGTGTTGGTGAGCATCACACACAGATGTTTGAGCGACGACTGCTGAGAGATCGACACACCTCTAACTGACACTTGTCTACCCACCCACTTGCTCCAGAATCTGGATCAAAAGCCACCAAAGCCACCAAGGTCCCCCATATCGAGGCGAACCTGTAAGCGCATGCGGGACTCTGGTTGAGTCAAATCACATCCGAGGCATCATCATGCGACGGAGGACTAGCATGAAAGTCATTGTTTCTAACTCGCCTCTGGACATCAACAGCGACGCCCAAGATACCAGAAAGGTTCGCGGGCCCATGCTTCCCGGACCGAGTTGGCCAATTCACCAAGATCTACCCATTCAGACTGGGGAAGCCGCAGAGTCTCCAACCCACCAAGGTAGCTGCAACGCGTAGCCCGTTCAAAGCGGTGCACATATACTATCGCTGTAATAGCCATGATAGCTATGATCACCACAACCACAGCAAATGCATAGACCACCACGATATTCACACAAACCAAATGCTTTCCACAGGACAACCTCAGAAGCATTGTCGCAGAAGTTCGAAAGGAGTATCTATCATAGCACCGCTGCAACTCCTCCAGTGCCATTTCATTGGTTTCAGAGCATATCGCGCATATAGGTGTCGGACATGGGATGCGATGAATGAAGCTCGTGTATTCAGGATCCAGAAAATTCAGCCACTGGCCCCAACCGGGCGTGGCCTCGTTTCATTCTCGCGAACGTTGCGAGCGGGCAACAGAGTAATCTCCCCGCAGAGTGTCCGAGATCGGATTTAAGGGAAGTTATATCCAGTGACAGTAATGTTGAGCAGGCTGCCAATGTTGTTGACAACGGCATCGCGGGTCTGGAGCTGGCCGGGAGAGCCGCCGAGCCAGTTGGACTCGATGAAGCGGATGATACTGGCGGGCTCCATAGGGACGTGGGAAATGAAGTTTTTGTTGGCAGCGGCACCGATGACGACGAAGGGAGTACGGGGTCCGTAGGGCTTGTTGTCGACGACGCTACGGGGAGGAGGGGCGACACTGTCGCGGAAACCGCCAGACTCATCCGGAACAAGGATGATGAGAGTATTCTCGGAGTAGATGGACGAGTTCATGATGGTGTCGATGATGCCCTGGCTAAAGTTCTCGCCGGCGGTGATGCTGGACGTGCCGGGGTGCTCGCAGCGAGTGCCGAGGGGCTTGACGAAGGTGACGGCCGGCAGGCTACCGCTGGCAACATCAGAGGCAAAGTTGGTAAAGTCTTGGAAGTAGCTCGAGGACTGGCTGGAGTGGGCCAGGCTGTTGTAGTACAGGAACGGGACATCACTGGGGTCAAAGTACTGGGGCCAGCACTGTCCAGCAACACGAGGGGCATTGTAGCCCTCGGCATAGAAACGGAAGCCAACGTTGCATCCAACCAGGAGATCGGCGACGGTAGGATCGTTGTACATGCGGATGCTGGAGCTGCACCAAGCAATATCGGGGACGTAGGTGTTGTCCTGGAAGACCCAGGCGCCACGAGCAAAGTACATGTCGCTCTGGGAAGAGGCACCGGGGGCAGACTGGAAGAAACGGTCTGCGATAGCATACTCAGAGGCCCACTGCCAGTACTGGCTGGCACCAGTGGAGGAGCCGTCAGCGATGGCGTAGTTGCTGTTGCTAGAGCCGGGGCAGCCGCCCGAGCCGATGTACTTGTCCATGGCACCGTTGTTGATCTCGCAGATCTCGCAGGCATAGGAGTGGCAGGGGTCGAAGGCCAAGTTCGAGGCATCGTTCAGGACGGTGGCAGAGACGCCAGAGACAGTAGAGGCAGCAGCGCAGCAGCTTCGGCCGGTGTTGCAGGAAGGATTGCTGCCGGCGGGAGCCTGGCAGTAGTGGCCGTAGTAGCTGTCGAAGGAGTGGTTCTCGGAGATGACAACGATAAGATTCTTGATGGACGAGGCAGTCTGGCCGCTGGCACGGCACTGGACGTTGGGGGCAGTGACAGTGACGTTGACGGAACCAATGCACCGGAATCCGTTGTTGATACAGTAGTAGGCAGTGTAGACACCAGGGGTGGCGGGGGCCTTAATGGAGACAGAGCCGCTGGCGGGAGGGTGGGCGCCGGTGGCAGTCTGGTCGCCATAGGTGTACTGCCAAGCATCATCAAGGAAGTTGGTGCTAGAAGGAACGCCGCTGGAGGTGAACATGATACGATCATCAGCGTCGTTCACATTGGCGCCACTCCAGGAGATTGTAAGGAAACCGCCGGCAACAACAGAGCTGACGGTAGTGGTGAGGGTCACAGGAGTGATGGGGGTGCAGGACGAGGAGACAGTAAACGACTCCGAAACGGCGCCGATGGTGTATAGATCGTTGATCAGGTAGTAGGCCATGTAGGACGAGGGAGGGTTGGTTTCGGCAGGAACGACAATGTTGAGGACACCCTGGGTGGCATTGTTGGGGCTGGCCGTGCTGATACGGGCCCAGGCGTCCGAGCCCGAGGGGCAGGTGGTGGAGCAGCGGCCGGACTTGTAGAGACCAATCCAGTCCATAGAGCCAGCGGGGGCTTGAGTGGACCAGGGAACGCTGATGGCAGTCTGGGGAGCGATGCACGCAGGGACGCTACCGAGGGTGTATGACGCAGGGCACGAGGGATCGACCTTGAAGGCGGCAGAGAAGGCACCGATCTGGTACTGATCGTTCAGCAGATAGTACGCGCGGTAAGTACCGGCAGCCGGGGCAGCGACCGTGACGATGCCGTTCTTGGCGGTGTTGGGCGAGGTCAAGACAACTCGCTGCCAAGCATTAGAGCCGCTGGGGCAAGAACCACCAACGGCGTTGGTGCAGCGGCCATCGGCGTAGATGCCGATCCAATCCAGGGAATTGACCGAGGAGGAGCCAGTCCAAGAAACCTTGATGAGATCGCCGGGGCGAATGCAGGGCAGAGGGTTGGTGATGGTGTAAGAGATGGCAGCAGCCAGCCTGGCAATGACCAGGAGGAGCGCGGCAGAGCAGACGACCGGGCTGTTCATTGCTGGGATGGAAGGTGCAGGAGTGGTGGTGATGAAAGCAGGCTATTCGCGGCCGGCTATTTATGCTCTCCGGACCGTCCAAAGGCAGGGCGAGAGGGTGGTTGGGTACGAGCCTGCCTGGCCTGCATCCCACGTGGGAGAATAGGGCAACTCGGATGAAGAGCCATGGGGGTTTGCGCAGGACCATGCTGGGAACAGAAGACCGAGACAGATCGCGCGTGCTTTCGTTGGGAGCCAGGAAAGTGTCCGCGTGGGAAACGGAACTCCGACTCCACGCGCCGACGACCAGCCGCGGCTGTGGGGCTTTGACGCAGCCGCGGCGCAACCAGAACGGGAGCACCAGCCACAAACCGAGTGGCCCACGGCGGCCAGTGCGGGCGGAAACAAGCCCAAGTGGTTCTCTGGACGAAGGCGAGCGCATTGGTGGATGGACGGTGGGGCCATGGGCTTTGTCCAGAGCGAGCGATCGGCCTCCCCAAAGTCGCACCGGGCGAGGTATGGAGCGACTCGTGCTTTCTCGCGTGGGAGCGGACCCGAAAACGTGGCGTAGCTGCAAAGGCTTTGGACGGGCCTGAGTGGACTGTCCGGGTGGCCGGCGGGGACCGGTCTCGCGGAAGAAAGGATGGACCAGGCGAGCCGGGTAACGATGAAACATATACGATGAGGATAAGGCCGTCCGTCGTGCACCGCTCTGGGATCCTTGCCGGCATGGCGGCGCCAACGCACGCGATCGGAGCAACCAGTACGCTCAAGAGCATCGATCAGGAGGGTGCCTCGTGGGAAAGATTACGGCGTGCCGAGCCCGAAACGGAATCACAATCGGGTGCGCATCGATCCGAGCTTGTCTGCGATGGCATTCAAGTCACAGCGGAAAAGTGCGTGTGGGGAGTGGCTGAAAACGGGGCGGGAGGGCCCAGAGTGGTGCGCAAAGTGGTGCACTCAGAAAGAAAAGAGTGGAGGGAGGTGGGGCCGGCATTGGGACGGTGCAAGAGCGGGTGGGCCGGGCCGGGGGCAGCGGGAGAAGCGTGGGTAAGATCAGCCACCATGGAAAAGTTCAGTCGAGGAGAGGCAGACATCGTGCAAGAGACAAACGGTGCGAGCCGGAGTAGAACGGAACAGCAATGAACTATGGAGGATACACGATGATGGAGTGCATGGCATGGATATCGGGGAGCGATGGCGAGCAGAAGGCGTGAGAATGGAAGGTTTATGGACAAGATCTCGCCAGACACGAGACTCGTGTGTCAGGGAAAGCAAATGTAAACAGAAGCAGAAGCAAGTGCGAGTCATGAGCAGAAGCAACATGTGCAGCCAGCGAACAGCAAATAGGGACGACAAACAAGAATACCGGGTTGGCGAGCAAGTGAGACTGCCATTCTGATACCCTCCGGAGCGGTGGCGAACGGGGACAGCGAGTGGAGGCCGGAAGCACGAGCGACAAGTGAGGACACCGGACAGGAGCGGAACAGCAGCCATGGCCAGAACAGCAACGATAGCAGGGACAACAGCCACAGCCACAGCCACAGCCACAGCCACAGCCACAGCCACAGCCACAGCCAGAGCCAGAGCAGCAGCCATCAAGAACAACAGCCACGACAAGAGCAGCAGTCACAGCACGAAGATGGACTTTGCTGCGGGTGCCGGTGTTCTGTGCAAAGTCGGGTGGCGGCTGGACTGCAACTGCCGGACAAATGCCATTGTATAGACACAGCTGAGAAAAGTGATCACCGACGCCGTGTCCGAGTGGTTATGGAGCTTGACTAGAAATCAAGTAGGCTCTGCCTGCGCAGGTTCGAGTCCTGCCGGCGTCGCTTGAGGGCTGATAGTGTAGTGGTAGCATACCTGCTTCGGGTGCAGGTGGTCGCGGGTTCAAACCCCGCTCGGCCCCAATCTATTTTTTCGCTGCTTGTCTCTCCCTTGCTCGCTCCTGTCTCCTCCTTGCTCGGGTGCATCGTGCAGAGGCCTCGGTGCTCAGTGGTCGTGCCGTGTCGCTGGCCCGAGCCAGTTTCATCGAGTTTGGGGACAGCCCCCGTGTGGTCCGTCGGGTCATGCGTCGCAATTGTTGCTGACTCTCACTCGGTCCCGGCTTTGCCACATGTGTACATATCAGTCTTGCTGTTTCATGAACCGCTTTCTTTGCTCCCGGCACAGACTGCGGCATCAGCATTTTGGTCGGTGCATGGTTTGTCGCCGAGTCTGAGGCCGTAATAACCACCTCCGCGCTCCTTGTCTACAACCAATGTCATACACATCCCAACACCATTCGGCGGACTCCTTGCTGACCGCAGATGCTCAGTGGAGAAGAAAAAATTGAAAACCATGGTTTCTGACGAAACCGCCGACTCAACAAAAGAGAAATTCCACTGGGGCCGAGCGGGGTTTGAACCCGCGACCACTTGCACCCAAAGCAAGTATGCTACCACTACACTATCAGCCCTCAATTGTTGAGTCCGTCGCAGATTTTTCGCTACATAAAATTATCATCCTTCCACTACCAACAGCCAATCCAGAAGGAAACCAGACACCGCAGTTTTACATTTCATTCAGAAAAACACGGGACACACCCCTGCCATGAACATGTAGTATATGATGGGCTCGCATCAAGCTAAACCATAAGAAATAAAGCAGATCACTTTGGTAGCCTCTGAGTGAAGACCACCAGTCGCTCTCCGGTCTCCACACAATCGACATGTACACTGGACTCGGAGTGCCAGCAGTGAATGGTGCTCTTGGACACACTGAGTATGGAGGCAACGTTTCTCAGGCTTTGGATGAGGGCGTAGCACCGCATCACAGAAAGGTCATGGCCAGCACGCGATGGTATTTGGTAATGGAATATTCGGTCAACGACCATACAGGCTATCGCTGACAACATGGACACAGTGGAAACGGCAACAGTCCCGTTTTCTGAGTCGAGGATACCAAGTGCGGTTGCCCGCCGCATGTCCTCCACCAAGCTGGCTCCCCAGCCAAGCCCCCTTTCTCCCCCTGCCGTGCCGTCCTGTCCCGTTGCCGCCGCAGATGTCTCTTGGTGGGGAAGCTGCTGCGAAATCCTCGGCTGCTGTCCCTCACACCTTGCCAAGACACGTGTCCGCTTTTTTTTCTGTTGGCCGTGCTCCTATTTATTGATCGGGTCGTCGCCGTCCGCTTCGACCAGCATCTATCCACTCACACCACTTCGCCCACACTCGACACTCGACACTAATCACCCCTCGCATCTCATTCACCATGGCTGTCCGTAAGTGTCTGCACATTGCTTGGAGCGGCACTAGGAGCTGCCCATTGACGCCAAATCCCAACAATCCAGGTGCCCAATTCGAAAACTCAAACGATATCGGCGTTTTCTCTCGCCTCACAAACTCTTATGCCCTCGTGGCGATCGGCGGCTCGGAGAACTTTTACAGGTGGGCAGTTCGCTAGCCACATCCTGCGTCCTGCCGCGCCGAAAGGTGCAGTCTCTCTCGCTTCAGCGCTTCGGATCGTCACCGCTAATCGATCTGCTCTGCGGGCACCATCCTTGGCTGTAGTGTCTTTGAGAGCGAGCTCGCCGATGTCGTCCCTGTCGTCCACACCTCCATCGCCGGCACTCGAATTATCGGCCGGCTGACCGCTGGAAATCGCCATGGCTTGCTTGTCCCAAACTCGACGACGGATCAGGAGCTGCAGCATCTGCGAAACGCCCTTCCGGACCAGGTCGCCATCCAGCGAGTCGAGGAGCGACTCTCGGCGCTGGGGAACGTCATCGCCTGCAACGACTATGTTGCGCTGGTACACCCTGACATTGATCGGGTGAGTCTTTCAATCCGACCAAACCGACATGCCGCCGCGATCCTCGTAACCCGCTGATCCGTGGCTGACTTTGATCATCGCGCTCCTGTTTCCTCGCAATCGGTTGATAGGAAACCGAGGAAATCATTGCCGATGTTCTCAAGGTCGAGGTCTTCCGACAGACCATCGCCGGCAATGTCTTGACCGGCAGTTACGCGGCTTTTAGCAACCAGGGCGGCATCGTCCACCCCAAGACGTCGATTGAAGATCAGGATGAACTCTCTGCCCTCCTGCAAATCCCGCTGGTTGTAAGTAGCATATCTTCGTCCCTGCTCCACCCCGCCTTGAACACAGCCTGGCCACGCACCGCCGTCTGCTGGCCCACCTTGGCCTGGAACAGCACACTGGTGCTGATTTAGTTGCCATGCATCCGACCCGCAGGCCGGAACAGTCAACCGCGGCTCCGATATGATTGGAAGTGGGCTGGTCGTCAACGACTGGTGTGCCTTTGCCGGTCTGGACACCACCAGTACCGAACTCTCTGTCATCGAGAGCATCTTCAAGCTGCAAGACAGCCAGCCGTCCTACGTCGTCAACCAGATGCGCGACTCTTTGATCGACAGGTTGGTGCCCCACTCTTGACTATGAAGATGCATTCAGAGCGCTCACGAGCTGTTTCTAACACTATACTGCTGTCGATGTTCTCCTCGCAGCATGGCGTGATCTACGCTCGGCCCTCAATAAACTAGTTCACCGTGATCATGGAACGGACCCTGCTTGAGTGCAACGGCACCCTCTTCTGATTCCTGAATACACGCCCATCTGCCTTGGACGGCACCTACCCACCCTCGATTTCAATGCCATGTTGTTTCATTGAGCGCGGGATATCGCCGCCAGCGCTGTCAGGGCGTGCGTGCGATATGGATGCATGTTAGATGTGACCATCTGTGGGCCCATTATATTCTCTGAATCGAGTCGGCCAAGACAACAGCGCCGTCAATGGCGGTATCGAATTGATAAAATACGTGCATGAAACCAGTCCAGCACCACTACGATCGTGCGCCTTGAACATTGGCATTTTGCTGGAGTCGGAGCGGACTCGGATGGGCTGGGTCACCCCCGCTGGCTCTGCTGAATTGGAATGTCGCCACCCAACGCATTGTTGATCGGACTGTTGCTGTGGTGATTGGCACGGCGATGGCGGATCGTTTGGGCGAGCTGTTGACGATGGCCGTCCCATCGTCTTCCATCGATGGTGGTCCTTGACATAGTTGTGAAATCCCATCCTTGATAATTATCCGCCATTGCTCGCTGCCAGCTACCGCAGGCTTGTATTCCAACAGCATCCGACCGCCTCCTGTTGATCATACACTCCGTATCCGAACGATGGCGCTCTCGAACGATAGCCGGCATCAGATTCGGCTAGATATAGTCAATCCAGCCGTCCTCACACCGGACGACGAAGTTGACGAGTTTATGAATGGTTATCTTTCCGAAAACAAGCTGGTTAGTACAGCTGGACGAAGCAAGATGTCCACGCCGAGGCCATTCGTGGGGGCTAGAGTATTCCTAGCGAGGGATCGGATTCGAGCCGTGACGAAACAAGAACCCTTATCCCTCTGAGGTGCCGATATTTCCCTCTCGTCTAAATGTGACCTTCATTTGGTTCTCTGTATGGTGCCCCCTTAGCGAACTATGACTGGCATGAAGGATCTCCGGAAAGTCAAGACCATGGAGCTCCAAGCAGATGTGAGAAGAACAAGTCTTTCGAATCTCGGTAATGGTTGCGGCAGACGGAGAGTCGAGCCCAGCAGACGAGCCCAGCAGACGAGCCCAGCAGCCGGGCTGGTGCCTGGGAACTCTGTGCTGAAACATCACAAACACCCATTCCCGTTCCAGGAAAATGGATTCCCAATATTCAGCAGCTCAAATTGAACCATAGCTACATTCCCACGATACGGTCAGATTGGCGTTATCGCTGCAGTACTTTGCAATCCCGTCGATGTGACTCTGTTCAACTCGTTTGGCCTTTGCTGACACTCGATGCATTCATAGGGACATGGGCGTGGGGTTCTCGTGCCTCAGTATCCTGTGGATGTCACAGTGCGACCTTGTTGAGCTCGATGGCATCGGGTCTCTTTCGCTTCTCAAGGTCCGTGTCAGAGCCGGGCAGAGTGCCGCTAGCAGCCACGAATGCAGGTGGCGGATGCCGGTTGTTGTGGGCGTCGGTTACAGGATGTGGGCACGGCAGCCGAGCAGACATTGTCCGCGATTCTGATACTCGTTCGGTGTTCTCCCCAGGAGCTGTACCTCTCCTACAACGCTATCCAGGACCTCAGCTCGCTCAGCATGCTCGACTGTCTGGAAATCTTAGATTTGGAAGGGTATGTACCTTGATATTCTGGCCACGCAGCTCCAAGCCGAGCGAACGGGCAGCGATAGCAAAGTCGAGCTCCTGCTTCATTGTACTGACACATGACCCGACACCAGGAACTGCATTGACGACTACGATCAAATTGAAAACCTTGCGCTGTGCCCACTGCAAGAGCTGACGCTGCAGAACAATCCCATTTTCGACAACCCTGAGCAGACGGACGAACCACTACAGCGCTCCAGAGAGCAGGAGGAATACCGCGAGGCTCTGTATCGACACAAAATAGCCACGACATTACCAGATTTGAAACTTCTTGACGACAAACGGATCACATCCGCAGAAATGAATCATCCACCTTGCCGACCCGGCTCGGCCAATCTGTGGGCAATGCGCTCCGACAAGGGAGCCACGAGCGAAATCAAGTCAGAGTCAACCGATGCGACAGAGTCATCATCCAGACCAAGGTCGGTCAGCTCCGGGCGGCCGAAATCCGCACCACTCAACCCATTTGCGGCAGGCGGACTGAACAAGTACTTTCCCGACAGCGACGACGATGCCAGTTCGAGCTTCACGCATGGTAAGCAACTGCCCTATACAAACCAACTGGTCGGGTGGCCATGGCTCTGGAAGTAGCACTGCGATGCCGTGGCTAATATCTATGAACCACATTCACCGAAATGTGGAGGCACTGGAGAGGTGATGGCCGGCAATCCCATTCTATTTCTGCGGTCGCGAAAGCACACATGGGCAGCAGAAAGCTCAGAGCCGCTGGCACAAGCAGCTCAACCGGCATCGGCTTTCAGCGCCTCTGCGGCCAATGTCCCGTATTTCTCCAGCGGGGCTGCCATACCGCCGCTTGCGCCCCGACCCCCGTCACCGATGCAGGCACGGCCATTTGCGAGGCGAAAGCCATCGGCGGCGTCTGCGGGTCACACGCGGTCGCCGTCGACGAGATCCGAGAAGCCAAGCTCTACCGACAGTCACTGGCATACACAAGTGCCTGGTGGTCATCATGCATTGCAAAGCTCGTTTTCGCCGAAACCCCCGACACGAGATCCAGCCACCGCGCCTGGGTCGCTGGCCTCAGCAGAGGCCGGCAACAATCCCCAAATGAACCCTCTTTCAAGCAACGAAGACGGCAGCGATAGCAGCCAGCTTGTGATTCGACGTCAGGGAAGGACGATACGAGCACGAAAGCAAAGTCACATGAAGTTGGCCGCACTACCGCACAGTCCTTTCGCAATCGGAACGGACGCGGAGATAGCTGCGCGGCTGGGCGAATATTCGAGTCCAGCTCCGACATCGATGATTACACTTTGATCAGGAACACCCTTTCAATAGCTTTGCACACGTCATTCAAGGGGAGGGGACAGATCCGCCGAATGGTGTTGGGATGTGTATGACATTGGTTGTAGACAAGGAGCGCGGAGGTGGTTATTACGGCCTCAGACTCGGCGACAAACCATGCACCGACCAAAATGCTGATGCCGCAGTCTGTGCCGGGAGCAAAGAAAGCGGTTCATGAAACAGCAAGACTGATATGTACACATGTGGCAAAGCCGGGACCGAGTGAGAGTCAGCAACAATTGCGACGCATGACCCGACGGACCACACGGGGGCTGTCCCCAAACTCGATGAAACTGGCTCGGGCCAGCGACACGGCACGACCACTGAGCACCGAGGCCTCTGCACGATGCACCCGAGCAAGGAGGAGACAGGAGCGAGCAAGGGAGAGACAAGCAGCGAAAAAATAGATTGGGGCCGAGCGGGGTTTGAACCCGCGACCACCTGCACCCGAAGCAGGTATGCTACCACTACACTATCAGCCCTCAAGCGACGCCGGCAGGACTCGAACCTGCGCAGGCAGAGCCTACTTGATTTCTAGTCAAGCTCCATAACCACTCGGACACGGCGTCGGTGATCACTTTTCTCAGCTGTGTCTATACAATGGCATTTGTCCGGCAGTTGCAGTCCAGCCGCCACCCGACTTTGCACAGAACACCGGCACCCGCAGCAAAGTCCATCTTCGTGCTGTGACTGCTGCTCTTGTCGTGGCTGTTGTTCTTGATGGCTGCTGCTCTGGCTCTGGCTGTGGCTGTGGCTGTGGCTGTGGCTGTGGCTGTGGCTGTGGCTGTGGCTGTTGTCCCTGCTATCGTTGCTGTTCTGGCCATGGCTGCTGTTCCGCTCCTGTCCGGTGTCCTCACTTGTCGCTCGTGCTTCCGGCCTCCACTCGCTGTCCCCGTTCGCCACCGCTCCGGAGGGTATCAGAATGGCAGTCTCACTTGCTCGCCAACCCGGTATTCTTGTTTGTCGTCCCTATTTGCTGTTCGCTGGCTGCACATGTTGCTTCTGCTCATGACTCGCACTTGCTTCTGCTTCTGTTTACATTTGCTTTCCCTGACACACGAGTCTCGTGTCTCTGCTATCAGCAGCATTTTGTCACCGTGAATGGAGGAATATGTATATTCAGGATCTAACAAGCGGATAACGGCCTTGAAGGCAAGATGCAATAGCTTGTTTTGTGACCACTGTCGCGTCCACGTCCCAAGTCCATCAAAGTAACCTGATACGAACACACCATCGCAGTGTCTTGGCTCGGCTGGGCCCGTTGTCGATCAAAAACGGTCGCGCTCTCGGCCCATTCGCTTCTGGATGCGCTCCAGCTCGCGCTTTGCGTCGCATTGGGGAAAGTTGTTCAGATCGTAATACTTTGGCGCAATCTCCAGCAGCCACTCGCCGCGAATATCGGTCACCGTTCGAATGTAGTGCTTGCTGGTCAACACGAACTCATTGTATAGCACCCATTCGGGTTTCTTGTTCATGCACGAAGAGGGGTGCAGCTGGACAACCTATGGAAATACATTGCAGACCCAAAGGCAGTATTAGGCATCTCAACCAACGCGTTGGGTTATCCTTTCCATCACACACCCAGCGTCTGTTTGGTCGGTGAAGCGATGCCGATTCCATCTGCCAGATCCATCCGAGCCAGTAACAAACCTGGTTGTCTTTGGTAGTGAGATACTGCTTTCCGCTTCGCTCAAGATGGGCCACTTGCATAAAGAAACCCGCCGTCAGAGACTTTCGGATGTTCTGGTAATAACGGCGGTCGTCGGGGCTCATACTCGGGCCACGAATTTCGAATCGGTCCATGATGCGTTTGAGTTGGGTCCGAACGTTGTCGGCGGACTTCATCACACGATGATTGAGGTAGTTGTCCCAGCACCACTTGGCATCTTCTTTGCCCTCTCCTTTGTATGCCACAAAGGTATTGAGCAGCGTGAGGTGATCGCCATCTTGATGATCAAATTTCTGCTTGGCCTCATCTGCTCGTTTGCGCTGGTCGCTGGGGCGAATAAAGCAATTGGGCACCGACAGCATCGCGATGATCGTCAGGGCTTCTTCGACACAGGAGAACTGGGGCGAGGAGATCAGGACCTTGGCAAACTGGGGATCCAGAGGGAACTCAGCCATCACTCCGCCGAGTTCCGTCAGGCCACCTTCGTCGTCGAGGGCGCCGAGGTAGTTGAGCATTTCCAAAGCGCGCATGAGCGTTTCGGGAGCTAGGGGCAGAAAATACACCATCGATGAGTTGTCATCCAAGCGGAAGGACACAAGTGCCACGATTGGCTTTGGCTCCGCCCATGGTCGCAACAACCTACCTGGCGGGTCCATAAAATCAAAGTGCACAAGGTCGTCAATCTGGAGCTTCTTCAGCTGCAGGACAGTGTTGCCCAGGTTGCTTCGAAGAATTTCAGGGTAGGTTTGCTCCTGTAGATCTTCAAGGAAGGCCTTCTCTGTGTAGAGCCGGAAGCACTTCCCCGGGCGGGTGCGCCCGGCACGTCCCGAGCGCTGCTGGGCACTCGCTCTGCTAATGGGGCTGACCAGCAGACTCTCCACACGGACTCGTGGGTTGTACACCTTCTGCTTTGTGAATCCAGGGTCGATCACGTAGACGATACCATCGATCGTCAGGGAGGTTTCCGCAATGTTAGTTGACACGATACATTTGCGGCCGGCCGGCCCGCCTTCAAATCGTGGTGGGGGAGCGTCCTCGAAAATCTTCTTCTGTTGGATTGGCGGCAAGCTGGAATAGAGCGGTATCACTTTGAGCTCTCCAATCGCCTTGGGCTGGGTCTGCATCAGATTGTCAGCTTCGCCCTTGATCTTGCGACAAGCATCCTCGATCTCCTCTTCACCAGTAAGGAAGAGCAGAATATCGCCCTCATCCTCACACGCGTGGATCTGGAGGGCGGTGCGGATGGCAGCCTCGAGATAATCCCGCTCTGGCTCCGGGGTGTAGTAGATCTCCACCGGGAAAGTGCGGCCGGGTACCATCTGTATCATGCAGCCGTATCGGAAGGATAGGAGGGGCCAAGTCAGTCGGTATCTTTTGGGGGAGGAGCTGTACGCGAATGCCTTGCACTGTTGCAATCCATAAGATGCCTGGAGACGGCGGCAGCTGCTCTTGACCAAAACCCACCATCAATGGAGCATTGAAATACTTTTGGAACTTTCCGGCATCGAGCGTTGCACTCATGACAACGAGCTTGAGATCGGGCCGCCGCGCGCACACCTACAAGGCGTGGAATGGGTAATGTGAGTGCGTCGGCGTTGTTGAATGCGAGCATATGAACGAGGTTCGGGCTGAAATTGCAGGGATCCTTGCCGAATCGACAATCGAGCCGCATTCAAACACAAGCCATTCGGTGATCGCATCGCTGTTGGATACGGTCCTCGACACTCTCGATCAGTTTGTGTACCTCTTTAATCAATCCCATGAGAATGTCGGTGGCCAGGGTTCTTTCGTGGGCCTCATCGAGAATGATGGCTGAATATCTTGACAGATTTGGATCGGTCATTGCCTCACGCAACAGCATACCGTCGGTCATGTACTTGAGCATCGTGCTGGACGAAGTGCAGTCCTCGAAACGAATGCTGTAGCCGACTTCGGATCCAAGCCGGCAGTCCAGCTCGTCCGCCACGCGCTGGGCGACAGACATGGCAGCCACACGACGAGGCTGGGTGCACGCAATCATCTTGCCCTTGGTCTGGGGCTGCTCATCATAGCACAGGAATTGAGGGATTCTGATCGAGACCGACAGAGTGGCGCCGGGGACAGCGAGATATTAGAAACGCCGTCCGGTTTCGAGCGGTGTTTTGGGGGGGGGGCAGGCGTATTCGGCCATGTGCGGCGTCTGTGGCGGGGTTTCTCGACACCTGGTGCGATCACTTACTGGGTGGTTTTGCCGGAGCCAGTCTCTCCAACCAGGATGACCGTCTGGTTCTTGTGGATCAAGTCAAGAAACTCCTGACGCTGCTTGTTGACGGGGAGCTTTCTCCGCTTCTCCAGGATATCGCGGTACTTTTGTGAAAATGGCTGGCCTGTGAAAGGGTTGGTGCTTCCGCTTTCGAGCGCCTCTGCTTGCGCGGCTGTGGTATTGCCAGCAACCAATTTCACAGGAGCATTGAGATGCGCCAGGTATGGGTTGTTAGTTGGGTTGCCCGTCTCTTTGAATTCGGTCTTGGATTTTTTCTTGGGGCGCTGGTCGGCCATGCTTGTGTGCCTCTCAGATGGTCGCGATGGGATGATCTATATGCTGCGCCGGCGTGCAATGATATGCTGCTGCCGGATGATATTTGGGCAGGTCGGTGGATCGACAGAGGGGTCGTGATGCAGCCCTGTCGGCTTTATGCTGTTGATCGCTCGGGGCTGATGCGGGAACAGACGCTTGCGGGTCCGAAGCGGCTGAAGTCGACTCTGCCCCCTCGAAAAAAAAAGTGAGTGTGGCGTAGCAAGCCTGTCGCGCCGATCCGGCCGACACAACAGGCCCAGCGATCCGGCATGATCGCATGGACAGCGCCGCAGCAGCACCTCTGGACGGACGGAGCCGTGCGATGCGATGCGGCAACCGGGTGCATGGTGGCGTGGTTGACGGTAGAGTCTCACGGGGCGGCCGGGCGGGTGGTTGAGCGCTGCACCGACATCCGCATCAACATCCACATCCGCATCCTGGTTCACACCCACTTTGCCAAGCAGCGACGAAAGGGCCGGACGAAGGGCAATTATATTTGCAATTAGGACAGATGGCGTGCGCAGTGGGATTATTCGGCCTTGGCTGCATCGCGCTTTCGGATTTCCTCGATGCGCTCGGCATAAGGGTCCGGCCTGGGCAGCGCATGGGCGCCTTGGCTGTTTCGCTCGTGCAGCTCCGGGAAGCTCAGGCCCTTGACGCTGGTCTGTTGCTTGACTCCGGCATAAGACAGTCCGGAAAAGACCGAGAGGACGGCGGCGTGGAAGACAACCTTCTGGATGGAGCCGGCTGGTGCATGCGCAAGGATGTCCGTTCCAGTCGTCAATTGTTGGTTCAGCAAAGATCGACCAGCCACATGCCACATCCATATGTTCGTGTGTATGAAGCCGATCGTGCGTCATCAAATCGCGGTCGATTAAAGCATATAGGTGTCGATTTGGGTCAGATGCCGCGGTTTATCGAGGTTGCCATGGGGTCGATAAACAGGTATCTGTTAGCGAGAAGCTCAGAAGACTACAGCACATCCTCATCCGACTGTTGGCGCTGCAGCAGCATGCGGACATGGAGAGCACCGATGCAGCACAGAGATTATGCGACATGTCTGATCCATCGTCGCAGTTTCACTCTGCAGCTGGCGACTGACCTTTGACTCCAAAGATCGAGCCAGCGACAGCACCGGCGATCGACGCGTTGAGCCAGTCGTCGGTGTGGCGAATGTGGGCCGATGCGCAATATGCTCCGTATGCAGATCCAAAGACAGCACCTATTTGATCGAGCCGCAGAATGTCGCCGATGAGCACAGAGGTCGGAAAGCTCTCGCCAACCCGAGTCGAACATGGTGATCCAGAGACACGGCCGAGCCGCCACAGCTTTGTCGGCTCGGCTCCAGCGGCATCGGCCAGCCATGTGCCGCAAGACGGAAAGCACAGGCGATGCATGACAAGTACCCATCAGTCCAGATCGCGCAAAGGAATCGCGGACGACGACATTCGTGGGGGCGGCAGTCCACCAGCCTACTGAGGCGCCGAGCACGGAGCCGAGCACCAGGCCGGTGCCGGTGGCCTTGAGGGCCTCGGCGACACAGCTCGCCTCCAGGACATTGGTGGCGAAGAACGGGTGCTTCCTGATGTCAAAGTTGTTGGGAACCCACGACATTTTGGGCTCGGCTTGGATATCGGGGTGCGAGGGAACAGACGATGGTCGGCGCGGGCGAGGAACGGCACCCACAGCCGGCACTTGGTCGCCAGCAAGAACGGCCGCAAAGGCAAAACCGGGCTCGCTGCCGGCCATATGAAATCAATTCATTTGGCGGGATTAATGAGCGCGGCGCGCCTGCTGCTGTCGCACGGCGCCGGCGCGCCCCTTGCTGCTTGCTCCGACCTCCGACCGGCCCTCGCCGCGTCGTGCGCTTTCCCAGGGTGTTCGTGCCGACTGGAACGGCCTCTGCCCTGGTTCCGGCTTGGATCGCCCCCAGACCATGGATGCCTCTGCCGCGCCAAAGACCCACCATCCATCGTGGATTTCCGTGGCTCCGGAAAAGAGCCCGGGCTTCCCGCAGCTATCGAGTCTGCCCAATATGCTCCTCGACAGGGCGGCTGCGTCTGCAGCACAGCCATTCCTTTCGTCACGGAACTCGACGCTTCCTGCTCCAGCCAAGAAGGCTGCAAGCTCATCGCTCGGATCTCGGCCCCAGCCCCCCAAGTTCCAGACGGCTGGGACTCAATCGCTCCGGGCGGACGAATCTACGATCCGCACGACTTTCCCTTCACAGCCCACCGAGAGCTCTCGGGCACACACGAAGACGAAGCCATCGGCGACAAAGCCATCGGAGGCGAAAGGAATCGATCGTATCGGTCTCTCCGGCACATTCTCGAACCTGTGCAACTCAGACCGAAGAAGACTTCTCGCTCTCATCCATCAGCTGGCGGTTTCGGAGCAATCGAGACAGCGGCTGGGGACAGCGCTCAAACAGCTCGAGAGCCAGAATGCTACTGTTCGAGCCGATCTGGATCACGCCCGACGGGAAGTCAGCGATTCCCAGGTCAAGTACTCAGGTAGGATCGTGCGAGCTGCCTTTCTGGCGTTGGGCTACGGTGTGAGCATCACCTCTGCGGATATAGTCATGGCTGACCGCATATTCAGCGACTTGGATGAAACTGCAAGGAAGAGCAGCGAACGAGCTTGCCTCGGGGATAGCGTTCACACCGACTGATCTGAACACCCTCCATACCCATCTATTCTGCCTGGGAAGAGCTACTGGAGTCGCTTCAGAGTGCTCAAAGTCTCGCAGACCAGTACTTGGCCGAAAACCAGAAGATCGAGACTCGGGGCGACTCTGCCGATCATGACGGACTGCTCGTGAAGCAGCTGGAGGACAGCATTAGAGCATTGCTAAAGGTTCGTGGAGTCGCCCGTGGGTTCTGGCTGAATGTAAAAACATTCTCACGTTATAATTCCATGGTCGCTGCCATGCTTGCCCCTCCGCTCGCTCGGCCAAACGATTTCTTTGGATCATCAGGAAGAATTCCAGAAGCTCCAGGACTTGCTGCAGTCGTCAATTGAGGCTCATCAACAGGCCTTGTTGGTAGCGGGTAAAGGCTCTCAGACCATCTCAACAGCCGCGCCGAACTCGTCCAGCCAATCGATTCCGCACGAATCTCTTGGCGATTCCATCGAAGCCGACCCCTCGCTGTCGTTTGGGCAAACCACATCGATGCAGCGATTGCTGATGGCGATTTTGGAGCGGCGACGAAGAGGCACTCCCGGATGTGATCTCCAGACGAGCTCGTCTGCCCCGGTTCTCACAGTCACCCCAGTCTCAGATTCGAGCCACAGCGAGCCCATATCAAAGCCGCGGTCGTCCGGCACTGTCAAAGCGCAAGTCAGCCGGCTGCTGCAGGTTGCTCGCTCCCACAGCCCGTCCAATCCGAGCCACTCCCGTAGCGAAGCTTCTGACTCTGACTCGTCTGAATCCGTAACCCCATCCGAGTTTACGTCGGTATCGAACCATGACAATCACAAAGAGCAAGCCGATATCCGCGATCGAGAATCTCCTGTTCTGTCCTGGGCTAGCGACAGTCCTGCGTCGCAGGCCCTCTCTGAAGGGTCACCGCGACTCCCAGGGCGGACGAGGCCAAGCAGAGATCATGGCCGGGCCGGCTCAGCACACGCAAGATCCTCGTCAGGGCGAAAGCATACAGTCGATAGCACTGACGACTGGCACGACACAGGCTCAGAGTCGTCCCCACAGTCTATCCGACAGGAAGCGCTGGGCCCTCACAACCATCGGCGACGAGAGCCGGGACCCAAAGCGCTCGATCGCCAGATATCTGTTTCGCAGCCGAGCCCACCGAGCAAGATCAAGCGGAGCGTGTGTGCACCTCGTCCACCCAGTCCGATTCGGCAACAATCAATCGACTTTGTCGATGCCCGGCACCTCCATCCACCAACCAGCATCTCGAAGTCTTCGCGCAACAAACAGCAGCTTCACGGACACAACTCGAGGTACCTTCGGTCGCAGCCGTATCCGCCACATCGTCAATATCCTGAAGCTCGCCATTCCCACCAATTGCACAATCGCAATCTTGGCCATGCCGGAGGCTGGGATGCCCCCGACTATATCCCACCTGCCATACGCTTTGCGGTACCTCACGCTGCCCCCGCTGCCCGGGCATCTGCCGTTCTTCCAAATACCCGGCTACATGCATTCCAACCCAAACCAATTGAGCCGATCCTCTCCTCTGACCAAATAGAGGCCAGTGATTCGATGTCGTATCCGTGTGCGTCGCGGCCAGACCAGAGCTTGCTCTTTGCAACAGATACTTCAATGGTCCAGTCGCTCTCGTCAATCCTTGAATCGATCGGCGATAGAGAGTCGGACTCGATCCCCACCCGCGATTCCCCGGGGGAATACTATCCAAAGCAGCAAGCTTCGTCGCAGCCTCAGCGTACTCTGAGAGCCAAGGAAACCCCACCCACCCGTCTAGTTGCAGAAAAGCATCGCATCGTCCGCCAAACCCGTCCTGTTCAGTTTCACAAACCGGCAAATCGAGGATCAGCTGTGGATGATGGGCATTCGCTTGGATCTCGCGGCACGGCATGCACAGAGCTTGATGATCTCATTTACTGTCTGAATGATATGTAACTGCACATTCGCGAGGCATTACACAGGTTGGGCGAGAGTAGCTACGCAGCGAAATTAGCACTGGGTTACAGGCAATCCAATAAAAAACGGGACACCCGGGTTTTTGACCATTCATCGAATATTTTGTTACCCAATGTTATCGCGCGCTGGCCATGACCATTCGCCACACATCCGACTTTCGCACCGCCGCATTGCGATGCTACGCCCTCATCCATAGCCTGCGTAAGGTCGCCTCCATATTCAGTGTATCCGAGAGCACCATCCATCGATGGCACCGAGGATGCAAGCTGGATGACCCATCCCGGGTCCCAGCTCGCAGATCCACTTTCTTCGAGCAGGCATGTCCAGTCATTCGCACCCTGATTGAACAGGACCCGTTCCAGACTGGTCCTGTGTTGCGATGCAAGCTCGAGTCCATCCTCCAGAAGAAAGTTTCACTCTCACTCTGCCACACTGCCATCCAGCGAGCAGGTCTCTCACACAAGAGGGCAACACACCTCTACAAGTCCAAGCGACTGGATGAGCGAGTGGCACAGTTCAGGGACCAGGTCCGCTCCATCGACCCACGACGATTCGTTTCTGTCGATGAGACAGGGATCAGGAGATCCATTTTCCCTCTTTACGGATACTCGCCGAAGGGTGCTCCGCTTCGCCAGCGCAATCACATGAAGCACAAGTCTGTCTCGGCTGCATTTGCAATCAACCACTCTGGTGTGCTGCATCGCATGTACATCCCCACATCATTCAAGACACACTCGATGGTCGAGTTCTTTGAGCGAGCGACCTTCCCAGACGACTCTGTGATTGTGATGGACAATGTCAGCATGCACAAGACAATGGCTGTCCTGGACTGCATCGAGCGCCGAGGATGGTCAGTGATCTTCACCCCACCTGCTTCACCCGACTTCAATCCCATCGAGAACTTCTTTGGGATTGTGAAGCATCAGTACAGGAAGGTGGCAGCGCTGAATGCGTCCGAGGGGTTCAGAGTCGGGATGGTGACCCTGTTTGAGTCTGCCGTTCGGAGGGTGCTTCCAGATGTCTTCCCACGGCTGATTGAGCGAGCGATGCGCTTCTGGGGTTGAGTTCCCTCCAATCAAGCCGCCATTTTCGCGTTCACATCCCTGGCTTGAACCTCTCGGCGATTTTTGAACAGGGTCACTTCCCCAACCAGCCCGCGCAGACGGGCTCCTGCTCTCGGGTATAAATGCCACACCTTCGTCCTGCTGCTTTCTTCCTTCATCTCGCCTTGATCTGATCATCGCGCCATTGTACGATAAAAAAAAGTCTCTGCTCTGACCAGTACCACTGGCAGGCATCCAGCATCCTCTGCCCCCATGCCTCCGAAGCGTAAGGGTACCGGTGATGGCCAGCCTCGGCCACCCAGGCCCAAGAAAGCCAAGTCACAGTCGGAGCCTGTCTCTGGTTCGTCTTCTGACCCCACGCATGCTTGGTCGTCTGTTGCTCCGTTGCTCACCACCACTGCTTCTGCAGATCCAATGGATGTCGATCCCACCGAGCCTGGTCCCTCATCTGGTCCTGTCAAGCGATGTCCCAAGTGCGATGGCACTGATCACGAGCGAAGCAACACCAGCAAATGTCCCAAATACCGGCCCCTCAAGAGTTCTGTCGTCCCACTCGTGGATGGAAGGTCATCCGCCCCTCAGTTCAGCTGCTTCAAGCAGACGATGGATGGCTGTTGTCTCAATCCCGCTCTCCGCGACAAGATCCAGGCCACCGTCGAGGCCATGACCCAGATTCAGTTCGAGGCATCCAGGCTGCTCAACCTGCACATCCTCCGGTGCATCGAGCAGGATCTTCCCGTCCCCGTCATCTCCAAGTCCACCCCTGCTTTCGTTCGCCAGTGCTTTAAGATCGTCCAGGACGGTGCCCTCTCCCCGACCGGGGACAATGAGAAATACAACGAGCATCTGGTCGCTTCCTTTCGCGACTACCAGACCACTCGGCACGCAGACCTGCCTCCGGCCCCTCGTCTGCCTGATGGTGTTCACAGTCAGCTTCTCACACTGGCTGTCAATGCCTATGCCACCAACTGCACCACCCACCTCGACCTGGCCTACTGGCGACTCCTTCGCCGCTTCTGCGCTGCCGTCTTCCCAGCCAACAAGCACAAGCACGACGCCATCGAGGCTTGTCTTGAGCTCTTCGAGAAACCAGGGCAGACTCCACCCAAGGCCGATATCGAGTTCCTCTATCCAGACTTTGGCCACGTCCTGGACGAGTTTCGGTACAGCAACGACCAGGACCGCTTCCGGGCCCTCCACCGCCTCTCACACCATGTGGGTTTCCTTGCCCGGGACAAGATGCAGGACGATGTCCACAAGTGGATCGACTGTGACATGCCCGCCCTCCGAGTCACCGAGTTGCAGCGCCAGGCCAAGCTGGACGAGCTCACTACCCAAGGCATTCCCTCCGACGACAAGAGGTTCACCAAGGCCAAGTCTGAGCTCGGTACCACCAAGTCCAAGATCAACAAGCTGGCATCCAGGATCAACTGGGCCCTCAAGCAGCTCGCTCTCGACACTTCTCCGGCCGTGTGCACGATGGTCCCTCTGTGCACCACCAAGGCCAAGTATGTCAAGATCGACACGGTCACTCTCTGGGAACTCCTTGGTCCAAAGAAACGCCTTGGCCTCACCAGGGACAAGCTCAAGGAAGAAGGTGAGGACGGTGTCAACAACCAGGATCGTCTCTGGCGCAGTTGCTTCAAGCTGCGTAGTTCCCTCTTCCAAGAGCGGGACGTGAACAAGAAGCTGTTCAACTACGAGATCAGCACCGATGGCATTGGATGCACCATCGGCCTCGTCAAGTTTGTGCGTCGAACCGATCGCACCGAGACCTCCGAGCCTCCTCCGACTTCCGAGCAGCGTATCCAGGCCCACATCGGCGACCCAGACCCCGACAAGACCACTTGGATTGGAATCGACCCAGGCGTCGGCTCCATCTTCACGGCGGTCATCCAAGCACCGGGCCACCAAGACGAGGTGGTCTCATTCTCCAATGGCCACTACCAGCACATGTGTGGCCATACGTCCAACACCAAGTGGCACAATATCATGAAGTATCGACTCAGCATCGAGACCTGGATGTCGACCACCCCCTCGCCCAAGGTGCAGTCCTCGGAGGCTTTCAAGGTCCATCTCACCCATGTCCTGCGACCGGAGCTGCGAGTGCAGCTCGACTTCCACCTTGGCAAGAAGGCCCGTCACCATCGATTCACGGGCCACAGGAGACGCCAAGTGGCCGTCGACAGGATGTGCAAGGCCGTCCTGAGGCACGCCCCGATACGGACCGATGTGGTGATCGCCTTTGGCAATGCGTCATGGCGACAAGGCAAGGGCTATGCACCCAGCCCTCGGAGGCAGCGGTTTGCTCGGTACTTTGAGCAATTCGAGCACCACCGTCGCCACCCACATCGCCCTCATGGAAGCATCAAGGTGGCCTCGACGAACGAGTTCAACACCTCGCAGGTGTGCTCCAACTGCCTGGAGCCAGTTCGGTTGGAAGGACTCGATGCGCCCAGTGTTGCGAATTCCCACTTTGTCAGGAGCTGCAAGAATCCCAGCTGCCGGACAGTGTGGAATCGCGACGTCAATGCGGCGCGCAACATGATCATAGTGTGCAGGTCGATTGTGGAGATCGGAGAGCGACCGGCGGTCTTCACTCGGAGGCTGCCAAAGTGATCTGTTTTATTTCTTGTGGCTTTGCTTGACGCGAGCACAGCACATACTACATGTTCATGGAAACGGCTATATTGTCCCGTTTTTTCTGAATAAAGTGTAGTCGGCGGGCATGTCAGCACAGCTCTCCCGGGAAAGGCCGTAGCGTCCGTCTGTTTTATGGGTCATCGCATCTCTTGGAGTGTGCGGATATTTCGCTTGCTTCCCGCTCTCCTTGGATACACTGTTTGGCGATGAGGGATGGGTGCAGGATCCAGAACCAGGACCCAAAAAAACAGAGTGGCTCGGTCCAATTCGTGTGCCTTCACATCCAATCAGCTTGGTGGCGCCATCGCTGCGAGGGAACAAATGCCAAGAGCGAACATGCGCTCCGTGATTCGGCCGAGGTTCTGTCCAATGCGCCTGGACGTCAGCCGTTTACACTCGTGCTTGAAAAGTAGTCCACCCTCGACGGATAATTCCGTTTCTGTCATAGACTTTCGATACCAGCCCCACAGACCGCTACTCCCACTATGAGCGTTCCGTCGGCGCCCGGTGTTCAGCAGGGCACTGTTCGTTTCGAACAGAAGCCACCAGCCCTCTCTAAGCGGACGACGACCTACCGCAAGGAAGGCTCTAAAAAGAAGTCAGCCGCGCAGCCAGTAGACTCGGCCCCGGCCGGCGCTTTGATCAAGAGCCTCATCAAGGGCAAGCGCAGCAATCCGAACGAGCTGAAGCTGGAAGATCTTGATGAAAATGTGCTGAGGCAAAGGTGAGGGTGCTGCCGCGTCGCATTCTCGTTGGCTTGCGGCAGCTCACGAAGGAGTGCGGTGTCGAGGACAGTGGTGCTTTGGGCAGCCAAATCATCAGAGTCGGACCCAGTCCGTGCAGCCCGGCCATTTCTGATGGCTTCTTCTCACGATATTGTGTAGACTCGATCTTCTCGAAAAAGAGCTTGAGGAGTATAAAGTCAAATGCGCGCGATAGTAAGTCTATATCACCACAAAAGCTGCGGGAGGCTGTCCATCACTTCTGCCACAGCAAGAGCGCCTTGCACTGAATCGCACTGTTATTGGGCCATGGCGCTTCCGGCCGATTCCCCACCCCACCCCCCAACCAGCAAAAAGGAAAACGAATGGTACCGAGAGGAGCTCAAGGGCTGCGAAACGGACTCGGTCGACTACATCCGCTATCTCGAATCCAAGAAGGAGGAGAAACAGGCGGTGATTGACAAGCTTGTCGAGTGCAACAAGAAGGAATTGGAGCAGTTCGTCGAGCGGAAGAAGCGGCGCGAAATTGAAAATGCCGAGATGATCGAAAGTATGGCATGGTTATCGATATATCCGCTGTCGGCTTTATGGAAGTGGTAGCAATGGCGGAAGATAACTGATCTGCCTGGCGTTTCGCGGACAGGCCTGAAGGCTCTCCTGGTCGAACAGGAAATGAAGCTGGAAGCCAAGCAAGAGGAGATGCTGCGTCTTTCAGATGTGATGGTGCGTTTGCTTTCCAAGGGAAGAGGGGAGTATCGTTGTCTGGGACATCCAGAGAGTGTCCCTCTGGAATTATATTGTGCATCACTACAACTTGCTTTGACATACTCACATACTCACATACTCACATACTCACATACTCACATACTCACATACTCACATACTCACATACTCACATACTCACATACTCACATACTCACATACTCACATACTCACATACTCACATACTCACATACTCACATACTCACATACTCACATACTCACATACTCACATACTCACATACTCACATATTCACATACTCACATACTCACACACGCCGCAGTCCAAGCGTGCCCGCTACGAGGCCGAGATCGCCAAGATCAAGAAGGAGATGCAGGATGCTGAGGCAGATCACCACCGCAAGCTCGCCGAGGTCGAGCGGCAGCTACTGGAGGCCCGCATGAAGCACCAGAAAGAAGCCGACAACAAGATCAAGATGATGGAGTCCGCCGCCCACGAGGTACACTCCCATGAGGCCCAAGCTCTCGCGAGCTGTGACTGTTTGGAGACGGTTGTTCGCCACTGACCACCGGCATCGCATCCAACCCCCCCCCGCTCTGAACACCAGAAAGCCGCAAAGTATCTCGAGGACCACACCCTTGCGATCGAGAACGAGAATCGGACCCTCGAAAAGGAGCTCCAGCGGTACATCCAGATCACCAAGGAATCGCTCTTGAAGAAGGAAGCCCTTGAAAAGAAGAACAAGGAGCTGTTACGGGAGCAGATCCTGCGCGAAGACATGGTCCGGCTGCGGATTTCGAGGATCAAGGCCAAGGAGAAGAAGGAGCGCCTGCTCCGACAAGAGCGCAAGAAGGAGGCCATGGAGAAGCGAAAGCTTGCGGTCGAAGGCGCCCTGGCTCGCGGCAAGTTCCAGGCGGTTGCAAAGACCTTGGGCTTTGTCAAGGAGGACTCTTCGGCCCACGAGAGCGTCCGATCAGCGGCATCGGGGCCTGTGGTCGGGTCGCTGCCGTCCTCGACCTCGGCCAAAGTGGTCATTCCTCAGGTCAACAGCCACCCCACTGTCGTCCAAAGCTCGCTGGCCCTGAATGCCTTGGGACCTGCCGGAGACCGACCGACGAGCACCGCAGCCGGTCCAAAGGAATCAACACCCAACCAAGCCACCAGGCTGCTCCAGAGACTGTCGCTTGGTGACCTGGAGTGGTCTGACGACGAAGAAGACGACGAGTATCTGTAGTACACTTTTCACATGAGCAAACGGGACACCCTCACGATCCCATATGTCAGCCCAAAGTACCGAGCACACCGCTGTGTCCTGAGGCTGGATGCATAACCCTTGCTTGGACGCCTTGACTCACTACCAAAGACGATCACCACATCATTATCCCTCGGGGCATGCTTCAGGACGGCCTTGCTGTAGCCGCCCTCCCTCCCCTCGTTGCAAGCTATCGTATCGGGGACTCCATGACCAGACAGTATGTGCTTTATCTTCTGTTTCAACACAAACTCACAAGAAACCAAATATCGCGTGGATGCGACTCCACCGGCCCGGCAGATACCGCCGCCGCAAGGGTCACATAGCATCGGCAGCGGGAGAGAGGGAGAAAGGAAAGAAGAGAGAGAGAGGAAGGGAGGGGGAATGGTGCGGGTTCGAAGCGCTCGCGGAAAAGCCGACGAGCCACGGGAGTGATCCAGTCCCGTCGACACGAGAGGAAATCGCACAGAGGAGGGAGGAAGAGGTAAGAAAGGAAAGAAAAAGAGATCAAATGTTGAATCGGAACAAACAGCCGGGACACTCAAGGCTCCTTCGGCGGCTTTCGAGAGCCAGAGAGGACCAGAGTGCAGCCCGTCCGAAGCGTTTAGGCGCTGGGGGGACGGAGTGGGGCGATTCTCCAGATCTTCTCGGCATACTCCTGGATCGAGCGGTCACTGCTGAACTTGCCCATGCCCGCGGTGGCCATGATGGATCTCTTGGCCCACCTGGCCTTGTCCTTGAAGGCCAAATCAATCTGGGCCTGAGTATCGATGTCTGTGAACGGCAAGGAAGGAGAGACAATGTCAGGATGAGTGGCGGGCGCTCCTGTGTGTCCAAGAAGCTGCTTGGGCAAGCTGCAGCTTGTCGCCGGCGGCCGCAACAGCACAGCGTATCGAATGTCATCTCAGCCCTGTTTCCGGATGGGGCCGCCGTGCGCCGATGCAGTCATGCTTGAACAGCTCATCGACGACGCCATCCACACAAGTGTGCGATACAGTGCAGGAAATGAAACCTACAAGAGCCAAAGTCGCGGCTGAGCAGGTAGTAGTCGTGGTTGAGGGTGTCTGTGGCAGAAAAGGGCGGCCGTAGCTGTAAGTGTCTCTGCAGAGACTGGACACACACTGGCAGGCACTCGCGCGCTTACTCAAGAGAGGATCAAAGATGTTGGCATCGCCGTAGGCACCCGATCGGATGTTCTTGCAGACTGCGTCGAGCTTGGGGTGCATGGCGATGCGGTGGTAGCTGGATGGCGTTGATATGACCCAATTAGCCTGGGGCTTTCTCGAGACCAAGCAGGATTCAACGGGAGGAAGCAGCTCCATCCCTGCATTGTCGATGCACAAACTCACGTCTGATCATATCGGCAGTCTTCGACCTCATCAGCGAGGGCACCAAAGAGCCAAATGTTCTCGTCTCCAACTTCTTCGGCAATCTCGATGTTGGCACCGTCGACGGTTCCGAGGATGATACCTCCGTTAAGCACGAATTTCCTGTTGTCAAGACAAACCGTCAAACATGAGCAAGGCCGGTCGCCAGCTCCACATCCACGCTCAGCAGTCCACACTCAGCAGCCCATGCCCATACATGTTAGAGGTGCCAGAGGCCTCAGTTCCGGCCGTCGAGATGTGCTGCGAGATATCGCTGGCGGGGATGATCAACTCGGCCAGAGAGACGTTGTAGTTGGGGATGAAGATCAGCTTCAGATATTTGCTGGTGGCAGAGTCCTTGTTGATGACCTCGGCGGCATTGTTGATCAGCTTGATCATCAACTTGGCGACATAGTAGCCTGGAGCGGACTTGCCCGAGAAGATGACTGTGATTGATGCAGGTGTTAGGATCACCGACAAGACCTCTGCTGCCCGACACAGCTTTCCTCCATCATCGCAAGTGCAGGATACGGGAGGGCCGTTTAGAGCCTGCAAGGGACAGGATCCCGCCCGAGCAGGTGGCCGAGTGCTGGGCATCGCCAATCCTACATACCAACACGAGGCACCTCCTTCTCGCGCTCTTGGGGGGTCATTTTCTGGAGTTGGATGTAGCGGTAGATGACTGACATGATGTTCATGAACTGGCGCTTGTACTCGTGGAAGCGCTTGCACTGTGATGCAGAAGGAAAGACGGTTCAGATCCAAGAATTCTCCCCCCCCCCGAGTCACGACCACGCCGCGGCCAGATGGCGGGCGTTGGTATTAGGCCGAGTGCGCGATGGACCTACCTGGACATCAAAGAGAGCATCGACAGACACGGTCGTGCCACAGTGCTTGGAGATGTAGTCGGCCAAGCGAGCCTGGTGGAGATGGCGCGGTTAACAAGCGTTCGATCGATAGATCGTGTCCGAGCAACAGGAGCCAGAGGCTATGGCAGTGACGACTCATCTACCTTGTTTTGGTACTTGATGTCCATCCAACGCTTCTGGAAGGTAGGGTCGTCAGCGTGCGCCTTGAGACGAGTGAGCTGGGCGAGATCCTGTGTGGATGTAGAGAGGCGATCGCGGAGCGTGAGCATCGGTGAATCACAGCCGGAGATATCCGGTACCCCAATCAATCAACTGCCCTTGCGGGTCCCCAATGCATCGGTGGAGGTGTCAAGTGATCCAAGCGCAGGTCGGCCGTACCTTGATCCAACCAGAGCCACCTAGAACCTCAGAAATCAGATCGCTGAGCTTGGGGTTGGCTTGGTGGAGCCAGCGTCGGGGAGTGATGCCGTTGGTGACGTTGGTGAACTTCTTATCGCCGTAGAACTCGACAAAGTCCTTGAAGATCTGTTACGAGAGTAAGGAGCCCATGACGGCCGCCCGTATCAGCGACTGCACGAGCAAACCTTGGCCATCGTTGCTCTCCGTCCCCAAAAGCCCTGGGCGGACCACCCCAAGCGGCGGACATGCGATGTCATGCTCTCCCATACCGTGGACTTGATGAGGTTCGAGTGAAGGGCGGCGACACCGTTGACAGTGTGCGAACCGACGACAGCCAGGAAGGCCATGCGGACGTACTGGGGGTGGCCCTCCTCGATGATCGACATGCGGCGCAGTCTAAATGGCAGTGGATATTGTGGTATTAGCATGAGTGGATATGGGCATAGGGTATGTGCAGATGTGCAGATGTGCAGATATGGGGATGCGCGCTATAGAAAAGTGTAGCGGGTTTTGTGCCTGTCTTACCTTTCGCGGTCGCCAGGGTACTTGCGCTCGACAGCTTGCAGGAAGAACTAGGGTTTGGGACCAAGAGCCGTGAATACCAGCTCTATGCAAGCTCACAAATGGATACAGACGAGGCGCCCAAACAGGTGTTTAACAGTATGCGCGTACCAGGTTGATATCGAAGATGATCATCATGTGGCGAGGTAGGAGGTCCTGGAGAAGAGGGACGGCCCAGCGCTCAAGAGCCCTGGAGGGAGCGTATTCAGTCGAGTCAGGAGCACGTCGCGGAGATCCAAGCGTGGATGCAGGAAAATACGGCAGCACTTACTCGGGCAGCACCGTGTGGTTGGTGAACGAGTACGTCTTGGTGCTGATGGATCAGTGGAGCAGGGGTCAGGCAGCGCACGAGAAGATCCAGCATGCCGTGTGACTGGCGATCCAGTCGGGGCAACTTACACAGTATCTGAAAACACAGAGACAGGCCATTAGAACCCAATGACAGCGGCAGATCAGCCCCAACCGGATGCAGCGAAGCCAGCGAGCGCTTACCCCAGGCATCGTCCCAGGAAAGACCCTCTTCGTCGATCAAGAGGCGCATCAACTCGGCGATACTGCGGGTAGGACGGGCGTTAGTATGAACATCGACAGCGCAAAACATGGTTCCCTGCAAACTTACCCCAAAGTCGGGTGGGTGTCTGAGAGCAGAAGTGGAGGTTATTACAGGGTCCGGCTCGATCAGGAGAACGCGACATTGTGAATGTTGCGCGACACCATGGACGGCTGCTTACCGTTGAGCTGGATCGAGACTTGGTCAGGGAATTCGGACCAGGGTCGCAGGGACTTTCTGAAGCGGCGGATGATGTCTGGGTCAAGCACAATAGTGTTAGCACAGGCACTCTGGCAGTAGGCGCCGTGTGAGATGGATTCGGGGCGAGCAACATACCCTTCAGGGTAGCACAGACGAAGAAGTACTGCTGCTTGAGACGCAGGACCTTTCCAACCATGTGGTTGTCGTTGGGATACTGTTGGGAGGGCGACGGATGGTGGAGAGGATACGTAACTGTCAGGAACAGGACTATACCCATAGCGCACCTCCGGCAAGGCGACAGCGACATACCAGGACCGAGGTGATGTTCTCGGCACCCTTCTGCTCCTCGACGGATTTGTCGTAGTTGCCTTCGTTGAAGAGACCAAAGTCAAACTCCTTCTTGGGCTTGGAGCTCCAGAGACGGATGTTGATGGTGTTGTTGGTGTCGAATCCGGGAATGGGATAGTCGTAGGCAACGGCGACGACTTTGTCTCCACCCTGTTGAGCACGCGAGCGAAACCAGCGGTCAGCGTCAGCACGAAGGATCAATCATTCAGATGCATCGTTGCGGCCGCGCTGGCCTGTTGTGGTGCGGCGGACAGCACCTCTGCCGCTGGTACTGCAGATACGATACCGCAACAGGCATCCCAGAACGGTGTGGATGCAAAATGACGTGATCTATCGTGCACACACAGCCTCACCTCCCAGTTGTATCGGGCGTGTCCCTGAGTGTCCACAGTCTTGTTGACGTAGCCGTGGAAACGGACGTCGTAGGAGACATCGAGTCGCTGGATCTCCCAGGGGTTGCCTGGATCGCGCCACAGCCGGTGCAAGGCGACACGATAAGTACATGGGCATATGCGAGCGATGAGATTGACTGCGACAGACCGGTGGCTGCTGCGCCGCGTATGATACTTGCCAAAGTTGAGCCAGTAGTCAGGGAACTCAGCCTGGTATCCGTCAATGATGCGCTGCTGGAAGATACCGTAGGTGTATCGAATGCCGTAGCCTGAGAGAGAGGCAATGATAAGCCATCGGTCCGGTACACCAAGCCATCTGAACTAGTGCCGTTGAGACGAAGAACAGTCGTGACAACGCCGCGCCTGTCCAGCACGCGTCCTATTATGGGGGTATGCTTACCCCAAGCCTGTGCAGCAAGATTGGAGTTCATAGGAGGCAGGAGAAGTGAGTCAGCACACGCAGCCGCACTCTGCTTGCCCCGGTATTGGGCAGCGCTGGACTGAAGCACCGATGTGCAATGACTGGGCTGCTCTCATCTACGTACGGGGTAGTCGAGGGTAGCGAGCGAGTCTGCGAGGCGATGGAAGAGCAAAATAGAGCGTCAGTATTTCAAGCAGCATCGAGACGCACGGTAGACCGTGCCTGGAGCGGAGTAGATTCTCACCCATGAAGCAGGCGGCAAGACGGCCTGCATTTGGTGTGTGAGGCGGGATGGCGCGGGAGTTTCACGGGGCGATCAAGTCGGCGAGCCATCGCCAAAGTTGTGAGATTGGAGTCAGTAACGGCATCGGCCACATCGCTGGTGCAAGTGACACCGCCGGCCAGCCAGGGTGGTGATACGACTGTATGCATAGCCTTCATGGACACGGGTGTGACGGCACCACATGCAAGCGAAACGCGTTCGTGAGAGCGGCACAGATACCTACCGAGACCGCCGTTGCCGAGGGCAGCATCGACCTCCTCGTTGATGATGTCTTCGACTCGGAAGCCAATGCCGAGCAGGGCCTGCTTGTAGCTGTCCTTCATCTTGAGGTTCAGGAGGGCCGAGTCCAGGGTGCGGCCAAGAAGGAACTTCGAGCGAGAGATAGTAGACTCTCTTGGGGTCCTTGCTGCCGTGGTACTGCTGGGTCAGGTTCCAGTGGTCGATCAGGTAGTCACGGACGCTGTAGGCGGCCGCCTGGTAGGCAGCAAAGTCGTCCATGTTGAAGGAGCTGCGGGCCTGTCGACGCGACGGGGTGGGTGGAAATTGGGTGGAAATTGCGGTGGAAGATCAGCGGCACGGACGAGCCAACACAGCGAGCGAGCGTTGAGGGCGAGGACCTGCGCCTTCGCCTCGATGGTGTGAAGCCAGCGCAACATTTTACCAGAGTCTTTGTGGCGTGCGTGCACACAGCTCGCTGGATGCTAGTGATGTCTGGCAGGGTGGTTGAAAGGCGTGATCAGAGACGGCAAGAAGGACGCTGCCGCGAACGTACGAGGAAGCGCACTCATGGGCGGACGCAAGCAACGCGGAATCCACGCAAAGCACCATGAAGGAGCTGTACAGGGGGAGCTGCGGGCATGTTGATTCTGGCAGCCAACCCGACTTTGGAAAGCGGGAATCCGAACGAGCCAACTCGAGAACCGGCCGGCCGGCCGGCCTGCAATTCCAAGAGTAGCCTATCCGGACACGACGCGCGGCGGGAGAGCTGCCGAATGGATGGGGCACAATGCGGCGACCAGCGAGGGCGAGATGCAGGCAGGGCTTCCTACCGGTCTTTTGGCGCTCCTCGGCATAGGTCTTCCACAAGTTGAGAGCCTCGGGAGAAGGCTTCCACAGCGGATTTTGGTAGACGGCGTTGCTGGGGCCCGTAGCGCAACGGTTGCGGGTGGGCATGGTGCCACGGGCGATGGTGTAGCCCTCGTCGTCCCTCTTGGACTGCTTTTGCATGGTGAGGACGGGTGGGTACGGAGATGGAGATGGAGATGGAGAGTGCGTAGGAAAGAGTCGAGCCCTGGATGGGAAGAAGAGGCAGACGCAGAAGAGGCAGACCCCGGAGGAAAAAAGGTCGAACGCGTGCGGTCCTCGGCCGAAGCGGAAGGGTTGGTTGCGGGCGGCGGGGCGGGGGAGCGTTGTCTGTGTTGCCGGACAGAGCAAGACCCGCAATGATTCGGCCGAGGAGGGCGCGAGAAGCAGCGAGGCGGATGAGCTGCTGCGCGCACAGAGACAGCGCGGCGAGGAGCGGGCGGGGAGGCGGGAGATGAGAGGATCCAGAGCCGCGAGTGCGCCCGGCGAGAGAGCACAGCGAGAGCAGCAGCGAGAGCAGCAGCGAGAGCAGCAGCGAGAACGTCCCCCTCCGCGGCAGGCGTCAGCCCCGAGTGCCCAAGCAATCAAGCAGGCAATCCAGCAGGCAATCCAGCAGGCAATCCAGCAGGCAATCCAGCAGGCAATCCAGCAGGCAAAGCAGGCAGGCAGGCAAGCAAGCGACGGGGTCAAACAGCGCAGCGGATCACAGGCGTCGAGCATTGTGTGCCCTGTGATTGAACCAACAGAGGCAAGCGTGGTGACCATTGGTGCAGCAAGACATCACCGTGACTCACCATGGGCGGCTCTCCATTGTCAATCCAGGCCGTGCTCCGCGGCCTATCGCATCGGCAGCCGGATCGTCTGTTTGTCTGCCCATTGTCCATTCACCACCCGCCTGCACCCGCCTGCATCCGCCTGCCACCCACCGTTCATCATCCGCTCGTCTGCAACCCACCAATCGCCTGCGAGACTCCCCGCCGATGGGACAATCTCCTGGCGTCACCCGCACCACTCGCGCAAAGGCGATAGGGCTGGATTCGCAGACTCGACGAAGGCGCTATCGGGTCTGGGCACGGTGGCGGCCCTCTCCTCGCCAATCCAGCAGATCCATCACCTGCGTCCCGAGCGGGATCCTCTGGCCCAAGACGGGCGCGTTTTCCATCTCCGACACCCACCGACGCCACCAGCCCGAGTCGGCGTGTGAGAGCCGGGGTGATGGTGCTTGTGGGCTTTGTTCATGTCGCCTCAGGAGCACAGTCGATGGGTGAATGGGTGGATGGATGGCATTGGTGGTCGCAGCGGACAGGTCGGTCGCCACCCGTGCACCCTGGCTTCGTGCATCCAGGGCTGTGCTTGAGGTTCATATCCGCCATGGCCTGCACACGATGGGACAGGACAACACATCACTTGGTCGCTGACCATGACCTGAGTGTCTCGGTTTGTATTGCGCTGACGATAATCCATGGAGCAACCGCCTGGTGAAGGCCACCCGACCTCCGTCATTGGTCTCGCCCTGTCACTTCTCGCCCTGACACCTCAGCTGCTCCCTTTTTCTTGACAGGGCCACACTCGGTTGACTCGGTGTCGCTGGTTTTCTCGACTGGCGTCCCCGGGGCAGTTTGGCGATCGCTTGGCTCCGGCTTTGGCGGCCCCGCGGCAGTGCGCTCGATCGCGGGACTCATGAACAGAAAGTGCTGGATCAGAGGAATGATCTTGACCATGGCCAGATCCGAGAAGGCATGCTGATGTGCAGATCCAGCAGGGCGCCCAGACAGTGTCAGTCCAAATAGAGCGCTGAGCGGCCATCGGCTGTACATTGTCGGTCGTCGTTCAAGTCTCAAACCCGGCTACGTCTGCCACCTGTCTGTTGCTGCAGTCAGACAAACTGCCGCATTTCCAGCACGGCATTCCTCACCTGTACATCCTTGTGCGTCCGCGAGCTCAGAAGCATTTCTCTTCGAAACCAGAACACGGCGGCGGCGGCCAGACTCAGGATCTCGAGCCGGTCAAAGGCGAGGATGCGGTCCCATAGCAGCAGTATTTGGTCGATATCGAGGACGCCGACAAAGCCATACATGATCCACCGAAAGGCAAACGTCAGTGGCGGGACGCCGATTGTGTGGCATAGATAGTGATATACGAATGGGTCGCTCTGCTTCATCAGGGCCTCAAAGGTGCAGCTGAGGGAGAGCAGGGTCGAGGGTTTCTCCGAGAGGTTGTGCAGACGGCAAAAGTATCGAGCATAGAGTTCGCGAAATGTAAAGTACGCAGAGGACAGGGACGAGTGCAAAAAGCACACGGGCATGGCATAGCATGTCGCTCCAAAGAACGGCAGGATTCCGTTGGGTGGGTATATGCGGTCTGCGGCCAGCGCGGCGCCGAGTCCTGTGGCCGAACAGAACAGTCCATTTAGCGGATCATGCAAGGATCGAGACCCTGTGTCGAGTGCGGCACCGTCGCAAGCTGGCCGCACATGGGTCTGGCGATGTAAGGCACCATTCGCGGCAGATTCGGTGCCAGACCCAACAACGTTTGGATGGCCAGCACAGAGCGACGACTGCAAGTGAAGGGCTGAGCTTATGTGTCAGAAGGGACGCTCGGCCTCACCATCATCCGGCACGATCCCCAGACGGTCCTTGCAATGGGAACGGAACCAGCTGTCCCGAGACCACAGCAGCATGATATCGCGGATCATATCCTCAAACACAAAATACGTATCGTCGTTCTGGGAATGTCTGGCATCGCGCTGGACGAGGCGATCCACAAGCAGGTCGAAGCGCGAGATGATCGCTTTGAGCTTGCTGCAGTACTGCTCCTTCTGCGATTGGTGTGGTGAGTGTGAGTGCTTGAGCAGGAGCGAATGAGTGCCGACTCTACGACAGCTCACCACAGTGCACCACACTGAATCGTACTGCACCATACTGCACCATACTGCACCATACTGCGCCAGCCCCGCATACCGATGCAGTCGAGTTATCTGTCAAGTCGGATTGCAGAATGAGATCCCATATCTGGGGACGGAGGTTGCTTGGAACACCCTGCTTGGCAAACTGTCGCGCAGCCCACATGGATTGAGAAGAGCATATCGTCTCTCCAAGCTCGATTCGGGCACTGATGAATGCATCGGCTGGGTATCGCGCAAGTGAGGGCGGCGAATATTGTGAGATTGATCAGAATTGGAGCTTCTGGCTGCGCGACCGTTATTCATGGGTGTGCGAGTTGGGCAAAAGAGGAGGGTCGGCATATTCTGCAACAGCCCAGCCCAGCCCAGCTCCCTCCAACACCATCATTGCCAGTCAGCTCGGCATGACCAGTCCGCTCCCCCCACTGCATACCGCTGGCTTCTTCAAGATTGTCGTCGACACCAATGTGGGCGTGGTGCGGGCCCAAGTCGGCAAAGATCTCGCGGAGATCTTCCAGGCTCATGGATGCAAACGCTATCGGCACTGCCGACCACGCCTTTGTGAAGACAGGAGAGATGGCTGGCGACCTTCGAGGCAGAGGATTGGTTGGTTGGTGTTAGAGCGTCAGTATTTTGGTTTGCGAGATTCTGCGCTCCATTGCCTGCCAGAGCACCCATCCGACACAGAGCACATGCCACTTATGTCCGGCTCGAACAAGCAGCTCCTCGCTCTCGGTGAGTGGTTTCCCCAGCAAGTAGTCGCGACAAGTCTCCGTACATGATGTTGCTCTTGGTTTCAGGCAGCTTGAGCTCTTTCATGAATTCAAACAAATCGCAGTCGTCGTAGAGACACAGCTTCTCGGCGTCACCAGTGCATTTGGATGGCATGTTGATGGTGCTCGTGATCGACAGCGGCGTGGTCTCTGCTCCCGTTTGATTGCTTTCCTCCTGACTTTCCTTGAACTGGAGCTCTTCGGCAGTCGTTCTCTGGAGAGATCCGAGGAGTTAGCATCGACAGCGGTCACCAGCCGCAGCGGCCCCACAGAACGGCTGGGCAAAGGAGATCACCAAGGCGTGGGTCAGCCGCACACCGCACCGCTGGACATTCAAGATGCCTCGTGGCTTGTGCTGCCTTTGCATTTCGAAATTGGCATGTGTGCTCCAGGGCGCCGGTACATCCAAACGTGCTGCTCTGGCCCATGCTAGCGACCTACCCTTCTCGATATCTGGATCGCTGTTTCATCGGATAGGGTCTGAAGCCTCTTCTCCACGAGCATACGGAGCGAGCGGTTGGCAGCTTCGACAGCATTCTTGATGTCCGAGTCTCGTTTCGATGCCGCTCTAATAATCCGCCGCCCCAGCGCAGCAGCGCATATATATTTGGTATCATGCAAAGGAAAGACGAGGTTCGTTAACACAATCTGCCGATCTCAAAGGCTCGCCGATCACGCCAGTCGCCAGTGAAATGCGTCAAAGTCATTGCGCGGCATATAAACCAGCGTCGCTCCCACCTGTCGCTGCCGATGCCTGGTTGATGCCGCTCGCATGCCACGGCACACTGATGCGAGACATAGTTTTCGATCAACTGGCTCAGTCCTCCGGGGCGATTGAACGCGGTGGAGGTCACGTCTTCGATGTCGTCGAGGCTGTACTTGGACCTGAGGATCTCGTCCTGGTTTTGGCGGAATACGATTTCCGGGAGTAAGCCCTTGCCAATCGAAGCGGGGCGAAGAAGGGCGGGAGCGAGGAAGATGATTGTGAAGAAGGAAGCAGCAGCAAATTGGAGGGGGAGAGAATCGCGCTCTCTGTGGCTCCGGACGTTTATCACACGAACCCTGATTTGCCGCTTCAGATTCCAGTACACGGCCTTGGTTTCGAGACACCGGGTATATTCGTCGATGTCGGCATTGGTTTCTGCACAGCAAAGAGTGGCGAGCAAGGAGGTCTCCTCCCCGCGGCGGTCGCATTGGTGAGCAGCAGGTTCTTTTCCAAGCGCACATCCACGATCGGCATTGAATCCGATTCTCCGAGAGATGAGGGTGGGAGGGCCTTGGATGCAGTGCGCGCTGAACCCATACATCCATACATCCATACATCCATGCATCCATGCATCCATGTACCCATGCCACCGACCCAATGACGTGCTCGACGGCTCCATGGGTGGCAGCAACCACATGGACAGCATGCATGATTACCTTCCGCCGCCATCTGCACAGTCTGCGCCGTCCGACACAATGGAGCGAGAAGGAAAAGGAGTGAAGGGAGGTGGAATGCAGCGCGACGGCCCGGGAATCGTACGAGCAGAAACGGCCTCCAGCCTGATGTTTGCCAGAGTGCTTGGGGCGATGGTGAAATCTCAACACCCTGGCAGACAGCCGTTCGGGCGAGATTCGTCCTTCCGATCTCACACCGGCAGTGTTGATTGGCAGAGAGGAGTGCACTCGATACAGAAACTGTAGGTGCAGCAGATACAGCGTGTTCAAAACCAAACGGGATGCTGCTTTGAGCCGAGGAGGCCGTTGTTTTCTTCTGGGTCTTGAATGCTCATTCATCTGTCCATCGTCCACCACGACCAGACACCCAAGGAATCAACGCAAGAGCAATGCCCAGAGGGTCAAATGCATGGACTACACTCTCCTATCGCATCATCATGGCCAGTCGACCGTCGCCACAGGAGATCGGCCAGATGCATTCAAGACCGTACCCCCAAACCCAACCGATACCACTGGATTGCCAACAAAGACCAGAATGCAATTCCATGGCCTGCCCACCAGAGTCCCGTGCTTCGGTGTTTGTCCGAGCAAGATGTGAGAGTGTGTATTTCATTTTAGACAGGAAGCCCGCGCGAGTTGGTCCATGCTCTCGGGGTTCGAAACCTGAGGGGCGATTGAGTGCCATTGGGATGGTGATAGCCGTGGCGGATGACGGCCCAGGATCGCTGGACGTCGACATCCACCAGGATCACTCGGGCAAAGTAGTCCAGCGGCACATCGGCAGGGCCTCCATCCGGCGCCGCCTCGGCCTCATCTCGCGGTCCTTCATACAGATCGAGGCCCTCTTCCAGTTCAGAGCCAGACTCCAAGAATTGTGCTCGTGCCGAGGGCATAAAGGCTTGTAGATGTTGGGAGATGACGTCGCTGGATCCGTACGCCAGTGACGATATGGGTGTGGCCTGTGATAGCAAGGCCGATGCCCGCACAGGCTCCCCGTTCGCATCCCGGGCACCGGCGGTATACCGTCTTGACATTGTAGGTGTTGCTGGATCTGCCGGCCGGAGCTCAGCGGTGCGCCATCCAGATGAGGCGGCGGACACATTGAACGGTTGCTGGCCCGAGCTTCCAAGAGGCGGAAGGGCCCCAGGCGACGAGGATGACAGCGACGATGGTGACGATGGTGATGATGGTGACGACGTGGTGGCATTCTCAAGGAGTGGCTGACGCTCAATGTCTCTCAGTGAGGCTGAGGAAATGCCACTGCGATGTTGGGATGATGTCGATGCCGGCGGGTATGAAGTCGATGCTGGCGAGTATGGCGCCGACGGCAGCCGGTGCGATGTTGATGCTAATGCTGATGCTGATGCTGATGGATACGGTGCCGCTTGCTCATCCGAGTCGCTATCCTCTGGGAGCGGAGCAAGAGCTGCAGCCGTTGGCCGGGTGGGCTTTGGAGTATTCCGCCTCTGATGATCCGTTGCGAAGAGTACTTGCGAGTGGATGATGAAAACTCGCGCAAGCTGCAGCAAGGCTATGAATACGTCCATCGACATCAAGAACAGACGACTCGAAGGGGCGCCTGTTGTTGCGGGAGGAAGCAGAGAGCATGCAGCCCGATCGACAGGGCATCCAGCGAAGGCATCCGGCGAAGAATGATGCCACGCAGAAACAAAGGACGTAACTGGATAAGCCATCTGAAAATACCGGGTTCACAGGCATGCAGCGGGGCCGACGTCCTTGAGCACCAGGGCTCACATGGCATAAGGACACTGGCAAGCATCGACATCCGTGCAAAGCCGCCGTGCTCGCCACAGCTCGGCCAAGGCAGCTCGCTCAAGACAATCATCGACCAGGCTAAAGGACGGGCTGCTTCGCCACACAAGCCGGTCGCTTAACGGACAAGCGCCCCCATTCGATGCAGTACTCTGCCGCCATCCTCGCATGCTCATGATGCAGCTTGCGAGACCGACCTTGTCCGATAAAGTCGATGATCAGGGGCGGATGTGAGGCGACGTGGAAGTGCTTGATGACGAAGAAGATGTTTGCTATAAAGATGTAGTAGAGTGTGATCCGGAGCGACTTTGCGACCATCATTTGCGACTGGGGCTGGGCCGTGTTGACGCAAGGGCGGCGTCAGGTTGAGCGGAGCAGAGCGGATGGGCAAGAGTTGCAGGAGGGAGCCGGTGGAGGGAGGGCTGCGATTAGCATCACAGCCGGTAGCCGGGTACTGTTGCGGCAGCAGCCGGGACGGTGCCGAAGGCAACAGAGCGACGGTGAAGCGGACGTTACCAGTTGGCAAATGGCTCTGAGGATCATTGCAAAGAGACTGTGGTCCATCAGGTAGACGTAGATGAAATGGACATAGATCAGATGCTCCAACGACAGGGTGATGGACTTGACGACGTAGGAGCGGACGTTGACGGGGACGACTGGGCTGGGGGCGGCGCCCTCACCCAGGGTGGACGGTAGCCCGGCGGCGAGCAGCGACATGGTTGAAGGCGTTGGACGGCAGTCGGGGGAGGGCGATCGAGAAGAAAGGGAAGGGCGCTGATGCGAGGAATCGTGGGCCCGAGTCGATGGCGCCACTGATTGCTGGCGGATTGAGTCGACAGAGATCGAGTGGATTTAGTGGCTCCGAAATGGACCTTTAGCTCAGCGGTAGAGCAATCGACTGCAGATCGATAGGTCCCCGGTTCAATCCCGGGAGGGTCCTTTTGCTGGCCGTTTCATTTTCACCTTGGTTTTCGACAGCCCAGCACGCAGAACCCGTGCTGCTCCATCTCGACCCTGGCATCGCTCAGTCTGCCTTTGCACAAGAGCAGACCAGAGAGAGAGACTCAGGCTGATCGATCAAATGGCCGTTTGGTCAAAGACGAGAGAGAGACAAAAGCATTCGCTGGGGCCGAGCGGGGTTTGAACCCGCGACCACCTGCACCCGAAGCAGGTATGCTACCACTACACTATCAGCCCTGCCACCCGTCACCCGAATCTGCATCCATCACCGCTCGGCTGTTCCTGCTCACGTGACCGTCGCGTTTGAAATCGCCCTTGCGTTTGCCCCGCCTTTTGAGCCCGACGCCTCCTCCTCTGGCTCTTCCCTCGTCTCATCTCGCCCCGTGGTTCTCGTCCGATTCAGCCCCGTCTCTTGACCAGCCATGATCTTCCGCTCTGCCGTCGCCAAGCTCGCCTCTCGGCCCAGCGTGCTCTCTGTTGCCGCCCGCAACAAGCACACTCTCCCCGATCTCCCCTATGACTACAACGCCGTAAGTGCCCTGCTGGCTGTGGCCGATCGCATCTCGGCTGCAGCCGACTTTGACGGCAGATCGTGCTTGCGAGCCATAGCCTGTATGATTGTCTGGTGTCCTTTGGATTTTGGGTGTCTCATCCTCAGACATCTGCGGCATCTCTCTGCCGCGCGGCGCCTCTCTTTCGTGCTAGCTCGAGCCCTTCATCTCGGGTAAGCACCAGCCCATCGTCTTGGAGTGCGGTGTATCCGTTGGCTTGTCCATCGCATCCGTCGCTGACTCTGGGGCCGCTCCACAGCCGAGATTATGCAGCTGCACCACAGCAAGCACCACCAGGCGTACATCACCAACCTGAACATTGCGGAGGAGAAGCTCCACGAGGCCTCTGTCAAGAGCGATCTCACCACCCAGATTGCTCTTCAGCCTGCCCTCAAGTTCAACGGCGGCGGTAAGTGTATTGGTCGCGACGCGCCGGTTGGCCCGCAGATCCGCAGATCCGCAGATGCAATCCACCGAGCAAGCCAGATGGCTGTCACAAGCATCTGAGCCAGAGATGGGTCGACAGAGTGCCCATGCGTCGCTGACACAATTGCGCAACACCATTACCATTCATCTGAATCTTCTGGTGGACATATCTGCGCCGCTTGTCTTGCACAACTAGGCCACATCAACCACAGGTGAGGGCCGTTTACTCTGACTCATGTCCGTCTGTCGTGCACCGCGCTGTATCGTCTATCGTTGCTAACACACATCCATCCATCCTCCCAGCATCTTCTGGACCAACCTTGCTCCCCAGAGCTGCGGCGGCGGTGACTTGTCCAAGGGTAGGTCTGATCTGCTTCCTCGAGACCCTCAGCATGCGCCATGCTGGCCATGATGCATGCGACCAATCTATCTGCTAGCCCGCTAGCCCGCTCCGAAACCATGCTTACGTTGTGTGAGTTCTAGGCCCCCTTCTTGATGCCATCAACCGCGACTTTGGCTCGCTCGAGGCGTTCCAGAAGAACTTTGCTCTCCAGGCTGCCGCTGTTCAGGGCAAGTATCACAGACATGGCACTGGCCCCACGCGATGAGCATTCATGATGCATTCGCACACCTTTCTCTGAGTTAACACCGCCGCCACTGCTACTGCATGTGCGAATTATGTCTCCGTGTGATCTTTAGGCAGTGGATGGGGCTGGCTGGTAAGTGCAGGCGCTGTGTACATGTCTGCGAACGCAGAAAGCGACCACTTTGGCCTATTCGGCTGATATCAGACACTGCCGCACAGGGCTACAACAAGGGCACGAAGAAGCTCGAGATCGCCACCACCGCCAACCAGGATCCCCTCACCGGTAAGCCACATGGCTGCCGTCGCCTGAACTGCTGCATCCGTGTTGTGTCCATGCAACCAACTTACCCCTCGTCTCCTCACAGCTCTGGTTCCTCTCCTTGGTGTCGATGTCTGGGAGCACGTAAGTATGACCGATATGGCGTGTCTACGACACTGCGCCTATCATGGCGTCTCCGAAACAATGGTGCTCACCGCGCCTGTCTCGACCTCGTGTCTCTAGGCCTACTACCTCCAGTACAAGAACGTCCGCCCTGACTACCTCAAGGCCATTTGGAGTGTTGTCAACTGGAAGGATGTCTCTGAGCGCTTCGGCAAGGCTTCCAACTAAGCCTAGCCCAGCCTAGCCCAGCGCCGGATACAACTGCCGGATCGATATTGCCGACGAGATGTGCGTCCACCAGCTCCAGTGGGCTGAGGTACTCCGCAGATCAATAAAAACACATCGTAAGATGCAAGTGCGAATCAACACTGTCCCCGAGGGCAACAGGGCTTTCGATGGGCTCCGCGAGCGATGCGCCTGATTCGGGTTGTGGCGGAGTGTCTGCTGCATCGCTCCGGATGTCTGCTCCTGCCGTCGCATCCACTTGATCCTCACTGCTCCGCTCGGGCCTCGTCCGAATTGGCTTGCTCGCCGCAGCGTCCGGCAAGGGGCTGCGGCGTCCTGCGTCGGCCCTGGCCACCGCCCGAGGGCTGCCCGGGCTCTCCCTCGGTGCCGTCTGAGAGTCGTATGGGAGTCGCATCGGAATTGCATCGGAGTCGCATCGGAATTGCATCGGAGTCGCCCGCATCCCAGCGACATCACGCATCACGTGTGTGCCATACAAGGCAACTGGAAAAAAAAGACGGCCGTTCTGGGCTGTCCCGCCCAAAGGTCAAAACATGCGTGCGGGGCCGAGCGCCCGTTTGCGCTTTACCTGCTCTTGAGCAGCAGTGGTCATCTGGAACCAGTTGCCGCTGCCCATTCCCTCACCCCTCCCCTCGTCTGCCAACGCTACTCCTCCCGACCGCTCTTGCTGGCTTTGTCTATCCGTTGCTGCACCGACCAGTCCCTCCCAACTCCTCCGTCCTCTTGTTCGATCCCTTCTGCACCAGCGCTGCTCGACGCAGCCCCATTCTCGCCCAGTCGTCATCCGGAGCGTCTCCTCATCTCAGGTGCATGTCGGTGCCCTGTGCGATTTCATCGCCTTGCACACACCCGGATTCAACTGTCTCGCAGCGTGCCGTGCCGTGCCGTTTCCTGTGGGGGCTGCTACCCGACCGGTCGCCGGACCGATGTTGTGCCATCGAGGTCGATCTCGATTGGCTGGCGATTGCCTGCTCGCCTTCTTAGACTATTCGCCAGCGGGATATGCCTTTCTGTCGATCACCCACTAAAGCTTCCGTCTGCCCCCCCCCGAAACTGCCGCCATGTTTACAGGGCTTCCAGTCTGCTCTGCCCACTCCGCCGCTTGCGAGAACTCCCTCCACTTTCGGCCCATCCTGTCGCCACTCCCTGCTCGCACCCCAACCTCGATGCCGCCCAAACCGTCCGAGAACTACCGCCGAAGACCAAGACCCTCGAAATTCTTCAATCTTGATGAAGTAACTGCTAAGAGGATTCAGGTACATAAGGCCATCGTGCAGGCCGGCCAGAATCCGCAACGCACACCGCCTTCCGCTGCTTCGCTTGGCGTTGTCACTCAACATATCCTCGTTCTCGCTCCGTTGTTTTTTTTTTTTTTTTTTTTTTTTTTTTTTTTTGTTTTTGTTGTTATTTTCGCTTTCCTCGCTCTCTCTCGACGGCTGCTTCGCCAGGAACCCACTGCAGAGCATGATGTCTCTGCAGGATTTGACTATGTTTCCAAGATCAGACAGCTGCGAGTGCTGCAGCAGGCTGCCAGCCGCCAGGTTGTTTTCAAGTCACGCAAAACAATCTCCGATCCCAATTCTCCCGGTGTCGCTGGCGCCAGTCCGGGAATCCTGAAGCCCCATCCAACCTCAAGAAAGTTGACCAAGCTGAAGAAGCTGGTGCTCCATCATCGTCAGGCCGTCAGAGCCGCTCAGAAGCAGAGAATCGCGCACGCCCTTGAAATGCAGCAAGACTTTGGTGAGCCCGAGGCCGAGTCTGAGTCTCTGTGTCCCGCACACCTGGCAGAGACCATCGTTGCGAACCATCCGCCAAATGAAGCAGGTCCCAACTCCGCCCTCGCACCCAGTATCGACCAAGCCTGTGTCGAAGTGGAGGGCGTCGCTACTTTACCTCGGCCCGAGCCTACCAGTGCCCCCATCGACGATTTGATCGCTGGCGGCAAGTCTTTGTCGGAGGTGCTGGGCAGTCAAGGCCCTCAGCACTCCCAACACCCTCGGCTCTCCGACTTGGATGTCCACGAAGATGCCGAGATTGATGTCGAGGACGAAGCCGATTCGGCCGACCCGTATTCGCGCACCGGTTTCAAGTCCAAGGTCACCTTCCATCTGAATCCCGTATTTGAGCACGACAGCGAAATCGACAGCGATGACGTTGGCGACAGCGACGACGACCCCGATGTCGTCGAGTCCGATGATGACCATGTGGACCCTGAACTGCAGTCGGATCTGATTATCGAAGAAGACGATCCCTTTTGGGGCAGTGTGTCCAAGGAGAAATTTTCCTGGGCTGACGAGATGCCCGATGGTGATGATCTGGACGACGTCGATGAGTCCATGCTCTTGTTCTCCAAAGAATCGCTGATGAAAGAGCCTCCACTCAGGGCTGGCGATCTGCCGATCACCATCTCGGTGCACTCCACCACTGGCCCGGAGCTGATTGAGATCCCCATCAACAAGTATCCTCGCCACCCCATGCCTTCCCGGAAGAAAAAGCTGGCCCATCCAGTCCGGTGTGCTCTTCAGCGAGTCGAGCCAGTCGACCGTGGCGAAGCAAGAAGGTGAGCGGGCGCCTGGGCAGCGTCGGGTAGCGTGGAGATTGTCTTCACATGCTTTGCATTTGCTTCGACCATCGCTTTTGCTGACACTGTGGTGCCCGCTGTCTGTCCCATCCCACAGCTATGTTTGTCAGCTCGTCACCGAGGACATTGATGAGTGCGTCAAGGCTTTTCTGCAGAAGATTGTGTACTTTCAAACCCGCCAGAAGGTCAATGCCCCGCTGAAGGTGAGATTTGGCAGTCGCCACAGCCATCTGATGTGCGTGGTCACAGCCAAGCGGCCATTTAGTGGTTGTATGTTGGGTTGCGCCGAATGGCACACCGTCGCCAACTCCATCCCTACGCTCCAAATTACCGAATTGTGTCCAGGCCAAACGCCGTGTCATTTGCGGTCTGCGTGAGGTCCAGAAGCACATGAAGCGTGGCAAGGTCAAGTGTCTCATTGTCTCAAAGAACATCGAAGCCTCTCCTGGCGATGGTAAGGGGATGGACCATTGCTGGCCGCGCCTGTCTCTACTGGCCCGACTCGACATCGGATCGATCTGCGATCCCATCGGAGTTTGCTATGGCTTTGTCGTTTGCCCACGCAGTCACTCACGGTTTGTTTCAATCTACGGTTCGCCTGCCCTTTGCTCGTGCTGCCACCTGGGTCTTGTGCCTCTCGCCGTTGTCTGGTTACGCCACAGAGGGACTTGACAGCATCGTCCAGAGCATCCTTGATTCGGCGCACACATCTTCGATCCCCATCATCTTCTCGATGACTCGGCGTCAGCTTGCCCATGCGATTGCACAAACCCGCGAAAACGTCGTCTCGGTGGTTGGCGTCCTTGGCTACGACGGCGCCGACGAAGAGTACCAAGAGATGCTCAACGTCGCCTCGCACCTGCGTTCGCAGTGGCTTGAGCATTTTATGATTCCGAACGCGGCGCAGCCCCAGGGTTTCTTCAACTCGCGCAACGAAAGCCCTCTCTGGATCGCTGCCTGGAACGGTTACCATCATCCCAAGATCGTCGACAGCCTCGTTGCAGTTGGACGAGAGCGCCTGCCGCCCTTTGGCTGGATCGATGAGCCCGACACCTTCAACGGCGACACACCACTGCTTTGCGCTGCTCGCCGCAACCACGCATCGTTCATCCAGTCGTTGGTCAAGTATGGGCCCGACATGACCTGTCGCTCGTTTTCCCTCGATACCGTCCTTCATTTGATTTGCGAGCGCAGCGGCAACGCCGAGCTGCTCAAGAGCATGCTCGAGCTCGCCGAGAAAAAGATGTCTCAAAAGGCCCTGGACGCGTTCTTGAAGAAGGTCAATGCATTTGGACGCAGCGCTCTCCAGTGTGCTGCCATGGCCCGTCACGGTGGATGCATTGATACCTTGCTCGAGTTTGCCCACCGCAAGTCGATTGCCCTGAGCCTGTGGTCCATGGACGAGGCTGGCTGGTCCACCATGGGCTACCTGGCCTCCTCCAAACAGCTCAGCGGCAGTTTCCGGAAGGCACTTACCTACCTCAATGCTCCCAGCGCCGCATCCAGCATCTCGGCGACTGCGACTGCGACCGCTCCGGGAAGGCACCAGGGCTCCTCCGGTGTCGCTTTGGCAGATACCGACCTCGCCCTCGCCCTTGCCGATCGTGACAACGACGTCTGGAATGCCGTCGTGGGCGTCACTGACAGCATGACGACCCTGATCTGTGCCGCAAAGTCTGGCAATGCCGACGTTGTCAGGATCCTTGTGGATGCAGCCACTTCAACGATTATGGAAAAGTCCCGCCCCGGGGGCAAGAAGCACAAGAAGAGGGTCGCTGATGTCGATCGCCTTGACCGGACTGATGAAGAAGGACGCAGCGCTCTTTGGTGGAGTTGCTACCACGGCTATCTTGGCATTGTCGAGCTGCTGATTCCAGCGCAGTGCGACGTCCGCCGCAAGGACCATCGCGGACAATGCCCGTTGGATGTCGTTGGTCGTGGCGTCAAGGGCTACGAGCCCGTGGTTGGCTCTCCATCGGAGCCCGGCGAAGCCAACGAGTCCGAAGCTGGGCCTTCTCCGACTCTCGACTCGGTGGATGACGGGGCTCAGCGCTTGACTATAACCATTGTGCGATACAGCGATGATTCTGTTGTCAATCCAGTGTCCTCGGATGCAGCGTCCTCGGATGCAGCGGACGACGACCGCACCACCATCTCGGTGGCGCCTGTGGAAGCCGAAGCCGATGCCGATGCCGATGCCGATGCCGATGCCGATGCCGATGCCGATGCCGATGCCGATGCCGATGCCGATGCCGATGCCGATGCCGATGTGGGCTGTGAAGCGGAGGCCCTCGATGAAGAATCGGCCATCGATGTCGAGCCATCTGATGCCGAGGATACCGACCACGTCGAGGTTGATGAAGATGCCGAGGTTGATGAAGAGGTCGATGAAGACGTCGAGGTCGATGAACATGATGAAATTATCAAGAACTGCATCGAAATCGAAGCCGGTGCTCCGGAGCTGGAGGCTCTCCATTCCGACGAAGCCGACGCGGACCCGCCAGCCAAGGTGACTCGATCCAAGCGCCAGAAGCAAAAGGAAAAGAAGGAGCTGGCAGCCGAAAAGACCTCCGTTTTGGCCAGAAAGAAAAGCGCAGCCGAGAAGCAGATCGAAGGCAATCTAACCTTGATCCGATTCATCGTCGACCATGCGTCCAAGGGCAATTTTGATGTCAAGCAAATCCTGTCCATGACCGAGCGGTCCAAGACCGGCGAGGTCCGTATTCTGGCCGTCGCCCAGGATACCCGCGATCCCGACCGCGTATCAGGAACAGGTCCAGCTTCTGCTTTTGGAACCAACGACCCGGCTGCCGCCACCGCTACCTCGACTGGCGACAAGGCGAAGAAGAGTCGCGGTGGCCGACGCAGCGGAAAGAGGAACGGTCGCAATCCCAGCACCGCCAATATGAATGCCGACCATGGCTCCAATCGCAAGCGGGAGAAAGTCGACGCCATCAACCCCAATGTTGGCGCCGACTCGTCGGCAAACGTGTCGCTTGGAAGTCCAAACATAGCAAGCGCCGGTGGCGATTCCAAGCGCAAGGGGCGATCGCGTGGCGGAAAGAAAGAGAGGAAGTAGAGCAGCTCCAAGTGTTCCTCTCGCCTCTGCCGATCCAATCCCTCCTCCCATTCCCATCATCACCAACCGCTTCATCTGTCCATTGCGCATTCTTGTGCATTCTTGCACTTTCTCTTTTCTCTCTCCTCGCTTCTTCCCTCCCTCTCTCTCTCTCTCTCTCTCATTGTGTCAGTTTTGTGGTCTTTAGCGTCGTGCGTGTGGTATCGTTATTGATGAGATGATGCTTCCGCTGCGGATGTGCTCCCCTGTTGATACGGTCGCACTGTTTTTGGCTCGTGAGCGTGCGGGCCTGCCTCCTTTCACTAGACTGTTTGCTCGATCGTCCGCTTGTAGTTCTGTCATCTCCCGTACCTTTTTCCGTCGTATATCCCGTGCTTCTATCTGCTTATTTTTGCGGTCCTGCGGTTCGTGTGCAAAACACGGGGCAACTATATTCCAACTGCGGCGGGTGAGGTTGCTGCAGAGCAACGGTCTTCCCAATGAGGGAGCTAAACTCTTGTGCAGCCCGGTTCATCTCGAGCAGATCACTCAGAAGCAGCGGCGAGGGTTCGATGCAAGAGCAGGACAATCGGAACGGTTCCTTGGGTGGCAGACTGCAAGTAGCGGATGAGCGCATCGGAATCGGACAGCATCACATTGGTCCGGGTCCCGATCTGGCCAAGAAGGAGATGGGTAGGGATTGTTCAGTACCATGAGCCGTTGCTCAGTCAAGTCAGTGGCGTGGCGTCACGATCGCGGCTGATACTCACCAAGTCGTGAACCAGGCTGACTTGCATTGGGTCGCCGAGACGCTCTGGCACCCCGATGCTGAGTGTCTCCAGGAACTGTGTGTAGATCGAGTTGTAATAGTGGAGCTCCTGCAAACGGCGGGTCCGCATCCTGGTAAGTGGGCAGGCGGCGCCAGCAACTTGGTGCGTTTGCAACGGGGTTGTGCTGCCAGACAGGGATCCTACCGCAATGAAGGCAACTGTCATATTCTTCAGCATCTTGGCAATTTCAAGGACAGGGGGCTGCTTGCTGCTGTCGGCCGAAGCAGCTTCCTTGGCTTCCAGATGGCGGATACGCATCAAAATCAACTCGGATATCCTCAGGATCTAGCGTCAGTCCGAGCTGTTAGCATGGGCGATACGCTTGAGCCGGGGCCAGGTAGCCCATCAAGCTGGTATTGACGGCACACCCGGCCGTGAGACAGCAGCCGATGCAACGACAGAGCCATGGGACGCCGGCATCGATCCATACCTGCTCACAAGCCTTTTCGGTCATCTGAGCTTTGGACCGGGCACTCGTCTGGTATCTGCAAACAGCAATCAAAGCCAGAGTGGCCGTGAGTTGTAGTCCATCGTGCGCTGTGGTCCAGCTACACCAATGTACTTACGCATTGTTGACAGCATCGATCATGGCTTGGCAGAGCGGTTCGCCGCTGGACGCCAGGGTTTCCAGATCTGTATCCAGTCGACAGTCAGCGTCAATCTTTGGCGCACTTGATCTCCGTCGGCGCCTTTCGCCCGACACTGCGACACTGCGACAAACATAGACGGATCCGGGTAGCGCAGATCCCACGACCGCCTCGGCAGAGCCATGTGGAGTTGCAGTCAACAACGTGGCAGCGCCATCGCATCGGCCGCTACACATTCGGGTCGAATGACAATGCTTGCCTTTGTTGTAGACAGCCAGCTTGTCTGCCTGGAAGCCACTCGCCGAGATGGAGATGTCCTGGATGTCCTTCATGATCTTGTCAGACTCATGACCCAGGCGACCGACAACTACTGCCCACCGCGTCAGATGGTCCGGGGAGGTAAAGAGGCTGCCCTTTCGCGAGAGTGCTTCGGAAAGAATCACAGACTGATTCAAAGTGGCTTGGACGTTGTTGACCACTTCGTCGTCGGACACCGGCAACTTGGAGAGTCGCTCGGTTGCCTCGACAGAGAGAAGATCAAGGGCCTGAAAGCGGGTGATCTGGCGTCAGTCGTGCTGGCACAGGAGTGTGGCTAAGCAAGCATCCGGACAGCCGTGTGACTGTGGTGAGTTACCTGGAGACGAACACCTCCGCCCTGCTCTTCAAAGAGTTGTTCGATCGACTGTACCGAGCGTCGAGCCGGCGACGAAACGTAAGCGGGGTGGACAGATTTGGATTCAGCCATGCAATCAGAAGCTGCGGGCTTGCTCGCCATCCGTGCAGTTCGGGCCCGCACGCTTGGGTTCTGTGAGCGATGTTCACCCAAGCCGGTGGGCATGGACATGCGCTGCTCAGTCATATCAGTGCTTCTCACACAATGGACTCACTTTGGATTCACCCACTGGATTGCTTGGCGAGACTTCGGTTGGCGAGCCAATATCCTATAGCGGAAGCAGACCGCCTCAGGTCAATCGTTCGTTCATCCGATACCGGCGTCTCTGCAATCGCAAATTGTTCGGGGCAGGATTCAAGGACTCAGGGCCATCGAAGGGCTTTGTGCACGCTTACCATCAATGCAGACAGGGCCTTGGCTCCAAAATATTCCAGCGTCTGGAGTCCTTGGCTGACGGCTTGTTGGCCGATTTCGAGTCCTTGCTGCAGAGTCTCGGACTCACGGACATCTTTCACGAGATGGCTCTCGCCAATCTTCCTATACCCGGTCTGCACACCCAACGGCGAGACGGATGAGCGACCCAAAACAACGAACCAACTGACGCTGGGGCAATGCCTCTGCCCGAGCTCGGGACTCGAAGGAAGCTGCCTCGGCGGTACGTACCATGATTGTTTGGCCGACGGCGCTGGCGGCCATGTCCAGGGTCTTGTCCATTTGTATAAGCAGCGATTCGGCCTGCTAAGAGATCACGGATATCAGCCAGAAGCTGCATCGCTGGCGCATCGCTGGCTGCATCGCTGGCTGCATCGCTTCCAACATCCCGGCACTTTCGGTCTGCTCCTTCCTCATCATGCCCACCTTTTCCTGAGCACGCTCTTCGGCTTCGACCGGGCTGGCATCAGCATCGGGGTAGAGCGCGCGATCATCTCGGGATGAGTCCATGCTAAACTCCTTGTCCAGAGACTCGACGGCCTTGGTGGTTGCCGAGCGGATCTCCTTGCCTATGGTTGGTTGGGGAAAGCAGTCAGTTCCACGTCACGCAGTAAAGGCGGCGGTTGTGCATGCACGATTGCTCTCTGGATTCTCGCCCGCTGCATTACCAAGAGCAACGGCCTTGTTTTTGGCTTCCTTAGTGAGCTCCGTAACACTGGATATCAAGTCTGTGGGCTCCATGAGTGCCTCGCTGACGGTGTTGACGGCCGACGAGGCCGAGTTCACTGCGGTCGAGGCGGCAGACGACAGAAACGAGATCGGGTCGGAGGCGAGGTTGTTGGCTATGTTGACGAATCCCCAGCCCCAGCTCTTGGACGGAGGTGGGGCAGACGATGTGTCTTGGTCATCCTGGTCATCTTGGTCTTGGTCACGGACAGGAGCAGGATGATGAGGAGCGAGTGGGAAACCCGCTGCGATACATATATACATAGAGGATGAGTATGAGTTTCGCAACAAGAGTCGTGGCATTGGAGGTGCTGGTAGAGCGCCGCCGCACTCGTCCTGTCAGTCGCTCGCCATCATCTTCGGTCGGTCAACGAGCACGCTCCCAGCGACGAGAACTATGCAGGCCGTCTGAGCTCTATGCAGGCCGTCTGAACGTCCGAACCGCTCTCCATGATGCGCTCGGGAATTGGTAGCGTGCCTGGCTGGGGCGATCCCGACGGAGCAGGCGAGGGCTCGGCAGACATGGATTCGGGAACAGCGGCAAGCATCGGAGAAGAGTGGAGGGGCTCTGCGACGGGCCTTTGGTGAGGGTCGGCACTCATTGTAGTGCTCGCAAGATGGATTCGGCGTGCTGGTCTCGATGAGGACCAAGAAGGGGCTGTTGGGGCTGTTGGGGCTGGGGAGATGGCGCGAACGCAACAGTGCCGCTGACGAGGATGCATTGCAGGGCGCTCGCCAGCTCCACTCCAAGCGAACATGCAGTCTGGGATAGCCGGCGCCGAACCAGACCATCATCTCGGCAGCCCCCGAGTGAAGGCCGTGGCCAGTGCACGATGGTACAAGGCAGCAAATCTTGAGTCGTTGATCAAAAACCAGGGTGTCCCGTTCTGCATTTGATTGGCTGTCAAGTGTATTCAGGATCCAGAAAGACGGCGCCATCGGCTTCCAAAGGGCAAGATTGTCTATTACTCTGTGCGAACGCATGAGTTGCTGATCTTGCCACAGTGATCTCGTCGATGGTTGCTGTGCTATGATACAATGCAGTCTTTCTTTGCAGTCCCTGTCTTGCCGCCTCGGGCTGACTGAGGCCGCTCGCTGCCTGGGAAAGACGTTCGGGAAGGGCTCTTTTCCTGGGCCGAGGTAGCCAGTCCTCCGGCAGAGTGGGCAACAGGCGCAGCAGATGCAGCAGATGCAGCAGGGGCACCCGGGACAGTTGTCGAAGGCGACGGGGATCTGGCCGGGGAGCTGGGCGGCACTGGATCCAGGAACGTGTTTGTTTTCCGAGCCATCACAGTCTCAAGTGTTGCTAAGGTCGGTGGTATCAGTGTCCTTGGTTAGTTTCTGGCGGGAGCAGGGTGGGATTGCGGCATGGTCGCTGGACGGATCGGTTACTTACGGGGTTTGATCGGGCCCACGGCGTTCTTGGCTCGCTCCTTAAGCCGCTTCAGGTGGAGCTCTGCTATATATTGGAAAGCTGTGGGACCCGTGCAGCGTTAGCTGCCCGTATGCGAACCATGCTGCAAAGCCCACTCATTGGCTGAGAAAGATATGCATTGACACACATTCGATAGCGAATGCCGTCAACAGTCCAGCATCGGAATCGCCGCCGTCGTCCTGGGCTATCGCGTGGACGGCAAGTAACTCGGATCTGCAAGGACGACGACGACACGTACTCTCTTCGACATTCAGCGAATCCTTGACCGAGATTCGGTAAAACTTGAGCTTGAGCTCGCGGGCAAGGCTCTCGGCTTCCTCGCTGGCGAGCGATAAGTGCAATTCGGGATAGGCCTGAGTAATCTGCCCACCAACACGCCCGCTGCTCCGGGATTTGAGAGCATGGTTTCGATTGAACAGAACCCAGCCATGCGACATCAATATTTGCTGGGGATGGATAAATCCGACTTACTTGGTGACGGCGGCGCTTCCGATGAGATCGATCTTATTTTGGATTAGAACCATCGAAAGATCGTCGCACACTTGCTCGACCTTGGATCGCCACGACTTGATAGTCTCGAATGACTGTCGGTCCGTGGTTGAGAACGCCAGCACGAGAGCATTGGCGTCTGGCCGAGGAGGCCGCCGAATCAGTCAGGCATTCTGGAAGTCAATCGGCGCACCGATCTTGCGAGCCCACCCGCGTCTGCAGCCGCCGATACGGCGGGTGCACGACCGGAGGATACGAACCTTTGTAATATGCCTTGGTTATGCTATCAAACTCTTCCTGGCCTGTCGCCAATGCACAGTGCGGCGTGGTCAGCATCTTCCTGAGATGCACGTAGCCATGCGACAACCCAGCGACGCATTGCTCCAGAAGCACACGCAGAACTCAAGCAAAGACGACGCAGGGGCCGCTTGGAGCACCAAGCGCACTGAAGAGCACCGATATCCGAGCATACCGGCGGTATCCCAAACCATGAGCTTCACATCGCCATGGTGGCCTGGAACAGTGATATCGCGCTCCATGTAGTCCACGCCGATGGTTTTCTTATAGTTTTCGGTAAACTGGCCTCGACAAAATCGCCGAATCAGCGACGACTTGCCGACGCTGCCGTTGCCGACTATAAGGATTTTGATGGCCGTCTCGACGTCTTCGGTCGTCAGCACGCTCTGGTTCATGCTGGAGTGATTTGCGGGTTCAGATACTACGGAGCCGAGAGACGCGAGGAAGATGCAAAGCCAGAGAGCGTTGGTCGGAATCCGCCGCTGCTGCGTGATGCGAGCCCGCGAAAAATAAAAAGCAGTAGCAATAATCAAAAACGTGCCGAGGCTTTCTTCTGGACCTGGTGGGGCAGGGCTCCATGATTCGGGCGTGGGTGGCTGCGACCCTGGGGTGGGACCAAAGGCAATTCAAAATCCCGTCATCGACGCGAGCCAGCAAAACCTTTCTCCAGCGCTTTCTTCCGCACCGATCGCCGAAAAACGCCTAGCATCCAGCGCCCAACCACAGCGAGCGCTTCATGCTGCTGCCCCGCCTCTGCAGCCGCCTCCGTCTGTCTCGCCAAGCCCCCTCCATTGCAAGCCCGTATCGGCCGCTCATGTCTGCACCATCCAGCGAGCACGAGAGCCTCGACGATATCAAGGCCAATCTCGCCCAGGTCCAGGAGCGGGTGACGAGTCTGGCTGGAGGACGAGATGTCTGTCTGGTCGCCGTCAGCAAAACGAAACCGTCGTCGGATATTCGAGCGGCCTACGAGACTGGGCATCGTCACTTTGGAGAAAACGTAGGTGCTACATCCGCGCGGCGATGGGGTAGGTCGCAAATCAAAGCCAGAGAGCTTCTGTCGGCCGCGAATATTGTGTGTAGGATGCTAATCGCCTCGCTCCAACACAACCCCTCTCGGCGCTCTCGCCCCATGCTCCGCCGATGCAGTATGTAAGTGGTCTCTTTGGCTCAAAACACGATACGCCAACGCTCTGCCGGCTCCGTTGACGACCTGATAACATTGGAGTCGCTTTAGATTCAGGAACTTGTTAGCAAAGCCAACGAGGTGCGTCCACGCAGCGGGTCAGGCTCTGCAGCGATGCGTAGCCAGCCGAGACTTATTCACATTGGAAATCCTCAACAAACCCGACAAGCAGCTCCCCGATGACATCCAATGGCATTTTATCGGATCGCTCCAGTCCAACAAGTGCAAGCTCCTCGCATCCATTCCGAATCTGTACATGGTCGAGACGATTGGTAAGGATAGGCGGTGCCACACTCGGGCGGGCATGCCCAAGATTGCCGATATTAGCGCCAGTCTCTGCCGTCGGCACGAGTACCGACAACACAAACGGGCTGATACCTGTTGCATGCAGATGGTACCAAGAAAGCGGATGCCATGAACAAAGCGTGTGCCGGCCGACCCTATCCACTGCGAGTGATGATCCAAGTCAACACCAGCGGCGAGGACAGTAGGTGGCTCTTGTAATGCGCTCCAGTGGTGGCATCGGCGCCTGGACAGCTCAGCCGAGCACAGGCTCAATCCTTGGCACCAAAAGCTGTTAATTGTGATGCGGGTGATCCAGCGAGTGTGATATTGTCAGGGAACAAAGAAGTCAAGGACAGTTTGGCCATGAGAACTGCTCGGCTGGGAGACCTCGGGCTCGTAAGAGGATGCTCGACTAAACTCTGTCCCTTTCTGCCGCTCCAGCCAAGAGTGGAGTCCATCCCCAGGAAATCGTTGAAGCTGCCAAGCACATCATCAGCAACTGCGACAAGCTGCAGCTGGAGGGCCTCATGACGATTGGGTCACCTGGCTGGAGCCCCGAGGCTGGGCCCAACCCAGATTTTGTGGTGAGTCGTGTTTGGAGTGCCTCTGTCTCCGATGTGCGCAAGCAAGCGGATGGACCGAAGCTAAGTGGCAGTCAGGACTGCTCCGAAGTCTTGAATCCCGGAGTGTCTATTCTGACAACCACGCGCACTTAGCTCTTGGGAAGGTGCAAATCCGAAATCGAGCAGCAACTGCAGCTCGATCGCCCTCTTGGCCTGAGTATGGGCATGTCGGACGACTTTGAGCATGCCATCGCCCTGGGATCTACCAACGTGCGAGTTGGAAGCATCATATTTGGCAAGCGCTTCTACCCATCCAAATCTTAGATCATGCGGATGGGACGCCAAGGACGCTCTGTCCAGCTCAAATCCGAAATAAAGGTAGTATATTCACTGGTCGCATTGGGTCGACCCAGGAGTTTACCGATGTGTTCGAGGCGGCGGCGAAGTAGGTATCCCTGAATACGTTCCTGCGAGTGTTCTTTGTATACCCACAAGTCTCCAAGGCAGAGCTCTGGGCTCGACTTGCCGCATCGGCGGTCGAGGATATGCAGACTATCCCATGGTTTACGAAGACAATGTCAAGGTTTCAAGAACCTCGGACGCTGCGTTGTGAGGCCACTTGCTCCAGTCGTCACTCGTGGCATCTTCCAACCCTACCTGTACAGGAATGCGAAATCCATGGTGCTTAGCAGCCATTTACGAGCTATGCTGCACACTGGGCGGGCGACAACTGGTTGGGTAGAACAATGACGGCTCAGGGTACTAAAAGAAGGGCTGCGCGACCCTACCTTCAGCTTCGGACTGCTCCATGCGGGACGTTTGGGATCAAAGTTTTTGATCATCAGTAGCGAAAGGCAGTGCGCCGCCCATTGTCTCTGGCGGACGGTGAACACCAGCGTAATAAGGAATCAGCAGCAATGGTGTTGATATGTTAGTTGCGGGAAGAATGTGGGGCATCTGCCTTCTGGGTAGCCATCTCACACCACGACGGTATCTGGATCAGAGTTGGTGTCGACGCTGTTACCAAACGCCCCTGGGTGCATACCATGTCCATTCGCCTATCCATGAGTATGTCGGTCAAGAGTTCGATGATCCCTTGGTTGCAAAGGATGATCTGGATGTTCGGCGTGCAGCGTCCGATAACTGAGACAGTCTGGATGACTTCCTGCAGAGTTCATGGCGAGTTCACGGCGAGTCGTCAGCAGCGCATACGCTCAAACCGACAGCCGGGCCGAGCCCAAGCGGCCGATACAGTAGCTGCCCAAGGGACCACAAGGTGGACAGAAACAGAGTCTTTGAAGAGTGGCTCTTGGGCGTCCAGCCCTTGGATCCTACCAGTCGCAGTACGGTGGGCTGACTTGGGTTCTCAAGCACCCCCACCAGCACTTTGATAAGCAGAGGGTCTTTGGATAGAACCTGACCCCGAGTGAGTTCAATGGTTATATTCCGTAACGGTTGGCGGGGCAGAAATGCTGGTCCAGCGGATCAGGGCAATCTGTGACGCGGGCTACCTCTTCCAGTTGGGCTCCGTTTGATGTGTAAAACAGGTATGAGAATTCGATGCAGGCTGCAGAGCCAAGCACATGCATCGCTGGTCAGTGTCGTTACCCACTGATGCGCTTTGCGGCAGACAGGAGCTGGCTTGGGAGGCCACACCGAGCAAGCTGCACAGGTGACAGCGCAGACAAACCTTTAAGCTTTTGGTCCAATGTGCCGGATACAAACGATTTGATGTCTCGATTCAGGGCGTCGACAATATGGCTGCTTCCGCCGGGCGGTGTCAGACCGTATTCGACCGCAACAGGATAGATCTGTGGTGTCATGGTTGCTCAGGGGTAGTGTTGTTGCCTGCAGGGTGTGCGATCGATGGCGGGGAGCGCTGTGCGGGCGAGTCGGGCATCCAACGGGTTAATCAACGGAGTGGGTGTGCGACTGACTGGCTGGCTGGCTCGGGCGGTGTCCATGTCATCGCAATGACGCAGCTGCAGCCCGATCACCAAGACAGATCGGCGGCAGCAAAGTCGTCGGCGGCCATCCACAATCGTCGGGGCCAGCGTTGCTCCTGTTGCTCAATCCGATGCGGTTTTGGACGGCGAGCTGTTGCCAGGATCGCCGGGGCAGGGTTTCTTGGCTACTTGGGTGTTCCGGAAGCGATGTCGACCCAAGCAACCAGCATGGGATGACAGCTGTAGCAAGTCGGTTGACTATCCTCCCCTGAAACTCGCCAACACTCGCTGTTCCCGCTCATGCACATCATGATGGACATATCCTTCAAAATCGACAACGCCAGCACCCGCTCGATCTACCCGGTGTCGTGTCTCTCGATTGTGCTGATCGCCAAGAAGTGTCTCAGGTATCTGCACCACGTTCGCTTCTTGGTCGCTCGATATCCCTCCCATGCCTGGCTTTTGCTTTACTCAGCTTAGGCGCTTCTTGAACGTTACAATCAGTATATTCCCCCATCTTGTTGTTTGCTCAATACCATGTCATTAGCAGTAGTAAATGGAGTTTGCCAATATTCTGTAAAAGTAGAAAGACGCAAGTTTCACTGATATGGCTGGCTGGCTGGCTGGCTGGCTGGCTGACTTTGAGAGCCGGCCAAGGATCGCAGGCCAGGCATCTAAATCAGTAGTCGTATGGCACGTTGGCGGGGATCGTGTAGACAAAGCTGTTGGTCTTGTAGGTGCAGGCGATCTCGCAGTAGTTCTCAGAGGCGCCTGGAGCTGTGGGCTGGCCAGCAAAGCAGCACTCAGAGGTCTTCTGGAATGCAGCAGTAGTGCCGGGCCCGTCACAGAGCTCGGTGCGGAACACCGTGCCCTCGCCATTGCCCAGATAGTCAAGATCGGCGGAGGCAATGCCCAGCTCGTTGATCAGCGAGGCGCGGAAGCGGTTCAGGCGGCGAGGTGTCGCCACAGGGTCGTATGCGGCATTGGTGTAGGACCAGAGACGCTCGGCGATGGCTGCCATGCGGGGGAAAACGTATCGGTCGAGGTTGTGGCGCTTGATCGTCTCGGACCAAAGCGAGCCAAAGCCGCCCTTGACGAAGGGGACGTTTGCGGGCAAAACGCCGCTCAATGGGTCGTACTGGTAGATCATGGTCCAGTTGTGCCATTGACCGGTGAGGGTCTTGTAGCCGGGCAAGTTGTAGCTGATGTTGGGCAAAGGGTTGCTCATACACCAAGCAACCGAGGGCGAGCAATCCAAGTAGTAGTGCGACGAGGGCGAGACCACAATGTTGGTGAAGCCCTTGGCAGCGATGTCGTTGACCTTGCCGCCGTTGGTGCCATCCTGCCCGGTCTGCCATTGGGTAATGATGGCGTTGGAGGGGATGATCTTTTCGATGCCAAAGTCGGTGGCGGCATCGTCCCAGGCGGCATATTGCTTCTTTGCCTTGGCGAGTATGGGAACAAACTGCTTCTCGAAGGCTTGAACGACCGGATTAGTGTAGACGGTGGGATCAAACGTGTCCCAGTTGTCAGGAACCTTGCCATAGACACGGCCATTGACTTCGTCGTGACCAACGTGGAGGACAGGATCCTCGAACCACGAACCGACTTCGTTGACCAAGTCGTTGACGAGACACATGGCCTTGTAGTTGGTGGGGTCGAGTTGGCCACACGGCGGCTCGTTGCAATACTGAGCACCCCAACCAACAAGCTGGGTCGTGGAGTCGTTCTTCAGATAGCCGTTGCGGCCATCCCACGGCGAGTGCGCATACGCAAGAACAAAGCTTGGGTCCGCAAAGTGGAACACAGCATTGTGCCCTGGGAACTCAAACTCGGGAATCACGCGGATGTTGCGGGCAAAGGCATAGGCAATAATCTTGCGGATGTCGTCCTTGGTGTAGATCTTTGGAGTGCCATCGTCGTACTTGAAGGCAGCATTCAGCAGACCGGGGTAGCGGTCCCACTTGATCGGGAACGACTCTATCGATGCGTAAAGAAAGTGCAGAGCGAAAAGTTCAGTCAACGGCGTCGTATCAGCACGGAGAAGGGCCTCTGCAAGTGTATATGTGCCACAGCAGTAGCATTGCCGAAATCGGAGAGCCTTTGGGAAGGAAATGGGGAGATCTGGACTGGAGCGGTGTTGGCCGATTTGGCGAGCCACGGGCATATAGCTGCATTTGCTTACGAGAATCATAGATGTGCCAGTGGAGCACATTGATCTTGGAGTATGCAAGTCCGTCGAGTATGCGCTTGATATCGACGACTGGGAAGAAGTTGCGGGCTGTGTCGAGCATGAAGCCGCGGTAAGGGAAGCGAGGCTTGTCTGTGATGCTGGCTGCGACAAGCGAACCCTTGTCTGTCACCAGTTGCGAGAGCGTTTGGAGGGCATATATAGCACCAACTTGGTTCTGTGCTGGAGGCCAAAGCGACATGCACGCGTCAGTATCTCAACCCAGGGCGGAGGGTGCTTCCGTTGCCCTCCGTTGCCTGGACGAGACCACAACAGTGATAGGTAACATTCCATATCCGACCGAGCATGCTCTATTAGTTGCATGGCACAGCGATAGAGAGGGTTGGCTGTGCGCGGAGCAGTGCACCCACCATTGATGTGGATCGAGACATCAGAGACATCGAGGGTATAGGACTCGTCGATGCCCTGAAGCGACGAGGCATCGACGCAGTCCGATCCGAGAATGTTGACAATCACCGGCAGTCGGCGAGAGCTCTTGCCGGATTTCTTGGCGGCCAACGAATGCTTGAAGCGGCCAAAGGCTTGAACAACGTAATCGCGCTGGTCGTCGTCGCTCGAGTGGACCTCGAGGTGCAGCGAGCCAAACTTGACATCGTAGTACTTGTCGGTGACGCTGGCGGGGAGCGGCCAGAGATAGTCCAGGGCCGAGCGGGTTCGCTTGATGGAGCATTTGGGTCGCTGGCTGCCGGGATCGGTGACGTTGGCCTTTCCGTAGTCATGCACAGTGTCGGTTGGGCTCGAGGTCGAGTGGTAGGGGTCGTAGTCAGTAGCGGCGGCCATTCCCAAAGTGAGGGCGGCGATCGAGCAGATCCAGGCGACTTTGACCATCTTGAGTTATTGATCCTGAAGGGTTGCAATCCGAAAGCCAGAGAGTGGTGAGCGCGGATCAGAGAGCAAGCACCTGGGAAAGCCGGCCTCGCCGAACCAACGGGCAATCACCCAGCCTTGTATGTTTGTCATGCACAGTGGCCACCATTCAATGGGATAGAGATACCTACCAGGGGAGGTGAAATGGGACTGGGTATGTTTCCAGGGCAAGTACGACGGAGAGCGGCGTCTGAGGTGCTCGAGCGGCTTGGGTTGAAAACCTCCTCGAAGAGAGACGAACGGAGTGCGGCCGATGCGCTGCCGGCTGATGCGGTTCCTCATATATGTCTTATATAGGCCCCCGATGCCTTAATCCCAACAATCAGCCACCCTCGACATAATGCCCTTCCTCCCGAGAATGTCCTGATTGAGGGTGATGCGGATCCAAACAATGGTCACCCGAGGATCTGTCGATTGTCATGGGCATTTACCGCCGACAGACGGAGACATCGGAGCTATGGACATTGTTGAACTGTGTCGGTGGTGAACAATAGAGCTGGGCAGCAGAGCGGATCTTTACAATGGGTATCGAGTCTGGCATGGCAGTTGTGGGGTTGTCTGCCTGATGGAGGCGTGGCAGACGTGGCTGCCACATTGTTTCGACAAAAGCCAGCGGATTTCGCTGACAGCAGCGGGGAAAGCTGCTATTGTGTGATTCGCGCAGGTTTGTCGCAGCGCAAAGGATGCGATCTGGAGAATGTGCCATCGGGCGCCGCAACAGAAGTTTCCAAGCTGGAAAGGACGGGGACCCACAGCGAGCTTCTCGACCAGCCGAGCCCAGCCATGTCCATTACCCACCCTCAGCTCGCCAGGCAAATCCAATACAAACGGGACACACCGGGTTTCGAGCATTAGTGAATGTTATCAACACATTGCGTGTTGGGTATGGCCATTCAGTGATGTGCTTCTGGATCTGAATCAAGGACGCTCTCTCGCTCAGATGGCTCCCTGCAAGCGAAAGGCACCACCCAGGCGACGGCGATTCAAGCGACTCGATCTCCAGGTGTGCTCACAGTGCCGGGAAGCCAAGCGACTCGAGACAGCCGAGTATCTTGATATCGATACACCATCGAACTGTCCAGGTGGTCGAGTGGATGCACCACACAGAGAGATTGCCAACCAGGGCGGGAAACAATCGCATGGCTTGCTCACTGGTGCCTATGGATTAGCAGACTTGTGTTGCTGATGCCAGAAAGCGACTGTCCCCGTTTCGTTCTGGATAGACTGTACCAGAGACTCTTTGTATTTTGGAAGAGAGGAGAGGGCGCCCGCGGATTTTGGTTTGGTTGAGAAGGGAAGGAGGGATTTCTATAGGAACGGGCTGGTCGAGGTGGAGTGTGTTGGAGGGGGCCCCTCTCTCGCTTGGACAAATGATCGGGATAGCAACACGAAGGAAAGAAAGAAGGAAAGAAAGAATAGGCAAGATACTGCAATACATGTCTCGTTCAAGGGGATTTACAAAGGTCAACTAGTTACACCAAACGGGGGGGGGTCAAACGACAGAACAAACACACAAGGGAAATGAAATGCGTGGAATATATATACATGAATATATATCCGCATCGTTTTTCGAACTGCAAGAAAGTGGGAATCCGAGAGCCGTTGCCACCAGGGCTGACATGGCCGACAAAGAAGCGGGGGGCAGCGGCGTGTGGCGGCGCGAGTTGGAGCGCAAAGGAAGCGGGAGAAAGAGAGGCGGGAGGGCGAGAGCGAGCAAGCGAGGCGGCCCTTACAGGAATGGGGGCCGACTCTGGGCCATGCACTGGAGGATGGCCCGGGTGTCTTACATCGCAAGCAGGAAGTTCTGCATCTCGGGCAGATTCGTCCAGGAGGGGATGAATCGCTCAATGTTCTCGACGTTCTTCAAGTTGGGCTTGACAAACTCGGGAGAGAGCTCCAGGTCCAAAAGGAGAATGTCGGACTTTTCGTTGAGGACGGCTCTGGAGGCAACGATCTTCAGCAGCTCGGGCGAGAGCTGTGCGAATGAGAGAGATTTTGGCAGGATCGAAGATCAGTCGAGGCGTTGCAGGATAGGCAGATGCGGCAAAACCGGAAGGTGGGGGGAGGGCTCCCAGCTGTTGCCTGCGTGACAGCAGAGATGTGCACATGTCATCGGGCCAGTGCCGTCCGGCGCACAGGATGGGGCCATCGTGCTTACCGGAGAATCAAAGTCGGCTGCGTAGTAGAGCGAGAGGAGCTTCTTGATCTGGGTGGGGTTGAGCAGGAAGCAGACATCAAAGATGGTCTCGATGTCCTGGGGCGAGGTCTTGTTGAGGGTAAGGAGCTTGGCAGCCTGAAGAAGCTGCTGCAAGTGGAGGGTGGCTGTAGTCCGAGCATCATGCATCGGGCGAGCCGGACGGACATGGCGGACGGAATGAGCGGGGCCAGAAACGCATTGCTGGATTAGCTCACCGGACACATGCCACACGCTCACGCAACAAACAGACCAAGATCCCCAGCATATCCGCACTGTAGCCTGCCCGTGCACCACAGCCGTGTGTGATATAGCACGTTGCAAGCACGCCGCGCTTGCGATGGTCCACCGACTTACCTTCGGCGATGCCGTGGCTGGTGCACCACTCCTCGAGTCTCGAGACGTTGTATTGGATCTGGACACCGCGCTTCCAAGTGCAAAAGTTCTTGCGCATCAGGAGATGGTTGAATGCAGAGACGCCAATGACACGCAGGAGCTCGGTCAGGATCTGGCGAGACATGGTGTCCTCCATGTAGTAGCAGCGCATGGTCTTGCTGAGCTTGCTGAGCAGGTTCAGGAGCTGCTCGATGGTGAACTGCGAGGCGGTCGAGTTCTTGCCCCACTTGCTCCAGAGACCACCGGACTGCTTGCAGATATAGCCGGGAAGCGACTGGTTCTCGATCACGGCGGGGACGATCATGTTGGTCAGGCGCTTCTTGAGCTCCTTGATCCAGCCGTGGTAGATCTCGATCAGGAGGTAGTCCATCTCGGTGCGGACCTTGTCGATGGCACGGTCAGACTCGGTGGTGCTGCCACGGGTGCTGCGCTTTTCCTGTTCCTGGATGCTCTTGATCAAGCAGAGCAGTTCAAAGGTGTTGGAGAGCCAGAAGGCCGAGACATAGTCGTCTTCGAACTTCATGGTCAGGTTCTGGATCGACTTCATGACGCTGGCCATCGTGGTTTGCATCTTGTGGGGCATGTCGCGCTGCATGTACTGCGAGACGACGGTGCCGATGAGATGGGCAGGGAAGAAGATCTCCTTGCGGGTGGCCACGGTCTGGGTGCTGGGGAGCGGGATGCGGAGGTTGGTGATGAGCGCGTCGTTAATCTCGTCCTCGAGACCCTTGTCCTCGAGGGCACGGGCAGAGCGCTCGGCCTCGGGGTTGAGGCTGCTGAGGGCCGACTTCTTGAGGTCCTGGGTGTCCATGAACGAGCGGCGACGGGCAACGGAGGGGCGCTTGGTTTCGTCCAGCGACGGGCGGCTGGGGGGCTCGCCGTAGGAGCTGTACAGGTAGTTCTCCTTCTCGTCGACGTAGGTGGTCTGGTACTGGGGCTGGTGGTAGCTGGGAGCCTGCTGGTACTGGGCATCGGCGACGCGGTCGGTCTTCCACTTGCCAGCAACCTGTCGGCTGACCTGCTCCTTGAGGGCGGCAACCTCCTTCTTGAGGGCAGTGATGGTGGCGGTGTCCTCCTCCTTGGGGACGACCTTGGCGGCGGCCTCCTTCAGCTTTTGGACCTCGTCCTTCTGCTGGCGCAGCTCGGCAAGGAGCGTGGCGATTTCCTCGTCGCGCTTCTTGGCGAGGGCCTTGGCTCGCTCGGCCTCCTTGGAGAGGTTCTCGTTGACGTCCTTAAGCTCGGCAATCTCCTTCTTGAACTCGGCCGAGTTGTCGACAAACTCGACCTTGACGGCCTTGCTGTCGAGGTCGGCCTTCTGGAACTTTTCTTTCCAGATGGAGGACTGGTGCTCGAACTGGGCAAGCTTCTCGGCCATGACCTTGTTCTCGGACTCTTGGTTGCGCAGGGCCATCGAGAGCTCGACAACCTTGTTCTCGAGCTTGGTGTTGGTCTCCTGGAGCTTGCCGACGGAGCGGGCCTCGGTCTTGAGCTGGCGAAGCTCGAGGATGGGGGCATGCGTGCGGATCCACGACTGGACAAGGACAACCTGGGCCAGATACAGCTTGTAGTCGCGGCGGACGATAAAGCCGCGGAAGACCTTTTGGATGCGGGTGGCGGCGGTATTCTGGCGCAGGTCGATGAGCTGCTTGCGGGCGCGCTGGACGCGGAGGGCGCACTGCACCGAGAGCGCGGCCGAGCGGAGGGCCTCGTAGTAGGAGCGAGAGAGCCAGGTGCGAATCGAGGTCTGGATGACCACGGCAGCCTTCTGCTCGCGCTTCTCCTTGAGCGACTCGCGGGCGCTCCAGGCACGGAGCGAGGTCTGGACCGTGAGGGCAGCCTGGACAATGGCCTTGTATCGCTTCTGGTAGAGATAGCGTCTCATATTGGTCTGGATCAGGACGACGCAGTAGCGGATGCGCTCCGTGCGGGCCTTTTCGAGGGCAGCGACCTGGCCGGCTCGGAAGAAGATCTTGGTGAGACCGACCTGGAACTTATCCGGGTCCGAGATGCGCGACGCGACGATCGACTCGGTCAGCTTCTTGGGGTCAGGGCCCCAGAGCTTGGAGGCCACGAGTGGGTAGTAGCGCTCGGCAAACTCGGCAAAGCTGTACTTGGACGGGTAGCCGGCGCAGGAGATGCGGATGGTCTCGAGAACACCACAGGCACGGAGCTGCTGCAGGACCATGGGGGACTCGAAGCCAAAAGGCGTCTTGGTCGAGTTGGGCTTGATACAGCGGATGTAGTGGGCCTCGGTCGTGCGCATGGTCTCCATGAGTTGGACAAGGGACGCCTTGAAGATGGAGCCGAGGGTGGGCTTCTTGGTGGCGCCACCGCGAGGACCGGGCTTGGGCGAGAGGGCGGCGTCAGGGACGTCGATGTGGATGACCTCCTTGAGGAACTCGCTGGCGCCATCGTTAAGCACAGCAAGCTGCTCATCGGCGACGGTGTCCTTGTTCTTCTCGATGAAGCCCTCGATGTCGTAGGTGACATCGCAAGCGTAGTGCTTGATGGTGAAAGCGGTCTGGCCAAACTTGGGCTTCTCGAAGAACTTCTCGGTGGGGACGGCGAAGCGCTGGTAGAGCTTGGTCACCAGCGACTTGTCCGCGCCGGAGGGGAGACGCGACTCTTCGTCGAGGAGGTCGAGGATACCCATCTTGTTCTCGATCATGTTGATGCAGGGCTGGTTGTCGTTGAAGTCGATGAACGACCAGTTGATCTTTTCCTGGACGTAGATCTCCTGCTCCAGACGGAAGACGTGGGCGTTGAACTCTTGCTGAAGCTTCTCGTTGGCGTAGTTCTGGACGAGTGGCGACAGCGGGTGTCAGCGGGTGTCAGCGGGGGATGCAAGGCAGAGAGAGATGGAGCGGCTGCAATTACGATGCGACGCAGCGATCCAGAAACACAGAACAAGCCAGCAGCACTCGACACCCCGGCGCTGGACATCAAGCGTTGCTGAGACAGCCACTCACAATACAGAACTGCTCGAACGAGTTCTTCTTGAAGTGCTCGAAACCGTAGATATCCAAGACACCGATGAAGGTGGCAACGTCCTCGGCATCCTTGTGCAGATTCTTGTTGACAATCTTGACGATCCAGTCGAAGAGCATCGAGTAGATGAACTTGGCGATCGAGTCACGTCCAACAATGGCCTGGTACTGGTTCAGGTTCGAAACGATCTTCTCGGAGCGAGTGATGATCTGCTTCTTGATGATCCACTTTTTGAAGGCACTCTTGTCGACCTGCAGGAGCTGGCAAGTCTGGATAAGAGCCGGATCGTTGTCGTCGATGGTGGCTTCGTCACGGACAGACTTGATCTCGATGTTGCCGATGTGCAGAAGGGCGGCGCAAATGGTGAAAATTTGCCTGTGTTGTGGTATCAGAACAAAGAGGATGAGACGGATTGGCCCCGGCCGGTTGATCCAGCGCATCGCACTGTTGCGAGTGGGGGGGGGCTATTGGGACACATGGACACGCGCTTACCATTGCATCGAAACCGAAATGCCGATGATGGAAAGGGCCTTCTGGGTGGCAGCAAACTCGGCGACATCGTCAAAGCCGGGCACGATACCGGTTCCACCCTGCTTGAGGTAGAAGAACTGATCCCAGGAGCTGAGGCCAAGTTCCTTGCGCTCGGCAGCGGGGGCGGCAGCGCAGAGCTGGTAGAAGATGTGGTAGTTGCGCTCGGTGGCGGGCTGGAAGATCAGACGGGATCTCTCGAGCAGGTAGGTGCGGATCTTGGCACCCACGATGCGAACGCTGTTCTTGGGGCCCTCGGGCGTGGAGAACAGAATCTCGATGTACTTGCCGAAGCGAGAACTGTTGTCGTTTCTGGTCGTCTTGGAGTTACCAAAGGACTGGAGAGGCAAGGTGAAGGACATCAGGAACAGGCAGCCCCTTGCGAAACAGCTGCCGTGTGTGTGTGTGTGCGACGCCACCAGCCCACGATCAGCGACCCGCTCGGCTCAGTCAAAGCAGCAATGCAGCGTGGCAGAAAACACCCACCTCCATAATAGGGTTGGTGGCCAGAACAGCCTCTTCAACCTCCGAGATCCCTTGTGGGGCGGCGGCCACATTGTCGCTGCTGGTCTGTCGGGAGAAGCTCTCGAGGGTATCGACGGTGGCAAAGTAGCGCATGATGTACTTTGCACTCTGGGTTTTGCCGGCACCCGATTCACCACTGACGATGATGGACTGGTTCTTGCGCTCCTTGATCATGGTGCGGTAAGCTTCTTCGGCCACCGCGAACTACAAAAGTGGCGAGTCGGACACGATTGATTGAGATTGGACAGGGTTAGGTAGATGCAGAGTGAGGGAGTCGATCCACGTAGCTCGGCCAGATCAAAATGCTTGGCAGACGGCATTCTACAGCGTCTACTACAGTCAAAGGACGCAGGTGCAGTGGCGCTGTTCATGAGCTTACCAAATGGGGCTCCAGTTCACCGCGACTCTTGCCAGAGTACTCTCTCATGATATCGGGCGTATAGATGGCCAGTCGCTGGAAGGGGTTCATGGCAATCAGGACGATACCGGAGTAGGTATAAATCTGCTCCTGTGCGTAACGGATGCGGACGCCATCCAGGACAGCGGGCCTACGACAGAGACGGACCCGTGGAGGTGGTGAGCATAGACCCTACGCCGCGTGGAATGTGCCATGCCCAGGCTCAGGTCCAACGAGGTGCTGGCCTGGGGCGACGACAGCCATCCGAATCTTCGGCGGGCAGAGCGCGGCGGGCCAACTGGGCAGTCGTGTCGACGGTGCTGTTGCAGACGCTTACTCGTGAAGGTAGGACAGGGTGGCCAGATCGTCGGTTCCCTCCTGAAAACACAAATGGCGTTTGAGTGAGCCCATAGTCGAGAGGGTGAAGCACAGCGACAAATGAGGCGCGACCGGCCATCGGCGACTGTGGACAGGTCAGGCCAGGAGAAGCATCAGATCTTACCAGCATGGGCGGGTTCTTCAGAGGAGGAAGGCCAGCAAACTTTTCAGCAGCGAGCTTGGAGAGGCTGGACGAAAAGGTGAATTCCTATCCGATAGAATGTCGGCCATGTCAGAGGGAAGGGGGGGACAAGGATGCGTGGGTCAACCGAAGGCTCATCGCTGGACACATGGCCTGGGGCGGAAAACATGGGCAGCAGCGGAAGAGAGCAATGCTGCTCAAGGACGGCAGAACAGGCGGAGAACTGGCTGGCGGCATAGTCTGCAGCTCGAAGGGGTACCTTTCCGGTGGCATCGAGTCTGAAGGAGAGGGTGAGCTTGTCGCCATCGACAACGTTGGACTGGAGAGTGGCGATGGACCAGCCTTCGGAGTCATCAGCAAAGTAGGCTTTGGTGCCCTGGGGGTCCGAGCAGCTGCAGTTAGAATGGATGGCTGCGATACGATCGTGGATGCGGTTGGCATGTGGGCAGGGGCTCAGTCCAGCGACGTACCTTGCTGTAATCCTTCAGGGCCTTCTCGACGGCAAGGGGATCAGGCGTGGTCATGTCGGAACGAGCAGACTGTGGGTATCGAGAAACGAGTGGGTATTGCAATGGATAAGAGTGTCAGCGGCGAGTGGATCTATGGGGCTGACAGGGGGGAGGCGAGGGCTCGGCGGTGGGTTGGCGACATGGAGGAGACGAGACGAGACGAGACGAGACGAGACGAGATGAGATGAGATGAATCGGGGCTGGCCAGGAAGACAGCAAGTCCAACAGACCAACGCACCAGTCAGAGGGAGCAAGCCTGCAGAGATGGAGGGGAGGGGCTCGGCGAGCAGGGACAGGGAGACCAAGCACGAAGCGACGGAAGGGTGGTTGAGGTTCGGCGCGATGAGGATGTGGGCAGAAGCCGAAGAAGGGCGAGGCGAGGCGGTTTTATGGGCCGGGGGGGAGCGAGCCGTGGCGCGTGGAGGGCGAACACCGGCCTGCCAAAAGGAGAAGCCCCGTGCGCGGACGCGTGTGGGGGATGGTCCAATTGGCTGCCGGGGTGGCAGGTCGAGACTCTGTCCAAGTGGCTGTCCAAGTGGTTGTCCAAGTGGTTGTCCAAGTGGTTGTCCAAGTGGCTGTCCAAGTGGTTGTCCAAGTCTCTGTCCAAGTGGTTGCTCGTGCCGCTCTGTTCCTGCCAACCCGGGCTCTGCCGCCACCGGCCCTCGCCGTTTGGGTTCCCCCCTCATCTGCCCATCTCCCGAACTGACCAGCTCGGCCATAATGAGCAATCGCTCTCTGAATACTGAGATCACTCAGGAGTGGCTCCGTAATAACCGCCTCGAGAAGATAGGGGACCGCCTGCAGAACAATGATATTGAAACCATCGGCGATGTGTGTGTTTGCCATCTACTCTGCTTTGCCATCTCCTGCTCTGGCTTGCCTTGCTCCGGTTTCTCTGCTGGAAAGCCCCGCTCTGACACTTGTCGCCTCTGCAGCTCTGCGGTCTGACCGAGGGCGATATGGACAAACTGGATTTCAGCGTCGGCATCAAGGTGCGAATCAGGGACATCCAGGCAGCCATGCGTCAACCTCTTCCAGGCTCTCCCAACCCTTCCACACCGGATCATAACACCGCTACCGGCCCCAGCAACACCGCCATCGTCACTAGCAACACCGCTATCGTCACTAGCAACGATGGCAGCAGCGCAGTCCAACCTCCAAGCGAACCGAATCTTGTTCGATCTGCTCCGCCCTTGGACCCCGCCACCCAGTCTGGCAGTCCTTCTCCTCCAGCTGCTCAATCCAGCTCCACTCCTCCGACCGCTCAATCCGGCCCCGCTCCCCCGGTCGCTCAATCCGGCGAGTCTGCCCCAGAGCATAACGTCGTGCAGGCCTACATACCGCTCAATATCGTTAGCAACTGGCAATGTGCGCTTGGACACAAGCACCACCATGTGTTCATCAGGTATGTTCGCCCTGCGCTATCATTCGGACGATTCTCCGGCGAGCCAACGGCTCCTCATAAGGGAATAGATCGATTACCTTTTGGCTCTGCGGCCACCACCATGCTGATTTTGTTGTCCTCTCACTCGGTAATATCAATTCTCAGCTACCGTGTCGTGACCGAGAAAGATGCTGTCGTCAATCTCTACGCCACACTTATCACCAAGAAAACAACGGACACTTACGACCGACGTGTATATCTCGACCAAATGTGCCTTGCCACCTCCATGCCATTTGAGGAGGGCTTCTACAACGGCATCCTCAACTCGCAGGTCATTGTTATCATCTTGTCCGAGAAGGGACTCGAGCGGGCCAAGAATGCCCACAGATGGCCTGACAATCAGCTGCTGGAGGTATGCCATCGTCGCCTGGGTAGTGATGCGAAAGACTTGACTCGGTTTGTTATGCATGTGATTCTCATATCCATGCCACTTTCATCAATCGCAGATCGAGGTGGCTCTGCAGCAAATGGAAAGCTCCAAGGGATCGTCGTCGCCTGTCGTCGTCTTGCCTGTCTTTATGAATTCCAAGAGTTACATTGACGGCAAGGACTACTACTCAGCCTGGGTTCCAAATTGCGATGATTATCCTGACGAAGTACACTGTCACCCGTCCAGTCCGTCACGGCTCAGCTCGGTGCCACCACGTTCTACGATCCGAAACGTGCTCAAGAAGCTTTTGAAGCTTCAGGGATTGTTTGCGACAAACAGCTATGCTCTTGCCAAGTAAGTTTCGGCCTGTTTCAAACTCTTGTTGCTGGTCATCCTGGCACCAAACACACACGTCGATGGCTAACTCGCATCTCCGGTCTTGAAAACAGGCTTGCTCCAGAGATCTTCCAGCTCATTTCTCGAACACAGATCGCTGCAGCACCCGAATCCAACTATGATGTCAAGGAATCTATCGTTCTTGATGCCGAAGATGTGACAAAGCTGCATACCCTCCTCAATCCCATCAACTCTGATTCGGACAGGAAGGCTATGCAAGATTTGTATGTCGAGGGCACGCGCCAGTGGTTGTTCAAAGAGGTCACCGACTGGGCCAGCAGCAATACTTCCGATACAGTCTTGTGGATCAATGCCGATGCTGGAGCAGGCAAGTCTGTTGCTGCGGCGCAGATTGCCAATATGCTCCTCAGCACGGACCAGCTGGTCTCGGCGCTGTTCCTCAAGTACAACGAAGCCCAAAAGAACAATCCCCGTGATATCATCACAACAATTGCTTTTGGTTTATGCTGCTGGTATGCTCCGATCGGCCGAAAACTCATCGAAGCCAAGCTCAGTAGAGAGAATCTCGAGAAGATGCCCATTTCCGATCTATTCGCAACCATTATCGAGAGCCCCATCACTGCCCTGGAGCAGTATCATCCCAAGGGAGCTGCTGTAATTGTTGTTGATGGCCTTGATGAGTGCTTCCCTCGGGACGAAATGCTGACTCTCTTGACCCAGAGGCTGCCTCTGCTCAGCAAAAATCTCAAAGTCAAACTGCTGCTGACATCGCGTCCCGAAAGAGACATCACCGAGGCCTTCCAGAGCCTGGCGACAAAGACCATCAAGCCGTCGAGCGAGGAGAACATTGCCGATCTGGAACTGTACATCCGTCACCGCTTGAAAAACGAGACGAGCCTCAATGAAGCGGACTGCACCGAGGCAGTCACCATCCTGCTGAGCCAGTCCAAAACCTTTGTGTGGATCGATCTGATTCTGAAATCCCTGAAGCGTGGCACCAACGACCAGCGTACCACCCTGCAAAGAATCAAATCCATCAGCAGCGGCTCCAACGATGTCGGCCAGCTGTACCAAAAGACCTTTTCGATGCTCTACAACCACTGTCGCGACAAAGAAGACCTGATCACCGTGATCTCGGCGATCGCTACGGCACAATCAATCCAGACACCCAGAACACTGGCCCAGATCTTCTTCATTGGCCGAGAGTCGGTATACGCCTTGATGACCGTGCGCCACTGCCTCAAGAATCTGGAGATGGTGTTGGATCGTGTTGCCAACGGATCCACCGACGATGGCGAGGTCAAGTTCAACCACAAATCGGTGGCGGACTATCTCCTCGGCGAGGAGTCCAAGGACGAACCATGGCATGTGCCGAAAGAGTTCCATGTGAAGTTCGCCAAGGGATGTCTCGGAGTGATCCTCTCGCACGAGCCCGCGGTCAACATCTGCGAGATCTATGACGTCCAAACCATGATTCATGACTTTGATTCCAAGGTCAGGCTCAAGATCTCGCCGTCGCTGCGATACAGCGTCGCCCACTGGATCACACACTTTGTGTGGTGTCTGAAAGGAGTGGCCGAGTCGAGTCCGGTGTGGCAGTCGCCTGAGCTCGTCGAGGCAACCACGGTGTTCGCTCGGTTCGTCAAGACGCATGTGTTCTTCTGGCTCGAGTGTGGATCTCTTACATATGCCATCAAGCCGATCATCGAGCAACTGGCTGTGCTGCGAGGAGTGATCGCCAAGGCACCCAGCACCATCGTCGACGACACCACAAAGGAACTGGTCAAGGACACGTATCGATTCATCCGCGAGTTTGCCGACCCGATCATCAAGAGTGCACCACAGGTGTACAACTCGGGATATGCATTCACACCGAAGGAGACGGCGATCTACAAGACATATGCCGACCGACTCGAGGACAAGATCCCGTTCCTGGTCACGGCCGGTCCTGGGTCCACTTGGGACTTGTGTGAGGCGACGCTGTCGGGTCATACCGACGTGGTGTGCTCTGTTGCAGTCTCCTCGGACTCAAAGACGATTGTGTCTGGATCGCTTGATCAATACATCAAGCTTTGGGATTCCACTACTCGACAGCTCAAACGGAGCATCGGCCCGCTGCCCTGCAAAATCAAAGTCGTTGCGCTTTCCTCTGCGACCCAAAGGATTGCTGTTGGATCCGTTGATCAAGTTCTAAGAATCATCGATGTCGTCACTGGCACCGTGCTCCACAGGCTGGATCATCACGAGGACGAAATAACATCCCTGGCGTTCTCCAGTGATGGCAAGACCCTCGTGTCAGGCTCGGAAGACTGGACTATCAAGGTATGGGATGTGGCGCAGGGAACTCTCCAGCAGACTCTTTGTGGCCATGATCGCGACGTTCGATCGGTCGCCCTGTCGAAGGATGGCTTGACGATAGTTACTGGATCCATCGACAAAACCATTCGAATCTGGAAGGAGACTGGCGCCTGCCGCAAAACAATCAATGTGAAAGAAAGAGTGTACACAATTGCCCTCACCTCGAACGACACTCGCATCGTCTCGGGAAACAAGAAAGGACTGATCCAAGTGTGGAACCTGGAGTCTGGCGAGCAAATCCAGAGCTTCAATCAGGGCTCCCCGGTGCGCTCTGTTGCCGTGACGACTGATGAGACGCTCCTCGTGGCCGGTTCCGATGATGGCGAGATCAAGGTCTGGGGTCTCGCCGACGGCACGCTGAAGGGCGTCTTCAGCGGACACACCAGACAGATCGGCTCGGTTACGATCTCGCCCGACAGCATGACCGTCGTCTCTGGATCCGTCGACATGACCGTGAGGCTCTGGGATCTCTCGAGTGTCGCGGCCCAGAATACCCTCGAGGCCACCAGCGAGAAGCACACCGGCATGATTGCCGCCGTTACCTTCTCCGAAGACGGCCGGCTTGTCGCGACGGGATCCAAGGATTGCACGGCCAAGATCTGGAATGCCCTGACCGGCAGATTGGTTCGCACTCTGAGCCAACATACGGCCGAGGTGCTGGCTGTCAAGTTTTCGTCGGACGGAAACCAATTGGTCACAGGCTCCACCGACACGACCGCCATCGTCTGGGATGTTGCAACTGGAAATGCCATCCGGACTCTTGCGGGGAGTAAGTACGGCGTGTGCGCCATCGACATTTCGCCCAAACTGATTGCCACCGGCGGATGGGATGGATGGATCAGAGTCTGGGACCGAGTCACAGGCCAAGAAGCCGCGTTGTTCGAAGCTCATTGGAGCGGTGTGTTGATGGTCCGGATCGGTGAGGACGAATCCACCATCGAGTCGAGCGATGGATCGAGTGATATCTCATCGTGGCTGCTCGAGAGAGGAACTGCCAAGCCACTTGCAAAGAACATGCGAATCCTGGAGCAGTGCCAGTCGCTCGATCGATGGGAGCTGAAACAGGATGCCGCGGGTGATCAGTGGATCAAGCACTGGGAGCATCGCACCAAGGTACCTTACTCGCTCTTCAGCACCGAACCTCGAGTCCTCAACAGTCAAAATGCTCTTTGCATGGCGAGGTACACCTTTACGATCATATGTGTATGTATCTGCATCCGACCTGATTCTCTGATTATGGCTTGTTGCACTGCCTGAGATATGGAGATCCAAAGGAAACCCTAGCGGCTCGTGGATGCTTTGGGTTGTTGTGCACCAGTTGGGCCCTGTGCATCAGTGGGGCTTCTGCGCACAGCAACGATGTTTCTGACCACGGATCTGTCGCTCTACATCACAGCCCATTCATTCCCGGAACGAGTACGGCGCTTTGTGGCTGGAAGAGTATCGCGCCGCCAAGCGAGGATACCACTCGTCCACATCGCTTTCAAGGTTGCTGGACTGATTCTATTTGAACAGGGTGACCCCATTCGTTGATTTGGTTGACGCTCAGCCGTGTGGACCACCTGTTGATTCGACAGCTGTTGTCAAAGCCGTGCCTCAACTCTGGCCCAGAAGTCAACCAGAGTTCCAGCACCCTGCACCATTCTTGTCTCTGTTCTCCCTGGCCGGGATTGCCTGGCTGGAACTGTGCGGTGAGAACACGATGCCTGAACGCAACTCTTCCAGCGGAGCCTCCGGTTTTGCCTCGGAGTGATTGGGATCGTCGACTCTGTACGCGGTCATGTGACGGGCTGTTGGCGAGAAAAAAGGGCACCACTCCAGGACCAGCGGCGATCCAGATCCACCACCACCGATCCAGATCCAGATCCAGATCCACCGCCACTCAGGCCTGTTCGCTCGCCCAGCCGCACGCCCACCGCCTGAAAACAGCGCAGCGCCATGGTCCGAGAGCTTGATCCGCCCCTCGCCAATAAGGCATTTGTCAACAGCGCCCTCGCCGAAGGAGTGAGAGCGGACGGTCGCGGCCCATATGACTTCCGCTCCATCAAGATCACCTTTGGCTCGACACCGGGCCATGCCGAGGCACAGCTGGGGAAAACGAGGTCGGTCAAGGCGAGGCCGTGCAGTCGTGGTCGAGATGGCTGCGTTGCTGGCTGCGTTGCTGGCACTGCGTCTTGTGCCATCCGATCTGGGTCAGCCGTTGGACTCACCCATCGCTCGTTGCTTCTGTCTCCTGTGGCTCCAAACTGCATGCACCACACAGAGTTCTGGCCCGGGTTTCCTGCGAGCTTGTTCGACCCCGACCAAACAACCCCAGCGAAGGATTTGTGAAGTTCTCGACGCATTTTTCGCCCATGGCCTCGCCTGGCTTTGAGGTCGGAAGGTAGCTTCAGCAACAGCCATACCAAACGGGACGGGAGCGAATGGATTGAGCATCTGGCGCTGCAGAGGAGCAGATCCCGGCGCTTCGGTCGATTTGACTGCAGCGAAACCTCTCTGATTTTGAGGCCATTAAGCGGCGCGTTGCTCACCGCGATGCCCAACGCTCTTCCAGAATGTCGGACGACGAGGTTTTGGTCAGCCGAATGCTAGAGAAGGCGCTGCGCAAGAGCCGGGCTGTCGATACCGAAGGCCTCTGCGTCATTGCTGGAGAAAAGGCAGGTTCAGCTATGCTGTCGTCTTGAATCTCACCGCTTGGGGCGATCCAAATCGAAACCACGATCCAAACCAAAACGAAAGCCACCGCTGTCGGGACTTTGTCACCAGCCGGTGCATGCTCGTCCTCAGTGGGCCCACCATGCCCTCTGCATCAACGATCTGGGTTCTGATGCTCTGGCGCGCGGGATTGTCTCTCAGGTGTGGTCGATCCAAGTGGACATCCGAGTTCTGGACCACGAAGGGAACTTGCTCGACTGTGCCTGCATCGCCGCAATCTCGGCGTTGCTCCACTTCAGACGTCCGGATGTCACTGTTCGCGGAACCGAGGTCATCATCGTAAGTGGCGGTGTGCAGGCGCTTCATCCTGCAGGCGGGGCGCTCGCGAGAATCCTACATAGGCTGACTGCGACCACATTCACTACGAACGACCTGCAGCACCCAATGGACGAGCGCAACCCCATCCCTCTCAGCGTCCACCACATCCCTGTCTGCGTCAGCTTTGCATTTTTTGACGGAGGGTAAGCTCAGCGTCGAAAGCACATGCCCGGCCGTGACCCAGGATGGCCCGTGGGTCGATTATCGATTATCGATTCAAGCACGATTCGCTAGAGGCGCTCGCTGAGTGGATACCAGCAAGTTTGGAGATAGGCGACTGGGTGCCCCCCCCCTACTGCAACGGACGGCTTTCCTTTGCCAGAGGATATCTAGGAACCACTGTTCCGGTTGGCAGTGCCATTTGGTTCACTGCATTACTCAAACAATCGCTCGTCCAGTCCTCTTCTCTGTGGACCTCTAACACTCAGTCCGTTCGCGTCTGTTGTCTGCAGGAACTTGCTGGCCGTCGATCCGTCGTCGCTTGAAGAGCAAGTCGAGGAATCCAGCATGACCATGGTCGTCAACATCCACCGCGAGCTGTGCACCCTCTCAAAAGCCGGCGGCGTTCCGCTCGACATGGCAACCATCCTGCGATGCTCGCAAATCGCTGCCGTCAAAGGCGCTGAAGTAACTGAGCTGATTCGGGCAGCTGTCAATGCCGTGAGTAATTTGTCGATGCTACGAAGGCTCTTGGGGTTTTGCTGTTGTCATCGATTGCCGCACACGCCGCTGCTCGGCCAGAGTGATTACGGATTATCCTGGCACCATTGGCTCCGGCTGTCCGCTCTCCGGGGGCGCATACTTGCTGCTGGAATCAGTCGCCTGATCGCTACGTTGACCAAGTCCATCTCTCTCTAGGCGCTATCGGAGAAACGATAGCTAGTGCGCCCTCCCCCAACGTTCGTGTGCAGAGCTAAGGCTGCTCTCCGTTAGGTTCTCGGCTCTCTCGCCTCAGGACGTGTATTGGGGGCTCCAGATCATGCAATATATCACACATACGCCTTCAACTCGCCCGAGCACCCAGCATCGAGGCAAACAAACCCTCCTCTCCTCTCCCACTGCCCGTCTGTTCGCTGTCACGGCTTCTTGGCGACGATGTGGTTGCGGATGCTGGCATGGCCCATCGAGCATGTTGCTATCGGTGATGCATATGAAACAGTAATACTGCATAGGCTGCCTGGTCGTGCTTGGTGCGTTGGTTGGCTGCAAGCCATGAGCGGTGTCCTAGCGGCGCATCGTTCGGTACGCCGTGCAGCAAGTGTGCCGTCTGGCATGCTGCTCGCGATGCGAGTTGCTTGGCTTACGCGCTCCAATGAATGCGCTTTGGTTCCGGTCCGTCTATATATTCGATGGGACTCTTCCATAGATGCTTGTGGGGCCGGGTTCAGGGCGAACCCCGAGGTCGGTCCCTTGCGATGGCTGCCCATCACAGCCCAAACTCGATCCGGTCAAAGTTTCTCTCCAGCTCGGATATCTTCCTCGAAAAATCTTCGACGACCTTGGCCGCGTTCTTGGCCTCGTCGAACAGGAAGGTTGGCGTCTCGGAGGTCGTTGATCTGGCGTGAGCAGAATCGACGGCCATCGGCTGATGCGGGCTGTACCGAGTTTCCTTGGTGATCGGCGAGATTGCCGCACGACTTGGAAACGGCGTGGAGTGGACAGCACGGTCGGAAAGCGGAGTGGCAGTGGCCGCCAGAGCAGCCCCAGGTTTCGGTGGTGTCGGCGGCTTGGATGGGCTCATCCTATGGCCATACAGCCGGCCCTGTGGCGAGCGGTCGTGATCTTGCTTCAGTGGCGATGGTGATCCATGGTCCACTGCCCGGCCGCTGTCGCTACGGTGATCTCTGGCGGAGAATGCGTCTCGCTTGTACAGCATCGACCACCTTGCTTCCCGAGCCTCCAGCGTTCGGATATCGTCCATCAGGGCAGCCACTTGTTCGGCGTGTTGCGCCTTCAGCTTGTCCATCTGGCCTTGCAGCTGTTGCTGTGTATTCGAGTGTAGCTGGCGCATCTGAGACAGCTCTTCGTGGAGCGTCCTCTCGGTCTCTTCGTGCCGACGCTGTTCGCCGATGCAGGTGGACAGCTCAGCAGTCATTTGAGTGAGCTGCTGGTCGTCGTGGGTGAGCCGCTGCTTCCAAATGTGGCTCTGTTTCTGTAGGTCCATGTACTGCCGCGAGAGTTGACGGTTGTCTTCCTTGAGCGTGCGGTTTTCAGACTGGAGCTGGGCGACTTGGTCCTGCAGATGCTGGGCTGTCTTGGTCGCTTGTCGGGAGTGCTGTTCGAGCTCTCGCCTGAGCTTTTCGTCCTCGGACTTCAGCTTCTGATGCTCGGTCTGGAGAGCAGAGTGTTCATTTTGAAGTCGATGGAACAGCTGGACCTTCTCGAGACACTGGCGGACTGGATCGTGCGATCCGAGGGAGAGGTCAGCAAGTACATCAGCAACGCCATGGTAATTGTGCCGTTCGCACACGCAAAGTGCTGATGCGCCTGCAGTCTTGGCCGTGGCAGGGGCACAGATGCCGGCGGAACGGAGCCCGATGCAGCCAGACAACAGCCGAACCTTCGTATTCCAGGTTGGACACCTGTTTCTTAAGGTCCCGGATCCGATCCTGCTTCTCCTTCAGTGCGGCTTTGAGGTCTTTGGAGGGGCTCTGTCGATTTGAGCTCTCGGCGGATCGCTGGCGGTCCTTTTCTTCGTGATAGGCAACCTGGCTCCGAAGCTGCTCGTTCTGTTCGGCCAGTCTCTGCTTGTCCTGCACGAGGCGCTCGTGGCTCTGGTGTTTTGTGAGGCGGAAGGTCTCGAGTTGCTTCAGCACATCCTCGAGGGTGGATTGCTGCAGGGTTATAGTCTCCAGGAGCTGGTTCTTGGCTGCGTGCGACTGTTTCAGAAGAACGCTCGACTGTTCCAATTCGCCTGCAAGAGACAGATCACAAGCCCAGCGGCGGGAGTCAGCGGGGTGCTAGGCAGATGCTGGGCAGATGTTGAGCAGATGTCGGATGGGCGTTGCCATTCGCTGCGACTTGAGCGGCAAGTAGCACGCACCTCTGAGTCGCTGGTTCTCCGAAGTAAGCAGCTCCAGCGCAAGATCGGACATTGCTGGCTCTGGCCGCTGGGAGGGCCGGAGTTGATGGGGGTCGGAGGGCGCTCTGGATGCCAGAGTGCGATCGCTGGCAAAGTCGACAGCCAGGGAGCGCGGCGCCCAGCCGGGCCAGGCCAAGCCCCACCGACAGCGCCGGCGCATGAAGACACCCATGGACATTCATGTGGAATTCGGCCGGGAGCGCTCCTGCAGCATCATATGCGGTTGGCACGTCTGCTGCATGAGGAGTCGATGCACAGCGGTCAGCCTCCGAACCGGGGCCGTTGGCCGCCACCCCGCAGCGCCAATCTGACCGGCTGCAACTTGGCCACCTTTGGCGGGCAGCGGAATCTTCTGGCAGCATCCATCTGGCCAAACCTGTCTGGCCAACGGCGCCCCGCCCGGCCTGGAAGAAGCAGCGGCCAGACTGATGCAATGGCGCGCGAGTTCGGCGGGTCCACCTGTCTCTTTATCAAGCACTGAGCCCTGGGTTGTTCGTGGTCTGCGATCCATCTTCCCACTCTCGCAGCCCAAACTCTTTGATTCGCGTCCACCCATACCAGCCAGGTTGACAAACATGGTGCTCTTGGAGGTCAAAAAAGCCGAGCAGTTGCTGTTTCTGGCTGAGTTCCCGGGATCGACCCACGTTGCCCAAGTTGTCGATGCCGTGGTCGACGTTGAAAACAAGCGCCAACGCGTTGTGCGTTTGATCTCAGGTGTGGATCGCGACGCCGCAGATTACTTTGCGAGATGAGCGTACCGTTTCCGAGAAACGTCCCGGACCTGCTGGTCAGAAGTGCCATCCGAGAGCGAGCCGGGTCTGCCGAGACGTACGATACGCCACGACACGTCGGCCAACGGTTGTTCTGACTCAAAGACTAACTGAGTGCATTCGCACCCAGCATGCGAGGAGCTGATTCAGTATGGCCAGCTGAAGCCTGAGTCCCAGCAGGGGTTTTCCGAGGAAGAACTTGAAGAGATGGCGCGTCGCGAGAAGGAAAAGAAGGAGCAAGGCAGTCGCTTTGAGGAGATTGTCGAGAAAAAGCGAGGCAAAGACAGCCGGGGCAACGAAGTACTACTGAATCCCGACCCGACTGGTCGGCGGACGGGCGAGGGTAAGTTGCTATTGCAGCATGGACTGGCTATCGGGAATGGGCGCCTGTGGGCGGCAGCGCTGATTTGTTCTCTGCTCGTTGTCTGGAATAGCCCCAGTCGAGGAAATGGCCCAGGTCATCCAGAAGCAAGTCGACTATGCAAAGGAAATCGTTGCCCCCAAGGTGAGCTCGCACGATTCGACAGATCGCCTTGATTGATTCGCATCAGAGGCCATCGAGGACAATCTCGTAACGCTGGTGCCGTCTCTTCTCTGCAGGAAAACATCAAAGCAGGCCGGGTGTTGACTGCTGATGCTCTTGACCGATGCCTCAATCTTATCAGTGGTGCCGTCACGATTGTGTATCCGATGGGCCTTGTCGAGTGGGAGCCTGCTCGGCTTGCAATCGAGGACAACGAGGATCTCGCGGGAACCGAGGTTGGTTGGCGTGCTCGGTCTGTTCCCGGTACGAGCTGCTCTGTGGGCGAAAGAAACGCAGACGATTCTCGCACTGACGGATCTGGCGGGTCTTGAACGTCGCCGCTCGTGCCGGTGGTTCGCAGGCGTCCAAGAGTGTGTTCGATCCAGCCGACACTAGCATGTGGTGGGCGGGCAAGGAGCTTGCTCGCGAAAAGCATCTCTCGGACTACGTGGGTCGAAACGAAAAGACCAAAATTGTCGCCAAGATCCAAAAGGTGAGTGACACGGCGATAATTTGGGCGTTTTTGCGAGATTGTTATGCACAGATAACCACACGCTGTCGGATCGATGCTGACCGCGGTCGATGCCTCGCCTGGTATGCAGAGGGGACGCCATGCCCCTGTTCGCGAGCCGCCGCTGAACGAAGAGGGCCAGAAGGCCTTGATGGCGTATTACTACAAGAAACAGGAAGAGCAAAAGGTGAGACGTCAGCCATGCCTGACCGAGCGGTGCGGGTTTCCACCCCCGCAGTGGGTCGTGGGATGGTTTTGGCGAGGCCATCCCGGATGCGGGTCCACACAACCTGACGTGCTTGCGCTTGCCAGAAATTGGAAGAGAACGACGAAGACGACTACTTGAACTCGTCCTGGGCTAATCCCAAGGCGCTGCGGAACCACTTTCAAGGCATGTCGAACATCTCCTGGCGGCCCAAGTAGTCTCGAGCCTGCGACAGGCCACGATGCTGTGCAATGATGCTGCGGATTTCGGGACTCTAATCTCGGTCGTGAGAGATCAGCTAGCGGGTGGGATACCACGCCAAAGCGAGCAGAGAGGGTGTCCTGTTTGCTCGTGGTTCAAGTGCAAGTCTCGACAATATAGCTGCGAATACGAGTGCCCGATTGATTCCGGCGACGACTCCCACGATACTCTCGGCTCCGTGTGGGGGCGCGGCTCGCCATTGGCCAGGAGTGCTGTGCTTGTGCGACAGAGACGGGCGAGAGCCGAGGGCCCAGCGAGAGGCCGGCGAGGGCACGGCGAGGCCGCGGCGAGAAGACCCTGCCCCGACCCCTGCCCAAGACCGACTCTCGCTCGAATCTGCTTCTTGCCTGTTGCCCAGCTGGTCCAAGGCCCAACCGATCCGCCGCCTCGACGCTCCTGCCGCACCGCCCAGCCAGCTTGCCAGCCGGCATCGCCTCGTCCTCCCCGTCCTGCTCTATACCAACCCATACTGCGTTTGCCAGCACCAAGCCTCTAGCCGAGTCGCTTGCGTGGTGCCGTTCCAACCACTTTGCCTTTCCCTGTCTTGATATCTCGTCAACATGGTTCGTGTGTTTGCTCTCCTGCCGGTCTATGCCCTCTCGCCATCGACTGCTTTCCGTGCCATGCCTGTGTTATCCAGCAACATGCAGCCGGCGTCGCCTATGCGAGACAGCGCGAATAATCGTCTCTGCATCTCGCTCTCTGCTCTCCCCCACCCAGTCGATGCGTGGCTTGACGGTGTTCATCTCGGACCTTCGCAACTGTATGTATTGCTGCTCCTGGAGATTCTGCCACAATCGCTTGGCCCAGAACAGCTCGTTTGGATCATGCCGGATTGTGGCATCCGCGCCGTGTCCCTTGGCATTGCCCTTGCTCCCGAAGCGCTTCCAATGCTCGGCTCACATCCCGTTTCGGCATCCATCACACAGGCCGAGCCCGCGAGCTGGAAGAGAAGAGAGTCAACAAAGAGCTTGCCAATATCCGCTCAAAGTTCAAAGGTGAATCCCGCTCGACTGGTTGCTGGCTCTTCACGAGCTCCGTGGACGCGTGGAGGTCTGCGGCATACGTTTCGCCGGCTGACCTGCCAAGTGGACTTGCTTCTTCTGCGACGGTAATAGATCCGAACCTGAACGGATACCAGAAGAAGAAGTATGTCTGCAAGCTCCTGTATATGTATATCCTCGGCTGGGACATCGACTTTGGCCACATGGAGGCCATCAACTTGCTGTCCTCGCAAAAGTTCACCGAGAAGCAGATTGTAAGTGAGCGGCAATTGCCTCCGCGTTATGTGGATTGACAAGCCTTTCTCGTGCCCTTGCTCCTCTGCGCCTGCCAGTGCAGGCCAATTCTATTGATCCCGTCCGTTGGGCTCGCTCGTCACGATAGTGTGCTCCGATTCCCCGATAGTGTACACCCTTCTGATATTGTGCACTGACCCTCCCGTCGCGCATCCACTACACTTCTCTGCCGCGGTGCTTCCACAGGGCTATCTGGCCATCACGCTAATGCTCAGCGAAAATAACGAGCTGATCCGTCTCGTCGTGAACTCCATGAAGCGAGACCTTGACGATCCCGATGAACTCTTCAGCTGCCTTGCCATCCACGCAATCGCCAATATCGGTGCCAAGGAAATGGCCGAAACCCTCGTTCACGACATTTATCGCCTTTTGACCAAGAGGTTGGCTGGAATATGCGCTCTACTGCTCGCTTAGCCTGTCTGTCTTCGCGTCGCAGCCACGGGTGCCCCCCTGATCAATGCTGGATCATTATCGAGTCCACTCTGTGGCTTGGTCTCGGGCTTGTTTTGGCCTCAGTCGCTCCACAATAGGCCGCTATGAGGTTTCTCTCCGCCAAGCCGAGACGCTGATTCTGACTGGATGTTGTTCCATGCAGCCCCTCTCGCTTTGTCAAGAAGAAGGCCTCGCTCTGTCTCTTGCGTCTGTACAGAAAGCATCCCGAGGTTATTCCTGCTGCAGACTGGGCACCGCGTCTGATAGCCATGATGGACGATCCCGATATGGTCTGTTGCGCTGTGTCGTGCCTGCATTTGATCTGTTGAACAGAGCGAGGCGCACTGCAACCGAGTGGTGAATAGGGGAGGATGCCAGTTGACTTTGCCTGCTCGGCTGAGGGGATTGGCGCCTTGTTGCGAAGTTGCAGATATTCAAGTGCGCCGTTCGCTCTTGCTGATGGCGAATGCTGCAATGACAGGGCGTGTCTCTGTGCGTGACAACCTTTGTGCTGGTCCTCGTTCAAAACTTCCCGGGACCCTACTATGAAGCCGCCGGCAAGGCCATCCGAAAGCTCTACAAGGTAGGTTCACTGTCCCACACCGCAAGTGTCTTGGGGTATCCCCGAGTGCACCATGCTAACTGCGTTCCCTCTCCACAGATCGTTCACGACAAAGAGTACACAACCGATTACGTATATTACAAGGTGCCCGTGCCCTGGATTCAGGTCAAGCTTCTGCGACTTTTGCAGTACTATCCTCCTCCAAGTATGTCGGGCCGTGACGCCGTCGCCAGAGTGTCGGGGGGGGGGGACGCTCGAGCGTTCTGGGCTCTGTGGGCTTGCGATGAGCAGCTCTTCTCATGCTGACGATGATGTGGCCTTTCACCCAGACGATAGCGGACTCAGCAGCCTGATCAATACGGTGCTCCAGACCATCATCAAGAATGCACACGAGATTCCCAAAAACGTGCAGCATAACAATGCCCAGAACGCCATTTTCTTTGAGGCTGTGGGGCTGGCCATCCATATCGACAGCGAATCGGATCTGATTGCCCAGGCCACACGTCTGCTCGGCAAGTTCATCTCCTCCAAGGAAACAAACGTTCGCTACCTTGGCTTGGAGACCATGGCACACATTGCTACGGTGTCACGATCGCTCGAAACCATCCAGCAGCACCAGGAAACGATCATCGAGTCTCTCAAGGACAAAGACATCAGTGTCCGTCGTCGTGCTCTCGACCTGCTCTATTGCATGTGCGACGGCAACAACTCCCGCACGATCGTCTCGGAGCTTCTGCAGTATCTCCCGATCGCCGACTTTGCCATCCGCGAAGAGATTGTGCTGAAGATTGCGATTTTGACCGAGAAGTTCACTGTCGAGCCATCGTGGTACTTGGACGTTGTGCTGCAGCTTATTACCATCGCCGGCGACCACGTCAGCGAGGATATCTGGTACAGAGTCGTCCAGATCGTCACCAACAACGAGAACCTGCAGGAATATGCCGCCACGACGGTCCTGACGGCTCTGCGGTCCCCCACCTGCCACGAAACGGCGCTCAAGGTGGGCGGATACATCCTCGGCGAGTGTGGCTATCTCATTGCCAACAAGCCCGGATGCGCCCCGATGGACCAGTTTTCGATCCTGCACTCCAAGTTTGGCATGTGCTCGGCCAGCACCCGCGCGCTGCTGATGACAACCTATCTCAAGTTTGTCAATCTGTTCCCCGAGATCAAGGACGAGATCATGCGGGTCTTCCAGCAGTACCGCTATGTTCTGGACGTTGAACTTCAGCAGAGAGCCTGCGAGTACTTCAACATTGTGTCTCTCCCCACCGAGGACATTCTTCAGGCTGTTTGCGACGAGATGCCGCCATTCCCGGAGCGCGAGTCGGCGCTGGTCCTCAAGCTGAACAAGAAGATTGCTGAGACGGAGGAGAAGCGCCCCTGGCAAATGGGAATTCTGGCCAATCAGGAGAAGAAGGAGGACCGGCGTCGATCGCTTGTGCGCATGAACGAAGAGGTCTCAAATGCTGCTACCGCGACGCAGGCATCGGCAGTAAACTACAATGGACCCGACGATCTGCTTGGTCTGGAGGTTGTTTCGCAGCCCTCAGCGCAGCAGCAGCAGCAGCAACCCGGCTCCTTTCAGGACGACCCTCTTGCCAAATACGAGCAGAACCTCCAGACCCTGATCATCGAGTCGAATGGCATCCTGTTCGAAAACAGTGTCATCCAGATCGGCATCAAGTCGGAGTACCAGAGCCAGTTGGGCCGCATTGCCGTGTACTATGGCAACAAGAGCGCCGGGGTCATCAGCAACCTGAGCACGTCCGTCGAAGCCCCACCCGGCCTCAAGATCACCCTGACCCAGCCGATTCCTGGAACGATCCCACCCGCAAACCAGTTCAACCAGGTCTATAACCTGGAGTGCTTGAACTCATTCGATAGCCTGCCCGGGCTCACGGTCTCGTTCATGTTTGGCCCCACCAACGTCACGCTCCCGCTGCAGCTGCCGATTGCCCTCACCAAGTTCCTGTCGCCGGTTGAGCTCAATTCGGTCGACTTTTTCGCGCGCTGGCGGCAGATTGGCGGGGCACCACGCGAGACGCAGTCGATCTTCAAGGCACGAAGCCCCATCGATCCCAAGACGACCAAGAGAATCCTCGCGGGGCTGAAGCTCGATCACATCGAAGGCATCGACCCCAACCCGCTGAACACAGTGAGTGGCGCGGTCTTCAACTCGATCGAGATCGGCAAGGTGGGCTGCCTGATGCGCGTGGAGCCCAACATGGAGCAGCAGGTAAGTTGGGCGTGCGGGGTGTCTGGCCTGCGCGGCGGTGTGGATTGTCTGTGGTGTATGCGGATTGTCGGTTGTATCGATGACGTGAAGGAGTGCGGCTCTGTCGATGCCTGACATTCGTCACTGCCCGTCTCCTTGGCGCCAACAGCTGTTCCGGTTGACGATCCGCGCAACCAACGAGAACGTGTCCCAGCATCTCCAGAAGCTCGTCGAAACCGCCCTCGCCAGCGCATAGAGTCATTCCGGACAGAGAATGGGACAACGCCCCTTTTCTCTGGCATCAGAGACCTGAAGTCTGCTGTGCTTCCGGAGACTGGCAGACAGGCCGTACGATTGTCTCCGGCCCTGGTTGACCATCGCTTTGTTTTCGTTGGGTGCGGTGTGGTCTTGAATACATCCTGGTCGATCTCCCGTGGCGACGATCGATCGGCACCTTTGGTCATGGTAGCGGCGAGTGGTGTGTATTCGGGCCATTTGGTCGCAGCCAGAAGCCCAGACATCCCATTTGCTTGTGCAGCGAGTGTCATGAATCCTGTCCAAATCGGGCCGCGTGTTACCTTTGTCCCACCGCGCAGCCCAAGCATGTGACTGCGAAACAAGCCCGCCCCTGTGTTTGTGTCTGTGCGACGGTGCAGCGCGTGGCCACGCGACGAGGAGGGGCAGCCCCAGCCCTTGCCCTGGGCGAGAGCCGCTCCTCGGCGAGAGCGCGGCGAGAAGGGGCGCTGCTGCCTGTGCAACACAGCGACACAGGCCCGCCGAGAGCACAGCGAGGACACAGCGAGGCGTGCCACCCGCAACTCCCTTGGCTCGCTCTCGAGCTCAGAGCGCCGACCTGCTGCTTCTCTGCCCGCTTCACTCCCTGCCACAGACAGCTCGCCGACAGCTCGCCAGAGCCATCCCCTCCCACCATGCCATCGAGTATGTTTGTTTGATGTCCAGTCGAATGTCCGTCCAGCCGCTGTGTGTCTGGCCGTTGTGTGCTGGTATATTCGTCCACCGGGGCGCCCTGTCCTCTGATTCCGACCTTCCTTCCGTCTCCCAGGCTCCGTGTATACTGGCTGGCCTGACACCCCGCGGGCCTCGCGAGAGGAGTTTGTCGAGCTGATCCAGCAGGCTCGTGCCCTCCGCGAGCACCGGCTGACTTCGACCAACTCTTCTGGGGCCTCCATTCGCCAGCACGACCCCTCCCGTTTGATTCTCAGCGGCGATGTGGCTGTCGAGTACGACCTCGAAAAGTCTGCAATCCGCTTGTTCATCAGCTCGACCTTCACCGTAAGTCGAGCTGCAAAGCCCAGTGGGTTTCATCTGCGTCGGTGGCTGCCCAGTTTTGACCGCTGGTCGCTTCTTTGGAGGCTGCGGACGGCAGCAGAACATGCACCCGCCCTCTGTGGCTCTGCCCATGTGTACTCATCCTCTCGATTACAATTGCTGCGTATTTCGCCCGGCTCGCGATCGCCGCTTTGTTCATCCGATTGCCGATGCTGCCTGCAGGGTAAGCTCACCAGAAGCGACGGGTTGCATTCGCGTCCTTGGTGGCGGCAACTGTGTGCTTCAGCCGTGTAGTGCGTCTGAATGAAATTGGCGTGCTGACCCCGGCTCTTCGGCACGATGGCGATGCTCCAGATTACGAATGGGAGAAGAACGGGCTCTTGCTCGACGTCTTTCCGTTTCTGAAGGTGTTCTGCAAGGAGCTTGGCCTGGAGTTCCATCCCTTGGATCTGTACGTATGAGGCCACACCTGCACAAGATGAATCGCACATGCACGCTCCGGTCGAGAGAGTATCTTCTGATTGCAGTCGCGCTGTTGCAGAACCTGGGGGGTCAGCCACTACGATTCCGACGACCATACCACAACTGAGGTAAGCGTGCTTGGAGAGACGACCGTGGCGTAAGAACGGTGACCGCCAGCTGGCTACAATCAGTCAGAGATGTCGATGTTGGTATGAAGGAGCAAAGCCATGCACAGAGGTATCCATGCTCATACTGGGTCGAACAGGTCATCTTCAACGAACTGTCAAAGTCGATCAAGCAGTCGGCCGGCCCTGCATTTGCGTGTCTGCTGGGTGAGTCGTGCCGGCCACTCGGGTTGGACGAGTTGCTTGGGTTGCTTCAGCTCGGCCATGCAACTCTTCCTGGGGACAAGGCGCTCACCATAGCCGGGTCGATTGACCGGGTAACCAACGATACCGGCGTCCGTGTTGACCACTCACGCATCCCTCGCTGCAACCAGGCAACAAGTATGGCTACCGCCCTCCTCCTCGCACGCTGTCGGTCGAGGAATACGACATCATCGTCAACAAGCTGTCGATCGCATCTGAGGGTGATGGAAACGAGATGCTCCGACTCGTTCAGGATTGGTACGAGAAAAACGACAACATCAACCCGCCCGTCTACCAGCTCAAGCGTGTTTCTTCGCACATCCCCAACTTCATCTCGGAGGACCCTGTCCTTCAGGCCGAAGCGCGGGGAGAGTGGGTCAAGGTCTCGATGAGTGTCCAGAGGGCCCTCCGCAAGGGCATCGAAGGGCAGCCCGAGGAGACCACCGAAAAATACCGCTCCTCGACGACACATAGCCAGGTGTCCATCGCAAGCAACGAGACCTTGGGCCGCGAAACCGACAGCTTTTTCTGCTTCCAGTAAGCATGTCCTTGCGTCTCAGCGACAAGGCTTCCTTTTGAGCAGCGATACATGCTTACATATGCCTGGCGAAGAGACTGCACGCGGTAGCTCATCCTCTTGCGTTTGCCATGTCTCGCGTCCTGGCTATAGGCGGAACCTCATCAACCTGGTCAAGTATGCGTCGCAGCAGCATGTCGAGGCCAGCAAATTTATCGATCTGGATATGCTCAACGACAACCATCCGATTGACATGGAGGCCATCGGCCGCATGAATCGCCTGCGAAAATCCATGTTCCCCAACCACGACTACGATATCGAGTGGGACGAGGGCGATGGCCTCAATCCCCTCAAGAGTCCAGAGCAGGAGGCGTACCTCAAGCAGTTCTGCGACGACTTTTCTGTTGCCATCGCCGGAGGGGTCATCGAGGCCTACCAGATGCAGATGGAGAACCCCGAGCTCCATCCCATCGTTCGCGAAGTCAACTCGCATCGTGAGATCGCCATGGAAGAGTGCAGCAAGTTTGTTGGCCGCGAAGAGTTCATGGTCCAGGTCAAACAGTGGGTGCAGCGACCCTTTGACTACTCGGTCTTTAGCATCGTGGGTAAGTAGTCGTCGTGAGCGCATCTCGTTTCGTCGATGTACAGTTTATCCTGGACCCTGTCACCGATTGTCACCGATTGTCACCGATTGCCACCGACTGTCGCCGACGGTCACCGATTACCACATCTCCAGCCGCTCTGCACCTGGCTTATGCCTCCCTCGTATACATCCCTGGCCAAACGACGCAGGCCCCTCTGGCTCTGGCAAGACCGCCTTGATCTCCAAGACCATCCAAGCGATCGGCGTTGCTAATCCTTATGCGCAGGTTGTCTACCGATTCGTTGGCGCAACACCCGAGTCGTCCGACATCCGCTCCATTCTCCACTCGATCTGTGTCCAGATCGGCATCCTTTACGAGGCCGATGCACCTATCCCAACCGAGTTCCCCCTTTTGGTGAACCAACTCACCAAGTTCCTCACGCTGGCGACGTCACTGAAGCCGCTCATTGTTGTCATCGACTCAATCGACCGTCTTGACAGCGACTATCGTAGCCTTGAGCTGGGCTGGCTCCCGAGGCACATCCCTCCCAACGTTGTCTTCATCTTCTCTGCATCTCCGCAGGCTGACGGCAAGCCCATCCCGGCCCTGGCTCGTCTCTTGATCTCCGAGAAGCAAATTTACCATGTCAAGCCGCTGCCTGTCAAAGACCGAGAGTTTATCGTTGCCAGCCGCCTTGGCGCTGCCGACAGAGTTCTGACTGCCCCCCAGCAGGAGTGTGTCAGGACATTCTGCGAGGCGCACGAGTGCCTTGCAGAGGTGGCTTTGTGCGCCGAGATCGCTTCCAAGTGGAGCTCGAGCGATGCAGCTGATCCGCTTCCGTCGTCTCTGGACGAGCTGGTTTCCAAGTCCATTCTGGAACCTCTGGAAAAGAAGCACGGACGACTACTTGTTTCGAAGGCCCTGGGTTATTTGACTGCGTCCCGCTTCGGGCTGAGCATGCTGGAGATGGACGATCTCCTAACACTCGACACCGAGCTCATGGAGTTGATCGAAAAGGTAGCCCGGGAGACATTTGCACGCCACAGGCACAAGTTTATCCTTTTGTTTTTGTCCTCGCTCCGATTCTAGGACCACTGCGCTCTCGCGCCGTCCGAGTGAGTGTGCCGGGTCTCGTGCCGATGCCGGTGTTTCCGAGCTAACGGCCAATCACTGTACCTCTGCCGACAGATCCACAGTCCGTCCCTCAAACGCATCCCCCCTCTCTTGTGGACCTCGCTCAAGCGAGACCTCGAGGGCCTCGTGCGCGAGCAGCTCTCATTCGGAGAGACCGTAACTGTCTGGAGGTACCCTGCCGTCAAGGCTGCGGTCCAGAGAATCTACCTTGGCAGCGACTCTGTTGCGCAGCAGACGCACCGAGCTCTCGCTGAGTACTGGAGCGGCTGCCGCGGCAACATCGATCTTTCGGACGATATTGAAACCCAACCGCTACTCCTGGCCAGCCGCACAGACAGGACCGGAGTGGTCACGCAAGTCTACCATCTCCTCCACGCCGCGGAGTGTACCCAGGCGTTTGACATCATGACCGACCTGCGGGAGATCCAAGGCGCAGCCGAGAAGCAGCTTCTCTTTGCCTTCCTCAAGAACTTTGACATTGCCTCCCGCGAGCACCCGGACAAGATCGACGCGCGTGTCTCTGCCTTCCACAAGTTTGTCCAACGCGAACTCCGGCTTCTGAGCCTCCATCCAGGCATCACCCTCCAGCACGCCGCCAACCAGCCCAAAGACTCGCTCGTTGCCCTCGCTGCTCGCCAGATCCTGGAAGAAAACGGTAGCGTTTGGCTCGACTGGCTGACCCGCGACGACTCGCAGCACGGATGCTTCCAGACCTTTGAGCTTGGCTATGCTGGCGCCTCGGAGGGCTTCAGCATCATTGCCCTCGAGATTGCCAGCAACACGGTCTTTTCGGCCTCGTCGGACGGCATCCTACGCAAATGGGATGTCCAGACAGGGCTCGAGACCTACCGCATCCACTTCCCATCCTTCAATGACGGCGATGGCGTCCTCAAGCCTGTGCTCCGCCTGTCGCACAGCGGGGCCATCCTGGCTGTCTGGTGGCCGACCGAGTCCGTTATCCATCTCATCGACGCGGCCACGTTTGAGGAGAAAAAGTGCTTCGATCTCGGCTGCGACCCCAATTTGTTGGTTGGTGTGCGGGTTATGCAGTGGATCAACGACGACACTGAACTTGCCGTTGCCCTTGGTCAGGGCCGCGACGTCGACATCGACCCGTGCACCTGCGAGCTCTCGGTCTGGGAGCTCGAGGGCTGCACGCTCAAGCAGCTGCTGCTCGAATACGACGGACAGATCGCCATGGTCGACTCTGGCAAGGTCATTATGTTTGGCACCATCGCCAACAAGGACGCGGTGTGGATCGAGCTCGAGACCGGCACCTTTGGGTACGGCCTGTATCCCTCGAAGCTGGATCCCAACAGCGGCGACTACAGTCGCCACGAGGCGCCTCTGGCCCTCGCCATGAGCCACAACGCACTCTTTATTCTCGTCGCAACCTCGCGAGCCATGTCGGTGATCGACACATCCACCGGCAACGTCGTCGGCCTGATCAACAAGAAGCTCGACGACAACGTCAACCTCGCCGCCGTTTCGAACGACGGCCAGGTCGCCCTCTCGAGCTTTGGCGGCGTCGTGGAGCAGTGGATTCTCGTCGCCGACTCTGTCGAGATGCTGCGCATCAGCCGTGATTGCCTGCACACCAATCACATTCACGCCATGCGCTTCGACCACCGGTCCCCGGCCAACATCCTTGCCACGGCCGGCAACGACACCACCATTCGGCTTTGGGACATTTCGCAGGCCAAGACCCGCTCGACCGTCCCAGGCGAATATGTCGAGTGCCCCGGAGTCATCGACTTTGTGCGAAACGCACAGGGCGAGCCCGTGGCGGTCGTCAGTGCCGGCAAGCAGGGCATGCTCGAGATTGTTGATCTCGAGCTCAAGAACAAGATGACGAGCGTGTTCATCCAGGGCATCGAGCAGGTCGTCGCCCATCCCACCGAGCCGTACTACATGTCTGTCTCGATCAACGGTGTCGAGCTCTTCTCGTCGACACCGACGGCCCTGTACGAAGAGCTGGATCCCCTGGCCGAGACGGACCGCGACTGGCCTGTTGCTGGAGAGATCTGCTGTGCCTTTGCGCCCGTTCAGCCCAGATCCGGTGGCGCCGCCTCTGGCCGCGCACAGGACTCGATCGAGCTGGCCGTCGGCTACTCCAACAACGCCGTCAAGTTCTACCACTACACCGAAGGATCGCCGATCCCCGCGCTTGTCGGCTGGTGGGGAAAGGACGATGGCACTCTGACAGGCAACCCCAGCGGGTCGGTCAGCCGAATCGAGCGCCTCGAGTACTCGTGCACCGGACAGCTGCTGGCCGCCCTTACCGACGGCTGGGACGCAGAGCGCAATGTACTCATGATCTGGAAGCGCCGGGACGATGCCGTTGTCGAGTTCAAGAGCCCCCACTCGGGCAAGCCCATCTCGGCATTTGCGCGACGAAACGAGTTCCTCTTGGCGACGGGATCGATGCGCAGCGGCGACCGCACCTCGCTGTCGCAGGACGACTCGGACTACGTCGTGCGGCTCTGGAACTTGGCCAAGGGCACCAGCAGCGACCTGCCGTCGGGCCCTGTCATCTCCATGTCCTGGTCGGATGATGACTCCAAGCTCTTGACGATGCGCGAAGGCGACGGCGCCATTCTTGTCTGGAATCCGGTCTCGGGCCGGTGCATCCACACGATCTGGATGGGCTCCAACATCGCCCCGACTGTCGGCCGACTTTACATGACCGAAGACACGGACTACGTTGCCATCGGCGGCTTTGGCGGCAAGGGCCTGGTCATTGCCAAGCTGCACGGGCTCACGGACCTGGAGGTCCCCGAAGAAGAAGGCCCGGATCAGCCAGTCGTCCCAACCCAGGCGCTCAAGGGCAAGCCTGTGATCTGGCTCCCTTCATCCAAGGGCGGATGGCTCCCGATCGCCATCCACAGCCGCAACTTTGCTGGCCTGATCTTCTTGGTTGCCAACGCTCGGGCGCAGAAGCGGATGCCACAGAAGCTCCTGGACGCGTTGCTGCCGCTGACTTGCGGCATGACCGATCCAGTCGAGCCGGTCTGGGAAGACGGCTTCGAATACCTCACAGCCGAAGGCGCCGAGATCAGCAAAGCCGATGACGGCACCTGGGGCATCTGGCGGGAGAAGCTTGTTATTGCCGTCGGAATGCATCACCAAAGCCTGATCGACGCCCTCCAGCAGGCCGGCGTGACGATCGGGGACACCGTCGGGGACGCCATGTGGCTCTGCGACCTGCTCCGACGCATCCTTCTGCGGACGGACTGGGAGCCCTCGCTCCCGGATGTCACCGGACGGCGCCAGGAGTTCTTCATGCGCGTGGTCTTCCACTTTGGGGAACTCGGCCTCACGGCGCTCCGCATGGAAGGGGCCACGTTTGCACGCGAGGCCTGGCGAAGCAGCGAGAAGGAAGTCCAGGGCCTGTATTACTCCACGATCCAACAGATTGGCCCGGATGCGGTGCGCCGCTGAAGCGACTGGCGATGTTTGTCGCAGACTCGATTTGCATTTGCTTCGTGTTTAGTTTAGCGAGGGGGGGGGCTGCCCAACCTCGATCTGTCTTGTATTCGTTTTCTCTCTCGCTTTGGCCAACTTGGTCTGCCCTATCCTCAGCCTGACTTGGCCAGTGGTTCTTTTCTTTGTCTGTGTCGACTTGTTCTGCGAGCCGTCTCCTGGTCTCGGCCTATTTTGCTCTCTCCCGAGACAGCCATGGAACATGTCGGCTGCAGAATCCCCTCTTCCTCATTGGCTATACCTTGGTGCTACACTTTATTCAGAAAAAAACGGGACAATATAGCCGTTTCCATGAACATGTAGTATGTGATGGCATGCGTCAAGCAAAGCCACAATAAATAGATCAGATCACTTTGGCAGCCTCCGAGTGAAGACCACCGGTCGCCCTCCGGTCTCCACAATCGACCTGCACACTGTGATCATGTTGCGCGCCGCATTGACGTCGCGATTCCACACTGTCTGGCGAATGGTCATGGCCAGCGCGCGATAACATTGGGTAACAAAATATTCGATGAATGGTCAAAAACCCCGGATGTCCCGTTTTTTATTGGATTGCCTGTAACCCGTCCCGCCCGCTCTTGCAGTCGGAGCACATCAGCCGCTTCAATAGAATTGTACGTCGTATTAACAGCAGGACTCGGTCAGCCCACAGCGGAACGGTAGCTGGACACACCGGAAGTGCCTGGTACAGCTTGAAGGTCGCCACCGCCAGAGGAGACGAAGGAGAATGGCGTGAGGCGAGCGACTGTCGGTGAAGTGCGGGGGGTTTCATGCTTCGAGTCCGCGGACAGCTAGGTCCATCAGCATCCTCCCGTAGAGCCGATGGACCCTGGTTACCAGTCGGTCCTCTTCCATTGGGACGGCCTTCGTATCCAGAGCACCGACCCAGCAGGCGTTGCCGTATCGCAGCAGGACAACGCCGTCGCCCTGGTCCGGAACAAACTCGGCCGATATCCAGTTGAGCCCGCCCATGCGCGGCTGGAACGCCCAGCTGTTCAGAATCTCGTTTCCGCTGCGCTCGATGACAGCGAAGGGCGGGACGTCATCGCCGGGCTGGAAAGCCAGCTGGCGAGTCTGGTCGTTGGTCAGGACCTTCCTTGGGAACCCTGCCAAGGTCAGCACCATTCTTTCGAGCGAGAATAGGCTGGAGGTGAAGAACGAGCGGGCGAACTGGGTCGTGATATGGTCGTTCAGAGCCCGACGACCCTCGTCGCTTGCAGGGTCAAACTGGGCACGAAGACTGGCCCAGTCCTTGAGCGACGATGCTCGAACGGTGACGAGGAAACAGTCAAAGTAGTGCGGGAGGTTCGTTGATGCCTGGACGGCGTTGTTCAGGGGCGAGGTCTTGAGAATCGAGTTGCTTGGCACCGGAATACGGCGAACACGCTTGAGAGCCAGTTGGTGGTAGGCCAGGGCGCCTGCAGAGCCGGCTAGGGCCGCGGAGACGGTGAGCCGCACCAGGAGCGAGGACTTGGCCATGGTTCGTCGGTCGGCTTTGGAGACGAAGGCAGTCAGAGCGCCCTGAGACAGGGATTGGATTTATAGGGCCAGCGTGGGCCATCATGCACAGGCCGCAAGCCACGCGCAAGCCACGCGCAAGCCACGCGCAAGGGTCTGCGGCTGTGGCTGTGCGTTTGTGGCTGTGCGTTTGTGGCTGCGCGACTGCGGAGCGGGACATCACGGGGTCGGCCAGTGACACCCGCACTGGAGCCGCACTGGAGCCGCACTGGATCCAGCCCCATCCGCCCTGGCTCTTGGCTGCCCGCCAGCGCGCCCCTGGCTGACCTCGTTTCCATCTCTGCTTGCATCAACCCCATCGCAGTCCCTGCAGCCGTCGCAGCCCACCGCCCCGTCCATTGCACCCACAAGCGACGACAGAAGCCATGGAAACCAACGAACCTTGCAGCTTGAACGTCGATCTTCACGTCAAATACTTCAACCGGTGCACATCGCTGATGCCACAGGACTACACCTCGCTTGACACCTCCAGGCTCATGCTGGCCTACTTTGCCCTCTCGGGACTGGATCTGCTTGGCGCTGTCGACAAGGTCGTTTCTCCCGAGAACAAGAAGCACTGGATCGAATGGATATATGCCCAACAAATTCACCCCGACGAGCGCCCGGAGCTCAAAGGTTGGTCTTGCTGTCTCGGGGTGTAGCGGTCAGCCCAACCCAATCCAACCCGCACACATCAGCGCAATCAACGGCAACCGACCCAGCGTCTCGATGTCGGGCTCCGGTCCACAGCCGCCATGTATTCATGCCATTCAACCCAGCTGCCTTCTCCATTTCGCAGACCAGAGTCTAGGGCGATGCGGATTCCGTGGCTCGCCCTTCATGGGGGCGCCTCACGATCCGCACGCCTGTTCGACGCCATTCACAGCTTACGATGCCAGCCATGTCACAATGTCCTATACGGCCTTGCTGACTCTAATAATCCTTGGTGACGACCTGTCGCGAGTCGACCGTGCGGCTGTCGCTGCTGGAATTAAGGCACTGCAGCTTCCAAGTGGCAGGTACGGTGGCGGCAGCGTTTCTTCAATCCTGGCCCTCGAGCCTATCCGGCAGAGGTCTTGGGACAGGCTCGTTCAGGGCAGCATCGCCCCTCTCGTCAATTTGGTCACCAGCAGCACTCTCTGACACACTTGATGTACTAAAGTCCAATCGGGTCACATTCGCGCTCTTCCCCACAGCTTTGTCGACAGCCTCGGCAACGAAGAGCACGATCTGCGATTTGTCTTCTCTGCATGCGCCGTTTCCTTCCTGATCCGGGACTGGAGCGGCATCGACCAAGATCGCATCGTTGAGCACATCTTGGCTTCTCAAGCATTCGATGGTGGATTCGGTAGAGGTCCCGCCAACGAGGCTCATGGTGGAATAACGTACTGCGCCCTTGCATCTCTGGCTCTGATGGGTCGCCTGGATGCTCTGGATGCCAGCAGCAAGAAGCGGTGCCTGGAGTGGTGTCTGTTCCGCCAGTCCAGTGGATTCCAAGGCCGCCCTGCCAAGATCCCCGACACCTGCTACTCCTTCTGGGTTGGAGCCAGCCTGCATGTAAGTCAGGCGGGCCTTCCGCTCCTCTGATCAATCCGGCACCATACGAACCACTCTGTTCTCTAGAGCACTTGTCCGCACCAGGTGGCTTCACCTCTTGTCCGTACCATTAACGAGCGCCGCCATGGCACACAGATCCTTGGATACTATCATCTTGTCGATACCAAACGAGACCAGGAGTTCCTCAAGACGACGGAAACCGTCTGGGGAGGATTTGGAAAGTATCCTGGCTTGCCTCCAGGTATGGCTTGGGCAGCGAGGGTAGAGCTGATGCAGCCATCATTGAGCTTGTGGGTCTCCTTGCTGAGCAGTTGATACAGACTGCTCTGCTGCTCGTTGCCCTCGGCAACACCCACTCACCATGATCACTTCTCCGATTTACTTACCCACCCAGATATCATGCACTCCTATCTTGGTCTTGCTGCAATGGCCTTGAACGGAGCGCATGGCGTGCATGGGCTCCACTCGAGTCTGAACATCTCTGCCCCGACCTTTGAGCGAATCAAGTCCCAGGTCGTGTGGTGGCGAGACGAGTAGTCCATCGGTCAACGAGGCCCGTGCAAGGACACCGGCTCTATGCTCGATCCAGCGCATCGAAGGCGCCGATCTCCTCTGCGATGGTCTACTTGTATGAGGGAACACAGCTGACAGCCGATGGTCTGTAGCTAGCGCAGGCTCGGCCGGCCCAGTCTCAGCCAACAGCAGCGCCGAATCAATGAACAGGATACCCTGGCTTCATTTTGAATGGAATACATACACAGCCATCGTCTAAAATGTTCATGCATTCCGTTCATGCAGAGCAAAGGATATGCCCCCCTGTTCGTCGTCCGCAAGGGTTCATCAGGATGTGCCCACACTGCTGTAGATGGGGTTGCGCCTTACAATCCACCAATTTGATGTTTCGCACCTTCTCATCGCGGATCATGCTGACATTGGCGCGCAAGTGATCACCTTTGGACCAGGTCAAAAATGAACCCGGGACATGTTCGCACTCTAAACTCCAGCATCCTCGCTCATCGGCTGCTTGCTTTCCCCCAGTGGGCACGACGGAGCCACCAGGGACTCACTGGTGCAAGAGGCGATGCTGTCTCGCCAACAACAAACATCGTGACTCGCCACCCAACAGCTGGCTCGGTATATGAGTGACGCAGCCGCCAGAGCTTAACAGGGCATTCGTCCTGCCACGATCGAATATGCGACCTCGCCAACTCATCGCTCTCGCCCTCTGCATCATAACAGGCGCTCGATCGGCCCGGGTGCCTGGTGGTCAGCATCCTGGTCAACCATCTGGATCATATGGAACATCGACGACGCCAGCGACGTCTGTGGTTGGCACCTTTGCCGAGCCGGTCGAGGTGTCCGGCCAGGCTCTCGACGAAATGAAGGTAAGAGTCGCTCCGACGATTTGAGAGGAAGGAGCTCGGGTATGTTGGAGCAAAGCGGATGGTCGCCGAGCTCTGGTGTTCACGGCGACAGACAAATCCAGACGCATCGGCCAAGGCAGCACTGCATTCACACGCTCGGCTGGGCCATCTTGCGCACCACTGCTGAGTCGACCGTTCCGTCTGCCACAGTCTTTGATCGGCTATCTGCAAAGCACATATTGCGTCGATGGACTCGACACATGGTCGTGCAGCACCTGTGTTGGGCCGACCGTGGGAACATCCGACGTGCGACTCTTTGGTCAAGCCGACCGAGTGTTTGGGTAAGATGGATCGAGCTTCGATCGACGAGGGCGCACGGCCCGATCATTTACCATTTTCTAAGCTTCAGTCATCGTGGCTTGACATTATTGCCGTCGACAGATATGCGGCCTTGCACCGCACTCGCAACCTGACGATTGTCGCCTTCCGCGGCTCCCGCAACTTCAACAACTGGATCAACAATATCATGATGGCCAAGCCAGACTGCCCGTTCCCAGGCGCCCCGACCGGAACAAAGGTCCACTACGGGTTTCTTCAGAGTTGGCAGTATGTCCGGGCATCGGTGCTGGAGGAACTCGCAGCCCTGATTGCGCTGGCTCCAGAACATACGGTGCTCTTTGCCGGGCACAGCTTGGGTGGCGGTAAGTAGTCGCACCGACTCATGTTTCATCGAACGCAAGCGCCGAGATGGCGGATGTCCTCTGGGAACATGTGCTCCGCATCCGTGCCGGTAGCATATGGAGATGGGGCCTGTGAATCGCGTTGCATCGCCGATACATTGGTTCCAGCCCAGAGTCACTCATGGAGCCGCTCCCACATCTTTGGTCGCCGGGATAACAATAGCCCTCGCCTTGCTTGCCGCTGCGGATGCCCTCACCAGCGGGACCGCAGGGCTGGATTCCAAACGAATGCGGATCTTCACCGTTGGCCAGCCCCGAGTCGGCAACTCGCAGTTTGCCGACTTTGTGTATGGGCTCGGCGTGCGCACCATCCAGCGGGTCGTCAACCAGAACGACTTGACCCCACATCTGCCGCCAACCTTCTCGGGCTTCTGCCATGTGCCGAATGAGATCTGGGTCCGAGATGCAAATGGCACCACTTTCGAGTGCCTCGATACCAACGGACACAGCCTCAGGTTGGATCAACCCGAATCTCTCAGGTCGCTCCAGACACAGATGCTGCGAGCACCCAAGAAGCGACTCAAGGGCGCTGCTCAGGATCTGGTTCTGCAGAGCGACAGTCCAGACGATATGCTGGAGGATATGCCAGAGGATACCCTCGCGAACCTGCTCGCTGACTTTACCGAACAAGGCATGGATGGCCTCGAAAGCGACCTCTGCTCCAATGGATTGAAGACCGGCTATGCGGCAACTGAACACTTGCGCGTTTGGGGTATGAAGCTTGGCATCAAGGGCTGCGATGTTGAGAGTTAGCTGACGCCGTGCTCGAGGCAAAACCCAGGCCAGTGCTGGCCTGGGGACACATGGGGTGAGCGGAGACGACCGAAACTCGACGAGACGTCGTAGATGCAGACAAACGGGTCTGTGCACGAGGACATGTGCGAGAGGAAGATGCAGGACAAGAACGAGCTTGGCGGTTCCCTCCGAACAAATGTTGAAGAAGCCAATCACAAACATGATCACTTGCAGCTCGCTCACAAGCCATCCACGTGCTCGGGGTGTCCCGTTTCGGTCGGGAAAAAGTCGTATTCTTTTGGAAGGGACGATACAATAGAGGCAGCGCCGTGCCTGGTGCGTCGGTTTGCATCTCAGCGGAATATCGTCACTGCCGGTATCGACCAGCTTCCCTGGCGAACAGCAAAAGCGCCCCCGACCTCCAGCCCACCTTCGCAGCTGTCCTCGGTCGCATCAGCAGTCACGCCGAGGCCGCGATCCGCAACTTCCTGCCGTTGTCTCCAGAGCGAGAGGAGATGAACCATGGGGCTGTGCATAACCAAAGAAGTCCGAGAGATGCGCCAAAAATCACAAAACATCGAAAAGATCATCGAGGCCGACTCGCAAAAGTTCAAGAAGGAATGCAAGATTCTGCTGCTGGGTAACCTATCTTTTCGCTGGCGCGGGCACACCCCTTCCCAACTTGCAGGCGTGTCGGGGGAAACCTGCGCTGCAGCATTCGCCTAAATGTGTGCGCAACCACATTCGCGTGGGAAAAGTGTGGGGCAAAGTGGCATTGACTGGCGACGATTCTGGCCGCGGACGGGCGCTGCCGCTGAGAGCGGTCCTTTCCCACAAGGATCGTCTATTCGCTCCCGGAAATCCGGCGCTGGGATATTCGCCTCCTCGCGGACGCGGCCGACAGGACCTTTTCAGAAGCACGGCATAAGCAAGGGCGGGTGTCGGCGCCGTCCGGGCTGGCCTGCATGCCCTCGGCCTCGGTCTGCGCTATTTGGACTGAATGAATGGCTCATATCCCTTCATTACCGCCACCAGGAGGAGGCGAGTCAGGAAAGTCCACGATTGTCAAGCAGATGAAGATCATCCACCAGAGTGGGTACAGTAAAGAAGAGCTCCTCACCTTCCGGCCAACGATATACCGAAACATCATCGACAGCACGCAGGCCATACTGCAGGCCGTCAAAAAGTTTGGACTGACCTACACCAACAACGACTGCGAAGTAAGCACAGCCTCGCCTTGGCTGCGGTTTGGAAGCGGATGATGGCTCTTGATCTTGGTGGAGGCGTGTCTCCACCATCAGCGACAACACCACGGTCTTTGCACTTTCGTTGGTTTTGCCGCCGGATATTGGGTTCGCATGCTTTCTTGGCCTGCTAACGACATCGCTGGCATCGCTGGCATCGCTGGAAACTATGAAATATGGGGACGCGCTTCTGATCGATATCGATCCTCGGACTGTTTCTGGTGACCCGACTCGGGGATGATGTCGCCGCCCCAACACACTGCAGCGCCTCGAGAAAAAGTACGCCGGTCTCCGGATCGAACACGACAGCAATTTTCGGATCACCCCCGAGATCAGCGAGGATCTCTCACAACTATGGGCCGACCCCACCGTGGTGCAGTTGATGGATCGGAGCAGCGAGTTTTACATCATCGATTCCGCGCCATAGTAAGTCGGCAGCCTGAGGAAAAGAGGCGAGATCGAGCCGCTACACATGATCGGCCTCACGCCCGTGGTCCTGAGCTGCACGTCTTCGGCACTGATGCTTGTGCGTGTCCATCACGCAGCATGGCATCCTCATTATTCCCATCATCTTTGCCCCCTATACCAGCTTTTTTGAAAACATCAAGCGCATAGGCACGCCGGACTATATCCCGCTCGAGCAGGACGTTCTGCGGGCACGAACCAAGACGACAGGCATTACCGAGACCCGGTTCAACATGGGGCAGCTCAATATTCAGTAAGACGCTTAGCTGCTTGATATCACTATTTGCCCGTATCAGTCTTTGCCGATGGCGTGTACCCGATGATGAGCGGCGATGCTGATGCAACAAGCCCATATTGCCCGCCAACTCTACGACCAGCATGTTCGACGTTGGAGGACAGCGATCGGAGCGAAGAAAATGGATCCACTGCTTCGAAGCCGTGACGTCGATCATATTCTGCGTGGCACTGAGTGAATATGACCAAGTGCTCCTTGAGGAGGCCGGACAGGTTGGCAGCTTCACCATTCGCGCTACTTGCTTGCAGCTCCAGAACCGCATCTTGGTTCTCAAGCTCATTCTGCTGCGGTGTCGGGTGCCATCGTATGATGCGATTGCATGGCCCTTCGCTTGCGCAGATGAGGCTCTTCACCGCAGGCCCAAGCTAACTCTCGCATGCCTTGACCAGAATCGGATGGTCGAGAGCCTGACGCTATTCGAGTCCATCATCAACAGCCGGTGGTTCTTACGGACAAGCATCGTGCTGTTTCTCAACAAAATTGACCTCTTTAAAATCAAGCTCCAGAAAGTTCCGCTTGAGAACTACTTTCCGGAATACAAAGGCAAGGTGTTTGCATCGTGACCGCATATGCCACTCCCATAACCGCGGAGACAAACGGCCGAATGTCTGACGGGCCATTGACTCGGTTCCTATGCAGAATTCGCCGGCGGCGCAGACCTCAACAAGGCCGCCAAGTTTATCCTATGGAAATTCACCCAGGTCAATCGAGCACGGCTAAATATCTACCCACAGTACGTATGACGGAGCTCGATCGAGATGATTTAGTTCAATATGGTTGCGTTCGCTTGGCTTGTCTCTACTCTGTCGCCGAAGAGGGCAGTGGTGTGACGAACGTGCTTCGCCGGACTTGCTTGCACTCTTGAAACATCGGCCGAACGACGCTCCTTAGTGACGAACTTTTCATATTCTCACACTCAATGCTGACGATGGTTGTATGGCATGTGCGAATGCTGTCCACCGCAGTCTCACACAAGCAACAGACACCTCCAATATTCGGCTTGTGTTTGCAGCGGTCAAAGTAACAATTCTGCAGGTTTGTGTGGGGGTGTGGATGTGGATGTGGATGTGGATGTGGATGTGGATGTGGATGTGGATGTGGATGTGGATGTGGATGTGGATGTGGATGTGGATGTGGATGTGGATGTGGATGTGGATGTGGATGTGGATGTGGATGTGGATGTGGATGTGGATGTGGATGTGGATGTGGATGTGGATGTGGATGTGGATGTGGATGTGGATGTGGATGTGGAGATGGCTATGATATGCAGTGCTCTCCGGCATATAATCAAGAATAGCGCTTCAACTCATGACGTTAACTTTGCGCCCATAACCGTAACAACCAATGGCCTACAGAATGCGTTACGAGACTCGGTAGGTGCACATACGAGCACGCATGACTTGGCGTGGGGTTGTGGTACCGACTTATTCGTACATATGGCCGTCGTTGTTCATACGACGCCCATGTTTAACCTTGGCCTGCACATCAGGGCATCATGTAGCGGCAGCGCTCTTCCTCGGCAATATTTCTCGGTTCCGCGTCGCCGTTCGCCCTCCAAGATGTGAAGACCGTACCAAGGTTGCTACCACAGATGGCCAAGATGAGGCATCGAAGAGCCCAGACGGGGGGGGACGAGCCAACGGACCGAGCAAAGAAGCAGTCTGTGCGAGATTCGGAGACCACACCTACCTGTAGGTGGCTTCAGACAAAAGTGTAATTATTCAGCCCCCATACCGGAACCATGTCTGCAGCCCCCATGCACCTCGCTGGTGTGGAGAACTGACTGCCGTTGACAGACAACGGGATTGGGACGGACGATGGAACCCTGTGACTACAGCTCGAGCTAAAAGTCGGCGTGTGGTCTCAGAGTTGACAGTCCAGACCCAGCTTGCCCACCAGCGAGGAGCCGTGGGAACCAGATCGGCCGTTGGTGTGTTGGTGTGTGTGTGTGTGTGTGTGTGTGTGTGTGTGTGTGTGTGTGTGTGTGTGTGTGTGTGTGTGTGTGTGTGTGTGTGTGTGTGTGTGTGTGTGTGTGTGTGTGACGGCTCGAGTGTGGATCGAGTGCACTCGACCCGCATCCGCGAAAAACGCAAAAATCGGCGCTCGATATTGCGTTTTCCTCGTCGCCGCCATTCTTTCGTTCTGGACCAGGACACCCCGCATCACTCGACAGACAGAGAATCTCGGTGGAAAAGATGGTCCTGACCAAGTCCCTGCACTCGAATCTCAGCCTCGTTCATAAGGTACCCCCAGCACGGCTCGCATGTCGCTGGTGCGGGTGCAACGGGCGATAGCGATGGCGCCTGCTCCTTTTTGGTTTGCGGCGCTGTCGCCGTTCTCCTCGATCGATTCCTTTTCCTCGCCATTCGCGGCCGGGCCGGGCCGACGAGGCAGCAACCCGACAGATCCAGCTCGGATACACTAACATTCCAATAATTGAAAAATAATCATTGTGCGTCTCCGACCAAATCAGCGTGGCATTCACGATGTCGTCAAGCGATCGACCGCCGGCGAGATCTTTGTGAAGCAAGGCCCCGGCGGCCGCTCCTCTGTCTCCGGTACTGTCGATGGACAATCCACGTTTCCGCTGTTATCACTGGATGGATGCAGGTCCTATCTTTGACGGCTGTGGCAACCGACACGAATCTCCAGTCGCTTCGCGTTGGAAGTGGACCTCGCCGTGCAGTCCCGGTTGATAGCCGGTGTTGGATCGTCGCGGCGTTGCTCACTGCTGTCTCTGACTCCTTTGTTTGGCTGCAGGCCATGTCTCCACTGTCTTTGGCTGTACCGGATTCCTCGGCAGATACCTGGTCAACAACCTTGGTGCGTACGCAGCCGAGATCAGCATACGCTAGCTAGACAGCATGGAACGAGGCGCTGTGGATGTATAGACGAACCGCCGCATCGGTTTATGAACAGCGGCAATCGCGACCTATGTTATCGAGATGATACCAAACGCACCCCGACACACACAACCTTGGGATTATGAGACGTAGTGCACCGCGGACGGCAATCTGCATCGCTCGGAAGCAGAGTACATGCGTACTGGCAATGAGGCTGTGGCTGACGATCGCGGCTTTTGCGAATCTGCAACACAGGCAAGAAGGGCACCCAGGTCGTCATTCCGTACCGCGGCAACGATGACGACAAGCGCCACCTGAAGCTTATGGGCGATCTCGGCCAGATCGTGCCGCTGGTAAGGCCCACCGATCACTCTGCAGCGTATCTAATCAAACAAGCCGGTCGCCAAAGAAATGCGCGCTTCGGGGAGACACGAATCGACTCGGCTGATGCGTCTGCTCTCTGTCGTGCCAGCGCTTTGATATCCGCAACGAGACCCAGATTGCCGAGTGTGTCCGTCACTCCGACGTCGTCTATAACCTGGTCGGCCGCGACTTCACCACCAAGTAAGCCCCACTGCCGCATCTTTGCCTGCCTCCTGCCCTACGAGCCCCTTTGCCACGGCGGTGCATATTGACATTCTTCCTGTGGTTTCCAGGAACTTCTCCTTCGAGGCTGTGCATGTCGATGGCGCCAGACGACTGGCTCGCATTGCCCGTGAGGAGGGTGCGACCAAGTTCATTCATGTCTCTGCCCTCAACGCTGATGTCAACTCGACTTCTGCGTTCCTCCGATCGAAGGTACGAGTGGCCAGCAACAGAGTACGGTGCGACATTACAGGCGCGCTCAGGACCTAACAACTCTCATCGGACCTGGCTAGGCTCTCGGTGAGATTGCGGTGCGCGAGGAGTTCCCTGAGGCCACGATCGTTCGACCTGGATACATGTACGGAAAGGAAGACAAATTCTGGAACCGCTTTGGCTGTAAGTGCGAACGGGCGGGTTGATGGGTTGATGGGTTGATGGGCTGATGGGTTGATGGGTTGATGGGTTGATGGGTGGTATCTGGGTGCGGCTTTCGCAACTTTCGTCGGCGTTGATGCTCGACATCCTCCTTGCGCCGCAACACCATTGTGAGACAGCCGAGCTAGACTGGTTAACCCGCTCTGTTTGTCATGCTAGGGTGGACAAAGTGGGTCCCCGGACCGACCCCCATTCCCAACGGCGGCAAGACTCTGCTGAGACCCGTCTATGTAAGTAGATCGCATCTGCCGGCAGGCGATCGGCTCGACGACACGCGGCGATGGACCCCCAGATTCGTCTCAGCCTTCTGAGCCGGTGTACAAGGGGATCAATGCGATGCACTATAGCTGAGACATTATTCGACGGCTTTAGGTTGGCGATGTTGCCAAGGCTCTTGCCGCCATGGAGTCTGACAGCCAAGTTGCCGGAAAGATCGTCGAGCTCTACGGGTAGGTGCTGTGCCGCTCCGCATATCTGCCCCATGGCGTTGGATCCCATCCCGCATCTCGCTGAGCTGACACAGCTGTCCCCGTCAGCCCCTACGAGTACCGTTACGGCAACCTGTTCAAGTTTTTCTGTGATATGGCCATGCATCCCCACGAGACCTTCCCCGTCCCAAAAGCTGTCTACAAGTAAGTTTGCGGGCGCCGTTCTGCCGCTCGCTCACATCCGCTCACTGGAACGCAGGTCGAACCAGCCCAATGTGTGCTCATCAATTGCCCCTGCTGCTCAGGCTCTTTGGCCGTGCTCTGGACACCGTCATGGTCTTCCCTCATATCACCGCCGATGAAGTCGAGCGAGTAAGTCGGATGCGATGCAAGCAGCTCCCATGTCCTCTGCAGCGCCGTACATGCTGCGGATGAATTCTAACACCGTCCTTGCTAACTGCCGCCACGCTCCGGTGCGCCGCCAGCTGTACATCAACGACCAAGCCACCCCTGGCGCCCTGACCTTCAAGGACCTCAGTATCGAGCCGCTCAGCGTCGAGGACACCATCAGCCGATTCGTCCGTCTATACCGCTCCAACCAGTTCCAGCACGCTCCTTTCGAGACCATCCTCAAGAAGTACCAGACCACCGAGTGGAGAGTCTGAGTCACGCAGCAGGACGCCGGCTCTTGCCGCGCCGTAATACACTTTGCAGAATGAAACGGAACATCCCGTGTTTATGGCTCTTTTTTTTGGATGGGAATACAGATGCATCCATAATTCGCCACTTGCTGAGAGCCGCATCTCTCAGGCGAGGCAGTTGGATAGTTTGTGTGCGGTATGGAATGCGGAGCAGATGATCACGGATGCTAGATCGCACTCGCTGGGAAATGGTACAATCCATCGGCCGTGGACGCGGCTCAAGCCAAGACAACCGTATCCCAAGACCAGCGTATTTCAAGAGCAGTCGTCAATATATTCTCAACACATTGAGCCTAGAGGTTGGCCAGGACAGTAGCGGCGGCCGAGCGCTGGATATCTCTGGCATCGACGCCGACGTACTTGACAGTGCCGTTGTCGACGATGAGGGCGAAGCGCTCGGGGCGCTTGAGGTAGAATCCGGCGCGAGGGCCTGAGAGCAGCAAACTGTCAGGAGATGGTGCCGCGACTGGGGCTGCCCAGCGGCAAATAATGGTGCCGGGTAAGAGCATACGGCATAGCACTTACTGGCGGTCGAGTCGACGGTCAGGCCAAGCTTGTCAAAGAACTCGGCGTGGGCGTCCGAGAGCATCAGAATCTTGGAGCCAACACCAAGGGCCTTGCCCCAGGCATCCATGACCCAGACCGAGTCGGTGCTCACGCAGGCGACGGTGTCGACGCCCTTGGCCTTGATTTGATCATAGTGCTCCAGGAAGCCCGGAACATGGGTGCCCTGGCATCCAGGACTGAAGTGCGAGAGCAGACAACGACAAGTCAGCCCTCAGTTGCGGTGCAGCAGATCAATCGCCCGCCACGCGGATGAAACTCTCTGGATGGTTAGTGGAGGAGGGGCGATCGCGAAGCAGATCAAGCGCTGGGCCGACTGGCGGCGTAGTAGTACCTGTAGGCAAAGGGAACGGCAAAGATGACGACCTTCTTGTTGTTGAAAAGCTCGTCAGACGAGATGGTGCTGGGGCGAGCACAGGCACCGACTTCCTCGGGGTTGCCAGAGTGGCCAAAGGTGGCAGAGGGGATGCGGTGGTTGACCTCGATCTGGATGTGTTCACGCGACGAAGCAGGACGCATGTCAGTGGTAGATCACAACTTGGGCGAGTGATACTGCTGAGCGACATGCAAGATGGGCATCTCCAATGCGGTGGAGAAGAGGGGAGCGATCGAAGAGGAGCGCCGCCAGCACCATCAAGGAACGCAGTGCATGTCGCGGTTGGAAGAAGCGACGCAAGAAGCCAGGGGGGCCGGGTCTGCTGCTCCAGAGAGACGATCGGCGAGGAGCACAGTCTGCAGACTTACGGGAGCCATGGCAATGCGGTAAAGCTGCGGACGACGGTTGTGGAGGAGAGAGCGGTGGCTGTAGGGGGGGGGCAGATGGCGACCAAGCAAGCCGCGGCGAAGGGCAGCTTCAAATACTGGGCTGAGAACGGCGCCGCCTGCGTTTCCCTGGAGCAACGCGGGGCAGGCTCGGATTTGAAACGGAGCCCGGCGCAGCGGGATCACGGCCGCGGGAATCGGATGCTCGCTGGCGATGGAATCGGATGCGGATGAAATCCGCCCGTCGATCCGATACCAGCGAGGAGCGAGGCGGTGGATGCGGTGGATGCGGAATGGGCAGCATAACAGAGACATGGTGTCGTCGTCGGAAGGATGATTGCAGAGCGACAGTATTGATATGAACAGCAAGCAAAGTACATGAATAGACAGGCAGAATACATGAGCAGACAGGCGAAACACATGAATAGACAGGCGGAATACAAAGCACATGTCCGTATGCGCTTGAGGAGCGTATGTGGGTCCGATTACGACTCTGTGCTATATCGAGACGGCAGAGTCCATCGTGCTGCTGTCGTCGACTGTCGAAAGGCACGGGTTGCTTCTGAAGCCAGCTGGCTGCTGGGCCATGCCGTTTTCTCGCACAAAATATTCATCGCATTGCTGGTCCGTGAGGGTCCCGCCGTAGCGCACAGGCACGACCTCGGGCGAGAGATATCGGAGGAGGCCCTCATGCATCTCTTTGGGCCCGAGCATGATGAACTTGTCGGCTACCGACGGATCCAAGAAGGACTTGATGACCTTCCAAGTGGTCCACAGGATCCAGTTTGTCGGAAAGACAATGACCCGCTGGAGAATCTGGGGAAACTTGTCCTGGAGAACCCGGATGAGCATGCGGTAGAACTGTGCAGTGCGAGCCGGGCAAAGCGGCAGACAAAAGAGCAAAGCCGGTTGGTGGTAAGTAACTCTGGGCCAGTGCAGACGAGCGAGGATGAATGGGCGAATGACCGGATGAATGGATGAAAGGCTGAATGACCGAATGGCTGAATGAATGGATGAATGGATGAACAGACGCTTGCCGAGCCAGCAACACAGCAGCCGCCACGCCAAACGAACCTGCATTCCGTCGAGGTTCTCTGAGCCGACATCGGATTTGTCGACAACAATGGTCAGCCTGTCATCCAGGATGCTGTCGGTGCAAACATGATCAGTGAGCGGGGGTTGCCAGCTGGAGGAGAACTCAGTCGGCCAAAGCTCGGCCGTGCATAGCCCATTCGCTGCGCGGCACTGCTGTTCGATCGCAAACGCACCCGTCCCGAATGGCCTGCTCGATGGTGCGGACAATGAATCGGATGCGATGGTCGGCTTTCTTGACGTCGGCAACGTGGCGGCTGCCCTTCCAGTACAGGATAGCCGAGCCATCTCGGGCTTTGCCCTGGAAACACAGCTTGCGAGACTGGACCTCCTCGGCAAAGTTCTCGTGCCAGATATCCTGATACCGGAACTCCCGGCGCCATATCTTCAGCAGCAGGACGGAGGGACGGAGGGACGGACGGATGGCAAGTGGGATTAGCACACAAGCCGATCAATGGCCCATCGGCCGGGAGGGCACCAAGCTCGCACCGGAGGACCGGCTTTACCAGTGTGTTTTCGATGGCCTTGAGGGCTACATCGAGGTTGCCGCCGGCAGAGATGTAGTACTTGCGGATCCACCAGTCCGAGAGCTGGCTCGAGTCGAGGGCCTCGAGATCGGGGCTCGATCGCACTCGGGATATCAGTTCCTTTAGAGGGGGGGGGGCGGTTTCGGGTGTGCCAGAGTCAGCGCACATCGATGCCGCATCCCTCAGGCGAATGCAGCGACAGGGGACACAGTCCTGCACGATGGCCACGACCGTTTGCGCAGCGTCCGTGTGCCCAACAGAGGAGCGGGCCTGTATCTGGTCTGGTCTGGTCTGGTCTGGATGAAGCAGCCCTCTGAGGGCCAGTGCTCACCTGTAACTTGGCAGTATCGACAGTGGTGATCGACATGTTGGACGAGGGTGTTAGAGACGGGGGAAACGTGGGCTTTGAGGCAGATGCAAGCGACGAGCAGGATGGACAGTTTGGATGGAGTTTGTGGGGGCGGGACTGGGCCAGCCAGGAGGATGCTGGGGGCACCTTGGGAGACGGGGGTGGCCAAAAGGAGCAAGTCCGGTGGCCCACAACAAGGCCGCAGAAACGGCAACAGACATGCGTGACCAACATCGACGCAGACCTCCTCCTATTCTTGGCTGGGCTTGGCTGTCGGGCGGTCACCCAACCTCCCAGCGCACCAATGCCTGCTTGGCATGTACATCACCGGCTCACAAGCAGTGGCACATCGCCCTGCTGTGCGGTCTGGCCGCACCCGGGGGTCACTGCGTCGCTGGCTACTGGATGGCACCCCGGCAGACGGGGGGAGTTTATTTCTGCGTTCGGTCGTACTTGGCGGAAATGATCTGCTTCTTGTGCTCGTACTCGTCCGAGATCTGCTTCATCGTTCGGAGGTACTCGCTCTCTTTGCGCTCGAGCTTGCGCTTATCCTTCCAGTCGTATCCCCAGACCTCGGATCTGGCACAGGCACGACAGCGGTGTGAGCGACGGCAAGCACGAGGACATCGGATCGGGGCAAGCGCGAAGACAGCGGGGCAATCTCAGCGCGAGACCCGATCGATGCAACGGAAGGGGAGGAAAGGCACGCCAGCAGCCACCTACCGCTTGGGGAACAGAATCATCATATCCGTCAGCGTTCGTTGCAGCGTCTCTCGGAATTTGAAGGCCGAGGTCTCCTTGCAGCGAATGCTGCGCGAAATCGAAAACTTGAGCTGGTCCGTGTCGATGGCGTAGTTGACACCATAGCCGTCGACCACCACCGGCCCGAAGCCACCGAAAAAGTGCTTGCCGGGGGAGACGTTGCTCGAGGACAGCCGGAAGTTGACGCTTCGGGAGAACGCCGGATCCTTGAAAATGGCCATGCCGGCTTCGTTCTCGGCATCCTCCTTGGTGATCATGCTTCTCAGACCAAGGAAGTGGCGGTCGATGCCCTTGCCCTGGCTCGCCTCGCGGACATACTTGGACTGCGCCGCGACGGCCTTGCGGAAGAGCTGGGTCTTGTCCTCGTACTGCAAGCCAAGGGACCGCCCGGCACATTAGCGTACGGATGGTCTCGCAGAGGAATGTGATGCGGGACAGTCACCGTTCCCGACTTGCCCATGCGCTTCACTGCTGCGTGCATGCATCGATCCACTTACAAGGACATTGTCGTCATCAAAGGCCTTGCAAAAGTCCCAGGACTCTTTGGAAAGGCTTCGCGCGGTCTCGGTGCGGCCGTGCAAAAACTGGCGTGTCGAGACCGACTCGTAGACTGCCGTGGGGTCGTTGTGCAGGCGTCTCCATGTGAGCTGGAGCGCCATCTGGACATAGGCATCGGGGCTGGCGCCGGCTGAGGAGGAGGGGGTGGCAGTAAGAGAAGGGCGTGTAAGAGCACATACCGGCGTCGCTCGAATCATTTCGGTCGCATGCTGCGGCACCCAGACTGCTTCTGTCCGGATAAGAAGCCCAATACGCCACCATCATCACCAGGCTCCAGTACAACATAGACAAACACCTACCGACTTCCTTGATATAGCGGGCACCGTAGGCGTCGGTGTGGAGGATGCAGCTCTCGATGTTTCTGGCGGCGTGCTCGGAGGCAAACAGGGCTTCATCGATGGCCTTGGTGACCTTTTCGTCCACGATCCACTCCAGTCGTCGAACCGAGGGCACGGCGAACTGCTCCACGGAGGCGGGATCGACAGCAGGCTCACTAGCGATCATCGGGAACGACATGCAGAGTCAGTCGCAAGGGCTGATACAGTACCATCGCGGCAATCCCACTCGCGCAAGTCAGCTTGTGTGTGCAGCCAAGAGCGCCGGGGCTTGCATCTCTCGCCCGGAGAGGACAAGACTCACTTTTGGACGATGTAGTCCATCATTTTACCGGCAATAACGGCATCTGCGGGAGAGTGCTGCACGCACAGTGATGCAGGTTGTCAGCCATCCGCTGCATTCCAAGTCCTTGCGTTTCAAACAGCCAGATACTAGCTCATCCTGCCAGTCATGCTGCTGCCGCTGCTACTGTCGTCGTTACCTCTCCGTTGATGCCGGCACGGCCGTTGTTGGTGACGATCAGCTGGATAGCCTTGTCAAACCAGCGGTTGGAGCCGTCAAAGTTGTGGAAGAACTGCAGGTGGGATCGGTCAAAGTTGGCAACGGTGGACGAGTCATCGAGGCAGACGACAAAGAGCGCGTCCTGGATGATCTTCATGTTCTCGGCATTCTGCTTGTCCAGCGAGAGTAGGTGCTGGTAGGTCTGTGAGCACAATTGGGACGGGAGAAGCAGGCTCAGCGACGGAGTGCCATGGATGCATGCATTGGCTGCTGGCGGTAGGGTCGATGCGCCGTCGTGGGTCGCATGGACGTGTGCATACAAATCGTACCTGTGTCCAGGTATCGCGATCGACAGCAGTCAGCCGCCCAATGGCAGGCTCGGGAGCGTCATGCAGACTGTGCTCGGTGATCTTGTACAGCGATCTGGGGGGAGAACGGCAGCGAGAGTTTAGTCTAGCGGCCAGTCGACGGGATTGGTGTTCTGCCTGTGCTTGAGCACGGCCATCTAGCTGAGGAGGATCCGCTTGCTCCAAAGCCCGCTCTGTACAGATCAATACGACAACTCTGTCTGGTTGAAATGAATCTCGATCCTCGCTTGTTCGAGCCGCCATGTTTACCTCTGAAGATCGTGGAGAGAGAGCCGAGTGCCGTCGTCCTTTCGCACATCCATCTTGAAGATCTGGTTGCTGGCCATGACGATGATGTGGTTGGCGGTGGCAGGATGGTTCAGAATGACGGTGTCGGCGTTGGGGGAAGGAACACGTGTAGCGCCGAACTGGTTCTTGTACTGGCTCATGCAAAGCGGCTGGCTCTTGACATATTCTGGGGCGATCTGGCCACTGCAGAGAGAGCAGCAGGGCATCAGTGGATATGTTTGCGACAAAGAGCACGGCCGATGGCGACAAAGGCGGAAAGGAGCCCGACACCCGCAACCACGGGGCGTCGTGGAAAGCGAGCCTATGCGACAGTCACAGTCCGTGGCTGCTCGATGGAATCGCTCTGAGCAACAGCCCCAGGATCAAATCGCTCCAAGCCACTGATGCAACTGCTCGGGGGAACAGCAATCAATGGTGCACGGTCATTACTTGTTGACAGCCTCGCTGAAGCTGATCAGGTTCGTGATCAGGCCAGCGGCGCGCTCGATCTGGAAGGTCGAGAAGACGCCGGTCGGGGGGTGGTGGCTGAACGATCTCTTGGTGGCCTTGGGATGATCGGCGAGCTGGGTCCACCAGTTGACGTTGATGAAGCTGGGCTCGCGGTACTCCAGATAGGCCTTGTTGAGCCAGAGCTTCTCAAGCCACGAATACTGCACACAGGGCAAGTCAGCGCCCGAGTCAGGAGCGGAAAAAAGGAGAGCCGGTTGGATAAGTGTGCTGCTTGTGTTGCTATTTGATATGATTAAGAGTCGACAAGCCCGCATGCTGTCATGACGATCGCACGGTCCGGCGGACGAGACAGCGGTGTGAATGAGCGAATGGGGCAACTGGGCATACCGGCTCTTTGGCGTCGAGATCGACCAGGCGCTGCTGCAGGGTCTCGCCCAGTCCTCCGGCCTTGACGAAGTCCTGGACAGCCTGCTGGGTCGATTCAAACTCCTCGGGAGTCAGCAGCGGCTTGCATGACTCGAGGTACTTGGCCGCGCTTTCCTGCAGATCGGGAATGGGCAGTCGGGGCAGCTTGGACTGGTTGGAGAATGTCACGGACGTGGGCTTTGCAACCTCGTCGTTGTGGACCGAGTACGCCCGTGTCGAAGAGGCGACGATGCTGCGGATATGGTGGTGCGCGAGGCGGTGTGAATGGCTGGATGTCCTCAGGAAGGCCGGGGTGAGTCGCAAGAGCGGCATGGTGGCAGATTTCAGGTTGGGTGAGCGAGGGCGATGATTCGGGTGCCTTGACGGGATGGACAGGTTCAGCGGGCTGATTGCAGACAGACGACAGATCGACAGATCGACAGACAGGAGGCCTCGATCGAGATCTGGCTGGGGCAGGCAGACGAGCAGGGTCGGATCACGGATGTCGCCTGGGATCAGGAAACGACCAGAGAAAAAGGCAAAAAATTTCGCGACACGTGACGCCTGGACGGATGGACAAACAAGCGACGAACGAGCGAACCGCAAAGCAAGCGAAGGAGCGAACGAGCGAACGAGCGAACGAGCAACGAGAGAGAGAGAAAGGCAGAAAGTAAAAGTACCAAAGCTAGCCACGGCAACGACGGCAGCGGCGAGGATACAGGCAGCAATCAAGTCAAGAACCACAGCCGGACTCGGTGGAGGAGACGAGGCAGCCCACGGAAATCGGGATGAGGGTGGAGACTGCCCAGGAAGCGATGGCCGAGAGTGCCTTTTATGCATCGCAGGCGATGCGCACCTGGGCACACCTGGACACACCAGCCAGCAGCGACGAAGCTCAGCTGACCGCCCCGGCGGCGTGTGTTGGCAGCGGTGGTGGTGGGGGTGCAGCACATGAAGAGAAGGGTGCTCCGGCTCGAGATTCATATGACAGAACATGCGCCTGGGTCGGGGTTGGGAGGGGGAATAGAGGCTATTGCTGTATTCAGAGTGGCTTTGCACGATATCGAGCAGCAGCGGGAGGGGGCCGAAGCCCCACCGCCCGTCTGGATGTCTATGTGGACAGGACCATGCATCGCTGCTCGGAACATTGGCTTTGACATGGAAGGAGGAGCGGTTTACTGCTCGATGTACTTGTGGCGGATATCCTTCCACTGGCGCTGTGAGCGGTGATCGGGGGAGGCAGACAGAGTGTCAGTCGGGGAGCTTGTCGATATGCAGCAAAGGCACGAGCGGACCACTCGTACGGCTGCTTTGCCAGATACGTGAACCTGGGCCGAGCTCAGTCCCCTCAGTTTCACGGTGCCATGCCAGAGCCAGAGCCGCTGGCCCGTCGAATCGCTCGCTCGTCGAATACGTACACCGTGGTTGAGAGTGTCCCAGACGCGGTCCGAGATGGCGTCGAAGCCGAGCTCGAAGGCAAAGCCAAAGGCAAAGATGCCAAAGACATAGGAGGAGCTCCTGTTGAAACCAAGACAAAGCGACATTGCGAGCCGTGCGTTAGAGGCATGGGTTGACGGCGTGCACCATGGCATGGCAAGTGTGTGTCGATGATGCAGCAGACAGATGCCGTCTGCTGCGGCGCGGACGGATCGCTATGCGCTGCGAAGAGCTCTGCCACATTCGTGTCTGCCGTTTGTTGGGGTTCTGGATCAATGGATACTGAAATAACGGCCACGACCCTGGCAATCGAGATGCCTTGCAGCCGCGCAGGGTGCTTGTCGGTATGCTTTAGTTGGACTGACTCATCCCAAGTTGAGCCATCGATTGTTGGACAGCCGCATGGGACCGGCAAAGCCCATCGGATGTCGGCGATTCTCGCTCGCTTTCAGATCAACATGCCACCTCCTGTCTGTGCGCCGCGGTCGTTCTGTCGCGTTGGAGAAGTCCTGGATAAATTCAGAGAGACATGTGTCGCTCCTGGCGTACTCGTCGTTGGACAATCGACATCGGTCTTGGTGTGTGTTCTTGCAGCTCGGGACTGACACGAATGGGCGGCGAGACAGAGCCGATGCGCGAAAATGCACGTTTGGATGCCGCAGCGACAGCAGCGAGCCATCGCCGAGCGAAAGCACGGAGAGAGAGAGAGAGAGAGACTGAAATCGCCGGAAGCTGCCTTCACCTTCTGTAAAAGACGTTGTAGATTTGCTTGCTGATGCTCATGGCGGCGGTCTCGGAGAGTGTCTGGGGCGGGGTCGCTGGCAGATGCAGAAGAGGCGGCCTGTCACAGCGGCTGGTTTGAAAAACGCAAAAGCGCCGGTTAATGAAATGCACTCGAGGGCGGATCGATCCAGCACCAGGCACCCACGCATCCCGGTTTAGCGCGACGCGGGTGTGAGGATCGCCGACACAGCCCCCTGCGACTGTCCCCTGCGACTGCCGCTGCACTTGCCCTGTCTAGTGCCTCGACGCAGGGCTCGGTACATCGAATTCATATTCGTTCTGGCGTCCAGAACATCGATTCACATCGGAAAACAATACCTTCAGTGGCGCCATGAATGTCGTGGACGCAAGCTCCCTTCCCGCGCTCGAGTATCTCAGTACGGAGTGTGCTCCCAGTCGCCCAGTCGCCCTGTCGCGGCTGCCTCCACGACACCAGAACAGCATTTCTCACAGCCCCAAGCCGACTGCACTGAGCCTGTGCCAGGCTGAGCCGCGAACAAGACTAACGATGCATATATGTGTCCCGACCCTCCACCGCAGCCCAAACAGGTGTCAACGCGGAGCTGAAGCAGATGCTCACCAACCTGTTAGAAGCCCAGCCGGATGACCCCATCACATTCATCACAGATCAGTAAGACTTGGCCGGCGTCGCAGCTTTCCCCTTGGACCCATGCTTGGATCCATGCCTGGGGAACTCATTCGGGCCCTCTCGCCACAGTCTCAAGAACAGTCTGCATCGCTTCGCGCCAGTGTATCAAGCATACACTCAGATTAACCTTGGAAACTGGAACTCCCCCTCGTACAACGAGAGCGTCGCCCAGGCATTTGAGTCGCTAAATGGTGAGCAGTTATATGCAGCCGCCATTGGATGCTGTATTGAGGAAAGCCTTCGCGAACGAACGGCGATGGCCCAAACCAAATGCCGGCTGCACACAACGAGCATTTGGACTTACAATCGGGCCCCCCTCCATCGCAAGCTGGAAACAAGGGCGACATCCTGACGGGCATAGAGATGTCCGACTTTACCAATTTTCTCAACTACTTTCTGAGGTAGATGCCCTGGCTTCTCAGCCTGAGTGGAATGTGGGCACGATGCTGCGTCGTTGGGGGCGGTGGTGCATGTTTCGTGCAGAATGTGAATGTGCGCTTACACCACATTGTCTCCAACCTTTCGCAGAGGCTACGAGCGGATCCAAGCATCATTTTACAAAATTGTGTTGGGGTGGACCGATCACCACGAGCTCGTCAGCTTCGAGGCCTTTCGCGACATTACACTGCTCGCAGGGCTACTGGAAGGTTTGCGGCTTGGTGCATTCATCGCGGCTCGGTTGCTTGTGTGTAATCGTCCTTAAGCAGGCGCTCGCTGCACAGCCGACCACCGACTCACGGCAATCCGCTCTCCTATCAGAGTTCCTCAAGCAGATCAAACTGCAATACCAGAAACTGTCGCAGGATAGCCCGCTCCTCTCAATGAGCCTCATTCAGAACTTTCTTGAAAACGTTGCACAGCCGCATACGCCGGGACACGACGTGTGAGTAGCAGCGGGAGCACTGGGCAGCAAAGGAGAGCTTGGGGTTTGGTAGTGGTGTGGCTCCGGTGTATTTGCCCGGAGACTGCTCGCAGCATTTACGATACATACTGTGCTCACTCGCCATGCGGTGCTTACTGTCCGACCCGCATCCGTTCTCATAACCTTGGGTTTCCGAATCGCAACATGCTCCATCGCAATGATCCAGAAACCAATTCATGGTTCGTTCAAAGTTCTATTCGGCTTTTGCGTCTGAATCTGGACCCAGCTTCATGAAGCATTCTGAGTTCCTCGACTGGGTTTCCAAGCAGCTCCTGCAGCTCATTTAGAAGGCCATATGACCACCGTGCCATCCGCCGCTGGCTGTGTTTTCGAGAGCGAGGAGAGTCGTGGGGTCGGCCAAGTATTGGTCGAGTCGCCTACCACCTGCGCTTGTCAGGGTTTGATTGTTTTTCCAGCAACCGAGCCGATCTTCGCGGGCCTGCTCCGGGATCAGATGTCGGGTCCGAGGACACAGCATCCGCGTCGTCGTCGCTGCCGATCGTCGATACATGAAAGATCCTCTTTCGGCGAATCATTCTGGGCTTTGACTTTGGCGGCGACGACGACGGAGGTTGGGGAAGTGGCTTCTCGGTGCTGTCGGGCGCCGGAGTGAGCGGCTCACTCGGGATGGCGCTCTGGGATGGAAGTGGCTGGGTCGTCCGATCCTTTCGATGGATGTGCACGAGCGATAGGATGGTTTGGTACGAAGATCGAATAAAGTCGATGCTCTGAGCCAGGTGGCTGTCTGCCAAAAGAGATTCGGGCGGATCCGGCGAACGGGCGTCAGCCGAGCCAGTCTCCGTGGGGGCCAGCGTGGGAGCCAGCGTGGGAGCGACGCTTTTGCGGGAGCTATCGCCAGCAGGCTGAAGTTGGTTGGGGCGGATGGAGTCGGCATTGGAGCCCACATCGAGGCCACGGATGCCAAAGTGGGCCAATGTTGTGCCCTGGGACTGATTCAGCAGCGCTCGAGCAGCAGCAGGGCTTGGTCGAAGGAGGGTATGCAGAGGGGATCTCATCACAATGTTGGTCTCGAGTCGGCGATAGATCCAGAGGAGCAGATCGGTCACCAGGGAAGGACTTTTGAGCCGAGTGCGCACTGCAGTACTCTGGAGATGCTCGCACAGACTCTCGAGGGCGATGAAGCACGGGCAGACAAAGAGACGATAGAGAACCACAGCTGGAAGGGCTTGTCCAATGAGAATGGCCAGATGAAATGTATGGTTGAGGGTCGAGATGTGTCCCACGAGCGGCGAGAGTATGGATCGGTAGAGGGCCAGGACGACCCAACAGACCACTGCTCCGGCCTGGGGATGGCAAAGGTCGACCGGCTCAGTTGTTGGTGCGATAGAGCTGGGTTCGGTGCGCTGCAAGCGATGCTCACCAATGCCTCATGGTTGGAAGGACCGTTGAGAAGCTGGTGGATGTCGATGTTGGGCCAGGCAGGCGTCGTCGGTGGGGCCGAGCAGGATGAGAAGGATTGATGTTAGAGTGGTCGTGCGGGCGATGCATCAGCGAGCGAGAAGCACATCCCGACAGCCGCCGCCTCGGCCCGCTGGTTGCCGATTGAGGTGGCCCCGGTTCATGGTCGCGGCTGTTCCATGAAGAAGCATGCAGAATCAGCGACGCGGACTCGGCCCACCTTGAGACATTGGTATGCTGTCGAGAGATAGCACAGGATCTCCAAGATCATGATTCCGGAGGCCGAGGCGACCGGGGGATATGGGGGCGGCGAGGGATGGAGGCCAGTGCCGATGCCCCACATCCCTGCGTGCCGGTGGTATGTTGCTGGCTGCATTGCGTTGGATATCAAGGCATGGAGCTGCATGCAACCGCATCGCATGGATGGGATTGTATTCGGTGTGTTGGGTGAGTTGGGTGCATTCGGTGTGTTGGGTGTGTCGAGTGCATTGAGTGTGTTGTTCGAGGCGCGCCTCCAGAGCACAGAACTCGCAGGCGCACACAGAACTGCCGCCGAGAGCAGCCGAGAGCAGCCGAGAGCAGCCGAGAGCAGCCGAGAGCCGCCGAGAGCCGCCGAGAGCCACACGCACAACTGTCTGCACAGCTGCCCCGCCGTCTCGCTCCCGCCCGAGCGACTATTTCCGTTTCCGTCGCCGTCGTTGTTGGGTCATTGTCAACTCATCCCACCATCAACCACCAACACCTCTTGCCTTCCGGCCACACCGCCAACCCCAGAGCACACCCGCTCTGACCCACTCTCCTGCGCATCTGCCTCAGCGCACTGCCCTCAAGCACACAGGCGACCTTATCGCCACCGCACGCACTCGGTCGCCCAGGCATATCGCATCTCCACCTGCGCACGCGCCGCAATGGATGCCTCTGGAACTCCCACTCTTCCCGGCCGAGCCAGGGCCTCTCCAACCGCTGCCACCCCCGGCTACCCAGATGACATTCGCCAACTCTTGACCATGGGACAGCAGCGAAGCTTCTCGCTGATGGTATGCTGTGTGCAACTCAGCCACTTGTTGCTCCTTTGCCCGGACCCTCGTCGGCCGCTCGTCGGTCGGTGAGACGCGCAGATCCACCCCCTCGTCTCAAGCCCGGCCGGGCTATCGACACTGGATTTGATACCTGGCACTCGGAGCACCGCCCCTGGAGCGTGCAGGATCAAATGCCGCCCTGTGTGCTGCGTGATGACCATTGCTCCCGTCAGATTGACCCCCCCCCCACTCTCGGGCCGGTGCCGAGCGCCATCAAACGCCTTTGCCTCATGTCGGGGCAGCATGGGAGAAATCCGGAGCCTGTTCTCCGCCCATAGGTTTGCACTCACCATCGCTGCTGATCACACTCCCGCAGGATTTCCATGAGAGCACCACGACCCAGTCGGCAAAGGCCATGCGCCTGTCGCTCAACAAGCTGGTCAGTCAAATCCATGAGGAAAACGAGAACGAGGTACGCGTTCAAATCGACTCGTCGTCACCGGTGCGATCGCCGCCAGACTCGATCAACCTCGATCTCGCTGGCCTGGCTTGAGTCGTGCAGGCAGGCTCTGCAACATTTCGGCGCCCAGGCCCTCATGTGTTGCTTCTATCCCGCCTCCAGCGCTTTGCCCATGAAATGGACGCTTTCTTCCAGCTCTTCACTCGATACCTCGCAGAAAGTGTCAAGGGCAACAAGCTGTGCGTATCCGTTTGCATGGGTGTCTGAGTGGCCAGAGACTGCGGAGGCACTGTCAGAAGTTGCATCCACACTCGGTGTATCGAGCATTGGCCCTCTGTGCGAACCCCGTCCGCTGGCCGCTGGCAAGACACATTCATGGCCAGCGATACTGAATCGGAGCTATATCGTCTGGACTCTTCTCCTTCTTCATGCGGCTCTGTTTATCTCGCCCAGGAACTGGGAAAAGATCAAGACCCCTGCGTCAGACCAGGTAGCCACCGTCTTCGGGAGCGACCTTGCCCCTCCGGGTCCAGTTGTGACCTCGCCTATCCTGGCGCTGCTGGCGATGTCCCCGCTGTCTGGACATGCGGCTCATTCGCTCTATTGATTCGGATCTTCAGATCATTCTGTACGATACGCTTACTCCTGTCGAGCCGCCCAAGAAACGTGACTATCTCAGCAAGCTCGCCGTCCTCAAGCTGAACGGTGGCTTGGGAACCACGATGGGCTGTGTTGGTCCCAAGAGGTAGGTCCCGTTGCCATGTCAACAGCCCGTCCGTAGGCCGTAGGCCAAGCGGTGTCCGACCTTACTTATTCGTCTGCCTGCGCGCTCTTTGCCAATCGGCATCAGTACAATCGAGGTTCGCAACGGCATGTCGTTCCTGGACCTCACCGTGCGCCAGATTCAGGTACCCTTACAGCTCCAGCCTTGCAGAACCGCAATCTCGCCCCACCCTGCGCCTGCCCTCGCGCCCATCGACGCTGCTCTGCATCGGCCCCTCATTGGCGACTCTATTTCGTCTTGGTTGCCCCATGAGAATACTGTTGACATTGGCGCTCTGCTTGACCTTGGCGGCGTACCTTGCGTTCGCTAGTACCTCAACAGCCAACACAGCGTCAACGTGCCTCTTATCTTGATGAACTCGTTCAACACGGATGAAGAGACCAACCGCGTGATCCAAAAGTACCAGGGCCAGAACGTCGAGATCAAGACCTTTAACCAGAGCCGATTCCCGCGCATCGTCAAGGAAACCCTTCAGCCCCTTCCAACCAGACCCCACGGCCACGAGGGCCTCTGGTATCCTCCCGGCCACGGTGACATTTACGAGTCCCTGACCAACTCGGGCCTTCTTGACGAGCTTTTGTCCCAGGGCATCGAATATGTCTTTGTGTCCAATATCGACAACCTTGGAGCCACCGTCGACACCACCATCCTTCAGCACGCCATCGACACCGACTCGGAGTTTGTCATGGAGGTCACGGATAAAACCAAGGCCGACATCAAGGGCGGAACCCTCATCGACTATGACGGAAACATCCGGCTGCTCGAGATTGCCCAGGTGCCTCCGGAGCATGTAAGTCTTTTGCTGCTGTCCTGCGGAGGAGACACTCGGACCACGGGCGGACCGCGAAGCAGTCGCTTCAGCATAGACGGGCCGGCGTGGTGTAGAGAGCTTGATTCATTTCGGATCTCTGGGGTTGTATATGCACACGATTGACTCGAACCAAACTCGCGGTGCCTCCCGTGCTGTAGGTAGATGATTTCAAATCAATCAAAAAGTTCAAGATCTTCAACACCAACAACCTCTGGATCTCGCTCAAGGCCATCAAGCGCCAGGTCGAGGAGCAGAATCTGAATCTCGAAATCATCGTCAATGCCAAGACCACCGACACCGGCGAGAAAGTCCTCCAGCTCGAGACGGCGGTTGGTGCTGCCATCAAGCATTTCCGGGGAGCCCACGGCGTCAACGTCCCCCGGTCCCGGTTCCTGCCGGTCAAGTCGTGCTCGGACCTGTTCCTCATCACCTCGGATCTGTACGTGCTCCGCCACGGTGAGCTGGTGCTGAACCCCAAGAGACCCTTCAGCAGCGTTCCCAACGTCAAGCTGGGCGACCATTTCAAGAAGGTGAGCCCATGTTCGTTGATCCAGCGTCGGTATGGAAGCTGTCGCCTGTGGCTGGGCCCGAGCGTCTTTCTGCCGCTAATGCACTGTTGAATCTGGGGCCCACAGGTGCAGCAGTTCCTCAGTCGCTTCGCTGGACCGCCGCACATTCTTGAGCTCGACCACCTGACAGTCACGGGTGACGTAACTTTTGGCCACGACGTTACGCTTCGAGGTAAGGACAGCGCTTTGCTGCCTCTCAGTGCTGAGCCGGCGCTCTCGACATGGGAGCACGGTCGCTGCAGCGCTATCCAAGATACGCCTCTCCCCCCCCCTGGCGATGTTCACTCATTATCACAGTAAATGCTCACGCAACGCACCGTTGATGTCGTTTCCGCCACTGCCGCCTTGTTTGGACACTGTCCTGGCTGCTGTGGTATTGCAGGCACCGTCATCATCGTTGCAAATCACGGCGAGCGAATCGATGTGCCATCCGGGTCGATCCTGGAAGACAAGGTTGTTTCGGGCAACCTCCGAATCCTCGATCACTAGAAGGACAAAGCAGGATCGGAGAGGAAGGACACGGATTGATTGTTCTTTTTTTCATTTTTGTCAACTTGGGTTCAAGAAAAGCCGCTGGGATCCAACAGAATGGGGGAGAGAGGATACTCCGGACTTGCTCTGTTGTTTATGGGCTATGCATCATCCCGCCATAATGTCTGCGTCCTCTGTACTCCTCTCAATGTTCTGGTTTTGTCTACAACAGAATGCGTTGTCGCAAAACGAGAATGTGGGGGTCCCTGGTCCTTCCACAGTCATCGCCTGTCGAAACTTGCTCCTCGCTATCGAAGGAGCTGGCCTTGCAAAAGTCTGCTTTGGCAACCATCTCTGTTTTCCTCCCGCTTCCAAGCCAGATACATTTCCAAACCGAGTCTCCTTCGATTCCTTGTTCTTGGTTGTGCGGTATCTGGTTTGGATTTGTTGGCGAATCCACTTTGCAGGTCGCGGTGGCTATTTACACTCCTCTCCCCGCAATAAATACGGACGAGGTTGTGCTTGATGCAGGCCCTTGGAGGGATACCACTTGGAGTTGGAAGTGGTCCCACCCGCCAGCGTATGTGTGTGCGCGACCAGGGCTGCGCTCCCCCCCCCTTGGCATTCCCGCTTTCGCGGCCATTTCTCGTCTGCTGTTTGTCTTCATCGCCTCGACCGCTTTGCCCCAGCACCAGCCCGTCCACCCGGCTCCAAATCCCGTCATGCCTGTAAGTCTGCGACACCGCTGCCGAGCCGTCCTTCTGTGTGGCGAAAGAGATTCCAAAAGCTCGTCGCCGAGTCAGCGCCCGTCGCCGTTGGCGGCGCCTTCGTATCCCAAGCGGCCACGCAGTCGCCCTATTTTTTCGAGACGTGAACTGGACGGCCTCGAAGCGCTGCACGAGTCTCCGGGCCATCCCGGGGCATAGCTGCGACGAGACAATCGATTGGGATACAGCGAACCAGAGTGCATCGGCAAGACCTTCGCAGGCTGCGCCCATCCATCGCCTGTCGAGACTGGCCAGTATCGTCTCGTGTCGATCCCTCTTGGACACAGCCTTTGCAGCAGCGGTCCCTTTCGTCGCAGATATCGACTGGATTCTTGGCATGGCGGCGATGGGTCCCGTGGGTTCAGAGCATCATGGGGCAGCATAGCCCCGTTTGGCCCCTCCCTTTCAAAGTCGCTCTGACTGCATGGACGCCAAGGACGGCTGCAACCTGACCAAGCCCAAAGCGGCTGCGACCTGCTGTTTCAGGCCGATGCGATCGAGCTGATACGATCGAGCTGATATGATCGAGCTGATACGATCGAGCTGGTGCTAACCCACATGCTCCGCCATTCGGCCCCTCAGGTCTACCACTCGTCTATCAGCGATGCCGATGCCAGGGTGCTCGGCAGCATTCCTCTGCTACCCATCAAAACTCGGGTGCGCGGCAATGCCCCTCCTGGTGAGCACACGCCGTGCGAGAATGGTTTCGTCGCTGGTTCGCCTGATAGTGCGATCACGTCGACTTGGGCTTGGCTCTGACGATTTGCTCATCATCATTTTTCATCATTCTTACCCTGGTGGTGGGGGGGGGGCACGCTGCAAATCCAATCAAACTTGGGATGGATCGTCGCGGACACTCGGTATCTGGGCCTTGACCATCGACGCCGCTCTTGATTGAAACCTGGTGGATGAACGGGGGGGGGCGCCGCCTTTGCTTCCTCCGACGCATCTCCTGCCGGAAATCGCATGTGGCCTCCAGCCGCTCCCAACGCCGACGACATCATCGATGAGGCTCTGGATCTCTATCGCGCCAACAGCTTCTACCGCAACTTTGAGATCCGTGGCGGGAGCGACCGAGTCTTGATCTACCTGATCCTGTATATTCAAGAGTGCTTGTTGAAGCTGTCCAAGCTCCCCGGTCAAAGTGAGGCCAACACTTTGCTCCAGACCCACGCCGTGCAGTCCTTCCCTGTCCCCGGCGAGGCTGGGTTCCCGCTGAATGCGGTCTACACAAAGACCTCGACGAACGACGAAACCGGTATGGAGCTGGTGTCGTGAGGGTGCCGTGAGGGTGTCGTGGGAGCAGAGGAGTGTCTGGTGGGAGCAGAGGAGTGTCTGGTGGTGTTTGTCTTGTACGTTTTGATCGACGGCATCGAACGATACCTCGGCCGCATCAGCGACGTTGGGTCGGCCGGATGACTTTCCGAGCCTTCAGTGCCGCCACTGACCATTTGCGGACCTGCGATTTGTCTGGCCTGTTGACCCTCTCTCTGGCCTCCAATACGATCATGCCCGACCGAATGTGGATCCAATGCAACCGGTCGGGACGGCATGGCCACCTTCCAGACCAGCTGCGCCAATACCTGACCCAAATGCGCCAGGAGCTCTCGTCCCGGCTCGTCCAGCGAATCTACGAGGACAACAAGCCCTCCAAGTGGTGGATGTGCTTTGCCAAGCGCAAGTTCATGAACATTGCCAACGTTGGCACCAGAGTATAAGCAGCATCGCCAGCAGGCGCTCGGTTCTCGGTTGTCGGTTATCGGCCCTTGGTTATCGGTTATCGGCTCTTGGTTTTCGATCCCCGCCTCCCCCCCCCTCCAGGTAGATCCGGGACAAGCACGACCAAGCGGCCTGCCGTCCTTTCTTTGATGCTTCTTGAATATATGCTCGTGGCTCTGTATTTATCTAGTGTGATGCGGTGCAGCATCGAGTACGACCCCATCCAAGGACTCGAGAGGATCGGGTGCGGTCCTCGATCCATCTCTCTATCGGCCAAGCTCCTGCAGACGCTGCTTTGCTTGGCTGTTCCCCTGGGCAGCAGCCTTGTGGTACCAAAAGACGGCCAGCTCAATGTCCTTGGGGACACCCAGGCCCTTCTCGAGGCACTCGGCCAGGTTGCTTTGGGAGAGGGAGTAGTCCAGCTCGGCCGACTTTTTGAACAGCTCGCAGGCCCGGGTGTTGTCCTTGACGACGCCAATGCCATTCTGGAAGCAATAGGCCAGGTTGTAGCAGCCGTACCGGTTCTCCTGATCGACCGACCGGTTGTACCAGTCAATGGCCTTGGTGAAGTCCTGGGCGACGCCGCTGCCATGCTGGTAGCACCAGCCGAGGTTGCTCTGGGCATCCGAATTGCCCTGCTCGGCGGCCTTGCGGAGCCACTCGGCCGCCTTGAGCGGATCTTTGGGGACACCAGAGCCGTCCTGCAGGCAGCGGCCGACCATGTTCTGGGCATAGAGATTGCCCTGGTCTGCCGCCTTGGAGTACCACGGGAACGAGTGGGCGCTGCTGGAGGCCACGCCCCATCCATATCCGTAGCACTTGCCGAGAATATGCTGGCTGTCGTCGTGGCCTTGGTTGGCGAGCTTTTCCAGGATGGCCACGGCCTGCTTCTCGTCTTTGGAAGTGCCAAAGCCGCGGAGATGGCAGATGGCCTGAATGTGTTCGCACAACCAGTCCCGGGGCGAACCAAACTGGCACAGGCGGAACAGGGCAACGGCTGCAGGCGAGTCGCACGAGGCGGCGTACGAGCCGCTCACGATTCTTTCGCCGAGAGTGAACTTGTCGCTTCGGCTCTGGCGCATGAGCTCGGCGGCTCTGCGCTTGTCCTGCCGGGTTCCGCGGCCCAGGTGATGAAGCCAGCCAGCCATCATCGTGGCGATGGGCTGGTGCACCGCATCGGTCGATTTGGTGCTGACCTCGGTCCAGTAGGTGAGAGCGTCGACATCGCTCTGGGTCGTGCCGATGCCGGTGAGGTGCAGCCACCCGAGGTGGAAAAAGGCCTCGAGGTTGTCTTTGTCGGCAGCCACTTGGTAGAGGCGAGCGGCCGTGCCCCACAGCGGGTCGGTCGCGGGCTTGCCCTCCGAGATGAGGCGGGCAATGTCGAAGCAGGACTTGATTTCTCCCTGTCGGGCACGCTGGAGAAGCAGCCGCGGGATGTTTGGAAGGGCCTCGAGATCAGCCACCAGGGCAGCCAACAAAGGCGAAGGCCGGAAGCGGCTCGACTGGCTCGACTGGCTCGACCAGCCCCGGTCTATCCGGGGTACGGACGATTTGGAGGCGGCCCCGTTGGGTTGGATGGACACAGCCTTGGAGAATGCAGGCTCGCTGTTTGGACGAGCCTCCGGCGGGGCCGCGGTATAGTTCTTGTACGGATCCAGGGCCGCGAGGATTTCGGCAAAGGTGGGTCGCTCGCCGGGGTCCTGGCGCCAGCATCGCTCGACGAGGGACCAAATGTCGTCGGGGATGGCGTCGATGCGGGCGGGGCGGTTCCCCCTGGTGACCTGCGACTCGATAGCCCGGTCCCTCATCGGCTGGCCGTCCCGGGTGACCCAGATGGGTTGTCCGTTCTTGAAGACCTCGTATATGGTGATGGCAAAGGCATAGACGTCGGTCTTTTTGGACGTTCCGGCAGGATTCTCGTCGTCGAGCATCTCGGGGGCCATGTAGTCAAGGGTGCCGCCCACCGGCTGGGCAGTCCTCATTTGATTGACGGTGGAGGAAGTGTGCTTGGTCCGGGCCATGCCAAAGTCCGAGATGATGGCGTTGCGGGCGTTGTCGAGGAGGATGTTGAGGGTCTTGAGGTCGCCGTGGACAATGTTTTTGCTATGGAGGTAGGCCATGCCCGAGGCGGTCTGGTAGAGCAGGCGGGCCTTGTAGCCGACAGAGAGCCGGTTGCCTTCATCCGCAACGTGCGCTTTGAGGGTGCCGTTGGGCATGAACGGCGAGACCATGAAGGGCCTGGCGGCGCTGTCGCAGGCGCCGAGCAGCGGCAGGATGTGCGGATGGGTGAGCTTGTACCAGACGTCAATCTCCCGCTGGAACTCGGCGATTTCCTTGGGGTTGCAGGCGGTAAGCAGTTGCTTCACGGCGACCTTGGAGCCAAAGTACGAGGCGCTGTAGACCTCGCCAAAGCCGCCGCGGGCGATGGGCCGGGGAGACCAGTCGGTGACGGCCTCGGGCTGAATGGACCAGAGCTTATCGGCCATGGCGGGGGGAGAGATACAAAGACAGGACGGGAGAGAATGAGGGTCTGCACAAGAAGCCCGGAGCGAGTCCGAGGATTGACGGAGGTGAAAGGTGGTGGGACGGGTCGGGCTGGGTATCAGGAAACATCCAAAAAAAGGCAGCGCGACGGCGGCGGTGACACAAACCCGCCAACGGACGCAATTGGCCAGACCAGCGTGGCGCAGCGGGTGGCGGCGGATCGAGCCGGCTCGAGTGCAGCCGGCCACACAACGGACACATGCCAGCCACACAATGATCGCACGCCAGCCACACACCCACGGGATGGACGAAAGGCGCTGTTGTTTGGCAAAAAGTCGTGTTTGAAAAAGACATTTACATATTGAAAGGGGGGGGCAAAGGACGCAATAGCACGGGAGAGAAAAGAAAAAAACTGGCTCCGTGCTCAAGAGCAGAGACGGCGGTCACAGACACCGACGCCCGACCAGCAACATTGTCGCCGGCGGGCAACGCCGCTGCACACCATGCGATGGTGCTAAATTAACGACCGCCGCTCACAGGACACGGCGCAGGACGGCGGATCACAGACTCCGAAGGACCGGCCATGCATCTCTTTGCGGCACACCGGGAGACGTCGGGGCAGTTTAAGCCTGGGCGTCCTTGCCGGCAATGTAGATGATGAGATCAACGACACGGTGAGAGTAGCCGTACTCGTTGTCGTACCAGGAGACGAGCTTGACGAAGGTGTCGTTGAGGGCAATGCCGGCCTTGACGTCAAAGATGGACGAGCGGGGGTCGGAGATAAAGTCGGTGGAGACGACCTCGTCCTCGGTGTAGCCGAGGATGCCCTTGAGGGGTCCATCGGCGGCCTCCTTGATGGCGGCGACGATCTCGGAGTACTTGGCGGGCTTCTGGAGCTTGGCAGTGAGATCGACGACGGAGACATCGGGGTTGGCAACACGGAAAGCCATGCCAGTGAGCTTGCCGTTGAGCTCGGGGATGACCTTGCCGACAGCCTTGGCAGCACCGGTGGAGGCGGGGATGATGTTCTGCAGCACACAAGGGGAGAGAGTGTGTGAGTGGATTGTGGCGGATGGGATGATCGATCATCGACAGCAGCAATGGCACCGTCAACAGCAGGAACCAGCAACAGAGAGAGGATGCGTACCTGGCCAGCACCACGGCCAGCACGCCAGTCCTTGCCAGAGGGACCGTCAACGGTCTTCTGGGTGGCAGTGACGGAGTGGACGGTGGTCATGAGAGCCTCAGCAATGCCGAACTTCTCGTTGATAACCTTGGCGAGGGGAGCCAGGCAGTTGGTGGTGCACGAGGCGTTGGAGAGGACCTGGATGGAGGGGTCGTACTTGTCGAGGTTGACACCTGCGGCAGAGCAAGCACACGCACGCGTCAGCAAATGCAAATGTCACAGCGGAGGAGTCGCAGCTGGCGGTGGAGGGAGGAAGGCTCGGCCAGACCCAGTTTGATTTGTGGCAGCAGCGTCGAGAAACATAGCCGCAGAGCCACAGACACACACGGCATATACTCACCGCAGACGAACATGGGGGCATCGTTGGAGGGGGCCGAGATGATGACCTTCTTGGCACCGCCAGTCAAGTGGGCAGAGGCACCAGCAGTGGTGGTGAAGACACCAGTGGACTCGACAATGTACTCGGCACCGGTGTTCTTCCAGGGGATCTCGGCGGGGTTCTTGGAGTTGTAGACGGTGATGTGGTGGCCGTTGACGATGAACTTGTCACCCTCGTGGGAGACCTCACCCTCGAAGCGACCGTGGGTCGAGTCGTACTTGAAGAGGTAGACCATGTACTCGGGGGTAATGAAGGGGTCGTTGATGGCAGTGACCTGGACCTCGGGGTGCTCGAGGGAGGCACGGAAGACGAGACGGCCGATACGACCGAAACCGTTGATACCGACTGCAGAAGCGAGCGACAGAGCGAGACGACAAGGGTCAGCGGGGGACGCTTTGCGGAGGCAACGCGGCAGAGCCAGGAGACAGGCAGATAGGGGGGATCAAGAGACATGGGGACGAAGGCGTGCGGAGCGGAAAGCCCGCGCGGCGGGGTCGGTGTTTGCGGAGCATTCGAAGAGGGCGGGGGAGGTGCAGCCACGACGAGGACAGTGGGACGAAGGGGCTGCAAGCTGCAGGTTCAGCGCTGATAGAGCCTCTCGGCAATAGTATCCAGTGGCTCTGGAACGATGCCGAGACGCTCTATCGCGCTAGATCCACAGGCTCAAAAGCCAAAGTTACGAGGGGAGATGGGCTGCTGAAAACGCGTGACAAACGGCATGGACGTGGCCAGCTGGAATGCCGGCGAGTTGGGGAAGGGCATGAACATTGCCGGAGCCAGAAGCGGCGCCGGATGAAGAATAGAGCAGAATTGTGGACGCTGATGGCGGCAGCGCGAAAGGTAGTGGGAGTACGCGAAGGAAGCAGGGGGATGGGCAGCACCCGGGAACAGATCGGCGCGAGAGGACGGGGATCTGCAAGATCTATCAAGCGGCTCGTTCCAACAGGCCGACGAGGCGATGTGCAGCAAAGCCTACCGTTGATGGTCATGGTGATGAGATGCGAACGAGAGCGATAAGAGGACTGGAGAAGATCCGCGGATGGAGAACGGAAGATGGCCGGGGGGAGAGGGCTGCTTATATCCTCGAAAACGCAAAAATCTGGCGACGAGGGTCGCGGGCGAGGCGAGGCGAGACGAGGCGAGGCGGAGCGATATGGGGCGGGACTCGCATGGGGGAGGGCTGTCAAGCAAGCCGGGGGCGTGTGTGTGTGTGCGGGCCAATCCGCAGCCGGCGACACTGCGCAGCAGGTGGGTGTGCTGTGTGTGTGGGGTGCAAGTGTGTGTAGCAACGTAGCACACAGCACACGCAGCATATCACAGTCCCAGCACTGTCGCAGCACTGTCGCAGCACAGCAGCCGCGTCTGTTCGTTATCTGAGGCGAATCAGACAGCCACGCTCTCGCCGCGCTCTCGCCTGGCCTCGCCCGGCCCTCGCTCCCCGCTCTCGCCCCTCGCACTCACCATGGCTCACGCCGCCGTCATCCCAGCACATCGACGCGGGGACTCCCTGGCAATCCTCACCGAGCCCAACCAACGACCACCGTCTGCGTCGATATCGATGTCGACGGTGATGGCGATGGCGATGGCGGTGGTCGGTGCCGGCCAATGCCCAACACCCACCGCAGCGCCCGTTCGGGAGCAGATCGGCCCTCCAGATTCACCCCCATCGCCCTGCATCCTGATCCCAGCGCGTGTGGCTTGGCCCTGTGCAAGCCTGTTCGCTCGAGATAACGACCCAGACGGATTGCTGCATGTCCAGCCCCATCGGCCAATATTGCCTTTTTGTCTCTATCGGCCCTGCCCGCCCCTTGGTGACCCCATATCTGGCTTGGATTTGAAACAAGTTGGAACAAGCACCGGGCTGCGGAGGTGCCCCCACAGCGGCACGTCGATCGATCCTGGTATCGGTCCATCGGTCCAGCCCTTCACACACCCAAATCCATCCATTCGATGCTCCATCGTCCCATCGATCCTGCGTCTGCTATCGATTTGAAATCGCGTTCGTGACAAATCGCCGCCTTCGATATGCAGATATCCAGATTGCCTGTGCTGTGTCGTCCGCCACCGATCGATCGGTCGGTCGTCGCCATGACTCCTGCGGCTCGGTAACCGGATCGCAACAGACTCGCAGGATCGCTCTCTGCCAGCGACCCGCATCTCGCCCGCCGTTGCTCCCTGGATCCACATTGTCGATGCCGGTCTTGTTCGCCAGCACCCATGCGTCCATTCATGTGCTCCACCGGCCATCCGCTTGCCCGTCCAGTCCGGGCCGGGGTGCGTCTGTGGCCCTTCCGTCCCGGGCGGCCCTGGCTCTGGCTCGCCGGGGTGAGGCTGGCCTTGTCGTCGCAGACACTTGCAGGACATGCCCGGAATCCTCCTGACATGCTTCTCTGGCGCGGCCCTGCCCGCAGACAGCATCCCGCTTGCCTCCCGCTCGTCTGTCCCCGGCCGGGCCCGCTGTCTGCCAATCTCGCCATCGTGCAGTTGAATGTCGCTGTCCTTGCCTCGGCTTGTCGTCGCCGCAACGGACATCGACGTCATTGTCGCCCAACGGGATCCTCTGTCCTGATCCTCTCCCATAAATGCTGCCATCACCCCTGCCTCCAGTTGGCGGAAATATCCCGCATAGATCCACTGGCTGGACTCCCCCCTTCGGCATACCCTCTGGATTGCGGCCCCGCCCGTTCGTCTCTCCCGTTCGTCGACCACAGTTGATGCTGCGGCATCGGCGACGGCCCACACCACCAAACTCAGTTGCCGACCAATTCGGGAGCGTGCATGCAAAGAATATCGTTTTCGATTCGAGAGAGGCAAGAGTTGGAAGAGGAAAGAAAGGAGGAGAACCAAGAGCATCGATCCAGATGAAGTGTCCCTGGGCCCATGTGTCCGGATCAGGTGCATTCCGCTGCGCCGGCAACGGCTGCCGCATTCCCTGGGTTTCTCCATGTTGCGGATCCGTTGGCAGCTTGCCCTTGAGGGCCTCTCTACACAAAGAACCTGGGCAGCCAAGCACGGCGAGCGTCAGTTGCCATTTCCATCAAGTGGCCATGTTCAGGCTGATGCAGCGGCGCCTCTGCGAGACGACTTCCTCTGCCTCCGTAACACTGCGCTCGGTCGAAGGCTGGGGATACCTACTTTTTGTTGAGCAAGAACAGAAGCAGATTCACGTTGACCTTGGCAATGTCGAACAGCGTAATGGTGTGGACGCTGTTGTACTGGTACTGCAATAGCTCCTCCAGACGCAGCTCCATTTTCTCGGGGAACTTGACGCCCATGAACGAGGCCTCGATGCTGAAGACACCAGACTCGTTCGACGAGATCGTGAGCGTAATGGCGCCGTATCTGCAGTGCCAGTGGTACCGATCAGCCGCTTGGGTCAGATGCGCAACAGCCCGCGGTCCAGCAACCGACATGTTCGCCAGCCGATTCTCTCTGCTCGTGACGTGTCTGTTATCGTCATGCAGCACTCTCCGTGGACTTCTCGGCGCCGCCTGTCCCGCAGTCTGGCTTTCCTGAGGACCACAATGAATCCACTTACTGCTTAGGCGAGTGGCCGTCGATGCCAATGAGCACGCCCTTCTTGTACAGATGGGCCGCTGTGTACTTGTACGATCCAAACTGAGGAACGCTTCCGCCGTTCTTTTGGAGCTCGCGCAGATGGTAGTATTGCTTGGAAAGGAACAGCGGTGCCTTTTTCTTGCCACTGGCGACACAGGGGAGGAGGGGATTGGTTATCAGGAATGCCGGCTTGGACACAGGGCCATCCCACAGTTGCCCGATCCTGCAGCCTTACCCCTTCTTGCTGCCCAGGTTGCCCATGCACGACTCTACATAGTCGCAGTAAGTCTTCTTCTGCTCCTCGAGATACACGGCCTTTTGCTCGAGGTTGGAGAGGGTTCGATTCAGGGACTGGAGCTCGCGCTTCCTTTGGATCCTCATCTTGTGCTTGTTGATCATGTCCTGATTGCACATACACGGGCATCGGCAAACAGACGAGCCCAAATATCAGCAGCTATGTGAGCGAAACCGCCAGCAGGCCCGATGCCACAGGTGCGGACATGAGCAAGATCCTCCAGAGTATCCCAGACAACCAGACAACCAGACAACCAGACAACCAGTTTTAACCTTGGCAATCAGATTCAACATGTCCTGATACCCGTTTTCCTTGGTGACCTTCTGCTCGGCCTCGAGCTTGGCCATGTTCTCGAGGGCCTTTCGCTTGAGCTGAGAGAATGTCATGCTGCAGATGACCAAGACACGGACCACCAGTCGTGAGAGGCAAAGGAGGCATCAGCAGCAGTTTGGCAAGCACATCCAGTCCCTGTCAACGTGTTCCCTCCCTGTTCGCACAAGTTCACTCAAAGGCCATCGCCTGGAGCCGCTATGCATATTCCGCCGCCCTACTTACGGGTTGCCATCGGGGCCCTTGTACAGCGCCGGACTGATCGGCCCAAAGACCGTGATGCTACCAGGGGAGAGGGCATCTCGGGACGGCGACAGGGTTTCTTTGGTGTCCTTGGTCGCCAGAGTATCTCTGGATCCGTAGATCTCGCCGGCCGAGCCGACAGCCTTGGACTCGATCTTGCTGGCCTTGGCTATATCCATCCTCACGACCTCGGCAAACTGCTGCTCTTCCTTCTCGGTCACGGCGGCTTCGAGAATGTCGAGGATGTTCTTGCCACTCTGAACGCGGAGAATTGTGAGAACCATACGCTTGGTCTCTGAGAGCAAGTGCTTGAGTTTGACATTCTCGGTCGCTGCAGCAGGCAGAGAGTGGAAGGGAATGACAGAGGTTAATCCTGCCAGGTCAGATATGAACGCACCCAGAATCATAGGCAGCCGCAATATGCACCCCACCCCCCAAGACTAGCCGCTCAGTCACGGTCGACCATCGCCATTCCTGACCCTTCAGCGAGATACACACATTCAAGCTTGGCAAACCGGTTGACGAGCACAAGCGCCAGCTCGTTTCCGGGAACCTCCTTGCCCTCGGGAACAGGCGGAGGCGTGCCGAGATCGCCCAGGATCTGGCGGATGGGGTCGCTTTTCTCGGGAGCCTGAGAAATCAATATTAATCATGAGAACAATTCATGGATGGAGCCACCAGAGGCAGTATCCGAGCCCGTCGCATAATGCGCGACAAGTTCGTTGCGGCTCTTTGCAATATCTCAGACCCAATATTGAGTCGCTGCAGGTCAGAAACGCAGGTGGGCGCTGCACCGCAAGTATGTGGAAAGCGGGAACGACCATCTCCAAACTTACGATATCGTCGAGATTGTCGTAGATGGCTCGATGGATCTGCAGAATCTCGTTCGGGGAGATGTAGATCGTCGGCTTCTGGGCCGCATTGATGTCCATGTACTCATCGATGCTGAAGTACTCCTCGGCCGACTGCACATTGGCCACTGGTGATGGGACAAGTTAGTGGGGCGCAATTCACGGTGATAAGGCAAGGAAACGCTTCCATCGACTGATTGATTGATTGATCAAGTACCCGACTGCGCCATCGCCATACCATCTCGAACAAACTGCGAGAACCGCTTTCCAGAGTTGCAGATGTAGATCTTGAGCCCGCTCGACTCGTCCAACTCGGCCGGCTTTGCCACTGCAATCTGGTGCAGCGTCTTGGCGACCTCGGCGAGATTCTTTCGCTGGATGGGCGTGATCGCGGACTCGATCACATCGAACGCCTCGGGTGCTCTGGAGAACCACCGCAGATTCAGATACGATACCGAGGACACCGAAACCACAGTCAGCCAAGGCTCCGAGATGGAAAGACAGTGCGGCCTGTCATCCGCCAAGTCATAGATACCACCGCTCGATACCACCGCTCGATACCACCGCTCGATACCACCGCTCGACGCCGATTGCTGCCACTCACACAATGACGGGATTCATGTAGCGATAGTAGACCAGGTTTCCGACAATGCGGTTGATCTCCTCTTCCTGGTTCGGGAACTTTGATCGCATGGCCTCCTTCATCTGGGAGGCAATGTTCCGGATGCCGTATGGCATGGCCTTGATGGACGAGAAGATGGCTTCGAGGAACTTGGAGGTGATCTCCTGAAGTTTTGCCGTTCCTGTGAGATCAGAAAGGTCAGTCATGTGGACAATGGCGCACTCGGTAGCCTCTCCCCCCCCACCACCACCACCGATATCACCATCACCGGTGCGGCCGCAGCAACGGTCACAGTCGGAATGCATAGACAGAGATGCTAGTCATGTAGCCCGCGCTTCCATATAGAGTTACGTACGAGTCTCGCGGAGGTTCTTGACCTCAGGATCTGCGGCCGCTTGCTGGACAGTTACGTCGTATGGGCGCTTGCTCTTCTCCCCGGAAATGACTTCCTCCTCACGAATCAAGAACTTGTAGATCTGGGACCCGGCAGCGAATCAGTGCACCCCATCGAACAAGCCATCAGCTACTGATTCAACCACTCCGCTCCGCTCTCCCACCCAGCCCCTTGCAACAATCGATCGTGATTCCAATTGTGAAGCAGGCAGCAGACGCGTGACAGTGCCATACCGTGATGGGGTCAAGCTCGAGATCGAGGTTGTTGTCCTTGATGACGAGGTTGACGAGAGGCTGGAGGAGCTCTCTCAAAAACTGTCTCTCCTTGGCACCTCTGGACACATCCGTGCGCACATACAGTCGAGATTGTAAGTGATGGCACATTCCCTGGCTCACGGTCACAATTGAGCATGCACGTGCATTCGTGGCAGACGTGGATGATCTCGGGTGGAAAGCAGTCGACCCGCATCAGCACCGGGGTGGGAGAGCATGTGATTACCGGATGTAGTTCATCACCAGCTTGATGAACAGAGGATTGGAGCGCCAAAACTCGCCAATCTCTGTGATCTCCTCGACTTCGATTTTGATCGAGTTCTGGATGAAGGCGACCAGAACATGTCCGTCGTCAGCAACAGCGCGTCGTCAGCAGCAGAGAAAAGCCGGAATGGACTCCACGTTTAGATCCGCGCCGATTATCCTGCGGAACTACTCGTTTGCATGCCTGTTGCTCTCTGTAGACACGGTCCACGTTTGTCTCTCTGGCCACAGCATCCACGCACAGTCGGTCAGCGTACCTTGATCAGATTGAGGAGCAGGTACTCCTCGCGCGGGTTCTGTGCGTATCCGTAGAGGGACAGCGTCACCTGTTCCAGGAACTTGGTCACCGACCCGCCGCTCTTCTTGTTCATCAGGAACATGGTGGAAGACAGGTAGTGGGGCTGGGTCTGCAGCAGGTGGAAGAGATGGCCATAGTTTTCGAGCCGCTTGCGCGTTTCCTTGTCCATTTTCTTGAACGAGAACGTCGGGGTTGCCTCCATCGCCAGATCGTTGAGAGACTTGGCCTTCATTTTCTTGGAGGTGAGATGCGCGACTTCTTCGAGCGAGATTCGGTTCTTGACCAGCAGCGCGATCTTGATGTCCAGCTCGTTGACCTCCTGCTCCATCTGCAAGGTCTCTCGGATCTTTTTGATGACCAGCTGCCGGAGACCCTCGATATCTGGGCAGCAGCAGGAATGTGTCATGAGTCGGCACGCCAGTTTGGCTTGATTGCTGGCACTGGAGGAAAGGGCAGTACATCGACTCTGGTGCTCGAGTTCGGCCGACAGGCACGGACCGGATCTTCATGCTTTCCAGTTAGTTTTAGTGCAGGCAAGAAGCCCATCAGTTTTGACCTACCCATCTCCTCCTCAAACTCATTTTCGGTGTCTTCCAGAAGATGTAAGAACTCTTGGACAACCTTGAGGTTCGGATTGTTGAGCGAGGCTGTGGTCAAATATGGCGATTCGCGGTGAGTGCCCGGTGCTGCACTTCTAGATCATTGCCCCCAATTGCCTCCGCTGCTCGGCACCCTTAGCCTGGCTCGCTCCGCCAGCATCCAACCTAGTGACTTGTAGGCCTTCTGGACGTGCTTGGAGCGCCACAAGGCCTGCATCTTGACAATCTCATTCAGATGGCTCTTGTAGAACTGTTGTCGCTTCAAGAACTCCTCGCGGTCCTTTCTTCCACGGATAATGGCTTGCAGCTGCAGACAGGCACGAGGTTCCCCCCCCCCAAATATGATGCTTTCAGATAAGACAGCCCAGAGCCCGTTCGCCGTTCTCGACTAGTGCAGACGCAGCGTACTCTCAGTCCCAGACGTCCGTCGCTCCTACCTTCACAATGATCGGCGTGATGCCTTCCAGGCGGGCCTTGTGGCGATTGTGCTCGATGCGACCCATCCTCATTCGCAGCAAGCTCTGGATCTTGACAATGCTCTTTTCATTGTCTTTGAAGTACTGAAGTCGCTTCTGGTAGCGCTTGCGTTCCAGGTGCATGCGAGCCTGGGCCTGGCAGGACACGATATTCGCAAGGCGCTTGCGCTCGGCCTCCTTCATGCGTTTGGCGCGCTGGCGTGCGAGGAATCCGCGAACAGCCGCCTGGCATTTGATCACAGCGGCTTCATTTTCGCTGAAGAACTGGAAGCGCTCTAATGAAGAGATGGCCGATAGAGGCATCGAACGGACCCATCACGGGAGCATCCTGGGTGAGTCAAAGTTCATGAAGCAAGCTGTGCAGGAAAAAATGTCGAGGACGAGCCCTGCGCAATTCTGCTGGCAAAATGGACCATGTCGCTATGACAGAGCCGGCGACAGCCTTACTCTCTTCTTCGGTGGGCTCGACGTGCTTGAGCTCGTCGGCGAGGGCCTGTCCAATATTGCCAAACTGAGGCATGTTGACGCCCGACTGCTCGAGCGACTGCTGCGTGGCATCGAGTTCCTCCTCTACAAAGCATTGTTAGGGTGAGTTGGGGGATTGATCATCCGCCATCGAGTGATCCAATGGCACCGAGACGATGGTCTACTGCACCTGTGAAGGTCAGCTTGCCGAGGAGATCCTTGATTTTGGGTGCCAGTCCCTTCTTGGCCAGATAGTGACTGTTTTGGAGAGTCGGCCGGTCACTGCGAGCGTTCCTTGCTTGACTCGCCCACTAACGCGATGCAAAGGATCGCCGGCCTTACCTGAGCGCATGGATGCAGTAAATCACCTTGGGGATGTTCTTCTTGTCGTACAGATCCGTGGTCTCGAATATAAAGACCTACGACCCATCCACAGCCCCGCGTCAGTAATCCCATGGGACGCAGCGCTGCCGTAGCGACGAAGGCATGGCGCATACGACCCGAGGTTACTCTATCATTCGCAAGCCAACAGCGAGACTCTCCCATGGGCTTCAAAGTAAGCCACATCCATGACTCGTGCATCGCGCATATCCAGACCTCGGGAAGGCCAACTTTCCGCATGGCGTCAAAGAGATAGTTGATGTTATCCGAGTGTCGATACTGAAGCTTGGTGCGATCCTGTAGGTACCAATGCCGATTCAATATCTCCGCCAGGCGGGGTTCCCTCCCACGCTCTACAACGCTCTGTTGGACGGACAATTGCCGCGTTGCCTGGGGAATGGCCCACGACGCCCTCCGCACCTCAAAGATCTTCTTCACGACGCTCGGGCAAAAGAACTTTGCCAGACGAGCAAGCGCGATGCCGTTTCGCAGCTCCTCGTCGAGTTGGCCGATATCGCCGAGCTTGTCCTTGACGCAAGCCTCGATCCATCTGCGCATTCCCGTGTCGAGATTGCATCCCCGCAAGAAGCGAGGAATGAGAGCATAGGAGGAGAAAGGAGCCATCAGCACACAAACGATAGTCACATATGCTTGGGGCTTTACAAGGGGGGGGGAAGCGCCGGTCACGGCATTTACTCTTTGGCCTCGCCGACGTGGCAGAGGTATTCGTAGGCTTGCAGATTTTGTCGCTCGCGGTCCATCCAGGATTCATCCTTGCCGTCCGCGACGCCCTGCTTCTTCTGAAGCTTGAGGCGGCCATCCCTGTGGGTAACTGCAGGAGGTGAAGCCAGCATGGACGGTGTCGGTGAGCATGGTCGAAGCAAAACCCGGCCGTCGTCAGCGCAAGGGCATTGAGGGCCCCAGAGATCGCCGTGCTCGGGAGGATGTATCGCGCATGCAGGTGTGCAATCGCATCGCATCGCATCCGTGCAAGCGTGAGTTTACATGCCACCTGGACTGCAGAACCCACCACCGTCCTCGGAGGCACCAACTTCAACGTTCATTTTTCCTGTAATCTCTTGCACGTCCGCTCGGAGCACTGGATCAGCCGAGACGTGTTTTTGTGGCCCTTCGGATAGCGAAGCTCTTCAGAATCAAAGGACAGAGATTTGTCGTGGCGAAACGACTGCTGGCATGAGCGATCATTCGGGATGAGCTGGCGACTCTTCTCGATTGCCAGCCCGGAAAGCGTCCGGAAAGCGCCTGGAATCATGTCTGTTCGACGCGTGGGAGAAAGGTAGGAAGACGAGACGACCCACCCCCAACCAACCAACCAACCAGCCAGCCAGCCAACCACGACGCAGATCAGGACAATTCCGGCCTTGCCGCCCCCTCCGCTCGGATCAAAAGGAAAACCCTCGAAAGTCTAGGCACGCCAGAGAGAGAGAGGGTGCTATGCAGGTGTCGGTACCTTGGGCCAGGTCTTGGGGGGGGAGTCGGCGTGAGCGGCTCGTGGGCGATTCTGGTAAGCGTCGACAGAGAAACCAGCCGCCCTGCAGCCGCCCACGTCGGTTTCTGCTGCAGCGGGCCCTGCTTGCAGGCATCACGTGCAGGAGCTGCTCGCATCGAAAGCGAAACGCTGTGTCTGTGAGGGCGCTGGAGAATCCCGCCAATTCTGAGCCGGGGGGGGGCGAGAGGAGGTCGACCAGAGGCGGGAATCTGTTCGTGGGAAACGGTTGGGCACACGACCCAAGGACGGCATCAACGGTCGGATGCGATCGGCCATGGATGCAATTGGCCATGGATGTGGGTGCGGCACAAGCGAAGGATTCCAGAACTGGCTACAGGTTGCGGGACGGCCATCCGCGACGAGTACATTGGGATGGCCTTGATGAGCAGAAGGTCGATCAACATGCCGGCGGCCCTGGCGAGGCTTGTTTGAAATGAAGGCGAGACTGTGCATCCCATTTCTCTGGCCTCAGCGACCCAAGCCTGCTGATTCGTAGTCCCCGGCGGACAGCCGATGGGTTTGCACTCCGGTCTTTGTTGCCATTTCAGTGATTTGGCTGAGTTCAGGAGCATCATCTCGAATATACAGGTTGATCTCCTGCGGCGACGATCGACTGACATTGACTGTGATACTGGTGTGTGCATGCACTCGAACTTTGGACAGCTCCATGTGCTCTCGGCATCAAGGTTGTTGGGCCGAGCGAATGACTCTGCATCCGGTCTCGTTGGACACATTGCTTGATCATGGTGGCGACGGATGGTGTGTATTCAGGACCCAGACAATGACAACGATGGCACAGAACAGTGTTCCGTTTTGTTTTAGGACGCTGCATCAGCGACTGGACTCGAGTCTCATGCACCACAGCTCCAGATACGGCGTGCGGGAATATTCGAATGCCTGCGGCACCAGGGCCAAGTCGATCTGGGTCCAGACAATGGTACACCCCAGCTCGTCCTCCATGGCGGCGTTCCATGCCTCCAGGGTCTCAAACAAAAAGTCGTACGCCGGCGCAACAATCTCAACCGTAAAGTTGATGCGTCTTTCCAGCGCCAAGAACAGCACCCGCTCGCAGCCTTTGGGTGGAGCTGCCAACAGAGCGTGGATGCGGGTGACGAACGCAAAGGTGACATGATCGTCGTAGATGATATCGGCTGCTAGGACAATCGAGCATTCTTGCCGGAACCGGTCGGCGTCCGAGTGTGTCCACGCATAGCGCCGACAACTTTCTGAGGCTCGGGATGTTCCCGTCTCATCTTCGGATGCTGAGACGAGCGGCGACTTGCGAGGGTACCAGAGAAGCGCATCGTCGTTGGTAAAATCCAGCTCACGAACCGAGACCCCGTCGCCGACGCTGTTGGCCTCGGCATTCAGAGCAATCAGATCGAGAATGCCATGCTCGCCTAGGTCGGTTGAGAACACTTCTTTGGCTCCAACGACGGCGGAAACGATCGAGACGAGGCCTGTCCCTGCCCCGAGTTCCAGCACCGTCTGGTTGTGGAATAGGGAGGCGTTGGCCAGGATATAGTCTGCCAGAACCAGGGCGCCGACCCACACCTGGAGGCCGACCCGATCCAGGGCCGTGGCGAGACAATGCTGGATCGATACAGAGACAGCACCGGCGCTCTCGCAGGTTCGGCCTTGGAAGACGGTGGTCTGTGGGTCGCTGGATCGGATTCCGACTGCCCAGGGCTTGATGTGGATATCGGACAGGACCACATCATCGCCGTCGTCGCCGTCGTCGCTGCTGCTGTCGCTGGCACGTTCTTCGGACCGATCGCCTTTGATTGTCGGCGGCGAGGGCATTGTGCTGGACGTATGGGCCGAGGTATCTTTCGACATTGCCGGGGCCGGATGCCCTTTGGTATCGATCGGGTCGATCAGCGTCGATCAGCGTCGATCCGAACTGCACCGGAGCAAGAGCTGGTCCAGGGAGCCGTGAGGGCCGCCGTAACACAATGTGGCGCAGCACAGACCACGTGCCACATGCCTCGCCCATCTCGTCTCGTCGTCGCTGTCGCCGGCATCGCCCTGGCCAGAATACACCATCGCCGCGAACCATGTCGCAGAGCAACCTCGGATACGGCCTGAATCTGAGAAAAAAGACGCCGTTTGGCCAGGGCGCCGCCGCTCGCTCGTCTGTGGCGAAGCCATCGGGCTCGTCGTTTGCGCCGATCTCGCTCAAGCGCAACATCAAGACCAACGCGGCCTTCAAAAACGATGATGATGATGATGACGAAGAAGAGGGCGACGTTGCCATCACCGAGCTGTCGTCGGCACCAAAGTCTCTCCGGGACGCTGCGTCCATATCCCAGAGCGCCGCCAAGACTGTCAATAAGGAGCTGAGGGCCGTCTACAAGCAGCAGGAAAAGATTGCCGAGGAGGCCCAGAGGAAGGCGATCGAGCTCGATGCAACGGTCTTTGACTATGACACAGTATACGATCAGATCAAGCAAGAGCGGGATCGCAAGAAGATCGAGAGTCGTGGCAACAGCAAGAAGGTGCAGATCGCAGTCACAGACGCCCGCTGTCTCGTTGCCTCGGCCCACTCGCCCATGCACTCGCGAATGCTGACATGCTCCTGTATCTGTTCATCGACACCCACTCCCTGCCGAACGCAAACGACTTGCAGCCCATATATATGGAGGCATTCTTCAAGGCGGCCGCTCAACGCAAGCTCGACCGCGAACAAGCCGAGGAGCGCAAAGTCCAAAAGGAGCGCGAGGCCGAGGGCGAAGAGTTCCAGGACAAGGAAAAGTTTGTCACTGGCGCATACAAGCAGAAGCAGGAAGAGCTGCGGCGGCTCGAGGAAGAGGAACGGAAGCGCGAAGGTGAGGCGGCATATCGCCATTGTTGATGAGACATCCATCGAGCAGTCTACGTGCGACTAGTGGGGCTGGATGGATGGAACTGGTAGCAGGAGAAGATAGCCCCGTGGGCAGCCATTGGTTCCACCGCACGGAACGCTGACGATTGAGTGGGCCTTGGCGGTGGACTCCAGAGGCCGAAAACAAGCCGGCGACACAAGAGGACATGGCGGAATTCTACCGACATATGCTCCACCAGACCGCTCGGGCAGCGGTGATGCCGTCCGACTCTGCGAAAGCAGTACAGCCAGCCACGGGCCAGCCAGATTCCGCAGCGTCCAAAATCGAGGACGAAAGCAATGGCGATGTCGAACGCAACGAACGACTCAAGCTTGCAGCTGCAGCTGGCGTGGCTATCAATGACTCGGACGAAGTCGTCGATAAGCGTGATCTGCTGTTTGCCGGTCTCAATGTCTCGAAAAAGAAGCTCAAGGCCATCGAGGACGAAAGGCAGCAGGCAATCGAGGCCCGGCTCGAGGCCGAACAAAAGCGACAGGAAGAACTCAAGATACGCAAGCAGGAGGAGGAGCGGCGCCGAGTTGCTCGCGAACAGGCCGCTCGATCGCGTGAGCTCCTGCAGAAGCAAAAGGAGGAGATGGAGGCGGAAGAGAAGAAGCGCAAGGAACAGGAGCGTGTGGAGATCCGCGAGAAGCTGGCCCGCAAGGCGACCGAGGAGACTGTCTCGGACGCTCGCGCACGATACCTGGCCCGCCGGAAGCAGGCCTCGAAAAAGAGCGACGATAGCGGCGACAGCGAGTAATTGCGGGGCGGCTGTAGCGCAACAGAGACGGCATGGGACATGGAGGCACTTGAACACGGCTGAGGGCTTTGCGTGGGCCTCAATCCCGCACCATGGCTGTGTGCGATTCCCAGGCACTCCATAGGTGGACATGTGCAGCCACCATGCTGATTCTGCATCGCTTGAGCATTCCCAGGCCTGTGAGCCGGGTTGGCGGCCAGACTCGGGCCGGGTCGGGTCGGTCGCCTGTGTGGGCTTCCTCGATGTCTGGCTTGATTCTGTCGCTGAGCACCCCAGCACTCCATCGCCTCGTCGCCTCATCGCCTCGTCACTCCGCCGCCCACCCATCAACTACAATGGCCGACAACGACCCCGACGCACCCGTGGACGAGCAGCAGGTTCCTCAAGATGACGCTCTGCTCGCGGCAGACGCCCCCACGAGCGATGCACCTGCCGAATCCTCCAACTTGCCCGAGGGCGAGGCCACGGACATTCCCCCTGGCGACGAGGACAAGGCCCGAGATTACTCGGCCATGAGAAATGCGTTCATGGAGGCGTCGTCCGTCGTGCCAAAGTCGGCGGCGCCAGGAGCGCTGACGGCCGAGCTCGTTGGGCAGAACCTCAGTCTGCTGGCCAGGACCGGCAACGGCCTCAACCATGCATACACGCGTCTGGAGATCCACAACAAGGACATCACAAATCTCGACATTCTCGAAAACTACCCGCATCTGCGCTATCTGGTATGCGAGACGCGGGAGGAAGGGCTCCCGCGAGCCAGATGAGTGGAAGAGCGGCTTCGCGATGGGTACACCTCGTGGCTGGGCGTGCTGCCGGGGTTGGTCTGGGTTGTTTGCAACTCCCAACCAGCAGAGAAGTAACTCCGTATGCGTGCCGGCTCTGTCGCTGCTGCTGCTGGCCATCGACCCGGTGGCTAGGATATGTCCGACAACCGCATCTCCGACATCGACGCTCTGTCGTCGCTCGAGTATCTTCTCTCGCTGGATCTGCACAGCAACAGCCTCCGCGTCATCCCGGCAGCGATCGACAAGAGAAAGTACCTCCAGCAGGCCAACTTTGCCAAAAACTCCATCGAGCGCATCGATGTGGTATCCTGGCCGATGCTGGGATGGCTGAATATCTCGGGTAAGACTCGTGTCGCCTTGGATCTCGTCGCCGGCAGTGTATCAACAATGCAGACGGGCTGCTGACAATGCACTGCCCAACCATCGCCAACCGCGGGCAATGCTCAACAGAGAACCAGCTTACGGTTCTGAACCTCGAAGAGTTCAGCGAGCTTGTTCACCTCGAAGCCCGTCTCAACAAGCTGACCCATACCTCTGGAATCCGAGCACCCAAGGTCCAGCGGATGTACTTGGTATGTGCGTCGTCGTCCGGGTGTTGATGGGGTCTGGACCCGTCGCTGCTCGTTGCGCGTTTGGCACTGACGTCCAGCGCTGTTTCGATGTGTCCGGTGTGTCTGGTGCGTTCGGTGTATCTGGTGTGTCCGACAGGCACAGAACCAGATCAGGCACCTCGTCGATCTGGACGACAAGCCCAATCTCATTTTGCTGCATCTGCGCGAGAACTTTATCGAGACTCTCGACGGAATCAACGAGAATCTCAAGTCACTCTCGTATCTCAATCTCCGGTGAGTCCACGACTGCCGCGTGCTCTTTCTCGGCTACTGAAGCACAAGCATCACAGCCCGGCTGTGGGTATCAAGCCAGACACATCCCATTTACATGATTGTTGCCTCTTGTCTGTGTGTGGGGACGCTGTGAGCACTTCAGAGGCAATCGCATTAGTTCTTTTGACCAAATCGACCACCTCGCGGTCCTTCCAAATCTCAAGTCGCTGAGCTTGGTCGGTGCGTATCGTCGGCTCTGTCCAGAGTACAGCAAGCAGCAACAGCCACGGCCATCAGCACTCTGACCGTGCTCCCTGACCTTCCGTCCCCTGCTTGTCGACCCTGCCCATCCCAGAAAACCCTATTACTGAGCTGCCCAACTACCGCCTGGAGATTATCATGCGCCTCAAGAAGCTCGAGCGCCTGGACAAAGATCCCGTCACTGAGGACGAGCGCGAGGAGGCAGAACAGGTAATCGTCCATGCCGGTCGCCCGGTCCCGCGGTGGTGCGGCAGCCGCCTTGACATGCGATTGACACTGCTACAATCCCATTTGCGCTTCCTGATCGATCAACCAATCGACCACAGTACCATCTGCAGCTCGAGAAAGCCCGGAAGGACGCCGAGGATGTACACGAAGATGCCGCCGAGGAGGATCATTGATCGCCCTCGGCAGTCGTAGCACTTCCAAAATGACCAAATTGGCACAGCTTCCGACCATCGCCAAGCAGCAGCGGGTACCCTTGCAGCTTGTGGGGTCGCCGATTGGCATCAAAGCCGATGTATCCGCTCATCTGAAATACACCGACGGAGCACGCCTGGCCGATGTACATCAGCAGTAGCTGTATTCCGCCATGCATGGCCAGCTCATACAGATCAAGTGTCGTATTGCGTTCCCGGGCTCATCCATGCCGGGCTGGGGTGGGTGCGATCCAGGTTGAATGCATGTCAACATCGGTCCCGGCTCTACCGAGGTGCAGCGAGAGAGGGGCGAATGAATAATCGGCGAATGGAAAGAGTACATATGCAGGGATGTAGGAAGGGAGGGGAGAGGGCGAGGGCATGGCCGGCGACATCTTGGCAATACAGGCCATGCGGATCCAGCGATCCGCTAGTTCTCCTCTGTTTCCCGGATGGCCTTCATTCGTCGGTTGGAGATCAGGTTGTTGTTGGCCGGGGCCGAGTCCAGAACCTGGCTCTTGATTTCGTCAACACCGGGCTTGCCGTTGATCTTGCCGCTGAGGATGTCGAGCAGCTCGGTCTGGCGGGACTTGGCCAGCCCGCTGACAAAGTCTTCGTATCGGGTCGGGTTGAGGACCTCGAGCTTGCCGATGGAGAGGCCGCGGTCGAAGCAGGCATCAATCTTGGCGTCCAGGTTCGAGTACGAGACAAAGTCAGCCGAGGCGTAGTAGAGATACAGGAGCTCCTCCAGGCGGCGCTCCTTGTTGTGGTTGTGCAGAGCCAGATGGTTTTCGAAACGCTTCTGGCGACGCTTGGTAATGAACTCGGCCCACTGGCTGTCGAGCTTGTCGTGGTCAATGTCACTCGTACTGGTGCTGGCCTTGGCCGGGGTCTTGGACAGGACCTCGTCGACGGCGGTCCGGGTGTTGGTGTACTTTTCGATCTCGAGAGAGCGCTCCTGTTTGAACTTGACAATGTCCTCCTGGATCTCGAGCTGGCGCTCCAGCTCCTTTGCGGCTTTCAGCTTCTTCTGCTCTTCTTCCTTATTCTTGCGCGCCAGATACTCCTGGTGATACTGCAGCCGGAGCTTCTTCATCTGCTCTTTGAACTGCGTCCTCGGGTGGACGATCCGCAGCGAGGCCGGGTCCGCGAGCCTGGGGAGCGACGACGAGAACGAGCGGATCATGGCCGATCGCGGCAGAACGCACGGTCCTGCGATCGCGGCGAATGCCGATGCCGAGCGTGCAGACATGGTGTGGATGTGGCGGGTCCTGGACGAGCGATGCTGGCGGATGCGGGGAGACTCGGATGGGCCGCGGCGGTAGCTTGGGCTGGCGGACGGGCGGGCGCTGTGGGCTGGGGGCGGCGATGAACCTGGTTGTTCGGGGGGCGTGGGTGATCAGGAAATCGCAGCGAAAATTTTTTTCGTTGGTGGGTTTTGGCGATGAACAGGGCGGTTCGATCCGGGCTCGAGCCAGCGGGCGGCGTGACAGCAAGATCGACAGCAACAGCAAGATCGACATCGACATCGACATCGGCATCGACATCAGCAGAGCAGGACGACAGAAGACACCGATGTCGACGCATGTATCCGTGTCGGTGCTGATGTCGATGCCAATGCCGGTGTCAGCGGCGATCGCCTGCGACAACAGCACAACCCCTGGCAGCAGCACAACCGCCAGACATGAGCCCGGCTGCGCATGGCGGCGCCCTCTGGCTGCGTTTTTCTGCCCATCGGCCTGCCAGCAAGGGTGCTGTCCATCAAGCCGGCCATCGCTCTGCTCCGGCATCGTCTCTGGCTCTCGTCACTCAATCCAGCGCCCATGTCGTCTCTGCTAGCACGCAACTCTGCCCTCGCGTCCCGGCTCGTCGGTCGCCCGGGCATCGTCCAGCCCGTCTCCAGGGCCGTTCTCAGCACATCCCGCTTCGGTCTCCAGAGGCCCATCGACAGGGTCTGGCCATGTGCCGTCCAGAAACGGTCGATTTCGTCCTTTGAAGGGCTGGATTTCAACAAGAAGAACGCCCTCCCCCTCAATACGGTAATGGAGTGTCGGCTTGCTCGGCCAGCTCGGCCAGCACGGGTCCCCGTCTGTTCTATGCTCGTGTCCTCCTCTGCTCTCCATATGCATGCGGCGCTTTCGCTCCTGCGACTGAACGAGTCCCCGGTGGACGCGAATGCACCTGTCTCCGTCGCTTCGTGGCTGCGGCGCTGCAGATCATCAAGTTTGTGCCCCAGCAGCAGGCCTGGATCGTCGAGCGCATGGGCAAGTTCCATCGGATCCTCGAGCCTGGCCTGGCCATCCTCGTCCCGTTCCTCGACTCGATCCGCTACGTCAAGACCCTTAAGGAGGTTGCTGTGGAGATTCCCACCCAGAGCGCCATCACCCAAGGTTCGATACACTGCATCTTGGGATAGCCGTCATCTTTGAGTGACGGAGGACATCCCTGGGTCGACCGCTTTGCTCCAGCCAGCCAGCCAGCCAGTCCCAAATGCATCGGCATTTGGCCATTCACGCGTCATCACCGTGCGGCTCGAGCGAATGACGATCAGAATCTCGGCGATGCTCGGCCGCAGTGTCCACGATGAATCTCTTTGGAACGAACGATGCGTTTGAATTGGCAGCGCCCCTCTGGCTCGCGACACTCCTCTGGACTAACGACGCACTGTTGCCGCAACGGCCTTCGATTCCGACCCCGCTAGACAATGTAACCCTTCAGCTCGACGGTGTGCTCTACTACAAGATCATCGATCCGTATAAAGTAAGCATCGACATGCTGTAAGCCGGCGGAAAGATCGGGGCCCACGCCTGTTGCTTCAACTTGCTTCCTTCTCACACGAATGCACTTCTTGGGCGCATCTCTAGGCGTCCTACGGTGTCGAGGACTCGGAGTTTGCCATCACTCAGCTTGCCCAGACAACGATGGTACGTATCGCTCTGTGGATTGGATATTGCCACGGACAACCGCCGTTGGGTCGCAGCGTCCGTAGACGCTCCAATGTGGCTCGATGATGTCTGCATCCGTACTTCCGTTCTTCGGATGCCGACGTGCGCTTGTAGGCAGTACTTCATCCACTATCGCTCACCACCAGCAATCTGATGCCTATCGGTGATCATGCCATCGCATCCTACTGCCGCTCGTATCATTGTGCGGTGCAGCGAGCCGAGATCGGCCAGATCACTCTCGACCGAACCCTGGCTGAACGAACGCACTTGAACGCCGCCATCGTCCACTCAATCAACATCGCTGCTGCAGACTGGGGTATCCAGTGTCTGCGATACGAGATCAAAGACATTCACCCTCCCGAGAACGTGGTCGCAGCAATGCACCAGCAGGTCAGCGCCGAGCGCCGCAAGCGAGCCGAGATTCTGGAGTCTGAGGGATCTAGGTAAGCACAGAGCGGGACAGCGGTTCCACTCGCTTGGCGATGCATCGCAATTATCGAGTATATATGCTACAGCGCCGCCCGAGTATTGGCGGAGGGTCCTGATTGAACGACTGTTCCAGGCAAGCCACTATCAACATTGCCGAGGGTCAGAAACAGTCCGTCATCCTCGAGTCTGAGGCCAACAAGGCCAGACAAATCAATGACGCGGCGGGTGAGTCGACTTGCGCTGCAGCCTCCAGAGGCTATCCTTGACGCAGCCATCGACGACAAAAGCCATGTCCAGGCCGTTGATCTGACAAGACCATGTTTGAACCCCGCAGGTGAGGCCGAAAGCATCATGCTGAAGGCCACAGCCGCAGCCCAGTCGCTCGACGTGATTTCCAAGGCGATCCAGAACAACGGCCAGAACGGCCAGGATGCCATTGCCCTCACGGTTGCCGAAAAGTACATCGACAGCTTTGGCAGGCTCGCCAAGGAGGGCAACACCGTGATCGTGCCGAGCAACGTGGGCGATGCTGCCGGCATGGTTGCGCAGATGATGGCCATCTTTGGCAACGTCAAGAACATCCAGAGCAAAAACCAGCTCGACTCCAGATCGCGGGACTGAGTGAAAGTTCCGTCCAACCTTTCTCGGCGGCGTTTCCCCCCCTCCCTACCTCCATCCGTCCGGCTATCCATCCACCCATCCTCGCTCCCGATCCGCACGCTGTTCACGTCTCGTGTCAAGTGCAATGACTCTTCTCTGCTCTGCCGCATGCGCATGTACCCAGGAGCATGTCGATAGCTCGGCGAGGGAATATGCGCCGCTGGGCTCTGTAGGCTCGCTTGCGGGCGGTGGTCAGTCCTCTATCGCTATCCTTTGTCACTCTCCATAAATCAATACAATCGATGGCAAGGTGATGTATTTCTAAGCGGTCGGGTCGGGTCGGGTCTTTGTGTGCGAGTCTAGGAGTTGTATCGTTGCAACCACGTTGCTGCCATGGCGGTGGTGTCGTGCGGTTGATGACGTGTTGCTGGTGGCGTGAATGACACTGTTGTACCTGCTGTAGTGGTGCTTGAGGCGACGGGGGTATATGGGATGGTTAGCAGTCAAGGCGGGACCGAGGGGCCAAAGATGCGAGCTGTCGAAAGCGTCTGCAGTGCTCCCATGCAACACCGCCCAGAACCATGCGCCACGGAATCAACCAAATCAACCAGATTCACCAGATTAACACTATTGGTCAGACCAGCCACAGTACATTGCTCGCGCGCCTCGTGTATCTCAATGTCCGTATCGCAGTCCCGTGCCTCATACCTGACTGCTTGATCACAAGCCAGTCCAGTCCAGTCCAGCTCATCTTCCACTGCCGGCTTGGGTGCAACTCTAGTGCGCAACGCCTGTGTCCTCTTGGGCACCGTTCCGGAGCTGGGCAAGCGGCTCATAGACGCTTTCGATATGCACGAACGGGCCCCGAACACTGGTCCGCTGCTTGATGCCGGTGCCTGATTTACTCGAGACGCTGCTTCGCTCTGGTGCCGCTGCTGGATCGGACGTCTCCGGAGCTGGACCCTCGGTCGCGGCGGCGGTGTCTCTGGTCGGGGCAATGAGACCTGTTCCGGGCATCAAAACGGAGCCGTAGACGCCGTTCTCGAAGGCATCGACGACACAGGGCACAAACACCTGGCAGAGGACATCGCAGAGGTCCGCGAACTTGGCCTTGTCGTCGGTGCTCCATTTCGACAGGGTCTCTTTGGCCTTGCGCTGGATAGACTCGGTGAGCTTGACCAGGGTCGATTCGATGGTGCTCGAGAGTGCCGGGATCAGCGAGATAGCGGCGGTGACCCTCAGCTGATTGAAGGCTGTGAAGTATGTGTTCAGCAGGGCAGCAAGGGTTGGATAGGCCATCAGCGCCTGGGGCGGTGAATAGATCTGGTGGTTGCTGGAGCGACCAAACTCGGGCGCATCCAGGCCGTATCGAGCGGTGGTGCCTGAGGCCGAGTATCCAGTGACGAGTCCTCCCTGCGGAACTGCATCGGGCCCAGCCGTCGAGCTCGATCGGCGCTCATCATAGCTCAGAGCCACGCCCGTCTTGAGCTGCAGAACTCCGTGTGCGTTGATGTGGTCGACAAAGGTCTGCAGACCGCCCTGGATGGTCCGACGGACGTTGCTGTGGATGGCGGCCTCGAATGGAGCAACGAGGAGCTCGCGAAAGTCGATGCCGACACGGCCCAGCGACATGCCATAGTACATTGTCTGGGTCAGGAGCGAGCCCAGCACGGAGGCGTCGGTGACGTTGGGCAGATGGCTTTCCAGGGTGTCCAAAAAGTCGCCGACGGTCGCTGTGACGTAGGAAGCCAGCACGCTCGCAGTCGAGTTGGTGCCTTCGGTGTCAAAGACCGAGCTGGCAGCGCGAGGCGGTTCAAGGGCTAGGTCCAGCGCCGCCGATGCCGACGCTGACGTTGAGGTTGGCGAGAGTGCCTGGGAGGCCGAGATGGAGCTGGACGAGTCGGAAAAGATGGCCTTGTACTGGGTGATGATGTCGAAGAAGGATTCTCTCGAAGTGTCGACGTAGCGTTTCAGATACTCGGCCGACGTCCAGCGGGCACCATCCTCAGGCTTGAGCTGGGCGAGCTGCTTCTTCAGATAGTGGTCTCGCTGCTGCAGAAAGACCAGCCGGAGCTCGGACTCGGAAAAGGCCTTGAGGCTCCGCAGATACCCGATGACCCGGATGCAGAGCGGCAGCTTGACGTTCCCGCGCAGGAGCTGGACGAGCTGGGCGAGCATCGTCTTTGTCAGGGCAAGGACCTGCGTCGAGATTTGCTTCAGCAGACGGATGCCAGGATATCGCAGAACGAGGCGGTGGACAAAGGACGACAGCTCCATCGCTTCTTCGTAGTAGCCGCTCTTGATGAAGGTGTCCATAAGCTGCGGAATCTCGAGCAGATCCTCGATCTTGGCGTGCTGGCTGAGAATGAAGGAGAGCTGCTGTTTGTCGTCCAAGAGTTTGGCGGAGGCGTCGGCGAACAGGGTGGCGGCAGCCTCGACTGCAGGCAGGCTCTGCTCGAGGCGATCGAGGCTGGTCTCCATGGACTCGAAGGTCTCCATGATCGAGCCCGTGCACGAGTGGGCTTGGATGAACGATGCATACTCGGAGAAGGCAAGCTGCGCGAGCTGCGCCTCGATGTTGGCGGATTCCTGCTGAAGCAGATCTGGCTCGGCCTGGAGACTGGAGAGCGATAAGTCCGTCAGGCGGTCGAGATAGGACTCGAATGCTGGATCCAGAGCGGCGAGGGTCGCGATGTCGGGCGGCAAGCCACTGGAGGGCGAGGCTACGAGGTTTGCTCCATCAATGGCATCGGCGAAGAAGGTGGGATCGCGGAGGATACTGGAAGAACTGCGAGTGGCGAGCTTGGAATCAGGCAGGTCTGGCGCCAGAAGAATGGCCAAAAGCGGTTCATGGCGAGGAGCATCCATGGTGTGTTGCGGTGTGCTTGGTGGAGTGATGTGACACTGTGTTGTGAGCGAGAGCGACAGAGGGCGATCGGTTGAATCGATAGATGCAGCGATGGCTGGCCGGGCGATGTGCCGAGGGGCTCGAATGGGGTGATGGAGGACGAGGAGGGAGGACCAAGACCGATGCGGATGGACCAGGGGGAGGGAGATGAGGACAGAGATGGAAACGGCGCGAGGCGGCAACCGCGACGGCCCAAGACCACCTGCGAAGGAAACGCGACAGTGATAGCATGATGGAGTGATAGGATGATGGAGTGATGGAGTGATGGAGTGATAGCATGATGGAGTGATAGCATGATGGAGTGGTGGCGTGCATGCAACGATCCAGCTATGGCGTGCCTGTCCCAAGAGACGATATCAGCGCTGCTCCACAGCCAACTTGTAACCGACTCCACTTCACAGCCAACCTGAAGCCGACTCTGCTCAACGGCCAAGCTGAAGTAACTACACTTCACAGCTAATCTGCGATCGGCCGACTGGCAATGCCGCGAATGGTTCTCCCGTTCATCCATCGCTCACCGCCACCACTTCTTGGCGAGGTGTTCTTCTGTCCCAGACCGTCCCCGCATTCGATATATACCTGAGCCTGAACAGATCGACGCCATCAGCGACACCGGCGCACCATCGACACCCGCCATCGCATCAACACACCAACATCCCGATGCAGCTCCTCTCCGAAAGCCAGCAAACACCCAGATATCGTGGCTTTGATATCCCAAGCGAAGCTGGGCATACCGCACAGCCACCGACCGTCCATACACCGCTCCCAGCCACGCCAGGGCGCGTCGTCACAGCGCCGCCCCAGTCTCATCGCCTCCCGCTCGTCCGTCTTGGCCATCTGGGTCCAGCCCCGCCCCACAGGTCCTTTCTGCATCTGATCTCCCTGCTCTTGGATCGGCTCTCGGTCTGCGTTGGGGTTTTACACCTTTGCCCGTCTGCGTACGCTTGATCCTGTGCCTGATCTTGCGCCTGTCTGTCCTGCCCGCTTCGTTACGGCGCTTGTCCCTGATTGCCTCCTTCGTCCCGCCCGAACAACCAGTCCCCAGCCGGCTCCTCATCTCCATTCCCGCGGTTGTCCAGCCAAGATGGAGTCCTGGAAGTCGGTCCATCTGTTGGTACTTGCGCTCTTGCTTGTGCTCTTGCTTGTGTCTGGCGCACAGGCTCGTTTCCTGGACTCGCTGCTTGGATTGCCCAAGGTAAGTGCCGTGCCGCCATCGGACCTTGCCGGCACCCACGCAGTTCTCGTGGCCAGATATCCGCCGCCAGCTCGTTGTAGTTGGCGGACATGCCCGGACCAATGTCCTCACCAACATCCTCACCAATGTCCTCACCAATGTCCTCACCAACATCCTCACCAATGTCCTCACCCACATGTTCTGAAGGCTCCCGCCTTTCAGCAGGCCACCAAACCACCCACAACTGATCCCGTCATCAATAACTTGGGATCCTCGGCTCCTGGTCCCGCTCCCATCTTGGCCACGTCCGGCTGGTCGCTGCCCTCTTCAAGCCTGTCTGTGCAATCCTCGCTCACGTCGTCAGAGTCGCTGCTGCCTCCCACGACGACCAGCGCCACTACGACCACGACCACGACCACTACAACGACTACAACTACAACGACTACAACCACTACAACGACGACGAGCGAGAGCATCTGGACTACGTCCTGGACGCCGATCCTGCCCAGCTCCTCCACCACAACAACGACGACAACGACGACAGAGACCCTCGCTCTCTCAAGCTCGATTCCGCCCGCGACAAGCGCCACCGATGCGGCCAGTGGAAGCTCCACGGTGTCGGGCACCGCTCCGAGCGGTTCGTCGTCACCATCGGCCTCTCCGAGTCCCTCCGGTGGCCTGTCGACGCCTCTGATCATTGGCATTTCGGTGTCGGCCTCGCTGGTGGTCGTGGGAGCAAGCTTGGCCATCATCAGCTACTGTGTTTTCTTCCGAGCTCGCAGATACAAGGATGTGAACTCGGAATCTATGGAGCTGACTGGCGCCGGCGGCGGCTATGATCGCGGCTCGCGCAGCTCCTCGGCCGGCAGTCGCTACTCGGCCGACCTTGCCTCTCAGGGCGGCTTCCGCCCTCTGAGCATCTACACTGAGAATCGAGGGTCGTTCATGGAGCCGTCCTCTCAGTGGACACCGATCCAGCAACGTCAATTCACCGGACCCCAGCAGCAGCGACAGCAGCAGTCGGTCACCCAGGGACTGCTTTCGCAATCGGCGAACGACGAAGTCCTGCAGTCGCGGGCGCCCAGCTCGGGCTCGGGCTCGGGTTCGGGTTCGGGTTCAGGTTCGGGTAGTGGCTCGATGGCTGCTCAGCTTGGTGCAGCTGCCGCTGGACTTCGTGTTCGCATCCAAACCCCCAGCGAAGCCGGCAACGACAGCGAAGATACGCTGACCCGACGCACCAGCTCGCTGCGTCGACACACGACTCGACCTCCGCTCTACACCACACTCGATCCAGCAGCGTTGGCGGCCGAGTTAGGCGGCCAAAGTCGTCCTGCCGGAGCGGCATCGTCTGCAGCGGTGGGGGCAGCAGCAGTATCGTCGACCGCCTTCAAGCCCAACATGCAAGTCATCAAGGCACACGCCAGCAACTCGCCCAAAGAGTTGGCAGTGGCCCTCGGCGAGCTCGTTTACGTCGTTGCACTCGCCGAGACCACGGGCTGGATTCTGGTCGAGAACGAACAGGGCCAGTGCGGCATCGTCCCGCTTGATTGCCTCGGGCAGCTGATGAACAACCGCATCGACCCAAAGTTACAGATCGTCAGGATTGCTCGCACCAAGTCGGCCGTAGACGAACTGACGATCGCCGTGGGCCAAAAAGTGTCCGTCACTGAGGTCTTTGAGGACGGATGGGCCCTGGCCACGGCCGAGGATGGAACAGCAGGGATGGTCCCGCTGAACTTTTTGCGCGATCCGTAGTGGGAGCAGCGCGCGAACCGGCACGACCCACTGTGTACATACCTGCAAAAGTTTGATCATGTCTGACGTTCCTTCTTCTTTTGTATTCTCTGATTGCCCTCGGCTTGTCTGCGTGGTTTCTTGTGTTGTTGGATCCACATGCATCGCTCTGGTCGGGGAAGGTGAATGCGTGCGACCTCTCCCGACGCCGACACCGTCCATAAAAAAAGGAACTGGACCATCCTGGTTTGAGAACTCTGCCTCCGGATCCCGGGCACGGCTGTTCATCCGAGTGGGCCGAATCATCTCCCTGGGCGTCCGTCCCATGCAGCCCGTCCGAAACTCCAAGACCACAGCAGTGCAAGCGCCGATGGACATCATTCAACCCACACAATCCATCCGCGCGTCGAAGTGTCCCGTTTCAAAACATTGTTTCCTGGTGGCCAGCCCCGCACCAGCAGACAAGCGGCCACGGCTTGGGATCCGAGCACAACACAAGGCCGTGGGCCCTGTCCTTGCCCTGTCCTTGCCCTGTCTTTGCCCTGTCTTTGCCGCCCTGGTTGCTTGTCGTTTCTGTGGATTGGTGAGAGTCAGCCTTTGTCTGTCCTTGCATGAGTGCCGTCGATCTGAATCGCACTGGACATGAGTCGTCCGCACAGCCCAGCTGCTCGTTTGCTCGTTTGCTCGTTTGCTCGTTTGCCATCTTTTCCCCATCGGCCGTCCTGCTCGCTCCATCGGCCTGCCCACCCGCCGTCCAATCCTGGCCAGCAACTCTCACTATCTCGTGACTATTTAACCACTTGCAAGTGGATTTGATCACCCCCGCCCTGCGCTTTCAGCAAACCCCACCTGCATCCACCTGTTGCCCACTCCATCCACCCCTCTTCCCACGCACCTGCGTTCATCTGCATCCACCCGCACTCGTGTGTACGTCCCACCCGCATTTCGGCCTTTCCTGCGCCCGGCCCTCCTTCCCCTCTGTCCGCTCTCTTTCGCGGCGCCTGCTCTGTTTGACGGACTCCTCTGCCGCTGTCCGCCCTGTGCGCCTTCGAGCCAGAACCGGTGCAACCGCGGCCGTCGCCGTCGCCCCATTCCCTCGCCTCCTCCTCCAGCCTTACTCCTGGGCTGGTCTTTCTGAGTCTTGCTGGGTCGCTTTGGGTCTTTCTCGTTGCCGTCCTTCTTTCGCCGCTCGGCGTGCTGTTCTTGACCGAGGGCCGCTCTTGCCCTCTCGACTTGTTCTTGGCCAGGGCCGCTCTGTCCGCTCGTCGGTTTGCCCGGCATCCTCCCGAGCCGCACCTCGCTGTTGCCCAGTGTTCCGGGGCTGATTGAGACTGCTCGTGCTTGCTCCTCCGAGCCCGTCGTTGTCCACCTTTCACGGCAACCCCGCTATCATTTCGGTCCCCCCCCTTCCAACCAGTCCACACCAACCCTGATTTTTCAAGTCCGCCGAGCCCGGCCCTACCCCTGTTCAAGGCTCGCCCATCTTAATATCTTGTATTCCTCAGGCCAGATCCCATGTCTCTGGCGACAATTGTTCTCGGGCTGCTTGCCCTGCAGACCCACATCCTCGGAGTCGCAGCCGACACCACCACCACCTCGGCTTCCTCGTCCCTGACCACAGATGGATCGCTAACTGCCTCGATAACGACCACCTCTCACACCCGCACCAAGACGTCCTCATCGTCCTCGTCTTCGTCCTCATCAGTGCCGTCGCCTATCGCAACGGGCTCGTCCTCGTCAACCGACGCCACCCGGAGCTCCAAGGAAAGCTCGACCTTGACCAGCTCGATCACTGCCTCTGTCGCCGCCGTCGTCCAGCCCGCCAGCCAGGCCCCACTTGAGGAGACATCCCTGTCTTCTCTGGCCGCCGGGCCCACGCCAACATCTCCCACGGCCTCGGTCGGTGGCCCGTCGCCTCCATCCTCCCGCGGCGTCGACCCAGTAGCGTTGGGCGTCGGGCTTGGTGGTGGTGTGCTGGTTGCCGCTCTGGTGGCCTTTCTGGCTGTTTATGTCTACCGGCGGCGATCTGGCAGCCGCCGTTTCCGCTCTGGATCGGCCCTGCGAACATTGTCGCTGGATGGCAACAAGGAGCGACTCGCAAGCGCCTGGGGCACAACCAACATGCGCAATTCAGGCGACTCGCCTCTGCCCTTGGCCCAGCTGTCCTCGTCACCCGAGCCCGATCGCTTTGCACCGAATCATGCCTTTGGTCATGTTCCCCAGCAGCCGCACGACCCACACGACCAGCGCGATTTGTACCAGCAACCTCACCACGAGCAACGCGATCCGTACCAACCACCTCGGCAAGAACAGCAGCGCCTGTTGGCCGATGCGTTCCCTCCAAGCCTGCAAAGGATTCCGTCGAGCACGGCCCAACGACTGCCCAACTCACAGCGGGTGCCATCCGAGTCCAAAGCAAGGCTGCTCGAGCTGGACCAAGTGCCGCCGGTGCCGCCGGTGCCGCCTCTTCCAACCTCGTTCAGACCGGCGACGGCGACGGCGTCGGCCGCAGCTCCCGGCATAGTTGTCGATCGCATCCACGACCGCTTTGATGACGAGCTGTACACCCTTCCACGGACAGCCGGAGGGTTCCCGTCGACACCCCGAGCGTCTCGCCGTGTTTCCTCGTTCATTCACCAACCCGAGCTGGACCAGCTGGCCGAGCCATCCAGCCCACTCCCGGCCGGATCGGATGTGCGCATGGCCGGGTCGGCGCGGTATCCCGAGAACCACGACGAGCTGCCGATCGAGGTTGGCGAGACCTTTGCCATCATCCAGATCTTCGAAGATGGATGGGCCTTTGCCCAGAGCCGGCAGACGCAGCAAAAGGGCTTTGTGCCCATCAACTTCCTCGGACCCAAGTCCGACGGACAGGCTCTCCCAGCCGTGCCTCTTCACATGGCTCTGCCCGTGCCTCAAAAATACGTACCGTCGCATGTGTGCGCGGCGGAGCCAGCAAAGTCTGCAAGGCCAGGGGGCCTCAAGTCCGATCCCACCAGTTTGGCCGACTCCTCACAGCTGCCGCCGCCCTTTGACGCCTTCAAGATCGACGATGCCAAGTGGTGGAAGGGCGAGCGCGAATCCACGGGCAGCGATGCCTTCCGAATGGTCGTCCAGAGTCGCGTGGCCGAGTCTCCCGACGAGCTCACCGTGGTCGTTGGCGAGAATCTGCTGATGCTCGAGTCGTACACCGACGGCTGGGGCCTCGCCATCAACCAGAACGGCGAGCGGGGGCTCGTTCCGCTCAACTTTGTGTCTAAGTAGTGAGAGCGGTGGCCATTGGCCATTGTGGCGAGCGTGGAGTCGATCTTTGGCTTTAGCTTTGGCATTGGCATTAGCATTGGCTTTGGCGGCAGGAAAGTTGCTGTGCTTGCAATCTTTGTTTTTCTTTTGTGCTTGTGGCTGTAGCGCTGGATGCGCCGCTTGATGCTGGTCCAGACACAGGTTCGTTCCCCTTTCGCAGCTGCGCTTGGGGGTGACGTATAAGAGAAATACAGCGCACAAAGCGAAATGGACCGCTGTTTCTGGGTGAAGATGGTTGGTTTCTGGGTCCTGCGCACTCGCTCGTTTGCAACATGTTCATGAGGCGAGGTGTCACGCCGATTCGATCCGGCGACTCCAGCCGCTGAGTTGGTGACGCGGGGCGTGTCACGCATCCCAGTGGCGTCGCGGGCTGGGGCCCTTGTGTGCTGGTCCGCCACACAAACAAGCAGGCGGGCGCTGCCACCCTTGCCTCTTGCCACCGCGCCCGTGGACAGACGCGCGATCTGTGCAACGCAAGAAACCAACGAACGCGCAGGACCCACCGTGCAGTGAGCGCGTGACGGGGGGAGGCAGAAAATTGCAGCCACACAGCTTGGGCACAGACTTGGCAGTTCACACAGCGTGCAGTCCACAGCCGCAGCACACAGTCGCACTGACGCGCACGCGGCAAACACGCTCGCGTACACAGCCGCGGACACAGACACAGTGCCAGACACAGTGCCAGACACAGGCGCTGTTGCGCTCCTTGCCCGCCCGCCCGCCTTTGCCCTTCATCGCACCTTCGCTCGCCCTGCGCTGGTGTTCTTCTCTCCTGCCCGGGTTTCTCTCTCCTGCTCGTCCAGACGCCCTCCAGCAGGACTCGTCGCCTGAAGTAGATCCGCCTGCCGAGATGGTCCGCCTGTCCAGCGCCTCATTGGCCGTCCTCGGCCTCGTCTTCCTGAGCACGGGTGCCGTCCATGCCCAGGTGCGTACGGTCTGCCTGTCCTTTTTGTCTCCTGGAGCTGCCCTTTGGACCTGTCTCCTGGGCCTGCCTCCCAGGCTTGTATCCTGGGCTGGCCTTTGGAATGTCTCCAGCTCCTGTTGCCAGACCTGTCTTGCCGATTCGCCTTGGCCAGTCGCCTCTCTGGCCGATCCGCCAGACTGCCGCTTTGATCGCTTTGTGCACCGGCCTTGGTCTCATCGCATCGCATCCCTGGTGGCCCTGGACCCAAGCATCCTTCTGGCATCCTTCCGGCATCCTTCCGGCATCCTTCCGGCATCTGCTGAAATCTCTGACCATCTACTCTGCTCCAGAACTCAAGCTCCACTTCGGTTGCTCCCCCGCCGCCCACCTCCTCGGCCCCTCCCCCTCCTCCGCCTCCAACTTCGGATGTTCCCTCGTCGACCATCCAGACGACCACAACCACGACCACTACCACGACCAACCCGCCGTCGAGCACCACCCACTCCAAAACAACCACAGTGGCCTCCTCGACCAGCTCGCTCTCCGTCGTCACCACGCAGCTGACCCAGGCTCCCACCACCGCCACCACCACCACGAACAATGGACCCATTACCCAAGGCCCGCCAGTTGGCCCCGGATCGACTACAAGCTCTGCCAGCACCGCTACTCCCAGCGGCAATGGCAGCCCTCCTCCGACTGACAACAGCGGCTCAAACCTTGGCGCGATTGTCGGTGGCATTGCCGGCGGAGTCGTTGCCGTGGCCCTGATCGCGGCTGCCGGTGGTTATATCTACACCCGTCGCAAGTACCAGAACAAGGACCGCGACCTTCCTGTCTACGGCTCTGCTCTGCCCCCTCCCCAGGTCTCGAACTCATGGAAGCCTCTGGATGAGCCCAACAACTACGGCTCGCCTGTCATCGGTCCTCCCCAGAATGCCTATGGGGTGCCCCCGATGTCGCCCCAGTCCAACTTTGGCGGATACCCCCCGCAGTCCGACTACGGCCGTGTTGCCTCGCCCCAGCCCAACTATGCTTTCAACCAGCCGCCCCCGACCTCGAACTCGCCCATCCCGCCTCTGAGCTCGCAGCCCAACATTGACGATTCGCCCCAGCGCTTCTCGTCCCTGGATCGCTACCGATCCAATGCGGCCAGCGCTCCTGCCCCTGTCTCTGTCCCTGCTACCACCAGCGCCCCGGCCATCCCGATCCCCCAGCCTCCCGTCAACACCAACGGACCCAAGCCTCAGCGCCGCTTTGTCCGCGTCGCTCGTAATGCCGAGAACCCGGACGAGCTCAGTATGATCAAGGACGAGGAGCTAGTGCTTCTGGAGACCTACGAAGACGGATGGGGCTTGGCCGAAAACACCACTGGCTCCCGCGGCGTGGTCCCCCTCAACTTTTTGTCGGAGCCGGCCCAGGCCGATGTGCGAACGGTCATCCGAGCCCGCTTCGCAGTTCAGTCCGACGAACTGACGCTGAATGCGAACGAGAAGCTGACTGTTGTCGAGGTCTATGATGACGGCTGGGGCCTGGTTGAGAACAGCCACGGCGAGCAGGGCATGGCTCCCCTCAACTTTTTGGCCTAAGTCTTTGGACAGGTGAGGATCCGATCCGTTTGCTCTGTGAATATCCACGCTGCATCGGCGACGAGTGGGGCGTATCTTGGTCAAGCATCTGGACGTGCACCGGACGCGCTGTGTGGGTTGTCCCATATCGCTGCATCGCTAATTCGCCCCCCTGCTTCTGTGGGATCGCCTGGCTGCAACAGCTGCCTGACTCGTCGCATGGCCGATGTTGCTGCTCCAGCCGACAGCGAAAGGATTCATCGAACAGCGCCGCTTTAATGCTGGTGATCCAGGGACGACCATGCCACGGCCTCTGCTGCGTCGCGTGTGTTTCTTCCCTCTCGTTCTCTCTCGCTGCCCTTTTTATCATGACGCCCCGCTTCGATTCTTCTAGATAGATCACCGCATGGATGGCTCCCATTGCATCACCCTGGCGAACAGGTTCTGTCGACCACACACCGCGTCTCCTCCTCCTCCTCCTCCTGTCTTTCCTTTCCTTTGCTTCGCACTCGCTCCTCCTTCGCCCTCTTGATCTATTGGCTCATCCCAATCATCTTCTATACACCGCCACTGGTCTATTTCTTTGCCCATGCTGTGCTTTTGTGGTGGAAATCTATGCCAACACTCCAACAACCAGTCGCAGTTGCTGGGGTATCGCTGCTGGTCGGGCTTGGTTGATGCCGGCCGAATCCCCAGACCCCGCGCATCAACCAGATTCCATGCCGCGTCGGCCCAATCGGAGCCGTGCTGCAGAACAGGGTTGCAAGTGCTGTCAGGGGGAAGCAACGCAGCGCCGGTGGCACATGGCGCAAGCGGCGTGCCGCGGTGTTCCGCCCTTGTCCTCCCCAGGTACGCGGGCACGCGGTCGCGCTGCTCTCCGAATCAGGAAGCGTCGCCGCACTCGCTTTGTTGAGTGGCAGGCCGCGCGCCGTCCGGGCCGCTGATTGGCTGCACAGTCGGCAGAAAGCCGCAGCGTCGATACAGCTTGCCACAGCCCAATGCAACACCCGCCGTCACGATGAGGTCACTCTGTTGTTGCACAGTCGCGCTCTGTGCTACCCCACACAGCACAACAGCAGAAATCGCACAGCACAGTGTCACTCTTCTCGCCTGCCTCCCCCGAGATGCACTCAGCACAATCGCCCGACAGAAACACTGGCGCATTCGTCCTCGCCCGCCCTCGCCCGCCGCCACGGGTCTGGACCCTTCGCTCGACACAGAAAAACAAAAACTCAACAGCCCGTAAATATTCTCTGTTCCCGTCTCCCGACGCCCTGCCTCCCATCTGCCCCCCCCGGTTGCCTTTGGGTTCTCTTGACGCCTCGGCCGCCTGGCTTCTGCTCTTGCCCGGCATCGTCTCCGAGTCCAACTCGTCTTTCGGCCTCTATCACAGCTCCTCGATTCTCTCCGTATGTGCTCGTCCTTTGTGCTGGCCATGCCCTGGCTCTATGTCGGGCCTTGTGTCTGGCCCTCCCTGCCGGCTATCCCATCGCGGCAGATCAGCCGACCCGCTGCCCACGGACGTTGGCTTGGGTGCTGATCTCCATTTGCCGTCTCTCTCTCTCTCTCTCTCGATCAGAACATGGTTCGTCTCCACTGGGCTGCTGGAGCCCTGGCCCTCCCAATCCTGGCTCAGATGGCCGCGGCTCAGGTCGTCCCTGCCTCGGTATGCTCCTGTTTCAGCCTTGCCCGCTTGATCGCATTACCAGGATTGCACCCATTGCATTCCCAGGATTGTACCCATCGCATTCCCAGGATTGCGCTCGTCCAGCCCGTAGCCCCCTCCCCTCGCAGCTCACACCTCACACCCATTTCTCTCCGACAAACTCGCGCTGCTTCTGCATTCGTTTCTGCGGTTGCTAGAGCTCTTTGTCTTCTCTTTCTGCATCGAGTCAGTCCGTCAAGCCCACATCCGCGGTGGTCTCGTCGTCCACCACCGTGTCTTCATCTGCTCCGGTTTCGAGCAGCTCCGCCACAACGACCACAACCACCACCACTACCACGACCGCCACCACAACCACCACGACTGCATCCGTTACTGGTCAGCGATCCACTGGTTCGGCCACCAGCAGCGCGACGGGCTCTCTCACCAGCGGCACCCTTCCGCCTATTTCCACCAGCACCCCTGTAGCCTCCACCGGACCCAACCTCCCGGTCATCATCGGTTCCGTCGCCGGCGGCCTTGTGGGCTTGGCCGTCATCGTCGCCCTCATCAGCTGGATCGTGCGTCGCAATCGCGCCAAGGAGTCGGCCAAACAAACCTCGCTGACCATGGATGTCGAGCTCCCAGTCAGCAGCAACGCCTGGAAGCCCCTCGAGAACCAGGGCCAGTCCTATGCCACGCCTTCGCAGAACCAGTACCAGTACAACAACGGTTATGTCTCCCAGCGCGACACCCGAGAGTCCTACATTGCCCCCGGCCGAGTCCCTGGCGCTGCTACTCTGAACGATCAGGTTCCCCGCGACGAATCTCCTCGCCGCTTCGCCTCGCTTAACCGCAAGCCCCAGAACAACACCCTGCCTGCCTATACTACCATCGATCCCAGCTCCACGCGCACCACGAAGGACTACCGCACCGTGCGCCTCACCCGCCCTGCCGAGCAGCCCGACGAACTCGACATCTCTGCTCACCAAGTTCTGCTTATCCTCGAGGAGTACGAAGACGGCTGGGGTTATGCCGAGACCGAGAAGGGCAAGAGAGGTGTGATCCCCCTCAACTTCTTGACTTCCAAGGTTGAGCCCACCAATGCCAATGTCAGCGAAAACATTCCCCCCGTCATCCCGATGCCGATGCCGCCTGTGCAGTCCAGCAGCCCCGCGCCCGCGCTCCCTGCCGGTGTTGCCGACTACCGAATCGTCTACGTTGGCCATAACGCCACTCAGTCCGACGAGCTGACCATCGTTCCCAACGAGCGTGTGCTCGTTCTTGAGCGATACGTCGACGGATGGGGTCTTGTCCAGAACGACCGTGGCCAGCGCGGCGTCGTTCCGCTGAACTTCCTCGCCTAAATTCGCCCTTCCATCGGCCTTTCCCTTACTCCTCCCGATCGTCATCGCAATATCGACGCACCTGCCTCCTTGCTCGGGACGAACCGTTTCCAGACCAGGGCTTGCTTGCACTTCGCGGCTCGGACCATTCTCTGTCCGGGTGGTGTCGTCGATTGCGAAACCCGTGACTTTGCACACTACCAGACCTCAGCTCTTCCTTTTGCCATTTTATATTCGTTTCTATTATAACCCGACCCAATCTTGTCCCTCTTCTAGATCCAACCAACCAACCATCTCTCCGTTGCCTTTCCGATTCCATGCCATGCCTTGCCTGATCGCGACCCCCCTTGCTCACTTGCAATTGCTGCCTATTTTGTTGTTAGATTGTATTACTGGCTGCTGCAGGGAGGGGGGGAGTGGAAGGTGAATCGGCCTTGGTATTGTTTCCGCCAACACCCAACACCCAACACCCATCCTCTCCGACCGGTCGGGCAACTCAGTCGTTCCGTTGTCGGGCTCGACTGGTCGTCATGCGCTCATTTCATACCGGTTCTTTTTGCTCTTGGCCCCCCATGTTTGGCATTCACACATTCTGCTCTTGCTTTGCTACGGAATAGACGCCCTTGCTATGAAGTGCCATGACATTGATCCACAGCCTGTGCCGGATCGCCATCATCATCGGCATGTGCACAGTCACCATCACCATCCACTGGCGATTCCGTGCCCAATGGATCAAAATGGAGGCGCTTCCGTCCGTGGCCGTGCCGCTGAATACACCACGCAAATCCGCGATGACAGAGAAAATCCCACTCCAGTCGTGACCCAAAAATCGTGCTTCCAAAAGACGAGGTTGCCATCGAAGCATGGTGGCAACAGGCGATGGCGGTTCTCAACGGAAGGCGATTGGCGAGCAGCAGCCAGCCATGTTCTTGAGTAGTCTGAGGAATCATTTGGAGTGAGCGCTGAAATACTGTGGATGAGACAAATGGAGAAGCATCGCATCACTGGATAGTGGCTGGACTGCAAAGGGGGATGGGGTGGTTCCTTGCCCATATGGCCGAAATAGATTCCTCCGTCGTCCCTTGCTCATATGTCTCGCTTCATCGTGTGAATGCCACATTCACTTGGATATATTCCGGCGCTTCTATCGAGTGGCTTGATCTGATTCGGTCCAGTCCGTCCCGGTCAGCCAAGAGCCGCAGGGCAATCATTTGCTCAAGCGATCAATGCACAGTCCACGTCTCCAATCCATTGCAAACCACGCCCATGCTGAGGTCATCCTGCGGTGCTGGACGAGGGGCAAGATGGCAATTGGGATTGCGTAAGGTGTTGTCCCTTTCTCATCTGCTTAAAGCTTGCAGCCTGTTCGGCCTATCCCCCTCCCTCCTTTGTCCCGCTTCTCCCCTCGACAGCCCGTTGATATCCCGCTCGAACCTCTGAGTTTCCTGGCTGTTGCCGACGAAAATAGCTCAGTGAACGTCTTCTGCCTGGCCTCCCGACCATGGACTCTATCGTTTCTCACGCCGCCATGGCTGAAGGCAAGCGCCCTGCCCCGATATACTTTGTTTTGGGCTTCAACGACTCGATGGTAACGTTTCGTTTCTTCAGCTGGTCGTCTGCTTTGGCGCTCACGTCCGGGTGGCAGGTCGCTGTGCACGGATTCGAGCAGATCGTTCTGACCTGTCCAACACTGTTGCCAAACCTTGCCGTCATGGGTACCGATCTCAAGATGGAGCGCGACTGGAAAGAGTACCGGCGGACCACATCGAGGAACTACCGCATCAATATCTTGATCATGCTTTTGTACTGCGTATCACTCGCTTTCAACTGGAGTGTCAGCGGAGCTGTCTACCCGACAGGTCAGTTACTGTCCACGGCTCTAGCATGATCAAATGCCATTGGCCCATTCCCAAACAACAACCCGTAGACATCGAAGAAAGCCGAATCCTCCCCTTCGATTTTCCTTCCCGTCTGCCACGAGTATCCACTCAATATCTCTTGCGTCGCTTGGGTGAGCTGACACGCTTCAGGGCCATTTTTTCCGCTCTCTCTCCTGCCGCGACTACCGATAGATCTGCCTGGGTTCATTACGACCTCGATAATCCTCCTGGGATTTACCGTCAAGCTTCCACGGCGCTATCATCAGATCTTGACGCTGGTTAGCACCATCACGGTGTTGATCTCCTTTACTCTTGGGTCGATTCCGTTCCTGCCTTTTGGCATTCTCTACCAAACCTCCAACAAAACCGTCACACTCTTTGGCATATCCGCAACCTACCAGGGCAGCTTCAATGTGGTCGTGGTCCTGCTTGTGGGCTTCATCAGTCTCTCGGGTATAACCTGGGCCCTGGTTTGTCCGGGTCTCTTTCATGGGCTCAGCGCCTTCAGCATCTCGTTTTCGTACATCAAGGTGGTCTGCTCGGGTTTGCTCGCTGCCTATGCCAAGGTGGGGTATCCTTTCAGCTGGGATTCAGTGGTGGTGATGCTTGCGACATTCCGTACTCATACCGCCGCTGTCTGTCTCTCCGCCAGGAGTACATTCGCCGGCATGCCTTCTACAATGCCGATAGAATCTTTGCCCACTCTCAAAAGTCCCTGACCGAAGCCCTGCGCGAAAAAATGGCCGAGGAGGTTGCCTTCTATCTGCCCGAGAAGAACATCTGGACGGGCGAGTTCATCTATCCGATCAAGAACTATGTTGTGCCAATGCGATGGTTCAGGACCCTCGCCAGGACGGTCTATCGCGGCTGGTTCAACATGAGATTTCGGGACAAGGAGCTGGAGCAGAGCTATCTAGAGTATGTGATGGCGAGACTCTGTTACTCGCTTGGGTGCCACTGTCGTATCCTGCCGTCGGCTTGGATGGATGTCTGCTTCTGCAGTCTCCACTCGCACCCTGGATGTGAGCGATTTTCCAGTGGGGTTCCGCGCAGCACCCCAGCAAATCAAGTCCTCTCAAAGTGCGGCGGAGCAGGATGATCTCGATTCCTAACTGCTGCCACGAATTCTCTTGCAGACACATGAATCGCAAGTCGATCGAGTATCACCTCATCACCGTCGCCATCAACCTCATGAGCACAATCATGGGCACGGTTTTGGACTTGACCAACAGCGCACCCATCACTCAGCTGTATTCGTACAAGATCCTGCGCTTCATATACTTTCCGATCGCTCTGATCGTGCCATCGGCGCTGCTGGTCTTCAAGAGTATTCGCCAATCCCCGATGAGCTGCCAAATGATCATGCTTTTCAGTTCCATCGCCAACATCAGCGGCTACTTGGTGTCGTTCCTTCTGTATCGGTTCCTGAATGTTGGCGGAGACCCGATTGTCTCCACTATTTCGTCCAACGACTTCCATCAAAGCCTCGCCGACATTTCAATCGCCATATTCTCTGCCTGTGCGCAATCGGGTCTCTTGGCTCGGATCTACTTGCCATGGCTCTTCCTCCTGCTCGTCGCTACCTTCGTGGTGGTCTTTGTGGTACCCACTGCGGCGCCCAACAGTCTCGTCAACTATACCTTCACGGCCATACCCGAGGCTTGCCTCGTGGCATCCGTTATTGGAGTCATGATCGAGTTTGAGAGCCGCAAGCTCTTCTTGCTTCAGTCATGGGCTAGTGGCTTGGATATCGCAATCCCGGCATCAGTCGATGCCATGTTTTCGCCTGCCATCATCACTCCGGCGGGTGTCCGACGCATGATCTCGCACACCTCGTTTCATATCAAGAACATCCCGAGGACGGGCTCGGGCTCAGCCAAGGTCCTGCCGATAACTCAGTCAATGGAAAGAGACATGGAAAACGCACAGACTCTCGATCGGAGCGGCTCACTCGCGCCCACAACCATCATGGACAAGATTGACTTGTGTTGAGGTCTCCAGGTTTAACAATCAATGTCTGTCGAGCCAACAGGCATGCTACAAATACGCACTTGAATGAGAAAGAGTGGCCCTCAGTGCCCCAAATTGCGTGGCTACAACTTGGAATTGGTGTGTGTGAGACATTGTGACAGGGGATGCACTGCTACTGGTGGTGATGGTGAAAGAAGTGTTCCTTGGAGAAATGCATCGTCTGTGAGAGCATTGCCATTGGTATCCCGGTCGTTCTGCACTGCTGCGATATGAAGTTGTGCCAGTCCGTTGTGCCAGTCAGCTGTCAGCTATGTCATAATGCACTGTGGCTGCCACCTGTTGAGCAAGACATCCGGGTGACTCCGTCCCGAGCAGATACAGGGTTCATGATGGTCCATTTCCTGGGGCAGCTGGCTGGAATGCTCTTGGTCATGAATGCACGGCACTTCCTGTGCTGGTCGGTACTTGTGCTGGGGGTGAGTGAGTGAGTTGCCCGATACTGACATCGACCGCTGCTGCTCCTGCATGATGGTGATTCTTTGCTGTTGAGGTTGATTTCGTGAGATTGACACCGCCAGAGCGAGCCGGGGAACTCATTCCCGACACCATGTTTGCTGGGACTGCCTTGGACTCGACATACTTTGACTCCCCAGCGTCGACGCTGCTGCATTCGCCAGCGGTAGATACACATACCTGAGCCGCAGACGAGCGGGCGCGCTGCCTGCAGTACTGCCCGGCAGTTCTTGACATTCCCGGCTGCCGTCGACACAAGCTGCTTGCTCGCTCGCTCGCAGGCATCTCAACTCCCGATCCGCGCCTTGGATGGCCGCGCCATTGTCCTTTCCCCTCATCTGCCCAACCGTTCCCCGGACTCGTCCCTCCCTCAGATTGGCTGCTGATCGATGCCCTGGCTGTCCCCAGCCCCCTTCTCTGAGGCAGGCTACCTGCAGCCAGGACCAGCAGAATGTCCGTATCCTGCTCGTGCTCTTGCCACAGTCCCTGCTCGGTCCTTGCTGTGCATTGTTGCTGTGATGTTGGCTGTCTCGTTCGATCCAGCGACTCTGGCTGGTCCGAGGCATCGTCTGCTTCTCACCAACGATCAACTTGCTATGCGTATCCTCTGTGCTCGAAAGATGCTCGCTGTGGTCCTCGCTGTAATCCTGAATCATCTTGATTGGCTTCTGGCGAGTCTGCCGTCGCCGGTGGTATCCTGTCCTTCATGGCCCGAGAGAAGCACCACCCCTTCGAGCCCACCCTCAGCACCACACTGCAAGCCAGACAGGGCTACGAACAGTCCAGATGGCTCGGAAGGCTTCGGAGACATACGGGTAATGTAATTCATATGCTTGCTCGTGTTGGAAGGCGGGAAAGGGAGGAGGGGTTCCCGGTCGGCCATCGTGGGTTCAACCGCAGCTTCCTCCAGACATCGAACGAGGTATGTCTCTCTAGATCTAGACTGTCGCACACACGGGCTGCTTCCACAAGCAAAGGTGAATGTAAGTGATGCAGATGGGATGCTGGTGCAGATTGAGGCGGCAGTAGTGGCGGTGGCCGGCATGAGAGTGTCGATGGGCAACTGACAGCGAGTGCGTCACTGCGTCCCAGCATTCGGCCTCGCCTGGGAGTACTGCCGGATGGGATCCAAGCCACGATGGTTCAGAGAGGCAGATGTGATGACCATGGAAGAGCAGCCCTCGGTGAGCCACAGGGTTTGTGAAGGTGAAGGAGTGGGAATGCGGGTGAGAGACAGATGTGGACTTGCTGGCCAGGGTGGTTCAGTTTAGTCGAGGATTGAGAGGCATGGTCGATCCGTTTGGATTGCAGATTGCAAGGATGCATGCTGACGCTTGATCGGAAACGAATAGCTCCGTCTTGTGGTTGTTGTTGGGGCTGGATGTGGATGAGACTGGGAAAGCGGATAGCAGGATCACCGGCGATGCGGGTGAGATGGATGGCGACGATTGCCAACATGCCCAGATGCCATCGTCAAGCACCAGCACCCCGGCTTCCACAAGCCAGGATCGAGATATGGCAGTCGAGGGACGGCTTGGCTCTATCCTCCACCCTGCATCGGGCCAATGCGCCGATATCTGGCAGCATCGACCAGGGTTCTGCTTGGATGTCTCGCGTTCACAGTGTCTGCTCGGATGGTCCGTGCTGCTGGTACCTCTGGAAGATTCGGAATCAAGATCAGGACCAGGATCAGGAACATACCTACTTGAAGATGCACATCGAGCGAGTCTGTGCCGGCCTGTCTGGCGCGAGTCAAAGCCGGTCGTCGGGAAGGGTGGTCTTGATGGTGCTCCAGCCGGACGGCATGTCGGTGTCATCGACGACACTCGGATCCCAGTCCGCCATGGCCATGCTCATCAGCGAGCCCAGGTCGGCTGCTGACCCGGCAGCGGCCACGTCAAAGACGCTCGGGTGCTCAGAGTAGCAGAGACCGGTGGGTTTATTACTCGGACCAGTCTCTCTGTTAGTCTGCATCAGAATGGTGCTGTCATGGCTGGCTGGGACGACGGCGCTGTCGGCTCCATGTCCGTTCACTTTGTCCGGGATACGATCAACGAGCCCAGAGGAAACTGGAGTCTGCAGCCCTTGCGGCAGATTGATGGCTGGCATCTGGCCGACCAGGTTGGTGTCGACGTTGGCAGCGTCTTTGAGACTTGGTTGTTGAATGCTGTCCTGACGAGAGCCGATATCGTCCGTCGCATCCATGGTACTTCCCATACCAGCTGCCACGGCCGTCTTGGCTGCTGGAGCACCAGGGATCGTCGACAGAGAGTGTCTCGATGAATCAGGGGTGCTTCTTGGGTCGATATGGATCTGGTCGTCGCAACCGCCGAGTACTTCACCGACCTCCATGCTGGATGCATCTCCAGCAAAAGTGCTTCCGAGAACCGATCCAGTGCCGATGTGGGAGCTGCTGTAGTTGCTCAGGCGGACAGCACCTGGCATCTTGTTCCAGCTCCTGCTCGGACCGACTTGGTTGGTGCCTGTGGTCGCATTGGACAGAATTGGTGACGATTTGAGATGATGTGGTGCTTGTGCAGCGAGTGGGTTGGCATTCGACGGCGTTGATACACCCATTGGGATCAATGGTGTCAACACTCGCGCTGGAGTCGATGACGATATGCTGGAGATACCAGGCTTGGACACATGATCGGAGGCAAGAGGCGGCACCAGAAAGCCTCCATGGCCAGCGAGCCTGGTTGCAGTAGTATCGATAGCTGCCGAGAGCCGACTGGAGCCTGTGGCTCTGGTGGTGTTGCTGAGATGCTGGAACAGGGCCAGGTGATTTGGTGGATATGTCTCGGAGAGATCATGACCAAACCCCGGCGGATCGCTTGGAAACGAGCCAGGAAGCCAGTGGTGCATTTGATCAAACGAATGGGCTGCCTTGAAGAAGAATCCGTTGGCTTGATCGCCAGCACAGACAGATCCGGCGTTGAGAAGGCTGTTGCTGTTGATACCAGGGTCGTGGATGGACTGACGAGGCTGCGACTGATACGGATGTAGCTGATGCTGAGCGGGATGCGAGTGGCGCTGAATATGCTGCGATTGATGCTGAGTATGCTGAGTATGTTGCAATGGTGTTTGGCCCTCGATGGAGTGAATGGGGAGCGAGCGGCGGCGATAGGGATGAGGATGGAGTCGGGAGTGGCGAGTGATCGACTCGACAGCCACAGGGTCGGGTGCTGCAGTCGGAGCCATCAGCGACGATGCCGGCCAGGCAAGCGAGTCGTGGACAGAGTGTGGATGAGAAGCTGTTGGAAATGGTCCAGCAGCAGTGGGATATTGTCCAAGAGTCGGCGCCGGGATCGAGAATGGGTTCATCGAGATGTCTCCATGGCGAGCAGCCATTGTCGTCGAGAATAGTGGTGTCGTCCCTGGTGATGAGACTCCATGAGCAGGGAGCCTCGACGGCCGACCAAGCACCAGTGTCTCTCCCAGCGGCGACACATGCTGGTTGCTGTCTGGTGCCGAAAGAACAGCACCGATCGTGGGTAGAGTGGAATGACCAGGGAGAAGCCAGACGAACTCATCCAGATGGCCGCGAGGATGTGCATCAGACACGCCGACGGCCGATCCTGCAAGCGGCATTTGCAGACCGGCGGCATCGTGGCATCCAGATGGAGGCAATTCAGCGGCAACAGAAGCAGCAATGTCCAGGATATGTGCAGCGGGCCGTGGTCGAGATGCTGTTGGCGACAGAGTGGGGCGAGCATGAGCGGAAGAGGCAGCGCCGATGCCAGGCTCGTCGGTCGACGTCATTGCGAGCCCGCCAGGCCATAGCGGCGTTCTTGTGCCAGGACTGACACTTGCACCTGCATCTCCGCCATTTGTCGGCGGGCATGGAGACCGATGTGCATTCTCAATGGTCGCTCTGATCAGGCGAGCATATGTCTCGCCGCGGTGGTGTGCTTGATCGAGATAATCGAGGATGGAGTCCAGAACCGAGAGGGCCAGATTCCTGTCGGACGAGTGGCCCAGTGTGTCCAAGTACACCGTAGCGGCGGTCATGACAAAGTAGGACATGCCCGGGAGGAGCAGGGAGGATGGGCCGGAAGGCATGTTCTCCTGGAGTGTGCGATCAGAGTCAAACAGACCCGACCGGGACGACGCTGATGTCGATCCGATGCCGACGCAGGAGAGAATGTACTTTGCGCTCTCGAGGGCGCTTGTGTGGTTGACGGAGACACTTGCCCGAGTGCTTGGATGCGTCTCATTCGACGAGAGAGTGCTGCTTCCCGTGGTCTGGTCGCCGATGGCATCGACCGAGGATCGGCTTGCCGAGTTCGCATGCGTTTCCACAGACTCGGCACGCTCTTCCGACGAGGCGCTTGTTGGGGTCGCAAGACGGTTCTCCAAGAGATCGCCAGCATCGAGTTCAAGAGAGCGACGATCTGCTACCGACGAATGGATGATGGCGGTCGCAGTGGGTCTGTTGTGGAGTGATGCCGGTGCTTTGCATGTGTCGGGCTCGCCAGCGACCGGGCTCGATCCCGACACCGTCTGGGGCAGAGGGCTGCTTCTGCTCTCGAGCATGCCACTCTTTGCTGCTTCTCCACGGCCGCTATGATGTCGTGGATGTGGATGTGGATGTGGATGTGGATGTGGATGTGGATGTGGATGTGGATGTGGATGAACCAGGAGCCCTGGATCGGCGTTGGTCTGCTTTGGGTGTGAGTTGAGCGGTGTTGTGTCGCTGTTGGTCCTGTGCAATGGCTGGCTGTGGGAGCGACCCGCGAGGGCCGTCGAGGCGAGGCGCTGGGCAATGATGTTGAGGGAGTGAAAATACGAGTGCAGGTGGTGATGGAGGCCGAGGGCACCTTTGGGCGATTGCTGGTGCTCGGGCGAGAGACTGCTCCACCACTGGCGCAGACCGACAATGACCTCGGCGGCACCCATCTGCCGCTGGTGGCTCGTCAGCACCGGGGACACCATCAAGGACGAGAGCCTGCCACTGATGTGGGCGAGGTGGACGTATATGCACATGTCCTCGTAGAGCGAGTCGAATCCATCGAGCAGGAACGACGAGTCCCAGCCTGGTGCGGGTGCCGATGGTCAGATGTGCGGGTCCGGGATCAGGACAGGGTTGGATGGCCGATGCACCGGCACGGTGTTGCAGCGACGGTGGTTGGCGAGCGGAGCCATCGAGTCATCCAGAGTGTTGTCGCCGAGTTGCACCGTTGAGCGAGGCGATGGAGGAGACAGGATCAGCGGGATGGATCAAGGGGAGCAAAGGCATCGGCACGGCCGAGACGCCTGCCCGCCTGCACCAGCAGAATGCATCTCGGACCAGCGTGCGCCACACCCCATCCGTGCCTGCATCTGTGCGGGAGCGATGCAGCAACGGGGAGCCAGGGCCCTGG